TACTTCTTCTATTTTTTGTAATTCATATTTCTTTGCAAGATCTTCCTTGAATCGTCTGGCGGCTTCACAAGCGGTAAAAGTAAATAAATTGATTATAATGATGTTGTTCATGTATATCAATACGATCATGTATTCATTTGTGTAAAGACATTGCTTTTCAGGGATAGATAGAAGGCCAAATTTGAACAGGATAGTGGCCAAATCTTTCTGTCAAAGACGTGAAGATTTGCGCAATCCGTATAATGTTTTTTTGAACTTTCAAATCTTGTTTTTAATATGAAAACCGTCTGATGATTTTGTGTAGATAATGTTGTCAAACGTTGCATTTAAAAATGCGTTTATAACATTTTTTTGATCGGTATCAAGATCAAAAGCTGTTACAAGTGCCATAATAACGCAAAATATTCGCGCGGACGCTGTTGCAACAAAATTATTAACAACTGTGTCTTTTTCAAGATCTTCTCTCACACAGATACGTTCTTTTGCTTTTGTGAAGTTGTCATCTTCATTGAATTTGTATGTGAAAATCCATTTAAGCGAAAGAATCTGCGAATCTTGAGCTTCATTGATTTTGACGAAATCAAAGATATTCATTACTTTGAGATTATCTATTTTAATTTGCGCAACATGCAAGAATTCGTTTTTAAACGGATGCTGTAGTATTTCTGAATAGGAATTCGACAATAGAGAAAGATTGTTTTGATGTTATTGTTTTCTTTCTTTCTGTACCAGATTTATGATTATAGAAAAGGCTTTTTCGATCTTCAAAGCTTCAATAAATGATTCTAATTTAATGATCATATGACTGATGTATTGAGAATCTTTCTTTGGCTTTGAAACTCTTTTCATATGTAGAATATTTTCTTCACGAATTCCATCATCAGTAAGATTTCTTTTTCTTCGTTTTTCACTCCTTGATCTCGATGAGTGTTGTGAATCATGATCTTCTTATATCTCGAAATCGTTATATTGGGTGATTTGCTCAATTAAAAATTCAAAGTCTCTTTTTGTTGAAATAGCGGTTTGTAACAAATCTTGCAGAATTCGTGAAGATGATTTATCTTGTAAAGGATTGTTTAAAAGTTCTGAAAATTCTTCTGAAATTATATTGATGCGGCTTTGATCTAGGATCAAATTATTGTGAAATTCAGTGTTCGGATCAGAAATCAATTGAAGTGTTGATAGAGATCTAATTTTATCATCTAAAATGTTGATTGAATCTTGCACGTTTTTTAACAATTTCGGGATTTTTGTAGACTCTATCTGATCTGTTTTCTGTTCGAGAAAGATTTCTTTGTCTTTCAATAAGTTTAGTATCTTTGTAGGTGGCTCGGGTGACGTTTTGTTAATGAGATCTTTAAAAAACGGTTGTGTGGGATCATAGAATTTTGTCTTATCAAATTTTACATCTCTTGCCTTTTCGACACGCTGTCTTTTCGGATTCCATATGTGTCAGATATTTGAAGCCACAAATCCTAAGAGAATATCTCTATAGGCGCGAGGAGCCATTTTATTGCTTTTTTTTTGATCTTGTCTCGTGTAAGCAATGCAATCAATTATTCAAAATCTTAAGAGATCAGACTTTTGTTTTGTAATCTTTTCATAAGAGATTGTCCATTGCAAAGCGGCAGTTGAAATGCGATTAACAATATTTGTTACTGCTGAGATAATCCAGAATCAAAGATTACAAAATAATTTTGTTTCAATTATTAGTTTTCTCGCTTTCATAATTAATATTGATTCAGCGCGTTTTGTCGAATCATTTTGTTTTGATGTGTTGACTATCGAATATTTGTATACGATTTTTTCAAATATTTCAAATTGTTTGATTGTATTTCCAAGAATTTGCTCACGATCGCTCTTGAAGAACTTAATAATGTGATTGAATAGATTTTTGATTTGACGTGTAAAATTGATGATCGTGTTAATACAATCATTTTTTTTTCGGTGAGCAATAAAAAAGTGAAATCGAATTATTTCATTATAAAAATAAGAGATCCACTGATCTTCATTCAATGCAGAAATCATTTGAATAAGATCAAAATGCACACGTTGAAAAAGATTTTCTGTTTTTATTATAAGACGTCTCGAGATCTATTGTGAAACATTAAAAAGTTTGCAAATTTCACATTTCTTGTCATTATATTGTTTTACTTTAAAATCATCAATTTGAACGCTTGTAGCAATCTTAAATAGATGACAAAATGCATCTCAATGAAAATGAGCCATCCGACGATGTTATAAGTCGTTATTGCTTTTCAAAACGTGAGGTTTCGTTGATCTTCGGATTTTTTGATCGTTATTTATTAAAAAGCTGTATTGAGTGCTGTTTGACTTCTTAATAATCCACAAATCAGATGAATGTTTTTTCACGTAAAAAACGACTTTTTTTTTCTTCAAAATCGTGTTGCGATTCATGTTGAAATCGTATTTTGCTTGTTTAAGCTTTTGAACGCTGAGAATATTCATATGCAGATCTGAAATGTAAACAATGTTGATAAGAATAAGTTCTTTATTTCCTTTCTCGTTTCCGTAGTTTGATCGTATTTTCACGTTTCCAGTATCTAGAATTTGGATGATTGAATTCTCTGCATGGAGTTGTTCATTTCTTGAATAATCGATATTTTCAAAATGCGAGATCTCATTATAAACATGTGTAGAGGATCCGGTATTGATAATAAAGCAATTTCTGAGCAGAGAGTCATTTGAAGCATTAAACGCGAGCGATATAATATAATGATTTTGATGTTTTTTTTCTGCTTTTTTCCAGTTCCTCTAAATGATCGATTTGACTCGTTGAGATCATAGATCTGATTTTGAAGCGAAATCTCTGATATCTTTTATAACTTTTTTATCGGGTTTCCAATTTCTCGATCGAGTATTAAAATAGAGATACAAACAATCTTTATATTGATGACTTTTTTCACACGAGCAGAATAGAAATTCTTTCTTTTTATGATTCTGTGATTTTTGTGTATTTGATGTTGAATCACTCTGATCGTTGAGAGTGGCGTATAAATAATCTAAAGTTGTTGAATTGTCCTTATTGCTGTTGACAAAATGAGATCGAAAGTTGTTTAATAAATCAATGAATGATGTCTTTCTGATTCTCGCATAATTTTAACTCGCGTATATAGCATTCATAGCTTCAATCGATCTTAGAAAGTCTTGTTGTATATAATGATCTTGACTTTTAGACATATCGAGTCGTTTGATCATTAGATAAGTGTGTTTGAATTCCTGAATCCATGCGTTGATTTTGTTTTGCCGTGAGGATTTCTTGATGACTGTTTTATATTGTTTCAAGGCCTTATCTTCTAATTTCTCTATTGTTGGCTTATATTGCTGCTTCAACGCTTTCAATATTTCGAAATGTCTCTTTTTTTCGACAAGCGGTTGAACATGTATAGCAATTGACAATCTAATTGCTTTTTCAATCTTCGCGATGTTGTTTCTCGAATTTTTATAATCCTAAAGATCCAATTAAAATCTTCGATAATTCGATTTAGTGAGATCTTGAAGTCTTGTAAATTTCATGGGTGCCGGAGGATAATCATCTTTCTTCGGATTGAAATAATCTCATATATCTAGCCGTTCAGCATATTCTTCAATGTTAAGAATCCAACTGCGTTAGTTATCTCGTTCTTTCAGGATGACTTTAACCTTCATAGCATTTTCAGTATCGAATGATGAAGTCATATTGTTGAATTCAAATGTGTCGTCTTACTCCCTGATGTTTCACCGGGATTGCCGTATTGTGTTGCTCCAGGCGGATTCTGTATAACTTTAAAAATGACCAAAGCGGTAATCTTTAGAACGATTCCGGGTTCATAACTATGGTAGTTTGGAGGGCTTGACAGGGATGATGAAAGCACTGAATTACGTGATCTCCACGGATTCGATTGAAGGTCTTGATTTTCTAACTATGCGATATAGCTCGTATTTATGCAATCTCTGGAGCTTCAAAATGATGATCAATCAACTCAACAGGAAGAAGCAATTATGTTGAATAATTGACTGGTCGATTATTTCGGCTGAGCAAGGCGATGAAATGCCGGCTTAGTCAACTCCCGCGGCCACAGTTACTAAGCTGCTGCCTTAGGCTCACATGCCTGATCGGGGCATCCGGTGTTATGAATTGACGGTGAGCATAGATCAATCAAAGTCCGGTGTAGAGGCACAGAATCTAACTTGCAGACGATTGTCCTCGGGTCTGTGGATTTAAAATCGGATACGGTCCGAAAACGTTCGTTACAGCAGTGTGGGAAAATAGACGCACTACTCCGTACATGTACTTATTCTCGGAAATCTGAATGACATCGATGGGAGAAGAAAAGAAGAAAATGGGCAGGAGGAAATGGGCAGGAGGAACTCACACTTGTGTTCTTTATTTGTATAACAGCATTATTGCGCAGTCAGTAATGGTGCATGCCCCTTGATTCCGCGATGTTTATGAATTGCGAGGCATTCTCCGGAAACGACATTCTTATCGCATCACCCCTTGCTTCCTCACAAGGTTGTCGATTGAACAGTTGTCAATCTTACATTACATGTCCATTTAAGTTCATCATAGCTCATGCTTTGATCTTGCGGTCGGAAAGCTATCGTGAGTCACCCCCAACCAAGGCCAGAACCAAGGCCAGAGCCAGAGCCTCGAAGGAAGATAGTAGAAACAAGCATGACTTATTCGAGCTCGATTGGCCGTGATGATGAAAATGAGAGACAGCCTCTGGTAGGGGCTACTTCCCCGTGCTACGAGGCATTGCATAACTCAACTACCGACGACCTCTCTAATGGCTTATTGCCTTGTGAACCTCCTCAAGTGAAGCCACTCACTTGGTCAAGTGCCTATATTCTAGTTGTATCGCGTGTTATCGGGAGCGGAGTGTTTGCGACTCCAGGTTCAATCGTCAAATCTGCGGGAAGTATTGGGCTATCCCTATCGCTATGGTTGGTTGGTACAGTTCTATCGGCCTGCGGAATGGTGGTGTTCATGGAATATGGATGTATGCTGCCTCGCTCTGGGGGAGAGAAGGTAACGTCTCCCGGTCAGATAGCCTTGCTGGCTAGTTAACTGTTGACTGGTCTAGGTGTGTCTGGAATATGCCTATCCTCGCCCTAGGTTTCTCGCGTCCACTTTGATAGTGGTCCAGGCAGTGTTGTTGAGCTTTACTGCCAGTAATTGTATCATCTTTGCCAAGTACACGCTCTTCGTGTTCACGACCGAACCCACCGAGTATCAGTATAAGATACTGGCTGCTGGTCTCTTGACCGTGGTCACGATCATCCATGGCTGTTTCCTCAAGACCGGGATCTTCATTCAGAATATGCTCGGATGGGTCAAGATCTTTTTAATCACCGCAATCTCTCTCACCGGGATGTGGGTGATCCTTCGACAGCCCCTCGAGAGTAGATCGCACCACGACAGCCCAAAGAATCCGTTCGCGTGGGATGCGCTATGGGAAGGGTCCAACTGGAGTTGGAGTCTCATCTCTACTTCCCTATTCAAGGTCCTCTACTCTTACGCGGGCTTGAATAATGTGAACAACGTCCTCAGCGAAGTCCAGGACCCGATTCGGACGTTGAAGACGGTTTGTCCGGCCGCGCTGATCACGGCAAGTGGTCTTTACTTCCTGGCCAACATCTCTTATTTTCTCGTGATTCCGCTCGATGAAATCAAGCAAAGTGGTGAGCTCATTGCCGGCTTGCTCTTCGAACGACTCTTTGGTCCGCATGTTGGTCGGGTGGTTCTTCCATTAGCCGTGGCTCTTTCGGTGGCGGGAAATGTGATGGTTGTGACTTTTGCTCTGGTATAGAAATGCATACATATCTCCCCCTTTTTCTCCCTCCTCTCCGTGTTGCAAGTGATCTAATTCAATGCTAGGCTCGCGTGAACCAAGAAATCGCCCGCCAGGGCTTCCTCCCCTGGTCCCATCTCCTTTCCTCCTCCCGACCATTCAACACCCCCCTGGGGGGTCTAATCGTTCACTACATCCCATCCGCCCTGGTAATCTTACTCCCGCCGCAAGGCGACGCAAACAACTTCATCCTAGACGTGGAAGGCTATCCGCAGCAGATTTTCATGCTCGCCATCGCAGTCGGACTACTGCTTATCCGGAAACGCGAGCCGTTTCGAAAAGCGCCGTTCAAGGCATGGCGCTTGGCCATCTGGTTAAGGATCATCGTCTGCGTTGCGCTGATGGCGGCGCCGTTTTTTCCGCCCCCCGGGAGGAAAGGAGATGTTAGGTTTTTTTATGCTGCTTATGCAGTGGTGGGGGCTGGGGTGTGAGTTTTCATTTCCTATTCTATTCTATCCTATCTTATAGCAGGTTCTGGACGTTGTCGGCTAACAGAATTAGACTCCTCACGGGCGTGATTTACTGGTATCTTTGGACGGTTGTACTACCGCGACGAGGCGGTTATCGTCTGGAAGAGAAAAGCGATATACATGAAGACGGCACTGTTACTAAACGGCTTGTTCGCTGTCACGGCTTGGATTAGAGGGATGATGTATGTAGCTAGACCTATCCATAGATCTATTCCTCGTCCATTGAATAGAAAACCAGAGCTCGAACCTCAATACTCTCTCTCGCCTCCTCCCCGTCAGTCCCCGGAACCACAAACGCAGAATGCGGCACCCGCCGTGCTCGCCCATCTGTCTTCGACTCGAAACACTTGAACAGCGTCACCATGTCCGGCGTCTGTCTGTCCCTGAAATACCACCGTATGCGAGGATTCGGTTTTACCAAGCACGTCTCGCCGACTTTGTCTGGATAGATCATCTTAATCGGGACGAGATCGTCGTCGGAGACTGTTCGAGCGTCGGCTACAGCGAGCGGGTCCCGAAGGACGGGTTTCAAAGGCCGCCAGACGTTGATGATTTGATACCGACATTTCAGGAGCGAGCGAGCTTCGTCCCCGAGATAGTACTCCACTCTTTGCTTGGCTGCAGCGTCGGTCTGGTCGATGTGCACGCGCTGGATGGGGCCGCGGGCTTGCGGTGAGGAGCCTTGGAAGTCTTGGGCTGCACGGCGGATGGTGTGGTCGAAGACGTAGGTGCGTGATGCGCCGGTCCTAGAGAATGGTTAGGTAGGGTTCGTGGTTGATTGAGTTGACAATTGGCAATATGGATGAGGGCAACTTACACGTCTTTGATGAGGTTGTCAATCTCGGGGTAGTAGTGTGTCTTGATCGCGTCGTCGTCGAGGTCGGAGAGGTCTTTCGTCTGGCTTGCGTGGTGATGGAATTGGAAGCCGTTATTGTCAAGCGTGTAGTCTTGTTCGCGACCTCTGACGTCGTGGATGACGACCGGAACAGTTGTTATTGGACGGATGTACGAGCTGGGCTTACCGACGTAGGTTGGGGTCAGATGCGAGCCGTCAGGTTGCTCTTCGATGAAGTTAAGGGTTGTTTGGACGTCGTGTGTAGACATTGGCGCTGACTTGGTCATGGTGTTTTTTCTTATCGGAGATGACGATTCTCTCTGGTTCAAGTACCTTATCTATAGTAAATGAAGGCAGCATCTCAACCCTAGAAGCCGGGATTGTGTAAGGCGTTTCCTCGCTTCGAAGATAACAAACGCAAGGGAGGTCGTTGGATCCCAAGTTTAAAGACGTTCAGATGATGTGTCTCATGCAGGAATGCGTACGTCATCTTGCGCAAATAATGGGTCGTTACCGTGCAAGTAGCATCGAGGCTTATCTGCATCGTTCGTACTCCTGCTACGGAGTAGATGCCACGACCTTCATGACTTTTCAAACCGACAACGTCTTCGAGTATCCCCTGTCCCTGCCAGTTCTCTCCCACCACTTGACATCAACATGATTGAACCTAGCAAACCAATCACTTTCCTGGCCCCGGAAGACCCATTAGATGCTGTTGTCGCGATCCTATCTCACCAGAAAGGAAGAAACCACTATATCTACGAACGGGAGGAAACATGGTATATCGGGCTAGACAGCTATGCATCCTTGATTGTGAGCTCCGATGGCGAACAATTGATTCGATATTTCCAGGGCGAAGGCGAGAAGGTCATCCCTGTTCACGAACCTCTACCCGTGCTTGCGCGGGACTTTATCTCGGAATACTCCTCTCACGGCAACATCTTTGGTCACGTCGGGTTCAATTACTCGGCTCATGTCTTTGGACGAGGGTACGTGCCTGGGCGATGGCCGCTGCTTAGTCTCATGGTGCCGTGTGCGCAGGTAGCCGTTTCGCGAGATGGGATTACTGTTTCCGGCTGTGTAGAGGAGGAAGTTCGATCGTTGTGCAAATTTCTGAAGGTCTACCTCTCATACTCACATGAGGTGCAAACAACGACACCTACCTGCCACAGCCAGATGGTGATCGATCTCCGGGTCAATGAGTCCGAGTACAAGGCCCGCGTGTCGACCGCAATATCGGAGATCCGAAACGGGCACTACGCCAAAGTCGTCCCGTCGCGCATCGTAAATCTCCCGGGCCGGGTTGACATGCTAGCAACGTTGCAACAGGGTCGTCGCTCGAATACCCCGGCTCGAACCTTCTCCTTTAGCCACATGGGCATCCAAGCTACTGGGTTTAGCCCGGAGTTGATCATCTCGATCACAGGTCGCGATGTCTGTACGGAAGCAGTAGCTGGGACACGGTTGCGCGACAACACGACAGGTTTCAACGGCGCTCCGAGCGCGCTGTTAAGCGACCCCAAAGAGGTGATGGAGCATGTCAGCGCCATCAGGGGGTCCATGAAACGGCTCGCGCGGGTTTGCTGCTCTAGGACCATCGTCGTCAGCGACTTCTTGTCGGTCGTGGATCGCGGAAACGTCCAGCATCTCTGCTCGCATGTTTCGGGGCGTCTGTCGCCGGATAAAGATGGCTGGGACGCTCTGCCGGGTCTGGCGGTTGCTGTGCCGGGTGATGCAGGCCAGGGGGTCTTTCAGGAGGAGGATATGCAGGAATTCGAGCCTGTACCGCGAGAACTGTACTGTGGGGCGGTGGTCATGATTGATCCGAGCGCGGATTTCTTTGAGGCGACACTCGCGTTGCGCAGTGTGTTTCAGGATGGGAAGCGTCAGTGGCTTCAGGCTGGGGCTGGCATATCTGCGATTTCGGATCCGGATCGAGAGTTTGTGGAAACGTGCGAGAAATTGGCTAGTATTGCTCCTTATGTGGTGCCGGAATTGTCGCTCTGCCGAGAGGTGAGAGAAAGAGAACGGCATGAGAAGTAGTTAAGACAATGTTAGCGAAAGTCCAAGGGGCTGAGGCAGTGGACGCTAGCCTCTTAGAGTTGTTGTTCATAGCGTTCATCGATTTTGCTGGTATGTTGTTCTCTTCTCTTTCCTCTAGATTAAAAAGAAAAGGCATCAAAAAAGATGTTGGAAAAAAAGGTATGACAAGAGTGGGATTCGAACCCACGCCCCTTTCGAGACTAGGAATATTCGTATGAATATGGGAGGTCAGATCACCTGACCCTAGCGCCTTAGACCGCTCGGCCATCTTGCCCTTGTTGAAGAATGGCCGAAGATTTTAGCTTTATGATCCTAAGCTAAAACATCGTTCAAATATACTTGCTCTGGGATGCATGGCTGGGACGGAGGGGTTATCTGCTTCGAATATGTTTTTTTCTAGTTTTATGAAAGCGCTATTAGAGCGAGAAGGTGCCATGATTGCTTTTGATGTTCAACTTAGCCGAGAAAGAGATGCAGTGTTGTGTTTTCTGTTTACTCCAAGAGCGGTTATATATTTCCGAGGGAATGGGCTACGGCACCACCAAACACGCGAGCATGAACTACGAAGACTCCACGGAACAACACAAATTGATAGTGAAACAAAACACAATCCCATGCCTCCTAGAAGATCATTACTCATCCCAGCTATGTTCTAGACCCCATGGAAGGAAACAAGGCCCCACCGCACTAAGACTAGAAAACCCACGACAAAAACCGCCGATAAACCCGCTTCAGCCCTGTCGCATTAGCCAGCTTGATCCTATCTTCTTCCTTCTTCTGGGCCTTCTCTTCATCGAATGGAATGGGACAAACACCGGTGCTCAAATCCGCCTCCGTCAATCGGACGCGACGAGTACCCTGGTGGATCTTGTAACCGAAGATACACACGAGGTAGAAGGGGATACCAATGTACTGAACGATGAAGATCCGGTAGTTAAATTTCTTTCCGGTGAATAGCTCGCTGCCCTTGCTCAGGTTGAAGATACATAGAAAAACCAAGGCAACCATCGACCCCCATTCGCGGAACGGCGCACGGTATGCGAAGCGGTCGGAGGGAATATTTTGAACCTTGACAGCCTTACAGAAGGCGATGTGTGTCGTTAAAATGGAGATCCAGGTGAGAACACCTATACAAGGGTTAGAGTGGACTGACACGGAGATACAAAGCCATACTGAAACCAACGACCATCTCCATCAAATATCTGAAAACAGTTTTCGTGTTGGAACTCATACTCATGTATGCCAGCAACGAGAATAGAAAGGGAATGACGGCCGTCAAAACCGGGGTCCCGCGACTGTTCGTCCTGGTCAGAATGGCCGGTGCTTTCCCGTCCAACGCGATGCCATAGATCGTACGGGTAGCCAGGAAGAAGTCTAGCCTAGATTAGCAGGTAGCTCAAAAAGAGATAGAGAAAAAAGCCCCGACAACAAACCTGTAGTAGAAGTAGCTGTAATGAATATGAGCATCAAGCCGTTTATCACATGGTCTAGACCCTTGATATTTGCTAGCTCCACCGCCGCGACAAAAGGCGACGCAGCGGCAGTGGTGTGGGAGCTGGACGCAAATGCCAGCTTAGGAGTGTCGTATGGAACGACCATTCCCAGGAGGAAAATCGATAGAATGAAGATTGAGAAGATCCGTAGGAAAGTCAAGCGAACTGCTCCGGCCATCGCAGTTCTTGGATTCTTCCTCTCGGTGATAGGTACTCCCACTAGTTCCGTCCCACCAAAGGCATAGGCACTGCGATGGTGAGCAAATAAATTTGGTCAGGATCAAAACGCGCCAGGAGAGCAACTGACGCATGAACCATAGTACTCCAGGCACGATAGAACCTCCCCCTGGGTCCCGAGGTGTCGAAACCCGCAAAGGCGCCGGGGTTTCTCCAATACCTGAAGCCAAGTCGATCGCGACTATACCGTAAGATAAATTCATCACGGCAGAACAGACAATGAGCTTACTTAGGTCCGCCACCCAGTGCGACGACTAGCATTAAGATAATCGTGCCGCACAAAAGAGTCATCTTCAACAAGGCGAGCCAGAATTGAAACTCCCCAAAAGCCTTGAGAGTGATCAAGTTGATGATCAAGACCACTATCAAAGCGACAGTGACGATGGCGGACGATTTGACTGTATCTCCAACCCAGAACTGTTGGAACAACAAGTCAGCTAAATCAGACGTGATGAGTGTGAGGCGAAGGCTACCTTCATGATTAGTGACGCCGCAACGAGATGATTCGGAGTCGACAGGAGGTATTTAAGGGCGTTGCAATACCCCGTGGCGAACCCAAGGGCAGGGTCTACAAAGCGTGATGCGTAGCCACCGGCCCCAGCTATGTAAAGATCAGAGACAGTCTACCATGATGGAGGCGAAGCCACTGACTTGGCATCGGCGCGAACGAGCTCACCTCTCCCAAGGCTGATAGGACCAGAAAAGCAACGAAACCGATGATGCTGTAGTTCAGAAGAATACCGGCAGGGCCACTTCTCGCGAGGCCAAAGCCGCTATGGAAGTTTGAGAATCTCATATCGCCAAAGGTGAAGGAGCTGGCTTACGATCCCACAAGCAGACCTGTGCTGAGAGCGCTGCCGATGACAATGATGCCGAGACGGTGGTTCTTCAAGATCTTGTGCTCTAGAGGCTTATCCATAGTGTTGAGTGACAGAACAGGGCTTGGAAAGAGTCCAACAAATCTTCTGCCCGGAGCAGGGTTGAAGATGATGCCGGTGGATGTTGACTTGATGCATCTGGGGAAGGTGCGCGCGGAATTCACAACTTTGGCTCTTTCCTTACTACACATGTCATCACCACCATAAATGATGATACTGATATGAAATTCAGAATAGGTATATCATGGTGTCCTAGAGGACCTACTTATCAACAGTGAATCAATTATCTCGCCATCCCGAAGTAGCCACGTAGATTTCGCCTGACCTTTTCTTCACCTGCGCCAATTCCACCAATTCAGGTTAGAATCTGAAAAAGAAAACGATCGTAGACCGTAATTCGAAACACCATTGAAGACAATCTCGCAACTTTTGTACGGTGAATAGTGAGTAGAGCAAAAAGACAGAAAAAAAAAAGAAACGCCCGATGTGGGGCTCGAACCCACAGCCTTTCGGTTAAAAGCCGAACGCGCTTACCAATTGTGCCAACCGGGCTTGGTTATGTAACTCGGCCACCTTTGAGCATATAGCCCTACAGTACGGTGCTAGCGAGGCTAATCCCCGCTGGGCGTAGTGGTCTCCAGGCCTCGGCATAAGTAGCCCAACCACTAGATTGTAGCTCCATCGTATACGAGAGATAGTTCTTATGATCGGATTTCCATTGGACAACCAAATAATACAAGCTAGCGAGTCCTAGTCAAGAATTTGAACCATTGCTACTGAAATTATTTGCATTCTTATCACATGCGAAGCCAGAAAAAAAAACCAAGAAAAAGCAGGCAGCAGGCTCGCTTAGGCCGGGTGGCTTTACATTCCTACAGTCGACCAGCAAAGACGGAAATAGTAAGCGACGACATGAATCAGACAAGCATTAGCTGAGCAGCATAACAGGATTTGCGGCGTGATCTGCTGTACGCCACGTCATTTAGTGAATCGCCTCTTCTGCATCTTTTCGGACGGCCCTAGGAACTGGAATTCCCTCCGACGCCCGAGTCCAGTCAAATCCACTCGGGAGGTTGAAGCGCGAGACTTGCATGCCACGGATATGCAGAAGAACGCCACGAAGAACTAGCAGGTGAAAGTCCTGTTTATGTGATAGGGGAGCGGGAATGCCCGCTTACACAAGATTTACCTAATCGTTCTCGTCGATATCTCAGCTGCCTGATCTGGTAACTGCGTCCTGGTCTGACAGCGCTTCATGCAGGTGCTTCGTCTGGCGTCCAGATACCGGCTTTGGTTAACCTATGATCTGCGAGGATCGGGTCTGTGAAACTCCCCAGAGGGCTGAAGAGTGGTAAATCTGTACGTGAGGTGAAGAGGAAGGAGGACGATGTAGGTCGCTAAGAAGTACTGATTCTGGCATGGATTTTCTCAAGCTTGGGGTTAATCCTCGGTAGATCTTTTCATCAACGATGTGGAAACGGGCCGCAGTGCTCAAGATGATATCGGGCTCCGTTATAGTCCACACGCTGACACCAACGATTCAGATCGTTCGCGCCACCCATGTGAATGGCGGACGTGGAATGGTTTATAGCTCCGTTGCAATGCGGAGACTTTTGCCAAAGCATAGGAATGGGAAGACAAATGAACGCACTAGATGTGTGCAGATCGCGCAATCTTCCTGCTTTTAGCCTATCTGATCAGCATCGACGGATTTGCTCCGTCGTCGGTGCATATCCACTGGGATTCTGCTGATCTGGGAAGAGATAAGTATAGAACATCCTAGTAGCTTGATCCTGAGCCAGAGCAGCCCCTCCACCGGAGAGTTTGTGAGTAGAAAATAACCCAAGAGACGTCATGAGGTGCGATTTGGATTGTAAGATTTTACCTTATCTGTTTGTTTGCTCATCGTCGGACGATGTCCGACGTTTTGCCGCCGGTCTCACCTGTACAAGCAGGCACTATGGAATTATGCTAGCAGCCAATGGCACGGTAGACTAAATGCATAATGATCTGGCATAATATGAACCCAACCAGTAGAAATCGAGCCGGGAAGCATAGCGGGTGGCAATGATGGACCCTGAACAATTTAAAACATTCACGAAATGGTTAGTCTGCCGACGGCTGGCTGTGTTAAGCTGACGCGATCAAGAGGGGACGGAATCCTGCAGGAAGTATATTTCTTGAAGAACGACTAGTAGATCGCGTCCCGGTCCCCAACGGTTGCTGCAAGTGAAACCTTGTGTATTTATGAAGGATGCTCTGAATCCTACTATTGGGCCCGTCACAGTGCCTTCGACTAGCACGTAGAAAGAATAGTTGCTCCGGGATGTTTTTCCAGTCTCGATTAGCACGTAGCTTTTTCGAGTGGTCAAACCAATGACAGGGACGATGGGAGCCACCCGAGTACCTAGATAGGAGTTGGGGACAGCGCACTAGGCATATTAGCTCACGATACTAAGACCCACCTTAGTTACTGCGTTCTGTGAAAGACTGAAAGTCGTACGTACAGTCCCTTTTCTCACATCTCCACTTTCTAGTTTTCCCCGCCCACTGCGTGGTTCCAGACCGTCCAGGAGACTAGATGGAATGGGCGATTCAGCCGAGGCGGGAGGCGATCTTTGAGCACCGGTAATCAGAAGGACAAGAAAATAAGTGGCGGCCAAGAGAGACTTATCTCGCCCAAGACTCCTTCGCGTAAAGTAGTGTAGTAGTTCGTGGTTCGTAGCGGCAGGACCCGGAGATGAAAGCTGACTGAACCACGCCAGGGTCCGTTGTTGTTTGTTTATCGGCGAGAGAAACGAGAGAAAGCCGCTTTGTTTTGCTGGGCTGTGCCCGTTTGGGCAATTAGGCGCCCCAGGCTCCGACGGCCGGGAGCGACGACGTTCCATTTCCGTGGCCAATCAGAGACCCCGGGTGAAGGCATGGGTGGATGCCTGGGTGGATGCCTGCGTGCCTGCAAGCCTGCAGGCCGAGGCTGCCACTTCTGCCCTCCCGAATCCTTCAACGCCGCAACGGACAATCCTTCGCCATCGCGCAATGTCAACACGAGCCGTTGACATCCGCCGTCAGAGACATTCGGGCTCATCATTATGACAGCACATGTTCCCGTCCGATGATCTGCAGCATAAATACCTGATGATCGACCTCATCCAGGTTGATTCCATGCTGAAACAGCGGTCGATCCACTCGGCCGCCACGATGCTGATTAGATGAGCCTTTCACATCGCCGATTGCAACAATGCAGCCGAGCAGGGGTGGTCCGTATCCCGGTCGTCCGGAGTTCTGTCTTGCATCTGGAATCATTCGTCAACGCTCGTTTGCCATCTTGCTTCCCCTCTCCCACCCCCACTATCTGTCTAGATGGACGGCATACGCAGACGAGAGGGAACACCCCTCCCCCCAGGTCAACGACACGCAAGGGTAGGCAAGTAGTACTTTATCAGGGCTGCGAATGAAAATTCCCTCTAGACATGGGCCAGAGCCTCAGAAGATCGCCGAGTTTCTGTTTTGTACTTCCATATTTTATTTTTGGTTTTTGGCTTTTGGTCTTCAAGACAATTCATCCCAGTTCTTCTTCCCATCAGGTCATCGGGTTACATGGCCAATGGAAAGATTTTTGTCGTATACAACTGCTCAGACACAAACAATCATTCTCTTGCCTAAACAGTCATGGATGGGACACCTCACAAGAAGGTTCGATCTGCGTGTGACGCATGCCACGGGTTGAAAATGAAATGCTCCGGGGGCGAGCCTTGCACTGGCTGTGGACGATCTGGACAGACTTGCATATACAGTGAGCCTAATCGACTAGGTAGGCCTAAGGGGTCCAAGAATAAGAAGAGTTCGAGTCTGGATAAGTCGAAGAGCGATCGCAATCGCACCAATACCATAGAAACTGCCGCCGCTGTGGGAGCACGCTCAAATGAGACGGTCACGGCAATGCCATCGGAGCAACAAATCTCTCTCGCGGACGGGATCTGCTCGCCACCCGGGGTAGAAAAGTGGAATGACCTGGTGGAGGAGAACTTCTTAACAGATCTGGACGACGGCTTTCTCAGTAATATTTCAACTTCCGACTTTTCCTGGGAGCAGCCTAGCGACATCTTTGACAGGCTGGAGACTGAAACCGGGATAAGGGGGTACGATCCAGACTCCTCGATCTTTTCTCTGGTAAGGTCCACCCCATACTAGCATCCCCACGAGGTTCGCAGTGGGCGAACGTGTCAATATTAGATCGCGAAGGCTAACGCCGGGTATGATGTGGAACTTGATTTGTAGGATTACGAAGGGCCTTATCCCGACCCCCAAGGACCCGGCATGACGCAACTGGGTGACATTCCTTTTGTAGGGCTAAGGAATTGCGTCGCACAAGATACATCCCGGCCACTGTACGATGCATTTCCGCGGCCACGACCCGAAACACAAAGCTTCAATCCCATCGAGACCTGCGCATGCGTCGACCATCATGCCCGTTTCCTTTCCCAATTGAGGAAAATCGAGGGGAATCATTATGCGGCGTCGGTCCCGACCATTCTGCAAGCGACGCAGGACAGCAAGGCCCTCTGGCAACGACTGGTCAACTGCCCAGCTTGTCGACACGATCGGGAGTGCGTTGCCGTGCTGATGTTTGCGATGGGCTTACGGACCATCGTGCGATGCTTGCAGGCGTTGGTCTCTGACCAACAATCGGTTCTACAACGGCCTCTACATCACAACCGCTGGGGGCCACTTGCGCCGTCGGTCTCAAGTGGCGGCCCAACTATCAGCACCCCACACTCGCTTAGCACTGGCAGCGATCGAAGCGCGGTTTTTGAGTCCGTGAGCACAGTCACCAGTCGAGGCCGACGAGGGAGTGGGCTTAGCACGAACACGATCCGCGTGGGGAACTTTGAGGTGCCCGAAGACGAGCAGGTTTTTTTGGTGACCGTGCTCATCACGCGCACGCTCGGTAAGATCCGGACCTCCTACGAGTCTATGGCAGATTATATCGGACGGGTACACGGCAGCTCGCCCTTGAATATCGGGCCCAGCGACAAACGGCCGATTCATTACGTGCTGGAGGACCTGCGAAGACTGGTGGCGACAACGGAAGGGTTCGTTCGGGGTCTCGTGGACAGATAGTTAAACCGCCTTCTTACTGAGACTCGTCAATTGCACGTTGTCTCTTGGATATGAATTATGTGTGTTTGGCGTTGCTCTACTGGATTATCCTGTATCTTCTAGCTCTTGTACATGGCGATTGTCTCCGTTGATACCTATCGTGAATTCTCAATATATGAAATGGAATTGAGTCGACCATCTTGGCCAGATCCGCTCTAATCGAAGACAACTGCTGGTAATCCACTATCTGCGCAATACTGGCTGGTCCACAGTGATGGCGTGATAGTGATACCTATGCAATGCAACCGCATCCAGGAGGTACTCGACGCTCGACAGCTCCACCGGCGATCGTTTCCCGGTCAGATCCGCCGGCGGGTCCTCCGGGTCACCTGATTGGCCCGAATCCACCCGGCCCCGCCTCCCCGTGAAGCTTGGCATAGCCTTAAAAACAGGGCATCGTCATTTATACCACAATACGCCGCCAAAAGTGTCATTTTCTGCTCGCTTCTGCCCTCGTCGCCGGTCGCTCTTTCCCCATTCCTCGGTTGCCCTGGTATTTTCGCTGGCAGCGCTGATTTCTAAGGACCAGGGGGGGAATTGGTCAGCATTAGAAATCACCGACCATGCAATCCCCCTGTCTTTTACTCTCCGGACGTATTTACTACTTCCTTCTCGGCGGTTGGCCAAAACTCTTGATTTTCTTGGTGTTTGAGCTGCCTACTCTACGCTTTCCTTCATTTTTTTTTTTTTTTTTTTCACTTCCTTACTATTCTTGACTCTCCCTGTTCACTGTCTTTGCAATTGAGGACTCCGCATTTTCTTCCACCAATCTTCGTCAAGAATTCCGTGCCTGATTTTGGACCTCCGATTTGAGGTCCCTGACAGGTTGATGATCCTTCACTAAGTCTGCTCATCGGTGCGAGATAATTGAATCCCTTTCTATCAGTCTATCCATTTATTGGGGTTATCAATTTTCTGATCATTGTTCCTACCTCTCTAGATCTCAAAATCATTTCACTGCAAAATGTCCGATACATCCAAACGACAACGCGAACACATCCCCCTCTATCGTCTGGTTCTGTCGCAGACAACCATCACTGACTCGGTCCTGGAGCATCAATGGGAAGGCGAGGGCACGCACGAGAGTCCATACCTGGTGGAATGGCTTCCTCAAGATCCTCGTGATCCCCATCAGATGAAGGAATGGATGAAATGGACGATCACGCTGCTCCAAGCTGCCTCGTTCCTGTCCATCACCTTTGCCTCATCCGCTCTCTCGGCGGCTAATCCCCAGATCCAGGAGGAGTTTGGCGTTAGCGATACTTTGATCATTGCTGATACTTCGTTGTTTGTGCTTGCGTTCGCCGTTGGCCCGGCAGTCTGGGCGCCGCTGTCGGAGTTGTACGGTCGCCAGGTCATATATTTCTTGACTTATGGTCTGACTACCATCTTTGCCGGCGTCACGATTGCGAGTCCCAACATTGGTGCGTTGCTGGTGTTCCGTTTCTTCTCCGGTGCGTTTGGCGCCTCGGCGGTTTCTAACGCGGGAGGCGTGGTCTCGGATATGTATACCGCGCGCGATAGAGGATTGGCTACAATTGCGTTCATCGGGGCTCCCTTCTTGGGACCGAGTCTGGGTCCTATTACCTGCGACTTTTTGGCCGTCTCGAAAGGGTGGAGATGGGTGCAGGGACTGACAACCATTTTCAACGGAGTCGTTTTCCTGATCGGCATCTGCTTCATCCCGGAAACCTACTCTCCTCTTCTTCTGAAGAAACGCGCGGCAAAACTGAGCAAATTGACCGGAAAGGTTTATCGAAGTCGACTGGAGAATGCACAGCAGAGCGCTTCTGCCGTCTTCACCAAGACCATGGTGCGTCCGTGGATCTTGCTGTTTTTGGAGCCGATTGTGTTGTTGTTGAGTCTCTATATGGTTTGTCATCCCCTTGACTGGTTAGAAGGACGTTAGCCCAGTTAGTTAATGTCCTCATAGGCAATCATTTATGGCACCATGTACATGGAATTTGCCGCATTTCCGATCGTGTTCGAGCAAAACCGCCAGTGGCCTCAAAGCACCTCGGGACTGTCATTTGTCGGCATGATGATTGGCCAGATCCTGGGCTGTGCGTATTCCACGCTGGACGACGTTCGATATAAGAAGCTCGCCGATCGCACGGCTTATGGTCGGCCTCCTCCCGAAGCACGTCTGATCCCCTCGATGGTAGGGGCGGTCACCCTCCCGATTGGACTGTTTTGGTTCGCTTGGACCAACTACAGCAGCATCCATTGGATTGTGTGCCAGATCGGCACGGTATTTTTCGGCTTCTCACACGTTGCCATATTCCTTAGCGTAGTGAATTATCTGGTGGATGGCTATACCTTCTACGCCGCCTCGGCGCTTGCGGCAAACGCAGTCATCCGTGCCCTTTTCGGCGCGGCCTTGTAAGTTCCACTCGTGACCTGTGAGAGAATTCTTCCCACTGACCCTTGGTTTCCCAGTCCCCTCTTCACGACTGCGATGTATAATAACCTGGGCATTCACTGGGCCTCCTCCATCTCGGCCTTCTTGGCGGTCGCGTGTCTCCCGTTTCCTTGGGTGTTCTACAAGTTCGGCCCTGCAATTCGACGTCATTGTCGATATGCGGCTGAATCTGCTCGCAAATTGGATGAAATGAACGACCGGATGAGGGAGATCGCCCAACGCAGCAGGGTCAAGTCTGAGTCCGGTGATCAGAAAGAGGCTTCCTCTGGCGAACAGTCCGCTTGAACGGTTCTGCCTAGACGCTCCCGTTCACTCCGCGCACCGTCACAACGACATCATGGCGGCACTGGGCATTTGGGCTCGTGCATTGTTTTATCTTATCCCACCCTTTTCACCGATACGACATTGTAAGCGCTGAATGCGGTTTTGGGTTGAAATTTTTTGGAAACTATACTACGTATTGCATATACGAACTTTAATATATACAAATGTGATAGATACTTTTCGCTTTTTTTTTTGGCTAAGATTTGGGAGCAAATACCCGGTACAGTGCCGGTGACGTTGGCACAATCTCCGTATCTGCAGAAAGGATAATGCAACTCTATCCCGCCCAAACCAACTGGACCCTTAAGGAGAATTATCGGGAACCGAGTGCGACGCTGCTGCAACGTGGAACCTGTGCAGCCAATGGAACCCGGACCCATGCAGATAGCTATGCATTTTTGGTTTCAAATCTCTACGAAGGAATCATGGTGAAGAATTCTATCATGCGCACCAACTTTGCACAAGAGGCCTTCTCCTGCATACTCTGTCGGCTTTGGTTAGTTTCGTCCGGCGACTTTCTTGTAACTCAAGCTAACCGCTTATCTTGTCAGCGCTAAGCACAGGCATCCTTCGAGCGGCGTTGGCACGGCGGGGAGTATTATCGCTCCCTTTTAGTGCCCCACAAGCGCAATTAAAGCGAAAAAGCCCCGAAGGATTGGCTGACTCAGACTGCGCGCAAGAGATTGCGCCCGGAAGAAGATTACGGAGTACTTCGTACAGCTGCCCTGAATCCACGTTAGTGTGGATCAGAATGGAGGTGACCAGGAAAAAACAACTAGTTGAATGGGTGGTTACTCCATCGGGTACACCCCGTCTGTACCCCGATAGCTCGATCTGATATGAAATAGTGGAACGGCTCAAACCCAAACAAAGCCATATAAGGTGTATTGGACTACATTAGTATATCCTGCACACCACATACCTTGATCTTTCCCAAACTCTGCCCACGGGGAACACCACTGTTTAACACAATGGAGCGTTCTGGGACCATTCTCTTCTTCGGAGACACCTCAACGCCTGTCACCTCGGCTCTCTTACAACTGCTGGAGTCCGAGCGCAAGGATACCCTTCTTTCAAAATTCCTTACATTGTCAAGGACTGTGCTTCGTGATGGCATCGAACAGCTGCCATTCCATGTGCGGCAGGAAGCTCGGAGATTTGCAGAGCTGTATGATTTTACGGATCCTCAGCATGCCAAATTGGCGAGTCTTCGCGTGCTTTCGCCCGCCCTTTTAGTGATTACGCAATTGGGACAGTTCATATCGTCAGTGGTTTGTGTTGTAAGCACCGATCATGCGTGGCTAACTATGATCATAGCTGGTACGAGACACATCCCCACGTCGACTATCCTAGTGCCCAAAGCTCCGTTTACATTGGGCTTTGCGTGGGACAAATATCCGCCGCGGCAATCGGTTTGTCGACAAACCTAATCGAGCTCATCCCTCTGGCTGTCGAGGCTGTCCGACTTACAGTGAACTTGGGGAGCTTGGTCTTCACGGTCCGAGATGACCTGGAGTATGATGCTGATGGAGCTGCGTGGGCCTTGATGGTGGAAAACGAGATAATAAACAAACAGCTCCTGGAATTATCCTCGGAAGCTTTAGTATGTTGTTGTGTGCTTTTCTAGATCAATCAATGAAAGCTGACTGGTGGACAGGGGCTTCCTAGCAGGAAACAACCCTATGTCTCGGCAAGGTTCGAGAATACTACGACGATTCAAGGACCACCGACGACGTTGGCTAGGCTGAAACAATTCTTGGCCAGTGCGAAAATATCGACTACAAATTTATCCGGACGCCCTGTCGCGATATACGCACCGTATCATGCTTCGCATCTCTACACCGAAGCGGACGTGCTGAAGCCGATTGAGAGTTCCGCTTCAATTCAGACGGTATACAACACCGAAACCTGGAGCAAAGACCAGCCCGCAATATTGTCGACAAGTTCCGGGTCAATCATACCGCTGAAAAGTCGTCAAGGACTACTAAGCGCCGTCCTGAGCGATGTTCTCGTTCACCCGATTGAATGGAGTAGCATCATCAACGGTGCAATCTCGAGCGTACTGTCCCTCGGTCGCACCAAGTGGGAGACCCAATGCTTTGGACCTCTTCACTCCCAGAAATTGTTGGTCGCTGCTATTAGTTCCGGGGCTGGAGTGGAGGTTACCCTAGCAGACACCAGCATTCAAGCTCAAAAGGGCCATGGCAGAAACACGGCAAATACTCCTATAGCAATCGTTGGGATGGCAGGCAGATTCCCCGATGCAGATAGTGTGGAGGAGCTATGGAAGCTGCTCTCCGATGGTATTGACTGTCATAAAGTGGTGAGTCCAGTCCGATCCAAGTAGCAAAAATATCAGTACTGACAAACACTCTACGAAGATCCCATCCGACCGGTTCGACCCGACAACACATATTTCCCAAGACAAAGGCGCTTCAGTGTACGGTAACTTCATGAAGAACCCTGGCCTGTTCGATGCGCGCTTCTTCAATATGTCTCCTAGAGAAGCCATGCAGACAGACCCGCAGCAGAGATTGGCCCTGGTTACTGCGTACGAGGCTCTGGAGATGGCGGGCTATGTGCCAGGTCGGACGCCGTCTACGCGCCTGGAACGGATCGGCAGCTTTTATGGTCAGACGACAGATGACTATAAGGATGTTAACGTTGTGCAGGACATTGATACATATTATGTGTCGGGTGTTGTGAGGGCTTTTGGTCCTGTAAGTCTTGATTTTTCCTTGACCGAGACCAAATCGACGTCCTTGCTAATGATGCTGTAGGGGCGGGTATCGCGTGCAAACCAACTCGGTGAGTTTTTCGCTAAAGTTGGATACCGGCTTTTCTGACCCTACCTTTAGGAGGACCTTGTCTTAGTGTCGACACGGCCTGTTCGTCAAGTGCAACAGCACTAAATCTCGCTTGCACCTCGATCTGGAGCGAAGAATGCGACACGGCCGTGGTCGGCGGCATGATGCTTCTCAACAGCCCCGACATGTATGCCGGTCTTGCCCGAGGCCATTTCACCTCTGACAACGGGCCCTGCAAGACTTTTGACGACGATGCGGATGGCTATTGTCGCGGCGAGACCGTCGCCAGCGTGGTCCTGAAGCGACTGGATGCCGCCCAGGCAGACAACGACAATATTCTGGGCGTCATTCTGGCGGGCGGAGCAAACTATTCTGCCTACGCGGCATCAATCACGCAGCCTCATGCCGGGGCTCAGGAGAGTCTGTTTCGCAAGGTGCTGCGTCAGGCGGCTGTGCATCCGTTTGATGTGGACTATGTCGAACTGCACGGCACAGGGACGCAGCTAGGTGACTCGGTGGAGATGACTTCCGTCACGAACGTGCTGGCGCCGGAGAGCCCTCGTCGGCCTGCGGATAGCCCGCTATATGTCGGCTCGATCAAGGCGAACATCGGACATGGTGAATCGGCGTCCGGCATTTCAGCTTTGATAAAAGCACTCCTGCTGTTTCAGAAAGAGACCATTCCTCCTCACGTCGGCGTGAAAAGCGGACGACTGAATCGCAAATTCCCGGCATTGGATGAGCGGAGAGTAAAAATCGCCAGTGACTTGGTCTCGTTCTCTGCTAGCGTTGGTCGCAAACGAAAGATCTTGATCAATAATTTCGGTGCTGCAGGTACTAACTCTAGCTTACTGCTCGAAGAGGGGGTTTATCCAACATCTGCTCCGAGAGAGTCTCTCGAGCGTGAGCACATGATTAGTATCACGGCGAAATCGGCCTCGTCACTTATCGGAAACCTGAGGAATCTGGCTGCGTATCTCGATACAAACCCGCAGACAAGTCTGCTGGACCTGGCCTATTCGACAACAGCGCGAAGAGTGCAGCATCCGCTCCGGGTTTCGATCGTGGCCTCCACTATTGACGAGGTCAAGACGCAGTTGTGGTCTAGGATTGAGAAACAGGACTTTGGATCGTCCTCGAAGTCGTCAAATATTGTGTTCGCATTCACTGGGCAAGGCGCGCTCTACCACGGCGCTGGGAAGCAATTTTTCGAGCAAAGTGAAATTTTCCGAACGGAGCTGGCCCGCTTTGAACGCATCGCTACAGACCAGGGATTCGCCCCCTTCCTGAACGATGTCATGAATGGCAACGACAACCCGAAGGATCTTTCACCGGTGCAAACACACCTCTTCCATACCGCAGTTCAAATGGCTCTCTTCAAGCTATGGTCGTCGTGGAATATTGTGCCCACGGCCGTGATCGGCCATAGCCTTGGGGAATACGCAGCCTTGTATGCAGCGAATGTTTTGTCCGCCAACGATACGTTGTATCTGGTTGGTACACGCGCTACTCTGCTAGAGTCTCTCTGTACAAAGGACACACATGCTATGCTGGCCGTCAATTTGCCACTGGAGCGTGTCGTGGATGTCTTGCAGGGACATATGAAAGATCTAGAAGTCTCGTGTTTCAATGGACCCAGGGATGTGGTATTGAGTGGTCCCGGCAGTTTGATTCAGGACACAGAGAAACACCTGAAAGCGAATGGTGTAACGTGCACTATTCTGAACATTCCATACGCATTCCATTCCTCGCAAGTCGAGCCAATCCTGTCGGCTTACGAAACCGCGGCACGGCACATCACTTTCTCTAACCCTCGCATTCCTGTTCTCTCAAGCTTATTGGGAGAAGAACTTACAAGCGCAGACAGCTTCAACCCAACGTATCTTTCCCGTCACGCTCGCGAGCCAGTCAAGTTCTTGGACGCCCTGAAGGCCGGACAAGTGACGGGAGTTGTTCAGCCTGAAACGGTGTTCCTGGAACTGGGCCCCCATCCAGTATGCCTGGGCTTGATCGGGACGGCGCTGGGATCTCCGGAGCGTCTGCTTCCGACACTGCGACGACAGGAAGACCACTTCACCACCACTTGCAAGACGCTCGCTTCGCTGAGTAACAAAGGCCATGAAATTGATTGGAATGAATATCACAATAGCTTTGCAAATAAGCCGAGACTTTTGAACCTTCCTGCTTACGCATTCGACGAGAAAAAGTATTGGATCGATTACAAGGGGAACTGGCTATTGCTACGGAATGCAGACAAAATAGCCCCAGCGGTGCAGCCATCAAAGCCACTGACTACCACTGTACAAACCGTTCTGTCAACGACGGAAGTCAAGGATAACAGAGTGTCGGCTGTGTTTGAGTCAGATCTTGCTGAGCCGGCGCTCCATGCTTTGATTGCGGGACATATTTTGAATGGTGTTGCGCTGTGTCCATCGGTTAGTACTAGGATCTCAACTTTTTAAACAGAAATAGAGCTGACATTCGCTCACTATAGGGCGTGTTCTCAGATATTGCCTTGACCGTGGCAAATTACTTCCGCGAGAGGTTCCAGTTCAATGGTCCGGTCTCTGGCATGAACGTTGTCGACCTGCACATGATGAAGCCGGTGACGATGCCAGTCGAGCGACCAAATCAGCCCAAGCCCTTACGCATTACAGCCCAGGCAGACTTAGGGACTGGTCGTGTCGATATCCAAGTGGGCATGTGGCACCCACAGACCGAGGAAGCGGAGAACAACGCGACCTGTCACGTTGAGTTTGACGACGCGCAGGCCTGGCTACGAACCTGGAACAAGCACGCGTATCTTATCCTGGAGCGAATGTCCGATCTGGAAAGAGGTGTGGTCAGGGGAACCACAAGTCGGATCTCCCACGAGATGGTGTACAAGTTGTTTTCCACCGTCGTCGACTACGACACAAAGTACCACGGCATGCAAGAGGTCATTGTTGATTCCGAGAAGCTGGAGGCGGTGGTTTCATTGTCGATGTACAAAGGTCGCGATGCAGGGACATTCTTCTGCTCTCCTCTCTGGCTAGACAATCTTGCGCAGATCGCGGGCTTCGTGATGAATGCTATTGGCACGATCAACCCCCGCGAATTCACCTATATATCACACGGTATCAACACGTACCAGATCGCGGAGGAGATTCGTCCAGAGCTGCCGTACCGAGCGCATGTCCGGATGATTCCAGAGGGGAAGAGCGTTTACTCGGGCGACGTTTCGGTCTTCCAGGGTAATCGAATGATTGCCTGTTGTGGGGATGTCAAGTTCCAGAGGATTCCTCGCGCGTTGATTGACAAGATTCTCTCATCGCCGGGAGCATCTGGTGTGACGAATGCGAAGCCGACGGCGCCGCGCGTGGAATTGACGACCAGAAATGTTGATTACATCACTTCCAAGAACATCAGCTTTAGGGAAGAGGTCATCGAGCCGAGAACGCCGGAACTGAAAGAATTGATTGCGTCGCAGATCGGCATCTCGACGGACGAGCTTTCAGAGGATAGCAGGTTCAATGAGTTGGGTGTCGACTCACTCCTCTCAATGACTATCCTGTCGCAGCTTCAAGACTCTCTCGAGATCCAGCTCCCGGGCTCACTGTTTACTGATTTCCCTACGTTCGGTGAGCTGCAGGACTACGTGCAGAGTGTCACGCGGGATCAAACGACCGCCGCTCCCACTCCTGGATCGGTCAGCCCAGGGCCTACAACTCCATCGCCTCTGAGCGAATACAAGGACACGCCAGGGAGCCATTCGGTCGACGCCCATCTCCTGGAAGTGTACACCATCATCGCGGAGGAAATCGGCGTCGACGTCCAAGAAGTCATCGCCACCGAGGATCTATCAGTTCTCGGCTTGGATTCAATGATGGCCATATCAATCGCCGCCGCACTCGATGAAAAGCTCGGTGTCCATGTTCCCTCCGACTTCTTCGGCGGCTTGTCTTCGACCAAAGACATCCACAATGCCCTGAGCGATCAGTTCGGCATGCCTCCGCAGCCTACACCACCACCAAAGGCAGCGCAGAAACCGGGTAAGAGAAGCCCTTCATCCCTCTCCTTCCCCTCCTCGATCATTCTGCACGACGCAGCCTCCGCAGAACGAACCCTCTTCCTGTTTCCGGACGGGAGCGGGCTTGCCACTGCGTATGCCAAGATCCCGCCAATGTCGAACACCCGCGTCTGCGCTTTGAACAGCCCGTTGCTAAACCCGGCCAACAGTCACTTAACCACCATCGAGGCGGTCACGGTGGAGATGCTCCGAGTGATACGAACCCGGCAGCCTCGCGGGCCGTATCTTCTCGGCGGGTGGTCGGCCGGCGGCATGTATGCGTTCGAAGCGGCGAGACAGGTGCTGGAATCGGGCGAGCAGGTTGCAGGACTTCTTTTAATCGACTCTCCATGTCGATTAGTCTTTGATGCCATGCCGCGGGAGATCTTGGACCTGATTGTCCGCGCGGGCGTGGGGGCTATGAGTCCTGCCGTGGTTGAGAACTTTGAGCGCACGATCCAAGCGGTGGAGCGGTACTCTCCTGCTCCGTTGCCGGGTGATCACTCTTTCCCGACAACGCTTATTTGGGCACAAGATGGATTGGCGAAGGAGTTAGATGTCACTTCCCTTGATCTCGACTCTGATCGGAACATTGTGGAGTGGCTGCTTAAGAGAGGGGGATCGCTCGATGCGCAGGGCTGGGATGGGTTGATTCCGAAGGCAGATATTGCGATTCATACCGTGTCGGGGAGTCATTTTAGTATGATGCAGGCGCCGAATGTGAGTTCTATCCCCTCTTAACACTATTTTAGTTGAGTGATGCTAACGATGTTTTCCTAGACTACTTATGTGGGAGTGGCGATTGCACAGGCTCTCCATGACCGGTTGGATTAGAGTTGATAGAACCGTAGTTGGGATCTTGGATAGCTAAGAAGTCCTGTACTAAACTCAATGTACATGTGTGATTTTCATCAATAAACTCATTTGTCAGTCTGGTCTCTGGAGTAGCAATTAGTAGACCATGAACGAAATAACTAAACAATACCCCCATGGTACATTCTCCATCTAACACCACAAGTAAATTAGAATCAGAATCAGAATCAGAATCAGACCACCAACATGAGACAGATGAGACTAGTCGGCGAATTAATTAAAATTAAGAGAATAAGCATCGCCAGGGTATAAGAACGCGCCAATTCCCCTGGACTGCCTGCCGAAGTCATCGACCTTCCTACTCTCAGTAGTACTTTGGTTACTTACCTCTTGCAATTCCTACAACCCACGAGCACGATACAATATACAAAATGCCCCTCTCTATCGCGATCGTCGGCGCAGGCATCGGCGGCCTTACCGCCGCCGCAACACTCCGGAAAGCAGGTCATCATGTCGAGGTACCCATTCTCTTCCCATTCTTCCCTCTCCCTCTCCCCTAAACCACCCCCTCTCCACCGTATCTGCACAAGAAGATAACCAGAGAGAAAGATCTATGAAAAATCGCACTTCTCTACCGAAGTCGGCGCCGCGCTCGTCGTCGCCCCAAACGGGATCCGCGTCCTGCGCACCATAGACTTCTCCCTCGAGAACGCGCGCGGCACACCAAAGTCCGTGTTTGAGCTGCGTGATGGGCCGAAATTCGAGCGTGTTAAGGCCGTCGAGCTCGATGATGCGGAAGAGCGGTTCGGGGCTCCGTTGTATACGATGCAGAGGAGGGATTTGCATGCGGAGTTGTTGAGGGTTGTCTCTACTGATATAAGTAGTACTGGTGTTTCTGCTGCTGCTGCTCCTATCGCTACGGATCCGACCAACGAGGGAGAGACTACTGAAAGTGCGAGAGAAGGAGGAGTGCCCATCCACCGCGGCCGAAAGGTGATTTCAGCCGACGCAGAGCGCGGAATCCTCTACTTCGAAGACGGCACCGAGACCACGGCGGACTTGATCATTGCGGCAGATGGGCTGCATTCTGTGCTCAAGAGCGTTGTGCTGAAAGATGAGATCGAGAGTCCTGCGAAGACGGGGTTCAGTGCGTTTCGGTTCCAGATTCCGACGGAGGATTTGCTTTCGGATGAACACTTCCAGGAGCTCGTGAAGATTAAAGGAAATGGGCCTTCTGTGTTGGCGGATATGAGGAATGAGCAGACTATGGAGCATATGGTTTGGTATGATTGTCAGAAGTAAGTCTTCTTTCTGTCAATGGTGGGGTTGAATAAAGCTGATGAGAGCAGTGGGGAGATGCAGAATTTCGTGGGGATTCATAATCGGTTTGAGAGTGAGGGTGATGGTATGTTCTTTCTATTTCTATCTCTTTGCCAGAGTAGAGCTATGGTTGTGCAGGATATATCTGTTCTATCTATGGTTCGCGCAAGATGGCTAATGCAAAGCAGACTATAAGTCCATGATGTTGCAGCGCTTTGGACATTTTCATCCCAGTTTGGTGCACGTTATTAGGTATCTATCTCCCTCCCTCTCTTTATGGATTCATGCGTGGCTTAAGCCCAGCTAACACTACCCAGCAAGGCACCCAAAGTCACAATCTGGCCTTTGGATATCTTCGCCCCCGTCCCTCGCTGGAACCGGGGCAAGATCCTGCTCATCGGGGACGCCGCACACCCAGTTCGTCAGCCCCATTCACACCCAAAGTCAAACAGTATACTAAATCATCCAGATGCTCCCGTTCAGCGGCCAAGGCGCCAACCAAGCCATCGAAGACGCCGGCGCCCTAGGCTATCTTTTCGACGGAGTGCATTCCGCCGACGAGATCCCCACGCGCATCGCTCTGTTCGAAAAGGTTCGCCGGCTCCGTGTCTCACGCACGCAATTGATGTCTAGCGTGAGGGTGGGTAAGGAGGGCGAGATCCAGACGGAGTTGCGTCGGTACGCGGATCCTCCTGGAGAGGGTAAGTAACCGTATCTATTTATCTACTACGTTCTGGCCCCCTTGCGGCGTTCGATGTTGCGATTTCATCTCCACGTTACATTGGCTGTCACACTCGGTTGCTGACTGAAGGATGACAGATGTGCCGCAGACCTTTTCCGAGAGACTAGCGCATGATTTCGGGTGAGATTGAACAGCATTTAGATTGATTGCAAGACGAGTGGCTGCTGACTACAGGGTGTAGGTTTAACGTCTTCGATAAATGCCGCGAGGCTCTACGCGATCACGAGGCGCTGTTGGTGCCGGAGAAAGTCCCGAAGGGTGACGAGGGCTTTGCATACAAGAACACGAACTATGCGGCTTATGGACAGGAGACTACGGCGTGAGAATACGACATTTCTGTACTGTCGCATAGATGTAGTCGGATAATTAGCGGTCGTGGGGTTCAATCAGACGTTCCGTAGAGTTTTGTCAATGCACCAGTTACACCCTACACCCTCAGACCTCAATGACTTGAAATCCGTATCGAAAGAGGAAAATAAAGTGAAAGACCGCCAAGAGATCGACATTCTGCACCGTAAGATTTGGCCCACTTGGAACAGGGTCGTAAGCAGACAGGGACTAAGTGCCAGCGCCGGCGTAGTCCGGCGGAATCCCTGCCCTCTAATGCAACCGTTAATTAGTCTTATCTGAATAATGGATTGTTAAGCCCGTTTCAAATGAAGTCACCGGGCAGGAGTAGGCGGCCAATCGGCGATTTGTTCCCCTCGCGACATCTTTCCTCATGGTAGCGTGCTGCTTATCGGACTTTTGTTGCATTTTTTCCTGCTCTGTTTTCGGGAGTGTAGGCGATTGGAGATTATAGGTTTATTTCGTTGAATGATGAGGTCGGCGTCATATTAGACACAAAAGGTAAGCGAGAGCCAGAACCCTCCACTGTAGACTGATTACCGTGATCTATCATACAGCCACTCTAACATGTCGCTCGAGTCTCTAGCATCCACCATCCAGGCCAAATCGGCCCAGTTGGCCGGCATCGCCAAAGAGCATGGCTTCGAGGCCACGCTGGACACCAGCGCCGAGTTAACCAGCGTGGCTCCCCTGGCCGTTCGCAATGAGCTCATCCAGGCCGCGAAGGACCTGCTGTACCTGGCGTCGGGACCGACGGATCACGTCCTCGGCCTGGCCTGGTCGGTACGACTTACATCCCTAGCCCTAACTCACCTCAACTTCTCAGCCTTCACTGACACGATGAACAGGCCGCAGACACATCCAACATCGACCTTCTCACCCGCTTCGAAGTCCCTCAACACGTCCCTCTTACCTCCTCGATCTCCATCCCCGCCCTCTCCACCGCCACCAACCTCCCCGAAGACATCCTCTACCGCGCCACGCGCTTCGCCATCGCCAACGGCGTCTTCACGGAGCCCGCGCCTTCTGAAATTGCGCACTCCCCGGCGTCGCGCGCCCTCGCGACCACGCCTCACCTGCGCAACATCGTGCATTTCGGCACTGAGTTCCTGGGTAACATCCTCATGAAGATTCCCGAGCAGATGCTTATCCAGCGCGACGGCGCCGGCGTCGGTGATAAGGTCCCCGACACGGCGTTCAATCTGGCGTATCGGACGGATCAGAACTTGTTTGATTTCTTTGCCGGGTCGAAGGATCTCAATCGTAAGTATCATGAGTATTTGATGGGGAGGGTTAATACGCCCCTGTGGTCTATGGATCGCTTGCGTGCGGCGTGGGATTGGGAGCGGTTGGCTGGGGGGACGATTGTCGATGTATGTATTCCCCTCCACTCTATGGATACTAACAAGAAACATCTCTATCTCAGCAAGAAAGCTAACGAGAGGTCCAAACAAAATAGGTCGGCGGCTCATCCGGCCACACAGCGCTTACCATCGCCCCCCTGGCCCCAACCGCTACTTTCATCGTGCAAGACAACAACGCCGACGCGCTCGACATGGGCCGCAAGCTGATTCTCAGTACCGGCGACGCAGCCCGTCAAGGCCAGATCAGCTTCATGAAACATAACTTCTTCGAGGAGCAGCCCGTTGCCGCGGACGCTTATATCTTCCGTCATATCCTGCATGACTGGAACGATGCCGACTCGCTGTCTATTATCAAGGCGTTGGTTCCAGCATTGAAGGAAGGTAGTCGGGTGTTTATTTCCGAGGGGTTGTTGCCTGATCCGCCTGCGAAGAGGTTGAATACATTGACGGATAAGATGATTGTGTAAGTTTTTCTGTTGGTTTGTTTTAGTGGCTTTGGGTGAGTGTGTGCTAATAATGTTGAAACTAGGATCGAGGATCAGTTCATGTTGGCGGCGCATAATGCGCGCGAAAGGACCGTCGCGGACTTTGAGCGGATCTTTAACCAGGCGAGTGAGCGGTTCCGCTTGGTGGGCGTTACTTCCGGGGCGCAGGCTGGGGCATTTCAGTCGTTGTTGGAGTTCCAATTTCAGTGATTTTGTGCAGATGGTTGGATGATATGTCATGTTATGCTATAGTTATGAGGAATGAGGGATGTTTTGTTTGTTGGTTACAGATTTATTATGAGATGAGATGAATGAAGCTTTTAATACTGCTACTACTTTCTGTTCGGGCGGTCTTCTTCTATTCTACAAATAGAGTACCATAACATAGTCTATCCTAATCATGTTAACGGCAACGGAGGCCAGGCGGCGGTATCACTACCAGTGCTATGAGACTAAGATTAAACAAAGTGAGAGCTCTAGTACTAAAGATTGTAGGGACTTTAGTTTGGCTAAGAGACGCCGACTCATTCTTTATTTTCCATTAGGATATAAGTTATGCTCGGCTGACTTCTCATCTGTTACTCTACAATGTCCCAATAAAGGTTCATAGATGCGAACTTCACAAAACAGATTGAAGAAAGGGGATTTCGATTCAACAGTTCAAAAAATAAATTTAATCAGTATTCCAACTATATCAAAACCACTAATACACCCAACTCGTCTGCCTACAACTTATTCACCAACCCCCCAGTTCGCAACGGAAACCTCTCCCACGCTTCCTTGAACCCCGACCCACGAATAAAATCAAAATGCTTCGTTCCATCCATGGGCTTATCCGTACCCGAATCAATCGCCGCAATCCCCGCCGTTAGGAAAAGCCCCTGCTTCACCCGGAACTCCGGTAGATGGTCGTACGGCCGCGAGGTCTCCTCCGCGTGCGCCATGCACCGGATCAGCTTGCACATGTGGCCGTCGTCTTCGTGGTAGCAGGCGCGGTCGAACACCTCGTCCCATCCTTGATTGGGCAGCCGGGACGGGTGCGACGCCAGCCAGTCGAGTCGTGGCTCAGGGCTGCCTTGTCCCGCGTAGGAGAGGAGGTAGACCCGGCCGGTGTATTCAAGCAGACGAGCCTTTTGGGCGTTGCTGAGGGAGGGTTCAGCTAGGAACATGGTGTGTCCGATGCTGGAGGTGACGCTGTGCAGGAGGAAGAAGTCGAAGGCGCAGATGTGCGGTGGGCGCTGTGCGCCGGCGGTTAGATAGACTATCCGTTTTGGTCAGAACTCTCTTTTTTAGAGAGGAGGTGAAGACATACCAGCAGTGTTCTGCAACTCCGCCGTCGCCCGCTCCAAGTCATTCGGATCGACTCGATATCTCGCCGCCACACGCCGCAACTCCGGTCCTGCGTTTTTGAGCACCCCGTCTCGCGCCGGCTCGAGATCCAAACACATCTCGCCGGTGATTTTGCGCTTCTGCAAGTGGTAGTACAGGGTGGAGCAGTTGCGTATGGTGTCGTCCTGGCGCGCCAGGTCGATCAGGTCGCTGAGAGGCAATGCCGGCTCCTCCTCCTTCTTGGCTAGTTCCTCAGACTGCGTCAGGTACTCGGTATACCACCAGTCGTGGTGCACGGCGGCCTGAGCAAATCCCTCCGCCAGGAGTCGAGCTTGTTTGAATTCCAGCGCCATGCCGATGTGGATGATGCCGTGGACGTAACCTATACCCGTCAGTCCAATGCCATACTACTTCACTTCCCGGTTAGATATGACAGACCCATGTAAATCCGACACAGCATATCATCGGCAATCTCCGATCCATCAACCAGATACTTCTGCAGCACAGCCTGGTATCCAATCCGATTGATCTCGTCCTCGAAGAACCGACAGTAATTCAGAAAGTTCTCCTCGCGGCCCAGACACCGCTTGTACACGGCCGGGTCGGCCATGTCCTTCACCACAGAGTCCTGGATTACCATGGCCTGTCGCTGGTAGAGGCTGTTCCGGTCATGCTGGGATCGGATGGTCGAGGGATTGGCGCCGAGGGCCCAGATCGTGATGTCATGGTGGGCGATGTGGTTGTGGAAGTAGACCTACGCATTATTTCGTATCTTAGCAAGCCAAGCCGTGGAGTGGATGGGAAGGAATACCCCCTTGTGATCCTCCGTCGTGGTGAAGATGTGGTGGTTGGAGTGGTTCTCCTCGAGGACTCGTTCCAGCTCGCGCGTAGACTCGTCCGTGAGGTTTTTGGCGTGGCGCAGGCCAGGCGTTCGCTCGGGATCGAAGCGGAATTCAGAGGTGGAGGCTAATTCGAGCGCCATTTTGATTAACTTCTTAATTTTCAATCTGACCGAAATCTAAAGTACAGTTTGATATACTGGACTACGTGATCGGCTCTATAAGGACAGACGTTAAATACAAACAGGAGCGCCCGGCATCCGGCAATTCCATCCCATCCAGATTCGAAGTTGTTGAGCTTTCGTGAGTCTAGAATGTAGATTATCAGGCCATATTCTGTATAGAAAATAGTCGGCGAATTCATAATTCGGTTCGCATAAATCGGAGGGAGTTGATTGTTATGCATGATGCAGTCCGCGGCGATTACATTTTGTCCCCGGCAGACGATGATCGGCGGGAAACTCGCCGGCGAACCATTAGATGTGGATTAACAATCATTACTCAATTTCTTATATCGGCCTAAATATAGAATATGCGATCGGATCTACATCATCTCGGCTGTATTAATACTACATAATATCTCCTTACTTTGTTCACCTACCTTCTTATCTTGCCTGTACTTCACTACTCCCTCACGTGCCGAACCCAACCCTATCTCATCTCTACAATCTGCAAACACCATGTCTACTCCCAAATACCAAAAGCTCCTCAACAAACATGTCCTCGTCATCGGCGGCACCTCCGGGATGGGCTACGCCGTCGCCGAAGCCAGTCTAGCCTCCGGCGCGCACGTCACCATCTCCTCCTCTAACCAAGGCCGCATCGATGATCGCATCAAGCGTCTCCAATCCGCCTACCCAAACGCCCGCGTCAACGGCGTCGTCTGCGATCTCGCCCACGACACCCTCAAAGCCGACCTGATCAAGCTATTCGAGAAGGTCGGCAAGCTCGACCACATCGTCTTCACAGCCACCGAGCCTCCCAAGTTGATTCCCTACGAGGACATCACGCTCGAGTACTGGCGTACCGCGGGACAGATGCGTCTCTTCGCGCCGTTCTTCGTAGCGCATATCGGCGCCAAGTATCTGACTCCGAGCCCCGAGTCGTCGATCGTGCTCACGACGGGTACCTCGTCGGAGAAACCTATTGCAGGGTGGCCGGTCGTGGCGTCGTACGCAGCGAGTCTGAAGGGTTTGACGAGGAATCTGGCGCTGGACTTAAAGCCAATCCGTGTGAACATTGTCAGTCCGGGTTTTGTGGATACCGAGTTGTGGGATCATCAAGCTCCTGAGGCGAGGGATGGGCTGTTTGATTGGATCAAAGGGAGCGTGCCGTTACAGAAGGTCGGTACGCCCGAGGAGGTGGCGGAAGCGTTCTTGTGGTTGATGAAGGATACTAATGTAACGGGGAGTGTGGCGGAGACGAATGCGGGCATGAAGCTGTAGGATCAATTTTGGGGTTGTTTTCTGTGGTTTTCGTGTTTGAAAGTGTCTTTTGCCAATCTGATTTTAGGCTTTGTGGAGTATGGAATATAAGGTGTCTTTCTTTTAGTGTTGAATTGTCCACTCGAACCATGATGTAGATTGTTCACGAATCAATATCCCATGATATCTCTCCTATGGGTCTGGTTAGGGTAAACAGATGTCGCTTATCAAATCAGTATATCTTTCTGCCGAAGAAAATTAGTCATGTTCTCAATTGGTAAAACTCGCAAGGTTAAGTCTGGGATCGGAGTATTGGTGTCACTCGGCACTTTGAACTTGAATCGAGAAATGTCATAAGGTGGAGGTAATAACATGACTCTGTTCTCTTGCCCACGCTTGCTTCGACAGCGTGTAAGCTGTGGGTGTCAACGTAGCCAACGGGTTCTAGGTTTCCAAAGGATGAGAGATCTTCACTTCAGAGGCTTTGTAGAACATATGCCGGAGTAACCCAAAGAAGGGAAAGATAAATCAGGTAAAGAGTAATCCAAGGTAGAGTTGATCATTTCTGGGAGGTCATTGTGGGACGGTAGGTCGATCATCAGGATTTCGCGGCGTGCAATCCTGAGAGGACTCCACTACGCTTGGTTGGTAGGGGTGAATGTGAGAATTATGAGCTCTATCCTTATAATGCGATGTTTTCCAAGGCTTGGACTCTTGGTACAAAGTGGGGTTGAGTTAGTTCATGGGCAGCGAAAGGGTTTTATGTCTGGAGTATGGCGTAGACCACGATAGTTATACGGGGCATGCAGATCGCGTATAGGATGCGAGCAGGCAGACATGACTAGTTCTAGTGTCTTGATCTAGCATCACCATAGGTCCAATTGTCTCTCCGCCTCCAGATAGCTAAAATAAACAACGTGAATCTCTCCAATCGGGTCTGACGTTTCGCTCCGATCCGCCCGACATCGTTGGAATAAAGTGGACCCCGGGCCAATCCCATCGACGTCTAAACGACTATACGTCCATCGTACTCCAAACGAAGAGCGCAGCCTTGGCAGGTCCTTTGGGTGGCAGATTCTCCCCAAATCTGACATCAGTGCTGCTCGCATCGTTCATTTCACTGCGAGAAAATGTTTCTTTCTTTTTTTGTTGAAACTTGATCGCCTACCAGGACCACAAGTGCGTGGATTGCGCCGCTTGTTGGCCAATTGCGAGACCCAAGTGCGCACGATGGAGCCAGAACGCGTACATTCCAAGGATCAGGCAGATTACCAAAAATATGCATAGCAGTCTCTATCTGATCCTTTGTCTTAATGCCGGCTACGTATATCTCTTGGCCCTGCCCAGGGTCCATCAGACTTGGCAGTTAGCCTGCTCCTGTCTTATAAGATCCACCCCCTCTCCCTCTTTCTTGGAGGCTTATATCGGCGACAAAGTGTCGCACATCGCAGTTCTTTCATTCTCTGTGGTTTTTAGCGGTCTCTTAACGACTCATTGATCTTGCATTCTCACGAACTCAACGCCAACTAATCCAATCATAATCTCCCTCCTCAAGTCGGAAAATAGACAGGAATGCCGCTTCCAGTGAACTACAATTACTACCACTTCCACCCCAACAAGGTCGTCGGTATCGTTGCTACTGCCCTCTATGGAACCAGTGCCATCTTTCATATCGTGCAACTATGGCGTGCCAGGGCCTGGTACTTCCTGTCGCTGCTCACGGGCGCATTTAGTACGCTGCGCACCTCACTTCCCGTGATGAACAAACTCCATCTAACCAGTTCAAATAGTGATGACCCTTGGCTACATATTCCGCATCATGGGCGCCGAAGATCCGACCAATTTTGGGCCCTTCGTGGCGCAATCCGTCTGCATCGTGCTCCCGCCCGCCTTCTACGCCGCAACCATCTACATGACCTACGGCCGCATCGTCAACCACGTCGGACGCGACGACCTCTCGCTCGTGTCCGCCCGTAGAGTCACCAAGATCTTTCTTTGGGGCGACATCATCGCCATCATCGGCCAGTCCACCGGCGGCGGACTGACTCCCAACGGCGGCAACATGGCCAAGATCGGCGACGGGATCACGGTGGCGGGTCTGTTCGTGCAACTCGTCTTCTTCGGCTTCTTCCTCGTCGTAACTATCGTTTTTGAGCGCAGGATGCATGCCGAGGCGTTCAAGCGGCCGTATCCGAAGTGGTTAGTCCTCGTCTGGGTGCTGTTCTTCGTGGCGGCGCTGATCATCATTCGGTGCATCTTTCGCATTATCGAGTATATTCAAGGCGCGGAGGGGTATTTGGCTACTCACGAAGTGTATCTGTATATCTTCGATACGTTGCCCATGTTCGTCGTCCAGGCTATCTTTCATTTCTGGCATCCGGGGAATATTCTTCGGCCGAAGGAGCAGCAGGGGATTCCGTTGACGTCGCAGGGCACGGACTCGGAAGAGACGGCGTGAGGGCTATCAATTCCCCTCTGTTATTTTTTCTATTTCTCTGTTTTCTTTCCCAGTCGTGGTTCAACCCGTGGTGAGAACAAGGTCTCTCCGTTGTATAGATCATGAATAGGAGGATGGTTTCTGGCGATTCAGCGTGAAAGATTCTGTTATCTCAATTCCCTGCATTATCATGTCCTAGATTTACACTTGAAGAACATATTTCCATTTTGTTTAAGGGGTCAGGCCTTCGCACTCTTGAACACTAGTGCCAAAGCATCTTCTACTGAAGCCATCCTGATGCCTCAGGCACTAACTACTGGCTGCTGTTTCCCGATGAGTCAGCGGGAAGCTAACCACCCACGTGATAGTTCTGTCCAAATCCGGTTAGCCCCTCGGAACCGTCGGACTGTCGGACTTGCGAAGGCCGAGAGAATCACCTGATATCTTCGTATTTCACCGCGAGAAAACAAGCATCCCAGATACGTCTACCTCTCCGTACGTTCTACGACTCCCCTTCATCATGGCTGAACATCCCTCCTTCACCCTCGCTGCGCTTCGTAAGTTCCTCATTTAGCGTCGCACGTGCTGAATGTTGACCGAAAAATAGTACCCGCAGGGGGCATCGCTGGATATTTGCGGTCCGGCTCCGTGCCGTCCTTGGTCGCAGGTGTTGGACTCGGGGTGTCTTATGGGTTCGCTGGTAAGTGCTAGGTGGTCAATCACGTTTAATGTCATAGCGGTCTAATCGGAGCGTCAGGCTACTTGATCAAGGAGAACAAGGACTACGGCACCGAACTTGCTCTCGGTAACAGTGTTCTCTTGCTGGGATCTGCGATCCCGAGAGTCATCAAAACGGGAGGTAGAGCTCCTATGCCTCTGGCGCTTGCTGCGACTGGATCCTTGGCGGCGTTTTACTATCAGAAGAAGGTTCGGGAGTTTCGCTACGGAGTTTAAATCAAATAATCCGGAATTAATGTATACCCGGTGGCTCGTTGATATGATGAATGAGTGAGAGCTAGGAGATGAAGAATTGGTTCTCAATAAGCGCAGCAGGTTGGTATGTTGAACTTTGTACTGCTGACTTGGAAAGCTGTATACTGTTCTAGTGTCTCTCAGCTGCTCTCGCTGTCCAAGCATACTGTATTCTTATTGTATTTCATCAGCTTGTATTAAATCCGAATCCGTTGAGTGTATTTAGTCAATTTCCCTGGGCCGAAATCATCGATGAAATGCAACTTCAACAAATGAATGATGTTTCATAGGTTGTTAACGTCAATAGAGAGGCTGCATATCCGTCAAGAGTCCCCCTTAGAGCTGGGGAGATTCGACGCCATGTATTCAACCTCTATTCTGCTGGCTAAGTATGGACGAGCAATTGCCATACTCTCCCCGGTACCACGGCTCCCGAGGGTTCCGTGTCTGCATTTGCCATGAACAAGCTCTCCGCTGACAAAGCGCGTTTTTCTACCCTCAATAGGGCTGGCATTATATCGAATTTATAAATATGAGATGATTCCTTTCATCCAAAGCCGATGTGCGAAATCTTATTATTTTTTCAAACTCTATTTCTATCAACATGGCTTCCCTAGATTACTATTCTCTTCCTGGATTCGGCGACAAGTGTCGGAAGGAGTTCGGATTCAGTGACTCCTGCGTCATAGGAAATTGCATATTTACTACTGGTCAGAGTAAGTTTGTCAAACAGAAAAATTGCTTCTCCTGGCTTCTAACAACATATAGCCGGAATGGACCCCGTGACACAGAAAACCTCTCCGGTCTTCGAGGAGGAAGTCGCTCAGGCATTTTCCAATATCAACAATATCATCTTGCATACACTCAAGAAAGCCAATATCTCGTCCGACTCGAAACAGCAAGGCTGGGACCATGTGGTGAAGATCCGAGCTTTCGTCGTTGGTCTATCTAGCATCCGCGGAGAAGCCAGAGAGAAAATGGTGGAGAATATCAAGAAGTGGTGTCCCAATCACCAGCCATTGTTTACCATGGTCGGAATCGAGAGTCTGCCGTTTCCGGAGCATCATGTCGAGATTGAAGTTGATGCGTGGATTGAATAGCTGTCTCTATGGATAAGGCGTGGGAGACGCTCTCTGTACGGTTTTGCGTTTCAATTGGTCTTTCGGGCTCTTGGTGGAATTGAGAACATGGCTTTATACGTGGCTAGATTGTATTGCATCTTGTTCTACATCTCATTGAACTCCATTGTCTATTTGTGTATTGACTTCTCGTTCTATTTTCAATGTTTGAAGCCAATGTCGTGAATGTTCGCTGTGGACTGTATTATTTCCTTCCACTTTAGACAAGGATCTAAAGGAAAATTATCCTAAAGATAGCGCAAATAAATTAGCACATTAAAATGGCGGATCCTATATCTTTCCCCACTGCTGGGCTTAGTGTGAAACAAAAGAATATCTGGATGCTAAAAGCTATTCAAGACGCAACATAATATGAAATCCAGTTACAGAAAGATAGCCAAATTACCTAGCTCTGGAGCTAATAACACAATTTGTAACATTCTTATACATGCGATAACACTGGAAAGCTTTCTGCTCTGTCAAAATAATGTTTGGTATATACAGGGGTATGGGTTCGCATTAGATTGCTATTCTGGAACATGAGTGAAAAGGGACTGTAGTGGCTGGGTTGCCCCCCTTTTCAGTTTTTCGGGCGAAGAGGGGAAACAAAAAAAAACATTATGAACTTCCCTCACGATTTATCAATTTACCCCAATATATTTGCCTATATTGATAGCGTTTCTGGCTCTTTCCTGCTCCTTTTACTTTCTCTTGTTCTAGTTTGCAGACTGGGAAAGGCAACACTTGCGAACACCCTCTGAGAAAGCAATGCAGCTACCCGAAGGCCAAGCACTTGGGGTGAATACGAAGGAAGGAATGCTGCACGAAAGGTCAGCACTAAAGAAAATGATCGACCCTTGATCTTATATCACGTGCAATCAGCTACCTAATCCCCGAAGTCCGAACCGCATCTGATCTCTCTTTCTCTCTCTCTCTCTATCCACAACATGCGAGATCGGGTTCGTCGCCCCCTTGATTAGTCCTTGATTAATCATTATCAATCAACACCTAAATGAATAGCTGTCTAAAGCATATCTGACACAAAATCGGATCAGATCCCTGGCTTAAGATGCCATCCAATGAGATGACATCATCCAAAGTTCGCAGGGCGCATCGCAAGACGCGAACAGGATGCACTAATTGCAAGAGGCGCCGGATCAAGGTACTGTACCTAGTGGCTACAGAATGCCTATCAAAATCATCTCGCTTTCGTATGCCCATTGATTGTCTGATCCAGGTCATAGTGCGATGAACAAAAACCGTCCTGTTCCAAATGCCTCCAACGTGGCTTCAAATGCGGATATCTAACCCGTCATCCGGACTACGACTCACAATGCTCCAATGGCCACGGTGCCTCGCCCATGGTGGCACCGGGCACAGCGACAGATTCACCCCAGCCACCAGCATCCACGCATGAGCTGCCCATGAGGGAATTGCGACTCCTGCACCATTTCACCACGTCGACATACGCAACGCTCTCACCGCGTGGTCATGTCAAGACTATCTGGCGCGTCACGGTGCCCAAATTGGCCTTCTCCAGCGACTGTCTGATGCGCGCAATTCTGGCTATATCGGCGCTGCATCTCTCGCGACTCGAAGCCGATCTCGACTATCAGACACATGCTATCGCCTACTACGACGCTGCTCTTCGCTCCTCCACACTCGCCATGCTGAACATCTCGCCCGAAACCTGCTCTGCTCTCTATGTCTGCTCCGAACTCATCTTCATTTTCCACCTCGTCCATCCTTACCTCTCCGAGAATCCGCTCCTCTCACCTAGCAACGAAGTCGCCCCCTGGCTTGTTCTCCTGCGCGGGATCCGCACCATCGCTGATCCCTTCCACGATGCTCTCCTCTCAGGCGTCCTGGGACCCATGTTCGGCACTGAGCCTTCAACCCCGGACACCGTGATCATGGACTCGCTAGATACATTTACCGCTCATCTTCGCAAAACTCATCCTGAGCCTGACTCCGACAGCGACCTACAAGCGTATCTTGTCGCTATCGAGGAGCTACGACGCTGGTCCGCCGGCGTCGACGGCCACGGGTTCCAGTGGGCGGTTTATGTCGACGAGAGCTACATCTCGCTGTTGCGGCAGATGAAGCCCGCTGCGCTAGTCATCTTTGCGCATTTCGCGCGTGTTGTCAAGAAGTCTGATTCGAATTATTGGTTGCGCGGGTGGGCGGATCGCCTAGTTGGGGTAATTTATGGGACGTTAGATGAGAATCATAGGTTGTGGATACGACCAGTTTTGGAGGAAATGGGGGTGGCCAGGTAGACGGTCTTAAATTTGCACGTTAGATCTGAATTAGCGTTTTTCGGTTTTTTTGCAATGAGATATAATATGTTGGTCCAGCTCGTTCTACGCATGTGCCGCTAACATGACCGGACTTTTCGGAAACCCGAGATCGAGCTATGGGCTTGAGCTTAAACTTGACCTGCAGGTCTGATCTGCGCCTTCCAGCGTGATTAGCGTTTCGATCTCTAATCTGGACATCTAGATGTTGAACAATCAGGGAATTCCCGCTGGGGCAGCGCAAATTTATTTTCAGTTATAGTGATCCTATTCCTAGTAGAGAGACAAATCCACCATAATCTGTTTAACAGGGTTAAGTGATAAGTGGTGTTTGCCGGGAGAACGAACTAAAAAGAATTGGGCAGATCCATCATACCAACTCCCAATTCAACAGGCTCATTCCGCAGACAGCCAGTATCACAACAAGTTCTTCCTTAAGCATGACTCGGGAAAGTATTTCTGAGAACGATCTTCTAACTTGTATTGTGGAAGGTGGAGAATTTGAACACGAATTTCTGCTATCTTTTGTTCTGTCTCTTTTCCATTCTGTCTTTTTCATTCGCCAATTTCCTTTTTTTTTTTCTATTTTCCCGAACTTCAAGCGTGGCAATCAATATCAATAGAGACAGAATAACTCGAGCTCCCCAAATAGACTTAAGTGGCTTCGTATTTTTTCTCCGAGAGCACTTTCCGCCTATAAGTTCTCTATCCAATAAATCCGATCCCAACGATGGACTTAACACATGCAAAATGTTATGTCACTATACATCATCCTGTCTTTCAGTTTATCTACTGTGGCCAGAGGATCCTGGTGGTATGATGTCTGACCCGACCCTTGGGTCTAGAACTAAGTCACATCTGTTGGATTCAGAATTTCCATTCCTGATGGATGGTTGGAATGAGCTCCGACTACGCCGAACCTTGCAAACTTCCTACCGTATTCTCAGCTAACTATTTCAAAGTAATATTCTATATCCGCCCGTCACTCTGGTCTCGAATATACTCGAATCACCACTCATATGGCGTATTCCAACATCAAAATATCTGCTGAGCCCATCCGCCCCTTCGAATCTCTCATCCGCTTCTAGGTCGCTCTCGTTGGCGGCAAAAATGCCTCCCTCGGGGAACTTATCACAGCTCTTACGGCCCAGGGTATCTCAGTGTCTTCCGGCTTTGCCACCACCGCACACGTCTATCGGCAGTATGTGCTTGCCAATAACATTCAGTCCGCGATGGCGAGCTCCATCGCCGACTGGCAAGCCGGAAAAGCGATCCTCTCGGAGACAGGGACCGCCGTGCGCCGACTTTTTTTGTGCGGGAACTTACCCGACGAGTCTGCGCAGGCCATTTTAGGCGCGTATCGAGAATTGTCCGCGAAGAATGGGTTCGCGATCTCAGCGTCGCAGTACGGTCGAGCGCCACGGCTGAGGATCTCTCTGATGCGAGCTTCGCGGGACAGCAGGAGTCGTATCTGAATGTGCGCGGGGAAGCGGAGGTCCTGGATGCTTGTCGGCGGTGCTATGCGTCCTTATTTACGGATGGGGCGATCAGTTATCGTCAGACGCAGGGGTTCGATCATATGAGTGTTGCGCTGTCGGTGGGCGTGCAGAGGATGGTGCGTTCGGATGCGAGTGGTGCTGGGGTTATGTTCTCGATTGATACCGAGACCGGGTTTGATAAGGTCGTCTTGATCAATGCCGCTTGGGGGCTCGGTGAGAATGTGGTTCAGGGGACTGTGACTCCGGATGAGTATCAGGTGTTTAAGCCGTTGCTGGGCGATGAGAAGTTGGTTCCTATTATGGAGAAACGGTGTGGAGTGAAGGCAATGAAGTTGATATATGGAGGGGCCGGAGGGGAGGGCACGCGCAATGTTCCGACGTCCAAGGCTGAGCGGGCGGCGTATGTGTTGAATGATCAGGATATTCTGCAGCTCAGTCACTGGGCGTTCAAAATTGAACGACATTACGGATGTCCGATGGATATCGGCATCACCGGGGAGCTGTTCATCATGCAGGCCAGACCCGAGACGGTGCATTCTCGTCGTGATGCTGCCATGTTCAAGACATATACAGTGGCACACGTGGGCCGTACGCTAGCAGGTGGTCCATCAGTGGGTAATGCGGCTGTCAGAGGTCGAGTCCGTCTCATCGAAAGCGTACAAGACATGCACCGATTCATCGACAGAGCGGTACTCGTCACCCGCAGCACCGATCCGGACTGGGTGCCCATCATGAAGCGTGCTGCAGCCATTGTGACTGACCTTGGTGGACGCACATCGCACGCAGCGATCATCAGCCGCGAATTGGGCCTGCCTGCCGTCGTGGGCAATGGAAATGCCACCTACGTGCGGACGCCACCGTGTCCTGCGCCGAAGGCGACGCGGGCTTTGTCTACGAGGGGCTATCCCAAATCACCACGCAGACAGTGGATTTACTTCTCTCCCCTCCGTGCGCACCAAAGTTATGCTCAACCTAGCTAACCCGGCCGCTGCCTTCCGCTGGTGGTGTCTTCCCTGCGATGGCATCGGACTGGCACGCATGGAGTTCGTCGTCACCAACACCATCCAGGTGCATCCCAAGGCGCTGGTCCGCTTCTCCGAGCTCAAAGACGCTGCTGCCAAAGCTGAGATTGCCCGCCTGACGGCCGCATACGATGACAAGCATAAACCCGACTGCTTCGTCGACAAGTTGGCGCGTGGGTTTGCCGCCCTCTGCGCCGCAGTCTACCCACAACCCGCTATCCTACGGTTCAGTGACTTCAAAACGAACGAATACGCGCGTCTGATCGGAGGTGCCGAGTTTGAGTTGCATGAAGAGAGCCCCATGCTTGGATTCCGCGGTGCCTCACGGTACTACTCACCGCGGTACAAAGAGGGATTCGCGCTAGATCGTCGTGCGATTTGACGTCTCCGCAACGAGATGGGCTTCATCAACGCGGTGGCCATGATCCCGTTCTGTCGGACCATCGGAGAAGCGAATAAGGTGCTGGCTGTGATGGCGGAGAATGGACTAGCACGCTGCCAGAACGGACTGCAGGTGTACTTGATGTGAGCGATCCCGTCAAACGTCATCCTGGTCGCCGAATTCGCCGACTGCTTCGACGGGTTCTCCATCGGGTCGAACGACCTGACGCAGTTGACCCTGGGGATTGATCGCGACTCAGACGAGTTGGCGGATCTCTTTGATGAGCAGAACGTGGCCATCGAGAGTATGATTGCGCGGGTCATTGAGGTCGCGCGTGTGAAGGGGTGCAAGATCGGGATCTGTGGACAGGCGCCCAGCGATCATCCAGTCTTTGTACGGTTCCTGGTTAAAGCAGGCATTAATTCGATCTCAGTGAGCGCAGACAGCTTTGTTACGGTGAAAAGGCAGTGGTTGCTGCTGAGGGAACATAGGATTAAAGCGTAGGATGGATAGGTTGTCAATTTGCTAGCCCTAATTACCTTCAATATAACATTACCGTTTCAACCTCACAGCTATCAAAAAGACCTAGTAACCCTCTCTAATCTTCTCCATCGTCCCCCTCAGCGCCTTTACCGACCGATCCAAATCCGCCCGTTCCTCAGCACTCAAGGACATCTCAGTCGTCCTCACGATTCCTTTCCTCCTTATCACCGCGGGCAAACTATAACAGCAACCTGACTCGGCCTGGAAATGGCTCACCGGTCTCACATCCTTCTTATCCCAGAGTACCGATGAACAGATACTTGCCACAATCGCCCCAATCCCTAACGGTGTCGCACCTTTTGCCTCGACAATCCTCTCCGACCGTCGTCTGCACTCCATCGCTAGCGCCGCACGATCAATCTCCACGCCTTGGTTGTCTGATTTACTCGCAAGTGCCCTATCCAACGGTACGCCTCCAACTGTTGCTGTCGACCAAGCAGCAACCTGCTCTTCACCATGCACGCCCACGACATACAGATCGATCGAGCTAGCCGCCACGGAAACATGGTCCGCCACCAGGCCGCGGAGTCGCACGGAGTCGACGTACGTTCCGGACCCGATAACCTGTGACGGCGGTAGTCGCGACATATCGACAGCCAGCGAGGTCAATAGATCGACCGGGTTTGCCACGATCAGGATAATGGCGTCCGAGCGGAAGGGACGCATGGCGTCGATCACGTCGCGCAAGATGTTGATGTTATGGTAGATGCGTTGCATCCTGGTTTCTCCTATTCACAGTCATCAGGAAGTGACCATCCTCAGACACTCTCTCCCCTCATCCAGCAGGTTACTTGAATGAAGACACTTAAGAAACTTACCACTCCAGAAGTTCGACCCCGCTGTGACAACTACAATATCGCACTGCCCGGCCTCATGGATCGTGGTCGCGCGCACCCGCGTGTTACTGTTGCTGGCATACGCTACATCGGAAAGATCGCGTGCTTGGGCGTCTCTTAACGCAGATTTCACATCGACGAGGAGGATTTCTCGGGCCAAAGAGCTCAGGATGAGAGCGTAGGCTGCGGCGCCGCCGACTTGGCCGACTCCGACGATGGCGATTCGCGGGAGCATTTTCAGTCTTCCTTTCTTACTTCACTTTGCGGTTGGTGAGTAGATAACGATGTAGGAGCTATACGTTTTCCGACTGCTATCCAGACGTTTCTGGCATTTTGACTGAGATGAAGAGCTCTTGTCACCTATGTAAATCAAATCCCTTCCACATGGCCCTCATTGGATGGGATTGAACAATGAAAGAGGGGCCAGCCACCTGCAGCCTCTTGCATCATTTCAAATCTTGGGATATTTCAGCCACCTGAGGAGGGGGTGTCGCATTATTTTATCATCATGACCGGTGTTGGTCGGTAGTTTGACCCACCCTCTGTTAGTCGGGGTCGAGTCCGTTTCATACTTTCTTCATTCCATGGTAGGGTTATACATAGAATCTGCCGTAGCCAGCAAGGTAGTTTGTAGTATCAGATAATTTTACTAGAATGAAAGAAAAAAAAATTTTTTTCTCATGATTCTAGGCCTGGCCTTTCCTTTTTGTTTCGATGGGACTGTACGGTCTTACCCAGGGTGCATTAGCTTATGGTGGGGGCTTGTTAACGGGCCAGGGTAGTTAGAGATTATTTAGGATTATTAGGAAATATGAGATTTTTATAGTATTACTTTTTGAGCCTATCTTTTTATTTATCCTTAATTAAAGTAGTTGGGAGTAGTTAGAGTAGTTAGATTAGTTAGAAGTTGAAAAGGCTATCAAGATAGAGGTAGTGTAGTACTAATAAAGGCTGTCCCGGAAAACCGATCTGGGCTGTCCTGTTAAGAAGCCCCTCCTTATTATGGCCGCGGGAGATTACTGAAGCGATTATATCATCGGCCTGCTTGACCGCCGCCTTCGAAAGGCCTTGAAGTTTTATGCGCACCTGGATTGGCATAGGGAAGATGAAAGCATTGGTCCTGTACAAAGACATTAGTCGGTTGCAGGAGTTGATAAAACGACATTGGGTTGAAGTACCAAGTTAGTGTGTATCAATCACAGCCGGAAGCTTGCAGGGACTCTGCTCCATGCTATTTATAGAGTTCTGTTGCTTTCACATAGAAGAGGGAAACAAAAACGCAGAAAGTGAAACGTGAAGGTCTCACAGACACAATGAGTCAGCAGAATTAACAACAAAGACCGTTGTCAACAAAGGGACGTGGCAACATCCTGACCCTTATAATCCATCGTAACCCTCATCATCCATCGGGCAAAAAAACTGAGAAAGCAACCGCAACAATGTCGTCACGGGCTATGTGGACGTGCGATGTCGATGGCTGTGTCAAGCCCGCCGTCCGTACTATTGGAGACTGTCTTATTTGTAAAAGCCATCTCTGTGCCAAACATGCCAGCCCCGAATATCATCATTGTCCTAGATACGAGGAGATGAAATGAGAATACATACACTCTGGGTGCTTCCAAATGCTAACCCCTGGCCATGTAGGAAAATGACATATATTATGCACTAGCAAAAGAAGTAGAACGAGACGAGATCAACGAGCTCATCGCCCGGATCGACACCTCCGCCCTCCTTTCAATTGCTAGCCAGCTGCGCGACGGGGTTCCCTGCTCTCTTCCACAGCCTCCGGAGTATGATGAGACATTGGTGGGTGGCATGAACTACCATATTGAGATCGAATTCGAAGACGGGGTCTGCTGGATGGCTCGTATTCGGCGGGTTAATGCCACATCGCCGTCACCAGAGCTTCGCACCTTTATCATGCAGAGTGAAGTCGCCACCCTCAAGTTTCTGAGCAAAACAAAGATCCCAGCCCCCCGTGTCTTCCATTACGACTTCGATCCCGGGAATCCAGTCGGTGTCGGCTATATCTAATGGAGAAATTGCCGGGACAGCCACTAGAATGGCATTATTGCTCGGTGGAACAGCAGCACAGGCTCATAGATCAGCTAGCAGACTTTTACGTGGAACTCGCGAAATACCCCTTCGAGCTGATGGGCTGTTTGGATGAGCCAGGGACCAGTCATATTGGGCCCTTTGCACGGGAGCCCTTGACAGACTTCGTGAAATCTAAAATCTCTCCAATCGGACCGGTGACCAGCCGGAAAGATTTCAACGTCTCCAGCGTGTTACTTACCATGGATCTCATCCTGAGGGAGGAGGCCTTTACCGACCGACCCATTGATGGATTCCTAATCTACCGGTTCCTCCTTGACTGTGCCCAAAAGATACTCTCCCGCAACGAGCCCGAGGATGGAGAGTTCTATCTTCGATATGCGGACGATAAAGGCACCCATATACTTGTTGACGAGGATTGCAACATCACCGGTATAATCGACTGGGAATGGGCCCATACGGACACGCGATCCGCGGCATTCAGATCCCCGATGCTCGTTTTGCCCGTTTGTGACTTCTTCAATGGAAAGAGTGAGCTTGGGGACAACGAATTGCTTCTGGCCAAGTCATTCGAGGCGAAAGGTCATCCTGAGCTTTCCCAAGCGGTGCGAGACGGACGGGCTCTTCATTTCTTTGAGTTTTGCTGCCGATATGACGTTCCAGAATGGCGCAACTTGATACGTCTGTTTCACGGTCTTCGTAGGACGGTCGGCATAGATGGTGAGTTGAAGTGGGAGGAATGGAAAAAAAAGGCCTTGAAGCAGTGGAGGAATGATCATCAGTTGCAGGAATTGCTGAGTCGACATCCCCGAGGCCGCGCGAATAGAAAGGCCTGATGGGATCCACCTCATTCATCGGGCTATTCTTCATTCCTCTGGTTTTTTCGGTCTTGGTGTGATTTCCTTTTTATTTTGCAGTACTTCAGAAACAAAGGCAGAAAGAACACAAGCAGTGGGGCAGATTCACTTGGATACACATGGGTCCTGCCGAAGTCATGCCTGTCACTTTTTACATTTGTCTCTTTTAGCCAAGTATGTGCCTTCAAATTTCAACCGAGTCTCCATGGTCTAGTTGGTGTTATGACGGCGGTCTCATATTCCATATATGACAGCTTTAAAAGAGCTGGTTATCCGCAGGTCACGAGTTCGATCCTCGTTGGAGGCAGGTCTTTTTTGTTTTTTTGCCCTGACGAACTGATCCCATGCTCAATTTTGGATCCAACTTTGATTTAGAGTGATATTGCAATGGGTTTTCTCTAGTTATTCGTTGTTTTTAGCTTCTCGTTCCCGTATTCATCTCGTATTGGTGGGCTGTTTCGGATGAATGGATGCCCACGACTTCCTAAACCCAGCTACAACAATTCAAGGCGAATGTGGTCTATTGTCATTCTTTTTTTTTTTTTTTCCCCATGTGGAAGGTAGATATAGTAAAGGCTTACGCATCAATTTCTCTGTCCCGGATCGTGCTCATGAATGTGCTGAGGGAAATCTGCCAGTCCACTGCTCTCTCCATATTGGAAAGGTCTTGTCATAATTAGGGCTACGATATAAGTCAGCCGATCATCCATCCTTCAATATATCACTGCCTCTGAAGTCCGATGGAGTCGAATGGGCATTAATGGTTGCAGTGTATGCTTTTGAACATATACCGTCGATCCTGTACCTCTGACGACTATGGTCGGGTCTGAATTTTTTCCACTTCAATTTGCCCAAACAAACACATGTGGTAGACGCTCTTCTTCAATACACTTGATGAACTTGTCTCTTCCATCCCTTCAAGTCGAATAATCCCTGGGAACACCGCAGTGTAGATTCTGTGAAGGGGTGCAATGCGTGAGTTCTCACCGAGCACATCCTAGGGGCTTCCATTGTTTCTTGAATCTTGATTAAATCTCCAACTGAAGCTAGCAAAGCTCTCTATATAACTTGTAGTTCTTTTCATACCTACTGGCATTGGACTATCGCCAAATTCCAACTCTTGCACTCTCCGTGGTAGGCACTCCGTAAGCCAAGCGTCTCGTGAACAATCTCCACTGGTATACTCTTTTTGACCCCGCCTTTCTGCAAGCACTTCGGTTGTCTCTTCCTGTATTTACAGGATCTTTGCAGAAATCCATCCGCAATTTGTTCTAGCTCTATATAGTCAAAGCGAGCGTATCTGTCTTTATGTCAGTCTCCATGGTCTAGTTGGTGTTATGACGGCGGTCTCATATTTCATGTATGACAGCTTAAAAGGCTGGTTATCCGCAGGTCACGAGTTCGATCCTCGTTGGAGGCATTTTTTGGATTTTTGGTCTGATTTCTTGCTATCTTGTGTGTTGACGCGAGTTAGTGGGAGCAATGAAAAAACCATATTCCAGTGCCAAGATATTGTGGGCGCTAGGCTTCTTCGGGAAGGTGGGAACTGTAATCTTGTGAACTGGTGGAGAGCCTCCGTCATCTTCAGTGTGTTCAGGCCTTAGACCTGAGACTATCTCCTTTTTTCCACCGCGAATTAGAAACTCGGGTGCTTAATATTTTGGCAGTTCTGGGAAGATGGGCATTATTCTCTAGTTCATTATTGATATAAATAATTCATTCGTTTGGGTTGTTAGACTTCATACGCTATCCCGGTAAGACTATATATATTTTGACATCGCGAAAACCTGCTCCGTCAGGCTAGTAAATGTGCTGGGAGCAGGATAAATACTGCAGCCACCAAAGCGAAAACCAAAAAAAAAAAAAAAAAAAAAAGAAAAACGAATGAAAAAAGGAACGAGCTACAGATTGTTCCAATTACCAAAGAAGCACAGTAGACCGATTGATGGAGGGAGGAATCCCCCTCTACACGCAAAATTATATACACCAAGGATCGTCGAGGGGGTGGAATGAGCGAAAGAATTGACAGCCGCACCCCAAGCTATGATATATACATGATCCGCCTATCTCAGTATGCCAAATGATAGGTCTGCCGTGCTACTAGGTAGGGACAGTGTCGTCGTCTCTTCGGTGGATGTTCTGGATGCCCGAGACACTGTATACTCGACCCCGCTATGGCAAATTCAATTATACAAGAACGAGAGACCTTTTGTCCCTAAAAGTCCGTACGTATTACATCTATTCATCAATCTAAGCCCAATAACCTTCACCATACCGGTAGCTTCTTCTGTGTCAAAGTAGTTGCCCCCGTCGGCGGATTCATCATCGCTGCAAGGGGCATGAGCATAAAGCAAGGGCTGGACATAACCCTGTAATTACCGGCTATTCTTCAACAATGGCTGGGTGGCGCAATGGTAGCGCGTTGGTTTTCGGTTCTTCCTGATTCAGGAAGGGTTTGATACCTACCAAAGGCTGCGGGTTCGAGCCCCGTCTCAGTCATTCTTTTTTACCCCGTTCATTTCTTGCCCGCCACCACTAAGAGAAGCTGTTTTCTTCCGTTCTCGCTATATTAGAAGTCAATTTGCTCTTTTTATCCTGGGAAAAGATGTATGTCTGCGAGAAAATCGCGAGAACATGTCCTATTGTCCATCTTACGTCTTTCCAGGGTCATACATACTAGTAACCATGGACAGATAGCATCCTTCCTCTCATGTGAGGGGTGGTCACTTTCTCATCTGCAAATAACAAGGATACCCACGGTAACCATGAGACTCATCTACCGAGCATAGCCCAGGACAAGAAACCTGCCCAATGCTCATGCACGGAGAATACCCCCTGATTATCTTGTTTAGTCTCGGATGTTCAATGATTTGGCCATCTACCCCAGCTTCCTTTGACACCAGGACTATTTGAACTCGCTCCGAAACCTCAACCGAATGATTAGAATAGCATATCGCTGGTTCTTTCAGGTACCCCGAGAAATAATTCTGGCCCAAACACTAAACATCATTCCACCCAAGGTCATTACGAAGGTACAGAAACGCAATTGCCATCCCTGGACGAAGGACTATTCTCATCTTTTTTTTTTTTTTTTTCTTTTTGCCCGGTGACTTACGACTCGAAACACATCAGCAGAACCTGCAAAGAAAAACATCGCAGAAGCCGAGGGAGCCGCAGCCACTGATATAGGGATGAGTGTAAGTGACGGAAGGACCTGGTAGTTACACTAAGTCCTAGTCATGACATCCCAAGGGTTCTCAACAATACTGGCTATTATTCGGCAAGAGGCCCCTATTTGCTCGAGAGAAAAGCCCAAATCAGTCACTGGTAGGACAGGGAGGTAGCTGCGTAAAAATGTCCTGGTGGAAGGCCTTCTGAGTCCCTGTTCCCTGTGCGCGTAACAGCAATGCTGCGATAGCATGTCACAGCTACAACCCTACATTCTTGACAGTTGATTCCCACTCTAAATCCGTAAATCCGACCAAGGGGAAAAAGGCCAGCTTTGGTTCACTCCTTGTAACCTGGGGCCTCTTTGCAAGACACTCTCTTAGACTACGTTTATAGAAAGAGGCTGAACAGAAACGTTCCTTTGTTCTAGTCAGAGGAAACCACTAGGACCTAAAGAACTCGTGGCGTTCTGTCGAGAGAAGCCCAGGTGCGTGAATGCCTTGTAAGATAAATGCCTTCGATTTCCATCATTGATTAGCCACCTACGGATACCTGAATTCTGAGGGATAAGGACCAACTATGACGCTAGTAAACGCAGAATGTCCCCTGGAGAAAACCTTGCCAGGCAGGCCCGGGAGTGTAGAAGACCGCGCAGGGAGCGGTTTGCTGGGTTGCATCAAGTTAACGCACCTGATACCCGCCAAGATCCAAGTTGATGAGTCAATTGTAGCTGGAGAAACTGATTAGAAAAACATATATTAGCCTCGGAGGAACCAGACGATCAATCGGAGGAGCTTTGAGAAGCCTCCCAATCAGTGAGCTATGGAAGGTAGCGTGGAGGAAGATAGATATGCCGAAACAGGAAGAGGAGGAGGTAACATGAATACCCAAGTTAGATTTCCTCAGAGAGTGAACTACTTCCAGTTAATAACGAGAAAGATGTGTCATTTATCTATGCATGATGTTGTTGCGCTGAATAAAGCCAGGCTCGCTCTATAACTACTAGGACATGGCCTCCTATAGTTATATTTCCTTACAGAAATGGGCAAGGAAAACAAGTTAATGCTTAGCATATAACCACATGTTCAGGTTGTTCTATGTAAACCAGGTGGGCAAAAAGTCAAAAACGCCAAAAGAAGATCGAGAAAGCAAAAAAGCATGCCTCCAACGAGGATCGAACTCGTGACCTGCGGATATCCAGCTCTTTTAAAGCTGTCATATGAAGATATGAGACCGCCGTCATAACACCAACTAGACCATGGAGACAACTGGATAATGTGAACCGGCAAAATAGTGAACTCAGGGCGCAATGGATTAGGATCATGCCGCGACAAAAAAGAAATGCCTCCAACGAGGATCGAACTCGTGACCTGCGGATAACCAGCCTTTTAAGCTGTCATATATGAAATATGAGACCGCCGTCATAACACCAACTAGACCATGGAGACAATTTGTTGAGGAAAGCGCAAAAATAACGCAATATAGCCAAGCATTAAGCTTCATGCCTGGACCTTCAGTGGTTTCCGTGACTCCGTCTCAATCTCTGCGGCCCCGAGTACAGTGGGCACGCTCGAGAACTATTAATCGCTGTTCTCTTTGAAGTTTACGTCCCGTCGGTCAAGAAGGTTAGTAACAGAAAGGAATACCTTGATTGCCCAAACCAATAAACGATAATGATGGTCTCGACAGGTATCTATAAGTTGAAAATGGGCTTGGCAAAGAGCTGATTAATCTGCCGATATAACTATATGATGATGTTCCAACGATTGAGGGTTTTATTGCATTCCAATATACTGCAAAAAGAAGCCGATATTTATCCAATCTCAGAGTCTTCGAATAGACAATGAACTGAGCGGAATCATACGATTTAGGCTACACAATCGTATGGTCAATATCGATTGGTTGAGCAAGACGATGAAAGAATCGCTGTCAGTCCCGCGGCCATAGATGTGCTCATCAGGGAAGCACATACCTCGTCGATAATGGGGATCCTGCAACCCATATGAGTTGGGTGGAGCTGGACTTGCTCTTGAAGGAGAAATACCCGGGAGTCGATCAGCACGAGGCCTACCAGAAACTTTTCAACGATGCAGCCAGCGAATGCCCAGAGGGCTTGAAGCGGATTTGCGCTGAGCCAGGCGCCTTTGCGACAGATGGAGTCCTATGGGTATCTGGCATATGTCTTGGCCGACCAGATATACAAAAGCCGAATTCGTCCTAAGCTCTCATTCTGCGGAGAATGCCATTTCCAAAGCTCAGCAGATATGGAGTCCCACCATGTCCGAGCCGATTGCGTCACGCCCTTCTCTTGCATCACCGCTCACTACCGAGGCAACTGCTGCAGCAGGTGCCAGTTTACCCAAAATGACCACAAGCCTACCCGTCCATTCGACACAGAGCGTTATACAACCCTGCAATGGGGCCGATATCGTCAATAATTCCCTCGTCGATCATGTTATCTACTATGAGCGATGGAAGCTGGGGATCGCGGCCATCCAGCTTGCACAGAGAGAACGGGTATATCAAGAAATTAGAGTGTATTGAGCGTGAGCTTATCGAGAGAGATTCTCTCACCGTCTCCGGTGCCACTGGACCCTATGGCTTTGCTCAGCCAATCCACGATTTTATTATGCGGAGTATCCAGAATACCGATGGTGGTGACAGTACTAAGCGTGATGGTCATCGCTTCTTTGTCTTTCACCCTGACACGACTTGATATGGAGCATTCGAGCGACTGATCAGACACAAGCCTCTTCCACCTCAGTTCCGTGCCAAGGCAGAAAACTTGGACAAGCTTTGCCAGTTCATGTAGGAATATAGGCAAAAGCTCGTGGAGAAATTGGACCAGAGTAAAGAAGTTGTTTTTCACCTGCTTATTCCCACCTGGTGCCCTATCTCCTACCCAGAACCATTGCATTTCCCGGAATCCCTGTACCCGTTACAGATCAAGGGAGAGACATACAAAGGTAAAGAGCTCGTGACATTCAACCTTCCAGCAGTGCCTGACGGGATCTTGCACGGGATTTCAAACATTCTAGACCCTGGTAACTGGTGTAAGAAAGCAGAGACAGTTTCAGGGATTGCAATAGAAGCTGCAGTGGGCTGGGGTATCAATGGGGCCTGTCTCGCCGCAGGTCTCCTTGCGGGGGCCGTGACCGGATTAGGGCCAATTGCCATGATTCCAGTCTGGACAGCTGGGTTTATTACAGCTAGCTCAAAATGGGGACTATCAGTAGACGACTTCATGGAGGCGAATATCCATAACAATCTATGTGAAGAAGACCCAAGAGTGCTAGGATCCACTGAGCGGCTCCATATTCCAAAGTGACAGAGACTCCGGGATGGAAAGGACAAAGGATCTTTCATGCCAATGATTATTCCAGCTTTTATTCTTTCCTTCACAAGAATGATCAGCCATGTTTTTGTCTCTAATTAGGCCAATGCAGGAATGCATCCGTTTGTGACTATGCTCGTGATACTTACGGAGTAAGGCACACAATCTCTCAGTATCGGATAGTCCTTTTCGGGCCTCTAAGATAATTGACAAGAAGCAGGATCCGGGCATTGCTTCTAACGTTTATAGGAGACAATAATAGCCAGACACTGTTATCATGGGTTATAGAGAGTCGGCCAGACTGATAGGGCAGCATCAACAGGGTATTAAGACAGTGAGGTCTTAGCCCTGATGTGCCTGGAGACATGGCAAAAAAATTGCCTCCAACGAGGATCGAACTCGTGACCTGCGGATAACCAGCCTTTTAAGCTGTCATATATGAAATATGAGACCGCCGTCATAACACCAACTAGACCATGGAGACGATTGGTTGAACCGACCGGCAAAATTATGCACCATAGTCCTAGCTAACCAGATCAGCACATGTGGTCGTATACATTGACAAACTCACCGGCCATAGACAGATTCCGCTATATGTTCTCGCGAAGCCCAGTTATTATTAGTGAAAGCCAGTCCAAAAAGAATAGTCTTAGCTTCGGAATTGCCTTCGTCCATAGAGGGGCAAGGGTGACTCTAGCCCCGGGAATCTAGAGAGTATGCAGCCACCTTTGTGGCCTATGAAAGCGCATTCATGGGACAGAAGGCGCTGAGATACTGGATAGTCAAACGGTAGGAGAATGCGGGGGAATAAAAGGTGCCCAGGCCGAAGACAATGATATCCTCAATCAAAATATTGTGGGTGGTACAAACAGCGGGTTTCTCCTTCTTTGGTGGACCCGAATGTATAATTACTGCTGTATCTTACAAGCTGCATTCTTTTGCGACATCTGCTGGTACTTACTAGCTTGGTAGGGTATGACTAAACAGGCAAGCATAGTGTTACAGGATATACCGGCGGTCACGGACGAGGTGGGGATTGGGAAGCTGTCATACACAGCGCAGGCTGTCCTTGGTAAGTCCTTGTTTCCTCACCACGTACTTAGGCAGTCTACTGAGCCTCTATAGCAACGATGGTCTACTTAAAACATCATATCCTACACGATTGGCCCGACGCTGACTGCCTCTGAATTCTGGAGCAAGTAGGGGTGGCCATGACCGCGCGATACTCGAAGCTCCTTTTGCACGAAGGAATTCTACCGGATCATAGAGTGTCTCAATTCGAAGTATCGCTTGACTTGCCCATAATGGCTTTTGATGGGAGGTTGGAACGCACAAAGAAACAGTAGCAGGAGCTGCTGGCCTAGGCTGGACCTTGGGTGGGGAAGTTTTGGGAGGCAATTGATGAGGGTGGGGATGGCGTTGTGGAGGCAATGAAGATATAGGGAGGTCGTCTGGGACCTTATTGATTTATCGACTCGCTTATTCAAAGGTACCGTTGGTTTTCCTTGTCGTATGTTTTCAGGAGAAGTTTTACGGCCAAGCAGGTGCGGCGCCGAAAGAATGCACTCTTTCGCCCCAGTAGCTCCAATAACATAGGTGCATACCACTTGCACGTAAAAAGCACCAGACGGCTGCAGGTAATTGATTCTAGGGTGCATTAAGCTCTTATTGAGCTTTATTATGCTATTTGACATGCATTGGTAGCAAGGGATCAAGCCTTTCTGTTGGCTGAAGGAATTCATGTGTATCACAGAATTTGAGATTTAGGTATCGAAGGTCGAGACCTATGACAGTGAATGAACGAATGAAGGAATGAAACATTGCTGATTGTGCTACTTGTGTAAGTGTTCGTGGCTGCACGGAAAATTCCGATTCCATAGCTCTAAGAAGATTTGATTCATTGGACAAAATGAGCATCGAGGGACTGTTGTGTGTTCCTCCATTCAAAAGAAAGAATATAAAAGCAGGTTATCCCTATACGACCCCTTTCTCCAAGGTAGAGCCCCATCTCTATCCGCAATATTCTTCACACACAATGACTGACTCCAAATACCGACCGGTGCACTCTCCCGAAGGTCACCAGCATAAACACCTCACTTTCCGATTGAGTCCTTGGAGATTCACCCTGCTCTTTATTGCTGGGCTCTCCTGCCTCTACCTATTGCTGTTCACAACCCAGCGCATCCTGCTAGACCGCGAACTCAAGGACTGCGGTAGGTTTCCATCTGTCCTGGATAGAGTCGCCTCACTTCCCATACCTGATACTAGAGTAACCTCTCACTGTGAAACCTCAAGTCAAGGCAACCAAGTCAACCCACACCCATCATGCTCACCTCAACCCAGCTAGGATCCCTGTCCTGCGCACTACCTGGAAATGTCCCATGTGGAACATACCCTATAGACTATCGAATCATAGGGACGCCAACCCCGTATAAGCAGCCATTAACCGACACACGGCATCACGCCGTACGGCGCTTCATGGCGCAGAGCTATTGGCCTGATTTGATGTCGTTGTCCGGTGATGACTCCAGGGCTTGTGAATACACTTGTTTGGTGTGTTTACTGGCTCTGTCTATGAGCTTACACTGTATTTCGTTGAATCTAAAAGGTAATGTGAATAAAGGAGCCATCACTGTTTAACGAGAGTGAGAATAGAAGTTGGTATTGAAGGATCGCGGGTTCTTTGGATGTTTTGGGGTGGTTGGGCGCGCGGCGCGAAAACCGGTGAAGATTAGTCCACATTCTACCACATTCTTAGACTTTCATTTTTCCGCTACCATCTTTCTTCTGTATACACGCAGATTGGCTTATGTCTAACCATACTCTATCTAATCTGTGTCCTACATGCTCAAAGTCAATAATTTCGCCACAAAACTGGCAAGCGGACTTGCCAAAAATACAGCATGCTATCGAATTAATGTGCACCAGGCTTTACTGAGGCAGCAGTTTGGGGTTTGTGAGAGCTGGTTTAGATGGCTTGCTGGATGTGTGAAATAGGAAATTACTTTAATTACTTTGATTTTCCCCTTTAAGTTTATTCCGGAATGAGAAAAATGAGTTTATAAATTATGCATGCTGGTATATATTGTCTGCGAAGACAAGTGATAGCCCCTTTGTTTAAGAATCAAGCGTCATTCTAATGCCCGGATGAGATAAACCTGAAGCCAATAAACAATAAGAAAGGAAGCAAGAACCAAAATGAGGCAGAGAATAATACGACAAAGGAGGGAAAGGGTGAAGAAGTCTAATGTTATTCGCAGACAGGAAAATTTAGAAGAAGACAGCAAAGCTATTGGGCAGGATCGTGCATGGTTGAGCCGACCTCTCCGCTAACAATGCCCCGGAAGAACGACTCGAGACTTGCGCCTTTCGGAAATTCTGGATACAGCTTCCAGAAATCCAGATACCCGAGATATTCTGCGTATTCAGGCGTGTTATCTCCTCGTACACACCAAGATATGCGATATTCCCCCATGTTGTAATTGGCACAATCCATAATATTATCCGGATGCATCATTTTGTGGGGACTATTCTCGAGCCTCTTTCGACAAGTCTTGATGACCTCGTTGATCTCTGCCAAAGTTACCTAGAGGGCAAGGGGATCAGTTGCTTTCGCGGAAATAAGGATCTCAATGTCAACTTACGTAGTTCTTCTCCGGTTCTTCGCCCGTGACTCCGGCCATAGTATCCCAGATTCCATTCATACTGTGCATTTCTGTGTATGCGAACACGTGCTTGTTGATGGTCCTAGGATCCGTCACAATGTGCGCAACGTACTTGCCAATATCGGCCAAGTCGGTTAAGGCAAACTCCTGATTTCCATCCTCTACAATGCGGTGATCGATATAGCGCGAGTGAGCTATATCTGACCTGCCGGAGGGGACCTTAGGAACAAAGACGGAGTACCAGCAGCCGACGTCGATGATAGTATATGGGAGACGTGCTCGTTGAATTGCACCGAGGATCTCAATTTTTTGCAAACCGCTGTCTGTTAATATGACCTTTATAGCACCGAATAAACACATACGTGGTCTTTGATCCAATGGACACCCTTAGGGCATGGTCCCACCCATTCTGAGGGAACAAATCGGTTCACTCCGGCCTCCTTCGCTGCTTCGATCCATGGAAGTTGCAAGTCAAGATGCTCCCAGGCTATGCATGAGATGAGGGTATCGATATCCTTCAGCTGGCTAACAAGTTTTTGACGTGGCCCATCTAGATTGTAGCCGACGACACGAACACCCCTCGCTTTGAGGGTTTGATTTTCCCGGCTATCGATGGAAGACTCTCGGGTGAATGAAGTGATATTCTATAGGTGTCAAATGGATTAGAGAGGTTGGGGTACCGATACATGATAGGAAGCGTACGAAATCTGTGGGTGAGGATAATAGCCCATTGACCACTGCACGGCCTGCGTTGCCGGTGGCGCCGATAACCCCAACGGTTTGCGCGACCATTTTGAAAGGATTATAGTAATAGTTTCAGGAAGATGAGAACGAGTGAGGTTATGTGAGAGGAAAAGTTGAAGGTTTATGTACCTGCCGAGTTGTCAATTAAGAAAGCACACCGCAAAACAAGAAATTCGTTCTAATTCTCTTTTTAAAACCCATGCGAAGTATCCGTTTTTGTCCGAGCCAAACCCAGTGGCGTTTTCCTACTTATACGGATCTCCAGCGGGAAGCGTTTTTCGTCCGAAGTTCAATTAGTCCGAAGTCTGGTTCGTCCGATGACCCACCATGTCGTTTCTACTCAGAATTAGACATTGAGATCTTTACGGGTTCTCAATGTGAGCCTTTCAATACCATAGAGCTTTCGGGTGGATTTCAGTATTTGGTCAGCATACTGGTTTCTTCCTCTTGTTGAATCAATCGAACCTCGCGGATACAAAGTGCCAGAGAAAAATAATGCAAGAGCAAAGGTCGGTTGACGGTCATAGTAAATCGTAAATATGTTATCATACATGCGGACTATACACTTGTAGCAAGCCTATCTTCAATCTCGTGCCGGCAAGGGTATAGTCTTCCAACCTTTCTTATCCCCTTCCCGTGGAACAATGATCTGCAAACCCTGTCGCCCACAGAACCCATCGTGCCTCGAAATGCGCTCGACATCCTGAAATGACCCAACCTCCTTCTTCCCAGAAACATAAACAGTATCCTGCACCCTCTGGCCAGAAACCTCCTCTCGCCGCGGGTTAGACCAAGGTAGCCCAACAAGGTGATTCCCAATATTATGGATGATCGAGTACAGCTTCTCAAAGCGCCGCGTGACCCAAAGCCATGACAAGGTGCGTGGAGCATACGCCGTGCGCACAAAGGGGTTTATATAGATCCCCGTTTCGGGTATCTCGGCTGCATCACGCGGCGGCGTCTGAATATCCGCATGGATCAAGCAGCACTCCGACGCATCCCAGAATAAATCTACATCTTGCAAGGCTCGGAAACGAGCTGGAAGACTCGGACCTGCGACTTCAACCCCTGGAGCTGCCTCGCCGGGCTGGAAGAATTGGGCGTCGAATGCGACCATCCCGCCCCAGCAACTGCGGACAGGGACGGCGTCTTTCCCAGCAAGAACGTCTTTCCGGCTTTGTCCGCTGCCAGAATTGGTGAACCAGGGAAAGAATGGTAGGCCCATGCTGTAGCCCTCTAGATCGCGCGTGGCGTAGGTGTCGTAGAACTTGAAGGGATTGATAAAGTCCACGGCGCAGGCAGCGCGGTATCGGGGTTTGTAATCGTTCTCCGGGTCGAGGTTCGTGGAGAACAAGAGTTGCAAGGCATCGAGAGGATCAAAAGCCACGTCATTCAGGAATAGAACTCTATCGAACTTCGTCGCGGGCTTATCTAGAGGTTTGAGAGCTCGGTTTCGAGCCTCGGCTAGGTATACAATTCGCTTAACGCGCTCGTCGCCTGACGGAGTCGTGACTTGTGGAAGTTGCTGAAGGTCCAAATGATCTTCGTATACTATCGAGCTGTTGCATTTGGCTTGTTTCTCTAGTGTCTGGAGAGCCGCTTTGCCTGCACCTCCGCTGTCGTTTTCGTAGATGCTGAGGAAGACTTTGTCTTCGCCGAGGAGATGGATGAGTTGGAGGATACTCGAGCCCCAGTGTCCATGTGCGAGCTCCCCACTTGGATCATACAGGGCCGCCGCAATGAAGATACTCTCGCTGTAGGGGTTCCCCCGACCTGGTGAGTCCGAGTGAATCACCGCATCACGGAGTGACTCGTAATGTGATGGGAGATTTGTGTACGAGGAACAGAACACGGATGAGACTAGGATGAGAAACAGAATAATTGACAGGAGAATAATGGCATAGTAAGGTGTTCGTAGGAGGAAGCGGCGAAAATGCCGAGGCGGTGGTACTGAAGTTGGAATCAAAGGCGAATAATAATTACCACCACGGTATCTTCTAGAGAGATTTCGTGGGAGGGAGTAAATTTGGTGCAGAAAGTTAAAAAGCACAGACCGTCTTGTCGGAGGTTCAGGTTTATAGTACTTAAAGCTGTCTTGAGAGTCGAGCGAAGATCTCATGTCAGGATTATTGAGGTCGGAAAGAAGAGTATGTCCAGACATTGTACAGGTCCAGGAGCAAGTGGGAAGGACAAACGCAGGTCGAAGATCTCCCAACGAAGAACTCTTCCTGAGGGAGAGCTAGCCTAGTTCCAAATGTTGCCTTTCATGCCATAAGCAACACATTGCCCGAATGGGGAATCGGGGATTCTCTTCCTAGCCCCGTATAGGCCCACCCACCACCGGCCAGCTTGAGGAACGAGACCCAGTCCACGAAGAAGCGCTATTTTCACCAAATCATGACAACGTCCACGGCAGGTTCCCTATCTGGGGTGCCGAGCCTCGTGGAGGGTTCAGCAGTCAGCAGTCAGCACCAGGTTAATATTCCTCGTTGTTATAACCGCATGCTCAGACGCTAAAGACCGGCCAATCGGATGTTGGCGCACCGTAATTTGGAATAGCAAGAAGTTTCTGTATCTCCATGCCTCCCCCGCCATCTCAACTGCGGGTGATCTACCGGTAAAGCAGGCTCCGTGACAGATTCCCTCTCGCTACAGACCCTTTGAATCCGTACACTGTGCAGACACTGGAAAGGCGAGGATATGGAGTGGAAACAGCCACCAGACCGAGAAATGCATCGGACCATTCGGATGGGTCTCAAACCCGACACGATGATATCTTGATAACAGAGATATGACAAGCATAATTTGAGTTATTCGAAGATACCCACGCTAAACCTATAGGGGGTAGAGCTCTAAACCAATTGAAAAGGCTCAAGAATCGACATTATGTTCTTATATAGTCCTAGTGCAGGAATTGGAACGTACTAACTCAATTATGTTCTAGCACTGCAGTCAGCCTGAGTACACTAGTCCTAACCAGTCTAACTATATAAGGAAGGAAGAAACTGCCAATAGCAAGCATGGAAAGATTATGCAATGGACTGACATTTTCTGGCATCTGCACATCTTGGCATCTGCTGGATACCCCCGCCAGTCCATCAATGCTCATTTTTGGAAAGGCTTGTCGCGAACTGGCCCCCTTAATGGGTTAATGCTGTTTCACTTCCAACGCAGGGTTACATCTGCCCGCACAGTCAGATTTCCTCTTAGGGCCCTAGTTCAGCATTAACATAGTGAAGGTTTTACTCTAATATTACAGGGATCTTCATCCCTCTGCAATCATGTCTCATATCATATCATCACAACTTTGTCTAGAAGGACTAGGAGCTTTGTGACGATTAAATCGCACTCAACTTTATGGCGGCTATTCTAAGAAAGGCTGTATGTAAATTTGGATCCGGATACTCCGAGCCTCTCCTCAGCATTGACCTCAACCCCCCTCATACTTGCCCCCCCCCGAGATGAACTATCAAGCTCTGTAGTTGACGGTAACGTGGCATTTGTCGCAGTTGTTGTTGGTTCCGAAGCTTCCCTTGTGCTTGCCACAGCTGTTTATGATCGAATTGGCCGTGTCCCAAATGTATTGGCCCTTAATAGGGTGGCGGCCGGAGCCATTAGTCGCATAGATCATGTAGCAGTTTCGAACCGAGAACTGGGCTTGGTCGACGTAGGTCTTTCCCTTGTCAATCCGGGCAAGAGCGGCTTTGCAATCGCTGAGTTTGACGTCCACGCTTGAGCCCTGACAGCTTCGTACGCAATATCTCTTAGCCAGGTCATTGGGAATGGGGGTTTGGGAGATCGGCTTACTTGTTTGAGTAGGCAAAGCCACTGGTGGCAAGGAGGGCAAGATTGAGAAGAGTGGTGAACTGCATTTTGAACGGATTGTTCGGTTAGGTGTGCTGTGCTTCGAAAAGGGAATGCATGAGAGCGCTGGCTCTCTTAAGTAGATCACTCTGCGGTGTGCCCGGCGCTGTATTGAATGGACTGACTGCCCTTCGCCCACGGACTAATGCATGGAGATGCTTTTGGTCACCTCATTTAAACAGCCATACGAGATCAATTCCAAATACCATGGGGCTATTTCCAATTTGATTTTAATCTCCAAGACATATCGATTCAGACACCGTCAGCGCTACACGATACATGGAGATAAAGTCCAATAATCCAAGTAGATCCCTCGAGGAAAGCACTATGCATTTGCCACATAGGGTATAGTACCTCGTAAAAAGTGCCAAAATAGCCGGCCGAACTGTAGGAATGCAGTCTAGTTTCAGCCCATCGTTTATTGTCATATCATATCTTCTGGCCCCCGGTGATGCCAACTAGACCAATTGGCAGCCTGCCCGCTTGCTGGTAGAAGTAACCTGTGGTATGACCCGCAAGACGTCCAGGGCAGAGGGATGTCCATATAAGACCAGTGATGGTTCCAAGTAATTCATTCTCTCAACAAGCACAAAAAGCACAGTTCTCTCTTCAAAATGCAGCTTCCTTTCCTTGTCACCTTTGCCCTTCTTGTTACTGGCAGCCTTGCCTACAACAATAAGTAATTCACCCTACCTCGCCTTACCTTACTCTACCCCATTCCCATTCCCACGAACCCTTAACTAATAACTACTGTTCCTACTTCAAAGCTGCAAGGGCTCCAGCAGAAACCTCAATACGAAGGACTGCGACAAAGCCCTCAACAACATCAACAAGGGCCTCACGTACAAAGATCAGTCTCAGTTCTCTGTCGGCAACTGCTACGTAATCTACGCCACCAACGGCTCCGGTGACAAGCGCGTCAGTGGTCAGAAAATCTATGACACTGCGAAGAATATTATCGATACCTGCTCCCACCACAAGGGGAGCTTTGGTACCGGGAACTGTGATGCTTGCCATGTTACGGTGAACTATCGGGTTCCTAAGAGGAGGCTACAGGCCTTGGGAGAGGAGGCTGAGTTTGAGGACGAGGGGCTGGAGGATGGGTTTGAGGAGGAGGAGTAGGAGTAGGAAGTGGAGAAAGAGCAATTGGAATCTCTTTATCGCTACGTCTACTGCTGAGCCCGAGATCACTGTGATACGAGCGCTACATGTTAGTCGTACTGGTTATAGAGGCATTGCCGAGCTAGCATAAGAGTGTAGGGCTGGGCTTGGGGTCTGCGCTTCTTTTCTTTTGTCTTGAGTTAAATCATGTTGTTTCCGTGTAGGTTTGTGATCTTTAGTAGTGCCACTGTGTATAAATACTATGGGCCGCACCCTTATGATCATTTGGGAGAAGGTCACACTTTTAAAACATACGCACTGGAAACTGATGGTGTCTGGATAACACAGTTCGAGGTGGCTTTCCCAATTCAACCACTAGACAAGAAGCGTCCCCATTGCAATGCCTTGAGCAGGTGATATTAAGTAGTCAATTTTGGCATCTCAACATTTAGTGCAAGTCCATTTCAAGAAGGTTCCCCTAGGATCACCTGGAGTTCCGGTGGGTCTGTGACGTAATGCTGCACAGACTTTCGGAATCACGAGTGCTGGATGTCCGCACACGGCGCCAACAGTTATTCACGCCCCTTCTAGAGCAAAGATTCTTTAAGTATCGCACTCCACAGAGAAGGTGACAGCACTCAGATTCATCGGTCACTGTTAGGCGGTAGGAGTATTATTTACAGCGTAAATTGTTTTTGATTTAGGTAGGGTTCTATCTAAGAATAGTACTATAGGATATAAAAGGGTCTAGATATAAAAAGGCTTTCCCGGGAGAAGGTCCCGTTTACTATCCGGCGTCATTATGGTTTTTTCTTATTACTATATTCAATTCTCCCGTATTAGCGTCAGTTAATTAAAGAAGCGGTTTAGTGACTCTCTCCGCCTTTCAATTTGCCTATTGAGGGGATAAGATCCGAGCCGTAGGTATTATATAGATAGATAGAGTCCTGGAGGATCCCAATATCTATAGGGAGTTAGCTTTATATTGTCTTGGAGTATATATCGTTAAAGTAGGCTTCTATATACTATTATTATATGCTCGCGGCTCGCTCCGATATCGTAATCTTTTCTGAGAGACATTGTCTTTCTAGATTATCCAGGGAGTCGTATGGTATAAAAGCCTGCCACCTTCGTAAGTCCGCCTGTCTCCTATAGGGGCTGAGAATCACGAGCGCGATCATCCCATCTGTTAATAGGGGTCATTGATTCTAAAAAGAATGAACAAAAAACATACAACAGCCGGGATTCGCTGGTGGTCACCCACCCAACTACTAACCGGCCGGCGTGTGGCTTAAGTACGGCTGAGCGGACGGGAAGCCCTGTTCTCCACACCCTGTGGTCGTATGTGCTTATTGACATTAGGAAATGGGATATATTGTGCACAGACACATAGAGACTCGGTAATTACTCTAGTTGACCATTCGCGCTGCGTGATAAAGTCTTGGAGACTTGGTGCACGCAGATGCCGGGGGAATCCCGTGAGCTGCTCATGCTGAGCTGAGTCTGCAAGAATGGCTCATCTTCAGTTAGTGAAGCAGCAAATATCATTAGATACCTAAAACCCTATGTTGGCCCTACAAATCTTTGTTCGCATAATTGTTCGCAACTAGAATTGCAACAACGCTACTAATTCAGATTCGATAATTCGATATAGTTCAGGTCATTAGAATAGAACTTTCTTGGACGTGGATTCGCGCATACGATTCTCCCAAAGAAAACGGAACAATTAAATCATTACCATACAACAATCCGAGCCACGTTCTAAAACTGGGTGCCAACATGAATTCCACCGTCCGCCAGCACATTAGTTCCCGTCACAAAACTGGCAAGTGGACTGGCCAGAAACACGGCAACGTTGGCGATCTCCTTGGGGCCACCAAGACGCTTCAAGGGGATCTTTTGGCGCTGTTCCTCCACCCACTCAGGCATCAATTTGGAGTACTTCTCCCACGGACCGCCCTCGCACAGGACCGGTCCGGGCGAGATGGCGTTGACACGGATACCCTTGGGCCCCAGAGCGTGCGAAAGCTCCTGTACATGTTGTAGTTGAGCGGCCTTGCACGGGCCGTAGGCGGCCGGGGGACTGCGGTAGAATTCGCGGCCCATGAAGGAGCTTTGGACGATGATGGACGCCTGTGGTGATTTTTCAAGATACGGCTCAGCAGCCTTGACTAATTCCACGAATCCCATTACGTCGATGGCGAAGCTTTCGTGCCAATGTTGCGTTTCGCCTTCCATGTGCATGGGCGAGGCTTGGTTTGGTAGGTTAGTTTTGGTTACTATGGCGCGGGACATAAGAGTTGTTACCATTTGCAATGACGACGTCAATTCGGCCTAGTCGGTCGGCGGACGCATTCACCCAGTCAACAATGGCTTCCTTAGAAGCCACATTTAAAGCAGTGCCAACTGCGCGGGCGGAGTTATCGGCAGGAAGAGTCTGGTGGAATTCATCGTACTCGGTGTTGGTGACGGTGCGGGCGCAATAAGACACGTTAGCGCCTTCCTTCAGGAATTCATGCACCATGGATTGGCCCATTCCGCGGGTTCCTCCTAGTTACAGTGTTAGTATGGCGAAAAGAGGAGATGGGACTTTTTCTTGCCTGTAATGAGGACATGGGCGCCCTTTAGACCGGTTTCGAGAGGCATTGTGTGAGTGATAGGGGTGGTTTGGGGGGGTATGAGTAGTTGGTGCTGTACTTGGAAGATGGTTCTTGAAGTCTGAAGCGAAGAGATATGAAATGCATGAAATACAGCTATATTTAAAGCCCTGTCAGGATGTCCTTTGACTAGTCATAAGGGGCCATTCTTAGTCGCTGCCAAGAAGCCTCTTAGGGTTGCGCCCAAAGGGGAAGTCCGTGGAACTCCGAGAAACTCCGTAGCCGCATTTGGTAATTCCCGATTCGGCCATGCCTTTTTAGTCCGCGTCTTTCGGGAGGAAAAGATCGGACTGCTCCTTGTATCAGGGAGTTCTCTTCACTGTTCTGTACTCGCATTTGTAATTGATGGGCTTATATATCCTGAGAGAACCCTCAAATCGTCAACATGCACACGAGATCACTCTTCAACAAAAGCTTGCAACAGGATCACTTCTGGAAGAACGATCCAGAACGCGGCCCGTGAAACCATGGAGTGCCAGAAAGGCCTTTCACAGGAGCAACTCTCCAGCTCTTCCAGCACCGCAATTGTTGAGCCAGTGGCCTGCAGTATTAAGCAATTTCTGGGGCTAAGAAATAAAGGCGAGCAACAATCAACCAGTGTGGTATTGGAACATGTATCGGTGGAAGGAAGCGGAACGGGTGTAAGTAAAGGCCACCATTTCCATCTGACCATCTAACTGACATGAAATTCACGAACAGTCCCAGCCTGCACCTACAGTGGTGTCAGCAGCCAAGTCTGCCTTTGGTATTCTGAGTCCCATTCAAAACAGGCTAGGCAGTCAATCATCACGGCCCATTCTCCGCGATTTCTCTGCGGCTATGAACCCGGGAGAGATGGTGCTGGTAATTGGAAAGCCAGGCAGCGGATGCACCACGTTTCTGAAGACCCTAGCGGGAATGTGGGATGAGTACAAGAATGTCCAAGGTGAGCTCACTTTGGGCGGTCATTCAATGATGGAGACGATCTCTGAGCGGCCTCAGGATGTAATCTTCTGCGGTAAGTCTCGACTTAGACTATGAGGATGCGTGCACATCTAACAAACGGAAAAGGCGAGTCGGATGATCATTTCCCCAACTTGACGGTAATGGAGACCTTGCGATTTGCCATCAGAGCTCGTTGTGGCCCGGACGTGTCTGGACAAGAGGTCGATGAAATGGTCTCCCAACTGGCTAAGCTTGTTGGTTTGAGCCACGTTATGAACACCAAGGTGGGAGATGCATACATCCGAGGAGTCAGTGGAGGCGAGAGGCGACGAGTATCACTCGCAGAAGCGTTAGCAACATGTGCACGGTATGTATCTATTTTCCGACCGTAGGATGCAAACTCGACTGACAGGCTATACACAGACTTATCTGTCTGGACAACCCCACAAACGGACTTGATTCCTCGACAGCTTTGGAATTCATGGAGATGATGCACGAATGGACTCAACAGAGCCAATGCGTAACGGCAATGAGCGTTTATCAGGGTAGCGACGCCATCATTCCTTATTTCGACAAGGTCGTGGTGATCAACGCTGGCCGCCAGATCTTCTACGGCACCACCGCGGAGGCCAAGGAGTACTTTGTCGGCCTAGGCTTCGAATACTCGCCTACAACGACCATGTCCGACTACTTGAACTCGATGTCAGCGAGCCCCGAGGCTCGGCGTGCAGTTGAAGGTCGCCAATATCAGGTTCCGAGAACGCCAGATGAGCTCCAGAGTGCATTTCGCTCGAGCCAATATTTCAACCAGCTGCAGACTCACGTTCAGGAAGCAAAGTCTCGGCCTACAGTGTTATGGCCCTCGATCTCAGAGCGCTTTGCCCTCCCACTATATCACCAAATATGGCAATGTGCTACTCGCCAGGTGCGCCTCATCACTAGTGACTACAGTTCATGGTTGGTCGAGGCAGCATGCATCACCCTTCAGAGCTTGGTGCTTGGTACGCTATTCCGGGACCAAAAGCGATCAACCCAATCTCTGTTTATCTTCGCATCGGCTCTGTTCTACTCGGTCCTTGTTCCTGCCTTACAATCTATGAGCGAGTTTCGCAACACCTTTACCCAGCGGCCGCTCATTCTAAAGCACAAACGATACCAGCTGTATCGACCCATTGCCTACGCCTTCGGACTCGTCTTGACTGATGTAGTCTGGAAGATTGCAGCCATTTGTTACAATATCCCTTTGTACTTTCTGACAGGTTTCCAACGCTCGCCAGAAAACTTCTTCATTTGGTTTCTGGTCGTGTATGTTGAACATCTGGCCTTGTCCATGTTTTTCCGATCGGTCGCTGTTTTCTCATCCAACATGAACCGGGCTGTACTCCCTGTGGGCCTCTTCTTCAACATGTACGTGCTGTATACCGGACTTTACGTGCCGCCACCTCAGATGCAAGTTTGGCTAGGCTGGCTACGATACCTGAATGTGAGTCGACCCAGTACCCTTCCTAACGCGAGTGACGAATTGCTAACACTAGTAGCCTTTGTACTACGGATTCGAGTCTGTCATGGTGAATGAGTTTGGCAGCCTCAGCTATGAATGCAGTCCAAATGACTTGGTGCCAACCGGCCCCGGATACGACAGTATTCGCAACCAAGTCTGCGCCATTATCGGCTCGCAGCCCGGAGAGCGCCTTCTGTCGGGAATTAGCTACCTGCAGGCTCAGTATGGCTTTGAGCAGTCGCACTTGTGGAGGAATGTCGGCATTAATATTGCCTTTTTCATTGTATTCGCTGTATTGTCCGGGTGAGTCGAATGCTTTCAATTGCTTGAACAGTCGTGCACGCCTGTACAGAGCTAACGGTCATAGAATTGGCATGGAGAGACTCAAGCAGCCAGCTGGTCGCCTCGCTACTGTCTTCTATCGAGGCATGGGATCTAGAGACAAACACTCTAGCAAAAACAGATCGGATAAAGAGAGCGGAGAGATGGAAGACGATGTTCCCCCAGAAATCGCACCCCAGTCTAGCACTGTGCAGCCAGCTCTCAGTCATGCATACGAGCATCACGGCACTCTCACATGGAGAAATTTTAGTCTCGATGTTAAGACCAAGGATGGCGAGCGACGACTGCTTGACAGTCTGGATGGATCTGCCCAGAGTGGCCAGATGAAAGCTCTTATGGGTGTGTCTGGAGCTGGAAAAACTACGCTTCTCAACGCCCTCGCCGGGAGATCGAAGGTAGGAGCCTTAAATGGAACCTTGGAACTTGATGGACAACTCTTGCCAAAGTCTTTCAATGGGCGCATGGGCTATGTACAGCAACAGGATATTCACCTTCCAACCCAGAGCGTTCGTGAAGCCCTGCAGATGACCGCGCAACTACGACAATCGCAACAGCTGTCGTTGAAAGAGAAGTACGCCTATGTCGAGCAGGTTATTGAGTGGCTGAACATGGATTCTATTGCGGATGCCTTGATTGGTGTGCCTGGTGCTGGACTTAACCTCGAACAACGCAAACGGGTTAGTATTGGCGTGGAAATGGCATCGAAGCCCGAGATTCTGTTCCTGGACGAGCCCACTTCCGGCCTCGATGGACAGTCAGCATACTCAATCATTCGTCTTCTGAGGAGATTGGCAGACTCGGGTCAGGCGATTGTGTGCACCATTCACCAGCCGGCTGCCGGTTTGATGAATTATTTTGACGAGCTGTACCTGTTGGGACGTGGCGGTCGGCTAGTGTACGATGGACCTCTTGGAACCGACTGTCGCCTTGCCGTCGACTATTTCGAGCAATTTGCAAGACCTTGCGCTGAGGGCGAGAACCCCGCCGAGTACTTCCTGGACGTCATCGGAGCAGGCGCCCGCAAGGAAGTGAGCCTGGACTGGATGGGGCTGTGGCAACAGAGTGACCTCTACCAAGAAAGGCGCCAGAAGCAAGCAACCCTTGTGAGCTCGAGTCCTCCCGAGTCAACCTCTTCGATCTACGCGGCTCCGTTCCATGTGCAGCTCTGGGTGGTCCTCCACCGGACATGGCTATACTACTGGCGAGAACCTGATTATGCCGCCTCAAAGCTCTGGTTGAACGTGGGACTCGGTCTGATGAACGCAATGACCTATCTACAATCTCCGGCGTCGGAGCGCGGTGCATATAACCGTGTGTTCTCAGCCTTCATGTCCCTAATCGTCGGGCCTCCACTGGGTCTGCAGGTGCAGCCGCGATTCGTCGCGCTGCGAGACATCTTCGTACATCGGGAGAAAGAGAGCCTCACGTACCACTGGCTGACATTTATCTTCTCGGCAATTCTGGTTGAGCTGCCATATGCATTTGTGACCTCGATGGTGTACTGGCTACTGTGGTACTACCCTGTGGGCTATTCCACTGAGCCCATCCGCGCAGGATATAGCTTTCTCATGTACGAGCTATTCGCGATATTTGCCACAAGTTTGGCTCAGCTGTGCGCATCTCTGATGCCAAATCTCGAGGCTGCCTTTGCTGCTAATGGATTCTTCTTTATGTTCTGCAACACCTTTGCCGGTACTCTCTCGCCCAAGTCTGTCACTCCAGCTGGATGGAAATGGTACTATAAACTGTCTCCGCTGTTCTACATGGGTGAAGGCGTCACATCAAACGCATTGCATGATCTTGCCATTCAATGTCAGCCATCCGAGGTGTCTATCTTCAATCCCACGAACGGTACAACGTGTGGAGATTACGCGGCGAACTTCTTGAAGGAAGCTACAGGCTACCTGCTGAACCCCGACAGCACAATTGGCTGCCAATACTGTCGGTATAAGGACGGGCAATCCTATGTAAGTTAATTCTCAACCTTCCAATTTCAAACATGAAAGCTGACCGGACAGTACGTGCAATACGGCTATGAATTTGCTCGCCGCTATTCTAACGTTGGAATTTTCATCGGATTTATCGCCTTCAACTTTACAATGGTGCTGGTTATGACCTACCTCACGCGAGTGAGACGATGATATGTTACTCAAGAGCTTGGCGGATTGGTGTCTGAAACACCGGGAAATCATGAACATTAAGGCGTCAGGGTTTGGCATGGATAGATTTAGAAGGCTGTTTGCTCTATTTTCTGGTTGGATTTCCATGCAATAGTATTATACTCAGCATTAATGATAAATAAAAGGTCGTTCAATTAGTCTACTTCCATTGTTGCAGAAAATATTCTATTAGGAGCTAGTCATAGTAAAATTTCTGGTCTCCCCTCATCCCAATGATTGATACAAATCTCGCAATTGTTTTTCCTTCTTCCATTCTTTCAGATCGAATGTACCTTCCCGTAATTCGTCTTGTTCTCCGTTCCATAAGAAAGTGAACCCTGCTATTGTCTCTCTGACGGTGTCGTCATCATTCAGAAGATCGATAAAACAAAGGCTTGAGCAGTATTTTCCCGTCTCATAGGCTGCGAGCTGATCAAACTGTGTCTGCGACAAGACTTCATAAGCCATGCCGTTTACTGGATTGAGTGGCTTGTCACGAAGGGCAGGGTAGGGGCCCCAAAGCTTGACTTCGTAACCTACGACTCTCGCACGACGCATGACGGGAGGGGTTTGTGTCTTTGGCAATTTAAGGACTCGAGAGAGCGTATCCGGGTCCATGAGCGTCCCGTAAAAGAAGCAATATGCCCGTCGGAAGGGTTCTGGAGACTTGTCGTTCTCAGCAGAATGGTCAGATGCGCAGGCCTCTTGTGCGCGCAACTTGCGCATCATCAAGGGCATGGGCCTTTCGCTCATTGCGCGGGTAGTTGGATGCTGCCTATAAGAGCCAGCAGACCAGAGGAGGGAGGTGAGGCTGTAACCTTTGCTTGATCTGTGCTGTAATGCGATCGAGGGAGAAAGGAAAAAGGAGATGATGGGAGCTCTCTTTTCGGATTGACAGACGGAGGCATTACGTCAGCGGTACCTGGATCCCCTTCTACGTCGGTAGATGCCTGAGAAATTATGCAGAATTGAATGAATAGGGGCACTTACAGTGCTGTGATTATGTGCAAGCTGCAAACAACTAGATGTAATGCAGGCATTCTTTGAAGTCTTTCCCCTGCCAGATTGGTGGCCGGAATAGAGAAGACAGCACCAAAAGTCTGGCCATTTGAATCATCAGGCTAACAGCTGGCTTGAAATCAGAGGCCAACGAAGGAACCACAGAGTAAGGAGGAACCAGATATTTTCTTTTCAAGGTGAAATTGGCAGCTATTCTCATGTCGGTCATACGGTAGAGCTATAAGCCCATCTAGGTAATTAGTGGGGTTGGGTGGGGGTACCTAAATTTCCCAATTTCAGTGAATGTATGGAGCCCAGTCAATTCTCTCTACAGTCTCTTGTATCCCTTTTACTTCTGGCAATAAATACTTTGAAGTATACAATGGCAATAACATTACAGAAGGCGTTTTTGGTCGCTGCGTCCTCCGCAAAGGGCATACCTTTCAAGTACCTGCGACAAAATCTTAACTGAACGATGGCCTCTACCGTAGAGCGCGAATGAGAGGATTTTCGAAGATCCCTCGTAGGGCCTTGACAAGTATTGTAAAGATCTCGAGGAGGCAAATGTCACGAGTTTGCCCATTCCCTTTATGATCCATACGATTAACCCGAGGTCACGATCGAAGTAGACAGCGACCGAAGAAGGAAAAGACCGAAGATAATGTTGCAAAGAAAACCTTGCAATTTAGCAGACTTCTCAAAGTGACTGATGCAAGCTAGTGACCTACAATTACCCCTGTTGCTCTAGCGTAAGTCGATTATACACGCTCTTATGGCTGTCTGGAAGACTGAAATAAGAAGACTCATCCATCTCTGATACTCTTGTCCCGCAAACCTTATACAACACATTGTTTCTTTTGTGGTTCTTTTGAAAGAAAGATATTGGTGTTTTCGAAGTGCTGTCAGTCCTTGAGCTCAAGTTGCTGGGAGAATGCTATGGTCAAGGTTTCTTAAGCTTTGATATGCTAAGATAATTAAGCTTCTTCTTTCTAGAGAGAACGAAGAGCAGTGGAGAAGTATTTCGTCAAGAAGGAAAAAAAAATCAACTGATGCCAATCCATAAAAGCATCACAATTGAACTTTCTTTGTCTTGTCAGAGATCTAGACCTATGAGTGCTAGGAACAGTGCTCCTAGGAAGTATTACATGGTTAAGGGTTTGACCTTGATGAAAGCCACTTGGATAGGCCAATATATCGGGTCCATTCTACTTGAGTGAGTAAGTGTACTCAATTTAAGTAGAATATAAGCTTTCACCTAAGCTCACCAAGTGTGCTTGCGGGACTTGGCTCAACAGGCTGTACTACAATTTGACTCACGGGGGAGTAGACAGGCAGCCTGACATTCCCTTCCTCTATTTGCCTGTGTATTTTGTCATATGATTCCATCATGACATCTACTGCATATGCTCTCCTGTATGTCAATCCACGGTGTTAATTCTCTATAAATACGAACCTTCCACTTGTGAAACAGAGAATATGGGATCTATACTGTAGATGATTCATAGAATGATATTATTGGAATGAAGCACAACATGTCTGAATACAGAAAAAGTAGACTATAAAAACAACATTGACAATTATTGAGCCAGCTCTTAGTAACTATGATTTCCCCAAACCTCCTAGGGTGACCAAAGCTATTGCTTCCCACTGCTTCCTTCACCAGGTTCATTACTGCTCGGACTTGGAGCGCTTCTCGAGTGCATCATGCTCTGATATAGTAGCGCCGCCAAGGTGACTCCGATCGTAGCCGCCTAGAGGATGAGTCAGATATCTCTCTCTCATGGGGTAAAAGGATTATTCTTCGTTCAATGCTCACCAGCGACAGATCAAATCCCTCCGCAACCTCCAGCTCCCATTTCGGTCGCTTAATCGGCAAATACACAGACACCATATCGGTCAACTTCGCTACCATCACCAACGACCCATTGTGATAGACGTGCGTCCGGTACTTCCAGATATCCTGTCCGCGGACCTCGAGCATCACGTCCTCACCGTCCCCGCTCGCATTCTTGAAATGCACGTCGAACTTGTCCTTCAGCGCGTGTAACCGCGGCGCGATGGTGGCGATGGGTTTCGCATCGTCGTTGTCGCTGTCTCCCGGAAGATGCACGAACCATGTTACTCCCATTCGTTTGCGACGGATCTCAAAGAGAGGGAGGCCCGAGGCGTCGCGGACGTGTCGTCGCTGAGATAACGACGCTACCTCACCGTCCACGGAGAACAGCGTTTCCAAAGCGGAGCTATTGTCGGATCGGGTGGATATTGTGAAATCGCCGCCCGTCCAGGTCTTGGTGTGTTGTTTGACTACCAGGGATGTAGGGCGTGAGGCGACATGGTCTGGTCGGATAGAGAGCGGCTGTTTCAGCATTGCGAGCGTTGAATCTGACGGCATGATGCTGGATAAACTATGCAATATCCAAGCCTGCGGGTGAAAAGGAGTAAATATTGTGGGTGTCTTTCGTGTTCAGACTCGTTCTAAAAAGTCGGCGTGGTCCTGTGGCCTTTTATATCAGCGCGGTTCAATCGCATGTGGGGGATTTTCACAGCAAAACTATCAGAATTCCTGACCGGCCAAACTCCAAACAGTACCTAACACACAACACGAGTGGTCCGCAGACGCAAGGCTTTACACCCAAATACGAGGGGCCCGTAAGCGCAAGAGAGCAGCGGGCCATCGGGCACGCTACGTGCTAGTCCCCCACGCCATGATCTCATTTTATAGGCCTGAGCTCGCTCCGCCCAGCCTTTGCGGGTCGTTCATTTCAAAAAACTCGCTCTGGTCTTAACTGACATTGGCAATAATTGGCCATCAGAAAAGGGAGGATGCCCCAGCCACTGATGACAGCATAAGGCGATCTTACCATATTTAGACCGATTTTTTCCCTGAGTTCTCACGATGAGTCGATTTGGGACCTGTGACTGGAGTTTCTTATCTGATTAAGATTTTTGAAGCCGCAGTGGTCCCTTGGATTATCTCTGTGGCGTTAATTCTAAATGAATTAGCGCTCGGTTTTTCCTGTTTGGGATAACAAAATGCAGGATCAAGCTTAGTCATCATATCTGCATCCCTCATCTCATACAACTGTCAAAGATAATTCGCACGCTCGCGAAATTGGCTAAGACGAATGATAGACCCTTCATTGCTCTGTTGTCTTGCGGCTCGGGAGGTTGGGTCTGCTTGCTCTCGTCACTTGACGATCGAGGATGAGATTGGGTGCTAAAATATATTCACATTTTGAAGAAGTTTCCAGGCGTGTGTTTGTTAAATAGAACATAGAACGCATGCGTTCGATGCAATTTTTGGATTCTAGTATTGATTTATAAATGAATCTACAGAAGAAAACAGCAAGCCTGTTTCCAGGAAAACCCCCGACAGACGAAAGACTGCAGTCAGTATGAGGATCGAAGAACGCGAGCGGAAAGACCAAGAACCGTAGGGCTGGAAAGTAATAAGCGTATCTTAAGGTCTATCTGATGTTGCAGGTTTGCTAGAGGTATGGAGGGTTGTTCTTACATGCCTATGGTATCATAGATGGCGGTCATCATTCACATGATCGCTACAAAGCCAAGAGCAACTAAGAGCACGCTCGTATAGAGTCTTCGGACCATCTCATAGAACAGCTTCATTTGTAGCATGCAAGCAAGACAGATCTCCATGAGACGGTGTATTGGAGGGCTCTGACCTCCATGTTGGTGGTATCATAGCTTGGTCATATGGCCGTTGCTACTCTTGTCGGGTATTTTGTGCTCGAGGGGTGGTTAACGGACGAACCTGAAACAAAGTCTCTAGTTTGAACCTTTTTTGAATTGGTGGGTCAGTTTGCTCTTTTGTTTTTCATGTTCAGTCTTAATTTTGTCTCGACATTTTGTACTTTTGACTGTGATGTCATGCATCATGACCCACAACACGGGATATATATCCGGAGATGTCAACCATCTTATAGCGAACTGACGCCGGTTAAATCATGGCTAGATATCAACGAGACACCAAGAGAATATGTGGACCTATTGAGCTGAAATAACACAATTCTATGTCCGCAAAGCAAAGACCTCGATAAACTTGCCAGACATGCATAATCAAACCCTGCTTCTCTTCCATAGCACTGATATGCTTCAGAGACATATAGATCAAGAATTAACGCTTATTAATAACAACCGGCGTTGGTAGTGTAACGGTTATCATCCTTGCCTTCCAAGCAAGGGACCCGGGTTCGACTCCCGGCCGACGCATCATTTCTCTCATTCTTTCTTTTTTGTGTCTTTTTTGTTCTTTCCCAACCAACCAACCCACACTTAACCAAGCCCATTGATATAATGCGCCTTATTATATTTTATCTGGGCCGAAAGGATCGAAATCCTGCCCGTTAATTAAGCGCCTCACTCCGCCCCCCTCTTTCGTTTCATCCTCCAACATAACCATTCATCCTGTCCAGGTGAGCTCCCTCTCGGTAGTCAGTACTCGTGTTCTCTTCTTTTCTACTATTCAATATCCCCGGAATGACACCCAATTCTGAACTCTTCTTCCAGTCGCACAACCCTGGCCATGAATCCATTCTCCTCATCCACGGCGCGTGCGGCACCGGCGCCGAGTTCAACGATATCGTCTTCCCCCTGACCAAGGCAGATTATCATCTGCTGATCCCCGATCTCCCCGCCCACGGCCAATCCACACACATCACCCCATTCACTGTGGAATCCGCCGGGGAACGCCTCCTCCAGCTGATCGCCGATCACGCACATAATGGCGCCGCCCACGTCGTCGGGATGAGTCTCGGCGCGCACATCGCCGCATACATAGCGGGGCGTGCACGACCGGGTCAAATCCTATCGCTGGTCGCAACCGGCTATAGCACCTTCCAGCCTCCGACGTTCTTGATTCCGTTCATTACGGTGCCCATGTATGCACTGCATCATACGCTTCAACTTGTTTTCAAACCCTCCGTTGAGATCCAGCAGTGGATGCGCGGGGAGAGTTCCTATGCGCTTATCGCGGAGGTGGCGCGGACGCTTCTGAACCCCCGCGTGTTGCAGGATATTCCCGTGCGGACGCTTGTGATCGCCGCGGCGAAACCGACCATGGGGATTTCGGATCGTCCGCAGAGTGCGAAATGGTTGTTTGGTGCTGTGGTGGGGGGCGCGGAGAATGGGAGTCGGGTCGTGCAGCATCGGGGCGTGAGGCATCCGTGGCATGTGGAGGAGGCCGGGCAGTTTGCTGAGATGGTAAGGCGGTGGGTTGGGGGGTTGGAGCTTGGGGAGGAATTTGAGGATATTCAGTGATTTTCTGTCTCTTTTTGTTGGGCTGTATGTAGTTCTGCTGTCTCTGTGTATATACTTGTACCTGGAGTGGGCTTGCTTCAACTGGGCTTGAGTGGAGAGGTTTGATTGGTTTGTCTGTGATTTGTTTTAGGCTGAAGAATTGTGCTCCATGCTACTTCAAACCTTCGATGCTTAAACAAGCTCTGTCTTGCGCAAGTCCTAGTTTTGTTAACTCGGCCGTCAAAGTGTATAGCATGCCTGATCACATTCAAACTTCCGGTTACGGGTTCGCCACGGAAGTTGTAGAACTCGGAGAGTTTCATTGGACACTCATTCACCGGCCTGAGCAATCCAAGCTTGTACCTCATCAACAATGAAGGCCATTTAGGATGTTCACATGAGCTTGACTTGAATGGGATAATGCTCAATGACTTGTGGGAATAGTTGGTTGATCTTCCTGGCATGAAGTTGGCATCATGGTTTCTGGTGCCGCGTTGACGTCAATCGGTACGGGCCCAGTGTGAAGAGGTAAGCTTGCTATTGGGCCGTGAGAAGTATCTCTAGTTCAATTCAAACCGATCAGTACCAATGCATCCGGCTTGATATTGAAGCTATACTATCTCTGAATGCTCGCTGGTCGCTGGTGAGTTCCTGACCTTCTCGTCCCATGCGTATCGGCCAGTCTATTGTATGCGCAAGGAATGTCATGGTGTTTGCACCAGTTAGATTGTGGAGATTCTTGAACAAACTGAATCTGTCAGTGTTTGGCATTTGGGAATATCACATTTATCGTGGATGGACATGGGTGGAGTAGGAGTTTGTTTTTCCTTTTGAGCAAGAATCGCATGCTTTGTGCCGGTGACCCCTTCTGAAAAAGGGTATCCCACTTAGATAAGTATGGGACCTTGGTGAAATCTAGAATTGGCCGCAGGAAGGAATGGGAATTGAAGACAGCTGGAGGAGATGGAGACAAGCCGAGCATAAATCTTAGTCACCATACACAGCATAACTCAATCATGTTGTTGACTGACCCTTTGTTTATTGGTTCATCCCTCACTATGACATACATACACCTATTGACATTCATCTTCTCTGCCTTTTCCCTTTTGCATCTTCTGTACCCTTTTTGTCATCCACTCGAGTCTCTGCACTTCTCTTCAACAGCGCTCCTCATGTTTCCATCTCCATTATGGATTATTTGACCTTCTTCAGCAATACCTGGGTCCACGAGTACGTCGATTTTGAAAGACCATATCCTTCACGATGGGCGATCGTTAAACTCATATTCGAACATCCCCACCAGCAAATCGGGCGATACGAGAATGAAGTACTCGAGCCTTCAACCCCGTCCTACTCGCAAGCCACCTTCCTCTGTCGCAGCGTGCGGGAGCCATCCCGCGAGGCCTTCCTCAGAGTGTACATGCAAGTCCCACACTTAGGCACCGAAGATGCATCTCATGCTATCCGATCGGCACAGGCAGGTAGTCGCACCCATGATGACATCGAAGCTCTAGTTCTGTTCAGGGACAGGTGTGCAAAGCATCTCCCTAGGTGTTTGGGCGTCAAGACAGTAAAACAAGATAATACCGGGCTGGTTCCGGGTGGATACATGTCTTATCTCCTGTGGGAGAAATTACCTGGTGTCTGCCTCGATGAGGAAAGAGTTTGGTCTTTGGATAGGACTGAGCGAAATGCCGTGAGAGAATCGTTTAAAGCTGCGTACAAGTAAGTTTTGATGTCTATACCTACGATATAATTGGCCTGAATGCTCAGGCTTTCCGGCTTATGATAGGGAACTTTATGGTTTTGGTCTGAAGCCTCTACACTGTGGTCTGGATCATCTGCTCTGGGACCGGGTGAATGGTACAGTGTGAGTGTTTACTAATACTTACCACATTGCACTACTGAGTCAATGACCCCTTTTGAGTTACATCATTGGATTCAGGTTCACTATTCCAATGTCCTTGGATGATGCTTGGCATGAGAAACTGTTCGCAGTGTGGGGACTGGCCATTCCTCCGAACAATGTTAGATGGTGGGAGACGGATTGGCTGCATGAAGCAATCGAAGGCTGGAAACTTTGATGATGGTATAATTTTCTGGATGATCATGCAAGATTTCATGTGGATCAAAGGCAGTAATAGGTGCTAGGGCTCAATGAAAAATGGGATCGATGGTACAGTGTGATAGACATTTTCTCTATTTTTTGATTATCACGGAGAATTACAGAGCACGATAAACAAGTGATGTAACCACCTAGAGCATAGAAGCAGTACTTATGCTCCGCGATGTTTTCGCTCCTCTCCCAAATACGGAAGGAGTGCGAGGTATGTGGAACCATGCATAGTGATTTCAAGACAGAATTTGGGCCTATCAAGGATTATTTATCGTTAACTACGATTTAGAATTCAGAATAGAAAGGATTCAGGTTATTAAATATTTAGGATCTACCACTTCCCTTTCATATACACATAATTAAGTGTTATTAGAGCAACTAAAATGTGGAAAGAACACATGAAAAGGTAGCTTGATAATATCATGTGAGTTGAAGACGACCCAACCTGTCAACTATACCGCAAAGTCGGAAGAAACGCAAGCAGAATGAACAAAAACTGCATAACCATAAACCAAGTCTACTCCCACTCTCTTCTACTCTATCTAAATCGACCAACCCATATTCAAGCTCGATCAAAGGAAAAATCCAACTACAAAATCCTAAATTCGTGATACAACTCCCCATCCAACAACATCCGTATCTCCCCCACATGCCCCTTTAGCGCACCACAATGGTTGTTGTTGATATCCACCAAAACCCTCAGTTTATTCCTCAAGGTCTGAATGACCCACTCCGCATGCGGCGTATACTCCCCGAGACGAAATTTATTTCTCGCCGGACGCCCCCGCGTACGATGTCCCATATAATCCCTCCATTTGAGATGCGCAGGGGCCAGGGGGTACCGATCATCGGAGCCAGACTTGATATTTAGAACAAGGGATCGGACGTAGAATCGTCTACGGCCGTACAGATCACGTTGACGGTTCTTCTCTGCGGGATCGTCGCTGACGTACGAACCGATCGGGCCGTGGACGATGAACCGCTCTAACAGTGCGTAAAAGCACCAGTGCACGCCGTCTCCATTGCCTTCCGCACCCAGATGCTGGAGACTCTCAGGCACGAGACAGTGGCCGAATATGCGGACGTCGGCGTTGATCTCGTCGATATGCGTGCTTAGACGCGGGACGTTCAGCCATGTGGGCCAGAGTTCGATCTCATTGACGTACATGAGGTCGAGATGGTAGATGGTTTTCGCGGTGTTGGTGAGACGAAGTAAAGCGGTGACCTCATCGTGGAGCTGGTGGTTGAGAAGTAGGAGGGGAGTCGATGTGACGCAAGCGTCGCGGCGGCTGAAGGTCTCGTAGAGGGTGTTGTTGGGGCCAATTCTCCCGCAGACGGTGTATCTGGTGTCTAAGCAGGGTTCTCGACGGACCTTGCCTGTCCAGGGGTTGAGGGGGCGGTTACGAGACGCGTTGAGGGCGTATTGGAAGATGATGGCACGGATTTCAGTGGGAAGAGTGAGAAAAGTGGCCATGATATTATTCTTCCTGTCAGTAGTGGTAAGGGGATGGAGTTGGTGGTAGTGGAGAGAAAGATGGGGTCCGTTAGAATGCCAAGAAACTTAAGTAGATCTGTATCACTTGCCTACTAGGGAAGGTTGAGAAACACTACAGATGCAAAGTGAAGTATGTATGAAAGGATTGAATTGCATCGACACCTCTATAAGAAACGACAAATGGTATCACTATAATTCATAAACATCAAGGAAGGGAAAAAAGAAGCCAGAAAAAAAATAAAAATAAAAGAAAGTCGTAGCCAAGGAGCGTAACTGGAAGCACCACAATCCGAATCCGTTTATGCAGATGTAGTAGATGCTGCACTCGGATGATGTCCGCCGAACTCCTGCATCTCCCGCAATGCATCGGCCCGCCGCGCGATGACATCTCCGCGACGGACGACGTTGCGTAGCGCCTCTCGCGCCTGGATTGATTGCATCGTTACCCCGCACAGGCTGAGCGAGCAGTCGGCCGTGATGTGAATTACTCACTGAGCAGTAATATAGAAATATATATAAGGGTCGTATTCCTCCCCATCACAGATCTGGTCTCACAGCTCTACCAGAATCGGAACCTTGTGCGTCTTCTCAAATATTCAGCCCCCCTACTCCCACATATTACTAAACTTAGACCCAGATTACTATATTCCAGCCTATCTAAGAACAAAACAACATGTCCAATCTCCACTATTACAACTACCCCGGTGTCGGCACCACGAACAACCGCGAATACTCCTACTCCCAATCTGTACGGGTCGGTGATATCGTCAAGTGCTCCGGCCAAGGTGGATGGGATGATGAGGGCAATATTGACGCAAATGACCTACCTGGCCAAATCGAGAGAGCATTCCACAATGTCGAGAAAAACCTTCGGGATGCGGGACTGCAGGGGTGGGAGAATGTGTACTCCGTGCGCAGCTACCACATCTCGCTCGCGGATTCATTCGATTTAATGGTGGAGAAGTTTAGGAAGTTTATGCCCCGCCATCAGCCAATCTGGACGTGTGTGGGAGTGCGAGAACTGGGTATTCCTGGGATGATCGTGGAGATTGAGGTCGAAGCTAAGGTGAACTAGATGGGAATCATTCTCTCGATGTTACCTAGATATTTGTTTCGCACTCTTATGCGCACGTTTGACTTACTCTGGAGGGTGGCAAGAGTGATGTTGGGACCACGCTGGCATTCCATCTCCTTATCGGTCGCAGTTTCGACGCGCTGAGCTATAAATCCTACGAGAATTACCCCGCCTTGTTCCTGACAATAACCCCACTTTCTGACGTAGTAGTAGCACCCCTCTGGCTCCGGTCGTCTCTACCCCGAGGTAAGGGAAAGAGAGGGCTACCCAGGAGCTATATCAGGTTTCTTTCTAAGAGAAAAGGGTAAAAGCTCAAATCAGGTATATGGGGCTTATCAACTAGAAGTATCCTTTTTGTATCATCTAGAGCGTACTTATTAGATTTACTATAGGAAAGGTTAGTAGATAGGTAGGGCGGCTCAGCCACGAATAAGAGAGTAATCCACTGAAACTGCACAACAAGGTAATTGTAAACGCCGGTGGGGGTAGTGGTGGGTTGTGTCTCTTCTCTTGTGGTCCTTCAAATGGCAGCAGTAGCTCATAGTCTTCCACTCATTCTGAAGGTGTTGTCCTAGTATTCGTGAAGATCGCCCGATCAGAGAGGGCAAAGGCCATGGCTCGTGACTTTCGACCGAGCAACGATGCCCAATTCTAGCTTCAATTACTGAGCCCTAACATTGCTTTCTCAAACCCTGTGATATGACCGACAGGCAACAACTTGACTCCATCTCCCATCAGCATGCTATGAGACTATGGGGATCATCTCAGATGTATGGTCTCCCGCCGCTGGAATCTATGGGCGCGTGAGCAGAATAGAGGACACTGGGGACTAAAGCTAGGGTGCTCCTGGCGAGTGATTCAAGTCCCCGTGACTTTTCAGCAGTGTCTTTGTAAATCGCCCCGAAACATGCTATTGTCGTTTTACTCGATCTCACGCCCCTTTAGCGAAGGAATGTTGTACTAAGGTGTGGCTATTTATCCTGGGTGGGTCTGTCTTTATCCCAGTACAAACCCACTGAGCTCGCAACAGCCAATCTGGCTGTATTTCCCCTAACAATGCAAGTTAGAAATGTATGGTCTCCCCTGTTCGCCAGGGAACTGTAAATCCAATGGGGCGTTACGTATGAGGACAGCCTCATTCCCAGTGAAGACATGCAGGCTATGATGAAGCTAGTGGAAAGTCCAGAATACCCAGGAGACTCTATTGTGCTCTGAGAAAAGGGAACAGAGGAACTAAGCCGCATCTGATTACATTTGGTTTGAAAAAAGAGTTGATTGAGTTCTTCGATAATTTTTGGCAAATGCTGGAGCTGTTAAAGGCGGAACTGAGCGCTAGTTTGTTGTAAGGGGAAACGGGCTTAGTTTCCTCTGTTTGGCTGTCTATTTAAGAAGTCCAGAGCCTTGGGAAGGCAATGGCAGCTCGAACAAGAGTAATTCAACGCTCCTAATTACTGAATAAGCTAAAGGACCGCTGTGGAGCATCTCAGGAGCAAGCTTGGCAATTAGACCGCCCGCATAGCTTCTTGAATACACTATAGTCGGCGACAGTGTTACAGACCTCTCTCTACTTTGGAGGCGAGATGAAGCGTTTACTACGCTTTTTTTTCGGCAACCCCCCTCAACAATCTGACGGCAGCGGAGAGCCGGCAGTGAGACCTGTACATTCTATGATAAAAATATGCAGAGGCTTGCTCCAGCACAGTGTTTCGAGGGGCAAGCAAGGTTGGAACGAACGGGATCTTGACAAATCTTGGAGGGAGCTACTGGTGACTGAGGATACTCTGATATCAATTACATGAAGCCATACTTGGGGTGGTTAGAAGACTACCAGGGTCGCCGTAATACAATATAGATAGATGACCGCCGGGGTCTTGGGCCTGGTGTGGACGCTAGTTGGCCGTCCTCTCTCTAGGGTAGTCGTACGACCGACGCCCTGCGATCAGCCTCCCCCTTTGACCTTGTAATTGCTCAGACAAGCCTATGACTGATTTGGGCTTAACACCCCGGTCAGATGTTCTTTACCGGTTTTAGGCCGTTGTGCGGCTTGCGGAGTAGGAGGTACCCTCGTTAGGAAAATTATGCAAGCGAAATACTTGTTCCTATATCCACCCGAGAACAGCCAATAGAAGCAAAACTGCCCCGGAAAATGTGCTCAAACGCCCGCAACACTAGGTAGTGCCAAGCAGTTTACAGGGCTCAATCGCACCAAGAAAGATTGTTTACTTCTTGACCCTGCTGATAAAATGTGCAGGTATGAGACTGGAATAGGCCGAAGCCCAGTCCTGACGGACATGTCTTAGAACCAGCAATCCACCTTCCCACAGGAATTTCTCTCATACTTATCAAATTTTTCACTTTGAAATGACGAGTATTAATCAGGCATTTATTAGCGAGGAACTGATCAGAGGTGAAATAATTCTTGCTTCCTCGCTCTTTTCTGTAACCTCGTGGCCTAATCCGCATCCTCCAACATACACTGCTTATCACCAGCTATGAAGCTGAAGCTTCTGCCATGTCTATGGGCTCTGTTCCTGGTACTCGCAAGTCCCGCCCACAGCGTGGCAGTCGGTCGTGCTGGACATGGCTTCGTCGGGTATGGCATCACGATGTACAGGCCGGCCTGTGCCTTCGCCTGCAAAGCGACAATTTCGAACCCATTAAACTGCACCATGTCCTCGGATCATGAGTATAAGCACATGAAGCGTCACGGGCATTCACATTCAATGGGGGAGCTACCGGTAGGAGAGGGCTGGATGGTGACAGCGTCCCCAAGCGCAGAGTGCTACGCAACGAACAATGCGTTCCTGCAGACACTAGCCTACTGCCTACACTCGTACTGCACAAACGAAGCTAACTCGACGCTACAAAAATTCTGGGAGATGGATGTCGTGGGCCGCCTTCCAGATCAACCGCTCCCAAAGATGAGCTACCAGGAAGCCCTCTATGCTGTTAATGGCACCCCGTTCGTGATCACGAACTCGTCTGTCATCCTATATTCCGCGGGGCTTATAGCAGAAGAGACATTCGTGACTCAGTATCGGACGCTCTCGACCTTCGATAAATTGGAAACTACACATGCACGATATGGGTCCGTCTTATCTTCCGAGTGTAAACTCTCGGGCTTTGAGAAGAATACTAACGCATGTCTTTTAGCCTCGTTCTAATCATCACTGGCGCGGTCATCCCTATTGCATTCTCCTTGTTCCGCTTCCTTCCCTTTCCAGCGGAGTGGATGACAAACTTCGAGGCCAAATATGTGAACCCTCCCCTGATCGTCGCCCGGCACAACGTCCCATACCTCTGGGACACCGCCATGATGCCAACCCGCGGACAGGCCTTCTTTCTCGCATACCTTTTTATTCTGAACGTGGCCCTCTGCTCCGTCGGCATTGAATCTGCACGCGACAGCACATGGTACAAAAACCGCGAACAGGAGATCGTCTCCTACGTGAGCAACCGCGCGGGCTATCTCAGCTTTGCCAATATCCCTCTACTCGTGCTCTACTCGAGCCGAAACAACTTTCTCCTATGGGTGACAAACTGGTCCCATAGTACATACCTACTTACTCACCGATGGATCGCCCTTATCGCCATTGTTGAGGCATGCCTGCACTCGGCCATCTACCTCCAGATCATCGACTCCGACGGCGAGCACACGAGCAAGAGTCAGTTACCCTTCTGGTTCTGGGGAATCATCGGTACACTCTCAATGGTCGTCATGATCCCGGCATCAATCCTTCCTATCCGCCAGAAATTCTACGAGGTCTTCCTCGCCTGGCACGTTTTCTTCTTTCTCCTCGCGATGGTCGGCTGCATCTTACACATCTGGTACCGCTATGCATGGCAATGGGGGTACGAAAACTGGATTTACATGGCGCTTGCAATCTGGGGGTTTGACCGCGTGCTAAGGATTCTGCGTCTTGCTCGTCACGGCCTTCTCAATGCGCATATCAGCGTTGTGGATGACGACTATACGAAAATCGAGATTCCCGAGGTCACGGCCGATGGGCACGTCTATCTATACTTCCCTACCCTAACATGGCGGGTCTGGGAGAACCACCCCTTCTCTGTCCTCAGCGCCACGCGCATTTGCCGCGCAGACTGGCCGAATGCCGCTGTCTCGGAGAGCTCCTCGTCTTCAAGCTCGCTACAGGACCAGAAGGAAATGGGAATTACAACCCTCAAAGACCCAGCAAGCAACATCATCACCGTCAGCGATACGAAGGTCACACCACCAATCTCCCCGTCTCCAAAATCCCGCGGCAATAGTCACTACCACGACGGTCTCACTCTGTACATTCGCACCCACACGGGCATCACTTCCTATCTCCGGGCGTCCCGAGCGACCCTCCCCGTCCTGGTCGAAACAGGATACTACCCGCGCTCCATCCTCGCATCGGAACCCTCCTCTGGAGCAAACGTCCTCGCGTTCGCGGGCGGTGTCGGCGTGACTGCTCTCACATCCACGTTACTACAGCATAGAGGGTATCACAAGCTATTCTGGGCGTCACGGAGCATGGCGCTCGTCGATTCCGTGAGGGAGACGCTTGGGAGCGATCAGTTTGACCGGATGAACCCGGTGCTCTTCACGGAGCGAAGGATGCATATTCCAAGCATTCTGGAGGAGGAGGCGACGAGGGCGCCGGGAATTCCTGTAACTGTTGTTGCTAGTGGGCCTGGGGGCATGGCGGATGAGGTGAGGAGGGAGGTTGCGAGGGTTACTAGAGAGCTAGGAGCTGTTTTTACATTTATGGAGGATTCGTTCAGTTGGTAGATTTACTTCGGCAGTTCGTTTGGAGAACGGAATGCAGTCAGCCGAGGACGGCCGACTGCGCCAAGAAAGATCTACAGCTCAGTACTACATAAGAAGTTAACCCTCCCGTGTTGTTGCGACCTCTATATAGGGCGGTCCGCATTCGATGATGTTGACTTCCAACCATGGTCTTCTTGTATGGATTAGTGGTTAAACGTCTCATTAAGCTGAAAAGGGGTCTAGTGGTAGAAGCGCACCAATCTACTGGCAGACCCCGTAACGCCCGTTGGTGGCAAGACAAATTGTTTCTACCGATTCTATGCTTAATATCGTCGTAGAGATGTGAATGAAAGGGAACTGAGCTGATCTAGTCTCTTTCACGGTTTATGTGGAAGAAATGCTCTATCTACATATTGCAGGTATAAATCTCCACATCAATGAATCGCTAAGTCAAAAGACACTACCAAGGCGTCTCACCGGTTAAGACATATGTTTCGCACTCATCGGCAAGTTCACGACTATCCCATACCCCTTCCCTTCGTCGTAAAGATCGCAAGACAGAAACACCGCGGAGTTGAGTCTCTCGATCCTCGCACGACATGCAGATCAACGTCAAAGCAGGGAGAAGATCTCCGCCGAGCGTAAAACTCGGATGTTTTTGCGACTGGTACATTAAAGCCACAGACTCTGCATTCGACAGAACTTTCTGAGCGCTTTCAATGCTGACTGCGTCATCGAAGGTCGTCAGTTCTGTCACCAGAGTCCATACACTTTGCTCTAAAGCAAAAGATAAATCTTCTGGTCGCTGTTCGGGCGCTGGAATGTCGGATTGCTGAAGAAGCTTGAATCGTGCATTCCAGATGTGGAACGCTTCCCGCGCAGAGCTTAACGCCCTAGTCTCTTGCATCTCAAGCCAACAGCACTCAGAAGGCTGGTGCTCTGGGATAATGACCGGCGACGCAAAAGAAACATTATAGATGACATCCACCCGTTGTAGCATGCTCGATGCTTCTTCGTAACTCGCAAAGGGTTCATATCGGTTGCCCAAGTCAGGTGTCGGATAATCGAAAGGCAGATCTCCGAGCACATTCTCTCCATTATAGAACGCTGCGTCGTTACTAAACTGATAAAAGACTTTGAGTACAGCATTCCTCAGGTCCCGGGGAGCCGACGTCGCCGGGAGTTCCGAGCTGGAGCGCAATAGACCACATCCCGCTTTCAAATGCCGAACAGATTCTTCATAGCGACCCAGTAGCTGCTCAATGCACATGAAAACCACGCAGCAGATTAGAGGAAGGTGGGCATCTATTCCTCGGTGATCTTGGCGAGCGTAATCCTGGATTTGGGCAATGGCTGCGTTGTATTTTTCAATGGCGATAATCTCGGACCTTAGAATCTCGTCTCTAGAGCCATTTTCCCCAGGCCCGCTGAACAGGAAATGCCGGTGGGCAGCCCCTAGCGCACAGAAGGCGTAGTTGAGAGGTGTGGCGATATGAGCGAGCGGCATCGCATAGGAATGCCAAAAGTCGGCCGGATCAGACACGGAGGCCACCTGGTCGAGCAAGAAGAGTTGCGCATGATTTAACAAGATAGGGTCTCTGTCGTTGATAAACAGTCTTTCGGGTAAAACGCGGGGAACTTTGATGAGCCAAGGTTCCATGGCTGCGTGGATATCATTGGGTTGCATTGATGCGCTGGGTTGGCGGCGTGGCAGAAGGGTTCTCCCCAGTCCAGCATCTTTGCATATTTGCTGTAAAAGAAGAATATTGGCTTCGCAATCAGAATTCGCTTTCGGTTTAGGCTTGGGGCCAGGTTTTAATCTAGGAAGTGTCTTATAGCCATCACATGTTCGGCGGTCTTGCTGGCATCGCCGGCAAGTCGGTTTGGTCTCGTCGCATTTCACATGGCGGGCTCTAACCAACCGTCAACTACTGTAGTAGATCTGTGCATGATTGAGATTACCCACTTGCTAGATCCCATTGATCCGGTTAGTATCATCACCTAAGGCACTTGGAGACTGAGTATGGACCGAATGTGGTGACATACCAAGTAATGCACCCCGTTCTCACTCGCGGGGCCTTGGACCGACATTGCTTCTGCTTGTTGGCTTCATCTCCTGCGGCCATTGTAGTGCCAAGCTGGATATGCAAGGGATTATGAATGTAAAAAGCTTCGGGGAATACCGTTTCGACTCCAAAATATCTTGAAGAATCCTGAATCTAGGCACCAGGAACACGGCAGGGACAGGAGGAATTACATAATTCTAGGCTGATGCATTCTCGGGTGGGTCTAGAGGAGAAGTGTACTTGGATTGGCTGCGTCGTAACAATTCTCCAAACCCGAATGGCGGATTGGTCAGTTCATAGATCCGAATCAGTAGTACAATCTGGGGGATCCACTTGTGCCCTGGCTTGCACAGGGACATGATAATGTGGAGGGTTATTTGGCCAATTTTCACTCCATTAGCCATGAATTGATTCCTACGTCTACGTTTAACGAGTTCAGCAAGCTCACGTAGGGCTCAGATCTCACCCCAAAACGCGTTAATTATTACTTCTCATACTTTCGTGGCTGGTAGATAGCCTGGGTTGGCGAATCAGCAATATTACAATATTCCTTAAAGACTCCATTTACTTCCCATAAACGTACTCCGTAGGCGGTTACTGCTACGGTAATCAGTCAAAACTTCCTGAAAGTGGGTCGAGGGCCACTAGGACAAGATTAAGCTTCCTACCCACTGCCTACTCCTACATTAGTATACTTGAACGGAACGTACGGAGTATTTACAGTCCAATTGTCTTATGAGATTACCCTTTGTTATTGGGGAAATTAGATAGATATCAGCAAAGCTTTCTTTGTTACGCCTTCCGCCTTCCACATTACGTATAAAGCCAGGTATCCGCGGTTCGGGCCGAATCTTTTTTTCTTTCTTTCATCCCTTCTAGTATTTAGAATTCAGCTCCGTTGAATATGAATCTTGCATCAATCAAACGTAAGGAAGGGTTGAATACCGCTTTACTGGCACTGGGGGTATATCAAGTCAGAAATACCCCCCACATGGTTTTTGACATAATATAGAATCATAGCGTGAGACAGCTGCGGGATTTGGACCGTGCTATACATGGAATCTGAATCGATTTTAGACGCCTTTTGGCCATCCTCTGCAATCCGGGGGCTAATGAACTATGGTGATTGTAACATGGCATGGTTGTAGGCATGCAAGAGACACGTGCCTAGACCAGCAACCGAACTTTATGACACGAGACGGGACACAATGACTGGCACCGTGGTCATGTCGCATGGTTCCTCTCGTCCTGGCTTTTACGCTGATGTTTTACCTTCTGGAATCCCCTACTTCTCCTCCGTGAGATGCACGTCGGAAATTTCAATAAGCGCCTGAGAACGCTCCTCCTCCGTCTTACACTTCTTGATAGACTTGCGATTCGAGCCAATCGTTTCTCTTACGGTGTCATTGAACATATTGACGTTGCCAACAATCTCCTCCTTCTCCTTGTCCATGAGCATTTTCATGCAGGTGACGTATCTGGTGAAGAATGATGTCGGGTTTGTCGATGTGAACCAGGACATGAACTCGTAGTTTTGAGGCAAGAACTCCGTCATTGTGAAGCAATAAACTGACACACACTCTTTTACGGCGTCGCCCCTGGGTTGTGGCAGGCGTCGGGAAGATACCTAAGCCGGACCGGGCCTTGATGCGGGGAAGGGTTCCGATGGACATGTTATTGTCTTATCACGTTTACACTGATTCATGAAAAGCCGCCCATGACGCATTACCAAGACCCACGAAATACGTCGTCTACCGCCGCAGTCGTTGAAGAGCCTGCCATTACCAGTCAGGGTACGTGAAGTGGCCGCAATATTTTGACTATGTAAAGAGGGCAAACTCGCTATGAAGTAGGTATGAGATGTACCCTTCCACCAGGACGCAGGATGAACAATTACTGCAGCCGAAAATAAACTTTGCAGTCGCGGCACGCTTTCTTGGTCGTTTTCAATGCCAGTACTTCCGAATAGGCTCCTGGATTTTCTGCCACGCCATCTCCATGGCTTCGAGCACATCTTGTGGAAGGGTCTCTTTCTCCAAATTCGCCAAATTGTTTTCCAGTTGCCTCTCATTGCTCGCTCCGATTATAACGGCATCACCGTGCTGTTTATCCAGAACTGAGTGGTGGATCAGCCAGCGGTATGCGCACTCCGGGATCGTGAGAGAGTGTCGCTTGGCAGCATCCTCAATTATTGCTAGGGCCGCAAAAGTGGTCTCGTTCCAATAACGGCCATTCATAGCACCGCTCTGAGAGTTGTTGGGGTCGTATCGTGAACCAGCCTCGAAAGACGTCGTGTCGTAGCGGTAGCGACCAGTAAGTAATCCGCCAGCCAAGGGCTGAAAGGCGTATAGTGAAATACCATAGTGTCGCAGGCATGGGAGTAGTTCCGCCTCAATTGCACGATGAAGTGGATTGTAGATGCCTTGGTAAATAGAGGGACGAATCCAGCCGTAGCGGTCACAGAGCTCACACATCTGTGCCACCTCCCAGGACATGAAGTTGCTGATACCAAGACGCGCAAATTTGCCCTCCCGATGTAATTTGTCGACTTCACGCATGGTGACCTCGAGAGGTGTCTTGCGATCCGGCGCGTGCAGGTACCACAAATCTATTGTCTCTGTCTGCAGCGCTTCAAGGCTACGCTCTAATGCTCTCCGTAGGTCTTCGGCACCCAACGTGTAGTTCTCGGCATCCATATTCTTGCCCGCTGTCGGGTAAATCTTGGTCTGCATCTGAAGACCTCTCTGCTGCCAAAGACTCTCCCCAAGGAGAGCTTCAGAGGTGCCTTTTGCGTATGCACGTGAAGTGTCGACTTCGAAGTGTCCATGTCGTTGAAAGATATCAAAAATGCCCCTGATGTCTTCCTGCGTCGTCTGCCGGCATCCATCCATCCCTAACGTTTGGTCAGTAAGTTCAAGAACAAAGAGGTCATGTCTTGAATACTCACCAGCCTGCCCAACTGTCATAGCGCCAAAGACGACTTTGATATTTGTGGATTGGCTTGCACTCATATGAAAAACGTAGGATGTTTATTCCTTTCTTGCGAGGTAGTATGTTCTCGGTCCGATCAAGACTTGGAGCGCCAACGACGGCTCATATAGTAAACTATTCTGAACACTGTTTGAGTGTCTTAAGTACTCTCCGCTTAATTCCGCTTTATCTCCTAGATGATGACAGTAGTATGTACATTGTGTAAGTCCATTGGCGTAGTACCCACTATACTGCTCCACAGTGGCGACACAGATCTCGCTAGCTTTCCCGCTTTCGATAGCTACTATTCATACTTACAACTGAAGATTTGGCAGCATTTATCCTGACTATCGTATAATCATGGTCGTCCACAATGAACAGATGGCCGAATTCGCCAGTAAAGCTGGTTACTGTTGAGGGTTGGCTCAACAAGTGTACTGCTTTATAATATCAATTGTTCTTGAAATATAACCTACAGTTTTCTCTGTTGCTACCCGTCAATTATGACCTCATGGATGTTTCAGCCTTTGGGCAAAAGCAACAGCCGGAAATATAGAATCAGGCTTTCTTGGCTAGTTTACAGCAGTTACAGCTATCATCGCGAGGACCAAGGCCCTCATTCTGACTAGCTGAACAAATCCACCTTAACAAAACCCTTGACCTAGTCATTAGTCAACGCTCGAGTCGTTTCTACCTAAATAGTATTCCGGGTTGCTGAGAATCAAAGTAAGTATGGTATGCGCCCGAGAAGAAATTTCAGCAATATTTTCTAATAGATTCGCACCCAGTCAAATCGAATTACGACTTTGCAGTCACTGCATGGACCTTTTGCGTTTGGAGTCATTCGCGGACAAGCACAACCACGTCGGAGTGCGTAGAATAATAGTTCGCTGGACTGCGGGCTGAAATTTGAAGGTTTCAGTCCGAGGGGTCAGAGAGAGGGTGGAGTAAATAATAATATAATCGGCATACCGGCAGGCTTTGAAGCGGACTTAACATGCTATACAACGAATTATCTCCGAGAAGATGCGGAGCTTTAACAGCCCACTACCTATAAGTTTGTTTGCCCCAGAAACACCGGCTGGGTTCCATAGTCAACCTCTGCTACCTTATATTCCCTCGGGATTAAACCATTTTCTTCTGGGCTAATCTTACCTCCAATTTCTACATCTCCCACAATGCCCGACATTACAGCCTCGCCTCTAGCACCCCCACGACGCATTGTGACCAGCCACCATGACGATGGCCTTGCGACCGTGAAGTACGACTCTCTGGTTTCTCCGGAATCCGTTGGGGATGGAACCAACCTCGCACGCCTCTGGTGCAGTACAGAGCACCCAGCCGATGTCAGCAGCACCCAGGACCAAGCATTAGTAAACCCCGGTATGCCGCCGACAGGCTCGGGTCTCAGTGCGTACGACCTGCCTCCCAGATTCGAGGGGGCCTTTCACCGCTCGATCACACTCGACTACGTCGTCGTTGCAAAAGGAAGTGTAGTCTTAGGGTTAGACGGCGGCTCCAAAGTTACTCTGAACGAGGGAGACGTGGTAGTCCAGCGGGCAACGATGCATAGCTGGAGCAATCAGACGGACCAGTGGGCTCGCGTTTACGGAATCATGCTGCCAGCCCAGACACCTGTCGTTAATGGAAAGGAGCTTGAAGCTGCATGGCCGTTTTAGAAAATGTTCAATCTGTTGAACAATTTCAGAACATGTGAATAAATACCGGGTTTATGTCGTGTTAGCCTGTTTTTAGACTCTTGTTATACATAACATGCAACGAGGTTGATATGGGAAGTATGTATGTGCATTTATAAAGTAAGTCTTGCGTGGCTGAGCGCTCGTAAAGATATTCTATGAGCGTAGAATTACCGGGCCCTGGATCGCCTGTTGTCTAGTACATAAGATCGTAGTCAGTCTCGGGGGATATTGACCACATATATTAAGAATGTACTTTTTCTGGCTGTCATGACTATCGAATCTTAAAGCCTATCCTAACGACGATTGCATACGACCACACATGATATGGTCGGGGATTAGTAGGATTAGGATGTTGCATCTGTTTATCACGAAGCTGTTTCACGGCGACTGAGTCTATAGAATTGTTGAAAATCTCAATACCATGGCGTCAGGCGTTTTTTGAGCTTCCTCCAACGTAAGGTTCTGTAGAGTAGAAATTATCATATACATTAATGCTACCTTATCCAGTCCCAGCTAGATCGAGCCCCTTTGTAATCATCATCCCAGGCCACTTGGAGGATACGCCACGAGTCTTTGAGAGCCTTATGTTGTGTAGTTCCCTCCAACTGTTCATATATCTCATTGACTGTTTTTAGATCATCCAGATCCGTAGCAGTGAGCCCAGCAAAGAAAAGCGGAATGATCATTAGCGGCGCGAGCTCAGACGCTTCGATCTCCGATAAGTTTGATAGTATATCATTTGATGATTCCTGTGCCTTCCAGCCCTCCATGTCGCCTGGGTGCATGAGAAAATATGTCCAAATAAAAATAGCGGATTGGCAGGATCCGAACAACATAATTTGCTCCTCTGTAGAGAATTGCTCTTCGCCCGGTTTCCAGCTGGCAAGGTCATTCCATATTTGAACGGCGTCGGTGATCCCATGCGCGTTTAGTTTGGAATCTTGCCGCACCCTGCAGTGAAGAGCATGGACTCTCTGCATGAGCTCCAGCAGATAAGTCTTCCAATCACTTTCGGTAGCAGGTCGGGCGCCTTTAGAAGAGGGGACAGGCGCATGCTTTGCGGCAGGGGTCTGTCTGCCATGCAGAACGTAGGTGGCGAAAAAGTCTAGTAGTGGAAGCATGGCACTGTTTCCTTTTCTTGTTTCGTTGTAAAAATGCTGTCTGCGCCAAATCATGTCAGCTCTGGTGCACTTGACGATCGAACCTTCGAACTTCCTGACCATAAACTTTGAATATCTGTCTATTCCCTTGCGACGGGTATCAAGTGAGAGAAATTTTTGCTCGAAGAACAAGCCAGGAAAGCTACGTTGACCTTGGATTTATCAGGTTATATAAGTTCTTCGTCCGCGCCTCCTGCGGCTCAGATAAATAATTGCTATGGGTTAGTGGAGCGAAACCCTCCACGTTGGGCCGTGCCATCGCTGCCAAAGACCAGGAATGTTTGACCCTGCAATATTGAAAAGGCCAACAATGCATTCAAGATCACAGCCCAGGCTCCCCAGACTGACGGGGGAACCCACACCAAATAACTCGCAACAATGCAGAATTAGACCTTACCAACAGGGCGGTTATTTCCAACCAAAAGAGGAATGCAGGGTGGAGATGGAGAAATTTGCCATTGCCGTTGCCGCGATTCGCGACCAATAATCTTAATACTAGTGGAAATACATGGCCCGAGCACCTCTCATTCCAGAGTCTGATAGGTTCGCATGGGAAATTACAGCTCGCTAGCATTGCGGTGACCAAGCCATGTCATCCATCCTGACCGACAATCAACACGCTCTATTTCTTGCTCTTCAGCACGTTCGATTCCGGCACCGCTTCTATCCCCTCGGCTTACTGAAGATAGAGGCACTCTTTCTGATCGTCTCCGATTCAAATTCTTGAATTTAGCTCGCCATTCCGGGAAAATTATACGATGGGGGGGTGTTTCCATGATCGCGTCGCGGTCTGCGCCGAAAATCATGGAATGCTCAGACGTGTTTTCCTTTCCATATTGTACGCCAGATGGATTGTTGACAAGGATTTTCTGTTGGCCCACCAGCTCAGCATATCGCAAATGTTAACTGCAACATGACCTGCGAGGTTTCGTTGTCAGAGTTCCATTTGGTATACGCAAGACAGAGACGTCTGTTCCTTTGAAACTAGACAGTTGCTTGTGTGAGCACATGTCTGGATCTGCAGTTTTACATGTGCCGTTGCTCGACAGTACTCTGAAGGATTTCACTCGACCCGACACAAGACGGTGAGAGCGGTAGCAACCTAGCATGCCAATTCAGCCCGGTAACCTGGGATTCTCAAAGTCGGAATAGAAGCAATTGCTCACTTCAAGACCATTGTCAGCCGATACACTAGACAGAAGCCTTTCGTTCATCATTTCTTCAGAAGTGCAAGGGTTGGGCCATTCTCCTAGAGTTGGTCCAGCGCCAGGACAACGTCTGTTGTCCCATGTACTTGCCGAACACTGGACCCAGAACGAAGCCCCCAAACGCCAAGATAGCGTACAAGGAAAAGAACAAGGTCTTCTTCAGAGGCTCCTACAAATCCGCAATCGTACCGCCTGTACGGGTCAGTTGGGGGGGCCGGCGGCATCCGAAAAAGTCCGCAAGAAACTGAAACAGCAATTGCGCTCCAATATTCGGCGCGAGCCCCTACGCAAAGGTAAAGATCATGAACGCCGTGACAGAGGCAACGTAGACGAGATTCCGGCCCAGCACCTCAGAGAGAGGGCTCGAGATAAGCGATCCTGTTGTGAATCCCAGGAGAAAAAGCCCGGTTGCTATTGAGGCGACCACCTCGCTCACTCCAAAAGCGGCACTGTTTCGTGGGATGCCGCCGGCAAGGATAGAAGATGAGGCCGAGATGATAAAGGCGAGGGACGAGATCTTGATCGTGGTAAATGCCCGTTGGCCGGTGCTGTAGTTTCGCGGACTGAGTGGATCGTGCTTGTTGTCCCATCCCACAATGTATATCACAGAGCCGTCATTGTTGGTGCGAGTCGTATCTGCATAAATCCAGGCATGTCGTTGATCGCATTGTTTTCAAAATTGATCTTGGAATCGCCATCTTGGACTCGTTGGCGCACTGCCTGCCCGATGCGCCGGTATTGCAAGTATGCCTGCATGATTGTCTTTGTCGTTAGCCTGGTCAATCAAGGTCTTTCAAGTGAGCAAATGCGTATAATTCGACGCGCGGAGGCAGTGGATTTGAATCCTCGGCCTGAATATCTGAGTCAACGGCTTGACTACATCATTGCCTTCGACAGAAAATGGCAGATATATTTTAAGGGTTAAACAAGGGACGGAGGAAGTGGCCGAAGAAGAATTAAGGATTAAGTCCGATCGATGCTTCTTCTCCGATCCGATGGCCCCACAAAGGCCACCACTGCATATATATTTTACATGACGAAAATATCCTGAATACGTACTTACGTATAGGTATGTAGTGAGCATGCTGATAGTAGGCGGTGGCGACAGACCATGAATCTCTCCGGCTTACGAATTGCCGGTGTCAACGGGCATTGGCAGCAACCACGCGAAACAGTAAGATCTGCTACAGTATCCAAAAGATATTGCTAAGTCCGACGAATAGGACACCCTAACCCACCCGAATAATTATAAACTACTCCGTAGCAGCATTGCTTTTGTGTAATGGAGATAAAGAAGTACCAAACCTGACAAATGATCAGATGGTCTCTTCCGCGGGATAAATGTGCACATTACCAATGAGATATTCCCATTGAGACTGGGCCTTGACAGTCATAGATTCCACCAGTGAGTAATCAACATGACGAGTCGATCTCTGGAAAACCGACCTTCCCCGATAGTGCCTACTCCACGCCGAACCAGGATGTTCTTGCAGGACTGGCCGCCGATCCGCAGAGTGATAGAGCTATAGCGCAGAAACTTTTCCAAGAGAACGGTGTTCGAGGACTCAAATCTTGAAATCGAATTGAAGTATGTTGGTGCCGTCAAGATAGCATGAGGATGAAGGGTGACCTGGACTCTAGCTATCTCCACCCTGTCAGTATTCCGCGAACGATGGACATATGACAGACTGGCACCTTACCCATGGGCTCCATCTCGCAAAGAGGACCAGGTTTCTTGACTATCGAAGCCACTGCGTTCCTCCCGAAGGTCGCATCACACGCCAAGACCATGGTCTGTGGAAGGACTCCCAGATCGAGGCCCTCCGCCGCGTTGTGGATCTCATCCATAGTCAGAACCAGCTTGTGGGGATACAGATCGCGCACGCAGGTCGCAAAGCCGACATGGTTACCCCGTAGATCTCTTTCAGTGATATCCCACAGACCGCGTCTTCGGCACAGCCTCACGCCTTGAGCCCGGATGATATTGACAAATTCAAGGCGGATTGCGTGGCTACCGTCAAACGTGCATTAAAGGCCGGAGTTGATTATATCATGATTCACAATGCGCACGGCTATCTTCTCGCCTCGTTTCTCTCGCCAGTCTCAAACAACCGAACCGATACTTACGGTGACATTTTCTTCGGGAGTACAGAGTAAAAGACACAGAAAAAGAATCTGTGAGGAGCCACATAGTTCAAGGCATCTGGACACTCGCCTGCATCTTATATATTGACAAGTGCGGGGAAATCCATCTTGGCCGCTAAGGTGACAGAGGTCGCATCGATCTGAAAATAGCTACAGGGGTGTAGGGAACATATAGGTCGTTGATTTGAGGATCCGTCCTGCTCTAGTCACGCCTCGGCGCTAATTTCCTGCCCAAGCCAGTCCCTTGCGCGAATGGGTGTACCTGGGTAACTTGAGGATCACTTCAGCACGGGATCTATTTATCCTTGGACGCCCTGGAATTCTTCATTTTGATTTACTGAAGTTTCAGTACCCGCCGTCGCGTCCTCGGAGCCATTTCCTACGATGGAAAATAGGAAACAGAAGGCCAAAATATTCACTTATGCGCCATTTGACATTGCGAATCTCTTGTCTACCACAAAACGCATTCGGCAGAAGAACTGCACTTGTGACGAATCTCAAAGACAGAGCGGAGTATAAAGAGGTCTCCCAGATACTTTCAGCGTATGATGAAGAAGAGCCCACTGAAGACCAAAAGCAGTATTTCTCGTGCGTTGGCCCAGAACGTTTTGCGCTATCACAGCATCTCACTGTGATGGGTCAATTGAACAAAAGCTTCCTGGCAGATAGGCGGCTTTGGAAATGGATGGACCAGTATCTGAGTGAGAGAGACTTATGTATTCTTCTTGTGAACGCTCCAAGGGTGGCAGGAAACGCAGATTCAGCGAATCGCTGTAACCGGGTATTCTTATAATGTTATGATCGGAGTTTTCTGCCTAGGCGACCCACTCTTCTGAAAAAGATACGCGATTTAGAGGTATAAATATCGAATGACCACTGGAAGTTTGAAGGAAAGTCTTGCTCTTTCTTCTCTTGGTGTGCTGTTATCGCACTCGGCGGTGGGAAAAGGCAGAACCATTATCACCACGTGACGGGGGTCGGCGGGCAAAAAAACTTCCCTTGTGCATCTTCCGGCGGGACGTGAATCACATCCATCTCGTCGCGTCCAGAGCTTGCGCGGACAATCGCAGAGCCTTTTTTGAAAGGTCATCCAACTTCTCCCCTTATATACACCCGCCCGACACATATCTCGCTTCTCGCATCCTCCCATTACTCTTCGGCAGCCTTTCGACTTATCCCACCTTTGTTCCGCGGGGCTGCATTCATTCAAAATGCCGCACTCGATCCCCGTACCTGCCACAGGCTTCCAAGCCTTGATCCTTTGTGGACCCGGTGTCTCGCTGAATACCTTCACTTCGAATCCGGAAGAATACCCGAAATGTCTTATTCCCGTCGCCAATCGCCCAATGGTCTACTACCCGTTGGACTTTTGCAAGCGATCAGGAATTACAGGTAGGTGCGCTTAATTGGTGCAATTGGCATGGACTCATGATTACAGACATTACCTTGATTACGCCTCCGTCCGCTGTCGCTCCTCTCCAAGCCGCTCTACAACAGAACCCGTATCTTACGTCGCTCCCCTCGCCTTCCCCAACAGTCCTAGCCCCCAAGGTGAGAAGAGGTCAGGTTTTGGAGCGGAATTCGCCAGCTAACTGGGTCAGGACCTTCAACTTACCTCCGGAACCGCCGAAATCCTCCGTCTACCTGAGGTGCAAGCCTGCATCAAATCCGATTTCCTCCTTCTCCCCTGCGATCTTATCTGCGAAATCCCCGGTGAATCGTTGCTAGAGTCTTGGATGGTCTGGGAGGGCCGCAATCCCTACGGACCGAATTCATTGGGCCCCGGTGGCGAGCATGGAGGCCCTCGAGGTGGGCTGAGCGTATACTATCAAACGCAAGGCACGGAAGAGGATGTTAAAGGCGGAGTTAGGGACTTTGTGGCTATCGCGCCTCTTGAGCAGGATGAGGTGCCCGCAGTCTCGCGATACGAGCTTTCCAAGTTGGCTATGTCGATGCCCATGGATACTGTGAAGGAGAGACTCGAAGAGGACAAGGGTTTCCTTGTTCGTCATTCCTTGGTTGAGAAGCACGCTCAGGTCAAAATGCTCACCAGCTATCGTGATGCGCACCTTTACGTGTTTCCCTACTGGGTCAAGGAATTGGCGCTTCATCAGGACAAGCTACAATCGGTCAGTGAAGATCTCATCGGCTACTGGGCCAAGTCCAGGTGGCAGCGCGGGCTGGGAGAGAAGTTAGGAATTAACCACGTTCTGGGAGGACGGCCGAATGAGAATCTCGATGACAACGGGAGTATCAACGGCCAGGCTTCCGAGCAAGAGGAGATTGACCTTCGTGGAATGAGCACCACCACACATGCCTCCCCTGCGCAGAATGGCCCGGAACCTCCCTTGGATAGCGCCGAGTCAGATGCTGCGACTGAGACCCCAACAGCAGTTGAGGTTCCGCCTATCCTCGCCTACATGCAGAAGGAATCCTCACCATTTGTTCGCCGTGTCGACAGCTCTCGTGTACTTCTTGCCACATCCCTCCGCCTCGCCAAATTAGAATCTATCGAAGAGGTCGGCCGCACGGCCGCATCTCCGTTTGCACACAACCAAAAGATCGCTCACCCCGAAGGCGTCGCTCAGCGCTGTGTGGTCACCAAGGCTGACTGCCTTCTTGCTCCTAACGTGACTGTCGAAGAAAAATGTGTCATCAAAGAATCCTGCATTGGCACCAACGCGAAGATCTGCAGCGGCGCCCGACTAACTCGATGCGTGGTCCTCGACAACGCCGTCATCGGTGAACGCTGTGTACTGACCGGATGCATCATCGGGAAACGCAGCAAAATCGGTCGCGAATCCGTGCTTAAGGACTGCGAGGTCCAAGATGGCAACATCGTGCCCGACGACACAGACGCCAAGAACGAGCAGTTCATGATCTTCGAGGGTCTGGACGAGGATGAGGAAGGAATGGATGTTTCCGAGGACTTCGGGGATGACCAGGGCGACTTTTAAGAGGATTGTTGTGAACGGGATGGGTGCCTCAGGCTTCAATACCTGACGTCATCCCGGATCCTCTTTACAGAGCCCTAATGATTTAAAGCCTTGTTTATGAAACTTACGAGCATCATCAAAACATACGTGTTGAATTAGGTATGAGTTGATAAAAATAGATATGGTCTACGTGTTCAATTAATTTTCTCTCTCAATGAGCGTTTGGAGTTGTTGGAATACTTCAACTCACGATAGACTTGGTAAAGATTTTCGAAGATGGAACTGACCCAGTGTAGTATAACAATCTATGGCGAGACGCAGCATCGAATGTGTCAATTCCATTGTACATACCATTTAATCAAGTGGCAGACGGTATATTATGGCAAATTGCATTAAACCAATCAATTCAAGCTACTATGTCTTGTTCAGGCAAAGAATCGCGACATTCACAACATTGTCCTCGCAGACGGTCCTTCAGATGATGAAGAAACATCTCTGACTAGAGAAAGCACGAGTAGACCCTCAAAATAAACCCCCATACAACTACAGCAAAGTACGAAACGGTTCACTTAGCCGAACAGCCACTCTTCCCAGCTTTTCCCTTTCCACAACCACAAACATCCTCCTCGTCTTTATCACAGGCACCAGCGCATCCAAACGAGTATGCACTATTATAAGCGGGAGCTACAAGCGGTGCCGCGCCAGAGTGCTTCCCATAATAGCACATTTTCGTACGGGTCGACCAGTCCACACTCTGGCAGTTAGGGAGCTTTGCGCATCCATCGAGACAGTTGCGGTATGTCAGTGTTTTCTCCTCTTTGAAGGGCACTGTGCCGTGTCGTTTGCCACATTCCATGTGGAAGAGCTGTGGGGTAGAGAAGACAGCGTTAGAGAAACCATACTTCAACTGGGCTAGACCAAAGAAGTACAGCCTTGTGAAAGAGGAAGGCCGGTGGAACTTACCTCGCCATACTCGGAAACGTATTTCTGTCCATGGGCAGCGGGACAATCGGTAGAGCACATGTGGGTTATGTTCGCTGGCATTGGGATGCCCGGTGGGTTCACGAAGGAGAGCCAGTCAGTTGAATCTCCACCTGCGTCGACGGTAGAGAAACCACCCAGCGTGAAAAAAGTGCAGGTTTTCTTGGTGGCGTCGTACTCGATACTGTTGCATGTCAGATCAACATTTATTCCGAATGATACGAATTCAGATAATGAGGGCAGAGGGGTGAAGGAGTGAATACCTATCGCAAGTCGGATATGTAGTGCCGAGACATTTGTCCACACAATCCTTTCTTGAATTGGTGCTCTTGTCTTGTCCGAGCCGCTGGGCACTGGAATCCGGCTTTGTACAGCATTGAAGCAAGAAATGTGTTCCGTCGTCTCCTACGACGGCTTTTCCTTGGTCTGATAGCGGGTCATGTATATTAGAAATAAAGCAGAAACTGGGAATAGAGGTACTAACCGCCAGGACACACCGGGTCATCGACAATGTCGAGCTGAGAAGGGATTGCTGTTAGTCGAGCGGGACATGCAGCGTTGACAAAAGAAAGCGTCAACGGCAATAGCAAGAGTTTCGAAAGCAAAGATACAGGAGACATTATTGCTGGGTCTTGAGAGGGAAATAGCTAGGGAATGAATATTTGACATATAAATGCGGATGATAGTAGAGCTGAAATGAAGAACGTCCCGCTCTGCCTCATCATCTACCGATGGTCCAGTCCTGACCAATGTTGTTCTGGTGGCGCCGCTGAAAATCAAGTACTGTCAAGGAAAAATTCAGAATGGTCCCCGACATCATGCATTTTGGGAAATTAAGATCCTTGAGCTCTTTCGCCAGCCGCATAATCATGCGCTGTGATGTTTGCGGGCTTTCGTTGATTCCCAGGGCTATGCCGGTCTTCGGATGTCCAGCCATCCTATCCATTACTGTTTGTTGGTGACTGAGGTACATGGTGGCAACTAAATGCAGACCAAATGATGAATTATTGTTGTAGATCTCTCGGACCATGATCATAATACTGAGGTCTCACCGCAGGAAAGTCTGTTGTAACTCTGGAGATCATTACATCTGCCAAATTTTAGCCCTTGTTCCACTGCATGTGCAGCGTACATGGGATGACTACAAACTGCGGAGCTCCCTGCAATGGGTATAAAGTTTGATAGATCGACAGGCCTGGGCGAGTAGTCCTAGGCATAATACGGTATTGGTGTTACATTTTTGCTTGAAAAGGGTGGTTTATTCGATAATTGTGCGGATCCTTTCGGCTCTTGTGGTGACTGTAACTCATGCATTAATTAAAGTAGTATAGGGATCTGCAACCAACAATTGAAGGGTCTGGAGGGCACAAACAAATCGAGGCGTGGCCTGATTCAAAAATGACGCCCATAGTACAGTATAGTCCTCTTTTGATAAACAGTCAGCCACAGAAGGCACACAAATGAGGGGAAAGTGTAACCTATATCACTTCAGCTGCTGGGTTAACCCCAGATTAATGCAGGTTCACGAATCTCTGTTCACCGAATGACTGGGTCAAGCTAGGTGTATGAGATGATCGGCAACAAACAACATGTATGAGCAAACATGCATGCGATGTGAGACCATGGAATCCAATGAGCGGTTAACTATCATTTAAATTCCAACCTTCTCACTGCATAAGGGAAGCTCAGATCTCTCGATACGCAAGCCAGGAGTTTCATACAGATTAGGACTACAGTATACCCTTTTTAGACTGAATGAGGCTGTGTTTCTTGTACGGGGTTTACGTCATGTCGCAGCTTCTCGGTGACAATGCATACCGATTGCTAGTTGGACCAGGGGTTCCGATCCAAAGATGTGGTCACGCATGTGTGACAAGAATGATTCTCTATGTCTGGACGTCGAATCAGAGGTGCATAGGCAATAGATTCCCTTCGAACCAGTTATTTTCAGCAATTGAACTCCCTATACCACAGAGAGCTGAGATCCTAGCATAGAGCTGAATCCCATGTTTGATTGTTCCCATTGACAAATTACCGACAACTATGTCCCGTTCTGGATGGCTCTAAGAAGCCCAGGCATTGTTTGAGGTTTGAACTTTATATATGCTTTTTGCGATGAACTCCATACGGAACGTATGGATAAGAGAGCTGATCTTACTTGGGGGACTGAACTGCAGGGTCATCTTCTCTCAAATACAGATAGGGCAATGAAATTAAACGTAGAAGGGCACTCAAAACGCAGTAGATACAAAAGCAACATTTCCAAAAGGCAAATCCGTCCAGCGATACGTCAAGCTATCCCAGAAGTCTGGCTGAGTTGCATTATGGGACAGGTGCCATACCAGGCCCGGTCGGCAGTCTGCCAAAATTGACGTGCTTCGCGACCTTCCCATCGGTTGCAACATCAATGGAATTCCAACGTGTCGGGTAACCCGTACATTCACCAGACGCAAAGTTGAAAGATCCCCATACGCATCGTGGGTCATCATCCTGGCACTTCTTCATACAGTCTTCCACCGAAGCCGCGGCCGTATCCAGAACATAGGCGCCCCCATTCTTCTTATCATCGTAGTAGTACGTTGAACATCGAGTCAGCCACGGCATACCGTCAACAAGCCAGTTGCCTAGATGATACCCACCGGGGCCTGGGCAATGCTTCTCATCGGCAGGGGCTGGTGGCTTTGGGTACGTTTTGCATGCTCCGGAACAGCCCATGGACCAGGCACTCGCGTAGCCAGGCGCGTCGATCATGGGCTCGCCACCGTGGTCACCAAAGGTACAGCTACCTGTTCGATGATGATAATCAACGCTCTTGCATTGGCCTATGAGCCCGCAGGTGTCGATACACTGTTCATACGAGTCCACGAACTGTGATACACCTGGAGAGCCATGTCTCTTGCCACAAACCATCAGGAAGGTCTAGAAACGGTTCATCAGCAAAAGACGGATTCGACGACAGGGCAGATTCGAAGGCTCACCTCGCCGTAGTTCGAAGTAAACACCTGATTGTGTGCGCCTGGGCATTTCGTCGAGCAGAGCTCGATCTCATCGTCCGGCTGGTCCTGGTAAGGAGCCTCGACGAAGTAGGCGTGATGAGCCTCCTGAAGGCTCTCGTCTGGGGCAAACCCTCCATGAGCATATAGGGCGCAATTGAAAGGGTCAGATCGACCGGTTGTAGCATCGGTGAACGAAACACTGTTGAATGTTAAAACAGGTTCGATGAGGCTGCAGCAGTTGAGCATACCTCCGGCACTTCCCAGTCTGATCCTTCATACACAGATCCATGCATGCACCAAAGTCGGCCACATTGTCGACACCCAGGAGGAGGCCATTGTTTCTGTCTGTACAACACTGAATGTACATATAGTCTCCACTAGATGTTGCGTAGAGCTTTCCATCATCTATCGTTGTTAGCCAGCCTGTTCGGATCAGAAGACGAAGCAGAACAGACCTGTGGGACAATTGAATGTGGTGGTGATTTCTGGAGACCCATTGGGGGTTGTGCTCCACGTTGAAGGACATACAGAGCCGGAGCCAGTGCCAGATGGAGGAGCAAAGGGACTAGAGCCGGATCCTGACGGCGGAGCAAATGGGCTTGAACCAGAGCCAGAATCACTTGGCGGTGCGAAGGGAGAGCTGTCGGCGGTAACGCCTACAAGTATTAAGGATGCTATGAGTGCCCCAGAAGCAAAGCCACCCAATGAAAAAGGCACTCCGACTAGCATTTTGAGATACTAAGGTAGCAAAGATACTTTGCGGGAGGAATAACGGTGAAGACTTGGTTGTAAAGGACTAGGTGAAAGGCCACTGAAAGGTATATAACAGTGCAAAAGTAAGCCCCGGAGACAGATAGCGAAACCAGAAACTCCAGGAGTGGATACTTGGCTACTGGGGGGACCTTGACTGGTTCCGATGAGCAAGGCCGATCATGTATGTTTTTGGGAGCTATTTACTATCAATGAAAGAAATGATAGACGAAATGTAAGTTTGTGTGTTCGTTCTTAGCATAACCAGCTGTAATGTGCATTCTCATCAAACGAGATGGCGGGTGATCAGCTGTATGCAGGTCATGCCGATCCCTACGTTTGCTTAAGCCCTGTTTAATGCTTTGATTTCCAAGTTGTTTGCTAGGATCGAGATACAGTCGGGCTCTTGCCTTAGTGCGCAGAGGTCCCCGATAGCCCGCATCGCGTAATGGGAGGCCTAGCAATGTGGCGAGCTGAATCAGACCCATTGCAGATCAAGTGAGATTCGTCATGCGTCATTATAGATGCATGGTTCGTACAGTGTGTTCTGATGTTGATCACCAAAGCGTCAAAGCCACCGATCTCCGAACTACGAGAGCGCTTATGCACCCCTCAGGAAGGGTTTGAACCCCAACTCCAACTCTAGTATTTAACAGGATATAAGCTGATATACAACCTTTCTCCCACCTTCCCTTAGACAGCCATACTTATTGTCCTCTTTCGGTAGGCTCAAGAGAGTGCTGTGAACAAATATCACCCAAAGGTATGCTGGTATGATTGCTCCGCCTGTTAATTCTCTTTGCTGACAGTAACCTCAACAGCATACGTTCAACTTCCATACTCACAATGCGCCTGATGCCCTTCTTTCTTGCCCTTCTGGCATTTGTCCAGGGCTCGCATGCTTTCCTCTTCTGGTGGTGGCTCCCACTTCCTATCTTTGTGATCAACGGCAGAAGCGGTGGTGGTAGCTGCAACTCCTGCTGCCCATCATGCGCCATGACTCAATCCGAGCTTAATCAACACATTTCCGACTGCGGCACAAACCTTCAGACTTGGCAACAGGGCTGTGTATAGACTTCGGTCTGAACTTGGAAAAAGCGACTGGTGCCATAGAAGGATTCTCATTGGAGGAGTGACAGGATGTGGGCCTGGAATGTGTGAGGGATTGGGATCCAACTTGTTGGGAGGGATCAGGAATGTTTGAACCATGTTGGGCTTGTCTTTCAATTTCTCATGTTTCTCTGCTTAGTTTACTACCTGGCTTCTTTGAATTTCTTTTGCATTTTACGTTTGAATCTTATCAGATATGCTCGAACCATGTTTTGCATAGGAGACGGCAAGTTGTCCGGCATTTTCGTATGTATGAAGTGGATAGAGCGGGCGTAGAAAGATTATTATTCGCTAATAACAGATATTTCACTCCAGTCTGAGGACAGCCGTTTTCTAAAGCTCAAAAGAAACAGAAAGTATAGAACACCCAACTATAGAATAACTATAGGTAGGTATGAAGAGGTATGACAGATGTACTGTGACACACATACTGTGATGATACGCTGTCAGTAGGCAAATACATTAACAGGGAACACCCGTAGCACAGTTCATTTCCCCACAAATACGAGATGGCTTGCTTTTGAAGTTGTTTGTCTTTTGCAGCATGGACTGCGCTTGATCCTTGTCGGTGGCGCTCTGAGCACAGCTGAGTATGCACAGGTCGGTCGACCCATCACAGCTGAGGGATTTTGATCAACATAATTCCTGGTGGCGGAAGGGTTTGAGTGTCGTCTAGTAGAGGGCACGCCGAACTTGCATTTTCTTCAGCTGGACGAAAATACAATCATGAACTGTTCGTTTGCCATGCCTTAAGCACAATAAATGTGGACAACCCCCTTTGTCCCTCTATAGAACTACATTCTCTACATTCTATTCCTCATCTACTTCCGAAGTACCTGCCTCAAGATGAAAACACAAATTCTCCTTGCTATTATTCCGTTAATGTGCACGACTCTGGCCGACGGTAATCAAAATTATCAAGACATTTGCAAGGCCACTCCCCCAAAGTCGCAGGAGAAGATTGATAGCGTGACATTCAAATACACATGCAATTCCGGCTGCGACACTGCAAATCTAGTCAAGATTCCGGGAGACTTTGACCATCCTGATGACTGTGCAAAAGAAATCGCCTCTTCCTCGGAAGAACTCATCACCTGGGTACCTTGGGGTGCGTGCTGGAAGTGCACGGCACCTGGGTCAGGACCGGTGTCCTATGACACTATAGTGATGGAAAAGGTCAAGGAGAGCCCCTTCGCTCCTCCTCCTCTGACCTGCGATGAGAAGCTGCTCCAATGCGAGGAGGACTTGAAGAGGTGTGGAGCAAGCCCGGGGGCTGGCGGTGGTAGTGGTTCCGGTAGCTCTGGTAGCGGCACTGGTAGCTCTGGAAGTGGCTCTAGTGGTGCTGGTTCTGGTACTGGTTCTGGCAGTGGTGCAAGTGGCGGTTCTAGCTCTACGCCAACATGTATGTGTTCCTCCCATCCTGCAATCCGAAAATAACAGGCCACTGACATAACTCAGGTGGCAAGGTCTATACGCGCGGTGGTAATGACTGGGACATCAACTGCAACAAGAGTAAGTAAGCAACAGACCTCATAACTATGGATCGAGGACTAATTCCTCATATCACAGTTACTGGTGGTCCCAAAAAAATTAAGGAGCCTGGCAAAAGTCTGCAGGAGTGTATCGATAAGTGTATCGCTAAAGGAAAAGAATGCGACACGGTCGGGTATTTTAAGAGGATAAACCAGTGCATGCTATTCTCGGGGACACCGGTGGCAACAAAGAACAATTTGGACGTGGATGCAGCGGTGAAGAAATAGGTTGATTTGATCCCAAAGCCCGTCTTCGAGTGATATGGCCCATTGCGTCAAGGAACTCCTCTTTCCAACGGAGTACCTCTGTGGAATACAGTTTTGTCTTAATATAACTGATCATAAGTAAACTTTAAGCGAAATTTACATGATATGAGTGATCAATGGTACCTTGCATCATATTCTTACTCAAACTTTAAGAGACGTATGAGGCTTGAAAAATGATATGTTTCTATACGTTCTGGAATTATTGCATGCGAGCCTCTCAGTCTGTTAATTTGTAAGTCAATCAGTGACTGAAGTACGAATTCGGCGTCTTACGACAATTTTAAAGCGCTTGTACTTGTGCACTCTCTATTATTAAGTTTTCACAGCGACCAAAGATCGGTGGCAGGTTAGAACCTTGTCTTTTCTTTTGAACGCACAGCTTGCTCTTTAGTGGCTCTTTAAGACTTTTCTACTCCCCCCCCCCCCCGGGCCCCATGTTTCCAAGATCCTCGATCTAGGATTTGCACTGTGAATATCTATACTTTTCACTGTCGCAAGGGGCGCGGTTGAACAAGTAGATAGATGGTCGACTCGGGGAATGAAACATGTTACGATTAATCCAGTTCCAAACGCGGTAGAAGGATTCGTTGTGATTGAAGACCTCGCCGATATAGTGGGTCGCCCGCCGCACTACGTGAGTAGCCATTTTGATGCTCCGGGGTTATAAATGACCAGTGTCTCACGCATCATTCACAGTTTTAGAATCATAACAGAAACCATGGAGGCGGCCAGCCAAGAAACCCTTGAATCCAAGGCTTCTTTGCCTCAGACGGAACTCCCGGCATGGGAGGATGATCCGGCCAACGCGCAAAATTTGGGGTCTACCTAAAAAGATCTACAACACTGCCGTGCCTTCAATCCTGTGTCTTCTCATGTAAGTATTAGACTTTATGTACAATATGTTGTGGCAAGTGGATTCAAACCACTGTGTTGCATATAGATCATTCGGACTTGCTATCTACTCCCCGTCGCATGAACATGTCCAAGCCGACTTTCACACCTCTGCCACCAAGTCCCTTCTGCCATTCACTATGTATGTCTACGGGCTGGCATTTGGGCCTATTATCTCTGCCCCTATCAGCGAGACTCATGGCCGACGACTTATCTACCTCATTATGACCCCGCTGGCTCTGCTGTTTATTCTTTGAGCCGGGTTTTCCAAGAATATAGCCAGTCTAGTGGTATGCCGCCTGCTTGCGGGCCTGCTCATCTCGGCTCCGCTGGCTGTCGGGGCTGGGACGATCATGGATATGTGGAACGGACCAGCAGCTGGTCGAGGTGTGACAATCCTCATGGCTATCGCCTTCATGGGGCCAGCCCTTGGATCGCTGGTCGGCGGCTGGGTGGCACAGTACACAACCTGGCGTTGGTCGCAGTGGACGACGCTGTTTCTTGGGGCTGGCTGCTGGGCCTTTAGCATGGGCGCGCAAGAGTCTTACGCACGCCCAATTATCAGTCGTCGCGCTGTCAAAATCGGGCTACCCGTCCCTCCTAGCCCCATACCGGGAGGTCTGGCTGGCGTTCGGATGATGCTTACCGTGACCCTGGCGCGGCCGATCTATATGCTCTTGACCGAGCCTATTGTGGCTTTGTGCTCTCTGTACTCGTCGCTCAACTTCTCTGTTCTATTTTGTTTTCTGGCCTGTATCCCCCTCATCTTCACCCATGTCTATGGCTTTACTCCAGGTCAATGTGGGCTAGTTTTTATCTCGCTGGCCCTGGGGTGCGCCTTCGGCTGCCTCGGTCTCCTCGTGATAGACCACTATACTAGGGCCCGATATCGACGAATCCATCCCGAAGGCCTCAATCACCCACCGCCGGAACTAGTCCTTTGGGCAGCTATGTTGGCAAGCCCGCTTATGCCTGCTGCTTTGTTCTGGTTCGCATGGACATCAACCCGTCATGTCCACTGGATGAGTAGTATCGTCGCCATCGGGCTCTTTGGCTGCTCTAACATTACGATCTTTGTACGTAACATTAAAGCTCCGTTTCCTGCAGTTCCCCCCTTCTCCGATCGCTTATTTTACCATCGATGTCTTTTCATAGGTTTCAACTGCCCTCTATCTGACGCGAGTGTACGGGGCCAAGTTCGGAGCCTCCGCTTTGGCTGCAAATGGCCTGCTTCGATACGGTATCGGTGGCTCTTTTCTTCTTTTCACTCTGCCTAGTATGTGCATCCAATGAGTTTTATTCACTCCGAGGTACTCCATGGTGTCTAATTGTCTCCAGTGTATCATAACCTCGGCTATAGCTGGGCTTCGAGCTTGTGGGTTTCCTAGCCGTAGCATTCGCACCCCTGCCGTGGCTGTTCTCTCATTGGGGAAGTCGAATCAGAAGACATAGTGCTTACACTTCATGATGAGCATTGGTTCAGAGAAGGGATGATGTTAAGCGTAGCGTTTGGGTGCGATGGCTCCGCACTTTCGGCTGTTCTGTACCTATGTGAGACCATTTATGAGTGCCTATCATCTCTCATTTAATCACTGTGCTCTTCATTCCGGGCGCAGACTCTATCTACTGAAGCCGCTGCGCCTCGCTGAGCGCTTTTAGTTATAGAAATCTATGCTGGCATAAATGGTTAGCATAAATACACTTATGTAATTTTATCCGCAGTTAACGTTTTCAACCACCGAGCGGTCTAAACCCCCGAGCGGTCCGTTTTCTCCACCACCCCCTATCTAATTCAGAACTTCAACTTCGACGCGTCTTTTTTCCACCACTATCATCGGAAATGCATCTTTCTAAGGAGAGTCGAATTCAGATGGCAGTATCTGCCTCTAAATCAAAAAAATTCGATCAAAAACGCGTACGGCAGATCTATTTAGTGTTTCAAAAACGACTTTATTGCGACGGCTTAATGGAATCAAACCACGATCGGAAACACGCGCTAATGGCCACAAACTGACCGAAATCGAAGAGCAATTGCTTTTAAAGCAATTACTAAATGCAGATAAGCGAGGATTCCCAATTCGGCCCGAATTTCTGCATGGAATAGCTCAGATATTGTTTGATAATCGCCTACAAGGCATGTCTGCAGCCCTCGGAATCAACTGATCTTATAAATTCGTTAAGCATCATTCTGAACTTCGTACGCGATATACTAGACGTATTACTTATCAGCGCGCAAAGCAGAAAGATCCAAAGATTATAAAACCGTGGTTTGAGACTGTACAAGCAACTATTCAAGAACACGGCATACATGAAGACGATATCTGGAACTTCAACGAAACTGACTTTGCAATGGGACTCTGCTTTACTTCAAAAGTGATTACTGCAGTTGAGCGAAACGAGCGGCCGCGCAGAGTTATTCAGAGCAATTGTGAATGAGTCACAGTTATCGAGACAATCGGGTCAAAAGGTGTATATCTACCGCCAGTTATTATATTGAAAGCAAGCGTCCAACAGGCTGCCTGATTCCAAAAATCTAAGCTTCCTCGCGACTGGTGGATTTCTACTAGTCAGAATGGCTGGACGACTGATGAAATAGGCCTTCTTTGATTGAAAAATGTCTTTGAACCGCTTTCTAAGCGCTATATGATTGATGTTAAGCGGTTACTTATTCTTGACGGTCATAGCAGCCATCTAATTGCTGAATTTGATAATTTCTGCGAGCAGTATGCAATAATCTGTCTCTGCATGCCTGCCCATGCTTCGCATCTTCTTCAACCGCTTGATGTGGGGTTCTTTAGTCCGCTTAAGAGGGCGTACGGAAAGCTTCTTGAACATCGTATGAAAGTCGGCAACAATCATATTGATAAAGAAGACTTTCTATCGTTATATCCAAATGCACACAAGGAAGTCTTTACTTCATCTAATATCTGCAGCGGTTTTAGAGGAACAGGACTTAAGCCGCTTAATTCAGAGCATGTTCTCTCTACGCTTACCTTTCAATTATGTACGCCTACACCACCACTAGTTGAAGGCTCAATTTCTTCTGCTTTTCAGACTCCGCAGAATACTCGCCAGCTAGATCGAAAGGTTCGAAGCCTGCAAAACAGTCTTAATAGAAAGCGGCAGCTTTCTAGCAGTCCTATTGCGCATATTCAACATCTTGAGAAAGCGGCGCAAATGGCAATGCAAACCCAGCTACTTTTAGAGCAAGAAATTAGGGCTATACGTGCTGAAAATGGACGACAACGCCAGAAAAAGGCAAGAAAACGTGCTGAAATAGGAAATGACCGCCTTCTTAATGTCCAAAAAGGTGAAAATCGCGTTCAGCAGCTTAACACGCAGCTTAATGAGCAGTCTGCGGAATCTACTCCGGCGCCTCATCGACGAGCTCCGCAACGCTGTAGTGGATGTGGAACAATCGGACATACAATTCGGAATTGCCCTAGTAAATAGCTATTATTTCATGTATTTTAATTAATCAATTCTAATAGCGTTGGTGGTTTTAAAGGTCGATTTAGATGGGGGTGCGGAAGAAAACGGACCGCTCGGGGGTTTAGACCGCTCGGTGGTTGAAAACGTTAACTAACTAGTTAACGTAATCCACAAGCGAGCCGCGGATACAATCGAACCGCGGATTCTCAATCAAGATTCCATCCTCTTTATTCAACGCGTCATATCTTCAACACCAAATGCAATATGCTTCTTTCTAAAGAATCGCGTATTCAGATGACTATTTCAGTTTATTAGAAAGATCAAATTAAATCGATATTATGCGGTGCACAGATTTTTGTGATCTTTAAAAATACTTTATACAATCGATTCCGCGATGTAAAATCACAATCAGAAAAGCGCGCCAATGGCCATAAACTTTTTTAATTTAAAAAAGAAACTCTTTTTAAGCGATTATTAGATACAAATACGCGAGAATTTTCAATTCGATTCGAATTTCTATGTGAAATGATAGAGATATTATTTCGTTCGCGTTTTCAAAATCTCACAGTAATGATTGGAATTAATTGATCATATAATTTTATTAAATGCTATTCTCAATTATGTACACGATACAGCAGACGAATTATATATTAATGTGTAAAACAAAAAGATCCGAAGATTATAATATCATAATTTCAAATTGTTCACGAGACTATCCAAAAACACGGCATATACAAAAACAATATCTGGAATTTTGATAAAACTGATTTTGCAATGAAGCTTTGCTCAGTTGTTAAAGTTATTATTATAGTAAAGTGTAGTGAACGGTCATGCAGGATTATTCAAAATAATTGTGAATGAATTACAATCATTGAAATTGTCAATTTAAAAGATATACATATATTATCAATCATTATATTTAAAACAGACAATTAACAGGCCGCATGGTTTCAAGAATTTAAGTTTGCTAAAGACTGGTGGATTGCAATTAGTTAAAATGGCTGGACTATCGATGAAATAGGTCTTTTTTGATTAAAGAATGTTTTTGGACCCTTTTTTAAGCGTTATATAACTGATGCAAAGCGTTTGTTTATTTTAGATGGCCATAATAGTCATTTGATTGCTGAATTCGATGATTTTTGCATAAAATATGCAATAATATATCTTTATATGTTTGTCCACGTTTCACATCTTCTTTAATCGCTTGATGTGGGTATTTTTGATCTATTTAAAAAGACGTACGGGAAACTTCTTGAAGAACGTATGATTGCGAATAATAATCATATTGATAAAGAAGATTTTTTATTGCTATATTTGAACGCTTGAATTCAAATCTTTACTTTTATCAATATCTACAGTAATTTCGTAGAGACAAGATTTAAGCCATTTGATCAAGAACAAATTCTTTCTAAGTTTACTTTTTAATCATGTATATCAATATTATCATTAATTGAAAAATCAATTTTCTCTGCTTTTCAGACTTCGCAAAATATTCATTAATTAGATTGAAAGATACACAGTCTATAGAACAGTCTTAATGTTAAACGAAAACTTTCTAATAACCTGATTGCTCATATTCAACATCTTGAAAAGACTGCTCAAATGACAATGCAAATCAATTTTCTTTTACAACAAAAAATCAAGACTCTACGAGCCGAAAATGAGCGAAAATACAAAAAAAAAGCAAAAAGACGTGTTTCACTAAAAGATGATATTCTTTTATTTGTATAAGAAGGCCAAAATCGCGTTCAGCAGTTGAATACGCAATTTAATGAACAGTCTGAGAAATCTACTCCGATGTCTCATTGACGAGCTTTTGTCTGCTGCAGTGGCTATAGAATAATAGGACATACTATACGAAATTGCTCTAATAAATAGCTATTTTTCCATATATTTAGTTAATCAAATTTAATGAAGTTGGTGATTGAATAGCTTCAAATAGTGATGGCCATGGCGAAGTATCCGCGGTTCGGTTGTATCCGCGGCTCGCTTGTGGATTACGTTAGTTAGTTACCGATTACGTCAATATTAATGACTGTGTGGGGCGTGTTCAGTAATGGGTGAGTCAGAAGAAATTCTTCGAGTTGTCTCAAACAGCTGCACTTTCTGTCAATTGTTCGCTTGTATATTGCTGTGCAATTAACACATATTGGCTATCAGAAGCGTGAAAATGTCTCCATCTCGCGCTCCATATGGTACATGGAAAAGCCCGCTTACTGCGGAGCGACTGTCAACCGACAGCATATCGCTACATGAAGTAGTCGTCGATGTATGTTTCTGGTTTCCATCAGCTCAGATGGTGCATCGCTGACTTATGCAGGAGTCAATTGGTGCCATTTACTCGGTTGAATGCCATCCTACCGAAGGTGGACGGTTTGCGATCATCCAACACCTCAATGGCCAAAGCCGAGACGTTTTGCCGAAAGAATACAGTGCACATGCAACGGTGCAGGAGCTAGGTGGTGGCTCCATTTTAATGAGACCCGATGGAAGGGTTCTCTTTGCGGATGAAAAGACTTGCAGCATCCATTTATTGGACCCGGCGACGAGCCAAGTTACCCTTGTTCATGCAGCAGTCGAGGGCATTCGATATGCTGACTTCTGCAATCACCCTGTCCATACACAATGGGTCCTTGCTATTAAAGAGGATCACCGGGAGGCGACACCTGAGACACAGGCGACTCACGTCCACAACACGTTGGTGGCCATCGACATTGTTTCCGACACCGAGGTCACGATCGCTCAAGGCGATGACTTTTACTCGCATCCTAAATTCGACCCGTCGGGCAAATATGTCTCATGGATCCAATGGACCCATCCTGACATGCCATGGACAGGGACCGTGCTTCACGTTGCTGAGTGGGCGGATGGATCTTTGAAGAATGTGACCAAGGTGGCTGGAAAGTATCAGGAGGAGAGCATTGCTCAACCGAGATGGGGTTTGGATGGAAGACTGTACTTTGCAAGCGATCGGACGGGATATTTGCAGTTGTATTCATACAGCGTGCGCGATGCTTCTGTGCGCTCGCTGTCTTTCAAGGGGCTGGAAAACTCAGACTTTGCCGCTGCTGAGTGGGAGCTGGGAAGGTAGGTCCCCTGTCAGTGGATATCTGATCTAGCAAACTGACTCCCACAGTTCCACGTATTTCTCACTTGATGAAAAGACCATCGTGGCAACGGCTATTACTCATGCCACCAGTGATATTGTTCTCATCGACATTCCCACATCGTCCGTCCGAAGTCTGGGACTTCCTTACGTTGACATTGGAGTTCGCGCCAATGCGATTTTCCGAGCTTCGTCAAGCTCCTTTGTTGTCGTCGGTGCTTCGAGGACTTCTCCCCAGGAACTAGCTTTGGTTTCACTCACTCCTTCGTTTGAAGCAAAGACCACCGTCCTTACGTCAACTGCATCATTCGATTTGGCTCCGGAATACGTCTCCTCCGCGAAACAATACACCGCTCCTCAGAAATATGGTCCGCTGTGTGACGGAAACGTGCACATGTTCTACTTCCCCCCTTGCAACCCCGAATTCGAATGCGAAGGAACTCTTCCACCACTCCTGATGAACGTCCATGGCGGACCCAATGGATGCGTCACTCCTGCGCTGAACCTGGAAATTCAACACTGGACCACGCGCGGGTTTGCCGTCTGTGCTCTCAATTATACTGGATCTACCGGGTTCGGGCGGGAGTACCGCGAACGACTTTCCGGGTATTGGGGTCTAGTTGACACAGGCGATGCAGTGAGCGCGGTTGAGTTTCTAGCCAACGAAGGGCTAATGGATAAGGCCCGCGTGGGTATCTACGGCCAAAGCGCGGGCGGATACCTCACCCTGCAGGCTCTCCACATGTACCCTGATGTCTGGGCAGCGGGAGTCAGCTCCTACGGTATCAGCGACGTGAGGGCTCTACAGGCTGATTCATATAAGTTTGAGAGTCAAGACGTGGACCGAATTCTGCTGAGCAAGACCGCAAAAGAGGATAGGGAGCAGGAGCTCACGAATCGCAGTCCGTGCCATTATGCCGATAAGATGAAGGCTCCGTTGCTCTTGTTGCAGGGAACCTCGGACATGGTGGTTCCTGTGGCACAGGCGAGGATGATGGCTAGCGCTATGCATGCGCATGGGCGTATCGCGGATGTAGTAGAATTCGAGGGCGAGGGTCATGGGTGGGTTGGCGAGAAAACCATATATGAATCTTATAAGCGGAAGGAGAATTGGTGGATACGCCACTTGACTTGAGCACCGGAATACCATATTATTTCTCCCGATCGATGATACAAATCGGCTATTTCGAGATGCAAATGTTCTTGTGTGGGCTGTTTCACTTTTGCATTGTTGTGGACCTTGTAATAGACTATGATATCCGATACGTAGGCCTTCTAAGTGAAAGCCGAATTCACATTTCATTCTTGTTTCTCCAAACTTCTTCCTAGGAGCGAGATTAGAATAAAAAGATACTACAAAAGACAGTCACACTGGCCCCTTTCAGTTGAGCAGGAATAGAAACCCATTGAGTCCCGCCCCTGTTACTACGCAGTTCTTCTGCACTACCGTGGAGATATTTGGGTTTTCTCTGATGGTGGCAAATTCTTGATAGAGCCCATCAACCATTAATAGGGGTGTTTTGCACCACGGGTTGAAGCCCATGCCCCGTCCCGAATAGGAGATAGACCCATATTTATGGCCGCACTATGGCTGGATCGGGATCTAGCGTCGGATTTATTTTTTGTACAGGTCATGTTATGAAGCCCATACGGGTTGCAGCCCATGACCCGTCCCAATTAGTAAGTGTTTAATATCTCTATAAACTCTTTAATCGCACTGTTGTGTAGGCTGAACTCCCATATTGATTGAAATCGATCATATATATATATATATATTTGACGGAGTAGGTTGTGCTGCCTCTGACCTGGCTGGTCTTGGCTTATGACGTACGCTGTAACAGGGTTGTGGGTATTGGCCTGTGCATACGCGGAATAGCAAGTAGGTAGGTCATCTTTATTTTTGCTCCGGGGAATACGCGTATTCACGACCGACCCCTGGGGTAAGTTGGCTATAAGAATGGTTACAATCCGCGCAGCTAGGTAACAAGAAAGTAATTCTGCTCCTTACTGTTGCTAGACTTTGCTCGGACATTATGTTGCCGACACCAAGCCTGTTACGCCTCCTGGCCTTCAGCATTGCCGTCGTCGCCGGACATCCAAGTCGCCGACCAATTGTTGATCTTGGTTACGAAAAATACCAAGCGATCGATCAGGGCAATGTATGTATTACATCGGCTCATTCTGCCTTTTGCCTCTAACGCTTCGTCAGGAAACAACCACCTATTATTCTTTCTCGAACATCAGATACGCCTCTCCTCCCGTTGATGACCTCCGTTGGAAAGCACCAGTGCCCCCTCGCGCGAACCGGTCTTCTATTCAGTCCAACCCTCAAGTAATTACATGTCCCCAGGGGTCAACAACATGGCAAATCAAGACATCCATCACTACCAATGAGTACTTGGAATCCGGCAAAGTTCCCAACGTTTCATACTCCAATCTTGAGAGCATGGTGCAAAGCGGACAAGAGGACTGCTTGTTCCTGGATGTTCTTGCGCCGAAGAATACCTTTGATCATGTTAAGAGCGGTGCTCGCGTGCCTGTCATGGTTTGGATACATGGTGTGTCCCTCGGTCAAGAACGTTAGCTACCAGCACTGACCACTTTACAGGTGGTGGATTCACGGCCGGCTCGAAAACAGATTTCGGATCAGCAAAGACTCTGGTCGATCGGGCCAATGAGGATGGCTCAGATCCCATGGTCTATGTGGCCCTCAATTATAGGCTAGGTGGTTTTGGCTTTCTCGCTGGTTCTTCATTTGAAAGAGAAGGTGGTCTTCTGAATGCCGGTCTATTCGATCAACGGATGGCACTTCAATGGATTCAGGATAATATTCATCTATTTGGTGGCGACAAAAATCAAGTCACCGTCGTTGGCGAGTCTGGGGGATCAGGGTCCATCATGCACCATATCACTGCGGGTGGAAACAATAACCCAGCCTTCCAGAGGGCTATTCTGCAATCGCCAGCATATTTCCCTTACCGATCGGCAGTTGAGAATCAGAATGCGTTTCGTTCATTCATGGGCCATGCGAATGTCACCAGCCTTGCCGAAGCTCGCCGTCTCCCGTCTGATATCCTCATCGCAGCCAATTCCCGTTCAATAGGCGAAGCTTTGCCATACGCTTCCCCCGTTTATTCTCCTACTCCTGATGGAGACATTGTCCTGTCTGATCCCAAGCTCCGCCTATCGCGAGGAGAGTTCCATCGATCAATTGAGATCATCACCTCCCACAATTCAGATGAAGGTCTCACCTTGGTTCCTGCCATTCATACCTGCCAGGAGTACGAATCTCTGTTAAGAAGCCTATTTACCCACTTCAATACCTCCACAATCAATCACATCGTCAACGTTTTGTACCCCCCAATCTTTGACGGATCTATGGGCTACACCAACAATTATCAAAGAGCAGCCAAAACCGTCGGGGAGGGCATCATCGAATGCAATTCGGTGTCGCTAGGTCTTGCTTTCGGACTCCGAGCCCACGCATACTATTTCTCAACCTACCCTGGACTTCACGCGCAAGACACGTCTTATACCTTCTACAACCCTGGGGCACAGTCTTCCTATTCCCTGGTGGATACCGGCGCAGTCAACCAGACTCTCGCATATATCATGCAAGACTACATTGCTAATTTTGCCAAGTCTGGCCAGGTCAAGTCTGAGTTGGATGGTTTGTCAGAGATTCCGCCATACGGGTCGCATGGGACCTCAGTGCAGTTGGACTCGGCCGGGGTCAAACTCGTCGGCGATCCAGCTCTAACATCTCGATGCGAATGGTGGGCTTCAATCGACTACCAAGGTCCCATCGTGTCTGGCTCTGGAGCCTGTAGTGTATAGTACACCTCGACGTCCTCTAGTATGTCCTTTAATCGAGCAGGCTCAGGAGTATTTTCAACGAGACTCACACGTTGCCTAAAGATTCCTCAAAGGACAAGGCCTGGATCATTGGATTGATGGTGTTCAATTTATTTCAATGGTGATATTGAAGGTGGAATATTGTATGGTTCGAATACTAGAAATCATAACCTAGTTTGCACTACAGATAGCTCATTTATAAATACCCGTCATTCACTGCCCCTACAGACCCCAGATACATACATTGAAAGTTTCAGGAAAGCGACGCGTCACCTCGACCATCTCAATAACGCCATCTGGCGGACCAGGCATACTGAAGCCCAAGATATGGTACGTTGGGTATCCGAATAAGAATTTCTTTGCGGCTTTATTATATCACGTAACATACACACGAAACACAGTTGATTTCCATTTAGAATGTCTATTGCCCCGTATCGCTTTCCATGGATTCTATCCCGAATATCTACTTATTCACTTGGTTATGAAAGTGACTTCATTTTATGTGTGTTCGTGCGGGCAGATTATGGTCACGGAGCCTTTCAGTTGTAAATAAAAAAGTATAGCACTGTGTTATCAGATCAAATCCGTTCCAGGGGCTATGTTGTATAAAAGACTGTTGCCCTAGGACTCTATCACCAGCGGTTTCTAGATAGTTCTCTAATCACTACTCGTAATTAATAATCAGACAAGTGTCGTGATTAGAGAGATAGAGGTTGGTTGGTCAGTACTTGGTATATACTGGTTGGGGCTGTTTCAACAGGAGCAGGCTTTTGTTTATTAATCATCCCGCTGCTTGCCGCGCAAGAACCGGCGTATCAATTACACCAAACTGGTTACCTATACGGATACATGGGACCCTGGAAACGTTTGATTGGGCAGAAGGGGGCTTTGGTCCACCCGATAAGGGGTCCATGCACAGCACTCCCAAGTCCCAACAATGTAGGCTCCACGATTCACAGTCAATCTGATTCTCAACAGCAGCTTGAGTTGAGAGACACTGCTTGGTCATACTTTTTGCAACCATGTTATATTCTCTTGTACTTCTGCTCTTCTTTAAGTCGCAACCTAGCCAACGTCCAGCTCTGTTGTCGGACTATAGGTATACAAAACATTGATCTGATATTGACCCGAGCACAACAAAATACAGAGAAACGTGCAACGACAAATTTGAGGGTTAGCAATTATCTCAGCCATGGAAACCGAGAAACAGAATGTCACAGAAGTCTCTCCAGGCTTTTGCTACCAGGGAAGTTGCCATTGCAAGGCTGTATGCTTCTCCGCAAGGTTTCCATCTCCGCTGTCACATTTGACAGTAGTCTCTTGCAATTGTATGTATTTTGGTACAAGTTGGAACCCCACAGGCCTATGACAGCTCTTCCATAGGTTAATGACACGTTACAAATGAAATTGATCGCTAATCTAACAAATCTATTCAGGTAGCTATTGTCACATTGCTGGCAGCTTGCTTGCCTTCGCGGACGATATGGAAATCAAAGGGACAGAATCGCTTACGGTACGAGCCAGCTATGATGATAGCCCTTTTGATTTATAATCTGTTATCAATTACTGAGATGAGTTACTCATATGATATAGGAATATCGATTTGCCACGCATACTATCCGGATATTTTTCTGTAGTATCTGCGGGGCCAATGTTTACAACAAATCAATCAATCCAAACTTCAAATATGGTCAATGTGCTATCAACGTGAGTGCATTCCCAGTGAATGATTGTGGCCCGTCACGCTCATCTAGGGCCGATGTGTGTTTAACATCGTGGAAAGATCGTGTGTGAGCTAACAGAGATGCCGGGATTTCAATTCAGATGCGCCTATTACGTGGAATTGACTTGGAGACCATACAAGTAATGAAGGGCGATGGTAAGAATATCCATCTGCCGCCGTTGGAAGGGAATCCGCTGTAGCCCTCAGCACACACGCACACCCGCCGGATGATGCCAGGAATGTACATACATAGTCTGCACCACATTCCTCAGCCCTTAAGGCATGTTCTAGCACAGACTACATAGGTACTGCTAGTAAGAAGAGTGTAACGAACAGACTTTCCAGGATCAGTGATCTCCAGTCTCCTAGTTTGTGCAAAATCAAATCCAGCTTCTGCCGATGAGATACGAGCTATGTCCAACATTATTCCTCTGGACTCGTAGTGCACCCCAATGGGATGTTCGCGAGGGGGCCTGTGGAGCGTTGACATGGTGCGCAGAGCAGCAGGACACAGTCGCAAATATGTTTGTACTATGTGAGCTTTCGTCCTCTGAATTGAGGTTCCCGTTGCCCTTGAGACGTATAGAATGCGTTTTAACATGATCTGCGGAGTCGTCTTCGTGTGTTTGACCTTAAACTTAGCGATTTTATTCCGATATCGCTCCTGACCCTTTCCAGCGGACTTTACCTAGTTATACAAAAATGCCCTTTTGTAAAGTGGTTCACGAAACAGACTCGATTGGAAGAACAAGAATCTAGTGTTCGCTTACTCAATATGATAAGGCATTTGGGTACAGTGGACAGCGGCGAGGATATTGTTAGGGTCAGAGTAACTGATATTTACTTTTTAAATCTACTTTGTTCTGAAAGGCTAAGAGGTTAAAACTGGGATCGTAAAATACGAAAATATAGGTGCGGTGGTAAAAGATATATTTTGATCACATCCATCTGGATCCGGAAATCAGTCGTGCACTCGGAACATGGAGGTCTTGTTGAAAGTGTGCGGTCTATATGGTTCAGAATTAAAAAAACCAACAACCCCCATCGCAACCAAAAAAAAACAAGACAAAAAAGCGAAAACATACAACAGCCGGGATTCGCTGGTGGTCACCCACCCAACTACTAACCGGCCGGCGTGTGGCTTAAGTACGGCTGAGCGGACGGGAAGCCCTGTTCTCCACACCCTGTGGTCGTATGTACTAGAGGGAAGTAAACAGTGGGATATATGGTGCAGAGATTATAAATTGGTAGACGCTCCTCCACATCGGAGTCCCCGACCGTGTTGACCGAATTTTGAAGCTGATCGACATTCCCCAAGCACCTAGTGACCTAATACATCGGATCTACACTGCGCACAGGAACAGGAACAGGAATAGGAATAGGAAACGGACTCGGAGAATGGAGTGAAAGAAACGTGGCCGGAAAGTAAAACCACGATAGGAGAAGATGTGCGGATTCGTAAGTTGGAGACTCAATTTTGAGTTCCGTTATGTGGATGGGGGAAAATGGGGTAAATCCTTGGATGGGCTTTTCTGGAATCAATCGTCATAGGATGATGACACCGAGGTTACCTCGAGTTATCGAGAAGGAGAGATACTTGGACGGAGGTTCGTCGGCGGTTTCATTTCACGATTCCATTTCTTTTTATGCGATATGCTGTGGACACTGTACAGTGCTTTGAGCTGTACACCAAAGTCGCAGAGGCAGGGAGATAGAGACAGGTCGTACGATATATCAGGGACTGGAGGTAGGACCAGTGGCCACTCACGTCTCACAGCGACCAAACCATGGAGACTGACCTGGGCCCTAACTCTCACCTGGGCACCCCTAAACTATCGAATTATTTCCAAGGCCTTCTCAGCACCCCCACCCGTCTCCATCGTCGCCGAAGCTAAGGAGCCATATTAACAACCGTGGTCGTGGCTTGACGCTAGTCCGGCCTAGGCAGCGCCGATGTCTACAGGCTAAGAGCAGTAGTAAGCTGTTAGCAATTTAGCAGCGTTGCATTTCGCCCCCTGCATCCGCCGTGCATGCATCTCGGCAGTTCTCAGTCTGAAGATTACGTCGCATATACCGAGCTTGTGGCGGAATACTTAATTTTATGTATATCTCAAATTGCGTCCATAGTGTAGAGGATATGGAACCCGGAAATTTCCATTGCCTGTCAAACTGATCGATCTGCCACTTCCAGAGATCCCAGCAAGCACAGAACGCAAAATGATCGGAACCGTCGGGGCCGGGCCACCGGCGCGCCCGTGGAGCCGTTTCCACCGAAGCGATCAAGCGGGTCTTTTGGACAATTTCCCAGTTCGTTCGAGTTGGAGCCTTGCTCTAGGGACTAAGGAGAAACGGTGTACGAGAGATTTCGGCTGTTAGCGAAATCAGGCGTAATAATTCAAAAACTCCGCGGTTGGATTTAGTCATAATAATAAACAGTGTCGAGCCTCGGTCGAGTAGTTAGGATATAATTTCCTATAATATAGGACAGGCTTAGTGTCTGCAGCTATGTAACTTCGAAAATGGATAATATTCCTGTTGAGCGTACTCCAAGTAGTATCGACGCCATAATGCCAAGTCAACTCCCACAATAATCTAATAACAATCTAACAGTGTAATCATTAATCCGTCCGTATTAACTCCAACCAACCAGCCCGCCTATGTATATGTATATAATATAAGTATCGGTGTGTATAGCCAGCTGGCTAGGTCGCAAACAATCTACCAGCTCTCATGAACCCGCTGCGGCTGCGGCTCGTTGCTGTTGTGACTGCTCCGTCGATCCTCGGTGGTAACCTCCACACGGTTCGAGACAACAATACCTCCTGGACCAGCAGCCGGATCTCCGGGACCAGGCGCCTGGCCAGCTTCGGCCACAGCGGCACTGTCAAATGCCTTGAGATTCTGCATCTTCACGTCCTCCGCCATCATGCGTTCTTCGCTCTCTGTGAACGTTAAGTCCATTGTCATCGGGTGTCCGCTGCCCGGTCCGCGCTTGTTGCTTCGACTATGTGATTCGCCGTAGGTGCCGCCTCCGATGGTCTTGAAGCCGCCCGATGGCGTCTTGTACGTTTGTCCAGTAGAAGCGAACGCGCTGCCGAAGGCCTTATTGAGCCAGAGACGCAGGATGTGGAAGATCATGGGCAGGTTGGTGGTAATTACAGCCGCGAAGGCTTCACGCGTGCCCCATGCTGCACTGAGTTGTCCGCCGTTGATGGGTTCCTTTTGATGAAGTCGATGAGTTAGGGCTTAAATCGAGCAGGTGACCACATGGTGGATGGTTACTCACCACTAACACAAAGACACTCTTGAGCGTCGCGCAAACAAGCGTGAACACTCCCGTGCTGAGAACAATAGTTGAAGCGATCTTTTTGATCAACTTTAAACTCGATTTCCAGAGCATGGGAATCGGAATGAATATCAGGTATAAGTCGGTGGAGACGTTCGCGGCGAAGGACACCCAGATTATGGGCTTGGATACGGCGGCTTGGCAGATTTCTTTGTTCGACGAGAGAAATTAGCAGGCGAAGAGCGATGAATCTTGGGAGGCCACTTACCGCCGGGATCGGGGTTTATTTGCCAGTATTTGTGAAATGGCCGACATGAACCCAGAATGGTGACAACGCTTGCGATGAAGGTGCTGATCACAAGCCCGAATCCGATGTAGACGGGAACGCGATAGCGTTTCCCAAGACCGTCCTGTTTCCCCGGCGTCAGTTATCTTGCGACACTGTGATACTCCGGCGGATGGTTATCGTACCGTGAGCCGGAGGAAGAAAAACAGCATGGACAATTTCAGCGACCAGATCAGTGCCGAATATGTCGTCCAGCCTGCGAGCTGAATCTTCGATCCGATCACCCTACATAGACACCATTCCGTATTAACGTTCGCCCCTCTGGCGACTGATGACAACATCGTAAGATATACCTGTAACTGTACTCCGGATCGTCAACAGACAGCGCAGCCCGCTGCGCATCCGTCATTCCACTATTGGCGAGACCATTGGCGGCGGTGCCCACGCTGTATGCAAGGGCCGTTTGCGCGGTGTAGAATAACTGCAAGGATCAAGCATTAGCTTAGCAACGAGCAAAGGCCGCTATGGAATCCTTAGGGAGACACGAACAACTCCGACCCACACGAGATAATCGTCCGCTCGTAGGTGTTTATATCCCACCGCATTTCCTCGGGCGTAGGTTCTGAGCAAGGTTGAAGCAAGTCCAAACGCATACAGTGTCCATGACTCCACGGCGGACTTGTGGAGGGCCGCCTGAACGGCGTCCTGCTCGGAAGCTCTAGCCGTTAAGTTGGAGATGAAACCGGTCGACATAACTCCTCCGTAGTAAATGACAGGGATGGTTTAGATGGACATGTCGAAGCAATATACGTCTGGAAAGGTTCAAAATTGGAGAAAACAGGACGATAAGATTGAGTGCAATTGAAAAAAAAAAGTTCTCACGTCTTCAACACACCACTGCTTAGCAAACCTCGCACAGCCGTTTATTTAATTGCCAATGAACCAAGGAGGGACCGAGTGCCACATGTATACAGTCATTCCAGCCCCCTTCTATAATAAGACCAAGCAAAAATAAGAACGGTTTTTTTTTAAAAAAAAAAAAGGACCAAACTTTGCGGTCGCCACAAGGCACAAGTGCCGGTGCCATTGACCGAATCCTTCTGGTCGAACAAAATTGAAAATACCAGTCCACGGACGCATTTTTTTATTATGGGGATTGGAGATGTTCTTGATTACTGATTAGCTTTCGAGAGTTGGTGGAGAGGGCTCGGTTAACACAGAGTTTTTGGGGACCGATTCTGTAATCTGCACCCCATGGTCGCTGTCATGGTTTGAGAGGGATTCCGAAGCCTCCGACTAAATTAATTCCTTAACCTTGGATTCCCGTTGTTTGCAATTTTGAGAACATCGCAATCCCCATTGCGGTCCTCTCGCGTGGCGAAGGATTCCTTAGTGTCAGGTAAACTAAAAGGTCCTACTCCGTGCAGCTAACGGGTTAGTTATCTTTTTAGTCGATTTCTCCGACATGCTACCATTCATGGTCGAAGGGTGCCTTTGGAGAGTAATTTGGGTGGGTATCCTAAGTTCTGGTACCCAATGGCACCATCCGAGGTTGCAGAGTTTATTATATTGCGCTGGTGGAGAATGCTTCCAGCCAAAATTGAATCAGAAGATGCGCCCCAAGCACGCGGTCGCCGACCCATGCGCCATTGCAATTGCTAGCCTGCATTAGGGCTGCCTTAGTCTGAGACAGCCTACGGAGAGGTCGGAGATTGAGACATCAGCCAATATCCAAGAAATTCAATTATAATAGCTACAAAGTACGTCGCATCCTTCAATTCTCTCTCTGTGCAACTCTCTTTGGTGACGAGCAGGGATTCAGATCCAGCTGAATTACAGTTTTTTAGGGTGCTTCCCTCGGTGAAAACTTTCTTTTCTCCTTACATTCCTCCTGCAGCCGTTAATCTAGGGGCCAGTTGTGCGCGTACCCTTGTTTTTGGATCTTCCAATTTACCTTTTCCTTCCTGCATCTTAATCCACCGTGATATAACCTTTCTTTGCTGGAGCCAATATGCGTTTGCAAGTGGTCACCGCCGTCGCCGCGTGGGCTGTTACCTCGGCCTGTCAGAACCTGTGGACTCGCGACACCGATTACAAGGAGCTCAGCGAGAAGCTTTCTACCTCTGCTAAGGTTTACTACCCTGGCTCCGACGAATTCGAGAAGGCGTCCGTCCGGTGGTCGAATTTGGAGACTCCCACCGTGAACGTCGTCGTCGTCCCCGGCACGGAGAATGATGTCGTCGAGACGGTAAGCTTGCTTTCTTTTCCTATTTCCTGTCGATCAATCGATCTACCTTTGCTTCCAATTCATTTCTTGTCCCGCATAATTTATTTCCCACATATCCTGTTTCTCCGCACGTGGCGAACTGATCTCGGTTCCACCAACTACATCCGCGTGACACAGCAAGAGCCAACTAACTTCGCAATATAGGTGAAATTTGCCAACAAGAAGGAATTGCCCTTCCTGGCTTACAACGGCGCCCACGGAGCTATTACCACCCTTGGTCAAATGACCAATGGTATCGAAATTTACCTGAACCAGCTCAGCGGCGTTGAGGTCGCCGAGGACGGAAAGACGGTTACCATTGCCGGTGGAACCAAGTCTAAGTTGGTGACTGACACGCTTTGGGATGCTGGAAAGCAGACCGGTAAGTCTACCTTGAGTTCTCCAGGCATCTCGCAAATCACCGAATCGTGGTTAATTGACTTCAGTCACCGGAACTTGCGAATGTGTCAGCTACCTTGGTCCCGCTCTGGGTGGCGGTCACGGCTGGCTTCAGGGCCACCACGGTCTGGTTGCTGACCAGTTTGAGTCGATGAACATCGTGCTTGCCAACGGCACCTTGGCTACTCTGGACTCCAGCTCTGAGCTCTGGTGGGCCGTCAAGGGTGCCGGCCACAACTTCGGCATTGTCACCTCCGTCACCTCCAAGATCTTCGACATCGAGCACAGTGACTGGGCCATCGAGACCATCACCTTCAGCGGCGACAAGGTCGAGCAGGTCTACGAGGCTGCTAACAAGTACCTCCTGAAGGATGGCAGCCAGTCCGCCGACGTCATTAACTGGTCGTACTGGCTGAACAACCCCGATGCGGATGCTAGCAACGTGAGTTCTACTGTCCTGTCACCTATCTTTCGTTTCATCGTCTAACAATTACCCATAGCCCGTCATCATCATGTACATCATCCAAGAGGGTGTTAAGACCGTCGACTCCGCCTACACTGCTCCCTTCCACGAGCTGGGTCCCATCTCCACCGAACCCCAGAGCGGCAGCTACAAAGACCTTGCCGCATGGACCAACATCGCCATGGACTCCGTGCCCTGCCAGAATGCCGGAACCATCAACCCGCGCTGGCCCAACTACCTCGAGAAGTACGACGTGGCCGCCCAGAAGAAGGCCTACGAGCTCTTCGCCGACAACGTCCGTGGCTCCTCCGCATTCAACGGCTCCATCTTCATGTTCGAGGGATACTCCATGGGCGGCGTGAAGGCCATCGACGCCGAGAGCACCGCCTTTGCTTTCCGTGACGAGAACATCCTCTCCGCCCCCCTGATCACCTACGCGCCTGGTGGCGCCGAGCTGGACGAGAAGGCTGCCAAGCTGGGTAGCGAGCTCCGTCAGATCCTGCAGGATGCCAGTGGTACTGAGAATGTCCGCGCGTACGTCAACTATGCATTCGGTGACGAGGGCGCCGAGGGCTGGTATGGTAGCGAGAGCTGGAGACAGAGCCGCTTGCAGAGCTTGAAGACGAAGTATGATCCTAATGGCATGTTCAGCTTCTATGCGCCGATTGCTTAGATCGGGCCGTGATGGTTGCGTTGTACGATTGTTCTTTTGTGATATGTGTATATATGGTTGTACCTGATGCTAAGGGTGCAGGTGATGTTTGAACCCACCTGCAGTTTATTATAGTAATGAATAATTTCATTGTCACCACAATGACCTTTTATCCCTATACAACACATCAAATGGCTGCATGAACTATACTCTTGTACCGTCTATCAACTGTATAGTGACATGGTGCTACGTGCTGCGTAACTGATATTTGTCTACACCTGAGACGAATATCCGACTTTATTGATTAGGAGAATATGTCAATGCTAAATGATGGCTTTAGCAACCAAATGCTATTTGGGTCTTTCGAGTCTTGTAGTAGTCGTCGTGAGAGTCACCCGCTCTGCTGTTAGGTTAGCAGTAGCAGTTCGTATCATAATTTTATTGTCCCTTAGGTCCGAGGCTGACAGGCACAGCCCAGATGGGAGACGGAAATGCCTCAACTTCGCCTGTTTGTCTCCTTGCTTCGTTTGTTCCGCTCTCCTAGGGTGAATCGTATCCCTTAATTCTTGACCAGGACTTAATCCTACGTTTCCTTCATCGCTGAGATGCGGTCGCACTTTATGGCAAGCCTAAGCCCAAGCAGGCCCTACAAGAGGAATTCTGAAGATATTGACGTGAACCACGAGTCAATCGTACCCGGGACACGCTTGAGATATGCGACCAGCATGTGTCTCGACGGTATCCGGCATCATCTATGTGGGAGAGGTAAATCGTGCCTCGTGCGATCGGTCAAATGGAGGAAAAGGTCTCATTACGGAAACGGAACATGCCAGCCTGGCAAGACAGCCTGTACACGAAAGGGATGATGTTAGTCTCTTTTCTTCGTGAATTATATAGGGTGCAAATGGATGTCTTGCAGGATAGTCGGGTCAAAGAACATACCGCAATACGCACTACGACATGGAGCCGGGGAATTGGGGCGAGGCCAGCGAGCGAGATAAGGCCAGTGTAATTGCAAACATGGAATAGGAGTGCTGGCGTAGATAATAGCGAATCTCTGAAGAATAAATGGTGTCTGGCAATTATCTGCCTGTCGTTCCAGGCGAAGATCTCGGCAGAAAATATCGGAGGATATATTGATCCGGGCCAATTTCACCGCCTACCTTCGAGGGTTGGAGCTGATAATATAAGCTTTGCGAGACCCTCATGACTTTTAGTTCGTTGATGGTTCGGATGATCTGATGCTGGAGATGCGGAGGATGAACGAACAATTGGGGGCTGTTGGTTGCTTGTTTGTCTTAAGCAATCCACTGATTATACGAACAGTTTAGGGCTGTGCATTGGTCCTTCTCGCGGGTCGGGAGATATTTCCACTACATATGGGAGGTTCGCAGCAGCCAGCACAGATGCACAAGGGTCTTGATGATAAGGGCCCCATCGAGAGTGGATTTGAAGGATCGTCCCTGAATAGGCAAGAGCTAGCGTTGCTGTGATTGAATGCTCTTCTGTTGTTTGCCTGACGTTGACGTTGGTTGCCTTTCCGTTTCATGGGAACTTTACTGATGGAGCAGATACCACTGAATCGCTAAACATGACTCCGACGTCTTGAAAGTAGAATCGAGGGATGAATAAGAGGCGGGAGAAAGATGGTTTGCTCTGATTCAAATCCCTTGTCCCCTGATATTATTGGGGCTGAAAAGGAAAGCTCGCTGTTCTCCCCGCCGCGCTAATTACGATCGGCGCCCCCAAGATGAATCAAGTCTCGGTCGTTGGCACTTCAGAGCCGTTCTTTGGACAATCCAAGGTTGGTCCGACAAGGACTGAATACAATGAACATGGTTCTCTCCTACAGCGAGAAACGTGGAAAATCCTGCACGGGAACAAGCCACGTTCTATACCCTGGTCACCCACGGGGTTGAGTCAGATATCTCCAAGGCAAAAACCATGATTGAAAAAAAAAGAGGCAACTAAAGCGGTCTCCACTGCGCTAAATGGCTACTCTGCCGTACTTAAGCTGCACGATGGCAGCACCATCGCGAGCGAAGTCGACCGTTCGACCATTCAGCTTCGATCGTCCTGCTGACTGCTTCTCGTTAGCAGTATAGTCTGATAGCCTTGTGTTGATCACTCGCCAATCAGGCCATGATGGGCAAGGCTGTCAAGAGCCACCGGCAATCTTTCTCTTGAAACTAAAAAGTCGGCGGATCTTCGCCCTCCCTTACGTTCTAAACTCTTACTCCGTACACCTTGCGAAGCACGTCTTTTCATGTTGCGAACACCATCGCCCCCAACGCTTCTACCATGACGACGACGACGACAGCCACCGCGAGCGAAACACAAAAAACGCATCTTCCCCTGACGACGACGTTCACACCGCCGGCTTCATGTACGAGTAATGTTTGGCTCGCTAGCACCAGCGGAAAGACATGGATGAACCTGGGTCCAATTTTCCATACGGAGTGTCTTCCATCGGGGTGGAAAAAAACAGATTATTATTCCCCGGGGATATGTCCGACGGGTTATGCGATTGCTGCCAGCGGCATCGTGATTGATGGATCTGTTACCGAAACTGCAGCGACCTGCTGCCCAACGTAAGTCTTGTCCGCACGCCCAGGGGAAGAAAGGGGCAGATTCATGCGGTCGTGAACTAACAATACCCGGACGTCTTCAGATTCGGCGACAATAAATATGTGACCCGAGCTGCAGAATCGTCTACGATTTCCGAATTAATAGACTGCACTTGGCAACCAGGTCCCGATGTTACAACAGAATTCAAGTACACCTGGACAGATGACGAAGGACGAACATCCAGCACAGACAGCGCGTTGAGCAGCGACGGCCACATCAACGCATACGGCGTATATATACGATGGCAATCGAGCGATTTCAGCACGCCCCCAGCCACGACGCCGATCTCTAACACCGCTACCACCACCACTGCTGCCGCAACATCTTCCCAAACTTCCACAGAACCCTCGGGATCGTCGGAACTGTCGACGGGGGCCAAAGCGGGTATCGGCGTCGGAGTTGCCGTGGGGGCCGTTTTAGCGATTGTGGCCCTGGTGCTGTTCTTTATTCGGCGCCGAAGAAACCGACCGGCGCAATATCAGCAGAGCCACGACGAGGCAGGTGCACCGGGATTGGTATACTATCCCCCAAGCGAGATGCCAACAGGGGATGTAAGGGAACCTACAAAATATGCTGCGGAGTTGCCTGCTGGAACAGACATGCCTGAATTGGACGGGTCGAGAAAATAAACGACTTAATACCCCTTGACGATTAGGCTATAGAATACCATCTTCAGCGCGTTTGGTTTTCATGCTTAACGGCCTGGCAGTCGGTCTCTGGAGGACTACTGGATTATCTGGAACTTCTTAATTTTAATTTGATCTTATATTGACTTAAAATACCACTTTTGAGGATGGGTCTGGCGGGGTGCCGGCCGTGTTAATAGCAACCTCACTTTCCAAGACGATCTGCGTAATAATGAGTAGATGACATGTTAACTCGATCGTCTTGAGTAATGTAAAGCCCTGTAGATAACGAACTGTAGAGAGACATGTTGATGTTTGGACGGTGTTGTTCCTCTTAAGTTGGAGTGTCCCGCGGGCCATACATGAAACCAGTTAATAGTTCATAATGGAAATTGGCGATGATAACCATACATAGAATCACCTAGCTGTTGCACCTTGAAGCAGGGTTGACATCCAAGATGATGAGACTGAGGTGGATCTGCCGTCCTCGCGCGTAGTTATAGACGATGATTTTGATGGGGAGTACTATAGTGCCAGTGTAAATTTGGTGCGCTGTTTAACCGGCGTAATCCGATCGCTGTATACGGTTCTTCGTCACGCTCGTGACGCCCAGCTCTCTACCTGTATACACCAAGTGCTGCGCGAACTGCAGTCCTGGATAGATCAATTGCCCCCATGACTACAGATTAACGCTTCCTCCGTCTGTGAGCATAATTGGAAGCTTGCCACGCGTCATTTCCCTCTTGACCAGTGCATCATACTGGCCACACGTCCAATTCTTCTCCACGCCTTGCGAGTCCAAGTAACAACACCGAAAACTTCCACGTCGTTATCTCAAGCCCCTATAAGTACCTCGGCTCTATCAGAAGCCTGCACTCGATGTGCACGGCACTCGGTGCAGCCACTCGCCCGGTCCTGGATTGACGGCTCCTTCGTCACTTCTGACTGCTTCTTCACGCAGTACCTGTTTCCTTGACGATTGTGCTCACCATATCGAGCCTCCTTGATGGCAAGAACAGCCATGCCGACCGCGGATTGTTCAATGAAGCCGTTTATCTCCTGTCGGAACTGAAAGACTCCTGCAACTGCGTCGCCCAGGTGTATTGTCATCATATAGAAGTGATCCAGACCGCATTAATAGCCTACGAGAAACGTATTTTGTCCCCTGCGACTGCCAATGTGCTCATCCCGAATGGCTCTCATGAGTCCAATACAGCTCCGGTTACGTCGCAGCTACCTACGTATTTGACTCGTTTAATGGCCTCGACGACAGACATCGCGTGGACTGAGTCTTCCTTGCAGCAGCTTCTGTTCCAACGTGCTCTTGACATGCAATTTTTGTAAGAGGCAGTGTGCGATACCTTCTTTCAAGAACTGTGGCAAACGGATCTGGGACCAGGATGTCAGAAATCAGCTAGTTTGAGGTTTTCCCGCTGCCATGGAAGGTGGTATTCGATCGGATTGTGGTCAACGAATAATGCATGTTCTACATTCACATTTCAACTAACTAGATTTCCACATATCGTGTTCATTAATTTAACCTATGAGTAACGGTATAGATTACACATAATAGCCTTCAAACTAGAGGTTCAATTAACGCATAGAAGCCGTAATCCTAATCAAATTTCACCGCGGTCTATACCTTGACCTTCCATTTCCAGCTCCAGTCCAAAATAGCCCAACGGGACATGGCAACGCTCACGAATCCTACCAGTAACACTGCAGAATAGAACCCAATCAAAACACGTGGTGTGGTCGCCTGCAACAACTGACCTCCGATCGGAACGGTGATCAAAACCCCAAACGAGGCAACCGAATACACAGTCCCGTAAAATTTGCCATAGTCCTTGGTGTCGCACAGCTGACCGGCACAGACAGGTGCCAGCGATAGCCACCCGCCAGAACCAAACCCGAAAATTGCCACAACGGCATAGATGGTGCCTTCGCTGTGGGATCCATATGGCAGCCACACTCCCGCCATAATGATCATGGTAATGACGACCAGAAGTAGGAGGATATTGAATCGGCCAACTTGATCGGCAGCAAATCCGGGAAGAACTCTCCCGAGAAAACTTATGCTATTCAAGACTGTAAGGGAATAGAATTGCACATCCAATGAGAACCCGCTGTAGCGGACATAAGCTGGTAGCAGCGCGGCGCAACCGAAGATAATGAATTCGAACGAGAAGACCGCGATTGCTAGAAAGCAGAGACGTGGGGATTTGAATGCTCTTAAATCAATGGTCACTCTGCTCTTTTGGCCGGCGGGGAGACGTCCCCGTATCAGGAGAATGCCAACGATATAGCATCCTAAGGCCATAAAAGCGACTATTCGGATAGCCCAGGCCCATCCATATTTTTCAAATAGTGTTCGCAGCACCAACGGGATGATTGCACCGCCGGCCGACGAGCCTCCCATGCATATTCCGGATGCCAGCGCCCGTCGGCGGTTGAACCAGTGGCTCAAGACGGCAATCGAAACTGTTGAGATGACTGCAGAGGATACTCCGCAAAGCACCCCAAGGCATAGCATAAAATGCCAGTAGAGTGAGCACTGGGCGAGCAGTATATAAGAGACAAAATTTGTCACTGAGCCGCAGATCAACAATACTCTTGGTCCATAGCGGTCAAATAGCGGCCCTACTTGCACGCCGAGAAATAATGTTAGAAAAACCATGACCGCGGTAATCCAACCGACATCGCGATCGCCATAGTCGGACAGCTGATGCGTGGTGATATAATCTTGGACCGATCCGACTACGTCGTGTCAGCAACCCTGTTGATTGGGTGGATAGCTGGACGAATATCTATCTTGCTCACCTGCAGACTGAAAGCCAAATGACGGAAACATCATCAGAGCTGACCCGAACAAACAGATCCATGCCTCTCTTCCTCCTTCAGGAAAAGCCAGACTAACCCCTTCATCTGTAGAGTTCTCTAGAACAGCCCCAAGCTCAACGTTGGGTTCCGGGATCTCATGGGAGACTGGACGACTAGATCGACGCATTTTGCGCTGATTGAACCTTCGCGGGGTCAAATTGAAAGACAGGGTAAGCTGAAGACGGGAGTGTGCGAAGATCTGAGAGTCCCTGCTAAGATTCACAGAAAGCTGAAAGCAACGCCATAAAAAGGCCTCAAGCCTAGGGCTCAAGGTGTCATGCGTCATTGTCCGGAGAGTGGGTCTCCAGGGCCTCAAGAGCGCTCTCCGATTTGTTTATTGCACCAAAATCCGACCCGGCCAATCACGGGTGGTCTTCAAAGTTGCCGACGGGAATGATAAATTCGCAAGCATAGGATGCTGTCAGATATGTACATAAATAAATACGGGTAGGAACATGTCCCAAACTTCCTTATGATCTGCAGCAGAGGATTGGTTGCCCAATGCGTTAGCGGCTCTTGCTCTAGACGCAGTGTTTTTTTACTACGTAGATTCACAAGCCTCAACTTGTTATGACATAAGACATATATTTCGGATCCAGACTACAACACAATCAAATATGTCAAATAGGATCCGAAAGGCATTGATAAATTAGTTGTATTTTCGGTTACTCTAGCAAAACAACCAGAGCTATGAAACACGAAAAAGTATGGACATTACTTCCAGCCTTTTTTTTCCTGCAATTGCCTCTTCCTTCATTCTGGAGATGCATGCACTCGACAAAAAGAAAAAGGGAAAAAGAAATGACAAGAGTGGGATTCGAACCCACGCCATCGTGAGATGAGTAGGAAACTCGCATGAGTTGTGAATTAAGGTGAACCTTAACCTACCGCCTTGGACCGCTCGGCCATCTTGCCTCTTATATAAAAAGAGCCCAAAATAATGCAATATATACAAAAGTCAATTTTAGTACAGTACACAGCATTCTCTGTTCGCTTACCTGCAACTATCTGAACTATGTGCCGACTGTTCTATGTTCTTGTTCTCTTCTAAAATGCAGATCGAAGACAGCTCCACCTCCAGTTGGCTCCATTCCCACAAGATGAATCAACTGTCTCTGTTTGATTTGTACGGAGTAGCTTTGGATTCTTGATCGAGATAATACCAAACGAATACGCCTCTTTGCCTATTTGGGGTAATGATCTGCAGTTTCAAGAATTAACCTAGTCTATACCCCCAACCGTGGCTCGTCAAAGTAGACTTTGAGATGGGATTTGCCCAGTTTGACGTCAGTGTGCCCCTTTATCAGAACCTCCTTCATTACTCCATAGATTGGAGGGTAAACGCGCTAATGTGGAACTGTGATGCCTTGGTGGCTCGCTTGAATGCCGAGCAACCAGGTTTTATTCCATTGTCTGCAATAATCCCGTGGATCAAAGATCATCACCACATGGTGCTCTAAATTGCGATTCTCAACGTATTCGTATCTAAGACTACATGCGCAAATGCATATAAATTAGGAGCAATACTTACCCGTCCTCATGGCTATCATCTCTACCTACTCTCTTTCTCATAGTCGACTGTTCAACTGCACAATGCTACCCTTTTTCAATATACCTATATTGTCCCTGGCATTGGCCACACTCCCCCTAGCATCCGCCACGCAGCATTGCAAAGCCTCCCCTGGAGATTCGACTTGGCCATCTACCAATGAGTGGAATGCCCTGAATCAGTCCATCGACGGTACCCTTATAAGAACGGCTCCTGCCGCTTCATCATGCTATCCCGGCAACCCGTTTAGGTCCTCTGAGAATTGCACAGATGTGAAAAACCACTGGTCTTATGCTGCGTACCATGCGGCTTGGCCTGAAAGTGTCGACTATTCTATGTATGCGAATAACTCGTGTTTGCCACCCGGAGTTACCGGATACTCGAAAGAAAAGGGATGCAGTATCGGGGGTTTGCCACAGTATATTGTGAATGCTACAACTGAAAAACATGTTGCTACGGCCATGAAATGGGCTTCAGATAGAAATATTCGCATTGTCGTGAAAGGAACCGGACATGATCTCGGCGGTCGGTATGTGACTACTCTTTCGTTCCTCTCCTTATTACTAGATCGGCCTGAGGAGTACTAACGCTTCGCAGCTCCACCGGCGCCTTTGCGCTTTCTATCCTGACGCGCAACTTCAAGCATATCGAAAGACAGCCTAGGTGGCGAGTGCCCGGGACCAACAGTACTGAAGATGTGGTTGTATGTGGTAGTGGAAACAACTGGGGTACCGTCTATACTGCCGTTCACAACATGAACCGAACAGTTGTCGGTGGTGAGGACGCCACGGTCGGTCTAGGTGGTTTGATCCAGAACGGAGGACATGGTCTTCTCTCAAGTCACTATGGTCTTGCCTCAGACCAAGTCTTCCAAGTAACCGTGGTAACAACCGACGGCCAACGCCTGGTTGCCAATGATGTTCAGAACCAAGACATTTTCTGGGCCGTTCGTGGTGCTGGCGGAGGTCAGTATGGGGTCGTCACGGAGTTCGTCTTGAAGACACATGCAGTCCCAGCAAATGTTGTCAGCGGTGGTTTCTCATTCCATCCCCGCGGAAACTCGACCGCTACCGGAAACGCGTCCTGGGGTGCTTTGGCTGAAGTGGTGGCTCGCATTCCCGACTTGATGGATACTGGAATCATGGGAACTGTGACAGGCTTCAACAGAAAGAAGGCAGTGACATACCTGGGACTGAATGAAGAGCTACCTGGAGCTTCGGGAATGGTCAGCTTCACTGCGTTCAACATGACGACCCAGCGCATGAATGCCACCCTTCACAAACTTGCGGCCCATCTTCACCCCGAGCATGTGAACATCACCATCCAGCCAGTGTCTTCCCAGAGTTACTGGTCCTCCACAAAGCCGAATTTCCGGGCAAGCGCCGCCGCCGGCTCCTCTAGCCTGATGACGAGCCGGCTTCTGGGCAGACGGGAGCTTTCCAACATTACTAGAGAAAGCTTGGCCACGTATCTCCAAGATATCATGATCTCTCAGGAACCTAGTGCAGGCTCAATGCTTTTGTTCGGTCTCCAAGGAGGAAAGGGACCTGCTCATACTCCTGAGTCGCGACGTGGAAGTGTGCACCCTGCTTGGCGTACAGCATATGCCCACGCTATGGTCTACAGTGCTTCTTTGAATGATACTGGAAATCCTAGTCAAGAGTTGAAGGCCGCATCGGACTGGATTAACGCAGCCCAAGAAACTGTTTGGCAGAGATGGGCCCCTGAGAGTGGCTCCTATATGAACGAGGGCAATCCTTTCAGCATCAACTGGAAACGTGACTTCTATGGAGACAACTATGATCGCCTTCTGGAGGTTAAGCACAAGTATGACCCCAATGGTAGTTTGTTTGTTTGGAGTGGGGTTGGAAGCGATGACTGGAACTATGATTTGAACAGTGGTCTGTTGTGTCGCATTTAGGAAGCTACGTTGATAGCTTCTTTTCTTTAGCAGTGAAGGTGTTGGATTATTTGAGTTGGGTGATTCCCGGTATTCTGCGGGTTGTAAGAGGGCTGATGGCAAAGTGCACATCGTCATACAAGAGATATCTCTTACATATACCAAAAATTGAAGGTATAATATGGCGTTGATCCATTTCACCATTTAAAGTTAAAACACTGTAGTAAGACTAAGCGCACAGAACCATAGCGCCAATGAATATTCAGCTTCGGAGTCAGTCATGACACGAGCGGAATGGTTCGTTCCATTGGAAGCATCTCATTCGTCTTGTAGTGCACACCAGTGGGATCCTGAATCGGAGGAATGTACTCCTTCACTCCTGCCTTGTGAACGCGACCATTGATCATGATTATGTTCAACTTATCATGATCTTGCAGGATTGAAATGTCTTTCAATGGATCTCCGTCGACAACTAAACAATCCGCATAATTACCTTCTTTGATTTGGCCCATTTCATCAGACCGCATGAACAATTTAGCCATGCCGTAAGTTGCTGCAATAATTGACTCGTGTGGCGTGAAGCCGAAACGGTCAACAAAGTGAGCAAGGTCTCGCGCATAGGTGCCATGTGGTGTCCAAGCAAACCCGTAATCGCTGGGACAGATTGTCAGGTCTCTGTTGCCGTCACATCAACTAAAAGCTCGCAGGACTCACCCTCCTGGAAGTATGACTATTCCTCTTCGATGCATCTCCCGTATGGCACGATCAGCTGCATCGAGTTCCTTCTGGTACCCGACCTGTTCAGCCTTCTCTGTTGTATAGCCGAACATCACAGCGTCATGAAGGGTGGCTATCAACCAATTAATGGCTGGTGCTACGACATGCTTGGATCTATTCTTCTCGAGGGTATCCATGCCTGTTCGTAACAATGAAAAATGAGCCATAACAAACATCAAACGGTGTAGAAGCTTTACCTTTCTCGTCGATATAGGATGCATGATAAATCACATCCACGCCAAAATCAATACTTTGCTGGACAGAGTCTCTGGCTCGCGCGTGAGAGCAAACGCGCTTCTTATGTTTATGGGCCTCGTCAACACATGCAGCCGTTTCCTCTGGGGTGAAATAGCAATCCTCAGCATCTCGAACCTCCGTGATCTAACAGCAGATTCAGTTAGGGTTGGATTTTCCCACAGGATTGTATAAGAAACCTACCGATTCTCCGGACATCGACAGTTTGACCTGGTCCACTCCAAGATCAATATGTTCACGGATACTGCCCTCCTGTTAGAACTGCTACCGGCTTGAACTGTTCAAGGTGTAATGGGAACTTACACGTCTCTCATTTCAGTCTCACCATCCGCATAGGCAGTGATTCCTCCGACTAGCTCCCCTCCCCTTCGGGCCATTTCCTGACCATTTGCCAGGAATCGCGGGCCAGGGATATCGCCTGCGTTGATAGCGTCCCTTATGACAACATCCAGACGTTTCTTAGCAGATGCGGCTCCGAAACACATAGTGTAACCGGAATCCAAGAAACATTCCGCGCTTCTCGCAGTAAGAAGTGTATGCTCTTCGACGCCGAGTTTGCCCAGACGATCTAAGTCGCCTCCGTTCCATGTGAAATGAGTGTGGGCATCCCCGAGTCCTGGCATCAGTGTGCGGCCTCTCCCATGGAAGACCCGCACTTTTGTATCGGCTAAGAGTTGCTCTTTGTTGGGGACCGTGCCCACATGTGCGAACTTTTGGCCTGCGAGACAGTTTCGATAAGCTCTGTTCATATAACACGTTTTGCTGGAGGAGTTATCGACTAAATTCTTAACTTACCCACAATGAGAACATCTCCTCGATAAGGCTCCCGGCCAGTGGCCTCCAAGATCTCGACGTCCAAGATGAGTACTTTCGAAGACGAAGCTGTACCGGAAATCTCGTAGTTTACAGGCTGGATCTGAGGGTCGAACTCCAGTTGATCGATGTAGGCGATGTTGCGAGGAGGTCCGTCATACTTGACGAAGGGATAGTCCGGTGACATCCACGAAATCTGCGACATGATGAAACAATTGCAGTACAGAGTGGGAGGTGCGGTTCAGCATTAAGCAATGTTCATGGTATGGAAAGCAAGAACCAGATGCCAAAAACCAGCCTATTGATATGCGGAATGGCCATATTTGATCTCCGCTCGTCCTGCCGTTAAAGTACGACCCGAGGGGAGAGACGCTGCCCGCAGTGGGCACCAATCGGGGTTTACAATACTTCCCCAGCTCTACCGAGTTACGGCCCGTTGCCGCCTTCTCCGCGCTTCTCCGCAAGCTGTCCAGGGCTTAGATGTAATTCAGGATGGTCTCCTCGTTTGTCAAACCGCAACCACCGAGACTTTTCACTATGGGTTGGCTGAGTTTACGAAGCCGGCTTCAAGAGCCGACAATTTTCGCACCTGTGTCAACAGAGGTCCCAAGTCACAAATGTTCGATTGAACATGTCGAGCACGTCGACTCTCCCAAGCATCTCCAGCAACTTGACAACAGATCAAGTGATTCCGAGTATCCATTCCAAAGCTCGTACATTTCCGATGATGCTTTACCTTTCATTCCGCCCACGGTGGTCGAAGGCCAACGAAACCGCTTCTCGCAAGGCCACGGTCGTGCTTGGATCGTCGTGAATAATATTGTCTACGATTGCACGGATTTTATTCAGGAGCATCCTGGGGGCGACACCGTCATAAGAAGCTTTGTTGGGGAAGATTGCTCTTGGCAGTTTTGGCGCTTTCATTCTAAGAAGATCATGGATCAGTGGGGACGACCTTTACGCGTTGGACGGACGGAGGGGATAGAGAATCGTTTCGCAGAGCCACCAAGGTTTTTCGGATCCCGAGGATCGCAGAGGTTATGTTGATAGAACTTTTCATGTCTCAATTCATTTTGTATGTAGATGGCTGTTGCAAATCATACCGTTCTTTGATATCATGGTCGGATATGTGCGTAACGGACAAGTTGCGACTTTTCGTAATGACCCTAGAAATGTGTCCACAAAGTCTCAATTCCTTCATCCCAATCAGGCACAGTCGTCACGAATGATCGCCGCGGGGTGGCGGCACGGAGATGCGCGGCGATGCGCGGCGATACGCGGCGATGTGAAAGATTGACGCCATCTCCGATAAAGTGGGGGGAAACTCCGATGTGGGGTAAACATCATCCCTGAGAATTGAGAGTTAAATTCTTCATTTATAAAGCGTGTAGGTGATCAGCAAACCCAACGCAACAATTGAATCTCTTCAGCTTCACCTATCGGTACAAGATGACTGCTACCGGAGTGAACATCCTCACCAACTACGTGGCATACCTGGAACCCAAAAATGGGCCCCGAATCGGCCATCTCGACTTCGAGACCTCGACTATCACACCCCTGTCGTTCAAGTCCGGCACACCTTTGACGGATCTTTACCAAGTGATCACTGTCGGCGAGGATGGGATTATAGCTTCAGGTGCTCAGTCTTTGCCTTTGTCAAGCGTGAAACATCTGCCCCCCATTTCGGGCCGAGATGTACTCGCCGTCGGGAAGAACTACGTCGAACATGCTCGCGAATTCAATTCCTCAGGATACGATGCGAGTGACAAGGTTGATCAGCCGACGCACCCTGTTATTTTCACCAAGCGCGCGACTTCCATTATCGGGCCCCAGGACGAGATCCTTCTGCATCCAACCTTTACAGAGACCGTCGACTACGAGGGAGAGATTGGCGTTATCTTTGGGAAGACGGGTTTCCAAATTCCAGAAGAGAACGCGATGGACTACGTGTGGGGCTATACGATTATAAATGATGTGACTGCACGGGAACGCCAGCGCGATCATAAACAATTCTTTCTCGGCAAATCGCCTGATACTTTCTGCCCAATTGGCCCAGTTGCGGTTCCCAAAGAGAATCTGCCAGCAAACCTGAGGGTCCAGACCTTCGTCAATAAAGAGAAGCGTCAGGAGGCTACCCTCAATGACCTGATTTTCAGCATTCCCAAGCTCATTGCCACCATCAGTGCGGCGCAGACATTACAAGTTGGTGACGTCCTCGCTACTGGCACTCCAGCCGGCGTTGGCTTTGGGTTCAGACCGATGAAGTTTCTAAAGACTGGTGACGAGATCAGCATTTCGGTCACAGGATTGGGGACTTTGACGAACCGGATTGCTACCTCTAACGCGGTCAATACGACCTCTGAGCGTGCCGAGTCTCACATTCCCGTAGCCAACCAAAAAGCCCCGTCCAACTCGGGACTGACCAACATCAATGGGAAATATCTTTTCTACCAACGCTTGGGTGTTGAGAACGGACCCCCAATTTTCTTCATCCATGGGCTGGGAGGATCCTCAAATTACTTCTATCCGCTTATCACAAAGTTGCAGTCAACACACTCCTTGCATCTCTTGGATCTAGAAGGACATGGCCTCTCACCAACATCAGCTCTCAGCTCTCTTTCTATCGGATCCTTTGCACAGGATTTCTATCATATGTCGCAAGTCGCAGGCGTTAACCAGGATGTGACCGTGATCGCCCATTCAATGGGCTGTCTAGTCGCTCTCAAGCTCGCGCTAAACCATCCCGAGCTTGTCTCCAAGCTTATCCTTATGGGTCCTCCCCCGAATCCACTCCCGGAAGCAGCTGCTCAAGGCTCGTATGCCCGGGCCGCGCTCGTTAGGAAGGAGGGAATGTTAGGTGTTGTCGACGCAGTTACCGCGGCCGGAACATCGACCTATGTTCAGCAGAACAGACCGTTGGCCGTCGCCGCAGTTCGTATATCCCTTCTCAGTCAGGATGCAGAGGGGTATGCAAAAGCTTGTGCAGCACTTGCTGGATCTGCAGCCGACATTTTGTATGTGGCCCGTCTTCGCATTCCCGTTTCTTTCGTGACCGGTGAGGAGGATAAGGTCAGTCCCCCGGCTTTATGTCAGAAATACTCCCAGGCGACTGGAGATGGACACGTTGAGGTGCTTCAGAATGTTGCACACTGGCACTTGTTTGAGGATGAGGATCGGGTTGTTCAGGCGGTCCTGGCGCATATTTGAGACTTGCATTCCGGAATTCTATCAATCTTTCTTCCTCCTTGTTCGTTGAAGAAATTAGAGAGACATTTATATAGACAATTATCTTGGCATTCGTGGTCTTCACAAGTAGTCTCTGTTGAAGCGAAATACTGACACAGACTTGTATTTTTTGCAATAGAGACCTCGTACAGAGCTGAGCAATCTACAAGGATCTACAGCATGAAATCTAATGCTAGCAACACAACTTTATTGCGCATTCTAGACTCCGGTCACCAATTCGTATGATGCCACAATAGTGCGAAGGGTAAAAGCGGTCAACTCCGCGCAACTCCGCGTCGCTAATCGACTAAAATTTATTCCCATTATTTGTCTTCGGCAAAAATCTAACAATGTACATGTTCCACGGTTTTCAGTCCGCGGGGTATGTGTACCACAGAACCATTTCCCTGTGACATCCATGAACTGCGAACCTATTGTAAAAGTCTGAACATGTAGATTCGCTTCTTAAAGACCATTTTTTCCATAAGCCACATTCTAATATCAACTATCTGTCCACGGGAAAACTGCCGGGGAAAGCCATTGTTCGCAGGGGATTTTTGACACTATTTCCTCGAAGCTCTCCGGCAGGGACCAGAAGCTCGGATCGAATTCATTAGATGGATCATTTGGAGCCATCGGCATGGACTCCAAACTTGAGCCGATGTCACTCGAAAAAGCTTCAGATGGAGTGCGCTGGACAAGGTCTCCGGGTAATGAGTGGTCCAGGATGGATGCAGCTCTTTTGCAGATCTCGCTGTGTCGAGCGTTTTCATGGAATCGCCCGACACATCGTTGCACAGCATGCAACATGGGGTTTTTGGGCGTAGATGGGTTCATTTCTTTTCTGAATAAAATAAGCAAAGTGGATATTGCTAAGAAGGCGTGGAATGAACCAAGTCCATGGATGTACCAGCTGTACGGTTGAAATTCGGGCCGCGAGCTCAGAGTTTCATGGTTTGACAGTATGGCAAGAGCAGCCTTCTCGCATTTTTCGTGGCTTGTTGTGGGACTCGCGTCTTCGAATGCGTTTGGCTTCATGAGAAAAGTCCGATGTAGTATCAAAGTCAAGTGGTTGGTGTAGTTATTCAAAATAAAGGAATGCGCCTGGTGATATAACGGCAAGACAACTTGCGTTGAGAAACGATCTGACTGGGCTAGCAATTCAGTCTAGATCTGATAATCAAGCGCTTGTATCTCGCTCAAAGAGGGAGCGGACGTTCCAGAGCTCAGTGTGCATATGCTTGAAGCCAGAGCGTATAGTCGAAACTTGAATAAGATGTATGACATTTTTGTCGGTTGCCTCTGTCTTGATGATGGCTCGTGCAAAATCTCAGGAATGATATCTGTGTCTTCCACGTCTGCCGGTAGCTGTACATTATTCTCAACAATAAACGGGGCCAAATTCCCAAGGCAGGTATTCTGAATAGTGTAAAGCATCATCAACCCCGCCCAGACTCGTCGCCTCTCTTGAACCTCAACAGGGTGCAAGTTTAGCAGTGCGGGATCGATATGACACCCGATAGCAATGGCAATGTTGAGCGTCGTTCCGAGAAGGGCCCAGGCCGGGCCCTGCGCGTGGTTAATGGCATAAATCAGCAAAACAAGGCATTGCAAAGTTTGCAAGTTATGCTGCCACATGAAGTTATCTGCAGCTAGACACTTCATCGCCGCCTGCCGATATTTCGCTGCTAATGACCTCGCGCTTTCTGCGGGGGATGCCTCCCGGCCCAAGTCTGACAGTACGGCACTTTCTTTCGGGATGGCAGTCACAGCAAGCCCTAAGGCGACAAATATCAGACCGATGAAAGGAAAAGGGGCATTTTGAGGATCTTGTTTGAATTCGGCATAGTTCGATGCGAATGTCCCGTCGTGTAGGATGTGGAAGAGAGGAGAGAACACTTGGTTGAATGTGGCCAGCAGTTCATCACAATGCCGAAAAGGTGGCAGGGTATCCAGAAGAGATTGCCTGCTGGGAAGTGTCTCTCCAAAGATAAACACGCTAGACGCTGCATCGGATTGAGATTGGCCTTGAAGCGAGTGGAAAACATCTGGATCCCGACCGGTCCCGTGAGGCATGTAACGCACATGGCCCGACGGCGACTCGATGATAGTACCAACCTGCACATGCCGAGGACGCGCACTGTTGCCAGTAATTCGGCTGGTATCCGTGAGGATTGGGACATCATTGTCGGCTATTTCGTCCAGGGGCTGCGAGAGATCATTTTGGGATACGGGCGAACGGAGAGCCTCGTTCGGTCGCGCGTGATATGTCGAGGCGAGCTCGATATTTTGAACCAGGAGACTTTCGAGGTCTGAGATTCGCCGTAGAAGAAGGACCTGGGACGCCTCGAGTCGTTCTGGTTGCTTGTTTCGTTCAACGTTGCGCTTGAAATGGCATGTAGACGCCACTCCACGCTTGAGGCAGGTATCACAAGGCACGCCCGATCCAAAACAACGGATTTTTCTCTGTCGACAATTCTCACAACTCAGGGGCAGCCTTTGTGGCATGGTGGTAACTAATGGGGGGGCTGGTTATTCTGCGGAGGACTGGGCCAGGGAGAGTAGGAAGTTGCAACTGGGAAACTCTCATGCTTGCTTTCTTTTAGAAGAACAAGTGCCCCACAATTCGGAGTTATATGCGGGGAAATTGGCCTCGGACGCCGGACTATCAGTTACCACCCTCGGAGATATGTAAAGCACTGATCTCTCCGTACCCCGGGTTTGTTGTTCGTTGAAGTTCTAGCATAATTCATTTACATATATCCCACTCTTGAATAGCAAGAAGTACATACGACCACAGGGTGTGGAGAACAGGGCTTCCCGTCCGCTCAGCCGTACTTAAGCCACACGCCGGCCGGTTAGTAGTTGGGTGGGTGACCACCAGCGAATCCCGGCTGTTGTATGTTTTTTGTTTTTTTTTTATATAATTATATATATATACTTCATGAATTAGAGAGATCCCAAAGGCTAAGAAGACCCCCCCAGGATGATGAATGAGGCCGGCGACATTGGTTAGCCGAGTACCATATATTTGATTGATAAAGACTATTCATCATTGGCTATATTCAATGCCATCTATTAATACAATATAATATGCGTTTTTGATGGGTCTACACTCCATCCGAGCTTCTGTGTGTCCAATTTAGGACCATACACTTTAGCATCCAGAAATTGATTGCAATGTCACCATATTGCAAACCTTCCGTAATGACTGGTACAATGGTGCGTTGATCGTCGAACCTGGTACGGATCTGGCGTGGGCCCTCCCAAAACAAGAAAGGGCGTATGCCAGGGATCACAGCCCCTGAATCTATCAGAGATACAAGATTCTCCATGCGAATATAATCTCCTTCAGGCTCCCATATTGCGCGGTAGAATTCAAAGAACTTAAGTTCACCAATGTAGTTAGGAAAATCCTATAAGACCACTTGAGTTGTCGGTGGTTGCTTGAGGAGCATCTTTCTCCAACTAGCCTCCGGTCGCAAATATGCAGTCTCTCGTTTACCTTGTTTAGTGAGTTCAGTTCCTTCCATTCCCACTAGTTGGTTGCCGTACCAGGATGATGTTCAACGCTTTCGTAATGACTGGTGCCGTATACGGCTCATCAGCGGGTTCGTTACCCCCGGCTGGTCAAATTTTGCCTCTCTGCATGCAATCATAAATAGGGCCTCTTGAAGTCTTTTGGAACGCTCGATGAGATCACTCCAGAGATAGTAGACTCGCTTAGAGGTGAGTAGCGTGCCCATGTCTAAGTGTAGAAGGATCTCTTCGAGGAAGATCCTATGGAAGAAGCGTAATACTCCGTGAATCCAGCCATGAGAATCACGTGGAATTGAAGATCGCAGAGCCTTCTTCTTCGTTCCCTAGGTATTCAATCACCTTCAGATAATTTGATCGACCTCCTCATTCCAAAGGGTGACCGCTGGCACCCGATTTGTCTACACTGTCTAGTGACTAGGTAGAGTGTGGGGGGGAGAAAGGGGGCGGGGATGCGAGAGTGTGTGTATCTTGGATTCCAACGGGCCCAGGCACATGCAGTAGAATTAATCACTGGCCGGGTACTAATATAGATAACGCTAATCGGGCTCTCAGTTGAATGAAGAGACAGGTTATCGCCCAATGGTCTCGTTGCGACATCTTTCATTATCTAAACACGGGTGTACATTGTAGGAACGGCAATATATATCATCGAAGCGCACCGAGTTGACACAGGGAGCTACTACTGCGAATGTGACCTAATAAATTGTAAAAAGGAAAGACGTTGCTCCACTTAATGTCGGAAATACTTCATAAAGGCAAGGAGTCACATTTATCAGCACATACTGCAATGAGAGAAGGTTCCATGGAGATCAGTTGTGGGTGTTCCAATCCTGCCTTTTTACAAGAAAATTGGTATTATGTAGTTAGTTATTATAGAAATAGTTAGTCATTTCATAGCGAGCCCTTTCGTACAATGCAGAGGTCCGCGATTCAATCCCGCGTGGGGGCATATCTATGATATCCAACTTGCTATTTCTTTTCTGTTTTTTTCTTCGCCTCACACCAACAACAACTAGTAGGCCCTATTGACAGAAAAGAAATTATGCCTGAATTGTCGAGATCTATATATCCCCAATATTTCATCTATTTATCTATATCTATCACCAGTGATAGCAACTCATATATCCTTCCGTGCATGTCGACTGTAATTCTTTCTCAGTGTTTCTCCATACTAGAAAATCCGTTAGCATCACCTCCTACAACAAATCATGAGACAGAAAGAGACAAACCTTCATTAACACGAGCGGAATCGGAATAAAAACAATTGACAAGAAAGCCAGGGTGGAGCTCGCCCACCCAACTCCGAGATGATTATACATGGCGGACGCGAACAGCGGAAATCCAGCGCCAAAGGCTGACCGGAACAAATCATTCCCCGCCAGTACTGAAGCTGCATAATTGGGATACGCATCAGGGAGGTAATTCAGGACGCAATTGAAGAGGATGAAAGCGCCGACGGAGAAAAACCCCGAGCCGACGATAGGCATGATCCAGTGGATTCCGGGTCGAGCGCTCCACCCAAACCAGAACAGACAGATTGGAATAAAGCAGCCGCCGATGATAGCTGGGGGAAGGCGAGCTTCCGGTGCTACGTTTTCATTGGCGTCGAATCTCGGTTCGAGATACTTGTGCATCCACCAGAAATAAGGGGGGATGGTGATCAGTGCGCCGACAAGGATGCCGATGTAGGCGAGGCCCTGCTGGCCTAGGTTGAACTCGTAGATGCCTTCGAAAACGATCTGGAAAGATTCAAACCAGACGTAGAGCAGACCGTAAATGAGAGCGATGTACAGGTTCAAGAGGAAGACCATGGGCTCCAAGAAGTTGAGAGTAAAGGGGCGGACAAGGGTGATCATGACAAGTTCCTTGCCCATGAGGCCTTCGCTCTCAATTTCAGGTTCGCATTTAAGATTCTCGCGTCCGGTTAGCTTGCGGAGGCGTCGAGCTCGTCGGTATAGTATGTTCGCCGATGAAGTCTCGGGAAGTAGGAAGATGAGCATGACGAGGGCGAACCCTGATAGCCACGTCAACTCCCAGATCGTCCAGGTCCAGCCTTTGGCCTGAGCTGCGAAACCTCCAACAAGTGGGCCCAGCACAGGCCCGCAGATTGCACTTATACCCCAAATGCTAATTGCGTAGGCGCGTTTAGCCGGACTGAACATGTCTGCTATTGTAGCGCCCCCCTGATAACGATTAGCTAGAGTGTTATTAGTGATGCAGAAGATACATACCGTAGCCAAAGCTGGTGAGCCAAAAAACCCCGTCAAGAACCGAAATGCCAAAAGAGTCCCCAGGTTCTTGGCAAGAGCCGTCGGAACTTGAAGAGCCACAAACACGATCAATGTCGCAATATATACCGGGTTCCTGCCGATCTGGGGCACCTCGCTCATCGGCGACCACAACAGCGGACCCAAACCATAACCAGCAACAAAGATGGTCAGGCCTATTGTCGCTGGGACTTGTGCAATCTGGAACTCCTCCATCAATGTCGGTATTCCGGGAGTGTAAATGGCACTCCCGATATACACACTGAACGTGAGCAGACAGATCTGAAATGTCACGAAGACTTTCTTGGACAACGCCCAGTTTTGAGGATTCTCCGGATCATCTTCATCCCACCAGTCAATAACATTCACATCTTTCCCTTTTTCTGGATTGATCCGCACGCCCGTCAATCCCTGGTACTTATGCCCATGGTGGGTCCATGCGGACGAAGGAATTCGTGCCACAGTCTCGGAATGCGCGAGTTGGTGATCCTCTGGAATGGTTACAGAGTCCATGCGACCGTGATAAGCCAACCGACTTGATTTCTCGACATTGACGTAGCGATGCCATAGTGAAGGGTCTTTTTCTTCGGCGTATCGGAAAAAGCGACGGTTGGTGAGAATTCGGACGGCGTGGCCGAAAATGGAGTCCTGCACAAGGGTGGACATGATCGGCCCTGATTGTTGTTCAAGACCTTCAGCTTAGCGACTTCAGTGTCCAGAATAGTTGAGAAAAATTGAGAATAATACGACATTATTGTTTTATAAACGAATTGTGCTGAGAGTTTTACATCCGGATTAGGGTTTGATGGAAATGATGTCATGCATACGATTATAAGCTCACTGGGTCCACTATGCCGTCGCCTTCCGCCTCTAATTCATGCCTGGTTCTGGTGTTTTAAAGTTGCATGCAGTAATGTCTGGAGTAATTCTTATGTTCCGTGCTATGATCAAGGAATTGCAGTGACCACGCTGTGACGGACCCACCTAGCGTCAGCGTGGCAGGCCTTTGCTAGGTCAGATCGCGAGCCGAGCTAAGATCCAGATCTTTCGACATCTTGTTCATGAATTCACCTGATGAAGAGAACCTGAAAGGCCCACTGGCTCATCTTAATGTTAGTAGACTTGATTATTCCGATCCTCATGAACCTCTCCCCCCTCCCCTGGTAATCTTTCCTTAACCACATACTGTTTGGTTTCTGTCTTCTTCTGCTTCGAGATATTAGAGTTATGTGTTTTGCGACCGGAAACAAGGAACACAGCGGAACATCCTAGTGTTCTTTCGGGTATGTTGCTATACAATCGACAAGTGCTTTGTTTTAGAATCGTTGGTCTCGCGGAAAGTGCATATCTTCAACCCCTTCAGATGACATGACTTTCAATCATTGAGCGAACGGTATCCGTGTGACTAGTCTCCAGAGCTCGATACTCCCATTTTTCCTCCTTATTACCCTTAGCAAGAACATCGAGGCTAACACGTATATCCCACTCCGTCGGATGAACACCGGGGGGTAGATGCTGGCTTGGATTCCCCTCAGGAACTCGATCCCTGAGTTGCGGGAAATTCTCGCCGATGGTATTAGCCACTAGCTGCGGTGCGGATATAAGAAGGACTCTCTGCCTTGGTGCCGATGGATTTGTTAGGGCGTCCACATGGCTGCGTGCGACGTCTTGGACATCGGCCTGTCTATGGATCATTTTCGGTGAGTATACGGAGGCGATATGGGTGAAAAATCCTACAAAATGATAAAATGGGAACGAGAATCCGTAGATTTGCTTATGCGTTCCATCGATGAAGCTTCCGATAGCGAACAGATTGATCTCTTTGATTGATTTGGGGCCGGAGATGGGATGAAGCATTGGCTCGGTGATGATATCCGGGTTAATTACGACAAGGTCAAACTATGGTGAGTTTTGTTTACAAATTTCCTTGCTGCAGCTTCCGCACGTGTCTTGGACACGTTGTATCTGAGCACAGGGTCCTTTTGTTCGATAGCTTGCTCGGCTGTTACCTGGTGGCTTGTGAGCTGGGAACAATACAGGACAGGAGTGAATGACTTCAAATGCGTACTGGGTTATAATCCTTCTCGGTATATGGCTTCCCTTCTCGAGACATGCCTTCAAATGTATCGAGGGCAGAGACGGCGCTATCTAGTAGGACGAAGCGCTTCAACGCCGCACCGCCATAGTGATGAGCTGCTTTGAGGATCTCCGTTGTTCTGAGTACACTGTCAGCAAGTGTCTTCTCCCAGATACAGAGGTGGGCAGTCTCAATATTCTCACTTTCCAAATAATTAATCTTATCTGTTCTACCTCTACTTTACCTCACCACATCATCAGATATCAACAACCATGACCAATTGGCCCGATGTCCCCTGCAAGCCCGCTGAGGGCATCTCGTACTTCACTCCGCCGCAAACCCCTCCCGCCGGAACCGCCCGTAACCCTCAATCGAATGGAAAGCCGATCCCGAAGCTCTTCAACCCCCTCACAATCCGCGGGCAAACATTTCAAAACCGCCTTGGCCTGGCTCCCATATGCCAGTACAGCGCTGAGGATGGCCACATGACCCCTTGGCACTTCGCTCATTATGGTGGTATCGCGCAGCGCGGACCGGGCATGATGATAATTGAAGCAACTGCCGTGCTTCCCGAAGGACGTATCACGCCGGGATGTGCTGGATTGTGGAAGGACTCGCAGATTGGCCCTCTTCGACAGGTGGTTGAATTTGCGCATAGCCAGGGCCAGAAGATCGGCATTCAGCTCGCCCACGCAGGTCGGAAGGCATCGACCCTCGCCCCTTGGTTGGGCGGAGGCGTTGCAACGAATGCGGTTGGCGGATGGATCGAGAACCTGAAAGCCCCGAGTGCGATTCCTTTCACCGACGGAGGCATCGTGCCGAACGAGATGAGTGCCCAGGATATCCGGACTTCAAGGATGCCTGGGTGGCGGCTGCTAAGCGAGCTTTGACTGCAGGTGTGGACTTCATTGAAATCCACGGTGCCCACGGCTACCTGATATTCTTCATTTACAAGCTTCTCTGCAAATGACCGGACCGATCAGTATGGTGGTTGCTCTGAGAACCGCATCCGGCTCCCCCTAGAGATCTCTGAGCTGACACGTGAGACCGTGGGCTCTAAGATGCCCGTCTTCTTCCGCATCTCCGCGACAGACTGGCTGGAGAAGAGCCTTCCCGACGAGAAGGGCTGGAAGGCCGACGATACCGTTGAATTCGCTCGCGCATTGGCAGCTCAAGGCCATGTGGATCTGATCGACCTCAGCAGCGGTGGTATCCACAGCGCCCAGAAAATCACCTACGGCGGCGGCCCGGGAGCCGCCTTCCAGGCACCTTTCGCTGCAGCCGTGAAGAAGGCGGTAGGTGATCGTTTGCTGGTTGCTGCGGTTGGAATGATCAATCATGGGTACTTGGCCCAGGAGATCTTGCAAGATTACAACGTGGATGTGGTGTTGGTGGGAAGGGCATTCCAGCGCGATACGGGCATGGCGTGGCATTTCGCCAAAGACCTGGACGTGGAAATCTCGATGGCGGCAGACTTCCGGTGGGGCTTTACCAGTTCGCGTGGCTCGTCGGAGTATATCCAGCCGAACGCGATGAAGGCTTCTATCTTCGAGTGAAAATATAGCTTCTGATTTGCTTTTCATTCAAATAGACTAGACATAGATTAGATTTGCGTTGCTATAGAACCATAGACTTTCATTGAGTGTTTATCATTTGGTTATCGGACACTTTCATCATTTGTTCTAGTTTGTCTTCACTCTTTGAAGCTGGCTAGAACTGCATACTTTCTACTTACCCGAAAAGAAATCAATTAACAAGCCCCTGTTATGAAAGACAGCCATAAACAGGAAAGAGCTTTACTAAATGAACCGACTAAGTCAGGCGCAGGGTTTTGTATTTGCTAAAGTCAGGATGAATGTCACATATGTAGATTGGAGGTTCCAAAATCCTGACCTCCACACCATCCCAAACCACAAAAGAAAGTGTCATAGCTCTGGTAACCACAGTGTTGCCTAATACACGAGCCTAGATCCAACTCAAAGACAGCCCTCTCCCCAGCTGTGTCACCAACAGACACCTAGAGTCACTCTGCACCTCCCTCGGGACCGTCCGGCACCTCACCTGGGAGCTCATCCTCCGGTTGTCCTGGCTCATCATCTGCAGCCACCTGCGCATCATCCTCATCGTCCAGCACCGCCTCGATCTCATATCTCAACAAGTTCTGCGGGACATTATCATCAGCCTCACTACCCCACAGCGCCCACAGAGCGTTCCTGTCATTCTCAGAGATCGTCTCATTGACAGAGAACCACTTGTTTCCGATCTCAAGGGCATCTGGCTCCGCAGTCGAAGTACAAGTGGCATCTTCGATTTCACCCCCGCTAGTGACAGTGCGGCAGAGCCGGCACCAAGAGTGACCTCGAAGGTTTGAACCACCAGAGATGCAGCGGCCTCCGTTGGTAGAAGCTGCGACTCTTCCGCAGTAGCGTTGCCCAACTCTGTTCCAGGTTATGTGGAAATCGGTGGATGTGCAGCCGGTGCAGCTGCCTGAGGCGAACACGCGATTCGCGGCCTGGCAGCAGACCCTAGGACCGATGTTGCGGCAGACAGCGTGTCTGCCGCCGCAACGAGGTCGGCTGTATTGGTGCAGGGTCACTGCATTGGTGAGGGCGAGGAGGGAGAGAAGGACTGCCAGAAAAGAGATTTTGAAGTGCATTGTGAGGTTTCGATAAGCTGGTATGTTGTTTGGAGGGAATTTTTGTTCGCGTTGGCTTTTCTGCGTGTTCGTTGGAGAGATCCGTGCTGTTTGATATTTCGAATTATGTGGCTATTCTAGGGGCCTTTATATCATGAAATAAAGGGCATGATCTTCTACAATGCGGCCGGCTTTACAACTGGATTATCAAACAGCGAGGCTCTAAATCTCCGAATTTTGTGTAACATTTGAATACGAACTGGGGTCATACGATTACAGCAAGTGGCACTGACCTCGACGACTAGTTGGGACATCCGTGAAGCAATCAGGACGAAAACAAAATGAGGGGTGGTGTTACACGTCTATACCCCGAGAGTTCCGGGCATGAAGTTGACTTTTGGTTCATGAAAAATGTCCTTAAATGGACAATGGTATAGTCACAACAAGAAAAATCACAAGAGATGAGCCGTAGGAAATATTGTTTTGTAGAAAAGTCATTGCCACCCTGATTGACCCAGTTTGTAGGTAGACAGACAGGACCATTGGCAGCTGCAAAAACTATCAAGGTCCATCGACTTATTGTGGAGTTGGATTTACATGAACATCCCCTCGCCCACATTGAATCGATCCAGTTGGCATAGGGATAGCATGTTACTTTGGAACCCAGGCCAAGCGACAGCTTGACCGCTCAATGAACGGTAAACGCATACTCTGAGACACGGAGGGTGCTGACGAGGCCTATCGTGAATGGCTGATTTCACACAGCATACCTCATGATGTTATCGTGACATTGGCTATGTGAATGCAGTGGCATTTTAGTGTACTTGAACATAAGGATTTTGTAAGATCGGTTAGTCCAGGCTTCCTTGGCACACTGACAAGCTACACAGGATCCATGTCGTTGTCTCTTCCGGTGACAGATGCCTCACATCGCAAAACGGTACCCTCCTATAGTCAGATTTTAGTCGAGGATTTAGCATCCCAATAATCCGGGGTCTTGACAGGGATGGCGGGGAATTCCTGCAACCGATTCAGGGATTCGTAGGTATGACTGTCAGTAGGTTACACATGATTACTGATTACTATAAAAGCCCAATCGGCTTCTACCCGCTTGGAATCTCAGGAATATTTCACCCAATAAGGCGGATTCCCTCGTGGTGATTCCACAGCCTTAGTAGGTTTGAGTCAGACCATGTGACCTGCTTTGTGCGATACTTCCTTCCTCCCCCATCACCTCAACGTCAGCTCACTCTCTGCATCTTCTTCCCCTCATCAACATCCATCACCCAAACATCGTTTCCATCATTTTCCGAGACATAGTACTACTCAAGACCCTTCCCTTGTCATCATGGGCCAACAGATCCTCGTCACTACGGATGAACTGGGAGTCCCGACTCTCCGCACCTATCAACCCTCCAGCGAAGAGACTCCTACCACGGCTATACCACCCGAGACGGTTGAAAACCTCCCATCGGAATGCACGTTTGTCTTTGTCCACCCTGACCACCTCGAGTCTGTGTTCCATAATGCCAAGAACCACGAACAAATCGCCAAGCACATGCGGAGACTCCGACTGGTCCTTCTAAACCCAGTCGCGAACGTTTCACTCACAGACACAGAGGCGAATGGGGGTTCTGAGGGCCCGAACATCTCACCACTCTTCGACAAATGGTGGGTTGCATCTCGAGCTATCCCTCGAGGTCATCAGATCGAACACTTGATCTTTGATGTGTATTCACCGCAAAATATCCAGAGAAGGGAGATTGTGAGGGTGCTGCAGGGATTGAGCACAACGCTTGCTTTGAAATCGGATGACCATTTCCAATGCTCTGTTGAAGGTTGTGATGAGGAGAGAAAGGAGTGGTTGGAGAAATCCTTGGTGGATCGGAAGAGGTCAAAGGATTAGGCATCTGGGGCGAGGTGCTTGTCTTACCGATTCTACCTTTTCTTCGTTTGTCTTCCACTTTTATGCTTGTGCCCGTTTTCGAGCCTTGACTCTCTCATTTGAATACAGCCTGTCATTCTGACGTCTGTCGACGAGCTACACCTTAACTCTCATCAACATAGGCAGACTTATTTTACAGGTGACTGATTTCTCGAAATGGCATTCCAACTCTCATTACCACGCTTGCCTTTCGTTCTCTATTGTCACCTTTTTTTTCCGAAGTAGAAAGTAAAATCTTTCCAAAATAGAAAGAGAGAATGATGAGAAGGGACCAAGATAGAGCCCGACTGCTCTCGGGTCCAGGATAAGCGGAACCAAATAGATGCTTACTACCAAGAGACTCAAAGTAGAATTAACACAATACAACATTCATAGGCACATCTTTCTTAATCCGTAAAAAGAAATTCCATTAAACAACTAGCGTGTATATCATGACCATAATCATTACCCCCTCAATCAAACCCCATAGTATTGTCAAGCACTATCATCGCAGTCGCGCAACTATTGACAGCCTTGCCCAGCCCACCTGCCTGCAGGAAAATTGTACTCGGCACTAAGATGGCTCTTGGCGGGCATGAGATATGCCCATGATTCCAACTTTTTCTTGAGAAAATGACGGTCGAATAAATGACGTAGCTTTGACGTGAGGGATGTCGACGAAGCTTTCGATGTCGACGAGGTGAGTTCGGAATGGTGGGTTGCTATGAGGGAGAGCTTCATATCGCTGTGTTTATGAGGGTCCATATCTGGGAGATGAGGATAAAAGTGGACCGAGAATTTTTGGGTTGTCTCTAGTTCAGGGCCTTATTTGTGAGTGGATGAGATATGTATGTCGGCTTGTGGTGGCGGCCTACCTTGGAAGTGGATAGTAGTCTAATAGATCGAGTATATATAGGGCAATGTATATAGAGGTGGACCAAATGTTTGAGCGCCTGGAAAAGAAGAAGTTGCCTGAATATATAACAGAGCTGCAAAATCTAATCTCAGCTCGTGGCAAATGAGCTTGCTTGATGCTGGTTAGGCATGCATGACGCTATCCGAGCGAACCCCGAGCTTGTGCCGAGAAATCTTTGACCGAAAAGATACCGAGCTACACCGATACACCGGCCTGCATGAACGAACATCGGCGAGGTTCCTTAAAGCAGTCTCTGATAGCCAATGGTAAGCACTAGGATCCGTACGGAGTACTACGCTTATGATAATAATGAATGGGGCGGGTGGTGATCTAGTGTCCCTATAATGGACGGGTAGAACTTCAAAATGTAACGGTGAGGATGAAAAGACGTGAGTTCTAAGCATTCATTGCTAGCAATAGCATACGGAAAAGTATGCAGACGTCCTTATGAATCAGAAATGCATCGCCATTTATTCCGCTACCTAGTATATGTGTATGCGAGGTTTTTCTTGTGATCCTAGCGGTCGGAAAAATAGTTAAAATTTGAGAGAAGGAACGAGACCAACATAGGAGGAGGTAAAGAGACGGGTCAGCACATAGTTTGCATACATGCATAAGATAAAGAAGCAATCAATAATGAATGCTTCTAAGTCTTCGTGTGGATTGGAAAAAAAAAAAAAAAAAAAGAAGCATGGTTGATTGACAAGGATGGGATTCGAACCCATGAATCAATGAAACTAGTGATCAGACCATGATGACCTAAAACTAGCGCCTTAACCACTCGGCCACCTTGCCTTAGCGAAGTTGTTCTTCTTATTACATAAGCCTACACATAAGTTGAAGCATAAGTCAAAAAAAGACAACCTGATCATAATGTGGAAGCTTTCAAAATGATGCTGCACCTGTCACACCTAAAGTGCATACTTCCCGGTGAATGTATTATGGAAGCGATTTCTGGTTCTGCTGAGGGGTCAATATTTCTCACACCTAAAGGGACAAGGTGGCATTCTCTTTCAACCTTCCTTGCGTCAACTCCTTTGCATGCCACGAAGTTACTTTATTATCGCTGCTTGGCTCTTATTTATATGTTTATCTATGCTGCAAAGCAAGCAGATGAAGTAATAGAAGTCTATAAAGTAGATTTAAAGATCACACAGCAGACATCAGCCATGTTGTACTGTTCCGTGGACTCTTTTCATAACTTGGTACAAGGCATTCTGCATAGACTGCCGAATATGTTGTTTTCTAAGGTTGTATACTCCTGAATCATGGGATAACTAAAAAATATATAAAAAAAACAAACCTGACACACATCTTGGCACATCCAACACTAGCGCCGGTATATATCAATATAAAAGAAGGATATTGCTTATTCCAAGAAAAGTCCAAGAATCCGGTCATTGTTCAACTACTTCCCTTGGCCCTAAATTTCCTCTCAAGCCTCGGATCAGAGCACTAACTCGAGACCCTGTCGCTCCGATCACCAGCATTAACCCCATGACAAAGGTAAGTGTTTCTGCCAGACACTGGAACCGATTCAACGGCCCGAGTTGGGCACTGCATGAATTGACAATTCGATCCAAAGCCCATTGACCACAAATTGTCTGGTATAAGAAAAGCCGCACAGCAAGGGCATAGTGGCTGGTAATTAAGTAATAGAGCAATGCAAAAATTGCAGTTGCGGCTAGGAGTAGTGGTGTCATTGTTGGAGCGGCTGTCTGTTGGTCTCCGAGCAAATTAGTTGCAGGGATCCCTGCGAAATAGGGCAATGCATACCTCATTCAGATCGTTCATCGTGTGTGCTCATCAGAGGTGCGATGGGCATTCTGTCCAGCACAAGTAAAAAGTCGAAGCGAAGAACCGGAAGGGAATATTTTGTCTACCTCGGCAAATGTAATTTGCAAAAAGCTTGTAAGGCTTGTCCTGTCTGAAGCCTTTCCGTTCTAGGAAAAAGCAGGTGCATGCTCTCCCCTACCGGAAGCTTAAGATTGCGGTAAAAATTGGACAGACCCACCCGCCTTGCCCTACAGCGGATCCGAAATGACCCGGACTTTAGGAAGCGATCTATAGTCTCTAGTTCTATACAGACCGATGTGGAGAAGAGACTCGCTTGAACCGTGACATCAGTATTTACTCCTGGCATCAGGCTCCTGGTCCGAGTAAGACACTCATTTCTTAATTTGGGGGCCAATTCAACTGCAGGCCTTCTGGCGGAGTCGTGGAACCGCATTTGGCTCCAGACATTTTCGCCTTCAAAACCCTGCGAGGCGAGATGATATCTAGCTTTGGCGAACGAACAATACTGTATAGTATAGCATCCCCCCTTTCAGGATGAAAGTTCTTGGTGTTGAAACATGCCATGCAGGGTTCTGTCGATTCTTGCTCAATGATCCTATGCCGAAATGTCTTGAAACATAGGAAAACAAGACTCGATGTTTGTTGTTCAGAGTGTTGTCTATGGGTATTTCCCCCAGCATTTGTTTAGGCCAGGCTCTGAAGGGCTTAGATTGTGCTGTGTTGCGTTCGACCCTGGTTGCATGCGGCACTACTGCAATTGTATCTGGGCCCGCTATATGGCTAAGGAAGTGGATTATCTCGGTTCATCTCAAAAGCTTTCTATACCCGTTAGAGTAAAAGCTATCATATAATAGAATGCATACATTATAACCGAAGAAGGATTCGGTGTCGACAATTATCGGATAGTCTCCGTACGACTTAGCCAGGATCGCTCGAAAACAGGCAACAATCAAAGGTATAAATGCCCTTTGAAAACCCAACATTGTGTCCAACATTCAGCTCCAATATTCAGAACATTCTGGCGCTCAAATCAAGGTAAAAATTCAACTTTTTTAATTCCAAATTTTTGCTAACTTGGTAAGATGCTGGCAAACATGTCCAAGAGAGCTGTTATAGCAGTGACAATCTTTGCTATGACAGCATGCTGTGTACCAACCTTCAGCCAAATCTACTACGGCGCTGCGCGTTTATACGCCTACCAACACTTCGTGGGTAATGGATACATCGCTTCAATTGTTGAGGACTGCAACGTGCAAGCAGGCGAGACAAAGCTCAAGTACCTTCAGTGTGCCAGTGACGCTCTCACATACATGCTCGGGGCGGCCGTTGCCATTGGAGCGACAACTTCACGAACCGGTACCGCAGCTGAATACATTGCGAATCAAGGTCAAACGTTGTGGGCCCGCGATGAGAATGATTTCGAACCTATGTGGAATTGGACCTCCATCGACGAGAGCCCGAGCAACTTCTATGAACATCTGGGTCAACATCTCCCCGGGGATATGGTTCTCACGGGAGGCAACATCACGCACTTCGGGCTCGATGGCAACGCAGCCGTGGCCAAGCATCACGAAGGCCACCTTTATGTTCACGCAAACAATGTGACCCATGGTGTCGTTGGGAAGTATCGTTTGCCGGAACAAAAGGACCTCACCAAGAGAACTACATACACATGGGACTTTGGAAATATGGCCGGACTCAAGTACTCCTATAAGAATGTATGTGGCGACTACAAGAGCCAGTACGATCAGTCCTGGATGCATGGTTTGTACGAGCTGTCGTACAATTTCATGAGCTGGGCCTACAATAGCAATAGGGCCAACAGCTATGCCATAATTCTCTATGATCGAGCCAACGGAGACGCGCCTTTTGTTAGTGGATATCTGATTGCCGAAACTAACGGGTTTGGACACAATTATGAGGGGAGTCCGAGTCCCCAGGGAATATGCCACGCTTAGATGCTCATCAATTGTGTCTGGAGTGATGATGGTGGAAAGTTCAGATGGCAATGTATGTTAGGTTTCGTTTAGCTTCCGAACTGTGGTGTGAAATTGATCATTTCAACAATCAAGTACATAACATGACTCATACCATTTTATATTTAACGACTTTAATCGTAGTATTTGAGATCCGCAATACTTAAAGTATGCGTGTTCCTCGAAGACAACACTAGAATGGTTCAAGAATAGGAAGAAGAACTTGAGCGGCATACCCAGATACGTGCCAAACCCAGTGGCGTCGTCTTGAATCCTTTTACCACCCTTTTTGGGCATAATTGTCTCGTTCGATGAGTCTTTTTTTCTTCTACTAGACCCTTTATAGTTTATTCGTACTCCTAAATAAGCACATACGACCACAGGGTGTGGAGAACAGGGCTTCCCGTCCGCTCAGCCGTACTTAAGCCACACGCCGGCCGGTTAGTAGTTGGGTGGGTGACCACCAGCGAATCCCGGCTGTTGTATGTTTTTGCTTCTTTTGGTTGAAATATTTTTGACGGACTGAACGAAGTCAAAACCAGATATCAAAATTCCGCAGCCGCACCTGCAGAATGGATAGGTAGGGTGGGGTTGTACTTTTACGAACAACACTGTACCTCAATACGTTCAAAGCAAAGTGAATAGCTTCTTTATATTTCAACTTGCTTGTCTTTTCATGCCAAAAGACTTTGTCTCAATGAAGAGGGTATAAGCTATACTCATCCTTTATTTCCTCCGTAACAGACGCGACTTCATGAGCATATTCAACCTCAATCCACGGCCTAAATTCTCAGTCAATCCAGTCACCGAAAGGAAGCGCCATAGATGAAGTCCACCGCAGGAGAGGACTTATATATTGACCAGAGAGTGGATTCGAGAAGTCTCCCATAGAATCAACTAGACTCCGCCCGAATATCGTGCCCCCAAAGTCCAAGAAGACAATCGTTCTTTGTGGATGGTCAGAAGAGTCGGGTAACATCACATTTCTTGGACACAGATCGGTGAGTGCGATGTCGAGTTGGAAAACTCGACTTTCAAAGTCTATCACCCATTTTATGATTTGCTGGCGGCTTTGCAAAGAGTAACGTTCTAGATGAGCCTGCTGCATGGATACGCCAGGAATATATTCAATCACAATCAATCGCACGACGCGGGTTGCTAATCCCGACACCGGAATTTCTAGCGAAAACGATCCATAAAACTTTGGGATAAGGGTCCCCTGAAGATGGGCAAGTAAGGCATACGTATACACCTCATGAGTATAGTGTTTGTCCACACATCGAAAGGGATTTAGGTAACCGTCCTGGTCGTCAAAGTAAAGAGGGTCGTAAACTTTGGCCACAACCTTCTTCCTCTGGTTGTTGGCAGCGTCGGTGTCCTGCATTTCGGCGACGAAAACTTGCGCGTTGTGGTAATCGCCAACTTTGAGGGGAGCAAGTATTTCTAGATTGGTGGATTGAGACCCGGTCTCTCCAGGAAGCGGGGGGTTTCTCAGGCATCTTTCCAAAGCAGTCAGCCGGTCCCATCCCTCTCTTCCAATCTGCCCGTTACGACAGCAATTTGTTGTTACCGGCGTTGGCGCAGGGGCAAAATGTGTGACGTTATTCGGAGTGTGTTTCCTTTCGTATAAGGAAAATCCTCGACAATGTCCATGGCCGGGTTATATGTATGAAGGGGAATGAAGATATACTGCTATATTTAGGAACCATGAAAACAATAGGTTTCTTAGAACTATTGAGATGACGCTTATCAAGGGGTGACTTCCAGGATCTCGTCGGTCCGTTCGGATAATTTTTAAATGTTGAGGTACCTATTGGCATATTGATCTGGTGATGAGGGAGATAAGGAGACTATTATCGCCACGCTCCCGCTGGTTGTGCCACCTCCGCATGCACATATAGCAGCAGTCGCCAGGCTAGTGATACTACGCGGGGCGTAATCAGACGGAACGTGGCGATAGAGCCTTTTAGATAATTAGATAAGACCACAAACTCCAAAACTTTCCGCTCCCCACAATTTGCGTGTCTGTCAATATCAATCAACCTTCAATTCACAATGGCTAAGTCGAAATCAGCAAAACGCAAGCGCAATGAACAGGCTAGCCATCCGCTAAAGTTGACCAAAGTCGTCTCCACTCAAACCCCTCTCCCCGATGTCACAACGCTCGACCCTAAGCACCTCAACACAATCGTCGCAGACGAGGAGCTTGAAATCACCATCGAGACGCTCGCAGCCCTCACGCAACATCCTAGCTTGACCAAATCCAAGGCATGCAAGGACCTCCGAGTCGCCGTGTATGACTTCCGTCAGGCCTGCAACACTGGTGCGAACGCAGCCGAAGGCGCCAACTTGACCGCACGAATAACTGGCGCCCTAGCCGACGAACAATACACCGAAGCTAAGATCCTGCTCGCTGAACTGAGGATCCGAGGAGAACAACCCAAGATTGGAGCCTTGTGCCGCTGGGTACGAGATCTGGACGTTGTCAGCGGCCTTTCGAAGCAGCCCAATGCACTCCATCTCCCTCTCCAGCGCAGCGCCAGGGACTTACAGCTCCTCAGCGTCCTCGATGCCATCCTACGCGTCAGCACTCCGATTGACACGAACCCGAAAGCCATCGATTCGCCCTCCTCACCCATCGCCTTCCAGCCCGTATGGGACCTCCGTGCCTCGACGGAATCCCTCCCTATCTACGCCTCAGTCCTTGATAAATCTATCCTCGCACACGCACCGAAATCTGCCTCCGCCCTCCGCATCATTGAAGAGACTCCAGGTCCTCTCCGTAAGCCTCCGAATCACCACCCCGCGATCCTATATACAACCGCCCCGAATGCGGTTCCCCTGGACCCCGCTGGCCCATCCGCAACCTACCACCCTCATCCGGCAGTGCCCGGCCTTGGTCTCGCCACGAACATTCTGTCGACCGACGAGTGCAAGTCTATAATCGCTGCCGGTGAGTCGGTCAACTTCCTCCCCGACGCGCCCTTCCGCGGAGACGGCGACATGAGCATCCTCGCCCACAACTTCTACTGGGTTGTCGACATCCCTTTCCATGACCTGTTGTGGGCGCGAATCGCCCCTCACGTACCACCCGTGATCAACGGTCGCCGGGCCCGCGGTCTCAATCGCCGCTTTCGTGTTTACCGATACGTCCCCGGTGCTGAGTACCGGTGCCATATTGACGGAGCCTGGCCTCCGTCCGGCATCCTCCCCGACGACACGTATGTGTACGACGCCTCGCCCGAAGACCAGAAGCAAAGCTCAATGTATACATTCTTGCTCTATCTAAACGACGAGTTCGAGGGCGGCGAGACGACGTTCTTCATCCCCGGCGTCAGGGAGGGCGTTTTGAACGCGTATCCCCTGCGGCCGGTGATGGGAGCCGTGGCGTTGTTCCCGCACGGAGAGTCCAATGGGGCGTTGCTGCATGAGGGAACGAGTGTTACGAAAGGTGCAAAGTATATCATTCGGAGTGACGTAGAGTATGACGTTAAGCCCACCGAAGAATAAGCTGAAAAGGCGAACAGTATAGATTCTCTTTTGGACTCCACATATATAAAACCGCTGTATATAACCCGATCCGGTCGGACAAAAGATTTCATATCGTCATGAAAGGAAATCAGACTGAGACTTTTGCTCACGTTAATAACACTTGTGTTTGGGGTAACAAATTCTGGTGTTTTTTTTTTTCTTTTTCTTTTTTTCGAAGGGGAGCAACTACTGCCGTGATAACAATGACAAAAAAGTCATCCTAGGTAGCGAGGCGTTGTACAGAAAATGCCGGGCAGCTTGCGCCTCAAGCACCCAGAAAGCCTACGAGAACAAAGCAATTGAGTTCATATCATTACTGATTGCATTACATCGAATCCTGCGCTCAGACAACCCAGTGTCGCGTATTATTCACATCTAATATCAGACTAAGTTTTATAGAAACCAGGGCTATCATTTGCCGGAGAAGACTTGAACTCATGGATAGTCGGATCTCGACTCTAAGCCATGCTTTCAGAAGAAACCAAACTGAAGGGAAGCAGCCGAAACTCTCACCTGTTTGGATCATTCGACAGGCTAATCTGTACGACAACCAATATTACGATGAAGGACCGAATCTTACTCCGTATGTAGATAATATTTGGCTTTGAGAAGCGAAGACTACCCACGACTAATCCCTCGCACCGAGCCCAGCTCAGCCATTTCTAGATCGTGTGAGCAATTCCGCATAATCCCCTTTTAGCCCAGCTATGTCCATACTAGGCTAAGGATCTCCGGTCTCACAAATTACGTTGCTCTTCTGGCATCTCCACCCCGTGGAGTGGGTCCGGCGCACATCCCTTACGCCGCTGTCATTCCAGTCCACGGCCTTGAAACTACCGGGGCAACCACTGTTTTTGGGGAGATTTTTGCTTTCCGGAGATGAGTTTTTTTTTGCGATCATTTCTCAAATCGACGCTGTCATTCTTGAGCCAAGACGTGTCACATTGACTATCTTTTTGAGGTGCTCTGTCCTTTTGCCAGTGCTGCTAACTTGTATGGCCCAGTGGGAGGGGTATACTTTGAGCTAGAGATTCGTCAAACGATTCTAGTTCCATTACGTCTAGTTAAACGTGGATCTGTATTCCAATAATAGCCTTACTAGTTGTTGGGGTTGGCATAGGGCGTGGTAAACTCATCGGGATTCGTGAGCCAGCTATAAACAACAATACCTTTAGTCCACAGGGTATCCCGCCGCCGCCAGGTTAAGGGATACGCAGAGGCTACGATTACATCCACAGTAACCTGTCGTACAACATATGCTAACTACGAAGAGACCTCTAGTTTACTGTTCTACGATCACAAGTGCTCCGAAATAAGGTTTTCGGGGAATTATGCGCTGCAAGTTCGGCCGTTGACTTGGATGGAGTCAAGCACCAGACGGGTTTAGGCGGCCCACCTGCCTGGATCTCGGGCCATCTCCGCCACTCACAAGGCTTGGGATGTTTAGACTTCCCACTCGTGCGGCAGTGGCGTGCAACGCATAGATTAACGGATAGTCGACGGGGGGGTGGGCAGTTACTCCGTAGATTCGTTGTTTCGCCGAGCAGGATTCTATCCAATCTGTAAGGCTCGTAGAGTTGACCTAATGCCCTTGTGTGTATAGTTCGGGCCCACCGGTTTGACTCTCCCTCTTGGCGTACCAGTCTAGATTGACAACCAGTTTCCCTGGCTTGATGTATCGCGGAGTTCTTGACTCGCGATGGGGGCCAGGCGCACGGAGTATGGTCGAGATCGGGATAGTCTGGCTGGCTGACGCTACTTTGTACGGACTACACCGTAGGAAAACAGAAAAGATCCACTGTTAGACCCGAGTACGTAGATGTTCGAAGTGCAGGAGCGTGGGTAAATGGAGTAAGATTAATCGCATTCGTCACTATCGGATCAGGCAATCTCGATCCGAGCGCCATCAAACGGTCTCGTTGATTCGAACATCTGTCGTGACGTGGATACCGGCGTGCACGATGCGTTCCTGCGAGCCATTTTGGCTAGTTTCCACTTCCGCCTGGCTCTCTCCTACCACGGGCTTCAACTTGATGCTGTTTTGATGCCCCGTTGTTAGGCCGTTGTATGTCCGACGAGTCGCAGTGCCGTACATCCTTGAAGGACCCATCGATCCGCCTTTGCTGGACAAACCCAGCATACGTTGTAGCGCCGGAAATCGGTATGTGATGAGCGATTTGAAGGACGGTATGCATGCGATAAAGATGGCGACTGCGACTTCCACGCAAGACCAGTTCATTGTGTCGACCAATACCCCTGTGCGATGGTCCAGTCAGTAAAATGAGAAGAAAAACACGGAAAGGTTGGCAACTCACATGTGTGGTCCTCCTGGAACTTATTCATGTAGCTTACTCGAATGACACTCGTCACGCAAACACTGCGATAAACATGTAAGTTACTTTTGTGCGTTCATTCGTTGAGAAGAAGGGGAGAAAGTCATACAGTAGTCCCAGACTAAACATAAACACCAAACCCACCCGTTTGCCCAGCGTCATTTTCAACTGCACTAATTTTGGCATAGGCATCGCGAAAAGGGCTATGTCGGTTCCCAATTTAATGGCAAAATTGACGTAGTAAAAAAGATTCATGTCGACGCACTTCCCCTCCACGAGGCCAGTGGCATCCCAGGCCTTGTAGACAGGCCAACATTGAAAGACCACGACAAGTGCCTCCTCAATAGTCTCCGCAACGAGGATAGCCAGTATACACCAGCAGGCGATCCGGAACTTCTTTCCGGGGAAAATGTGTAGGTAGAGCAGGCAGAAGGACACTTTGATGGCGCCAAGGGCTAGGACATATGCGATCATGGTGACGAAGTCGAGCTGCGAAAACGATCGGGCGTGGTTAGCTGGTGGTTGATGCGCTTTTGAAGATAGATCCCCTACTTTCAGAAACATGGACCGGGTGTAAAAGTCCTGAATTGTTCCAATATGTTTGCCAAATCCATACTTTGTCACTGAGACGCGAACTGTTAGCATGCCATTATCTGTCTGTCGCGAGGCCCACTTACTCCTCATGCAAGTAGCGCACAGAACAATTGTGAAGACCTGAATTAGACGACTGGTATTAGTTGGGATCAGAAATACGTTTGAGTAGTAGGTTCGATAGAAAAGCGTACCCAGCTGGTCACACATAATATGTCGTCAAAGTTGATGCCGGTAAGATATCGCATCCGGACAAAAAGACGCACCGCCAGCCCCGCGGTCGCAATTGCGAGGAGAATCACATTACATAGAATGACCTCAGGAATGCGAGACTGCGCCAAATAGGCCTTTCGCTCAGGCGAAAGCGATCTCTCCCAGATCTCTTCCATGGGCAAGACCGGTTGGCCGTCAGGGAAGAAGAGACCAAAGACAAGCCGAACGAAGATGAAGATAGTTACATTGGCAAAGGTTTGAGGGCTTCGAAGAGAAGGTCATGGCGGCGATTCTGCATATATGCCCCTGTGGCTGGCAAAACACGGACTTGTTTCATCCATCAACCATGTAGTGGGGGGATTGGAACGGATTTGTCGACACACACACTGACTCGACACATGGAATCCGCCGCCGACGGAAGATGTCGCAGGCTCGCAGCTCCGTACGGAGCCAACGGGTGAGTTTAAGATTAGTGTCATTTCACGATTGAGACAGCTCCAGGCGCGGTTCAGGAGACGATTTCCTGACCCACTCGATGGTCCACTTAGACGGATGTTTGTACTGCTGTAGCCCGGTTTTGAGGTCTCGATCGGCAGTTGTTTTCGCACTGATATTATTCTAAATGTTATTGACAATTCACGGAGTGCACTAAAGATATCTTCTCTGGAAATGTAAGCGGTGTTTACTTCGAATCCTCTTTTGAGTTTTGAATCTCGAGGGCAACATATCTCGCACCATTTTCAGTTACTCTGATATCAAATAATCTAGAAATACTATTACGATAGCCTGGATCCCATTCGTAATATTATATCTGTCAATATACAATTTTATTAATCCGAAATGAAGTCTTGCATATTAAAGTTATTGACTGGAGCCGTGATCTCCTTTTAACTCGGTCTATCGCCAGCGAATCCTACTCCGTACACCGTTGTCAATCTTAATATATTTTAATATACGCAGTCACTGACAGAGTGCGACTAAAAGGGGGTGTTCTAAATTATACATTTCTAGAAGGAAAGGGGGATTCTACGGAGACGATGTCTTGCGCGTTGTAATTTATTCTCATATGAAGTTGAAGTTGAGTCTTGTGTAAGAGGCAAGCCCATATGCCCGATTTCCATCCATCTATGACTATCCTATCGCGAAAGCAAAATTCTTCTATGCGTCGGTTTCATGCTACAATTAGACAGACTTTCAAATCTTTTCTATGATTATTATTCGCTGCCGTTCTTTCAATCGGGTCGAACATGGTACCTTACCTCGTTTATCAAGGACTGTAGCAATAAATGGAGCTTAACCAAGACAAATAACTATAGATACAAGTCCCATAACACTCGTCTACGTGTTAAATATAGGAAAGTTCTCAACTATTTAGAGATTATTCAACGATTCGGGCATACTTTTAGTTAGTATACATACTAGATCGACCATGATCCTTCGCCTGGACCGACCGTTTATATAGATCATCGATCGCGGTGCCAGGTAAATGAACGAGAAAACGATCTTGAATTTGGCCTAGAAATAATTCTTTGCCTTTATCAACCTACTAATAGCTAAGAATCTTCATATACGACCATAGGGTGTGGAAAATAGGGCTTCCCGTCCGCTCAGCCGTACTCAAGCCACACGCCGGTCAGTTAGTAGTTGGGTGGGTGACCACCAGCGAATCCTGACTGTTGTATATTTGAAATTCTTTCTTTTGTTTTCTGTATTTTTATTTTGCTTTTCTGTGCCCCAATAAAAAAAAAAAAAAAAAAAAAAAAAAAAAAAAAAAAACCTTCCCACTGCAGTGAAACAAACGAAATGAGACCAAGGGGAAAGTATTGCACATGCCCTGTCCTCAAACCTTAATCCGTGGGTTTTGTGACTGACTTCCAAAAACCTATGCAAATCTGAGGCGGAACTCGCTGAAACGAGGAGCCTTATAGCAAATTTAGGACGTCATGCTCAGGGATGTCTCGTAGTAGCCAGTTGAGTTTTTGGCTGATCTAAGGCTCGGGAATCTATCGACTGAAGTTGACACTCACTCAGGCATTGGCCTTCTGCCGCGACAACCATAATACAGAGGCCATATGTATAAACTCTTTATACAAAAGAACCATAGCTTCACTCCAGAAACCCCCATTGACCCAACGAACTCAGCTCAAGGTTCCCAAAAAGGAAGAGAATCAACAGAAAGAGGCTACCACTTAGTAATATCGCTTGATTGCAATTGATATAACCCGGCGGGGCTCTCTGGAGCTCGTGAAGATTGGTAAAAACTTTCAGTGTCTCTGGATGCTCAGAGCCATAGATCCGCTCTCGGCTATTTAACAGCTGATAGTACGTAGCAGCCGCTTCTTCCTTTCTCCCCTGTAACTTAAGGATGTTCGCTGAATCAGACAGAGCTTGCAGGTAAAGGTAGTGACTAGTACCATGCTTTGCCTGCAACCCCTCCAATACTTGTGAGTAGAGAATACCTGCCTCTGTGAACTTTCTTCGCCGTGCGTGGATATTGCCTAGATGAAGAACAGTGCGGAGGGTGTATGTATGCTGCGGTCCAAGGTTTTCCTCAAATCCTTGGAAAGCCCGATCAAACATCGTTTGGGCTTCATGTAATCGCCCGCTCCGTACAAAGAGAACTCCAAGGTCATCCACGGCCTCTGGTGTATCTTTATGCTGAGCCCCAATTTCCATCTCAAGCTCAGCGATAACCTGGCGATATCCAGTTTCTGCTTTGTCCAGATGGCCTTTGTCTCTATGTAAATTGGCGAGACGATGGCGTGTGCGAAGTTCCACTAGCATGATCGAGGAAGAGTCGTTGCTAAAAGCTTTTTCAGAGCCAAGGGAGCTAAGGGCGGCCTGGTACATGGCTTCGCCCTCATCAAGATCGCCTCGTAAGCAGTATATTTCTCCCAACCCACCCAAGGCTTCAAGATACCCCACATGCGCTAAGCTATAAGCCTTATACCCATCAAGTGCTCTCTGGTGCATCTCAATGGCCTCTGTGAGTCTTCCTTGATATTTGTAAACAAATCCCAGTTTGTTTACTATGCTGAGGGTGGCTTCGTGACTGGGACCAAGCGCAACCTCACGACCAGAAAGAGCCCCCAAGAGTACCTCGTCAGCCTCGTTGAGCTTGTCTTCATCCTGGTAGATGCTTCCTAATGAACTCATGGACGTGAGAGTATCCGCATGTTCTGCACCAACCTTTCTCATGCGAGCAGCAAGGACATATTGAATCATTTCCTCCGCCATCTGAAGTTTTCCTTGATAGTTAAAGAGGACTCCCAGATTGTTTGCCGCCATTAGAGTGTCTGTATGGTCTGGCCCTAGGACATTGGTATATCCATCAAAAGCTCGTCGATACATCTTTTCAGCATCTGCAAATTTTCCCCGATGTCGTAGATTTATTCCCAGATTATTGACCACATGAAGGGTATTCGGGTGATTTGATCCAAGTGATTTCTCGAAACCATCGAGCGCTCTCTGATGTAATCTTGCAGCGTCTGTTAACTTCCCCTGGGACTGATAGGTAATGGCTAAATTGGTGACAAGAATAAGAGTGAACAAATCTCTTGGACCAACAGATCTTTCAAATCCCAGAAGAGTCTCTTCAAAAATCGCCGCCGCTTCGATTAGTTTACCCTGGTCTTTGAAAAGAAGTCCAAGATTATTCGCCGTACCGAGAGTGAGCTTATGTTCAGCCCCAACAGTATGTCTATAGCCTTCCAATGTTCGCTGGTATGCAATCTCTGCCTCGGTAAACCTTGCCCGTTGCCGATACAGACAGGCTAAATTGTCGACGGTGTGTAGGGTATCCGGATGATGTGACCCTAGAACGCTCTCATAACCCACCAGCGCAATGTTATACATGCTTTCTGCATCTTCCAACCTGTCTTGATCTGAGTACAGATCCGCAATCTTTAGCATGGAATACAAGACCTCCCGGTCCAGGAGGAATTCCTTGTCACGTTTCACTATCTGCCGTGCTGCATCGGCATGGGCGAGGAGTCGCTGCTGCAGAACCCAGTATTCCGGTTCAGTTGACGGAGGTATACAAAATCCAATGGAAACAAGTGAGACCTTTTTGAGCTGGTGCACGTGGTCTGCGGTTTCTCTCTCCGAGGTACTGGGAATGTTCTGACACCAGTCTTGGATGACGGGGTGTATTGAGTAGCATTTCCCGGTTTCCTGAGTCTGTATCATTGAAAATTCGACGAGATGCTGGATAATTCTAGAGAATGAGATCTCATCCGACACACTCTCCCGGAACCAGGTTGGAATCTCAAGGCTCTTAGCGGCACTCTGAACCAGTTCAAACCAAATATCGTGATTGCTTAGATAGGAGAACACACGAAGTAAAAATGCTGCCTTGTGACTTCTCTTTTTGATCTCATAATATGAGATTGTCCACGCCGTGATCATATTTCCATGATCATATCCAAGTCGAGGCTCAGAGCCAGTTTGAAGGCTGTACCAGGAGTCCTCGTAATGTCGCAAATACTTAGAAAGTGGCATGCCTGTTCTGCGCATGAAAGACCCTGCAATGACTATAGCAAGAGGAAGACCATCCAATCTAGCTAACAGCCGTTTAATGTCCGAGCTTGGCCCCTGCCCAGAAACACTGCCACCGAAAACTAATCCCCGGTAACCAGAGCATCGCTGGAGAAGTTCAAAGGCCATCTCCGGGGCTAGCTTCTCAATTCTGAGAGGAGTGCCAATCTCTGTAAGTTGATTTAGACGGGTCGTAATGACGATGAATCCTTGATCAGCAATAGGAAAGAATTCACCAATATCGTACGCATCACTATCACGGGGAACTTCGGATGATGAGTATTTATCGACATTATCAAATATCAGTAGCCATTTGGAGTTACCCTCGATGGAAAACCATTTGAGAACTTCCTGGGCTAGTCTTTCTTCCTCAACTTCGTTCTTTGGGGTGTCTATCGTACACCGCAGTTGGTCTTTTGGAATTCTGGGTGCATTCATCGCCAAAGACCGTATCAATGCCCCGCGATCTTTTCCATTCAGCCAGAAGATCGAAGTATAATCACCCTTGTGTATTCTCGAGAATTGAATTGCCATTTGTGTCTTGCCAATGCCTCCCATCCCGTGAAGCACGGCTATTTTGCGCATGTTGGCGTTCTCGTAGTCCAAAATTTGCCGCAGACGATCTAGCTCGGTATCACGTCCAAGAAAGTTAATCGATAAAGGAATGTTTTTCATATTGAATGGAATACGGTATTTCTCTAGATCAGAACATGTTTATCAGCTACCTTGTGTTGAAAGTCTGCAAAAGTAAGAAACCATGCACTAACCGAGATGAAGAACCTCGGATGCCCTTCGTGTATTTTCAGTGAGAGGAACAGAAACAACGGATAAGAGTTCTTTCGCATATGCCGCGGCGGTTGATGCAGCATAGCCTTGCCATTCTTTCGTCTTATGGGAATCGGCGTAGTCACATATGCCTCGAATTATCAGACAAGGAAACTGATCCATCAGTCCTGCAGCCTCCATTTCAAAACAAATAATTCCCAGTTCCCGGGCAAGCCGGTCCCGAGATCCACCATGCTTCATTACTTGATTTCCAGAAGCAATCAAGCCGTAATGGATTCTCGGGGCGGACGTAGCCCGAAGACTTCGGTGGACTTGTCTGGCCTCATCGCAACTTTCGCACGTCTCTGCCCCCGTGTGATCATAATCGGCATCGAACAGAATATCTTTCCGTTGGTCTCCATGGACAAAATCGAAGACGTGAGGGAACTTGGCCCTGATTTGGGACAAAAACTCCTGTACTTGTCCAGAACCCATTAGATGCTCCGTTTCCAGGGCGGAAATTGCGGTAAGCAGCACGGCAGGCGGCTTATTGAGCATACCCGTACGCTCAAAACCCCCATCTGCAACGGTCTTTCCATGGTCATACTGTACGACTCCTCCGAATCCACCTTGGGGTTTGCTGACCACCACATCCCCTAGTCGAATATCAAATCCATTGCCAGGTACCCCACCCCCGACGCCGACCATTAGCCCAAAGCGGACGGAAGGAAATGTTGACAACATTTGCGAGGCCACAAAAGACGCGGATGTGGTTCCATATACGCCTGAAGGCAAGCAAGCGATCACCACATTATGGCCTCGGATTTCACCCAGTGCATAACTATTGTTGTCGGATAATGGCTGGGGTAATTTGCCATGCTCTTCATCGAGCATTGCTCTTGCGGCTGCCATTTCGATCGGTAGAGCACTGATCCATCCCACAGTGTACGCATCGTGCGAGAGGGATTTTATTTTCGCCATGCTGCGGTGCCAGTACGCGGAGCCTAGGCGTCTCAATTTGAATTTCCGAAAATATCACACTTTCATGATGTTGCATGCAGAGCTTTGTTAAGAAGAGAGTGCAGTGAAGCCTTCCTAAAGGCAGAGTAACCTACAATCCTAGGCCAAGGGTAAGCGCTAAATGATGGGACTCAGTTGGAGATTGTTATCAAGCAAGATATCTGAACATCCCCTCATTCTAGCCGGTTATGGTTAGATATTACTGGTAGTCGGGCATGAAAGCCACGTATTATCTCACTTTGCTTTTCCTATATCACCAATGAATGTCAGTTGACACTTTATACATGTGATCTGAATACGAGGTACTCAGATTTGACAAATAAAGAGGCAGCTTCTTCGGTACAGGTCCCGTAAATCTATGAACTCGTCAAGGCTTCACAATCTGCGATCCTATTTATAATGTAGGACTTTCGGAAAGCTATGTGCCATGTTCGGGTGCCAAGGGATCAGCGTTCTGGAAGAAGCAATGCAGTACAGTCTATCACCATCACAGTGGTCCGTGCGACGGGGACGCGCACCCCAAGGCCTTCTCGCCCTGTGGGCCGCCCAATCAGCCGGGTGTAAAGGTTCAAAATCGGAAAGCCCACTGTAGCCGATTCACCGCGTGTTCCTCGTCGAGATAGGGGGCAGAGCGAGGCTTTGAAACACTCATTTGCCTCTTTGGCTCCTTTTCAACAGTCTATGCCATAGTCGAGAGAGGGATCCAGGGGTAACGATGATGGGTACGCCTATATCCCCAACCAATCGCATGTATCTCAAATATCAGCTCAGCGCTGGCGTAAGCTCGTTTGAGTTTTGACCGAGCCATCTGGTTGGATATTAATGCCTGCACCTAGATCAGCTATATGATAGAGATAAAAGACGTAAATGAATGTGCAGGATAGGGGGTTTTAATATAATCTTACACGCATCTTGGTGTGTTCTCTTACTACGCGTTTTTGGTAGGTGGTCAAATCTACTACAACGTATTTGGCTACCGAGTGAAACACCTCTGTATCCCATACTAATCAAGCATTTTTTGAGCTCCAATATCTCAACCATATTTAGCCCAAGTGTAATAAGATAAAGAAAACAGCTATAGATGTATTTATAGAGTAAGCAGTTTATTATGATTGTATATAAACTACTATAAACTTTGTTCTACCAGTTATAAACAAATTACCCAAAAATATGTAGTAATATATCATACGTCAAGCTCTATAGATATATATACTATATCAATCGAGTATGTTGAATCTGCTCTAGTATGCTAGAGCAAGTATATAAAGCAGATTAGATAGAAATTGGTTAAGATATCGTCTCAAGCATCATTCGAACTACCTCCGCTATCAGCTGGAGGAGGCGAGGCTGAGTCCCAAAAGATTTTGCTGTGTCACTTTTAAGTAGGTAGCAGAGCCGTCCAGTCTAGACGGAAACTAGTTTCATGTGAAGATTGATTAGCGAAAGCCTTCAAAGAGGTACTAGTTTGCAATCTGGGCCTGGGATGTATGATGTGTGATATTGTTCGTACAGATCCTGTAGGTGGAAAGACGGAACTCTATCTCCCAAGTCCGGCGATAGGAGGTTTGTGTGAAAGGCTTTGCCGGGGAAATGCAGCCAAGCTGGCAGGAGAGTGTAGTATATCTTGATTATATACCCAATTTACTGTTCTCTAGTTGTCCGAAACACATAATAGCTTCATGTTAGTTTACAGCTACGTTCTGGGCCTGCTGAAATCCACTAGGGAGAAAAAGGAACAAGCCAAACGAATAGAAATAAGTTGTAGAAACAATGGAAAACTATCTATCACCCGCAGGTCAGATCTTGCTAGTATCAGTGGCCACTTTCGGAATTCCAAACTTCGAAATATCTTCCTTGGTCTTCCCATCAACTGCCAAGTCCGCCAACGCACGGCCAAAAGCCGGGGCGAATTTGAAGGCATGAGCAGCTCCCAGTCCGAGTATAACATCAGGATGCCGTTTCAGAGGACTGATGATGAATTGCCGATCGGGCGTGATGGTGTACTGACACGTGATGGTGCGGAGTGGTTGGCGACCTTCATCAGGAATAAAAGCCTTCATGAACGACGTCAATTGGTCGAACAGCTCAGGCGAGTGCACGTATGTCCGCTGCGCTGGCGTCATGAAGTTGTTCGAGACATCCCGTCCGGCCTTGATGGTCGGCTCACCGTAGCATGGGAAGCCGTAGAAGGACTTATCACCTCTGCAGATCCACACGGGGAAGCGATCGGACTCGAAGAGAGCAGGATCAGAGGGCTTGAAATATGTCACCTGTTCCTGCATGACAGAGAGTGGGATGTGGACACCGAGAGGACCAAGGAGTTCATTTGCCCATGCGTCCGTAGCCAATATCACCTTGGTCGCGAGGAAAGAGCCCTTTGATGTATCTATAATCTTCCCGGCGGAAGTTGGAGTAATGCGCTCGACTCGGGTGTTGTCTCTTAATGTGGCTCCTTGCGACCGAGCCAGATATTGAAATGCACTGACTGACTTGGCCGCATGAGCAATTCCCGTGTCAGGCGTGTACACTGCCTGGACCGAGCCCGAGATCCCGAACTGTGGCCACCGTTTGTTGACTTCTTCGGCGTTGAGAAGCTCGTATGGAACGCCATGAGCCTCCAAGCTTCCAGTGAAGTGACTAGCCTTGCTGGGGGAATCTTCGGTAAAAAAGACAACACCACCGGTTATAGTCAATAATTTTTGACCGCATGCCTTCTCCGCGTCGGCCCAGTCCTCATACGCTGATTTGGCGAGGGCGACATACTCGGGGGCGTCGTTGGAAGTTCTGACAATTCGCGATGTATCGTGAGAGGCACCGCGAACATGACCAAATTCGAATTGTTCAAATGCGATGACTTTGGCACCTTTCCGAGCGGCGTAGTATGAAGCGGCACTTCCAAGGACACCAAGCCCAACAACTGCGACATCGAATTTCTCCATAGCGCTCATGGTTCTCGAATGACTATTTCGAAACCCATCAAGGACCTCGAATGACCATAGAGCGATCGGCATTTATAATCTTCTGTGACCCTTGCTGGGTGCCCCAGAACGCACCGTGTTCCGCTCAGGTGACCGCACGGGGACAGGATTGCCCTAGCACGATGAGTACCGATGCTCGACAAAACCGCCCAACATGGCTAATGTTTCCGGTCCTTTAGTTCATGTTTGGAGCTCGGGCGGCAATGAATACCCGTTTTCCGACAGTGCATCCGAGGCTGTGAGGGGTCAAGGGAAGATGGGTGAGGGCACCCACTTGTTTTGTTCTTTGTTGTAAGAAACTACCCTTTCTATCGAACCTGGACGAACCAAGTGAACAAGCCTGAGAAATTTCTTACCGCGGTGCCGCTCATTCAGTCACTTATTTTGATTGGATAACGTTGCGCCATACATTCCGCACTTGAAGCGTTGCCAGTTGCTAAAACACAGGCGTGATGTACTGTTGAATGTCAGGCATAAGTTACTTTAGAAAATTGGAAACTTAACTTTTTTTTTGTGAGAAAGGGCCACTTCAATATGCTGCATGTAAAGGGATCCCATTCGCAATTAACCCACGGATACCTACCGGTGTCTTCCAGTTTCGCGAATACTTGCCCACCCCTTGATTGCATCTTATAGCTACCTTTTGTGGGTCAGCACTAGTCGAACAAAAGCCTATAAATGTGCCCAGATAGGTAAGTTGGCTTTTGTCTCGGTGGACTACATCACCTACTTCCAACGTCAATTGAGCCTGCGTAAAGGGTACGAAGTCAAAGTATGCTGCTGCCCTGAAAACCTACACGTATCAATACTCACACTGTGAAAAGTCTAAATCACTTTGGAAAATTCTCGATTCTTAAATGGAGTTGAAGCTTTTTCATGGAAACAAAAATGCGTTACTGAGAATTTTACATCGAGCTGCATTGAAAATTATCGGAGTATCGTGAAGTGACACTGAAGGGTAAATGATTATGAGACAGGAACAAGGAAGTTTAAATAGAAGTAATCACCAAGGTCCTCCGAAGGAAACAATCAGCTATAGGGGACGTGACAGAAAATAAGAGATAGAGAAGTAAAGATAAAATCAAGACGTGATGCAATTAATTTGGAAGAAACAGACCAGAAGAGTAAGCAGAATGCACTAAACAGAGAGTCGCCTCATGCATGAAGTTCATGCCCGGATAACAGGGCCACGTATAATACGTTCAACTGTCACTGGACCTATAAGAGATGGGCAGCCAAGGAGTCTGTAAGGTAGGTCCAGCGTGAATGGAAACTTGTAAATGCTCGGATCGGACGCTGGGGCGGCTAATAGGGGGGCGAGCGCTATATCCAGAGCATGATAGAGAGAGAAGAAATTTCGCTGAAGGGGTTGTAGCGTGACTTGAAAGTAACTCCATGCACCGACATCCAGAGGATACTTGTCATGCCAATTCACGTTGCTTAGACGCCAGGTAATAGTCCGCCTAATTGCCCAGAGGACCTGTCTGAAACGTTGCGGATTGATCCCGGCATCCATCTCAAATACGAGCTTGATGACTGGCTCATGAAAGTTCACCAGCATATTCATTTTGTGAATTTTGGTTGTATTGTATAAACTCACAATAGGTTTCACAATCTTACCATTCTTCTCCAAATAGACAGAAACAGTATCAATCATCTGATACCTAAGAGGATATTCGAGATAGAGTTCTATCAACAGTTCGCGGTCTCTGATGGGGAGAGAACCGAGTTCAAGTTGACCACCGCGTACTATCTCAGTGACGACATTATCCGCATCGAACATGTTTTGGTTGAAAGATATCATGTCCCAGAATGTTGACGGCAGACGGAAAGTGATTGTTGCCATGCAAGTTGGAAGGCTTTCATAGGGATCATCGTTGTCATAGTCACCAATGAACTTGAATAACCTCCCATCAGGGCAATCCACAATTCTATCACTGAAATGAAACCTGTCCGCAGATTGCTGCTCGATTTCCTGAGTAATAGTGTTTTTAACATCAGGATCTAACACAGTATTATCAAGCATTTCTTCAAGTGGCATATTTAACAGGTCTGTCATTGGAGTTTCCGAGGTTTGGCCCTTCACAAATGCAGGATTCTCAGCGCCTACCTCGACGATGACAAAGTCTGACATTGTCTCCAATGATATTGGCTTTTCCGTAATGCGCTTTTTGGCAATTTGACTCTTCAGCCTTCGCTTGTTCTTCATTGTGGCTAATGTCAGTGAGTTCCGAATGGATGGGAGTGATGTGATTAGATGTGAGTTGATCGAAGCCTTTGCCCACTAGATCTTGGGTAGAAAAGACTAAGCATCCTATGAGACAGACTTTTGGGGTCAGTCCCCTTTATATGAGTGTATGTGACAAATATTGCTTGAGTAGAGGAAAGACCACCCGGAGCTTTCCTTCATAATAGTAGTAAATACTGTTTGCCAAACAGAACAATCGGAAACTCCCATGAATCATGATCACTCTCTTGTTTACTCTCAAAATATTTGTGCATGGACTCGGTTTAGACATGCAATAACCAGAAGAGCATTGAAACTCATCTAGTCCTAATTAATAATTAACCTTAGGAATGGCCACGAATGGAGAAGAAATAACTATTGAAAGCGTCTAGATGAGAGCAGACTCTGATTTATAGGTGAAGAAGGCTTAAGCAATTTTATTATTGTCTTACCAGTATTCATCAGGTCAAAGGTGTCGAGTGGGTCGCCCCGACAAAGGTACCAATCGCTATAATGCCAGCAACAATACATAGGTAGTCCTCTGGGGCCATGCACCCTTGAATGTGTTTTCAGATTAGTTGAGCCAGTCGTATTGAAGGTTCTGGAGAAAACCAACATCTTTTCTGTGGACCAAAGACATATAATAACCGGGATTCACTAGTGGTCACCTATCCAAATACTAACCGGCCGGCGTGTGACATATATACGATTAATAGGTCGCGCCTAAGTACATTATAGATAACAACTATAGCGCCCCGTTATACCCGGCGTTAACAACAAGTTCGGTTTCTGCCAGAGTGCGCAGTTCTCGCGTAAAATTCTACAATGTCGGCCACATCACGAGAGGAAGCGGTGTCCACTGGGACCTCAACGAACCCTTTGATAAAGATAACGTCTCTCTTGTGCTTTGTGACTAACTCTGACATAGATACCCGTTATCCTCCAGCGTCGTGGTTGAGAATTGGGCGATCCCCGTCTCCCATGCCATAAACAATATGCCTGTCCATGTCCACAAGACCTGAAGAAATTGGGACCAAATGGGGTGGGTAAGATAATTTACTGGACATAAAAGGCTATCCTAAAACATTACATTTTGTAGATTGAATTCTTTCAAAATCTGTTATGCACGGCATTGTTGAAACCTTCTGACTTGGAATAGCCATCTTGATGGTGCGCAGGCAAATGTGGTTACTTTAGTAGAGTAGGTCAGGTCAGTTGCCGCAACCTCCGCGTTCAACCTATATTGCACTTGAACAGAAGCGGGAATCCGGTTACAGGATAAATTACTTATTTGAATTGCTTCTAAAGAACGACATGGCCGTTACGCAAATGCGCGTGGCCGAAACTTGCATTCAACAACAATGTTTGCCAGTGATATTGAGCTCAGGACTCAAGTTCAGTTGAGCCACTGCCAATAAGACCAGCCCCGGCTCCGAGGTCACCATATTCGTCCTGCCTGACCTCAAGTAGATAGAGAGATCACTTGCACACTCCCTGAGCCTTGTTGGGGGTTTGCTATACGGAGTACCCATTAGCTTTCAGGTGAGCCAGCATCCAGGGAATGGAGTATCACATACCACACACAGGTTAGACGCGCAAACGCCCATGCTGCCATCTTTCTTGCAAGGCGCACCGGAAGGAAGCTGTGCGTGAATTAGTACCGCAAATGAATTAGGGGACTGATGGATTCTCGAACCTTGGCGGCGCACGCGGCCCCAACGAGAGTGATAACAGTGAGCAAAGAGAAGCGCATGTTGAAAAGAGGGTTCGAAGTTATCGGAAAAGTTATTGCTCGAATGATTTATTGCTTTAATGATTTGATCTTGGTTGTACCTCCAAGGAGCAGAGATGCTGGGTTGTATTTATACTGCCGACTCTCCATCTCTCGGACTCTCACCGATTCAACGTCTATCCTCCTCAGATTCCTGTTCCGAATCAAAGGAGCAAGAGGCAGTGATGATCGGTGTCGTCATTAATGATAGAGGTGTTTTGCAGCACCAGGGCTGCGCGGTGGATGACAATTTAACGCGGTTTAGCGGTTCCGCTCTTAGTATTCTATAAGGAAGCGATCGAAAAAGAATTTCAGATAGCATAAGTAATCCAAGAATTGTACGTATTCTGCTTCGAATAGCCTCCAAGTCAATGGCACAGTAATTATACATAGTATGCCCTCTTTTCCTCTCTTCCGCCCGTTTTACGAATGAAATATTTATTTTCAGCTACTACTATGATCCTCTATCTATCAATGATTTACTTTACCAAATTTAAGAATTGTCAAAGTGCCTATTAGAGCTGTATTCTATTGAAAAGCGATTATAAACATCGTTAGCAGGAGTTGTACTGTCTCTTTGTTAGGTGAGAACGTGCACGATATCATGCAGATCACTATACTCCGTACGTATGCAGCCGGCGCGGTAAGAAGGTTCTTCCCTCTACGGCTATAGTGTGACGCTGTGGGGTCCTCGTTACATGATTCGGACCATGCGTAGTTTTGCAGAACTGGCGTGGCAAAATCCCTCTATTACCGTGTTGTGGGGCCAGTCTGACAGGGTCTCGGGGTTAGGCCGTCCCGGCTATAATTAGCCGGCACGGCATCCCTAATGCCGAAGTTCTTGACCCTGCCACCCAGAACCTCCGACTATTTCTCCCACATCCTCGACCGATCTCCCCGGTAGAGCTATGGTCTAGATCCAAGGTACTTACTGAGGGACTCCGTGATAATAACTGGCGACTGCTGGCAAACACTGGCGACCACTGGTGACCATTGACGATCGCCGGCGACATTAGCGACTGCCAGCAACTGTACATAAATAGAGCACCCTCGTTATTAGTACCCGATCGAAAGATAATTTCAGAAAACAATTCGGTTAAAGGCCCTTCGACAATTAACTGTACGGACTCAAGATATTTTATATGCCGTCAGGCAGACGGGAAGCCCTGTTCTCCACACCCTGTGGTCGTATGTGCTTGGTGAGAATACATAACAATTGATATTGAGCATTGTATATTTGGACTTTATTGCTAGAGTGATAGCGTTTAATCAAAAATACGGAGTGCACAAAGAAAACTATGGACACCTGAGATGTGGGATCGTCAGCGCCTTGATGAGGACAAGGACAAAGTTGATAGAGGACCTTTAATCTCCCTGAAATCCATGTTGACAGGAACCTATTGCTGTTTCAATGATAATCCGAGTCATCATCCGTTTCACTGTCCTCGTTCACGACTGGAAACCTCGGAGAATGGCCTTTGTGGGAAGACTGCTTGCTTGTACCAAACGGCGATGGTGACCCTTGAGGACTCAGGTTCATGAGCGGTAGCGCCGCTCCTCTGTTAACACTGGTCCTTGTCCTTTGGGATTGGTGCTGAACGCCGAATTGCTGATCTTGGGGAAACATTCCTTGATATCTGTAGGACTCATCATACTGAGCTTCATCGAATTGTCGTCGCTGACTGTGTTCGTGGTCTCTGCTGCGATAGAGCCCTGGGCTTGCCTGGGACCGTTTCGTCCCAGAGGGGAATGGGTCGGCATAGACGTTATCAGAATGACTCTGGCTACTTTTTTGTGGCATGTAAGGCGTCTCCTCGAGTTTCTCCGGTGATCCGAGTATAAAGTCCGCCCTCAGTCCTCGTTGATAGGCGTTCTCTCCGGCTGTTCGGCCTCTGGTCTCCAATAGGTATCGCTCAAAGCCCATGCTAGCATCCGCTACAACCTCGAAATGCTTCGGCTTGATATCGAAGATGGCATCCGGAGAAGTGTCACCTGCTATACTCCGGTTGGCCGTTGGATGATCTTTCTCAAAATGTGCCAAAGCCGAGGCAATCAAAAAGGCATTGCGAATTTGTCGCCCGTTCCATCGTCCCTTTCCATCTTCATTCAAACGGTAATGTTTTTTCGCAAACCGTTTGATTCCTTTGACGTCAATTGTAAGTGGCGGTTGCTGCTTAGCTCTCGCCCTTTCTGCTTCGATACCTGCCAAACGCATCAAATTCATATCCCATATCTTCAATGTAGTCTCCTTGCTGAGATGAGGGTAGTATAGACTGATATGAATTCGCGACTTGAACGCCTCGTCGATACTGCCGGGTAGGTTGGTAGTAAGAAAGAGTATACCAGTGTAATACTCTAACATGCGAAGGAAGACTATAGTTTAAACAATATATACGTTAGTGAAAGATCGAGAAAAGGAAGGAATACTCGCTCACCCGAAACCAGGGCATTTCTTTCCAGCGCTGCCGGCGTTCTTTCCGACAGAAAAACGTCCGCTTCATCGAGAAGAAGAATACAGCCCCACAGCTGTGCCAGTCGGAAGATGTCTTTCAAATTTTTTTCTACATCGCTAGGCAATGTTCCCAAATCACCGCATGTGATTGGAAGAAGCGGCTTCTTCCACGAATGCGCAATGTTCTCCGCAGTCGATGTCTTTCCCACCCCTGGCACGCCATATAGTAAGATGATCAGACCCCTCCCTTTATTCGAGATGATGTCTTGGTTGATGCCGTACACACCTAGCGAGTCATGGAGATCCTTCTTTTTGAAATGGGAGTTGACGAGCGCACGAAGCATGTCCTCGTGATCCTTGTCAATAATCAGACTGGCAGATCGAGTCCAGTGGTCATCGACGTGGTTCAGACTCCGGATATCCACTGCGACAAATCTTCGGTCTTGTAAGACGTATGAGAAAAGCCTGCGTGGGAGGAGCTCGAGGTCTGCTCCATGTGGCTTGTAGGTCCTTCCTTGCTCGTTGTTCCAGCTTGATAAGAAAGGATCTGTTTTGGTGCAATACTCGGTTTTCTGCATGCGAGCATATTCATGCTGCCAGAAATTCTCCTCCACGGTCTCATGTGTGGCAAGGTCTTTCTCGGTGACAGTCCAGGAGAAGATAGAATAGGTATTTAACGAACGCTCCCTTGGTTTTACCTTAGGAAACTTCCAGAGTGGTTTCCAACTTGGATGAGCCTTGAGAGCTTCAGTCATGTCAACCACAACGTCGCTTGTGACATACTGCAATGGCGAATGCGACTCATCCGGGTCCGGGTCTAGAGCCCAACCATTGTGCGTCAACAGCTTGGTATCCAAGTATTCCAAGAAAGTCTCCCCTTGTTTCCGGCACTCTTTCTGAATCTGCTCTGCATGTTCTGCATATCGGAGAGGAAAGACTGGCAGACTGGAGATCTCCTGCTCCCCAACAAATGCTGGGATCCGGAAAGTCGTCCGTATGCAGACATAGGTTTCGCCATCATGATCCATGGCATAGCACTTGAGCTTGAAATTGCCTTTGTCTTGGTCCGTGTCTTCCTCGGTACGATACAGTCGCCAGAGCCGTTGATCGTCGCGTTGCCCCAGCATCTCCGGATTGGGCTTGGATGATTTGCCTGCACCGGGCACGTAAATGCTGTCTCCTAACCTAAAGATTGCCGACAATGCCGGATATCTAACCTTGTTGTGTGTGCTAGGATCCTGGGGAATCACCTCGCTTTCCATAAATTGGATGTAGGTATTAAAGTAGCTGAGCAGTTGCGTAATTTCTTCATCGGAACTGGCGTCGACCTCCTCTTTTGCGGTCAAAGAATCCGCCCGTATCTTTTCAAACCTCGCTTTAATTTGATCATGACGTTGGACCAGCGGTGGGAACGGATAGCAGAAAGTCACGGAGGTGCTGAATTCTTGATCAGGGCTAAGAATCTGCATAATTTCCTTCACAAGAGGGACGGAATTAATGCGAAGCCTTGCCATCCAGGCATCTGGCTTGTACTGGTTGGTTTCTGTTTTTGCATGCATCGCCTTCAACGCATCAGGCGCGGTGCTAGCTGATAACTTTTCCGTGAACACGCTATCTTCCTCGTATGCTGCACTAACTGTAGTGTCCACCATCAGCGCCTCAAGTACGGGAATCTCGGTCTGGTTGGGAAACCGATTCGTGAAATTGATGAGGTTGACTTTGTGCGCCTTGGCAATGATAGATCGCTCAACCTCTTTCTTCTCTTCGTCTTCTTGCTTAGCTTCATCTGCTGTTGTCGGGTTTTGTTCGTCGTCGTCCGCTTTTTCCGTCTCTGATTCGTCGTAGTCATCTCGATTACTACTCGATCTCCCGTGCTCAGATTTGTTGTCTCCAGCCTCGATAGGGCTGTTCTTCTCCTCGATAAGTTTCTCAATCTTTTTCTCTAGCTGTAGGAGTCGCTCTTCGAGCAATCGGACGTATTCTGGTTGGCCGGAACCACCGGTTAGAATCACATGGGGCGAGCTCTGATTGGGTTCGGAAAGTGTGTGCACAACAGTGTCTTGAGTCGGGGGGTCTGTCGTGACCATCTTCTTTGCTTTTCAGATTGAAAGCTCTTTAAGGGAAGGATAGGTGTCGCTATTTAGACTCATATACCGGGAATAAGTCCGAGGGAAACAATTGGCGGATTCGGTACACGGGTCTAAAACAGTGCGGAGAACTACTGGACCACAATACTGGATGGTTGCAGTTTATATGGCTTATGTTTCATGCTGGCAATACACTGAACAGACATAGATATTGGTCAGCAATTACATATAACTATGTCCCTTCACACACACACACACACACACACGGGGACATGAGTTCCGAGATCAATTTTGTTTGGTCGCAGAACTAGGAGGCAGGGTGTGTTGCCGAGGGGTTTCCAGACAGGGATACTTTGGGCAGACACTCAAATGTACGAGGAGCTGAAGAAACTCGACAAACTAGAATCCTGTGGCGTATCTTAGTCTGGGATGTTATTCGACACACGTCAGCGAGCTGAATCCAGGCCCTCTTTACGGGCCAGGTGGATAGGGTCGCGTCTGAGCCACCAGCATGTAAGCGCGAAATACAGTAATAGGAGCCAAACACGAAGACTTGGAACCAAGTAAACTAGACAATTATTCAACGAGTGTGTGGCTCTATAGGTAGGCTCATTAGTGGCCCAAGGTATGCCTTGATTTAGAGTACTGCTAGTTCAAGAGTACACAGGCGCACGGGAAGTCTTCTATGCTTTCAAACTCTTCTACATTGTTTCAATCGTGCTACGGCAACCCTCAGTTATCTCCGCTTTCTTATAACTAGTCAGACCAAATTGCCAGGATGACAATTCCTGTACCAGATAGCCATTGGCTCACACACAACCCCTCTTTTCTCGGGGGTCCGTGATCATGGGGGCAAAGCTCAGCCGCATGCATGCGTGCCCGAGAGGGAACGCCGGGCTATCGCATTGATTGCTTCCCCGAACGATACATGCATGCATTAGCAAGGTATTCATGCATTGTCAGTCTTCCGCTCGCTCCGTATGTAGAGGATCGCAGAGCGTGTGGTCTCACCATATCATCCAGAACAATGTGCCCTATCTGTCTCGATCTACCCAAATAAGAAGAATATACCTCCTGACGTTCACAAAATGGGGTTTATGCGACAAAAGCTGAAAAAGGAACACAAAAAGGAAGCTGCAACTTACCTTTTAGAAAAGGCATCAGATTATCATGATGCTTTTGGCACGCCGGCTATCTACAACGAAGATCGTGACACATTTGAGCCTCTTCCAGCCACTAGGTTCGAAACCTTACTCCATTATCATCGTTGACTTCATTTTACATTAACAATTGTAAAACCAGTGACCTAGAAGAAGCTTTGGCCACCTACAATGAGTCCGTCGAGCAGAAATTCAAATTCGAAGTGCAAAGGTGTACGTTTGACGATGTCGTCTCTGAGCTCGACCGAGCTCGAGGGACGTACGAGGGAAAGGCGGAGGGGTTACTAGGACTCGGTCGCAAAGGTTTACGAGGCGCAGGAGATTATTCCGACGAAATCACTCCGTGGATTGACTTGATTCCCTCGGATCATGGCTTGAGCTTTCTGAGCGCAGGGCTAAAGGCTATCTTTGGGGTGAGATTCTTTTCCCTTCCATCTGTCCCTGTATAGGTAAGGGGTAGAGAAAGGATTCTCTCTGATAACAGGCAAGACAGATTGCGAGACGGAACGCAGAGAACCGAGACAAAATCCTTGATGCATTTGAAGATATCCCAGAATTGATGCTCTCTGTCAAGGCACGACAGAACCAGTGGGCATCTGCGAAAACATTACGCGAAAGTGCCATTGATCTCTATGAAACGTTAGCCCGAGCTCTAGCGAAACTTATCGTTATCTTGAATGGGAGCATGGAAAAAGCACCTCGTCTAAGCGGACGCGCCCGGAAGTGCATCAAAAGACTTGTTGGTTCGGCACATACAGCCAATTCGATTGACGCTATCCTCGTTGAGGTTCAGAAACAGGCAAAAAGGTTTGATCAGTGCTTGGACCATGTACGAGATCAACTAGCCATACAGATGGGGATCGACACGGCCGCGACCAAAACCATCGCAGGGCGAACTGAAACAAAGCTAGACCAAGTAACGCAAGAGATAAAGGATGCAAATGCCGAGATGATAAAAGACCTGCAGGCTAAGGAGCAAGGGGTCTTTATCCTCAATGTCATGCATCAGAATCTTGTATATATCAACCCTTGTAAGTACTCGCTATCATGCTTCATCATGCTAAGAAAAGGCTAAGCATTACCACCATAGATTGTCCCTCCGAGATAACGTCGTCAATGGTACATTCGACATCGAAACACGCAGAACCCCTTCTAAAAGATATCGAGCTTCTCAGCAGCCTCGGAATCAGCACACAGTCGCCCTCGAATGATCTAAGAACGATAATAAAAGAACTTTCTCAGTTTGAGATCTCCGCCCAAACTCAAGCGCAGCAGCTCTTTGCGTCACGTCAGTTCGCCGAATGGATGGCCTCGCACCACCCTGTCACTTTGATGGTCAACGGAAACTTCGACACTCCTGGACCAGGACGGACCACCGCATTATCGGTTCTGTGTGCCATGTTTGCCCTGAAGCTGCTCGACAACAATGACGGTTGCATTGTTCTGCATCATTTCTGTGGCCTACACGGGGCACGATATCATACCGATCCAGTCGCAGGTCCTAATGGGCTCATTCGCTCGCTGCTGGCTCAGATGCTTCACACAGGCCGGGAGTTCAACCTTGACTTCATAAACACGCCCCAGTTTACCCGCGATATCCAGACTCACTCGCTCAAGGATCTCTGTCATACCTTCAGCCAGCTCGTAGAGCAATTGCCCCGGAACATCACCATAATCTGCATATTGGACGGGGTCAGCGAATTTGCCTCCCAGCAGTGGACCACCGAATTCAGCGACGTACTCCTTATACTCAATCGACTGATCATGAATCCAGCTCTGCGACCTATCTTCAAGCTTCTTTGTACAACCCCGTTCTCTACCGGAGGGCCCCTGATCGATCGGCAGCTTGAGGTGCATTACTCCCTACGCTTGCAGCCTTGTGGCATCTATGACGGTTATGCGCTATCTGAAAGATCCTTGCCTGACGCGACTTCGCAAGGAGCTCGGCTTGACCATTATCGCATGCGTATGCTCGCAAATCGAGCGAATGAGGAAGATGATTCGGAATCAGACGACGATTATTGGGACAACAATGTGAGATATGAGACAATCAATCAATGTAATTGACGTTCTACTATTTTGATATTGAATACCATTGAATGGCCATTTCAGGTGAAGATTTAAGAGTCGGTATATACGGGCGCTTCAATCAGAATGATAGAAGCATAGAAGAATATATTGCAATACTCCCAAGATCTACGGCGGATATCGGGTGTTCTAATAGTTACATGGCAATTCATCAAACGTATTAAGAGTTTCATGACATGCTCGTGCATAATGTCGTGGTTTATTTCTCCATCACAGAGCGGAATTCACCACAAACCCCATATAATCAATTGGATCCCAACAATGCACCCAAATCCATATTTCCATCCATCAGATACAATTCCGACAGCGTTGTTCGGTACCCAGGTAGGAGATTGATCTCCTCTTCGAATCTCCAGAGCGTGTGTGGAATTCGCGCTATCAAATTGACCAGTGAACGTGATTGTAAAGTTAGCCTTTACGTCTTTCTCGCTTCCTACAAATAACTGGTAGGAACTCGAATTCGTATCAGCCAAGCCGAAGAACTTGAGCTCCATTGTTGTATTGGTTACAGATCCTTCCATGATAGTCGTATCTGACCAATGTATATCTGTGTCGTGGAGAAGGCAGTTCTCAGCCCGCAGACGGAACAGGCCGTCGTACTGACTGACCTTCATGTCAGGAACTGTGGTGGCGTTGAAATGAAGTGTGTCGGATGTTGTCGAGTTTGGGGGGACATTCAGAGTCATAATATCCCAGGCACTGTCTCCACCGACCGAGCCAGTGCTAGTGCGGATTCGGAAAAGATCCGGTTCTGAAGCACACATGTCTCCTTCCCATCTGATGTCTGAATAGGAAGAGTGTATCTGATCCACTGCCTTATTGGATTTCCACGACTTGAATCCTATTATGAACGGGTTTTCGGCTCCCTTCGGATAAGGTGGTTGTGGTCCGATCCACGCGTAACCGAGCAACCGCAGCTCTTTTGAAAGCTGACATTTGGAGCCTGACGTCAGGTTGTAGGACAGATGCGCTTCTCCTTGAAAGAATGAACCGTCGTATATCGTTGGGCTGGGCGCAGCCCTTGCACCGCCTTGCGAGGTCCAGTTTGTGGCGTGGCTGGGGACCAAGTATGTATTGCTCAGAGCGTTGCTTTGGACTTGATCTCCACAACCGGATGAACTTGAACTACCGCCGCTCTCATCGCTTCCACCGTTGCTACTGCCATCGTCGCTGCTGCTGTCGCCTTCGCTATCGCCGTCATGATCTCCTCCACCTCTTCTTGCAAGGACGCCTTTGTCAAGAATCGCCAGCAGAAGGAGGAGCCGGGCAAGGAAGGCCAGAGGCACCATGGAAGCTTGCCTTGTCTTCAGAAACTGGTAACTGCACAACCTGGCACTGTAGGAGAGAAAGAAGAAAAACTCATTTGTGCCATGCAGGGGGGGTCATTAGGCTTGAATAATAACGACTGCCAAGGGTGAATTCTCGTATTGTTTGGGTCAGGCCGTCAAGGAGGGGAACTATCATTGGTGGACCTCGTGGGTACAGGCCGAAGATCGCATCAAAATCAACACTAATTGCCGTTCATCTCCTTGGCATCTCCTGCTATGTACTAGCGCTGGGTTCGGGACCATGTTGGGTCCTCTCGACCTGAGTCTCCTGATCGGGTTTATGCCGTCCCTGGTCTGTGATGGGAGCCTTCAAAAGGTAAGGGCCAAAAACAGGATAAAGAGTGACAAAACTTGTGCTCTCGGTCTCATGGGGACATTGAGTCAAAAGTTGTTCAATCTTTACCCCGATGGCTCCTGTAGGACTAGTTCGCGGGGATGGTTCGGTCTATCCCAGAAAACCGCAGCTCAGCCACTAATTGCCGGCATTGACCCTGGAATCGATGATTCTTTCAATTGTTATCTTGATCTTAGAAGCATTCCGCAACAGAGATCGCCAATAGGCCTAAACGGAACCCTGGAATTCAAGTATCGCAACAAAGCAATGTGTTCAGTCACTCTCTAAGGAGGAGAGAAGAGTCAACAATGCGCGGCGCAACATGAAAGTCCCGGCAGTACAGTCGAAGCCCCAACAAAGAATACATGTAGTGAACAATATATGAAGTTTACAGGGGTACAGCATGGACAGAAGCTTTATCTTACACCACGAACGCGGTCGATGCCGGTATGTTGAACAAAGGGTTTCTTAAAAGCACGTGAGACCGCTTTCACAAAGCTTACCAATCTAAGGTATATTGTACTGCAACCCTAGTCTTGTCTCTTTATTTTACGGTGGAAGCTATGTGTTGAGGTTCTCTTTCAGGTGCGAAGAACGAAACATACCGTTTACTATGGCATTCAAAATTTTGATCGATGATTCCCTGAATGTCTCGGTCAGTTCCGGGAAATTTGGGACTGGTGAGATATAAATAGGAGAAAAGAAGTGCGTCAGGCGAACTTGCTTCCACATCAGGCAAAGTTTCAGGATCTTTCCATCTCCCTGTGTCGATGTCTGGGTCTATTTATCTGAGAGGACTATATTTCCAATCCACACCAGTCCTACAACACCCAACAACAGAAGTCCAACACCACAGCACGACAACAAAATGGGAGCTCCACCAAGTACGACAGTTGAACCCATCATGTCGGGATTTGCGCACATCACAGAGGAGTCTATTCGAGAAAGCTCCTATGTGTTTATTGACACAAGCGCTGGCATAGCCAATTTGATTGATTACTTAGATGGCTTGCCTGTAAGACCTCCATCCTTGTATGTAGACCTTGAAGGGGTCAACCTCTCACGAAATGGGACAATTTCAATCATCCAGATCTATGTTTTGCCCCTCGACATGACATACTTGATAGATGTTCGCACGCTGCAAGAGGAAACATTCTCGCAGCCGTCCGCTATGGGCCGCACCCTGAAAGACATCTTCGAATCACCCTCTACTCCTAAAGTATTCTTCGACGTCCGCAGTGACTCTGATGCACTCTACAGTCATTTTGGCATAAGCCTTGGGGGTGTGCAGGATGTCCAGTTGATGGAGCTTGCAACCCGCAACTTTCCGAAAGATCTAGTTCACGGGCTTGGAACATGCATCGAGCGAGATTTATCAATGTCATCATCTGAACAACAATCTTGGAAGATAAGGAAGGAGAACGGCCGTAAACTATTCGCTCCGGGCCAGGGAGGCAGCTATGAGATTTGGAATACTCGCCCACTTCCTGCTGACATCATGCAGTATTGCGTCCAGGACGTGAAGATCTTGCCCCGCCTGTGGCAGAATTACAAACGGTCAATGTCCTATCGCTGGTCAGTGTTGGTCGAGAATGAGGTCAAAAACAGAATCATCGATTCTCATTCCCCAGATTACATTGAAAAGGGGAGGTTACGAACTTTGGCACCTCGTGGCTGGGAAGACATCCACTTTCGTTAAAATAGAACTAGATGGGCATATACATGGAAACTGCTATACTGAATGCATGATTAAAGGTTAAATCTGCAACATTTTCCAATAACATCGTAAGCATACTCAAATGGTCGAAGAGCACAATATAATACCTGCTCTACCTATTATGCAAGACAGTTCGCGCATAGACTAAGAGCGACCTTGATAAAGGTCATGCCAATGTCATCGCCAGAATTCACGGACTGTCTCAGGAGAATGTAATTTTCAAGCAACCTTCGTAGGCTGCATGGAAGAGGAAAGAATCTGGGAGTAATGACCACAGCCTATTCTTGTTTAGGAGCCTCAAAAATGATTAAAATAGACATGAACATTTGCTGTGTCAACGCACTCGGACATTTAGGGCGAAGACCCCAGCTCGGCTACGCTCATTGGAGTAGTCTTTGCGCTAAAATGCTTCTACAAGTCGCTCAATCGCTTCATGATCTCCCTGCACTCGCCTTTTCATCAACATAAACACACGCGCCAGAGGGACAAACTCGTTGACCTCTCTTGCCAAGCCCTCTATACACTCGGCCACATCCCGTAGAAGAATTAGGTCTTCCCCTGCAGTTGGTGCCGTAGGTTCCTGCATCAAACCACTAGCTAGGTGGGCGTGCGCAATTTATGCCCTGTAGTTGCCGAGAATGAGTGACATCGCCTCTGGTCCGGGGACAAGATTGAGTATTCTCCTGAATGTTCTCATTGACAAGTCGCTCCTGGGAATCATGCCGTCGTTCTCTGATAGCATTGATCGGCGATCAGTCATTTCAGAAACCTACGATGCTTTGCGGAGCATGAATAGTATGCAAGTATACCCCGAGAGTGCCAGCTCTCCTAGAATCCAACCGTTTATATCACCATCTCTGCAGCTCTCTAGCCATTCGTCCTGGTGCACATCGTCAGTAATGTACATAATGCGCGAGAGGAGACAAAGGTATGGTTTACTATCTTCCACTGCTACAGTATATCCTCCACGTCCTCGCAAAGCGGGTTGATGGCTGCCAGTATATCTGACCTATCATTCAACGATTCCGATTCTTGGAAATAGTTGATAAGAATGAATGTGAGGCGACTTCTAACCAAGAAGGCCACCGTCGGCACTGCCTCGTTCCGTTCTTGTGAAGACCCTGCAGCGAGACGGGGCATGTTCACTCTCCAGTCGTGGAGTTGCGAGGAGAATGCCGCTGGCTTTTCATTGATTAAACGAGCGAAGAGATCCAAATGAATGAGCCACCACATGCCCATACGACCGTGGTCACTCATAGAAAGGTGACTTGCTGGGTGGTCGAGACTGTCGAGATTATGCATTCGCAATGTCTGTGCATATTCACAGGTCAACCTGTGCATCTCCCAACTCGAGCTGAAGTCGAAATCTTCCGTCGCTGTTTGTGTCTTTTTCATCCAAATCCCTTGAAGTCAGCAACGGAGAATACATCAGCTATGGGGGCTCTGCGAGCGGATAATTACCATGTACATAGCAGCAATAAAATCAGTCACAGTCCCAGTGGCCTCTTGCTGCCAGATCGCTATTGTGCGCTTACAGCATATAAAGACTTGCCTGCCGTAGTGGCTATCAATGCCGTTGGATGTATTTCCTTTGTGAAAGAAAAGACCTTGCCACAGGATACAGTAATAAATCATGAGCATGCAAGCGTCAAAATGCACATGATTCATATAAATGAGATCAGACATTAAATCGATCAGTTTACGGTCCACCAATGCCGGGAGTAACTTGCCGTTTATGTTAGTAAAGTAGTCTTGGGCAGAAAGTGTTAGGAGTGGCCATTTATTAGGAGAGGAACTTCGTAGCTTACGGTGGATTAATGCCTTAGCAACATCTGAGGGAATGCTAGCAGACTCCAAGATAAGTGCTTTCATTCCGAAGCGGTGCTTCTTTCTAATTTGTTGGACTTTGTTGACAGCACAACTCAATATAGAGGTGACATCCAATGGTGCACCCTCGTCCCTGTTAGAAAGGAACTGTGGATCAACCTGATCGACGTCAGCACCTAAGGTTAATGCCGGCGATGCACTCGATAGCCTAGATGAATGATGTGCGGCATTGTGATGAGCAGTAGCTTGCGCTTGGGGTGTGCTTCGGGCCGTGACTTGTTCGTCAACAGGCCCGAAATTCTCCGGAAAAGCGGATCTTGAGCTTCGATCCCATTGTTTAGAAGTATTTCAAGCTAACATATGCCGCGAACGGAAGGAGAGCATACGAGATCGGCAATTCAGTCTTGCTCCGCGTGTCTAGCCCGCCTCTTGGGATAGGAGCATTCCAGGTGATAAATTCGGCATCTCTCGCAGACAGGGATCGTGCGACTGCATCGAACCTAATGGTAAGGACTAGAAAGTTAGCTTTGGCCTGGTCAGCAGCCAAATATACCTAAAGGTCCCAAACCTTTCGGTGACGGCAGTGAGTGCACTGTACAGTCTTAGCAAGGTCTGGATCAACTCTATCTCAATTTAGCTTACCGCAAGTCGATCCGTAGACATCAATGACACTTGATGACTAGCATCTACTAATTAATGCTAAGGTGAGTCGGACAGACAGAGGCTGCGCGCGCAGAGAGAGAGAGGGGGGAGGGGGAGAGAGAGAGAGAGAGGCAACGCGATTAAGTGGGCAGAAGATAGAGAAACTAGAGAGAGAGAAAGAGGGCCGGGCCGGACCTGGCAAGCGCACTTTCGCTCTTTCACACTTTCGGCGGTGGAGTGTATCATGTCAGAATGACCGTCTTCTTGCTTGTAGTTCACTTGATAGCCGTGGAGCTGATCTCATCGGAGCGCTCGAAGGGTGAGATCCTTGCCTTTCCTCGACAGGTTCTTAAGAAACATTCTAAGGAGGGCTGCGACGAGGAAAAGACGCGTTCTGGGAAGGAAGTGATATCGCAGACATCAGGCTATCAAACGAGCGAGGTCCAGGGTACCGAGAAACAGACTTCAATCTTCCACTGGCAGGACGTTTGCTATACTGTTCAAATCAAGGGGGAAACTCGGACAGTCCTTGACCATGTGGATGGATGAGTGAAGCCAGGTACATTGACAGCGCTGATGGTAAACCTCTTTTTCTAGAATTGATTGACATTAATTCTGACATCTTTAGGGGGTATCTGGTGCTGGGAAGACCAGTCTTTTGGATGTGCTGGCTAGCCGTGTCACCATGGGCGTTATCTCAGGGCGAATGCTCGTGAATGGCCAGCTACCAGAGTCTTCGTTCCAGTGAAAAACTGGATACGTTACGCAACAAGGTCTGAACCTGCACACGTCAACTGTTCGTGAAGTTCTGCAGTTCAGCGCCCTCCTGCGGCAGCCAGCCCGGTATACCCGTCAAGCAAAGCTTGATTATGTGAACGAGGTGATCAAGTTAGTAAACCTCGAAGACTGTGCAGATGCGATTGTCGGACATACGGGCGAGGGCTTTAACGTCGAATAAAGGAAGCGCTTAACTATAGGAGTCGAGCTGGCAGCACGGCCGGAGCTCTTGTTGTTCCTTGACGAGCCAACCTCTGGTCTAGATAGCCAGACATCCTGGGCAATCTGTGACCTAATGGAGAAGTTGACCCAAAACGGCCAGGCGATTCTTTGTACTATTCACCAGCCATCGGCAGCGCTTTTTCAGCGCTTTGATCGCTTGCTGTTGCTTGCCAAGGGTGGATGTACAGTTTATTTTGGGAAAGTGGGCAAAGGGTCATCAACACCGATCGACTACTTCATCCGGAACGGCGCACCACAGTTCAAGTCCGGGATGAACCCCGCGGAGTATATGCTCGACATTGTTGGCGCCGCCTCCAAGAATAGCGGTATCGACTGGCCGTCTATCTGGCAGACAAGCCCTGAATATCAGGATGTCCGTCGTGAGCTTAATCAGCTGTCACGACCCGGTGAAGGAAGGGTCTCGAACCCCGATCCCGCAGCTCTAGCAGAATTTGCTGCTAGCCTTCCTGTTCAGCTAACGGGGTTACGAAACGGGTCTTCCAACAGTATTGGAGAACCCCAAGCTATATCTTCTCCAAGCCTAATCTCAGCGCTGGATCAGTATGTACCACCCCTGTCTTAGCATCCCTTTAACTAACCGCGTACCCAGGCCTTGTTTATTGGGCTGTCACAAGTCAACGGAGACGCCTCCCAGCGTGGTCTATTCAATCAGATGTTAGCAACATACATATTCCTCTTCATATTCAGTCAGGTTGTCGAGCAAATTCTACCTATGTTTGTTTCTCAGCGCACCCTATACGAGGCCCGAGAGGACGATTGAATCAACCTCTCAAACAATTACTTACTAAACTTAGCAATACGACACCCACGAGTAGATTGTTCACTTCCCTATAAACAGATAATTTCCCCCCCTATAAGTACGTTTGTGGCTGTTGAAAGGACAAATCAAGAGATGACTAATGGAATTACAACGTACCAGAATATGTTATTCAATATTGATAGCAGATGTAGGTAAGGAAAGATGTTGCCAGCACAGGCTATACTAAGGGATCGGTAAATCTTCGGCAGCCACATCTCAAAGCGGAAAGAGAAACTAACCCGAATCAGGACATTCCCAGCTGGGAAGGCAATGGCCCCGTGACCTCGGCAGGATATTTCTCCGCCCGTCAGCTCACGTGCCCTCCCCTTTGTCAGCGGAAGTATAGCATTCCGTTCGAAATGCTCGAACTTGACTCATCTTTGTCTCGCACAATGCGCGTTGAACTCGCCCCACATTCTCCATTTGACTTTTAGAGTGTACAGCCTGTGCTCTCTATCTCTTGGTCATGGAGTTCTTCAATTTCGAGGCCGCCTCGATTGATTCGGTCACTCATTTTGTTGATGCCTCAGGCGAGGCCCCCGGTAAGACGCATTCCGCAGACAACGCCCGAGGCTTCCCGCTGTACTTTGTAGCTAAACATGCCACTAACCCGAACTCCTGAAACCAGGCGGTGGCACTGATGGTCTTGGAATGAATCAGGAGTCGGCTCACAGTAAGGTCAACCGCGGTTCTGTTGAGGCATCTGAACACAGACCGTCCGTGGCGATAAACATTCCGATTTCGGAGCCTCGGGATATCTGTTTTCCGCAGCATGATCAAGTCCCCTTTCCCAGCATAGAGAATGATGACCAGGATATCGAGTCTTCCGGACCGGGCAAGAGAAGCCGGGCACGACTGCCAAAGCATGCAGTTCGAGTCTTGCGCAGCTGGTTGGCCAATAATTCAGATGATCCCTACCCCACGGGAGCCGACAACCTGTATTTGATGGAGAAGACGGGGCTGTCGAAAACGCAGATTCGCAACTGGTTGGCAAACGCCAGAAAGCGCAAGCGCTTCCTTCACTCCGCCACGTCCTCGGACGTGCAGTCCCACGAAGCCTCCAGTGCTCGGTCGAGCGTGGACAACAGCCTCTCTTGGACACCACTGGAGCGATGGCAAAATTCGCCTCCGGAGGACGAACCTGCGTCGCTATCAGACGTCTACCAAGCGTTAGTCGATCGACCCAGCGACTACGAGATGGGATCGAATCCTGCTGCAGGCTTTCCGTCCGAAGGTCATGCGCATCGCAAGTCCAGCAGCATTTCGAGTTTCAGTGACCTAAGCATGACACGCGCTGCATCCGCCCGCAGCTCGGACTCGAATTACTCCTCAGCCTCGGACCTCTCGCTCTCCGGCCTCTTCACCGATCATTTATCTATCAGTCCGCACCAGTCGCGCCCACGGAGCAGGAGCCGACATCGATATTCGAAGCGTCGCACTTACAAGAAGAAGCCGGCCGAGGACAAGGAGAAGGGAAAGAAACAGCGGCTGTTCCGATGCACGTTTTGCACGCAGACCTTTACCACCAAGTATGACTGGCAGCGACACGAAAAGTCTATTCATTTGAACCTCGACCAGTGGGTTTGCGCTCCTCACGGGGCCACCATGGTAGTCAAGGGAGCCACCATCTGCGTGTTCTGCGGTCTCGTCGACCCCGATCTCGACCACATCGAGTCCCACGACTATAGTATCTGCCAAGGCAAACGATCCCAAGACCGAATGTTCAACCGAAAGGACCATCTCTCGCAGCATCTGAAGCTCACCCATAGCACCGAGCTGCAACCGCACATGGACGACTGGTGCGTATCGACACAAGAGGTGCGATCCAGATGTGGCTTCTGCGACTCAGTATTCACCACCTGGAAAGAACGCAACGACCACCTAGCCACCCACTTCAAAGCCGGATGCGACATGTTTCAATGGCACGGCGACTGGGGATTTGAGCCCCATGTCCAGGACCTAGTGAAAAACGCCATGCCGCCGTATCTCATCGGCGAAGAATCCGTGACTATTGAGCCTTGGAGACCGACCTTCCTCCCGGAGGACTCGCAACTGGCTTTCGGGCACAATTCCTGGGCGAATAACCACCCCGAGGCATTTCAGCTGCTGCACGATCACCTCGTCGAGTTTATTATTCGGCAGAAACTGAATGGGTTCTTCCCGTCCGACCACATGATTCAGAACGAGGCCCGCAGACTGGTCTACGGGAGCGAAGATGATTGGGATCAAACCTCGGCCGATAATCTGGTCTGGTTGAATATTGTTAAAAACGATCCTCGGATATGTGCTGTTGGGGACTTACCTGCTGATGCTCCAGCGAGCACTCACCCGTCTTGACACCCGTCACATGAACCAGATGGACTGTTAATGACTGTGTTTGCATCCTGCCCACATCCCTGTCCCAAGCGATCGGATATATTTCTCCGACACGAAAAACGAGTCTACAAGGCAGAGGGATCTGAGTAATCTTCAGACGAGTTCCATGCATACTCGACATATCACGTGCATCCTGAAGGAACTCTAAATACGAGGTCCTCTGAATTGACAAACTGCGCACGATTTCCATTCTGTTGAGACGACGCACTGGACTAATATATACACTAACACACTCTCTCGTCGGCATCCGGTAAGATGAATACATTAAGCGACCTTTCCTCTCTTCAACGACCTTCCTAGCAATGACCACGAGGGGGAAATCCGTCCCTAGGAGTCTCCCGGTCTCGATAAGTGTATTCGGCCCAATGCATGAACCGATCAACGTCGGCGGTAGTGGAAGCCAGTCCGAAAGAAACACGAATCGCACCGGCGGACGGCAGGCCGACTAATCTGACATAATCGTCCACCGATATTGTCTTAGAAACTCGACAGACAGGACGAAGCGCGTGCATGTCGAGGCCAAACGCGGTCTCGCCACCTCCTGGGTTGCAAAAGCAGCCGGTGCGCAACGAGATTCGCGCGGCGGCTGACTCGGACGCCACCAGTCGCTCATCCACCACCTTGCCAGTAACGTCAATGAAATTAAAAGCCACCGTGCTCCCACGCGACTTATTGTCCTGCGGGCCATAAATCTGAATCATGGGCGCTCCACTGGCGTGTCGAAGGCACTTCAGGCGGTCCAAGAACCAGCCCGTCAGACAACGCACCCTGGTCTCGATCACCGCCACGTCAACGCGAGTTAGCCAGTCGAGTCCGAAATGCACGTCGGGAATGGACAGGAAATTGGGGGTGCCATCCTCGAACGCGCTTCCATCCTGCGCCATAGTATGCCAGGGTATGCCGACGGTGACGGCTTGCACCGTTCCACCGGAGAACCACGGACGCGACAGTCGGCCGATGGCATCGCGACGAGCGATCAGACATCCCACTCCCGTCGGATATCCAAACAGTTTGTACCAGCTTACCATTAGGAACTCGGGCTGTGGGTTCCCGTCCGAAAGCTGCAACTTTTTCGTGGGTAGGTAAGCGGCGGCGTCCAACAGCACGTCGTAGCCACATTTCTGCGCCAGGCCGACCCATTCCAGCGGATGACGTACCCCGCTGAAGTTGCTCTGCGCGGGGTATGCAAAGAGGCCACGCTTCTGGCGGCCATGTCTCGTGGTGCCTCGCTTCCAGGGCCACCGACCTGCGAGTGCTGACACCAGTGCTGTCGGGTCGACCCGCAAGTCCGGAGCCTGGGTGGGGACGTACACCGTGCGCGCATGGTTTCGACAGGCAAACTCCCGGATCCCATTCACCGAGTTGTGGTTGTCGAAGGTGAGAACGAATTTTGAGTTGCGCCGGAAGGGATATGCTTCGCCCACCAGGCGCGCCGCACCGGTGGCGTTCTGCGTAAAGATGACGGTGTATTTCTCGGGTGAAGCGTTGAAGTATTCGAGCACGCGCATGCGCGCCCTCTCCACCAACTTCGTCGACGCCTCACTGGTGGGATTGAGCGAGTGCGGGTTGCTGAACAGTTGGCTGGTCAGACGGGCCTCGTGCTCATGGTATTGTGCTTTGGCAGCGAGTCCGGCGCCGGTATAGTCCAGGTACAGATGGTCTTGCTCGTCCAGGTAACTGTACTCGGTCTCCCGCAGTTTATCAAGCACTGCGGTGCTCTGATACTCGGGGTATGAGTCCAGGATGTCACCGGTAGGTCTTTGACCGACAGTCTTTTGCTCGGCACAAAGAACCGGCTTTTCGTCTTCGATAATGTGAACCATTATGATATCAGGGATGCTTTAACACGGTTTTGAACAAAAGGGTCGGTCTTTCGCATCAGTCAAGGCAACGGAATAGAAGGATTTGCTTTCAGATCAGATAAAAGTAGAAAGAAAGACTGCGGCTCTTATACTCCCAAGGAACCCACGACCCCTGCTGTTTCCACTTGAGGAACAAAGGCTTCCGTCTCCTCCTTTCCTTTTTTTTTTCACTCGAATCTCACTTTGATTTTCAATTTTTGGCTTAGTTTCCTGATTTTTTCGCGCCGATGAATCGGTGAATTCTTTCAATCCCCTGTCTTTCCCCTTCTCCCCCCTCCATCACGATGAACGCACCGCCACCTTCTACCATGGAATCACATCTCAGCCGTAATCTAGTTTTTAGTCTCGCCAGTCATCTGAAGCGAAGGCCTCACAATGGTTCTCAATCCCTGCTCAGGAACTATGCCCAATCAGGCGGCACCGCAGGTCTCCAACATGATTGACGCCGTCGGATTGGTGTCCCTTTTCCTCCCTCCATCGGCCTGGATAATCGGATTGTTCTCTTTTGGAACACGAACGTCTACTATGCCTATCCCGGCAGGTGAACAATGGACGATGCGATGCGATGGCCAGCTGGGCGCTGATCGCGATTGCTCGACATCCATCCAATCTGATCATCCAGGTTTGACGGCGGGGATGATTGACACCAAGGCAACGCAACCCCTCGTCTCGCAATCTAAGCCGTCTATCCTAAGTGGATTGGCCTCTTTCGGCCTAATCCCTTCCTGTCTAGTCTGGTTCTCATCAATGTCGGCCTGAAATGCTACGGACGTGAACGAACTGGTTCGTCCGCTTCGGTTGGAAGGGAACTAAGAGAGGGCTAAGAGCCGGGTTCGGCGCGTGCCATGCCATGCCATGCCATGTTCGTCTCCTCCTCCCCACTCCATAAGCGCTGGGCGAGATTCGGCTTAAGGCAATCAATTGCGACAATCAATCATATCCGTTGATTCCATCAATACTGGCTGGACTAGTCGTGGTAATGCGATTGTTATACCCATGTCGTTCCGTGCCTATGTCGGTGTCTGTGCATGCTATCGTCATCTTGCCATCTTGTCATCTCGTCACTGTGGCTGTCGCCCGTTAGCGTTAGTTTCTTGATTTCTGGTTTCTGATTTCTAATTCTCCCGCCTTAACTCCGTGCGCTGCGTTTCGTTGGTCGGATTTCTGTCTCCATGCGCTGCGCTGCGATGCGATGCAAAGGCATAGGCACCGTTCGGATCAACGCTGATTGATTAATTGTTAGTGGGCGGTTTCTTTTCGAATGAATTCTACTCCAATCATGTCGCTTGACTTGCCTCGGGTGAGGACAAGGTATGAGAAATTCTTGGCTATCACAGTTTTCTGTTTTATTTCTTCCAGGTTCCTAGCCAGGGTCAGGATTTGGTCGGTCGGTCGGTACCTGTACCTGAACCTGAACCTGAACCTGAACCTGAACCTGAACCTGGTCTCGGCTCTAAACCTGCCAGGTATCAGCTCGGCGTTTCCATCGTCCATGTCATTGAACTTGCTATTAACTTTGACAATGGCATATGATAGAGCCAAGCCCCGATAACAATGCGCCATGACGCGCTGAACCGAACCTTCTCCGTTGACCACGACCAACTTTACGGCTGTGCGGTCCATCCAGCTGAGTCGATGAACTATTTGAATCTAAGAGATCCTTTGAACTAGCATCCGGCTGAAATTCAGAGCGACTCAACCAATGATAGGCCGTCGCCGTAACGCCGCGATAGAATGCAACTTCGGAGGGGCAAAAGATCCAGCGAACCCCTCCGCGCCAGTTGCAAATCCATGCACAACGACCCATAATTGCCCCCACTTGGGTGTCCTGCTCTGCCCTGTCCTGCCCACATGTTCGATAGCCTCAGCTCGAGATGAACGAAGTACAGCCAGACACATGGGCGGGAATGGGGCCGGATGGAGCGGATTATTGAATCTTAGATTGTAGATCGATCGGTCTAGTGATCATCTCGCAGTGGGTTGACGCGCAAATCCCGAGGGTTACATGCGTTGATTACAAGGCCAAAGTCTATAGAGAAAGATTGAATAATTGGGTTTGAGGACACCGAAGAGATCCGAAGAAGATCGAAACTACAGTCTGCCATAAATCATGAAATCGAAAAATGAGAAGCCTTCGTCAGATCAGGGTTCGTCAGATCGCTTGAAAGAAAAAGAAAAGAAAGATAGCTAGGGAAGAAGGGGAAAGACAAACGAAAGCCCCTGATCCCCGATCCCTGCACCTCGCAAAAACCAGTTCTTCTTTCACACTTTCACATTTTCTTGCTTTGCTGTACCTTGCTGTGCATAGTCTATCATACCTTCATCCTACCTTACCATCGACCATCTGTTTTCTTTTCCCGCAATGTTCCTTTCCTCCCCAGGCCTCAAAGACCCAAAGCTCAGATAACTACAACCAAAAACCAATTGCAGTTCCCACACCGATATTTCTCTCTCCTTCGCGCCCTGTCTACTGTCTGTCTACCCATCTGTCATGCCATTTCATCACAATCACTTCGTATCCCCGCTACCTACCTGCATGGGCAAGACAGGGCAAAGAAAAAGCCCTAACACCCAGCGTGCGTGCGTGCATCATCACCACACTACCCAGTCACTGTGCGACACAAACATTTGCATCTCCGACTGACTTGTGATGGGGAGTGAATACATACAGAATACACTTCTGCAGGGTGGTGTACATTAGGTAGTGTCGAGACGGTGGGTTGGGTTCGGTTGTGTTGGGATTTGGACTGAGGGTATGGTTACTTCTTCCTTCTTTTCTTTCTTTCTTGGTTTCCTTGGGTCTGTAGGTTGCATCAAGGGATCATACCGTGGGAACCGTAGGATATGGTGAGGCTTGGTTAAAGACAAAGGAATATGCTTAAATGTGACAACCAGACAGGGGGCCCGTGGCCTGTCTAGGAAGGAGGATGTGGCTAATTGGATTTCGGTCTTTCTGTCTGAGTATGTCCCTTTATTTTGACTCTTAATCCTAGTTTCTTCCTTTCTTTGTTCTTGTCTTTGCCCCCGTCTGGAGAAATGACGAAGTGAACTAAGCCCCGAGACGGTGAATGGGTCAGTCGTGATCCATTCACATTTCCTTCCGATGATACCTTAATCTCTGCCCCTAGTGTGTTTACTGGGATGGTTGAATAATCTGATATCGGATCCCGATGTAGAGGAGATTACAATCCCAACGCCGCCGGATCCGAAGCCGTGTCTCGTGATAAGGCAATGCATGTCGACGGATAGAGCTGGGGCCTGTACATACCTACATATGTACATACCCAGGCATTTTATTCACCTGACATTTTAAAGACGACTCGCATTCGGACTATCGTGTAATGAAGCGGTGAATTGGGCCCTAGATGACGAGAGGGAAGAACTGTGCACGGCAGGACTGCGTGGTCGGAATAGGAAATACATTCCATACCAGGTCAGTCGTGTCGTTTTATTTTGCTTTCGATCCATAAGGCAGTTGATATATGGTAGACCTCTGTAGGTTGGTAGCATGACAATGTCGATGTTCAAGTCGCAAATCGAATCTCCCTCCCGTCCTTGGACATCAGGTATGCGTTTCCCCGTCTATATCTATTTACAGTTTGAAGATCTAACAGGCGCCAGGGCAAACAGTGATACACCTGTCCTCCTGAAGAAGGTCGAGCAGAAATGCACTTATCATCTCAGAGAGAGGCTTGAATCTTGTCTTAGAGGCAATGCACGACAAGATCTAAAAACACATGCCGAAGGAAGATGGTAGCCAGGTATGAACACCACCTATTCCCCGTCAGTTTGGTGCAGAACGGTCTAACAAGTCAGTTGTAACACCGGGATGTGTTCCTTGCGATACCATGCAAGATAATATCCTTCGATCGTCATATGGAGCTTTTCGCGCAGAATGGGAAGGTCAACGACGGTCTCATAGTCGGGTAACTGTCAATCGCCATTTCAGGTCTGTCTCTCGGAATGATATATCCAAGGAAACGAACGAGCTCTACGGAAATGCCCCAAAGCTCTCGATTGCGAGTTTTTGCGTTAATATAGTATCAGATCTAGCCATAACCTTTCCCAATAGGCATTTGTCTATTGAGAGAATGTGACCAACCATCTAAGAATGGACCATTCAACATCATCTCAAGTCAGACTGCTTCATTTAATAGCAAAATCCGATCATCTCCTGCTCCTCCCTTATTCCACGGTATACACCTATGGATCATGAGCTGCCAGCTTACCTATACGGAACGCCATCGATTGAGGAGGCCCGTCTCGCACAATAAGAACCATGTATTTCATCGGAAGCCTGAGATGAAGTCAGAGTTCTGTCTTCACTGTTCTGTCACTTCTATCGCCGTGCGATATGTACTTTGGGTTTTCGCAGTATCCTCAATCTCCTATTAACTTTCGGCGTCTATCCTTCGACTATGCTTCCTCATAACCACAATCTAGTGATTCACGGTATCCCCCCCGATCGAAACGATGGAGCAGAGCTGATATACAAGCACCAAGCAATTCAGGAAGCATTGTTTACGAATCGCTTGATTACCGAGTACTGGTTATAAGATTAAAGCTGTAGGCTACACAGTGTAACCATCACAAGCAGAGACTACTGCTGTGCACATGCACAGGCCATAGCTTGTTGACAGACGATGGGCTAGCGTCGTCGTCGGATATGACACGTCATATGATTCCTGGTGACATTTTCACCATACTAGATCATATTCTGATTATATATAACCAAAGACGTCCTAACTCATGAAGTATGTTCTATCCAGTGCCCAAGATCGGAATAAGTCACGTGATCATCCAGGCTACAACACCACCACCGACACCGACACCAGAAACGCCTATAGCACAGCACACGATGGACCCGACCGGGACGAAAAGCTCACATGATCATGAAAGATGGGTGAATTATATATACTAGCGAGGTCTAATCAAATGCGTTGAAAATTATGTATATATATGCAAAAGATGCGAGGCAGGGTCCTGACTGAATCCCCCGATTAAGGCTGTCTGAATGCAGCGATATATAGGGCTGAGGGTTTGGATGTCTTGCCCTGCAGTGTGGGGTGGTTTTGCTTTCGTTTTCCAAGAGATGAGGAGGGTATATTTATATATGGAGAAGAATAAGGTATGCAGACAGGGCTGGCTGGGAGGGTTAGAGACGGTGGACGGATGAAGAGGTGGTAAGTCGAGGAAGAGTGCTGTCCGAGTCAGGGCTGCATGTAGAGGCAAGAAGATTAAATCAAAAAAGATGCAATCGCTAATGTCTGGAGTCCTCTCGTTAGTACGGGGTCATGGAGATGCAGGAGGCAGTAGTACTAACCTATACAGGGTTATATTGGATATCATCGCGTCTGCCGTAGTATTTGGCCAGAGACCGGTCTCCGGTCGTGGGAATGGGCTTGGCCAACCGCAAAGCCCAGCAAATCCAGTACTCGACGGGCAGAAGCAGACAAAGGACGCGGTTGCCCAGGAAGCAAAGGGAGACGGTGAAGATGGCCACGACGGCGTCCAGCCAGTAGTGGTTTGCGGTAGCAACGATCACGCTGAGCACGAGCAGCGGGTAGACGATGGCGAGGGTGATGTACATGATCTGCTTCAAGGGGGCCCTGCGCGTGGGTCGGCCGTAGAATCGCTGTAGGACGCCAGAATGGTAGAGGAAGGTGCACCCGATAACGAAGGCGTAGGTGAAGTGTAGACTAGGCATGGCGGCGAACTGGTTGATGGACTTTCCGCCCACCCAGACACTCTCGGCGTGCTCCTGGCGAACAGTGTCGAAGAATCGGTAGGACTCGGGCAGCAGGCGCGGCGGCATGCAGGGGTAGACGCAGAAGATGATGAATGCGGCGAAGTTTCCGAGTGTCATGGTTCGGCGAGCGATAGCGAAGGTGTGGTGATCTTCGGCGGCGTAGTAGTACCAGGAGAGGAATCTAGAAGATACGTTGCTTCATGTGAGCTGGGCATTGTCTCAATTGTGCCGTATACCAATGCGCAAAGGCGGGCCACTTACAGCACGGTTCCCGGGATATGCACGAGCGAGTAGATGCGGTTGAAAAAGGTCATGAAGCCCGGGTGGTACTCGACAAAGTAGTGCTGGAAATCAGCCTCCTCGATGCTGAAGAAGAAGCTGAAGAAGGACTTGTGCTCGAACTCGAGGATGCTAACGCCGTGGTTCTGCGCGACCTGCACCACGCCGATCTGGGCAGGCGACAGCCACTGCGACGTCGCTTTCGTGACGGAGTAGAAGAGGTAGTTGACGGCCCAGTAGAACATTTCGACGAGGAAGGGGAATTTCTGCAGGAGGCGACTGTGGATGTGGTGGGCCCAGCGCGAGGAGTCGGGGGTGTTGATGGTGATGCCGCAGACCGTCTGGGTCTTCGCATACGGGCTATTCTCCGCGTATCCCTCGTCGTCCGAGTAGGGATCGTTCAACCGGGAGGCCTTTCTCGATCGCAGGACGCTGTAGTTTCGACGACGATTCATGATGAGCGAACCAATCATGATGCTCACGACAATCTGCGGGCGACGGGCAAGACGATGATTAACGAGACGATCGATCGGCAGTCGCCAACCCGGGGGGGGAAGACTCACAATGGGTTCGAGCCATGAGTGCGACGCAAATTGGGGTTTACCCAAGTCAGGCTGTGACTGCGACGCGGAGGTCGCCATGATCTGGTCCGGGAGATTCACGATGCTCGAGGGATGAGGAGGGGGGAGGGAAGGGGAGAAGACGCCAGAGCTCCGGCAGCCAGCAGATTTTATTAGAATCCCCGATCCAAATAAGAAGAAGAATAAGAATTCCCCTGATCTTGGAACGAAACTAGCCTGGCTCGAGTTAGGAGCGTGAAATGACAATACGTAACGAATTTGGACCCATTTAATCCGGGCGCGGGGGGTCCACCGATACTACTAAGTGCTAGACTGCTAGGTCGTAGTAGTTTCAGTTCTTCCATAGGGCGTATCGGCCCTAGAAAGCTGGATCTTTCGTTAGCCAGGCTTGATGGCTCTTGATCCTGTTGACCAAGGGAGGGAGAGCGAAGAGTCAAGGGCAGCACCGGCCAGACAGACGGAGAGATCAGCGCGATCAGGCGCGTTTTATATGGATCTGGATGCAGACTCAGCCACGGACGAATGACCAGCGCCACTCTGGACAGATATCAAGTACCAAGATTGGTTGCTGCGCGCACCGTCGAAGAATCCCCATGGAAGCCGTCCAGATGGGGAGTGGGGAGCATCGACGTGATTATTATTTGTGGCTTTTGATTTGAGACATTCCTCTTGGTCGGACATGGGACTCCCCCCTGGACTCAACGAACTCCACCGTTGGGGACGTCCGGACCAAAGAAGAGAGAGAATCCATGCCTTGGATGCATCGATCATCTTGCCTCTTAGTCAGCGGAGGTTAGGCTGACCGAGGATGCGATGTTGCGAGAACGAATACGATCTGGCCGGATCTCGTTCTAGACATCTCTCAGCATACAGCATACAAGGAATCCTGACTCGAGTATGTGCCCATATTTCCTCTGGAGTTATGCACTGGATGGTTATGTAACGTAGATAGTCGATGTCCCCTGAGGCATCCCTTGCGTCTCTTGGCACGTAAGTTACCGTACGGCCCCGTCCCGACTCAGGCAGGCAGCTTCCCGAAATGTCATCGATCGCCCACCTGCCTGCCGCTTCGGGAAGTAGAGACGGGGCTAGCTCAGGGCTAACCCATTCCGGAGATCTGAGAGTACTAGTGTATACACAGTTGGTACCGCAAGTAACTTTGCCCCTGGTATCTCAGGCTCTTCTTGTGAGAGCCTCGTCTAGCTTAACGCCCGCCTGCAACTCTGAAACGGGTTTGGCCCCTGCCAATATCTTTGCTCTTGGCTTCAATAAACAGCGGTGAGCTTAATGTGATCAGGACAGATTCTACGGAACGCATAGGATCGACCCTTAGACAAAAGGTCACCCGCAAGTACTCCGTACCTATTTGCATAGTCTGTAGTATCTGCTCGTGTGCTTTGCCGATCTGATAGTGCAAAGTTTATCCCCTCGGAGGCAAGCCGGCACGTGTTGTTTACTCTCGTCTGACCTTCGTAGATCGCGGAGTATACTGCAGTCTGCAAGTCTACCTCTCTACACTGCCGTATTGCGCGGCTGGCAACGTCCCTCAGCCCCGCGACACGCACGTCCTGCCGTTAATCACTCAGCCGGCCCGTAAGCTGCCTCAGAGGCTCATGTCAACGTTTAGACTGCAGATCTAGGACGAAATACAAATCCTTCGTCATACACGTAGTGAGCGATCAACGATGGTTTCTGATCAGCACTTGAACTTTTCCGTGATCGCCCTACCCAACACTTCCACTTCTTCCAGACAATCCGTACCTCGGTGATATAACTAATCACAAAAACGCAGAGAAGGAGAGATAATCGGTCCCGTCGTCCTCGGAGTTGAACCGGCATAGTCGGACAGTCTTTCTCCGACCACCGACCCCCGAGATGAAAATTGTGCAGGACGATGGGGTTTGAGCTTTTTTAGGATCTTGGTCGCTCCACATGGAACGTGTCAAGCTAAGATTACCACTATTTAGACTATTGGCGATAACCGGGCGGGAATTACACGGGTTACGCGCTTGACAGTAGTGTTACATTTACTCTCAGACTTACAGGCTTAGAGTCTTGGTCGGGCCAAACTAAGCCCTATTTTGATTTGCAATTTCATGTGGTTCGGTTGATCATCACTCTACCGAGAGGTCTTGACGGCGTGCTCTCTTGCCCCTTGGTCTTTGGTTATCAGGATGGGGTCTCCGTAGGTGGCCCTGCGAAGGGGCATCGGAATGCAGAAGAAATAACCCGGACAACGCTCGAGTATCCATCAATGGCGAGGGATAGGTGGGGAAGATATCATGCATTGCATCGTCGTTCAATCAAATGAGTGATCCGTCAGAATCTTCATTGGGTACGTATTCGTATATACGGATCCACTCACGATGCTCAACCCAATTACCCATGGTGTTACTTTCTGAGGCCGGATAGTGGCATTGTATCCCAATCGTTATTCATATATACGATAATTACTTGTGTTTCACCCTGAAGCCATTCGAGAGCTTTGACGCCTGTAATGGAGCGGTTTAATTGATCTAAAGTCAGTGGCACGATATATATCTTTACGGGTCTGCTGTATAAAATGTTGATGATCTAGTTCACGCGATTATCCTCGTCAGATTTTTCGAAGAAAAGCATTCAAAATTCGAAATGATTACAGAACAAATTGCACCTGATAGTCTGGTTATCTAGAGATGGAGGCCAGCCAAAGAGTAGGCCTTCTTGATATTGCGGCATGGCCCGGGTGACAGCCTCAGGCACACAATGAAGCTATTCAAACCAATAATTTCGGGGCGATTGAGCATAACTAAAGGACATCTTTATCTTTGTCGCAATTTTACAAAAATGAGTTACAGAAGTTTCAAGCCATTAAGACCAAAGATCATGTCTAGTCATCTTACAGCGTGACCGTGCATTCGAAGAGCGTCGCAGCAGAAACCCCTCAGATGGCAGACTCATGGGGGATAGAACAATTACTATAAAGTCTCACTAATCCACCCAAAGCTCTCTCAATGCTCAGCCTCTCATGCCATGGCCGTCGCTCAGAAACCATTCCCATCCACAAGATATCACCTTCTTGGCATCATCTCCGACCGACTTGGCAAGTACCTTGGAGTGAGGACCTTGCTAGTCTCCGCTACCACCTGGATATTCGCATGACAGGCAATAAGAAAGACACCCCGTCATGGCAAGCGTGCAATTTTCTTCGGAAATGATTGACACACGATGCTGCCCTGCATAGCTCTGTCCCTGGCATTCCTGGCCTGCCTGGCTTGCGCAAAGCAGCCCGTTGATGTTTCGCCTCGTTTCGATGTACGTCTCCATTCCTGATGTACATGTAGTGCAGATGCAAGTGTCTATATGGGATGCGGCCAGGGGATTCAATCTTCTTTGTTCATAAGCGGGAAAGTAATAACAACGACGCAGCAGCAAATCACCCAAGTCTTCGTCACGAATATCACATTGCTCGACACGGCCCCGTCGCTTCGACAAGACGAGGAAAATATCCGTCTGCAGGGTCGTCTCGAGCGATCGCGCGGGAAATGGGACTCGTCGCATCCAAGGCATAGGCTGTTGACTGCTTTGCATGGATACACGAGATACAAGGAGCGACACTTAGTGGAGACGAAGAAGTGGCGGGATCTGTATAAGAATATCTCGAAAAAGCAACGATCAGTAAGTCCTCTACTAGGCCCATGACAGATAGAAGATTGAGTGCTTTGTTCTGATGGATGGAAATAGCTGGTTGAATCCACTGTGCAGTACACGCGCAAGCTCAACGCCGTGGAACATTTACTCGAAACGAATGAGAAACTGGCCAAGGACATCGTCTCGCACGGTCTACAGTTCTACAACATCTCTAGGGCTGAACTGGATGAATTCGTCAAACAGCAGGAGCGCCAAGGTCAATCGACCGATCGGACAAGCGTGGCGCAGGCGATGAAGCATTTCGTGCGCGACTGGGCAGACGAGGGATCCGACGAGCGGCAGGAGTCATTTCGCTGTGTCTTGGACGCGCTGAGACGTGTGTCCCGGGTCAGCGAGCAACCGCTTCAGGTGCTGGTGCCTGGTGCTGGAGTGGGGAGGCTAGCGCACGAGATTGAGCAGCTTGGAGGTGAGAACCCGACTCTACTCCTGGACGAAGTGGCAGAATGCTGATCAGCCAGGTTTCGAGGTCACTATGAACGAATGGTCGATGTACATGAACCTCGTGTATCGATATCTGGCCAGTCTGTCGACATCGAACAGCGTATCATTTCACCCATACATTGACTGGTGGTCGCATCACGCCACGACAAGCGATCTTCAGCGCTCGGTAGTCTTCCCAGACCAAGTGGTCGATCCGTCATCCGTGTTGTTAGTCGAAGGTGATTTCACGACGGCATTCACAGAAGACACCGGGAAATACGACGTGCTCGTGACGCTATTCTTCATCGACACTGCGCGCAACCTCGTTTCATATCTTGAGAATATCCACCGATTACTCCGTCCCGGGGGAACGTGGATTAACCTAGGCCCGTTGCTGTATGGGACTGCGCCGTTTTTACAACTATCGCTGGATGAGATCGTCGCTTTGAGTGAGCGGATTGGGTTCCGGTTTGAGGAAACCGAGGCATCGTGTGGGGATATCACACTTCCGGGGTGTCCTGTTCGTGGACTGGAAGTGGCTTACGGCCGTAATGGCAAGGGATTGAGTAAGAATGCGTATCAAGCGCAGTTCTGGCAGGCTACGAAGAATTGAGCTTCCATTGTCAGAGTGGGATGGAGTCGATTGTAATGCTACAGAAAGGTTCGTGGCAGGGACCCGGGAAAGGTCCTCTGTTTGTAAATTTTGGAAGAGGTATTATGCAAATAAATATGATGTAGATAGGCAAGAGTGCAAATCGAGCTGGCTCCAAGTGGAGCATTGTATAGAAAGAACAATTCTTCAGCTGGTCAGTCTGATAATCCTCAAATGTAGAGCGATTGAATGGAGAAATGTCACAGACTCTCAAGACCCAGTAGGTTTCCATGGGCAGATCATTGATCTGTTATACGGTGTGATAAGGAAGTGCACCGTGCATGGCCCTGGATGAAATAATGAGATATATCAGTGGAGCTGGTCTGATTGCGAATGTACCTTGCATAAGCTGTCTAGTCCAGTTCAAGAATACAATACCGAGCCTGTGGACTTGGTTAAGAGACTGGATACATGAGCAAGTCGCTCTTCGAATAGTGATCTCCAAGTTACCACAAAATCATATTCTTCGTCAATCATGACCTGGATGCGTTCACTTTGCTGTCGAGAATGAGGATCAAATTGAATTGCCCGAGCGATTACGACACTCAAATCACCACGTGAAGAGAGACCATCTGGAAATAGGAAAGAGCTGAACTGAAAGCCGTCGGGCATCACAAAGCAGACGGAAGGATATATAACACTGGTATCATTATCGAAGAACATTTAATGCTTCCAGCCGTAGACCAATACGGAATTAAACTCCGGTACATTCTTCGTGAAAGCTGCAATGCTAAAGATTTGCCTATTTACATGCTGCCCGAGTAACACAACAGGATGATCTAGAACTGGGCCTAGAGTGTTCACACTCCATAGTAATTTTTCAAGGGAGTCATTGCGCTGTGTCGGAGCTCTTCTCCGGCAATTTCCTCATATACTTTAATAGAAGGTACCATTAGCATTCATGTTCTCTGGCGGTATCTTTAACCCAAAGGTTAAGCAGGGAAAAAGGAAAACTAACCGTAAGATCATGTTTTGCAATGTCCCCATACTTGGTCAGGTCAACTTCGCACGTTCGCACGATATCAAACCCCAACTTCAAATAAAGTGGCTTTCCATCCTGCGTCGCCTCCAGAAAAGTCATGATCCCCAGCTCACCGGCCTCCCTCAGACACTTCTGCAGAAGCGCCTTCGCCACCCCCTTGCGTTGATGATCCGGATGCGTGAAGAGCGCGTCGACATGCACATGGGGCGCTAACTTCCTTACTTCCGCATTCCCATACTCACCTTCTCCTTTCCCTTCTTCCTTGATTCCCAGGATCTCTCTGATATCTTGTTGTACGGCCGTATGGATTGCCCTCGCCACGCCTTCCCGCATCTCCGGAATTCGAGGCGTGAGTCTCGCCTCGACTGCTTCTCCAACCGTCTGCTCGAGGATCTGGCCATCGGCATGCACGGTCCATCGTACGTAGCCGATTATGGCGCCCGATTCGGAATCAACGGCCTTGTAGTTACGGGTTTGTGGGCTCGGTTGGAAGCCTTCCACGCGGGTGCGGACCATGAGGGCTGTGGTCTCGGGTGAAAAGGGTATGGTATGGTATATCACGCTGTTTAAGTCGACATATGCTTTTTGAGCGACGGCGAAACATTCAGGCACGTCGGCTGGGGATGCCGGATAGATCGCATAAGACATGTTTACAGTGTGCGCTGGGTTGTGCGTTGATGGTATGGGTATGGGCGGCTTGATTTATCAAAGGCAAATTTCTAATGAAGAGGGGATAGCGGAGAGTTGTATTTATGTTTTCCTGACAAAAGGTTGGCTTAAGTAGACATTTTATCTTCGAATCCTTTGAATGCAGCCTTAAACAAACTATTCCGCGCGGAATAAACACAAGATCTCGGAATGAAATTTGGCCCCCAAAGATAGGTAAGTCAGCAAAGTCTATTCCGGAGGCTCACCCAGGCTGCATTAATACGTTCTATGTTGTCCTTGTGTGACTCACAGCCTTGACTTAGCTTATTTCGCGTTAGCTCTTTGGCAAATTGCGTATTGTTGGCTAAGTCTCCTCCATCAGGTATCGGCTTAGGAGAAGGCGTGCAAAGAGTTTCACCGAGGCATCCGCTTTCCTTTCAAAACTATGAAGCTTTGATTGCATGATAAACAGGCGATCACCATCCATACAACCGTGAAAGATGCGTGCATACTGAGGAGCTAAAACGGAAGGCATAAGCACGGGGAATCGTTGCTCCGTTAGAAAGGCACGAGGTAGATCTGGAAACACTTGCGTGCCCTCATCAAACAAGGCCTCGGACTCCTCCACTTTTGGCTGGTTGGATCTGCTTTGCATCGCCGATATGAGTGCACTGAGCTCCCCATACAGCATGCTTCCCTCGTGGCCCTCGTACTCGTGTATAGTTATAAGCGTGGCATGAGGGTGGGTGGGTAGGCCATTTTGCCGTTCATGCTCCACGATGAATCTGGTGTCTCATTTTCCGGCCTGGAGGCGCTTCTTCGCGACATTCCCCCTCCCAGTAGGGTGAGATTTGGGAACCTGGATTACGAGAAGTCAGTCAAAAGAGGAGAGTATGAGAAGATAGAAAGCAAACATACGCGACTACATCCAGTTTCTGGTAGGAGAACAGGGTAGAAAGCGAGGATGGTAGGTTCTGGCTGGACAAACTGACAGTCCAGTCAAAGACGTATTTTCAGACAATCATCACGGTTCTCCACGGGCGCATTTTGAAGATAAATTTGCTCTCCTCGGTTTTAAGAACTTGGCCAAGGTCAACGCAATATAAGATCGACTCGCTTTCTTCATCGATTGAGAATTCATCCAGCTTCGCCGCAGAAACAGGCCGAAATAGAATTGGGGGGGCCCAAATTGGTTTGCGATACTGTCCACATCATCCAGCTCTAAGGGTAGGCGACAAATTCCATGTTTGCTAAGCTCACTGTCTGTGACCTCCTTCCCATCCGATATGGCAATATCGACGTCGACTATCAAATGCTGCCAAAGAGCATTCAAAGCTACCCTTGGTTTGTTTCGCGGAATATTGCATGTAGCGTATGGCAAGAAGACATCACTTACTGGGAAGTTGAATAAACAGAGAGGGAAAGGTGGGAGATACAAAGTTTGGAAGAATGATGATGGAAGAATTGCAACATATGAAGTGAATGAACGTGCCAAAGATCCCATTCACCCGCAACGGAACCGAACCATGGCCCACAAACCCCGAAGGTTTATTCCCCCTAGACCAGTGCATGTATTAAGATAGCATGCCTAGACTAAAAGCCATTCACCATACTATTTTAACGACACTCTTTGTACAGAAACGAGGCATGGTCCTGGATAACTATGATCGCTCAAATTGATATGCTATGAAATCCAAACAGACGGCCTTCTCCGACACCAACACCGACCAGGACAAGGGCCCTGCACGGTATATCCCTCTACGCAAAACTCCGCCACGGTCTATTCTACATCAAGCAATACCCCCTTCGGTAAAGGAAATGCACCAACTCCCAAGGTTCTCAAGCACTCTTGGCGTCCGACAGGGTCAGGCCTTGGCATCTTGAGACAGATGGAAGGTTGACAATCGGACACGCATAACCGGTTGATAAGTTTCTGGAATCCAAAAGTATGCCTCAAGGGGGTTATCAAGAACCTTGATAGTGAAAGTTTGCCCCTGTTGTCACTTCATATCGTCCGATCCTCATCATATTTAATCAATCATCATAACATCGTGTTGATATCCTCTGAGAACCTTGGAGACGCCAAGGCCATTCCACTCCGCTTGGCATTCAAACGACCAGATATCATAGGCGTAGGAGTCCACCAGTAGAGGGGACAATAAGGGAAAAAGCAACGAGGTGACGGGCCCATGGGAGATTATCTGCTGCAGGTGTGGATATAAAGCCCGCGTCTGTTCTGCATCTCTCTGTCACTTTTCATCGCAGACGTCAACCAATTTTTCTTTGTACATACCTCGCTGTCCCTGCAGAGCCTCTCTAACAACGACAAGATGAGATACTCCATCCTTGCTATTGTGGCTTTGGCCTCGTCTGTCTTGGCCCAGACTACCAGTCAGGACCCTGGTCCATCACCTACTGCCTCCGTCGGCTGTGAACCTCATGGCGATCACTGGTATGCCGCGTCCTTTATGGTGTTTATGAACATCCCGACTAACCCTCATCTTCCACCATAGGCACTGCGAAGGCCCTGCGACCGATGCCGCAGCCACCGTGACTTCTGCTGCGTCGGAGTCCGAGACCGAGACGCCTGCCGTGCCCAGCCCTACCGAGTCAGTAGGCTGCGAACCTCACGGTGATCACTGGCACTGCGAGGGACCCGCGAGTGCCGAAGCCACGGCCACCTCGACTGCGACTCACTCTCACGACCACGAGGACGAAGAGTCAAGCGCCACTCCAACAGTCCCCAGCCCCACCGAGTCGGTCGGCTGTGAGCCTCATGGCGACCACTGGCACTGCGAGGGACCGGCTGAAACGGGTGAATCGAGCGGATCTGCAAGTGGAACTGCCAGCTCAACCAGCGATGCCGCTACTGCTTCCTCTACCGGTTCTGATGAGGATGAGGAAGGAGGCGCTGGAATGATCGGTGCTCAGATGTCCATGGTGGTTGGCCTGGCCTTGGGTGTCGCCGCTCTGCAGATTTAAGGGGGAGAAGGTCGATGGATATGGTCTGTGTTGGTGTCTTTGGTCTTGGCAAGATGGAATGTATCAGCGCAAAAGGACATGTGACTTGTACAGGGTCAGGTAGAAAGATAATAATATGTATAGTCTGAGTGGGTGCGAGAGGCAAATGTTCTAGAATTTTGGTCAAGTGGGTTTCTTGTATACTCCGTAGTGTAATTGAATGAGGGTTAATGGTTGACTGATTCTAGGGTTGGCCGGATCAGTTGATCCGTCCGGCATCCGAGGTGGTGTGTCCGATCAGCCCATCCGGGAAGTCCCTGCATTAGGGGCCAATTATGTCTTATATATTAGACACAAAAACAAAAATCATTTGCGAATAAAAAATGCAAGAGAGCTGGTCACTGTTTCAGCATCATGGAGTCCTTTTTCAATTCTAGTGCTGTGCAGCCCGCGGCAACCTACGCTCAGCTCTTCGAAATTGCGAAACAACAGCACAATATGTCCACTATGGAGAGTCTCTGGCAAGCCCACTACGCCTACTGGGGGAATGACACTCTTGCGACAGGTAACTCATTTAAACCTCACATTCCGACTGGCCAAGGCTAATGGGGATCAGGAATCATGGCCTTCGTCGCCCACGAACTAATCTACTTCGGCCGCTGCGTTCCCTGGATCATTGCCGACGCCCTGCCCATCATCTTCCGCAAATACAAGATCCAAGAAAAAAAGTCACCCTCAGTCAATGACCAGTGGACATGCATCAAATACATTCTCGCTATCCACTTCATCATCGAACTCCCCCTTATCGTCCTCTTCCACCCAATGATGGAACTCTGCGGCCTCTCATACACCCTCCCATTCCCTCAATTGCGCACCATCGCCGCTCAAATCGTCACCTTCTTCCTGGTCGAAGACACATACCACTACTGGCTTCACCGTGCCATGCACTGGGGACCTTTGTACCGCTCCATCCATCGCATTCACCACCAATACGCCGCACCGTTCGGTTTGACTGCCGAATATGCCAGCCCCTGGGAAACACTGTTGCTTGGATTCGGGACCATCGGACCCCCTTTGGTGATGGGATTTATTACTGGCGAAGTGCATCTGATGACGGTGTTGGTGTGGATGACCCTGCGGCAGATCCAGGCCATCGACGCGCACTCGGGATACGATTTCCCCTGGAGCTTGCGACGGATCGTACCGTTTTGGGGTGGGGCTGATTGGCATGATGATCATCATCGCTATTTTGTGGGGAATTATTCTAGCTCGTTCAAGCACTGGGATGGTGAGTTTCCTTCTTTCCAGATCACTCTCGCTGGCATACCTCGTTCCTCAGGCTAACGGTTTTGCAGTGTTGATGGGAACAGTCGCCGGTCCGCGAGGAAAGGCAACTAAGCGCAAGGCTTAGATCTTGACAGCTCGAGACGTGTGATGGCTCTTTTTTCTTTCTTTCTCGTGGGTATTTTATTACTTGTCTTTGGACATCTTTTTAATGTAATGCTATTCGCCGAGAACGTATGCTCAGCTCGATGTACATAATACCTTTACAAAAATAATCATGATTTAATATTGTTTCTGTCGCTACGTTTTACCCAGTATAGCATCACTTTGCAGAGAGTATCGCGCGAAGAAGGGCATTTAGACCAGGCATATATGCTTAGTGCATTGTTGCCCTCGTGCCTGTACTGCATTTTGGCGTGGACAGCGCGAAAAGCCAAGATGTGAATAGATCCGAATGCTTATCAACCGCAGCATTCACTATCAGTAGTCCTGTGTAGAAATGTTTATTGGATATTTCTACTCGAGGGATTTAATCTACCATTATTGCTCTTCACTGTATTGCGCGACCTGCTTTCCGCGACCTGTTTTCCCTTCGCTGAAGTCAAAGGCCTCCGTCCACCATAGGTGCCTGAAGCGTTTGGACTCTTTGTCGCTAGCTATGGCTACTGACAAACCTTTTGCTATTCTTCCTCAGTCTACAAAAGAGTCGCAGCGGGATGACATTGTCGCCGATGCAACTGGGCCTCTCAAATGGTGGAAGAACCTCCAATCCGGATCAAAGGTGACGCAAGATCACATATTTTTCAGAACTCTCTACCGTTCCAAATGAACGTGGTTCAGGCCACACGGAGGTTTCTTTTTTTCTGAGTTCATAATATTCCGCCTGGCGCTGGGAGATCATGGCGTCATCACTTTGCAGCAAGCAAACTCTATCTTGGCAGGTGAAGAGCTCTAGAAATATCTACAAGCAATAGCAGAATTGACCAAGCGCTACCCAGGCAAACCTAGACATCATTCATGGTGATATTACAAATGCAGGCCTGGTACTAGACGCAGTTGTAAGGCTCCAAAGAGGACAGTGTCAACACCTCTCTTATTGCCTTTCTAGAAGGATTTGCCGATCTGGACTCTGATCACTGGTCTGTCACGCGAATAGAGGCTAGATGGCATTCCTCTCAAGGCAGGTTTCGGTACAATCAGAGGTGGTGATGCTCGAGCGGTAGAACTCAATCATCGTCACCTGTGTCATAGAAGAAATCTCTCATTGCGTACAACAGAGAGGAAGGTAGTAGTCTTGTTAACCGGAGTTTTCACACAAATCTGCAAACAATGATGTCACAGCTAAGAGTTCTGTCGAATAACATGAGTCTGCCAGTATTGATGCTGCATTTACCTGATTATCCCGTTAAGTTCAATATTCAGGACCAGTTCTTGACGGAAAGTCCCGGTCAATTTTTACAGCGTAGAAACAGCCTGACAGCCCGTATATAGAGACTTCAATGCTAAAAGTTGACATCGCATTGATTTGCATGCCCCAACCTACACCCTCTCAATTTAACACGTCTCAATTCAACACTTTGGCACATACCAGTACAAATGCCCACCATTCAGTTTGACCACTATATTCATGCCCACCTAAAGGGGATCATATCTAAGTTAGATTATATTCTCCAAGTTCTTCAAACCCACGCTCAGGAAGCTATTGACCCCCTTGTCCGGTCTCTCCACGATCTATTTCGTGAACCTCTTCTCACCATCGGAGCTTCTGAGACTATTCCACCTCCCAGCCTCGCCGACTCTTTCCCGTTTCTCGAGTTTGAGAGCTACCATCAGTTCATCAGTGCCTTCAATCCGCCAGAATCCTCGATGGCCTTCATTTGTCCTTCCTTGACTACACTCGATCTATCTACTCCAGCTTTATGGAAATTGATCAATCTGTGAAGCCACTTCTTCCCCCGTTTTATCAGTCCATCGCGCTCTTCAGTAAAGCCCTCGTCCCATTCATTATCATGGTCCTTCACCCAGCACGTCTAACCAGTTTTCTAGCGGGTGTGGCAACGCACTTGATTATCTTCAACCGTGGAGAATGGGATCGATCCTCGCCCAAGATTGCGGTGGCATTCGGTGCCATTGCGGTCGTCTCCATGTTGTTGTTCTTCAACTTCAAGGGATGGTCTCTCGTCTTATTCTCCCAGCTTAGCATCTTGTATGCGTCCGGGATTCTGTTGAGCATTTTGCTCTACCGTCTGTTCCTGCATCCGTTGCACGAGATCCCGGGCCCATTCCTGGCACGCATCACCGTGATGTGGCGAAGGCCAACGTTCAAGTCTGTTTGGACTGATCATCGTCGGTATGGCGATTTCGTTCGTATTGGTGAGTTACTCTTTTTTTCAAATAGGCTAGCACTCCCACTCACTTTGACTCAGGTCCACGAGAAGTGTCGATCAACAATCTTGACGGTTTCCACCAGATCCATGGTCCCGGTTCTCCTTGCGTCAAGGCTCCGATTTATGAATGTATCATGGAACGGACATTGCATATAACACGCGAATACCCAATGCTTACTGCGAGAACAACTATGTGGGAGAAGTCACTGGATCATAAGGATTGCAAGTATCGCCTGCCCTGAATTCCAATACATATTGAAATACGCTAACGGAACTGAACTTTACCATTGACAGGTCTCAAGGGTTACGAAGCCATCATTCAAAAGCACTGTGAGACTTTCGTCGAGTGCCTGAAATCCAGGTCCTATTCACAGTTCGACATCACCGAGTTACTCAGGTTCTTCTCCTACGACGTGATGGGTGATCTAGCCCTGGGTCAATCTTTCGATATGGTCAAGTCTCAGAAGATGCACTCGGCCCTGCTGCAGGAAAGCTTCATGCAAGACTTTGTAGGATCGTTCAAGTGTGCTCCGTGGTTGGTTACTCTACTGAAGAAGCTATCATTCATACAGGACCTACGAGCTGCTTGGTTTGATGATTGTGCCAATTTGCTCGACGAGCGGCTCAAGGTATGCTATTCTTATTTGACCTCCTTTTTGAGTTTTCCCAGGCTTTGATCGCTAATCCAGGCCTTGTCCAATTCACAGCTAGGTCAGCAACGCGAGGACCTCTTTTCTTCCCTTCTCAGCTACGCCAAGGCCATGAACAATAGACCTGCTTCCATGCGTCATTCGCTTTTAGATGACGCAGATCTCGCCATGTCGACCGGAACCGACAGTATCGCATATACCCTCTCGGCCTTGATGTGGCTTCTCGCAACCCATCAGAAAAAGCAAGAGTTGCTGCATGAGGAAGTTCGTCGCTTCCCACCCAGCAACTCCGGTTTTAACCATGATTACACCAAGGCCGGCGCGTCTTATTTGGACGCATGTATCAACGAGGCCCTGCGGTTGTATCCGGTTGTCCCTGGCGGAATTCAGCGTTTGACTCCGCCCGAGGGCCTTGCTATCGCAGGGCAGTTCATTCCAGGAAATACAATTGTCTCCACGCCAATCTGGAGCATGCACCGTGGTAAGTTTATCTTTCTCTAACATCTTCCCTATAATGCTATTCTCAATCAAGTAAAGCTAACGACACACGAACTAGATCCACGCTACTTCGTTGCCCCCAACGAATTTATTCCTGAGCGCTGGACTACTCGACCGGATCTTGTCCTCAAACGGGACGCCTTCGTCCCCTTCCTGACCGGGCCGTACGGATGCCCTGCGCAGCAATTCGCTGCCATGGAGATCCGCATGCTCATCAGCTGGGTCGTGTACGACTTTAAGCTCCAACCTCGAGAAAACAACCGCATTGATGGAGAGAACGTTATCAGGAAACCGGGCCCTGTGGAGAAATTCATCCTCCAGTTCCCGGCTCATCAAGTAAAATTTACGCCTAGGGAGAAGCGTCCTTCGACAGAAGAGGCTTTCCGCGAGGAAGTAAGCAAGATGTTTCCGAGGTCTCCTAAGAGAAATGATGAGTATATGAAAAGGCTTCAACAGGAGAAACGGGTGTATTCTAAGGAGCGCCGTCGCTTCTAGGCAATCTTCTCCGGAATTCGATTTTCCTTACCTTACATGTCTTTGGGTTGTAGCTGTGGGAGTCATATTTTCTGTCACTTTGTTTGTATTCTTATCTTCATTTTATTCTTTATACCTTTTTTCTATATCTTCCTCGCTTTAAGTTCCTACGTTTACAGATTGAGATGAAGAATGTTCAATCAAGAATGCTGTTCGTATGGACGTTATATTTGTCATCTATAACTCGAATACAAATCAATCCTGCTCTTTTACATAATGGTCTATTTATCCTAGCTCCAACTTCAGAAGTTTTAATTGCTGGACCTCCATGGTACCTCACTTCTATAAACGAAAGATTTGGAATATTATTCGGCATCAGAACTTTTGACAGACCTCATCGTCCACCCTGCTCGCTGTTTATCCAATGCATTCCATTCAATACTTGTCAGACCCCAGGGCCTACTCACCGTTTTTTCTTGGCTTCCTCACCATCAACCACCGCAACTCTTGCAAAAGCCTTCGTAATCGCCTTCACACTCTGCGTCGCATAGTCTGTCCAGTGAATCAACATTAGCTCCATATTCAACTCCATGCCACCCAAGTCAACACCCCAGAGAGATGTGACAGGAAACTTACAAGTCCCGACAGCCATCCAAATAAAATTCATAAAAAAGTAATAGAACCAGAAATAATATCCCTCTGGTCGACAGTACGAAACACCTTCCGTATACAGATCCATCAGACTAGTAGCGTAGTACAGCACGTCGCCGTAGATCTGACCCGTGGAGAGTATGAGCTGGCACGCGTGGCGAGCAGGATGTTGTTTGAGAATGAAGTAGGCTGTGAGGAAGGAGAGAGGACCCCATGCTCCCTTATTGACGTTATTATCAGATTCGGTAATGCATTATATGCAAGTTAGAAGTGATCACAACACTTACAGCCGTGACGGCCTCCATGCACACCAGGAACGTGTCGGAGGTTAAATAACGAGAGTCAGACAGAGAGTATTCCTTCCAAAGCTGACCAAAGAGGGTATCTGAACCGGCTAAGCTAGGGTTCTTGATGACAAAGTACGCTTCGAAGAAGAAGTGGATGCAGCCAGCTATTGTCGTTCTGTTAGCCTTGCCTGACTTGTATAACCAACGGAATCACCTACTCAAACACATCCAAAGAAACGCCAGCTGGTCTGATTTAGTCGCTGTCGGACGAATGCGTCGAATCGTGATAAAGGCTGCTCCCAAGACAGATAGCCAGAGAATTGCGAACTGAAATATCAGAGTAAAAGGCGTGTCTTTGTTCGGTAGGAAATGCGGGAGAGGCAGGTCCAGAGGATAGTAGTCGTGGGAAATTGACTCGGACATGTTGTCGAAGCGGATTGTTTCTGGCATTTTGGTGTGCTGTATCCTCTCCAATAAAGAAGAACTGAATGGGTATTAATCACTTGTTAACTAGAAGTAAACATATAAATACCGTGGAATCTTTTCCGAATGTGGTAATCCTAGGGCAGGGCTGGATGGGGCCCGCGGAAGCCGAGAACATTCGGAACGCTGCAGGAACCGAATCAGACCATAAAGTACGGAGTGGTTTCGACGGCAAATTCGAAGCCGAGATCTTGGCGCATTAAGCCTGGCTCCTTCTTTCGATGTTTTATGGAGAAGGTTTAAAATATCTTTGCTTGGATTGGTTCCTGAGCAAGGCAGTTGTGGGGTAGGGGATTTCCATAGATGCGGAATTTGATGCCATTCCCTATTGCGATTGTTCGCATTGGAAATTGACAGTAATGGATATGGTTCATCGATGGAGGCGCTGCGGCCAGGTCTGGCCTGAGATCCACGGTCTTTGGTTCTTTCGTCTATCGGAATCTGGAGAGTGATGTCAAATCGAAAGAACCGTGTCTGACAAATCCAACTTCCTTCGAATTCTACTTCATATGCATTGCGTACTGACAGTATACTGGGCCCTGCCGCAGTATCAATATAAGCCATCCAACACAACGGTATTAACAAGAAGAGACAATGCAGTCAAAAGATAGCCAAAACCCAAACGCCACGGTCAACGAGTAACTTCAGAGCTCATCCCAAACAGGAAGATCACGGACAAGCTCTAATGGCCCTACATGCCTCGGGCGGATCCTCTACCTCAAACATGTACCTGTCGGGGCGATCCAAAAACCCCCTCCGGTACTTCGGACAACGGCCGGACGTCAGCAATTGATTCCGACAGGACCAGTCACAGGCATATCGAAAGAACTGCTTATTGCCGCGCACATCAGGCCCACGAACAATCATGTCATTGATGCGACTGGCGTAGTTTAGGCAGTCGGCGCAATACGCGACCGGATCTGCATCTGGGACAGACCAGTGTCTGGAGTAGAGGAGGATACCTGGCAGGTTGTCAGCGAAACTTATTCATTCGTCCAGTGAGCATCTTGAAGGGATAATTCATAACAAACCCAGCGCTAGTAGAAGAAGCGAGAGCAATGCAAGGGCGACGTGAAAGAGGCGGAACTTCATGGCGGGTCGGCACTGAAATTCCCCGAAGGTGTCGAGAATGTCTGCCTTGAAGCCTTCGTCCTCAGGGATGACCGGGGGTGCCTGAGGACTGAAGCTAACCGGCTTGGGACTAGCGTGGGAATCGCGGTAGCCTCACGTGATAAAGAAGAGTCTGCCCAGATTGGGACTAGCGCACTCGTCCCACCAAGGGATCCTGGCTGCCTGAGGCCCTCACCTGCTCCGTCCACTGCCATCTCCGTATAGCAGCTTGCCAGGGCACAAGCCCATCTGTGCCCGCGTGAAGTATATTTCACATGAATGAAACTTGTTTTCTCTCGTTGATAAGCCCTTGCAGTGAGGCGTCGTTTTGCCTTATTTGCCCATATTTCACTGCGGCACCCCTCACACTCTGTGAATTATATATTCGAGGACCAAATTCAACTCGATGTTATTCCCACGCTCGATATAGATCATTGTTTAGAACATTGACAGACTGTACGGACTAGGAGTAAGGAATTGAAGGCATATCCAACCCCTCAGTAACTGATGGTAATCCCCACCATCCCAGGAAACCAAGTGGGTCAAACGTAACCCGTCTGGCACCATCAGTTAATAGCAGAAATGCCCAGGAAGCAAGAACGTAGAGCGCATTAAATAGCACTCATTCCCAGCCCGTTTTGTACAGGCCTCATAAATGCACCTCAGCTCAATCAATAACGACAGGGATCTGATTCCACATCGAAACTAAGCCGATCTGCGTTCCAAAATGTCTTCCTCTCTGTCTCATTCTCCGCCCACTATCCTGCTGATCCATGGCGCCTGGCATCATCCCGAGTTCTACGCACCACTCTGCAAGTCGCTCGAGGCGCTAAACCATGAAGTCATTTGTCCCCGACTCCCAAGCTGCAACGACGCTGTCCCGCCGACGAAATTGCTGTCAGACGATGTCGCGTTGATCCGAGCCACCGCGCAAACCCTCCTCGACAGGGGCAAGAGGGTTGTTGCGATCATGCACTCGTACGGCGGAGTAGTGGGCACCGATGCTCTGCACGGTCTGCCGATCCAGCATCTGATCTACATGACTGCGTTTGTGCCCCCGCGCGGAAAGAGCCTAACAGGCATGTTTGGAGGGACGCTGCCGCCCTTTATTACGATTGATGTACGTGCTTCATGTCCACCGGTTTTGCGGGAAAGACTGGACTGGTCAGAGCTGACACCGAGCACAGGAAGAAAACGCCCTTCTAAGAGTTCCCGACCCAGCTACTTTTTTCTTCAACGACCTCCCCTCGGCAGACGCAGCTCACTGGGCGAGCAAGCTGGTGGTACATCCCAAATCCACGCAATTCGATCCTATCTCGCACGAAGCGTACCGCGGCATTCCGGCGACCTACATCCTTTGTGAGAAGGATGCGGCGCTGATCCCCATGGTGCAGGAGCTGATGGTCTCAAACGTAAAGAAAGCGGGCGTGGAGATGAGCGTCGAGAAACTGGATGCTAGTCACAGCCCGTTTCTCAGCATGCCTGACAAAACAGCTGCGCTGGTGCACAAAATCGCGTCGAGATAGATTTACGGGACACCAGCAGGGATGGTTCAGGGGGATAGACCCGTTCTGTGTAAATTCAAATATATTAATAAATCGTCACCGCTGAACAAACGGCACCAGGCATGAAGCGATGTAACGCTTCCACCAAAAAAGGATGCCATTAACTTTTTGAAGGAGTCGCCTGAAAGGCAAATCCACACTAGGACGTTCATCGATTGCAGATGTACCAATTGCTGAGCGGGATTGAAATGACGGTTCCACCTGCCACGATCCTGATCCTTCGTGCCAGAACTGCGTCGAAGGAATGAGCCCCTGACGGGTGCAAACCAAATTGTGTGTCGATCGCTGACGCCCGCCGAGGATTAACCTACCGCCATAAAGCTTCCAATGTAGGTTATTTGTTCAAAAATGGGAACGTTTTCTGTCTTCAATCCGTGCAGAAACTGACACTTTATTAGGCCATCGGGTAGCATTTCTGCACTAAAGGACAACCAGCCAATAAATCACACAACTAGTAAATGCCTCAATAGCCCCGATCCTTCACCCCACAGTATAAACAGAACTACGGAGTAGATTGAAGACGAACCGACAGTCGACAGGCCGGCTCCTCCAACAAGAAAGCCCAAGGGGACCTTGATACCGCTCCACAACTCTGTTAATCTGCGGAAGAAACCACCGTCAAACGATCAAACCACCCAGACGGACCAGGGCACGGAGTCTAACTCCCATCGATGCCGTCCCACGTCCCAACTCACCCGCAGACAGGATCTCATCGGTGGGTCATCGCCTACACAAGAGAAACGACCAGGATGAGCCCATGCAGGACGCAGATTTGGGTTTTCAGTGGGGTTGTCGTGCGATTAAACTGACGAAGAAAGCGTTAAAAATGGTTCCATTCGTCTCGGCTTCAATGTTACCTACTGGTGCTGGCTCCGGCCAATTATGCGAAAAGCGCTTGTCGACATTGCATCGTCACCATGGTTGCCAACGACCGGGGACAGACGTACATTGATGTCTCCTCCGCCCTGGTGGCTCTTTCAACGGCGATTGTAGCTGTTCGGATCGCGGCACGATGGGTCAAGTCGACTTTGGGATGGGATGACTATGTTATTTGTATCTCAATTGTGATTGCGTATAGCATGCTGGCAGAAGCCGTCTTTTGTTTGTCTAACCTTTCCCCGAAAACCACGAACCCGGATTCTGACTGCGATAGGGGCCCGAGATGGCGGGCTTGGAAAGCACCTGTCAAGCCTAAGTATGGAGGAGAAGATCATGTTCCAGAAAGTAAACTCTTCTACTCTTCGGGCCACCTTACAAGCATCTCATTCCATGAAGCTAACCATAGAACCAGTGTTTCTTCGCCAACGAGATATCGTACACCCTCCTCGTCCCATCCATCAAAATATCCATCCTCCTCCTCTACCGACGCATCTTCCCGATTCGCAAATTCCAAATCGCTAGCTGGATCGTTGGGGGTCTTGTATGCTCCTGGTGTCTCGCGGTCTTCATAACCGTGATGCTCCAATGCCGACCGATCTCGTTGAACTGGGATAAGTCGCAACCGGGGACGTGTATAGACGCGAAACAATTCTTCTTCGGCAATGCAATTTCTAATCTGCTCATTGATGTGGTGATTCTTATGATGCCGATTCCGATGGTTCTGCAGTTGCAATTGCGGACGTCGCAGAAGTTGACTATATTGGGTATATTCTTACTGGGCGGATTGTACGTCCCTTTGCTTTTGTGCTTTTATCTCAGTTGTATCACGCTTTTGAACTCTTTTGTCCAAAGCTAATCGATCTAAACAGTGTCTGTGTCGCAAGTATCATGCGCGTCGTCACCCTCAAAATCTTTGAAAGTAACGATACTTCCTGTATGTCTGTCTCTTACTCCCTATAACACAACTAGCCCCTAAAAAGAAAGCAGACTCGGTAATGGAAGCCGCAACATGGACCTTCGTCGAGCCCTGCGTGGGCATCATTTGCGCCTGTCTGCCAACTCTGCGCCCGCTAGTCCGCACACTATGCTGCGACATGCACTGGAGCAGCAAGGACTCCGAGGGAGCACCGGGGCCGAATTACAGAATGCGTCGGATTTCGAGTTATGCCAAACGGCCTGCCGCAGCGCAAGATACATTGTGGAGTCAGGATCGCTTGCATGATGAGTATCCGTTGACAAAAGCAGAGACGGAGTCAGGGACAGGAGTACAGGTTCGATCGGGGGGGTCTTAGATTCTGTACGTTTACGATAGATCGCTTTGAACGGATTAGCCCTTTTATAAACTATTATACTACCTTTCTTTCACATTGTTTATGCCAGTAGTCATCGAAATCGGTCGGCAATAGTCATGCTTGGTCCAGTCCCAGGCTACTCAATAACCTCTTTGGATCGATCCTAGATCGAAATTGGCCTACAGCTACATTCACTCATCTTAAAGAAATGCAGATATGAAGTAAGGCTGACACACCATATTCCAGTTCTAAGAATATTTACATAGAGCTAATGAACATATATACATCCCGAACGAGCAGTCTATAACCATGACGATCTAAAAACAAGACCAACTTGAGAAACCAACACCAAACTCCACACCAGCAACCCAAACACCAAATCAACAAGACACCTCCCTCAATTCACTCTCTTCCCCTTCTTCTCTCCCCTCCTCAAGCTTCTTCTTCTTCCCATCCCTCAACACTTTACTCGGATGCCAAACACTCAACGCAATCATCGCAAAGAACATCAACATCGAATCAAAAACATACATGAACGCCTCATGACTGATCAAATACCCATCATTGCCCTGCGCATATTCAATGAGTCGGAAGATCGACCGCACGAGAATCAGCACGCTCGACACGTACAAACCCCACATGGTGCCTCGCCAGGTCGCGTCGTTCCAGGGCATGCGGGAGGCGGAAGACGTAGTGGTGAGAGAGACAGGCGTGGGCGATTTTCGGATCCGTAGGTGGAAGATTATGGATGCGATGACGAACACGCCGAAGAAGATTAGTTGCACGCAGAGACCGCCGATGGTGACGTTTTCGCCGGTGTTCATGGCGGAGATGGTGCCCGAGGCCATGATTCCGCCTCCTGATGGTGGAGACTGGTTAGTCTATGCTTGATTGAATTCGATATTCGTGTGGGGAAGAAGAGAATGCATACCGGAAGCTTGCATCAAGAAAGAGAGGACGTCGCCTGTCACGAAGATCCGGGTGAGCCATTTAACCGGCACCACGCTCAAGTGTTCGGCGTTCAGATAGCGAATAAGTCGACCAAGGGTCATGTAGATCGAGGCAGCGTAAAGCGGTGGAGCGAGGAGGATCATAAGCGTTTGAATGGCGTATATCGGGACGTTCTCTTTATCGGAGTGGGCGAGGACGCGACAGATGTATCCAATGATTTGGACTAAACGAGCATTGAGCGTTAGCTGGGTCTGTAGCCTCCCAGAAGAAGGTGCAAAAGGCAGAGGAAGCTTACAAACACCACCGACGACGAAAATCAGGAAATACCAGCATTTGGCCCGAATAACCTGGTACAGATGGTATGCCGTGATCAGGACGAAGAGGACAATGAACAGGATGGCGGCCGCCAGCGACGGCGTATACCGGTACAGCTGGAAGTCGATCTCTCCGTGACCGGCCATGTTGAGATTTCTTTAATCTTGAATGCCTGGAATGCGCCCCAAAGAAATGGGACTAACCCAGCCTTATATGAGTGTCACGGACCCAGACATTCTACGATTTTACTCCACATCGGGGATTCTAGAGACGCCACTATTATGGGAGGCAGTACGCGTGTTCGTGTCCGTGATCGGGGAAAAACTTGACATCTCCACTACAAAGGTTATGATTGGAGTATAGACAGTTAAGCGACGTTGACTCGCCTCGGTTAGACCCGCGCGTGTCCGTATTCGAGTCCGGGGAGTCGTATCCGCATCGACATGGGGTCTGTTCCGATTTCTATAAATTGATCTAAGCCCCCGGCCTCATGGGGTTCTAGGCAGCACGTTATCGAGGACCTCCCCCGCGATCTGCTCATTTAGGCATACTGATTGTACAGGGTTTTCTTTGCTTCGAGACCTGGGATGCGGAGGGTGACCGACTACACTGAGAATATTTGCCACAAACGGGACATGTCCGATTAATTCCCATTCAAGACTGCTGTGGGCTCTGATGGTTATATGCGGTACCTAGTGTGGTTGATCTTCAAGAAAGCAGACTGGGCAGCTTCCAATTACCTTTCGTTTTGGAAACCCCTTAGTTGATTATGCGAAAGCTACTGAGGAATACTAACATGTCCATAATTTCAACAACACTAACATTATGAAAACATCTCAACCTAGATAGACACTCACCAAGAAAAAGTCAGGCTCGCCTTGCCCTCCGCGAAATCTACCTCTTGGCCATACTTTCCATCCTTCGCACCTTTCGTCAACTTCACCTCCGATTCAACAATGCCGTCAGTGACCGAATACTTCACCAACGCCCTCTCCATATTGACCGTCTCAATGCCTTCCACCCCCTTCTCGATATCCAGCACAACTGCCTTGTTTTCCAGATCGACCGCGACCCGAGTAATGGCTCCAAAATCCAGACCAACCCACAGTCCAGCGTCAACCACATAAACTCTCTGTCTGACCGAATCCCTCGGCTCAACCACCACCTGCCCGTTCTCCGACGAAACCACATTGCCGCCGTAACTCAGCCACCCGAATGTCGGATGCTTGAGTACGTACGTCGCGGCCCCCAGAACATGTCCAACGAATCCAGATCCATAATCGCCCGAGTACGCATCCCAGTCTAACGTCTCGGGGAACGAGTGGAAGGACATAGATCCGAAGCCGTCCTGGTGGATATTCGTCAACGGGCCCTGGTTCCCGCCGTAGCCGATTCGGAGGTCATAGAGACTCAGGTCGGAGGTCGGGTTGCTGGAGGAATGGTAGTTATCGAGGATGGGGAGGGCGTTGAGACTGGATCCGTAGTGGTGGATTTGTCGCTCGATGCGGCTGAGTTTACCGGCTGTTCTGGGAGGGAGTTAGCTTGCTGTAGATTGTAGCCCCAAGTCAGGGAGAAAGGTTGTGAGGGTAGTGTATACCCAAAGTCCCAGTATCGGCGCGCGTTGCCGTTCCATCCCCAGTGCGCAACGGTGGGCATGAACCCGTGGATCGATTCGATGGTTTTCTGAGCCGTCTCGGTGAATCCGAAATACCTGTCGATGGTTAGACGATGCCACCGAAAAAACGCATTAGAGTGTGCCATACTTAGTCCACAGGTAGACACCTTCCTGGCCGGTGCAGTCCCAGGCTTGTTCGCTGCCAAACGGGTCCTCCTGGGTACTCCATTCCTGGGCTCGTGGTTTGAAGATTCCTTCGAGAGTCTCGGCTTCGGTGGTGTAATTCTCTAGCTTCAGGTCGTCTAGGACCAGTTTCCAGACTGTCTCGCCCATTAATCCGAGGTCATTATACCAGGTGTTTCTACTGCCATCCTTGTGCGTGCCGTAGACAAAGCGGATTCTGCTGCTGTTAGCTCTTTCGCCTCGTGAACCGTAGAAATGTGTAAGAGGAGAAGGGGGGATGAACGCACGTCTCGTATGCCTGTTCCAAATACCACTGCGCACTCTGGCGCTCCAACGCAGTCGAGGACCGTCCGGCGCGATACAGCGCCCAGTAGAGACACGTAACGTGCACGTAGTTATACGCTCTGTCCAGGAGGTCCGCCCCTTCTTTATCCCAAGCCCCCGGCCAGTAGATGTTTGAATCGTAGCTAAAATCCGGCATCGCTTCTGTGTCGTAGTAGAACAGACTCTTCCGCACGCCGTACTTGTTCTCGCCGCTGGTCAGCTGCAGTCGTGCCCAGACGGTTTCGTTCACGAAGGTCTCGAGTTTTGCGATCTCCTTTGCGACGGGCTGCGCAATCTGCTTCATGGCCGCCGTGACGAACGCTCCAGCACCGCCTTCGTCGCTCAGTCCGGCAATCCAGACTCGGTTGTCCTGGAGGACTGGGGCGTCGGCTGAATGGTCGTAGGTGATGATCGATGGGGACCGACCAAACGGGTCTGTCTCGTCGAACCATTGGGTTTCGGTCAGATAGCTTCCGAGTTTCGACAGCGACTTGGGGCCGGTGTCTGTGACATAATAGTGTAGACTGTGGGTGAGCCCGTTCGCGTATTTTAGTTCGATCCTGGTTCGACCGAAGGCGTCGTCCTGAGGAGTGACACTGAAGGCCTTCCACTCGTCATTGATACCGTCAAGCTGTTTCACGGTCAACCCCCCCGGGATCACATCCACCTTCTCAACAGTCTCATTCGTGCGGACGAACATCTTCCCATCCAGATCCCTCGGCAAGATATACCCAGGTACGCCCTGGGCCACCGGAATTCCCAACGACGCGACTTTGTTTTCGATCTTCTCCACCGAATCGACGACACTAAACCTCAGTCCATATGAGACCGTCTGTCCAGGCTTCAGCGTCAACGAAGTCGGTTTATTCCACGGCGTGACTCCCTTCCACTCGTTCTCCGCCCACGCCTTCGAATAGACTTGCCACTCATAGTTCCCTTCAAACACCTGACTGTGATACGCAAGCTTGCTTTCTCCGGTCTCCGGTAGAAATCGCCACGCCTCGAACTTGGTCTCGCCGAGCGGCGTAATCACCAAATGTGGCCCTGTGCCTAGCAGTCGCGTAACCTGCACATAACCAGCATCTAAGCCGATGTACGGATCCACCAGGACGCAGGTATGCCTCGTTTCCTCCCCGGTGCGCTCGAAGAAAATTGTATTCCACTCGATCGGGAACCCCAAACTACCCAGCTCGATCGACTCGGAGTTCTTGTTCGTGACGGTGAAATTCAACGCTAAGTCACCTTCATACTCAACCCAAGAGCGCGTGATGGACAGGTCATCCGCCAGAGACACATTGGTTGTTCCTCCAAGATCCGAGGACGCGATCACCGCGCTAGAGGACGAATTCGAGGCCTTCTTGCTTCCCAACGCCCCTCGATCCGTCGCCGTGTCAACATTCGTCCAGCCGCCCGAGTCCCCAACGCGGTACCGAAGTGTCAAGTCGCCAGTGTGATAGTTGCCGTTCCCATTGCGTTGGTCAAAGACGTCGGACGGCGAGAAGTCGAATTCCTCCGACGTGCCCTTCGGTTTCAAGGACCGCAGCACCCCGGACTTACCGTCCAATGTCCCGGTGAACTGCTCCGTCGAGAAATCGGTATGTCCGGCTACGAGAGCGACCAGGCGGAGCCCGATCCCCGTGGCGAACAACGAGTGAAGAAAATGCATGGTTCGTGGGCCTGGTCTTTTCAATCGCAAGACCCCGTATCGCGACTACAATCACTCGCTCAGACCGAGCGAATCTCGCGATATATGTATGTACGCGACAGACCCCGCAGCGCAACAGGCACAAAGAAAAAACGGTGCATCATCTTTGCGGGGAAGAGAATCATGGCATAGCGATTCGAGTATTTTACCGACGGAGTCGATGGAATTAACCGGGTGATCGACAGGAGATATTCTATTTGCTGCAGACAAACAAGGCCATGAACCCTGACGAGGCGGAGAAATTCCTTCCGCGCGGTTACAACTAAGGTCACATCTTATGATCGCAGGGCTTGCAAATGCGGGGGTTTGAGACATGAGTGTTCGCAGAATATTAGAAATGAAGTGGTTAAGGTAACTGGCTCATTTATCTTCGGTTGCAGGTGCTGTTTGTCGGTTAACACGGGTAAAGTGATGCTTTTGCTTGTTCTTGAGTATACGAGTCTGGGGTTTGTGCTTTGTTGGTTGGGAAATTATCAGAGTTGAATGGCCCGTCGAGTTGCCCAGGTTCCTAAGACCAGAGGTCTCGTACTCCGTGGAGTACAGATTTGGATGTCCTGAATAACCATGGTTCGCAATAGAGAGAATAAGCTTTGGTTCCTGACGCTGATGACCTAGTGTAAGTGGAGTATAGCTGGGAGGAAGAGATACTTGAATACCTGACAGCTTACGGAGTACGAATTATGGACGTAGAGTCGAGCCCCTTTATGTTATTCGGTCTACTGTCCACGTATATCACCCACCTGAGCCAACCCGAAATGTTTGTTCCCTCGATCAGACTGTCAAGCCCCGTTGGCCTATGAGAGAATTCCAATACATAATCCGGCCGGGATGGTGCATAGCTGAGTAACTCGAGTTACCTAGTTAGTCGCGTTCATATTCATGTCACACAGAGCCCTTGTGAAAGAACTCTGTCGTGGGTCGAGGACTCTCTGTCTTGCCTCGGCATATGCCTTGGGCTCTTGAGGCAAGAGGACGGGCCAGAGTCCTTTGCTGTCATGGATACCTGCTTACTAGTATTCATTGAGTCTCTCTCTTGGGTATGTCGGTCCGGGTACTCAGTCACCAGTCACATCAGGCCAGCTTGTTTGTGAATCAACTCCTTTGTCTCAATCCGGCCCCTCGAATACTGTTGGTCCATTCGTGAATTTTAGTTCCTCGGCCACGTCAAGCCAGTGAGATTGCCAGAGAGGGACAGAATGCGAGATTGAGCTAGATGCACGTCGTCGAGCATAGATTAGGTGGCAGAGCATACCGATCTTCTGCATGCCAACCAGCGATAAAGACGAGTGTTGGTTATCAATCATCAATCATCATGAAGTATTCAAATTCAATAAGCAATGTAGCGGTCAGCAATCCGGTTTCTGCGGGTCGGATATTCTCCGGGGCCCTCGAATGGCTTCGATTTGGCTCGACGCTGCGCTCCGACCGAGGGATTTCCCCCTGATTGGCGGCTCGTGTTCGGTGGAGGCGGTTGTTGCTCTCCTGGACTGATCCCTCGGTGCAAATGGCCAATTTACTCCATATACTCGCTGACTTTGAGGGGTGAGTCGTTCAAGAAAACCTCCTACCTGATGCGGTAAATGCTTCGCCATCCAAGTTCATTATCTGTGTCCTATATTCCAACAGTCATATACTCCGTGCCCCTACTATGATCTAAAAACCAACACGTCATTCATCGATCATTCGTCAAGATCGACAATTGCAGTCTAGCGAGTGGAGTCCGCGGGTGGAAATAAGACGGAACGAGTCGCACACATGGGCTTCGTCGGCTTCAAAGGCCAAGTCCAAAATTCACGGTCGGCAGTGGGTCCCATCGACCTTCCTTTTCCGTCCACGTTGCTGTTCGATCTTGTCGAGGTTCTGGAAAGACGTGGAAGATCGGAAGTGGGGGTTTGGTCTTGTTTTTGTGGTTGTGGATGTTGAGTGTTGTGCGAAGTTGATGTATCAACTGCACTGTTTTCCGCTAGGGGTCGCTTGGGTATTATTTCCACACGAAGACTTGAGTCTGATTGATTGACTGACCGGGGTTGCATTCTACAGCTTACAGTTTACACGTAGTCACAACTGCGCATTGAGCACTGACATGCTGGGAGTTAAAGTAGGGCAAGCCCCTGCACGGGACGAGTCTGGGTAGCCGTTGAATCCCTGGGCACATAAGCACTAGCGAAGTCTTTGTTAACCTGCTGAAGGTCAGGATCAAATCATATCCAACGTATAACTATTATCACCTCGAATTATACCTCCTCAATCTTATGACAGTGTCGTACAAGTATAGTAGACCCCAATATAGCGCCCATATCCCGCCACGGACCTACGGAAGCCTTGGACTCCGTAGCCTTACCCGTCGCCATTATTATGATTATATCCCTGTCCGTTCCTCAATACGTGCAGATAACCGCTCGGTCGCAGGCGTTCGACGTCGCGCCGAGCCACATCCGAGCGAGGAGGAAAGAGAGACCCGCAGCGAAGACTCGAACAGGACGAGCACATCCCTAGCAGGCTTAGCCCGGCGTGCCCAGTCCACTGCCGTCCGTCATAGCCGACGCGGCTGATCCTAGCCTTCTTAATTACTATAGAATTGATAATGATATACTCCCTAGTCCGTGATCGTGCAGGTACCTTTGACCGCTGCAACGTGCCCGAGACACTCCGCGCGGCAGACTGATCTGATTGGCACTGGCGACGTATGTACTTTTGGACGAAGAAAGGTCCGCTTGTCAACTGCACGGACAAGGGCGAGTCGGTTCACCTGATCGATTCCTTTGCTGTCTGTTGCCTGATCCGGGAAGAATCCTCGAATCCATGGCGGATCCTGGATGGTTCAATTGACTTTCTTGGAGATTGGCATTCAACGGGTGAATTGCCATACACAGTACGGTGTACAACTGTTAAAGTGTCAACAAGCGAGAACACCCTCGGCGTCGTCCACCACGTTCATATGATAGGCACATCGTCCACCGCAAATCTCCTCGAAAATAGACTAAACTACAAGAATCCCTGAAGAAAACCGCAACGGTACTAGGCACGAAAAAAAAATAACCCCTCCCCCCACTGCCACATGGACAGGAAGGATGCATCGGAACGGGTCCTCCGCTTTTTCTGTTAGCATGATAGTATTGAGTAAGGCGTATTTTTTTCGTTCTTTTGCGCAGCGCTATGATCTCAGGGCCCAGGGGTCTCGCCCCGTCTCTTTTCTTGTTCTCGCTCAGATCCTTGCCGGGCCGTGACGTGGGCAGCATGAGCAATTGGGTTATTGACAGCGGGTAGTGGAGGATCCTCCCCGAGGCCGTAGGAACATGGCTCTATCTCACAAACAAACACACCAAAGTCAACCATAGAAAGAAGAAAAAATCAGAAAAAGAAAATGAACTCAAACGGAATCAGGACGGAAGGATCGGCCAATCTACGGCATTGCTAGAGCCAAAACTAACGCCACCGGTGCCTGTCGAGCCCCCAACCAGGAGCGATCAACGCCCGCGGCATCCGCAGCTGCATCCGCCTAAACGAGGGATTCGATAGAAAGCCGGCACTAGCAGGCCGGTAGTGGGCCTGTTCGCTACTTCTCTCGTTATTTGTTCCTCGGAATTCCTCATCTTCTGGGAAAACGGTCAGCCCGCAGTTGCGTCTTTAATGGTTTATTGGTTTGCTGTTGCGGTGCAGTTCTGCAGGATTTTCTCCCTCTTTTGCTTTGACCTTTTGCGTCCTCGTTCTACCTCTGCAACGTGGATTAACTAATATAATTCCATCCCCCTGCCGTTTGCCCTTCTAGTTCTTTTGTCTTTCTGCTTTCCCTGCTTTTCGCCTCTCGCCTCCCCCTTTTTGCATTTAAATAGTCAATTCCTAGTGTTACAATCGTGCATTCCACTATTGATCGGAACTGCAGAATTTATTGTTTTTCCGGGGTCGCCCATTTTCCAATTGACTTTCATTATTTTGACTTTTGCCTCCCTTCTTCATTCCTCCCGTTCCCCGGATTTTGCATTCGACAAGGATCACATCGTCATAATGGCTACCGACGAACCCGAACGACCGCAACACCAGCAACAACCACCAAACGAAGAACAACACGAAGGACACGAAGAAGAACACCAAGAAGAACAAGAAGAACAAGAAGAACAACGTAGATCGACCGAGGCTACTCGCCAGCCGTCCCAGGAACAACATGGTCCCGCTTATATCGAACCTGAAGTTAGTCTTTCTTTTTACCACTATCCCCGTCTATGTCCAAATGGAGCATCTTCATTTACGCGTTACTGTAGGACCTGACCGATGGCGATTCCGTCTATGCCGGCTCGTAAGTCGCCTCACCTCCTATCTTGGGACGTCCTAGGAATTGAGCAAAATGGCTGATTCTGGCGCAGACTCGGCGATGCCAGCTACACGACAAGTATCACGTCCAGCGCGATGAATTACCAGTAAGTCAATTTCACCGGAATCATCTTTCCGATACTGACGGTGGACAGATATGAGGTATCTACTGTTGCCCTTTCGTTTTCCTGTCATACTCTGGCAAGCTCCACAATGTGATACATCTGATCGGATCCAATCTGATCCCTGTCACATGAGCGCTTGCAGAGTACAAGTCACGTCCTGGTCACGGGAATGCTAAGGCCCTATTATCTTGCAGAACGGACGCCGTTATCATTCCTACCATGAGGGAATGTATCTTTTGGTATGTTCCGGTGTTTGTCTAGGTTCAAGTGCAGTCGTGACTAACACATCTCCAGCCGAATGACGAACAAGAGCAAGATCGCTTGGATTTGGTACGTTTTTTTTTTCCACCAATGGGTCCGTGTCGATGCTAATATAGATCAGAGTCATCATATCTATCGCATGCTTCTGAAAGGAGAGCTATGTCGCGCCCCGATCAAAAACCCCAAACGTGTGCTGGATATTGGCACCGGGACAGGGATATGGGCGATCGACTTTGCCGAGTAAGTTCGACCATTGCACCTTAGAGACAGCTATGCTGACAGACGCAGTGAACACCCGGATTCAGAAGTAATTGGTACTTTACCTCTGCTCTACTTTCCACCATTCCATTTCAATTAACCGTCCCTCAGGAAACGACCTAAGCCCCATCCAACCATCCTGGATCCCGCCCAACTGTCGCTTCGAAGTCGACGACTTCGAGCAGGACTGGTCCTACAGTCAGCACTTCGACTACATTCACGGTCGCGAACTGGAAGGCTGCATCGGCGACCACGACCGGCTGTTCCGTCAGGCGTTTGAGAGTCTGCGCCCGAACGGATACTTCGAGATCGCCTCGTTGGAAGTGAACACGTACTCGGACGATAATACGCACCTGCAAGCGCCGTGTCTGCTCGAGGGCGTTAAGAACATGCACGCCGCGTCGAAAATGTACGGGAAGGATATGACGACGGTGGTGCACTGGAAGGAAATGATGGAGAAGGCGGGCTTTATTAACGTCCACGAGGATGTGTATAAGGTAGGTTTCCCTTTCCATGTCCCTCGTCGTCAGGCCGTCTCTAACTAAAAGATAGGTTCCTCAAAGCCCCTGGCCCAAAAATCCCAAGCTCAAGGAAATCGGCCGTTACCATCAAGTCAACATGTTCGAGGCGCTGGGCCCGTACTGCTACGCGCTGTTCACGCGAGTGCTGGGCTGGCAGCGTCCGGAGATCGAGGCGCTGGTGGCCGGTATGCGAAATGAACTGCGCGACCTGTCGAACCATCTGTACTCGAACGTGCATATTGTGTATGGACAGCGACCGCCGCAGACGTCGTGACAGTAGTCGAGACAGCTGTCCCCGACTCAACGCCAACGACACTTTAATGACATGACTTCCCTCTATTGATGCTTGATCAATAGACCTATATCCCGGGTATTTTGCTTTTTGCCTTGATTTAGCCTTGCATGTGTCTGCCGATGTTATTAATGATGAGCATCTTCGTTGTATTTACTGTTATTGAGACAGAAACAATAGGATTCATGCATACCTTGAATCCAGCCTCCCAACACCAAAATTATACACACCCAGCCCGACAGACAGAATCACCTCCCAACCATCCTAACTCCAGCCTTATAAACCTCCCACCCCAACCACCCCAACGCCCCCGTGGTAGCCACCTTAACCGCACATTCCTTCAAATCAAACGCCATCCACCCCTGCACTCTCAACCTCAACTCTCGCTTCGTATTCCCCCTCGGAATCTCCACGTCCGGAACGGGTTGCTCCAAGAACTCGCACAGCGGCTCCCAGCCCTCGCGCACGTGATAATGCAGCAATCGCTCGGGCGGCACCAGCGCCTCGATCTTCTTGTAATGTTCCTCGTAGATCCGCGGACCGTCTTCTTTCAATCGCCCGCGGAGGATCTCCCGTCCGGAACGGCTGATTACTGGCAGGACCCAGCGGAAACGACTTCGGCAGAGGGCGTCGATGGCGCGGAGGAGGGGGAGGAAGAGGTATAGAAGGGGATAGCGTTCGCAGACGGTTGTGATTTCGAGGATTGATCTATCTCATCCATTAGTCATTTGAGTCCACCACCAGATGACCCAGAAATAAGGGATGCGGAGATTGCAATAGGCAAGCTAAGCAAAGTTAAGTAAAGAGGAAGGAGAAGATGACTCACTCATACCACTCCACCGGATCCCTCACCGTCAAAATCACCTTCGCCTCGGGATACGCCTCTATCAATTCCTCGGCAAAGCAAAGCGCCGGAACATCACAAACAGCCTGACAATGCCCCAACAGTTTATCCCACTCTTCGCGCCCGAACGGCTTGCCGATCCCGTCGTATTTCGCCCGCAACGCGCGCATCCACATCTCCCCGTCGCGAGGGTTGCCTAGCATTAGCTGGTATCCGTGATATGCTTCATTATAGCCGAGGATGCGGAGGGCTTCGGTTAATGCTGCAGATCTTGATTATTAGCATGAATTCTTCAGTCGAGGGCTCATGTACCGAGAGGATGGGCATTAGCTTGGGGTATGTGATAAGGTGAATGTGCCAAGAGGATTGGCATGTAAAGGGAGGACGTACAATCAGTTCCAGTCCGGAAGAGTCCAAACGACAAGACGCGCATGGGCACGACGCGTGTGCATTTTTCGCGATCAATGTCCGTGACATGGAAGGTTCGGGGACCGACCTGGATGGACATTCTTTCTGACTCGATTGAATCGGTGAATATAGTATACCCAGAACGGAACGGCGAGCGACAACGCCTCTATAAACAACCTATACTGTACCTACCACCAACAAGATATAAACTGGTGTCCTGTAAGGTGTAAGGCTAGATCAATATTCACAGAATGTAAGGGCGATCAATGATGCGATATTCGATCGATTTCCATAGTTCTGATCGCCCGTTTATATGATCTGAGGCTTTCATCGATCATCCCTTGCGGGTCTGGTCATCCCTTTCCGTTGACTTGCCGGATCGGGTGGATTGTGCTGCATGCGGAGGCTATTTTTGGTTCTGCTTCTGTTTTCGACGATTTATGAAATAAAGTAGATTGGTAGTGGTTGTTTCATGTCTAGATGATCCAAGATTATCCACCGTGGAAGTATATACTCGGTCATCAGATCGCATAACTCTCATACTGCTCCAGCTAATGTGTATAACTCTTGCATAATCTAAGAGACTATTGAACTCCATCTGGGATACTCTAGTAGGTTACATTCATTTTGTTCCATACGATATGTTATCTACTGGTCAGTACCTGATAATCTCGTACTCATCGCGCTCTACGCATCCAAAACAGAATCTTCAGTAGCCACACCTGCATTCAAGCTAAGTGTACATCTACATTTTCGAACACAGTCACGATCTAGAAATCAAGTCCCATGAAAGAGCCAAAAAGCAACGCTCAATAACCACCAGTACGCTAACTCCGACGCTGAAAACCAAACCACACACTAATCTCCTCCCTCTACCACTACTGCGTCAAATCGACTCCAACATCCTCGAAATCAACATCCTCGCCCCCTCTGCCCGAAACAGAATCAAACCCCTCGAATCCAACCACCACGCCCGCCCCCGATACTGATACCAAGCAGTCACGGCCTCTCTATTATTCTCCTCTAGAAAGGACAACTCCTTTCCCTTTCCGCAGCACCGGAAAATATACTGCGCGACCTCATCCTCCAAGTCCATTAAACAGGAGTTCTCCGCAGAAAGTCCCTGGCATAACCCATCGAAGCGATGATACTCGGTAAGCAGGTCATCGAACAACCCGGTCCGATTCGGTAGCTGCCTCGGCGCCACGCACAGTGCTAGGTCCACGAACTGGATGATCTGCGGCGGTCGGAGCAGATACATCCGCTCGACTAGATACGTGGGATCGTCGGGGTTCCACGCATCAGGAGCCTCGCTATCAAACACCTTCCGGGGTAAGAACTCCCAGAGAAAGTCCGTCACTTCCAAGATGTCGAGTTTATCAGACAGTCGGCGGTGCGGGTTATACCTCCATTTCATTGACGCGATGTTATTAAACGCATTTCGCTCCAGGTCATTCGGGTAGATGAAGGCACGGGAGAGGTAGAAATGCTCTAAAGCACACCAATGCGATATCAAGGCTTTGTAGAATCGACGATACGCCCGACGACGCTGATCATGTGGAATGCGGATAACCTTGCGCTGAGCTCTACACGCCGACGACGTTGAGAACGAGGTAGGCAGCGGGTCCGTATCAGCCAGATAACTCTCCTTGACGAGCAAGTCCTGGTCCCAGAAGGTCTTCCACGCCGTCGTGTACACCCGGTTGATAGCCTTGTCGCAGTACAGCCTGAACAAAGTGCGAAGGGCGTGCCAGCGACAGACGATGGCGAAGATGTTTTCGGCGTCCAGCTCGAAGTCGAAGCCGTTAAGGAAGTCTTTGCGGAGGATGTAGGCTTGCGCGGGGATGCGGCCCCATTGGAAGGCGTCGCGGAGGATGAGGATGCCGGAGAGACGGGCGTCTTGTTCGTGGTGGGGGGCATTTTTCTGGACGAGTTAGTTGGTGGTGAAGGTAGAGAAATAGACAGAGAGAGAGGTACATACGATGATGCAGCGAAAGATCCACGCTCGGGTGTAGTAGTCGTCAAACACCGTATAGACCGCCCTGCACGTTCTGGCAAGGTGGATGGCATCGTCTATATCATGGAGGTAGGTAAACAGAGGAAGGATGCCGGCGAGATCGTACCGTTCATTAAGAGGAGGCATGGTGAAGTTGGCAAGGTGACGCGGTAGGAACTTGATCGGATAGGAATGCAAAGGGTAAGGAGCATGTTAAAGATGGTCCTGACAAGAGACATGATATGGAAGCTGTTGTGAGTCAACATTGGCTGCCTGGGTGGACTTCGCAGTATTCTGAGAAGTGAGGTGAAGCAAGTGCGATTCATTATTCCTTCCAGTGACTGAGAGGAAGATTCCGTGGTGGATGACTGCATTTCTACATCATCTTGTAGGCAACTAGCAGGCGGCCAAAGTAGCTATAGTTATATAAGAACAGGCATATAATCACAACAGGTCTAGATTGGAAAGCTTGATGTATATTCTATATGTTACTGCAGTCTAGATGAGAAGTGACCGTCCGCAAAGAGACAATTATACACCTTGCTCTATCTATGCACAATCAGCTATTCCCAAATACATAGCGTCAAACTATCAATGTAGATAATAAATGTCAACTTCATCTCTCGTCTTGGCGCCCAGATGTACCAAGCACGACTTGTCCAAAGTCCAAGTCTAGAGTGAGTCAGACACCTCGTATTCACTGCAACATGCTGCAGCCCCTCCATTGTTCAAGGCCATCGCAACCGACATCCAATTACTCCACTTCTTCATCATCTTCTGCACACCAGCCGAATGCTCCATGGTAGGCGTGCCACGCAGCAGAGGGTGTCATGCATGTCTTCAGCGGCGCGTCAAGGTAAATCCTCTATCCCTATGTCTACGATTCTTTCGAAAACGGTCCTAGGTAGCTGCTAAGCTAGATCTACGCGACAGTGCGATCAAACCCGTCCAGCATGCACTCGCTGTCGACGTCGAGGAGTGGAATGTCCGGGCTACACACGACGGTTGAAATTCTACCACGAAACCCCTGACACGGTCGCATTTCAAAATGCTCGCTCCTCGAACGCATCGCATGCCTCCGGCGCCATCTCCAGACGCCCCCGCAACCCCCGCCCCCACACGAGCATGGATGAAGCCTTGGCGCCGAACCTGATGGCTGCAGCGCTGAATCTCCAGGGCAAAGAGGTCTTCACTTGGGTCGTCAAGGCCACCTTCCCGAGCACGTACGCGACGTTCGGCCCTCGCTGTGAGCCTAGCTGGACCGACTTCATCTGGAGTCATCCCGTCGCGCGATCTCCGACCGTGGTCTGGTGTCAGCGCTGCATCAACACGTGGTTCCTGGCGCGACGGCACAACGACGCAACCATGCTGGCCACCAGCCGCGACCTCTATAATCGCGGGTTACAATCTCTGGTCCGTCTCCTGGGGGACCCGACGATGGTGGCCTCCGACACGGTTCTCACGACGGCTGTGATGCTGGGTGTATACGAGATGTTCGACGGACTGGGCCCGCACTCCTGGCTCATCCACTCGCGCGGCATCGCGGCGTTGTTTCGTCTGCGCGGACCCAAGGCCCATCAGAGGGGATTCGGGCGCACGCTATACGTGACGTTCCGATCGTTCTTCGTTGCCGAGGCGTTTCTGCGTCGAGAGCCGTGCTTTCTAGCAGGGGTGGAATGGCGGGAGATGAATCTGGAGACGGTCGCGATGGACGAGGCGAAGGGAAAAGGAAGTCGGCTGGGAGCGATGGTAGAGCGGGCATTTAACGAGACAGTGTTGTGTCCGGGATATTTCCAACGCACGTCAGAGCTCATGGCGATCGCGCGACGAGAGCGACGGCGACGGCGGGACAGGGGACGGGACGAAGGATCGACCCGACACGCGTTGGTCTTGGAGCTGCGTCACAGCGTCGATCGGCTGCGAGATCTGCAGCGACAGCTGGGCAGGCTGGACCAGGACCAGGGCTGGGACGGGGAACAGCCCGTGCGACAAGGCATGGACAGTATTATAGGGCCGATTCCGCAGGATTTCGTGCACCGCATCGCGAGTTCTTCCCTACAGGGCATCGAAACGGGGATTGCGCTGCTGGAGCAGTTGACAGTGTCGTTGCAGGATCGGTGGTCGGATTCCGGTCCTTCGTGGAGCCTGCCGTCCGTCCGTAGCATCCAGGAGCTGGAACACGACCGTCACAGCCAAGACAAAGACGCACAACCACAATCAGAAGACTGGATAGATCAATTGGCCATGTCGATGGGGACGCTTGCGATCAGGGCTTAAGTGGGCATGACGACAGGCCATGACATAAGACGGTAGATCGGCGGGACGGAGGGACGGAGGGACCTCGGTAGGGCAAGGATTGACGCGACGGAGAACGTGATTTTGAGGTCATCCAGAGGTGCACTGAGAGAGAAGCATCTTAAGAAAATGGGACTGTCCTGTGGAGGAGGCTGGTCCGATGCAATCCAAGAACGGCGAATGGCCTCATTCTTGGGTGCTGCGGCGGATATTAATAGATCCGGGGCCAAGACGTTCAGTATCGGGTACAATCAGTGAATTTCACAAGTGAAAGAGCACAATTCTCGAACCAAAAATTATCTCCAGAAGATTCCCCCTGAGTCCGGCCGCATCCAGAAGGTCCAGGCCAGGAACGTGCAGGAAGGTGCAGAACGTAACCAATCCAAATCACGGCAGCCTAAAGTTTCAGAGCGCCATGCAGACGCCACGGAACTCACAGCCCCCTTTGGGCTGCTCCAGAGGCTCCATGGAGGGCTTGCGCGGCCCTTTTCATTCATGGCTAAGCCTTGGATTCGCTGCTTTAGTCGAAGCTTGGCGGGGTGTTGGCCAGTGAGAATATTGACGGTGGAGTCTTCTCGTCACTCCGGACGGTCCGGCCGCGTCAGAATCGGAGAGCGCACGAGTCCGATCGCCATTGGCTTCTTTTTTTATCGTGGCTGCTGATGCCCGGAGGTGGTCGGATTCTGCTGCTGCTGCTGCTGCTTATATACTCCTCCTCGACCTCGGACTTTTTCTCGTCCCCACATTTTTTAGATCAAGTGCTACACAGAGAACAGATACATACTGCAGACTGCAGACTATCACAATACACTACTCCGTACTTCATAGACTCGTTTCATATACACTACCACCCCATCTCCCTTCACAATGCCTTCGTCTCGTGCTTCCAGCGACCGCACTGGATCCATCGCTTCTCATGAGAAGAAGTCCTCGCTCTCCAGCAAGGCCGACCCCAACCAGGCCCTGAACGAAGCCCAGCCAAGTAAGTAGTTATTCAGCTTCCTCTCTATCACAGGACTTGATCTAATCAGCGCAGTGGCCAATGTCGGAGGCTCGGATTTGTTCTCCCTTCGCTCCATGCAGCACCGCGACGCCGAGGGAAAGATCATCAGTAAGTCGGACTTCTCCTGTCGTCAAAATTCCCAGCTAACAGAACTAGCTGAACCTGACCTCACGAATCCCACGCGTCCCCGATTCGAGCGCCCGCTAGACACCATCAAGAACTTCGAGGCGGCCATCGAGCGACGACGAAAGGAGAACGCGATCGCATGAGACAATAATCAACTGGAAAAGGCGTGATGGGATGGTTTACTGTGATATTAGCAATGTTTGTCAGCGATGTAAATTACGGATTCTTTGGTCAATCTCAATGTCAATGTCAATATACTCTGCTTGAATGGGTCTGACGGTTTCATACTCCGTATATGCTGTAGCCTAGATCAGTTGTAAGCTGCCGGTGGTCGATCGATTCGGCTGCTGGTCTAGGGAGAAGCTTGGTATATAACCTTGTCGCGCCAGGAGCACTAAGCATGCACTGAGTGGATGCTAATTTGAGAGTCAGTTTAGATTCAACGTCAGCCCGTCGTCTCGTCCAACCGACGTTGCAGAACTCACGATAACGGAGTCGAGCGAAATGACTGTCCCCACCGGGCTAAATCCGAGGAGAAAGATTCTTGCTCGGAGATAAGGCATCCACAGGCATCCACTCGCTATCCACGGCTATCTCGACTAGACTGGAATGGACGTATAGTCTTCGTCCCACAATCACCGACACAACCACACATCCAAGTCTCCCAAGTCCCAACTGCCACGCCGACGGATACCGGCTCGCTTGTCTCCTTGACTAGTGCGGCCTCGCATCGGTCTAATCTACGTAGTCTGGCAACCACCGTCTACGGCTACTGACTAGTGACGCGTTCCACGCTGCGGCGGGGCTTTAGGCAGACATTTCGAGCACCGGAGAAAGCATAATGGGACGGTTGTTCTTAGTACCGAATCATGGTAACATGGCTCCTGAGGAAGTAATTTCGTAGCGGTTATATGGGCTGCTCCCCGTGGCGGATGCGTGTGCGTTGGACCTTCCGTTTCCCAGTCGTTCTTTGATCCATTCCGTATTTCTCCAAAATCGACACTCGTTTAGCTTTGTTTCCTTCTCTCGACTATTTTCAAGCCCGATTGGTGTAAAGCTCATCCGTGTTCGCTATGAAGCTCTCTCTCGCTGTTGGAGCAACCCTTCTGGGTACGGCTCTGGCGGATATCGATCCCATTGTGATCAAGGTAGAGCAATCTCCTGCGTGGGTGAAACCTCTCTGACTGGCGTAGGGCTCGAAATTCTTCTACTCCGGCAACAACACTCAATTGTTAGTTCCTTTCACTGGTTATCTCATGCCATGCTGACCTTCCAAGCTACATTCGCGGCATTGCCTACCAGCGTATGTCACTCCACTTCGATATCACCCCCGAATCTAACCCCAGCAGAGGACTACTCGAGCAATGGAACCACCGACGGTAGCAACACCTACAAAGATCCCCTGGCCGATGCCACTGCCTGCGAGCGTGACGTTCCCATCATGCAGGAGCTGAACACCAACACCATCCGTGTCTACGCCATCGACCCGACCGCCGACCACAAGAAGTGCATGCAGTTGCTGGCCGACGCAGGCATCTATGTGATCTCCGACCTGTCGTCCCCCTCGCAGTCCATTGATCGCAACGATCCCCGATGGGAGGTGTCCCTGTACAACCGCTACACTAGCGTGATCGACGAGATGGCTCAGTACAACAACACCCTGGGCTTCTTTGCCGGCAACGAAGTCTCGAACAACGTCAAGACCACCGACGCCAGTGCGTTCGTCAAGGCCGCTGTCCGTGACATGAAGTCGTACATCAAGCGCAAGAACTACCGTTCTCTGGGCGTGGGATACGCGACCAACGACGACTCCAGTATCCGCGTTCACATGGCTAACTACTTCAACTGTGAGAGCGAGGAGGATAGCATTGACTTCTGGGGATACAACATCTATTCCTGGTGTGGTGACTCTACCTACCAGGAGTCTGGATACAAGGACCGCACCGACGAGTTCCGCAACTACTCCGTGCCCGTCTTCTTTGCCGAGTACGGTTGTAACTCTGTTTCGCCTCGCAAGTTCACCGAGGTCAAGGCTTTGTTCGGTGACAAGATGAACGACGTGTGGTCTGGTGGTATCGTCTATATGTATTTCCAAGAGGACAACGATTACGGTAAGTGCGGTGTCTCAAGTGGCCAATTTTCATACTCACAGGAATAGGTCTTGTTTCCGTCGTTGACAGCACCAGCGTCAGCAAGCTGAAGGATTTCACCTATTACTCGAGTGAGATCGCCAGCGCCACTCCTTCCGGCACCAACAAGGCATCCTACACGCCCACCAACTCGGCACTGCAAAGCTGCCCCGCCGTCAGCACCGCCTGGATGGCCACGCAGACCCCTCTTCCCCCTACTCCTAACGAGGAGCTGTGCGACTGCATGGAGGCTTCTGCCGGCTGCGTTGTCAGAGACTCTCTCTCCAGTTCCAAATACTCCGACCTGTTCAGCGTCGTCTGCGGGTACACCGACTGCGATGGCCTCACTGCGAACGCCACCACCGGCAAGTACGGCGCCTACGGCATGTGCAATTCGAAGCAGCAGCTGAACTTCGCCTTGAACAAGTACTACGGCGAACAGAACTCTGCTGCCTCGGCCTGCAGCTTCGGCGGATCGGCCACCACGACCTCGGCCGCCAGCAAGACCGGCAGCTGCAAGTCTCTCATGAGCCAGGCGGGCACCGCCGGCACCGGAACGGTCACTTCGCAGCCCACCGCTACTGCAGGATCGGGCTCTTCTTCCGAGGCCTCTGCTAGTGCGTCTGGATCGACCGGCGCGGCGCCCACCACGGCCGGTACCGCCGTTGCCGTTGGATCTCTCCAGCTTGGTTTGTATGCCGTTATGGCTGTGCTGACGGCTGCGATGATGGTTTTGTTGTAGGTTCATCGTTGCTAGAGCTTTGATTGAGGTCCCTCGATTGAAGCAGGCATTTTATTCTGTGGTGTTTCTTCTTGGTTCGATTGTTTATACTCCGTTAGTAGAGAACTGTTGGGATAGGTCCGAACCGGAAGAACCAATGCATTTTTTCTAAATCAAAGTTTTCGATTCCCGGTAGCTTCTATGAGACCCTTCCTATATTATTGAAATTATTTACATCAGTCGTCAGAAGTTAAAATCAAGAAGGATTTCGATAGAGTGATGGTACTGATAGGGTGATTTCACGGAAATGATCCGCCGGTCAGGCCTTTTCGACCGAGTCCCTTCTCTTCCAAACCTTTTCTCAAAGTGCTGTTTTTTTTTTTTTTTTTTTTTTTTTTTTTAGGGAAATAGAGTTTTTCCTCAGTACAAACTTTGAATATCAAAGGCGAGGACTTTTCACATGTTGCAGGTCATTCAATACGGGACAGCCTTAGTGGGCTGAGATGAGAGAAGAACGCATGATTTACAACCATAACTCATATTAACTGAAAGATAATTAAGCCGGAATAAATCTTACACCCCAAACGGCGTAACGCGCCAAAGCCTCCTCTCAATCCCCAACTCCTCCTCATACTGCGTCCCCCACACACCCCTCCAAATCCCCCCCAGCACCGAGTCCGGCGGAAGACAATACATCGCCTTCGTGAACTCCCAGTACTCCGGCTTAAAGCCTGCAGATTCCCAGTCCACAATCCCGCTCAGCCGCCCTTGGCCAAGCAGGATGTTGCTGTGGTGGAAGTCTGAGTGCGTGAGCGGGAAGAGCTTATGCTCGCGGTATGGCAGCTTGTTATCGCGCACGATCTGCTCGAAGGTTATAGATAGGTGGCTTGTTAAATGCGCGTTGAAGGCTGCTTCTGTCGTGAACGGGCCGCCTGTGTCGTCCGGTATGCGGTGATCTGTTATTGCGCCGCCGAGTGTATCTGCTATGAGATATGGCGTGCTATTTGGGATGCTCCGCAGCTGTGCAAGGGCATCACGTATATCGGCGGCTAGGGCGTCGCGCTCGGCGTAGGAAAGGAGGTGCGCGACTGAGCCGAGTGTTTGGCCGGGCATGCGCGTCATGAGGATATTGGTTACGCCGTTTGTGGTCCAGGTGTCGAGAAGGCGGGGTGCCGGGACTGTTGTGTGTTTCTCGAGAAGTTTGAGAACGTTTGGTTCGTTACGTGGGGATCGCGTGCATTGCTTCATGTAGAGGCCGAAGGGGAGGCGCTGGGCCCAGACGTTGGCTTCGAGGGGGTAGAGGCGCCGGCCGAGCATGTTTAGGAGAGTGTAGCAGAACGCCCTAAGGCGAGTAGGTAAAAGGCGCCAGAGGCTGAAAAAGCCGGATATGACGGATTGTGGAAGGTTGATGCCTTCATTTGTGAGGGTGATTGTTAGCGGTGGGTGTTGTCGTGTTGGGCGCGTTGTATTGACTTACTCATCGATTTGGAAGGCCACCCGCGTGCGACCTTGTCCTCAATATAGAACATGTGCAGGGCCGTCGCGAACCGGAAATGGATGTTGAGGAGAAAGTTGCTCGGAGGAGGAAGCTTTTGAGTGTCTGTGGTGGAAAGCTCGAAAAAGTCAAGCGCACCGCTAAATCGACTGCCATCTCCTAGGTATAGGCCCGTTACCTCCTCGGGCCACTGCGTACACAATCCATACTGCGGAGTCTGTTAGGCTCGGGTGATTGTATCGCGGCACGAAAAGACCGTAGGGACATACCACGCAGTGCTCTAGGCCATCGTCATCGCGAGGATACGGCAAGTCCCTGATATCGAGCCTCGGTCTGATATCTACGTGCCCAGCACGAAATGCTTTGTGGATGCTGGGCGGCAGTAGCAGAACGTTCTTGAGGTACGTCTCAGAATTTGCGGGCTTGTGGAGCAGCCTCGTAAGCGTGGCGACAACGTCGCTGGATAAGAATGCTTCAAGAAGAGGTCGCATGTTATCCTGCGCCCGTTAGGATCGCGTTACAGCAAGTAAAAGCAGGCTTATCTCGGTGAGACGGTGTAACAATGATGGCGGAAGCAGATGTGCTGGCTCTACGGTCGACCCGGGGACATGACTTGGATTCCGTCGCATTGCAAAGTCACGACCGTCTCGATGAACCACTAGCTCTCGAGCATTGGGAGGGATGGGGTCGTCGACAGTTACTGGGGGATCTTAGCAGGTCTTGTGTTATAAATAGTTTTGAGGCCTCTGACCTGTTGAAACAAGGCCTCTCCATTGCTGCTTGAACTCCCGCAACGCGACCTCGACACTGCATGTTGAGGATCGAATTCTTGAGACCAGATAGTCTGCTGCTCTTTCCGGTTCCAATGCGCCCTGTACGAAGTGTTTGAGGAGTAAATGTTCCGTTGGTGATAGGTCGGCGCTAGTGATTATGTCTATGGCAGATTGAATAGCCGTCATTTGCAAGGTATAGACCTAAAGAAGGGTTTGGAAGAGTTTACTGAGTAGATTGGAGCTCCAAAGAATGAGGTACGTTCAAGATGAGGAAAATTATGTGTTATAGTGTAGTTTTGAATAGTTATGACGAGAATGGCAGTCTCGAGACTGGCGCTTACTGAGCTGCAAGGGCAAATTGACAAAGCCGAATATAGGCAGATTCGTGATAAGGGACACAAGGCTGGAGTTCTGGCGATGATGTAGGGCGATGGGGTGGGGAGGCTTGCTGGTGATGGGGAAAGGACAACCAATAAAGGGATCACCTGACCCCTCTGGAGCAACGATTGCCCGGGAGTCCGACGTATTGTTTATCGGTCACTTCTAAAAGAACCTTTCGATTTGATAAATGTCGGTACATGAGAGCCGTCTGTAGTAAAAATTAAGAAGGCATGTGATGGAGCAAGCCAATGATGAAAACATTCAAGCGATTGGGGAGAATAGATGTGTGAAGAACCGACTCTGGATATATAAATTCATTTTCTTGCTCATGTAGATGGCTGAGATACATTCGGTTGGCATATTCGCTTGAGAAATAGATGATCATTGGCAATCCACACATCATAATCAAATTTATAGGAGTTTGAGGTGCCAGGGATAGGCTGTCAAAGATGAAGAACTTCTTGTGAACTGGATCCGAACGATTTTGACGAGAATTTCGGTCGCGCAGATCGCGAAGGCAGTGATATTCCGATGCTCTTTTCCGGGGTGGTTGGATACGAGAAGATCGTGCAACAATTGGAAGGTTATCGTCAAACGGTGAAGAACATGCGCGAACTGGACATGGACCCACGGGAACAAATCCCGTTCAACTTTCTGTTCGATGGCCTACCAGGTATGACGTAGAACCAATTTTCGAAGATCTGGGGGCTAAACGCACTTATAGGCACTGGTAAAACATCAACCGCTCGCCGAATGGGAAAGGTCTACTATGACATGGGCCTCCTAAGCCCTGGGGAGGTCATTGAAACTTCTGCAACTGATTTCATAGGGCAGTATAATGGTCACACCAATCCCAAGACCCAAGGTCAACTGGAGAAAGCTCTCGGAAAGGTTCTCCTAATAGACGAAGCATATCGGCTGGGCCAGGGTTAATTCGCTACGGAAGCCATGGACGAGATTGTCGATTCTATCACGAAGCCCAAGTTCTTCCAGAAGCTCATCATCAATCTGGCCGGTTACGACAGAGACATCAACCGCCTTATGATAATTAACCCTGGCTTGACAAGCTGATTCCCAGAATCAATGTATCTGTTCAGACTTTGTCATCTACGGGGTTTCGCGGAGCCGAGGGTTGGATATCACTGCTCGAGGTGAAATTGTGATTATCGATAGTAGTATTATTATAACGCTTCTATGCCAAGTTAGAAAGTTGTGACAACTTGACTTGAAGAGAAACTCATCGCTAGACTGATAGGTAGCGCTAGATTGAATCATACTAGAATTCATATCAACGTTTAGCCTTGTCCGGGTTCACGGCAACCTGCAAAAGACTGATATTAAACAAGAGGAACCCGCTCAATAAAACACGCTCCATTAATTCTGTCATACCCACAAACAGCCAAATCAAACGGCTGGTTTATATCAAGAAGCTTTAGCTTCGAGATATCCTCGGCAACGGCAGGTTTGGCCAGGGTTATAGCTCGACCCAAGGTCCAAGATTCTGCAAGCTGGGCTATGATGCGCTTAGCCAGATGGGTCGGATAATGAGAGTGTTCATAGCCACGTCCTTTACTTTCAAGCGCTGGCCATAAGATGTCCAGGATGAATTGAAAGGTAGAGTCAGATTTCCAGGAAAAGACAAGTTGGAGTAGCACCTCTGCTAGGCTGAATGTGTATACGTCGAATGTATTAGATGCCTTGAAGTCCAGGCCGCTGGCTATTTGGCACATAGTGTGTGCTAGGCTGTTCATGGATACCGTGGGGTCTGGACAGGTGGAATGTATTTCTCTGGACTCTTCGAAAATGAGTTCGCAGAGCAGACAGTATAGGGAATTCATGGCATCCCGATGCGTGGGGAGCGCCTGCAGGGGACATAAAGAGGGAACAGATAGTGAGTCGGCTGATGAAAATAGATTTGGGGGATATATGGTAGGCAGTTGTTTCTGCTCAAGTCTGGATCTCCAAACCGTCAATCTGTCCTTTTGCACATCCAACAAACCAAGCAGATGGGAACGTTGCATGAATCCCTCACGCGCTTCCGTATATTCATCCTCCTCACATTCACGACCTGAAAGATCATTCCAGACTTTATGAGCAAGACTGCCAATCTCACTCGACTGTTCCGACACCTGGTAGGTCCTGGCCGCACAGCGGAACAGGACTAGTTTAGTTCGGATTTCCACGGTCTTAATCAAGATATCGTAGATCAAGTCATCAGCACTCATACCGATTATGCAATTAAGATAGAGCTGGTCCGTCGCAGATGGCAAGATCCTCGGCCCAGATGATGTCGCTCCTTCGCCTTCCAGCCCCAAAGCAGGCGGCTTAGCTGGTCGGTGGGACGTACATAGCCGATACCACATTTGCAGTACATCGGCCCCACTGGCAGAATTAATCAAATTTGATCTATTTAACACCGCAAATAGCACGGCCTCGCCAACTGCTAGTCGGAATCGTAGGTGATCTGATGACGCGTGGTGGTAGTAAGCTAGTAGGACTCGTGTGGCGAGATATGCGGGCGCTTCTAAACTTGTTTGTTCTGCGCTTGCGGTGAGACAGTGCCAGAGAGCCTGATAGTAGTATCTCTGGGCCGCATTATGATGTCGCTTATTCACTTGTGGGCTGAAAATGGGCCTCCGAGTGCTATGAGGCAGGAAGCGGGATTGGACATCTGCGTTGAGCATCGACAGGTTCGAGGCAGAAATGCAGAGGATGGCACAGCGAAGACTATCAGACGCTAAGACATCGGCGGAGTAACTCGGAGATAATGAGGGTAGGATATGTCGGACATGAAAGTGAAAATGGCTCATGTAGTTCATCTCAAGGTCTGCCTCCGAACTGATTGAGGGTGGCAATTGAGCAGCTACAACTCTCTTTGGCGACAAGAAATTGGACTTGGGGCGCGTAATCAAGGTTGACGAGGTCCTCTTGGTCACCGAGTGCGGTTGAAACTGCGCCTTGTTGGCGATTTGAAAGCTGAAATCCACGCCATAGCTGCAGTCAAGCGACAACCTTGTGCATGCTCGACAGCGCGGTTTGGCCTCATCGCACTACCGAGGTTCAGAGGATGTTTAACAGCAACATTGGGAACAGCTCACCTTCTTGCCTCTTCTGCGACATGATTTGCAGCCCGTATGGCTTCGACGGATCGGGCGTGGTTTGCTATCTCCCGTTGGGGACAATGTTGAGGGCATCTTTGCTGAGGTGAAGAACGAGAATTGACAACGACGAGCGAATTGGGCTCAAACTTACGCGCTCGTACGTGCTGAATACATAGTTACGTGCGATCGGCGCTCGGAATATCCTCTTTAGGAAGTATCATACGCGCTGTTAGGTATTCGGATTACCGCTCTCTGTGTGTCCCCAATACTCCCGGGGGTTTGGTCAAAATTAATGGTCTGATTGCTGCGGTGAACAGTCCTTGTTTCAGACCCAGGTTGGTTCTGTTCTAATAGTTTCCCCCGTATTGTTGCTCATCGGGGGTTGTCAGTGTGGAATATGGCATATTTTACGCTGTTCGACCCCCGCTGGTTGCCATATGGAAGAGCTGTCTATGATTTGAAGACCAATAAGTCATCAGCACGCAATACTTGCCTAAGAAGCTATAAACCTAGATGAACTGCGTCTTTTCGCACAGAAACTCTTTTTAGGGTTCAGACAAATCACCGAAGATAGCCTCTCTTCGTTATACATTTCATTTTCCTTTTCATCCATTTAGCCGCAACCACATACTTGTCTTTCTTTTCTTCTTCTTTTCTTTGCAGGGGCTGTTTTATGTCTTTCTGGAGATCCTTGCTCAGAACTTGAAACATGTCTATATCCCAAAAGATCGACGAACGAACACCTTTAATAGCCGACAACCGACAAACCTCCTATACATCCACCTTGAAATCCTTGCCAGAGTATGAACAGATTGAGCAATCCGATATATCTTCAACGATTAAATATTGTTTATACACGTCCCACTTCCTGTCAGCATGGAACTCCCGCGTCTTTGAGTTCGGGGCGGTTCTATACTTGGCCTCGATATATACCGGGACTCTTTTGCCCATGTCAGTGTACGCGTTAACCCGAGGCGTAGCAGCCATCCTGTTCGCTCCTGCAATAGGCCACTACATTGACGTTGGGAACCGGCTGCAAGTCGTACGTGTCTCCATTGGTATGTTGCACCTGTCATATAATTGGAGATTCACAAATTTGTTAACCTGTTTGCGTGACTACTTAGTCCTCCAGCGGATTGTGGTCGCTATATCGTGTATTATCTTTTACCTCCTAGCTACCAGCATGTCGATGGAAAGTGCGTTTGAGAAAGGAGCATTGGCTGTTCTGGCGCTTTTGGCTTGTGTCGAGAAATTATGCTCGATTATGAACCTTGTTTCGGTCGAGAGAGATTGGGTACGTTTGAATCTTTGTCTCAGCAAATATCAATAGGGTAACAAGATATCAGGTTGTTGTGGTTGCAAGAGATGACCCTCGGAGCCTTGCAAGTGAGTTATTGTCTTATTTTCCCAATTGTTGATCTCGCTAACGCCCACCAAATCAGCCATGAATGCGGAGATGAGACGGATTGATATGGTTTGCAAGCTCATCGGACCGCTCTTCATTGCTCTGCTCGATGGCATATCTACGGAGGCTGCTATACTGGTCAATCTCGGAATGAACATCTTCTCTGTGGTTGTCGAGTACTTTACGATTGCGAGGGTATGTATCAACCTCCTCTTCCCAGCGTACGATCATCTCTAACGAGCCGTTTAGGTTTATGGAAGAGTGCCTGAACTTCAACAACCAAAGCAGATACTAGACCCCGTGCCCCAAAAAAGTCCTCTGTGGAAGCGTTGTGGCGACCTGTTTAAGAAGAGCATTCTCGACTTCAAGTTCCATTTCCATCATCGTGCCTTTCTCCCGTCCTTCGCTGGTGCCCTGCTTTATCTGACCGTGCTCTCATTTTCGGGCCAAATGGTAACATGGCTCTTATCTACGGGCTATGACTCTATGCGAATTGGTCTTGCGCGGACCCTATCAGTTGCCTTTGAGATTCTATCTACTTGGACTGCGCCTTGGCTTGTAGGTCGAATTGGCCCAGTTCGAGCCGGCCTTTGGCTGGCCAGCTGGGAGATCATTTCCCTTGTCGCTGGGATTTCCGCCTATTGGGCCTTCCAAAGCCGAGCAACAGTTTCTGCTTCTGGCCTGGTTGGGGGTACGATAGTTAGTCGACTGGGACTAAGAGGATTTGATCTATGTGCGCAGATCATTGTTCAAGATGTGAGTTACGATTCCATTCCCCCTTACTGGCATTCATAACTCCCACATTCCACATCAACTAGTTAATAGGAGCAACAGACCGTCGAGCCTGAATATCGAGGCTCATTTTCGTCAGTTGAGGCAGCATGGCAAAACGCCTTCGAGATCTGCTCTTATATGTCTACCATTGTCTTCTCCCGACCGGAACAGTTCAAATGGCCTGCTCTTATTAGCGTCGTTGCTGTCGGCTTCGCGGGGTTACTTTATGCTCTATTTGTTCTCATCCAACGAGGGCATCTAGTGCATGTGCCCAAGAGTTTCGGTTTTTGAAAAGAAGGAACATACCATCAACCATATTTTGAGGGGGTTTGCAGGGAAATTACAAGTCATGGTTCTCATTCCTTGAATATGCTGGGGATGTGAAGCAGATTATACATAACCGACTCATCATGCGGAAGTTATGCAGGCATAAAAAGAGATCTGGTCCAAGATTTTCCCCTGCAAGAATGCCAAATTCGCATGAAATTCTTAAACAGGGGATTGAGGGTGAAAGTCTAGCGGTTTCCAGTGAAATTCAGAATATTTTTGTCATTTTGGTAGGTAGGTACAATTTATACCACGTAGCTATATTAGAAATGTTGTGAAATTTTTGCCCTTTGACATTTGACCCCTTGCCATTCTTGTCACTCGGAAAAGTCCTTCCATGCCGACATTTGCATTCGCAGAGGACAACACTGAAGACAGGACTCGAACATCTCTGGTCTAACAAATTATCTTTGACCCGATTAGGTATGTTGGGCCTTCGAGAAATCGTTTTTATACTGTTCAAATCAAGCTCGGCGCTCTCTAGCACGCGTAAGAAATTGCGATATATATCGACTCAGAATGTTCACGCCCGGTTGACTCTAGCTGAAGCCTTGTGTCAGCTCAAGATTTCATTTCATTGATTGACTATAACGCATTGAGCTTATTCACAATATTCCCATGATAACGAAAGAGATCTCTATCCTGAGAGGTATGCCTCAAATGTGTTTATGATTTATATCGGTGGATCGTCTCTGAGCGGCATCACACTACCTAACTCATTATGGACGAAGACGTTTTGAATCTTCTGTGTCTGCTCGACATTGTGGTCGTTTCGTCGCCCGTGGCCGCTGCAGAGTGGGCTTGGATTTCAAAGTACAGCGATGAAAGTCAATGATCAACGCACGCCCGAGCTCTTCATTCCAGAGAACATTGTCTCGCCTGAGATCCCCATGTACTATCCTCAGGGCCTGAATTTCCTTGTCGGATTTGCGGATGGCGCGGCGAAGCTCTTGCGTGAGCTCCATCGTCCCTGTACATTCCCCTCCCCAGCCCATGACCAGCATGTGACGGATCTCTCCGGCCCCATGGAGGAAGTAGACTTTTGCCAAGTCAATCAACCCTAGGAAAATTGGGACGGCGGACCCCTGGGCCTTCCGGAGGATCCGATAAACCTGCGCTTCGCGAGAGACTTCGTTCCACAGCCCAGACGTAGTACCTTTGCCAATTACAGTGTAACCATATTCCATGCAGGTGAGCTTGAACGGGGCGCCGTACGAGCCACACCTGCCATAGGGTATACAACGGTCTACATTCTCGTCGAGCTGGGCTTTTAACTTGTTTAGCAAGTCCTGTGAAGATATGAGATGTTGAGTAAGGTTATCGTGACCCCTACGATGATTCGCCACATTTGGGCAAAGGTCGTCCAAACCACCCCTAGACTGCAAACCGTGTAAGCATCCTTGAGTACAGAACTGCGCGGACGGCGACGGGATGACTTGACTCTCTCTCCGTTTCTGACCAATTTCTCGATTTGTATCGGAGCCGGAAGATTCTGGAGACCGCGAGCGTTGTCGGACATCTGAGGGTACACAGCTGACTTGATACACCTGGTTTCCATCTGATGGAGATAGTGGCGGTGGTGGTGGTGATGGTTCATAAAGTGGGCCAGACTCGGGACCCGGAAAACCAGGGTCTGTGTCATCGAAGTGGAGAATCTGCTGTAACTCTTCCTTCGAAATCTGCGAACGTATGTGCTCAAAGCTTGTCTGCCAAATGGGAATATCCTGGCGCACACGGTTCCTCCATTCTTGGTCTCGAAGAGATGAACGAAAGGCCATTAAATAAAGGCATGTCACCTGTGCGATCGAGGTCTTTGATAGCTCTGAGATAGATTCCCTATCTAAGTCCACTTCGCTGTTCAGATCACAGCAAAAGTAGTAAAGCGTGCTTGGCTTGTCACGCGGAACACGAAGTAGAACTCTGGTTATTCCATTTGTCACATAGGAATATTCCAGGCCCTCCTGAATCATCACATGGTACTCTTGAACGATAGCGGAGCAGGCCAGCCGTTCTGCGTTGCGCTTCAACCGCGCTTCCTGGTCTGTGGGAATTTCAGTGGACCTAACCATGTCCTTCCACAAGTCTCTTGGCCGAAGACTCATGCGCAGGGCAGCAGCAGCAAGTTTATGAGGCGGCTTGTACTGAATGGAGGTAAGAGGAGAAGTGGTGATGCCGTCAACACGGTGAATACAGAATTGGTCAGGCCGCGAGTAACCCCCCTCAGTAGCTTCTTCGTTCTCTTGCAAGATATTTGCATGGCTTTTGAATTGGATCCCATCACCGAGGCCGAACTCAATTCGAGCGGCTGGGAGTTTGCACAACTCGGTGATTACGTCTTGGACATGGTCTTCCACAGCAAACCGCTCGTAGGCCTCGAGTTGCCGCTCGCTGCTGAGGGGATCGCGAACAAGGCGTTGGCCTATGCCGGTTAATTCACTCATTGACGGGAACAGTCGAAGCGCTTCTCCGTCCTCCGAGTGAAAGTACCTGGAGACGGAGCTGTTAATTTCCGAGAGTTGTCTTGAGCAGTCGGTCCAATATTCTAATCGAGTCGGGCAGTATTTGCCCGTGGGTGTAGGTATTTGTCCGGCTGTGGAGCGAGAAGGTATCTCGACTTTCAACGAACGAGAGAGGCTGCAACAATGACGTAGGAGCCCTACAAAGATAGTATGTGACAGTTGCGCTTCGTCCTCTAGAGTTCGATCTTTAATCTTCTGCGTGCGAGCGTTGATCTTCTGCGTGCGAGCGTTGATCTCCTGCGTGCGAGTGTTGATCTCCTGCGTGCGAGTGTTGATCTCCTGCGTGCGAGCGATAGCCTCTAGGTAGAGAGCCTTGTAATCTGGAGAGCTTCTTCTATCCGCCATTGGTTCGTCGGTTTGTTGGTAGATCGTGGACAATAGTCGGAAGCTGATAAGTTATCGGTGCCTGCCAAGGAGGCTGGAATCAGCTGATCACGCACTTCTGACAGATGGGTTTCTCCGGCAACGGTGGCCAGGCCATCTGATCTGACTGAATGACGTATTATATATAAGACAGAGCGATAAATACTGTGTCGAATAATGGAAATGACCGTGACCTACCCCAATGTTCATGGGAGTCCTCCTTTATAGTTCACCTTTCCAATTTGAATCGTGTTCCCAGATTCAGACTATACATTCTATTATATTTTCAGAACTAAGAATTCATCTGAGATATATACCTGGCGGAAAGTCCCGGTGGCTGGGTGAGAAAGAAGAGGCTCAGGAAGTCCTTGATCAATTTCGCTTCTTCCAGAAGCTTGAATTCCTATAGATTCGTATATCCGGTTCGGCGTCCTCTAACGTGCGCTGCATCGAGGATGCCATGCCAGCCCAGATAGATAGATAATATCCGATATGAAGATGATCACCATTTATCCGGCCCAAACTGCTCTCCTTCCCCAACTGTCTTGCGATAGGCCGTGTACAATGCGTCCTATCTCACTGTTAGCACCCATCCTTTCTCAGGGCGAGATCGCCTTAATACGCACCGTAGTCTCATAAACGGCCACATTTCCCCACCAATTCGGGATCGCAACGTTAGGCAATGTAATCGCAAAGAATATAATGATCGTGGATATCACAAGTCCTGAATCAAGCCCTGCCGCCGTGATATAGTTGTACGTGTGCCACCAGCCGGGCCAACGACGACGGATGAAGTAGTTGAATAACAGACCGAACATGGCCCATGTGGAGAAGCTCAGAGGGGTTGCTCTTTTTCCTTCTGTTAGTTGCGTAAAGTGTATTACGGGGCTGGGATACGTACGGCGGAAGCCAGGCCATTGCGCCGAGCATTCTAGTTGAGGGTCATATTTGGTTAGTGATCGGGTATGATTCGTGAGGAGGTCGGGAAGGAAGAGGTACATACACTGGAGCATTCAAGAACCGGGCTGGAGAACGTGGCCAGAATCTCATAATAATATAGAACACTATTGGGAGGAGAGCACCGAGCAACCAGAACCATTGGATGGAAGTGTAAATTGCTCCAGGGCCAAACATGCGTTTGGGGCCGATGACGCCTAACACCCTACAAGTTAGACTACATACATTTCCCGGAAGTAGATAAGCTCACCCCAGACAATACTCGATGAGAAGAAAGTCTTTCCGTTTGGACAGGTGAAATGCGCGGATTGATCACTGCTCGGTCGTTATTAATGGTGACGACACGGAGTCAAAGACGGGGCGATACATACGGGGTGCAGACTTGGTCAATGTTTGCAAGCGTCCAGTTCATGACAGCAATTTGAACGAAACAGGCCCATATTGTGGCGACGACTTGGCTAGTAAAGACCGTTCGGGGTGGGATTTTCATGTAGTGTGCCAGCTAGCAGGGGTCAGCGTAAATTTGTTGATAAGCGTCTCGAAACTCACCTTGAGATCCTGGCAGTAGGATTGACTGAAATTGTTAGAATATGACTGCGTGTTTGAGGAAGGGACATACGCTTGTCCGAGGGTGATCGTGCTAAACACCTTGAAGATCATCACACCAATGGGCTTCCCGGGGATCATGAACCCGGCAAGGAAGGGTGAAATCACGTTGAGCGCTGATGTTGTATTAGTAAAAAGGAACACAGGAGGGAATGGGTAACACACAGAGTGTGATGTTGGTAATCGCCATAATCATGCAAGTCGGAATCTATCAAGTCAGTACCTATCGGTGTCAAATAGGGCCCTCACATACAATAAACACCACAGCAATGATAATTGAAACGAAGAAAGCCCACCCTATACAGCAAATGTCAGCACTGTCTACTGCTTCAACCGGAGAAAAAGACATACACGGGGTCTGCGTATCATAGGCCAGAATACCGGCCAGCCCTAGGGCAATGGACAGCAGAAACAGCGCCGCATACCACCATTCAGGAGCCTCTTTGTAGTTCTTCATCAGGCGAAGATGAACATCCGGTTCTTGATTTTGCGCCGCCCTGAATCTGTACCAAATTTCCTTATGATGAAATACAATCACATGGACAATTGCTGCGGTCAGCGCCGCGAAAGAGAGACCGTAGTTCAGAGCAAAGGTTGGCGCCAAAAACATGGGTGAGTATTCTTTATATTTTCGCTCGTCGAAGGAAAACCCCGGCCCGAGAATTCGGGACACATTGTACGTTTGCTGGGTGTTATCATAAGTGGTTGAGGTGTTGATCGGGAGATAGTCGGAGTACCTTTGTTGTTAGGTGTGTTGATTTGGAGAGAGTGGGGGACCTACAGAGCTCCAGTATAAGCAATACCTATCGTAGTAATGATTACAAACACAATCAATCCAACGAGCGTGTTGAGAAGCGCGTGGACTGGTGCGAGCAACGGGTCGAGAAGGTATGCAGAAACATATCTGACTTGTTAGCAGTATCCTCGATATCGTAGAGAAGTACCGCACTCACGTCCAATCGAACGTGATTGGGATTAACGATAGGCCACTGAAGCCTCCGAACAGTTGATTGAGGACCACATGATTGGGTTTGATCCCTGTTTCATCAGCCTATCTCATTGCTAGTCGAGCGAGTAGACGCGTACATGTGATGAAAGCGAAAACCGATAAACCTTGCCAGAGAACGGCAGGAATCCTGATCTAGTCAGATAATTACTCGATGGACAGTTGGGAGTCTACTGACCAGTACCACGCAAAAGCCCCGAGCATAACGTATAGAAAGTACCGATATCGCGAAACAGTCCACCCATTGGTTTGAGATGCATCCGACGTGCTCTTGTCGTGGAGAGCATAGAATAGCGAAGAATTCGCAAACATGCCGGGCCAGATCATAGCGGCAGGCCTAATCATATGGATCAGCAGCAATTTTGTGAGACGGAAATTCGACACGCACCACACCAGAAATCGACGGAAAAGACCCGCTAGTGAGATGCCGATCAACTGACTGCTCAAGGTGAAGAGAAGCTGGAAGCCCCAGCCAATATCCAAATTATACAACGCTACTTGGTTAGTGAATGCTAATTGACAGATGGTGATTGCTTACGTTTCGCCTTGAGAGCCAGAAGAGCGTCTGTGCTATATGCATATCCGATTGAGACGCTGCAACAGTCAATATTGTTCTTGTATCGAGGACGGAAGACCTACTTCGCCATGATCTGGGAGATATTAGCGACCGTGATAGAATGTAAATAGCTTTACTAACCGTGATCACTGTGTGCTCCTTGATCGTAAAAGGCCCCGTGTTCAACGTCCATTTCAAACCGAAAGTGTTAAACACTCTAGTCGGCATTACCCTCGCCCATAAACACGCAACCGGATATACAAGCAATTGTACGACGATCGCAGGAAACGAAATCGCAGGACTCCTAGTTTCTATTAGCTCAGACCCTAATTACCGACTGAAGCAGAACCCACCGCATGCTCAAAAACATATTCAGCCCACTTCCCAGTGTCACGAAGATCATCCCCAGCACCCACGCGCGCACTGTGTTTGCCACTTCCCCACCATCCGTATTCCTGACAGCCGCGCGAACAGACTCATACGGGGAATCCTGCAGGAAAGACTTGTCGACTTCTGCTGCCTTTTCCTGGTCGTCGGTGTTGGCGGCCTCATTGATGGCGTCGACCTCTTCCTGCGGCAAATTGGGATCCCATTGGTGGGAATTCTTGATTTTGCGGAGGTCTTGCATTGTTTCACTTGGGGGATAGGAGTAGCTGGTTATAACCTCGGCCTGAGATTGCCCAGGGCTCTTGTTAACCGGGGACTTGGTCATCTTGCGCTTTAGGCTTGCACATTCGGTGATGGAGACAAAGTTACCCAACGACGTTTAGGTCCGTCCCTAAACTTATATATTTTCTGTTCATATCTCACGATAAAGCCATGTTTCTACCCTATCTTCCACCAGATACTCACTTATCTCCTCGAACAAGCCAAGGTAGCATCGAGCTAATGCTAGCGCAGCCTTAGCACGCTTCCCCCGCACGGCAAGGCTTGTTTATCAACGCTTGACCCCTCCGTGGCTTCGGTCCTTGGCTCCTTTCTGGCCTCAGTAGCCATGGCTCGCTTTGTTATCCTTGATAAGAAAAACCCCCTGATTCGTCTGACGGGTAAGCTGACCGCCGCATGACTCTGCGATCTGCCAACAAGCGAGGGGTGTGTTTATCCTCCTAATTACCCGAAAGACTATCTCGTCGAATTGGCGACTGGAGGAGCGGGGACTTCTCCAACCAGTTCATCCGTTGTCACTGTAGGTAGCGGTGTAGGGCGGTTTATTCCGTCGTGTGACGTTGTTGGCGAAAGACGGTGCCTTTTATCCCTTGCGTTGGCCGCTAGGAGCGAGAGCAGAGATTCATACCCAGGTTTCATGACCAGAATTATCGGCAGCATGGTGTCGACAACCTCATTCCGAAGGCTGCCTGTTCATCGCGCTCAAGCTGTCCCAATGCGCGATCGCATCGAAAGAGTCGCGGAAGACTTGAAAGAAATTCAAACCATTCTATCGATCAGCGTATCGTCCGAGCGGACGCGACGATTGAGGGAATATATAACCGCTGAGTTGGGATCGCTCCGTGAAGAACCGTTCGATCTATACGATCAACAAGACAAAGTCGACTATCTTCTTCTGAAGAATTACCTGGAACGACAACTCCGTGATCTCGAATTGAACGTGGAGCGGGATGAGAAAGCGAAGCCCCTACTCCCCTTTGCTGCACAGTTGGTCGAATTATGCGAGGCACGGGAGAATGTAGTGCCAATCGTGCCGAAAGACGTGGCCGGCATATTGTTTCGGACGCAGAAGAATGTCGTGGCCGTTATTGACACGGTGGAAAATGATCCGGAGAAGATAAGCATCAACAAGTCGAGCGCCTTCCGGGCGGCGAAGATTGTGGCTGACCTGCGTGAGCATCTTTCCGAGTGGTTTCGCTTTTACAAAGGCTACGATCCCTTGTTCGACTGGTGGGTGGCTAGCCCATACAGCGAGTTTGACGACGCTTTGGTCCGACTGTCGTCTGCGATCCGTGAGAAGCTCGTTGGTATCAAACCTGGCGATGAAGACGTTATCGTTGGGGAGCCGATCTATCGCGAGGGACTGCTGGCAGAGCTTCAGGCGGAAATGATCCCATACACGCCGGAGGATATCATCGCGATCGGTGAGAAGGAGTTCGAATGGTGTATTGGAGAATTGGAAAAAGCGTCGCAGAGTATGGGATTCGAAGATGACTGGAAAAAGGCACTGGAAGAAGTCAAGAATGATTACGTCGATCCAGGGCAGCAGACACAATTGGTCAAAAAGCTAGCACAGGAAGCAATCTCCTTTGTCGAAGAACATAGTCTCGTCACTGTGCCGCAGATCGCGAAAGAGACGTGGCAGATGTTCATGATGTCGCCGGAGCGACAGAAAGTGAATCCCTTCTTCCTAGGAGGATCATCGATCATCGTGTCCTATCCAACTGACACTATGGACCACGAGTCCAAATTGATGAGTATGCGTGGAAACAACATTCACTTTGCTCGTGCGACCGTCTTTCATGAACTGATTCCCGGCCATCGCCTGCAATTCTACATGAACGCGCGGCATCGACCGTACCGGCAACTCTTCGACACTCCGTTCTGGATTGAGGGATGGCCATTATATTGGGAGATGATTCTATGGGACGACGATCGGTTCGCGAAAACACCCCAGAACCGCATTGGGATGCTTTTCTGGCGACTGCATCGATGCGCCCGAATCATCTTTTCCATCAACTTCCATCTCGGGCGTATGACGGCGCAGGAGTGTATTGACTTGCTCGTGAACAAAGTTGGGCATGAACGCGCCACGGCGGAAGGAGAGGTAAGAAGATCACTGGCGGGCGATTACTCGCCGTTATATCAGGCTGGCTACATGCTCGGGGCATTGCAAATTTATGCGCTCCGAAAGGAAGTGGTCGAGGGCAAGGGCGAGGGAGGGTTCATTCGCGAGAAGGATTTCCATGACCGTTTTTTGAAGGAGAACTGCATGCCTATCGAGCTGATGCGCGCGTTAGTGACCGAGAGCCCATTGTCGAGGGATTACACTCCGTCCTGGAGATTTTACAGGTTATAGGAACCATTCAGGCTCGTGCTATACAGACCTTCTAGAGATACAGCCATCCAATGACAAGATATACCGAACGCATTTCTGTACACGTATGAGAAGCTAGAGCGCTGTAAACTCGACAACGAATTCATTCAAACAAATGGGATGATCATGGCAGTGTCCCTCGGAGACGTAAAAATTTCAAATGAAAGCAGTTGGCCGTAGTCAGACAATGATAAAACACAGGGAAACATAGCATGCTACCTCCCAGCCCCGTCGGTCATTCAATCACGAAAGAAAGAATTTTCTCGAGCTAACAGAGCAGCGGCGGAAAGAGGCAAGGCGGCAATATTCAATGACTGATAATTCGGCTTTTTACGCAACCAATGACTAGTATCCAAACTAGTACGTTCTATAATCCAGATTATTGGACTCACAGGGACCTCTTTTATGTAAGTCATTTCGATATTCAAATCATCTGATCAACAAAGTAAGCAACATATGTGGTGCGAACTGATAGTAGAAAGTATTATAAATGACCAATTGTACGGGTCTATGGGACTCAGAGGGCAAAAGCAAACGCCCTTGGTCTACATTTCGCGGCGTGCAAGGCATTTCAGTCAAACTATACGGTGTGCATGAATGGGTTTCACAACCAAAGATGGGATAATGATGCTACTAAGACTAATGGGGTCGTGATTGGTAGACGTGGATGCAGTTTCTGGCTTGGCAGCAGACGACAAAAAAGCCTAACGGAGACAGAAGGTACGTGCGTGACGTGTCAAATTCAGCCTTGGGAAGCATGAGGCTAAGCATATGATCCATAGATTCTAGGACCAAGACCAATCCCACTACGTCGAAGGAGTCGGAGCCTGCCCGAGAAATGCTAAAGAATAAGTACGGAATATGAACATTCCTGTTGAAGATCACACTGTGCACTCTGCATGGCCAACATCGGACCGAGAAAGGGGAACACACCTTACGCATCATTCACGGCTTTCTCTGCCCTAATTTCCGAATATTCGAGCTACCCCCACGTCCGCTTATGTATACCTATTACGGTTGCAAGTGTTATCTTCTTAACTCCCAGGCTATAAAAACCTCAGCTGGCCACGAATGTCACTCATATCATGGAAAATATTCTATGTATTGCCCCTATTTCGCCATGGCTTGTAGAACAAAGAGTTGTGAAACGATAGTGCCCGTGTACCTACCAGTAGAGACAGGTAGCTATCGGATTTCAAAGGGATATTGAGGCCTCAGCCATTGGATGAAGGGGCAATGGACACACGGGAATGCAGAAGTGTACAACGAAGCTCAAGAAGCTCTTTAGGCAACCGCCAAGAGCTGTCTCACCCTCTCGAAACAACCAGGAGCAGCTCAGCCACCTGGTTCCAATTCGTGAGCCGGGAACAGGTGGATCGTAGAAATGGGTGCCCAGGTTGCTAGACCCTTTCTCCTTTGCTTGTTACCTCAATTTGACATCCACGGGCCACCAGTTGAAGATTCAATGTTGATCCGGATGCGGTGTCGGAGCCAACGCCCAACAGTTTGAAAATTTAGCGTGCTCTAGTCAGCTAAACATACTAAAGACCGTGAGCTAATCCTACTTAAATCGAAAGGTTAATGTGCTCATATTGAAATTTAAACGTTCTTCAAGGTAATACATTCAGCTCTGATATTGAGCTATTTACTCAACAAGACAGAGGAAGGGGAGATCCGTGCGTTTTCTCTTAATCAAACCGGCAAATCTGAAGGGCTGGAGAGGACTGGGTATGTTATGAAAACTCATATTCATGCACAGCCCCGATATGTGGATGTCTTTCCACGAGAAGTTGTGGGCCAGTGACCAGTGTACACCGTGTATGCTAGCCCAGAAAGACATGGTTTTCGAGAAAAGACGACGGGTACCTGTTTCAGATCGAAACCTACCCGTTCCCCATTAGGGTGCTTGGAGGCTTTTATAGGGCAACAGGGTAACGCTTCGGTGGGTCTCGCTCGGTGCCGATCTGCCAGCACAGCCAACGATCGGCGAGAAAGGTCCTGGGGAAAAGGAAGAAAGGAATGGTAGACTAGGGATAAGGATCTTTGGCCCGCCAATGAGGTTGTGCATATGCCAAAATTGCCAGGGTTCAAGTTGGCCGAGGCAATGGAACCAGAAGCGTGATTGATATACACCGGAGCAGGACACCTCCGGAGCCAGTTCATACTTAGTACATGGGTAGACCACAGGCATTTGCTGAACCGTGGGAGCATCAAACGCCTCTACCCTCTTTGACTTACTTCGATGCGGCTTTGACAATATGGCTCGTCCAGTACAATTCCGCCGTCTTTATAACCAAACCTTTACACTCATTCATAAGAATCTTCTCATATCCTTCAAGTCCCCTATCGCGACCATTGTTAAGACACTCCTTCTACCGATTATCATTACCATCATTTTTGTCTACCTGAAAGAGATTCAAACGGACCTTGACTCATCCAATGGAATCACACGCAGCGGACAGCCGGTCCTGGACCTCGCAGATGCCATTGATCTCAGTTCCTCGCAACGGCTGGTCTTTGTGATTAATGGGATCAGGGACAAGCGGCTCATCGACATTTTAGAAGATATCCGAGATGCACCAGGCATGAAAGGTCGTGAAGTCAGGATTATAGATGAGCCAAATGGGCTGTACAATAACTGCAGACAGTCGATTCATGGAACCAGCGAATGCTTTGCCTCAGTCATGTTCACCACCTTCAACGCAACCCATGCCGAATACAACATCGCAATCGACGAGGACGCTATAAAGAACACTCCCTACAGCTACAGACCCGGACAGTCCGCTCTGTCGAGGCGCGTTCTACCGATTCAATGGGCGCTGGACTCACGAATTGGCGGGTTCACCTCTGCGAAGAAACCAACCGAGAGAATGTTCAGTGGTTATTTCGACGAATCTGGCACCAGTGGGACTGATGTGCCAACTGAAGTATACTGGCTCTCCATCGTCAGTTATTTCGCCGCTCCTTTATTTGTGTTCCTTCTCTTAGTTGCAACCTACCATGTCAGCAGCTTCGTGGCAGGAGAGCGACAAAACTCGGTCGCGGAACTTCTTATGGCGCAGGGCGTCGGCACAATTCCTCGCGTTTTATCGAATATACTCTCATTCTGCATTCTCTATGTTCCAGGGGTCATCATTTCTTCGCTGATGCTCGGCGAGCTGCTTTTCAAAAAGACATCCACGGGGCTTTTTTTCATCCTCATGCTTCTCGCCTGCTTCTCATTCATTGTTTCGGCCCACTGCATGGGGTCCCTCTTTGCGAAATCCTCGACAGCCGGCCTGTGCACTTGCATCCTCACATTCATTCTCGGAGTCGCGTCGGTCGCACAGAGTTTGACCTCCTTCCGGAGCCCAGGAGAAATAGCCGGCCTCTCGTTTGTCTTTCCTTCCTACGCATGGGCGACCCTCATCCGAGACATCGCGACAGCCGAGTTCACGGAGCGAGCCTTCCCGGATATGCAAGCGCAGGAGCAATCGCAGGCTATAAATGGATATCTTTTTCTCCTTATTTTCATCTTTCACGTATTCGTCTACGGAGCGATTACATTCCTCGTGGAATATTTTCGATGGGGTGTTCCACAACAACGCGAATGGACGGTGTCCTCGGATGAGGTGGCCCTACGATTAGGGCATCTATCGAAGACGTTCAAGGGCGGTAAAAAGGCTGTAAATGATTTGAGTTTCGAAGTGCAGAAGGGCTCTGTTACCTTCTTGCTGGGTCCGAATGGAAGTGGGAAGACCACCGCGCTCAAATGTATTTCCGGCATGATCAAGGTGGACCAAGGCTCTAAGATCCAGTTCAGTCGGGAAGGGCATTCTTTTGGCTTGTGTCCACAGATTAATGTATGTCGGCCTGTTGCCGTAATGAGTCTGTATGCTAATTATATAGGTCCTTTGGGATGTGCTCACGGTGAACGAACATGTGCGTATCTGGGCGAAACTCAAGACTGCCGGGAGCGATATGTCGGTCATTAAAAATGCAGATGATGTGATCGCCGAATGCGGTCTCACAGGGAAAGCTCATGCAGCATCTGAGACGCTCAGTGGTGGGCAGAAACGTCGACTGCAACTGGCTATTGCATTTGCGGGTGGATCGCAGGTGTGCTGCATAGATGAAGCATCCAGTGGACTGGTGTGTTCCCTATCTATCCTTCCCACTACCATCTCTAAGTCTCCCAGGATCCATTATCTCGTCGAAATATCTGGAATATTGTCCAGGAAGGGCGACGTCACCGAACTACTGTTCTAACTACTCACTTCCTAGACGAGGTAAGGATCACCAGCATTGTTTGGTAGAACCTGCTAATATCTGTAGGCGGATGTTCTCGCCGACCACATTGTTATTATGTGCAAAGGGCGCCTGGTGTGTCAGGGCTCTAGCACTTCGCTCAAGTCGCAATACGGCGACAGCTACAGAATTCGCATGGGTGACGACGGCGAAATCGCCTGCAAGGCGGCAACGTCCGCAGAAGCTACTCAAAAGGTACTCGAACTTGAGAGGATACGAGATGGCCTTGCCTGCCATGTCACCTTCCCTACCCTTGAGCAGGTCTTCTTAAAGACCACCTCGGAATACGGCACTGCTGTCAACGCAATCGGTGGTGATGGCGTTGTCGGGGAGCAGGAGACAGCCGAGGATTCAATCACGCCCGTTGAAGATAAGATTCTCGCCATGGAGAGTGAATATGCCGGTCAGGACCTGGACCTGGATGTCGGACGCTCAGTAGGAGCTTTCCGACAGATATGGGTGCTCTTCCGAAAGCGTTGCCAGTTGCTCATGCAGTGGTCTGGACTGACTGTGTACGCGGTCAACCTTATCATCCCGATTCTGGTCGCAGTGGCCTTGACCAATGGCTTGTATGATTGGAAGGCCCTCGACACGTGCGAGAATGCGTACCAGAGGTATGAACATCCCAGTGGGGCTGAATTTGCTCCGTTGATGGAGGCGATGACGCCGATGATTCCGATGGTTACGGGAAAGGTCTCTGCTGGCATCCTGGGGCCACAGCGGGCAGTTTCTGGCGCTGTTCAGGATGCGCTCTATGTTGAAAACATGTGAGTTCTAACTTGGCCGTTGTAGAGCCTAGTACTAATCAACCTAGTGCGTCGATGTTCTCCGGGTCCCAGTCCCAAACTTTGAAAAGCAGAACCCTTGTCAACAGCCAAGATGATTTTGAGAAAGCTATGTTCAAAAGCGGCGGCAATGTCCCTTTCGGCATATACGCTCCTACGCCGGATAACGCTATCTTTTACCATGATGCAAGCTCGTACTATGCTGGTAGGTTTAGCTACACGATTTGGTCAACCTCGGCTAATTTCCACAGCAAACGGAATCGATGGCTTCAGCTTCCTGACGAATCGACTTGCCAACTCGACAGCGAACAGTCAGGCCAGGCTAGTCTCGACAACCCTGCGGACGTTTCGCCATATAGTGCCGGTGCATGACTGGAGGAATATGCCTATCGCAATTCTAATAGTAGTCGCCTTCATGGCAGCTGTATCGACGACTGCCATATATCCAAGTATGTCCATATTGGCTCACTGACGCGCTCAGAGCTCTTTGCTAACATTAACAGTGTATGAGCGAGTCTCCAAAGTCCGGGCTCTGCAATATAGCAATGGTGTCTCCCCGTTCGCACTCTGGACCGCCTATCTTCTATTCGATTTCCAGTTCATTCTTATCGAAGGTACTTATTTCAGGCTCTGTCCAATGCTCAGCGACTAATTCTTTGTAGCTCTGGTCATCTACGGACTCCTTTTCGTCAACCCGATCAACCATGTCTGGTACCGACCGGATTGCATTTTCGGCGCGTTTATTCTGTTTGGAATTGCATCCTACCTCGGTGCATATCTCATTTCCAACATGGTTCGTCGCGGAGGTTTCTTCGCGGCGTTGTCAATTCATATTGTACTGTTTGTCGTCTACTTTATCTCCTACGTCGCGAACCAGTATAGTGGCTCGGTAGATTCTCGACAAGACAGTATGCTTTCAACCCGAGGTACTCTGATTTTTGAGACATAGAACTAACCAATTCATCTGTGCAGTCTACGACTCTCTCCAAGCCGGCCTTGGTCTCATCGCTCCGGCTGCAAATCTCGCCCGCGCCCTCTTCATCGGCATGAACACGTTTGATGTCCTCTGCGGAAAGTTCGGAGACCGAGATACCTCCTACCCTTTTGCTTACGAACTTTATGGCGGTGTCTACGCAAACCTGACTTACCAATGCCTCTTTCTCATTGGTTGCCTAGCGCTTTATGAGTACGGCAGCACAGACTGGCTCAGACCCTTGTTTTTCTGGCGTCGAAAGCTTCCCGCGAGAGTACATCATAGAGTGGACGATACAGAGATGACTTCCTTTGAGAGCACGCGGAATATTATCGGCGGGGAGAGATCGCAGTGCGTGCCAGACAATGCAATCCTCGAAGTCGATCGCGTCAGCAAATACTTCGGGAGCTCGTTCGCTACCCAGAATGTCTCGCTTTCCATCTCGTCGAACGAAACTCTCGCACTGCTGGGTGGGAACGGTGCCGGTAAGACGACTACTATTAATATGATTCGTGGGGAACTGAAACCCGACTACGGAAATATCTTGGTGAATGGTATCTCGATGTCACGACAACCTGGACAAGCGAGGTTGCATATCGGGGTGTGTCCGCAGGACGATGCGGCTGATAATTTGACCGTGAGGCAAACGTTGGAATTTTATGCCGCTGTTAAGGGGCTGCAAAGGGTCAAAGAGAACGTGGATGAAGTCATGAATGCGTTGGATATCACGCAGTACCAGAAGGTGGCGGCGAAGGCGTTGAGCGGTGGAACTAAAAGGAAGTTGACAGTTGCGATCGCTTTACTTGGTTGGTCTCTCCGGATCTATTACTGTGCATACGTGCGATGCTAACATTTCTGTCACAGGGAACCCGTCTCTGATTCTACTCGACGAGCCCTCGACCGCACAAGATGCAGGCGCGAAGCGGATTCTATGGCGGGCACTGAAACGGATTCGTACCAACAGAGCTATCCTGCTCACAACCCATAGTATGGAAGAGGCTGAAGCGCTGGCTTCAAGCGTTGCGATTATGCGAACTCGACTGCTCGTTTCCGGGACGCTAAACTCCCTCAATGACACCTATGGCGGTGCTTTCCGGTTACGAGGTGTGCGCTGCGAAGACGTCGGTACTGAAATGGCCAAGCACGAAGTCACGAGGTCCTTCACGAAGGCAGGTCTTCATGCTATGAAGTATTCTGATATGAGAGGATTGATCCAATTCTTTGTCAAGTACGAGAAGCGCAATTTGGGACAGATTATGTCCATCATGGAGGGTTTAAAGGGAAGTCCGCCGACCATGGGTAGCCAAGCTCATGCCGGCAGCGCTGGGTCTTTGACCTCAGGAACGAAGACGATGAAGGTGTTTGAGGAGTATACCTTGATTGAACCGACTTTGGAGGAAGTTTTCATGAATGTTGTTCAAGAAGCCGAGGATTCTGAAGGACTGTGATTCCCCACTCCTTCCACGTCATCCACTTGTAGTCTTTTCTCCATCTTGTCATTAGCTATCACATTTCTGGCATTTTTTTTACATACCCTTAGACTACGCTGATACAGCAATCTTCTATTATAGTCTCGTCTTGTTTCTGAGTACCATTTTCCCCCAGATATACAAGTTAATTCACTAAAAGCTCTAGTAAGCTTGGTCAGCGACGAAGTCAGGCTCTCCGTCATTCCCGACAACTCTCTGAATATCTTAATAGTATCCCTAAAGCCTCATAATTCACTCCTGCATACATTCGGGCACTGAACTGTCATAGGGTGTACAACCACACCCTCTTTCACTCTCTAGTCCCTTTACTCAATTTCTTGATTTACGATTCTCATCGGAGAACACCCCTCAGCCAACATTTCTATAGTACAATGAACTGTCCTTGGATCATCATCATACTGTTCGTCATATTCCTTTTATTACTGTATCTATGAGAATCTATACTCCAACCTCACGTGCTCATACTTTAGAAGAACAACCATACATTAAACCAGACTTCTGCCTTATCGTTGTGTCAAACGGTGTCTACAGTCGGACAAACTCTAGCATGAAAGTTTAAAGATCAACTACATAGCAAACCGCTTTTAGCCACATGCAGGAAAGCAGAATCCTTCAATGGACAATACTTGCTTTTCTTGTCATAAAGATTTGATATACCTCGTGCAAGTCGAAGAATAAATCTCCCTGACGTAAGCCACTTGTCCTTTCCCCTACAATAGCTTTCCCAATGATCCTTCTTGGTAGGTTTACGGAATTCAAAGGACATGGTTCTGATTGTCGTGACTGTTCACGTTCGCCGAGAGACTAAGACGATCGTGATGGAAAGTATTTACCGGAAGTCGCTCCGCTAGGTTGCTGCGTCTGCATCCAGCACATCCACTGTGCAGTCGTTTGTTGACGGGCTATGTCTTTTGACCAGGGCTCCTTCATTCGCTTTGAAAATAGCAGGCGCACTGTTAGACGTCTTTCAGTTTGAGCCGGAACATCGAATGCATCATATCGACGAGACAATCACAACAAAAACCAACCTGGAAGCCGGCAGCATTGTCTCATACCGACAATATACACCGGTTGTCTTGCGCTTTGAGCCGCAACCTCACACCAGACTATTCTTTTCGAAGAAACCAAATGCCACGCACACCTAATAGTGTCATTTTCAACGAGGTGATTTGGTGATCCGACACGAGGCAGACAGAGGCCTTTCTTTCTAACGCCTGCATCCATTCGCGACATGATTCAAAAGAAAGCCATAAATCAGACCAAGCGTAGGAACTAAAGTTGATCGGTGTTGCTAGTCAATAATCATGAACACATATGAATATCAATGGTTATCATATAATGATCCAATCTTTCTACGGTCGGGCCTAGCTACGTCATGTGCATTTATATTCCTTTTCTTAGTTGACCGACGTTAATTAATTGTCTTCCGGTGGAAGTGTAAGAATAGCGATTCGGCCTGTCGGTTGACATCATCCGGTGCAACTCATAAACAAGGCCCGAATGCATGCGCGCATCCCGGCAAATCATGAAATTAACTAATCCCACGATGACGGCAATCGGCTTGAGGCCGCCAGACAGCGTGGATCCCCAAGACCCGCCATGACGGAATGTCGCTTTTTAGGGCTTGTCGATCGCCAACTATCGGTGGGCAGCGACTAATCACGGTCGGCCTCCCCTTGCCTTATGTCTCCTCTGCTCCACTTCGTTCCAAGCCAGAATGGCCCTCGTCAAGTTGAATCCGTTTGCTTACCTCGTTCCTGTTTTTAGGCCGGGGCCTCGAAACTGATCATGGCACCTCGCGTGGTCGATCGTCGAGGTTATATAAGAAGGTAGCTTCAGAGGTAGCTTGTCGCATTCCTTTAGCTTCATCCAGACCCAGTCCAGTCCACCCACCGAGCCATGCATTTCCAGCTCCTCTCTTCGGCCATCCTCCTCGGCGCCTTGTCGACCGCTTCCGCAGAGTCCAAATTCAACCCCCTCGAGCATCTCACCGGCATTTCGCCCTACTATTTCCCCAAACACCCGCCTCTGGACGGAGCGGCGCCCCAAGGATGCAACGTGACGCGCGCCGCGTACCTCGTACGACACGCCGCTATTTACGCCAATGACTTTGATTACGAGTCCTACCTCGAGCCGTTCATCGACAAGCTGCGGAACACCACCCAGGACTGGTCGTCGGTCGGCGGACTGCAGTTCTTGGGTAACTGGTCGGCGCCCGTGAGTGAGGAGCACCTGGAGAAAATCACCCGAGTCGGATACCACGAGGCCAACTCCTTGGGCTCGACCTTGCGGAAACGTTACTCTGGACTCAAGGCGCCCGAGAAGGTCTGGTCGTCTAGCGCCGACCGCACGGTGCGCACTGCCGGTGGCTTCATTGCCGGGTTTACCGGCCAGAAGAATAGCAGCGTGCATCTAGAACAGGTTGAGGAAAGCAAGGACAGCGGTGCCGACTCGTTGACCCCATACAAGAGCTGCCCGGCGTATAGCGGATCGTACGGAAGCGACCAGTCCCAGGTACGTCCCTCTTCCTGTCGCTTTCCCTCTCATTGCCTCCCGGCACATTATTGACATCGAATGATATAGGAATGGGTCGACCGCTACACCAAGCCCATCATCGAGCGCCTTAACAGCAAGGCCTCGACCTTCAACTTCACCGTCTCCGACGTCGTCGCCATGTTCGAGCTATGCGGCTACGAGACCGTCATCCGCGGATCGTCGGGCTTCTGCTCGCAGGACCTCTTCTCGCAGGACGACTGGCTTGCTTTTGAATACGGCGAGGACGTCCGATACTTCCACAACGCCGGCTACGGTCGCGACGTCACGCCGCGCATCGGATACCCCTGGGTCAAAGCGAGCGCGGACCTGCTGGACGACTCGGCCTCCAAGCAGGATCTGTACGTCTCGTTCACCCACCGCGAGCTGCCGCCCATGGTCATCACCGCCTTGGGCCTGTACAACAACACTGCCTTCTCGGGTGCCAACAACATCAACGGCACCATGCCGACCGATCGCATCAACTACAACCGCGCGTGGGTGAGCAGTCGCATCCTGCCGTTCTTGACGAACATCGCCATCGAGAGAATGGAGTGCGATAGCTTCGGCTACGACGAGGGTGACTACTATCGTGTGCTGGTCAACGCCGGTCCCCAGCCGCTGGTCGAGTGTCGCGACGGCCCTGGAGATAGCTGCTCGGACGGGATATTCAAGGACTTTGTCAAGGAACTGGGTGGTCTGTATGGTGGTGACTTCGATACTTTCTGCGGCACGAGCAGCAACATTTCGCAGACCTTGAGCATTTACGAATAAGCGGGCTGGATGTTATGATTTGTTTGAATTATGTTGATGCATTGCAGTGCCATTTGTCTTGACTTGGCCTTAGCGGATCTGTTTGGTTTGTTTATTTTCGGGTCTAGATATTGCATTATTTAGGGTCATTACTCGCTAGAGAGCCTAATGCATGGATGAAAATAAGGATGACATTCATCCAATGTATGCAGACCCTACTAAACTTTGCTTTCACCACCATCCAAATCCGCCCCTGGTGATCATCCTTAAAGCTCTTCCCTGCAGATATGATAGAACTAGCCCGGGATCAACATGAGTTCTCTTCCCATCAATTCCAGATCAAGAGTCAGGAAAACTCACAATATCACATGTTCCACACGACGATGCCTGGGGGCAATTCCGATCGGAGCTACAAAAGTCACCGCATCGAAGCGTCTAGCAAGGCAGTTAGCACGGGTAGGTGGATTCACACATTCAAGGGTCGGTGTGTACCGCGTTGTAGGGAATGCGGTTTGGCATGCCGACGGCGAGGCCGACCAGAGCCAAGAGGAGAAGGGGATGGATCTTCATTTAGGGCTGCTGCTTGCGGATCAGTGTCGCGTGCCTGAGGAATGTGGCTGCTTATACCCCTTGATACGAATCCAACCGTGGACGGGAGCCGATGGCATTATATGTGGTTCCTCGGTGCATTGTATATCTTTACGATATCAACCTGTATTTGTCAATCAGGGAGGACGAAGTTAATCGGATAGGGGAGGTCAGTCGTACGCGAGGTATACAGCCTAGGAAATGTCGAGGTGTAACATATCACCATCAGCGTACCCGATGATGCCATTCTGTACCTGCGATTGTGAGATGGGCGAAGAGTCTGACACTGCAGGCGCCCGAGGTATGGCAACTGAAGCTAAAAACGACCGTGTCGGATGAAGCCGACGGGGAGATATATATATACCCTATGGAGTCAGCTGATGTACCACAACCCTCCAAATGCACCGACACGAAGTCCATCCGTGGCAGTTCAACGGCGAGACCCCGTCTACCGCTGAGTCAGCCATCCCAAGAGAGCTTATCGCGAGCAAGCCCTGCCGCGCAGCCAATCCCAGTGCAGTAGCTCGCAGCACTAGGCCGGAAGTGGTCTAGCACCAGGCAACTGCGGGGATGCAAGCAGAGCGAACAACAAGAAGGAAAGGAAAAGGATGCATCCAGCTGCCTGCCGGGTTACACCAGCTCGCTTCCACACTTCCCTCCCCCTTTTCTTTCCTTCCTTCTGTCCGGTTCTTTGTTTCCCTGCGTCTGGCATAAACACCCAGTCACTCAAATCTCTTCCTCCGAATGTCTGCGAATCTCCTGTCAGCATGCGCTTTTCTTCTCTACTGTGTCTGTATCTTCTCAGACAGACAACTGCTGCGCCGATAGCACTTGCCTTCTACAAGGGGACTCTGACCCATGCGGACTGGGTCAATCTCGATCATCGTCGCCTCCGTTTGTTGTCCGATGACAGTAATGACAATAACATCCGCGCCGTGACGGACGTTGACTCCCGCGATACTACCACACTCCTGCAATCGCCCTTCCACCTCCTCTCTAATCACGACTGCAACTTCCCGACTTGCGTCTCCTCGACGACATTGCGGAAATCACTCCGTCGGCGTACCGACGCCGGCAAAATGGCCGTCTCGCGTCTACCTTGCGCCTTGTGGGCAGTCCTTGGATTCGCCTTCGCCTTTCTGATCATGCGGCTCGTCAATCGACACGGTCGATATGTTCGAATTCCCGGTGCAGGACACGACCGGGCAACTGACGCTGTGGTGACAAAGCCGGAGCCTAGCCGTGTGGCGGCAGACGAGGAAGTGTCGGATGATTTTGACGACACGGATTATCCGATGGGATAAGAAGGGATCGAACTTGGCATGCGGATGCATGATCCCTGCACGTGGTGCTGTTTGTTTGTTTTGATAATTGGTCTCGTGATCCGTGTTTGCCTTTCTCCCTTTCCTGTACTCTAGCTCTCCTCTTCCCTTCTTCTCTGTTCACTTCTCTCTCATATCCCCTTCTCACTTCCCCTTTGTTGTTTGTCTGCGTTCGAGCCAAGCGTCGGTGTTGGTGAGGGAGTGTTAATCATGACTTATATGCAACATTCTGATCACTGATTGGGATAGTCAGCTTGTGGACTACGTATTAAATGCTTATTTCCCATCTTCTCCGGTCTACTTTGGCTCTACATTACGGTAACACACAATGACGCTGACAGTTCAGACGTAGCAATGTGGTTGATTTCTCCATGACAAACTGTTCTGCTGCTATCTGCCTCCAGATTCCTTCCCCACGCCAGAGCATACGAATGATGGTGATGTTGAATACCATCGAGTGTACACCTATTCCTCCGACTCCAAGCGGTCATCATAACGCCGGCACTCATGTCGACGCTGCGTGCCCAATTAGTTGGCGAAACTTGATGTCAGGCAGAACTTACTCGGTGACAGTAGTCACAAGGACCGCGCCCGCGGCAGTCCCAGTCCCGTTCACACCAGTCTCCACAGCGTCCGAGCTACTTTGATTAGCATTTCCCCCTCCAAAGGCCGCAGGACCTGAGAGAAAGCCTACCGGCGCTGGATCCGCATTCTCAGTCGCGACCGCCATGCTCAGGAGCGCAGCGAACAGGACAAGAATAAACCTCATAATGCTGGTTGCCTCTGGAAGGTCTTTGGCTTTGGTTGGGTTGTCTGGGTTGATTCTGGTTTGGTGGAACAAGGCGAGGTGGAGTCGGTCATCGTGCCCATATTTATAACCAAACATCCTCTCTCGACCGACGTCCTCTTACGACCGTGTAGTCGAACACCAAGTGCGGGCACAAATGGGATCCGTAGGAATTTGTTCTTGCTTGTCTCAAACCGCCACATCCGCTGTATAACACAGACCAGGCCATCAGCTGAGATGACGGCAGGTGAATGAGGCCATTCGCATCGACGAAGGCTGACATTCCTGTCGGTCCTGGAGCTGAAATGGGGATTCCCCGATGCTTTGTCCTACCGATGTACCACTGTAGTTGGACCAGGTTGCAATTCCTTGTGCGGGGAAGGGAGTCAGCCTGAAGAATCGGGAGAGTCTTTGCCGCATTTATAGAGTTGTATTGGGCTAGGTCATGATCAGGGTGTCAGTGATGCTCGAAATATGCCCCGTCCTCGATGCATTGGGAATTTGTCTAGTGAGAGAGGACGCTTCGGATATTTGGAACGTACTGATTGAGAAGCTTGTCCGACATGTCGGAGACTTAAACACGTGTAGCCAAGGACCAGACCTGGTTTATCGTGCGATGCCTTTCTACCTCTGGTAAGATACGATGGAGTTGCAAGAAGTCAGTCGGTGCGAGAGTGAGCCTGAGGCTCCCAGAAGAGACAAACATGCAAACGGTGTCATCCGCTCTCACGTGCCCTTGCCTTTGGAATTCGCTCACTCTCGCACCCTCAAACTTTCCTCTTTCCCTTTCCCTCACCCCCGATCCATCCAGACCAGTGGCGACGCTGCACTGCCCCTCGGTCCACTCCTACTGGAGAGGCATAGTACCAATGGCCGGCTCGTGGTGGACACGCGAGCAGAAAAAGTCTTCCACTGACATCCTCCGCCAAGGGCCTTGGCGATACTCTCCAAGGTAGGCCAAACTGGTCCAAGACCTGCTCTGCGATGGGCGACAACCAGCAGCTCAGGAACGTGCTCGTTTGTGCCACCTGATTGGCTATCCACCGGCCGCACCTTCGTCTACGGCTTGGCGCCAAGTCCGCTCCTCTCGGCGGAGGCCAGGCTCTAGCAGGCTCTAGGAACCAATACCATCGGTCACTGCTCTCACGTTCGTCGACCATTCCAATCAGTCTGGATGGAGGTGACCGACAAGAAGAAAAACCACGCGATGCCTTGGCACTGTGCGTGCAGCCACCCGGTCATGGCATCAACATGATACTTAACTTGCTCGCGTGCTCTCATTTTCCTCCGATTCTGTCCAGCAGCACCCACGCATCTTTCTTTCTTCTCCTCTCATCCTTTCTCTCTCTGAAAGCTCGAGCTTCCAGCTCGGCACTTTTTGCCCATCATGATCCCTCTCGAGACCGCCCCCTACGACTGGATTCTGGCCTTGACCTCTATTGCCTTCGTCTTCAGTGCCTTCGGTAACGGTGCCAACGATGTCGCCAACTCCTACGCTACCTCCGTTGCGGCACGGACCCTGAAGATGTGGCATGTCGGTATCCTGGCCATGATCACCGAGTTCGTCGGTGCCGTGGCCCTCGGCAGCCGTGTCACCGATACCATCAAGTCCGGCATCATCGAGCCCGATCGGTTCATGGGCAAACCCGGCACTTTCATGCTGGCCATGGGCTGTGCTGAGGTGGGCAGCGCCTTCTGGCTGATGTTTGCCACCGGCCGTGGATGGCCGGTGTCGACCACTCAGACCGTCGTCGGTGCACTGGTCGGTGTCGGCTTCGCTTCGCAGGCTAAGATCACCTGGGAGTGGAAGAGCGGCAGTGTCTCTCAGATTGCTGCTTCCTGGGGTATTGCTCCCGCCATCGCCTGTGCCTTCTCGGCCCTGATCTTTGGCATCCTCAAATACACTGTCCTCGAACGCAAGGATTCCTTCAAGTGGGCCATGCGTCTCATTCCCGTCTACCTCTCCTTCACCGGTGCTATCCTGGCGTTGTTCATCGTCGTCGAAGCCCCTACCGCTCCCTCACTTGAGGCCTTCGGTGCCGGCAAGGCCGTCGGTATTATCCTCGGTGTTCTGGCTGGTTGTTTGGTCATCTCTTATGCTTTCTTCATGCCTTACTTCCACCGCCGACTGGTCAAGGAGGATGCACGACTTCGGTTTTACCACCTTCCTCTTGGCCCCTGGTTACTCAAGGACAACTGCCCTCTATACTTCCCTGGCTCCGGTGAGAGCTTCGTCATCAACTACTACGAGGATGCCTACGGCGAGACTCGCGCCGGCCAGAAAGATGCCGAGAAGAAAGACGGCTCCGGGGACGGCAAAACCATCAACACTGACGTCGAGCAGCGTGCCACCACCTCTGCCAACTCCACCCCCGAAATCCAGCCCAAGAAGGCCATCATCGGCCCTCACGAGCGTTTCCTCCAGCCGGTCGAACACCTCAGCTGGTTCAACCCCATGAAGTACTGGGGCTGGACCAAGTTCATCCTTCTGCAGGGTGTCACTCGCGACGTCATCACCCACGACTCGGACCTCCTTCGTGCCATCCACGCCCGCGCCCACCGCTACGACGACCGCGTCGAGCACCTCTGGACATACTGCCAAGTTGTGTCGGCCATCATGATGTCCATCGCGCACGGCTCCAACGACGTGGCGAATGCCGTGGGTCCCTGGGCCGGTTCTTACGCGACCTACCTATCCGGTAGCGTGAATACCGAGTCGGAAACCCCCATCTGGTTCCTGGTCATTGCCGGTGTGCTTCTCGGTGCTGGTTTCTGGTTCTACGGATACCATATCATGCGGTCGCTCGGTAACAAGATCACTCAGATGTCGCCGAGCCGTGGTTTTGCGACCGAGCTGGGTGCCGCCATCACGGTGCTCCTCGCCTCACGTCTCGGTTTGCCCGTCTCGACGACCCAGTGTCTGACAGGTGCTGCGACCGGTGTCGCCTTGATGAATTATGATCTTGGCGCGGTGAACTGGCGTCAGCTTGCTTATATCTTCTGCGGTTGGGTCTTGACTCTTCCGTCGGCTGGCTTGGTCGCCGGGTTGATCTGTTTGATGGCGTTGAACACGCCGCATTTTTAAAAGTCGTTTTGTGATGATTCTTTTGTATATATAGACTTTTCGTGTTTCATTTCGGTTGAGCATACTCTTATACCCTAAATGCAATAAATAGATTTCCAAATATTTCGTCCTTCCTGTTGCTTTCCCCCATTTTCAATGTGAAGATTAGACAGGATGTTTGCTCCAAGATTTGAATGGATTTCACTTCAAGGTTTGGCTTCTTCGTTCAGGCCACGTTTATTTCCCCTTTTAGTTCTTCTTTTTATCCTCTTCTTGGTCGTTTTCCTTTGCCACTAAAACCAAGATGCTAAGACTGAGTAAATGCTCCAGCGTGCAGGTCGATCATCCTAAGGTCACACCGGTCGGAAAATGCCATGCTTCGCCAAGTGCTGCATCGTTGCTTACCTCTGGCACCTCGGACACATGCAGAAAAATCTAGTCTCATTGGAGATTTCCCTGACCGAATCATTCCCGGGCCGAGTATGTGTGAGGACCCGGATGTTGGGGAGCTGTCGTCGTTGATGATCGGTCGATCGCAATATTTACTCTCACCAAGGGCGCGAATAGATGTCTGGCGGGAAGTGCATGGGAATCGACTATGGCTCGTTCGTTATCGTGGGGTTTCGTCTGATTTCTCATTTCGGATCATGGTCAACACTGAGCTCGATGATTCATCAGATACCGCCGTGTTGATCGAAAGACTACGTCGTGGCACATAGGCCCATGTTGAATGACACCTTGAGGGCTCTTCATTTCGTTACCCATCGAATCAACTACACCAATAGCTGGCTAACTGACGAACAACGCTGATCCGTACCTTGGAGACTGCAGAAAGCGATCGACACGAGCACCTGAAAATCATCACCAAGGTTCCATCCCAAGGTCCCCAACCCCTCTATATCTATCGCCATGGCCCAAGAAACAGTATGAACATCAACGATGAAGCCCTCCGCCCTTTTGCCCGGGCTCGTGGCGCTCGCATCTGCGTTGCCCAAACTTCATGACTTCGATGCCCTCGGTGCCTGGTTCGACGGCGTCAACGCCATCAACACCAGCCATCATGTCGCACCTCATGGCGCCAAGAACAAAACTATCGCCATCGTGGGCGGAGGCATCACCGGGCTCGCGACGGCATTGATGCTCGACAGCGTTGGGGTTCATAATTGGGAAATCATCGAGGCGAGCGGGCGCGTCGGAGGACGGTTCCGCACCAAGTTCATGGGCGATACGCAGGAATGGGCTGAGATGGGACCTATGCGGCTGCCTGTGAGGGCGCACTATGCAGATGGCGAGACCGTCGAGTACTCGGATCATGCGATGGTCTTTCAGCTTGCCGCATTGCTCAACAATATGAATGGGAATGATTCGGATTGGAGAATCGACTTCCTTCCGTGGATCCAGCATCATCCGAATGAGCTGCTGGCTCTGGGGACCGGGCGGCATCCAGATGGGCGGATTCCAACTCGCGCGGAGATTCAGCACAACTCAAGCTTGGGTCAGCCTGATACCCTGTCCACGGCTGAGTTCAAGCAGACCAAGTCCCGTATGGACGAGATACTCTCGCGCAAGGAGAAGCTGAAGGCCATGCAGAAGGATGTCTGGCGCCAGCATAAGATAGCCATGGATGACGGACTCGATGACTGGAGCGAGCAGTCCATGATGCGGAATGGTTTCAAGGCCAGTGAAAACGTCACCGACGCTATCTGGACGGACTCTGACTACGACGTCTTTTGGGACGAGCTACACCACAACTCCAACCTCGAGCTGGACGGCTCGCCAGGGTCCCTCGGCAGAACCGAGTGGACCTGCATTGATCGCGGATTCAACCGGCTCTCCGATGCGTTCCTGCCTCATGTGCGTGATCGACTTACGCTCAACCGAAAGGTCCGGAAGCTCGAGTCCATCACTTCCCCTGCCACCAACCGCACGATGACCCGACTGTCCTGGTATCCATCCACGACCAACCGGACCTCCCAGTCCCGCGACTACGACTACACCATCATGGCCGTCCCCTTCACCATGACCCGCTTCATGGATCTGCCATCGTTCTCGTCTGTCTTGTCGCGCGCCATCAGCGAGGCCGGTCTCCGTTTCAAGTCCGCCTGCAAGGTGGCTCTTCTTTTCTCGGAACGTTTCTGGGAACGTGGTCCAAGCCCTATCTTCGGTGGAAAGTCCACCCCGCCCAGCTCCGCTGTCGGCGCTCTCTACTACCCTGTCTACGGGCTCAACGAGTCTCGCCCCGGCCTTATCATGCACTACCGCGGTGGGGACTGGAGCGATCGCTTCGTCAGCTTCCCCGAGGAAGAATACGTGCAGACGGTACTAGATGCGGTGGTGGACCTGCACGGCGAACAGGCCAGGGAGTTATACACGGGTGTTTATGAGAAGCTGTGCTGGCTGGAAGACGAGCATACAGCGACGAGCTGGTGTCGGCCCGATGTCGAGCAGCATAAACTGTATATCCCTGCGTACCATCGCACGGAGCATAATACCGTGTTTGTGGGTGAGCATACGGCGCCCACTCATGCTTGGGTTAGTAGTTCGTTGCATTCGGCGGTGCGAGGGTGCGTGCAGATCTTGTTGGAGATGGGGTTGGTTGAGGAGGCGAAGATTTTGAATAGAAGGTGGATGGGGAGGTGGATTCAGACTTGATATTGACCTGTACATACAAGGCTCTCTGGACATATGTAATCGATAGACACATAGACAGATAGATAGATGTCAGCCACCAGAAACCAATTCAGTGCGCTGTACGGATTTCATCATTCCTCTCCGCGTTCAATAAACGCTGAAGAAGAAACCCTCCCCCATTCCATCCAACTCCCATCGTACAACCGCTTCGGCATGGCATACCCAGACTCTGTCAATGCCACCTCCACTACCGCCGCCGTAACACCAGAATTACAGCTCAATATCACCGGCCGCTCACTGACCCCAGACTGTTCAAACAGGGCCTTCAATTCCGATGGCGTCTTGATCGCCCCATCCTCATTTAATACTGTGGATAACGGGATGTTCACAGAGCCGGGTATATGGCCTCTCTGGATACTTGGATCTGAGTATCCTTCTGAGCCAGTGAAGAGTGCGTTCGTACGGGAGTCCAGGATTTGATACGCTGAGTCAGATGAACCCTCGTTCTGCGCAGCGAGAAGTTCTTGAAGATCCGCGTAGGATATCACCATGTTTTGATCAATCTCAGGAATAGGATACGTCTCTGCCTCTTTTATCTCCCCAGATGAAGATACACCAAGAGAAACAATATCCCCGGATTCCACAGGAAACTGCAGCTGATGATAAATTCTGAAGTTATTGAGCACGTAGACGTCCTTGTGCACGAACACGCGGAACATCCACGCTACTCGCGGCGCGTTGTAGGTTCCTATCTCTGCGGCATCGTAGACCACGATGGTGTCGCTGGGTCGGAGCCCGAGTTTAGATAGCTCTTTTGAGATGGTGCTAGACGTAGGAAGCATTAGTGGGTAGGGGGTGTCGGAGTTGCGGACGGTGTCCATGTTAAAAAATCTGGAAACAGTCACTCCTTGTTGTACATACAGGGTCCATGTAGGGAGAGAATATCTGTTTGTTGGAATGGTTTCTGGGAATGTGAACGGGGAGGGGTGAAAACATACACTGAACCGGGGATGTGGTTGGCGTTGAAAAAAGGAATGTGTGCGGTGCGCCCCGCAGCCACAGGGACGATTCTTTGGGAGCCATTGTGGGTTTGGGATTGTGAGTATGCTTCGTGGAAGTCTTGAGGGCTGACAAGTGAAGATGCGAACATGGTGGGATTGATTGCTCAGTAGAGCATGTTGCGGAAGAGAAATGAAAGTTGATGGCGGGGAGAAATCGCTCGAAGTTCTGATTGATTGATTAGATTATCAGAGCCCCACCAAACTGAGTCTTGGGCTCCTCTGAGCAGCAGTTGCATATGATTCATCCAATGGCGTGGGCATCTGCAAACAGGAAGAAGGTGGCGATCAGACCCAGGCAGCAGCGTGCCTGGATCCCAAGCATCCGTGACTGCCTAGCTGCCTTCCATGTTAGTCCATCCTGGAGTTCAAGATCCGATATAGGTTGTATCTGTATGCAGGAACAGGTTGAGAGTGACAAAAATGTCAAGAACAGCAGACAATTCGTCAGTAAAATAGAATTAAAGGTGATTCTCAGTCTGAAAATTTATGAACATCAAGATCATCTGCCGACGCTAAAACAGCAATTATTCCAACCCAGAAAATATGAAATCACGTACACAGCTCCCTAAATAACGGATGAATTACTTCTGTTTACCCAGAATTATCTCCTCCAGCACCGCCCTCTCACCACTACTTTCCACTAAATTCCGAAACACGCCTGTCTTGATCTGCATCAGCTCCTTTGGCGTCCCGAATTCAACCGCCCGGCCGGCATCCATGACGAGAATCTTGTCGAAATCGGCGATCGTGCTGAGTCTGTGCGCGATCACCATGAGAGAGCTGTTGCGGCCGAACTCTGCACGAATAGATCGCTGGATCAACGCATCGGTCTCCATATCCACCGCGGATGTGGCCTCGTCGAGAATCATGATCTTCGGTTGCGAGACTATAGCCCGCGCTAGACAGAGGAGTTGGCGTTGGCCTTGTGAGAGGTTGTATCCACCTTCGGAAATAGGAGACCAAAGAGAAGCGAAGGCGTTGGCGGGTTTGGGTTGGGCTGTTGTCGCTGTGGAGGCGGACGATGAGGCGATTGTATCGCTGCCACTGAGGGGATCGTGGCTGCTGGATTGTGACCCCAGGGTGAGCGTGTCTTCGAAGGAAAGGAGATGAACGCGTTCGAGTGCGTTGTACAGTTCTAGGTCTGTGTGCTCATGGAATGGGTCGAGATTGGACCGAACAGTGCCGGAGAAGAGGACCGGATCTTGCGGGATGATGGCAAGTCGGCTGCGAAGGGATTGAAGTTTGATTTTGGAGATATCCTGTCCATCTATCGTGATGCGGCCTTGTCGGGCTTCGAGGAAGCGGAAAAATGCGAGAGTGAGTGAGGATTTGCCGGCTCCGGTCCGCCCAACGACGCCGACCCGTTGGTTATGCTCGATGGTGAAACTGAGTCCATCCAGGACAGGAGGCAATTCAGGGGCGTAGCCCACTTGGAGATCTTCAACCTCAACGTGTCCCCGGGTCGGCCATGCCGCCGGCGGATCGATGCCTCCTTGGTCCTCCGTCTCCATGGCAGTGTATTCGAGCACTCGCTCGGTCGCATTCATATCCATTTCGACGTTGGCGTAGAAGCGCAGCCCCATAGCGACCGCGTAGTTGTATTGCAGCGCGAAGCTCATGGCGAAGCCGGCGAGAGCAGCGGAAATGGAGGGAACGTAAACAACAAAGGCCGCAGTGGCAGTCGAAAAAACGGCTCCCACAATACTCATGCGGAATCCAAGCCATCGGTTGAAGAGCCAGAGATTCCACGCGGCCTGCGCATGTCGGTCAATGCGCTCGTACATCTGACGGACGTATACATCGGCTTTGTTGAACGCGCGGATTGTCGTCAGGCCAACAAGACTTGACCCGAATTGCTCCATGACCGGGCTTTTGGCGGTGCTTTCCAGGCGTTTCACTTCGCGTACGCCACCAAGATAAGTCCAAGACATCTGAACACACACCACAAGGAGCAAGCCAGCGAAGACCATAATGGCCGGCGATACCATAACACCCGCCACGATGATGCCCACAAGCTCAAGGATCTTGAAGACCAGGTTGCCCAGATCGTAGGCAAGTCGCCAGTCAAGCATATAGACATCTCCTGTAAACCGATTCAGAATGCGACCGAGGGGAACAGTATCCAGCCATCGAAGAGGCGCTCGTAATACGACGGCGAGAAGATCATCGAACATTTGTCGAGACGAGTGAAGCGATGCAAACGCAAGGGAGAGGGTTCGAAGAGTCCCGACTGCACAAGCGGCGACAGAAATTCCAACATACACACTGAGATAGAAGACAAGATCGGGATCGATGGACGACTTGGTGGTACTGAGGGTGTGATGCCAGAGACTGACTGTGTGTACTGGATGCGACGACGTATGCGACGAGCTTGTCCAGAGACTCACCCACCAGGACTAATTAATTAGCGAATTTGAACTTGTAATAGGAGTGGATTACTTACACGACCAACCAAAAGGGCAGTGAACGCAACATAAGCCAGAAAGGTGAGCGCCCACACTGGCAGGCGATTTCCCTTGCTCACATACGCCTTATATACCCTCCACGAGATAGCTCCCGTCTCTCGCTTTTCGTCCTGCGTGAACTTCCGAGGGCTCTCGTCGCTTGCAGCCGGAGGAGGACCAACAGAGGAACGTTTTCGTCGGGAAACCGCATCTTCTTCGTCTGCCTGTTGCCTTTTGGCCGCTCTTTCGATGGCCAGATTTTGAAGGACATCGGTAAGCCCTTGCATCTTGCTGAGGTCTTCAACTGTTCCTGCATGCGACATGGATCCATTTTCGAGAAGCACACAATAGTCGGTACGCGGGAGACATAACCCGACGTGATGTGTCACCAGAATCCTCGTTCTGTCTCGCCCCAGCTCTCCTGTCAAGGCATGCTCATAAACGTGCCGACCGGTTTCCGCGTCCAGCGCGCTGAAGATGTCGTCCATAACCAGAATTCCGGCGCGAGAGTACAAAGCACGAGCAAACGAGACTCGCCATCGCTGGCCGCCGCTCAGATTGATCCCGTTTGCCCCGATGTCGGTCATTTCGCCGTCCGGTAGCATCGTGAGATCCTTTTCCAGGCCAGATGCAAAAAGCACCTTGCGGTACCGGGACCAGTTGTAAGGCAGTCCGAAGAGGATGTTATCTTTTATCGTGGCATTCTCCATCCAGGGGTTCTGCGCCACGTAGGCGATGGCGGTGTCGATAATCCAATTGTCATGCGTGGCATGATGGTCGAATCGTTCGTCCAGAGGAGGAGCATGTGGTACCGAGACAGACCCGGCTAAAATATCGCATTCTCCCAGGAGAGAGGCAAGAACGAGACTTTTCCCGGATCCCGTCTTTCCAGCAATCACACTCAAGCCTTTCCGGGGAAATCGCATTGTCAAGTGGCGGAGAACAAATCGGTCGTCGCGCCCCCAGTCTTTCTGGTCGTCTGTCGACTCATCTGCCGGCCACGCAAGTGTAGCGTTCTCGAACGAGATCTCCTCGACGTCTTGTGTATGTGGAGCCTTTTCGGCGGATGTGAGGAACTTGTCGATACGCTCGGTGCTCACCTTGGCTTCCATCGCCCGAGAAAGGAGGTCTGGTAAGCTAGCTAATGCGGATTCCAGATTTCCAAATACTGACAACGCTGTGAATGCGACCGAGGCAGACAATTCGCCGTGGATCAGTGCGTATACTGTTAGAGAGACAGCTGAGAGCATCAATGGTCCTAAAATCCACACTGAAACCATGCCGGTAGTGTAGAGACTGGTTTTCCACAGTAGCTTCAGCTCAGCCTCTCGCTTCTCTGTGATGTGGTTCTGCCATTCCTGCTCCAGAGCGGCAAATTTTATCTGGCGAATACCCTGGATGACCTCCGTCACGGCTGATGTCCTTTTGTCGCTCGCCTTCATGAGCTCCTGCTGCACAGAAGTGTACCCTTTTGTCAGAAATGCATTAACGGGAGTGACCAGGATGGCTATAGCAACGCCCGCCAGTAGACTGCGCCATCCGATGAGATGTACCAAAAAAGCCGAGGCGATGCCAAGTCTCATGAGACATGACGGGATGAGATAGTTGAACGTGGCGAAATCCGCAATGCGTTTTGAGTCCACAGCGGCCAAATTGATAATACTTTGTCTGCTTTTCTCCTGCTCGTCCTCGCCATCCTCATCTCCCTCTTTCGTTGATGGTTTCAGATGCTTGGCGTCCTTGCAGCGCATCGACTTAGCAAACACCAAGGCCGACAGACCCTCGTAGATCGGGATCCACAGCTGCGAGTAGATCAGCCACCACAGCCAGGACTCGATTCCCAGGGACAAGACCAGCATCAAGCCAAGAGTTACCACCCACAGCCACGCGGCAGTCACCGGGCCCGACTCGCTTGACCTCCCCTCCAGCGATGTCAGGATGCCGTACAAGGCTACCTGCGGTCCGAATCCCAGAACACAAGTCACCACGCTGAGAATAGTCTGCAAAACCAGCGGCCGAACATTTCCCAGCACCAACGTCTTCCAGAGATTTAACATCCCTCGAGTCTGTTCCAAACGCGCGTGCAGAGTCTGTGCACGAGCTGCAAAGGGCAACTTGGGCAGATTATCGACGTCCAAGTTTTTGATCTGTCCCGTGTAGTGGAGTAAAGTGCTGACGTATGTGTAGGTGAAACGGTTGAACGCACTGACTGTGAACTCCTGATCGACCTCTTGGCCCTGGAAGTAAACATTTGGTCGACGAGGGATTAGAATGGAGCAGAGACCGCGTGTCATTGCCACAGCTGCCTGACTAACAAGCAGTCCCGTAGACGCACGGCCAATGTTGACGTCGTTGCCGTAGCACCACGGGATGAAAATATTGAGGCCGGAGACAGCCAGGGTGAGCGCGCTGGCCCAGAACGCGTAGAGGCCGAGCGTGTATCGCTCCACAGTAGACCGTTCAACAAAGAAGGCTGTCGACTGGGCGCAGTGGATCATCTTTTGCCGGTTAGCAGTGAGCATCGTCAGTATTGAATCGAATAACCTACCCAGCCTCCCGTCTGCAGCCAAAACGGCACGACCAAGAAGTTCTGGTTCTTAGACTGAAGTGATACAATGGCCAGTGCCAACGACAATTCCAATCCCGTCACGGAGAAGATGGCGATGGCGACCTTCTGCCAGGTATCCGAGTACGTCCGCAACGATGCCTCCGAGGCTTCCCCGTCCTCATCCTCGTATCCCGGTTTGGCAATTGGCGACACATCCAGGCGGATGAATTGAGAGTCCCCCTCCAATCGGCGACTAGTCTTCACGAGTGCAGGTACACTGCTAATGATGATAAACACCAGCACCACGACACCCGTCACGACGGACAGGACTTCCGGATCTGATGCCATTCCTCATGAGGTACGGTCTGGCATTGGAAGAAAGGTGACGCAGCAAACCGTTGATAGAAGAAACGAGGAAATTGAGATTGGAGAGGGGGGCGCAGGGACAGCGAGACAACCGGAGAATTGCAGGACAGACCTGCACATTCCTCACTTCCTGCCGCATTCCTGTGCATCCCTGCCTCAGGTTCCTTCCGCCTCGCCGCCTTGGTGCCTTCCGCGGCAGAACCGCTGCCCGTCCGCTGATTGGCTGCGGACGCGTCACGTCCACGCGCCGGCGAATCATCGTCGGCATGCGGGCTATTTCCGTCTTGGCCTGAGGATCCCAGGCCGCCAATTCCCGTGATTCCCCGTTTTTTTCTTTTTTTTTTTTTCTGGTCATTTGGTCAGATCGCCTTAGTTGCACCGTTGTAGTTTTTAGTGTCATGCATGCACATCATCTGCAACCCTTATTGGTAACTGACATCGCCTACCTATACTGCTTCCACGGCTCTACTCCGTAATCACGCATAACGGCCCACTTCCGATAGGTTTGGCTTTAGTCCCCGTCCGAATCTACGATTTCAGAAATGGCTTGGATGATTGTGTGCGGTGCGATTTGTAATTGCCGGGTGGTCGATGGCTCCTGTGATGGCCTGATCGCTCGGGCTTTTGGCATGTCCTGCATGGAGTTATCAAGACCGTGTCCCATAGTTTATAGTACGGCATGATATATTCTGACGGCCCGGATAGCGTTTCCCGCCATAGGATGGTATACGTTGTTGAAATGGATGAAGGCTTGACCAACTCGGATGACCTCAAGCATCAAAGAAGTGGGCTAATTCAGTCAAGTCGCGAACAAATTGGATTTTGCAAGGACACACTTGCCATTTTTCATGGTTGCACCGCTTTGTCCGCCTCCTCATCATCCTGTTACACCTGGTCAGTCGTCATCTGGCATTCTTCTCAACCTGAGCTAGTTCAGACTCACCGCTAGATTGCGGTCCGTCAGCTTCCATATTTATTGCAAAGGCTTAACCTTGATAATTCTTTATCGCAAAATCGTTATTCTTGGGGATTCATCAGGTTAACTTATATGGCTGCAAATAAATGTGATGGTTCCAATAAATGAACAGTAGACAACCGGCTCCTCTCCTGCTTCCCTCACATCCCCGTGGACACAAATCTGGGGACAGCTGCAAGTGTCCGGGCACAATCTCGTGAGGTGGGACAAGCAACGCACCTGGTCCACGGAGCGTGGCCTATGCTTGCAGCTGTCTATCTTTTGCATCCAATGAACAGTGACGTATTACATATCGGAGCCCGGGTCAAGGATGGCGTGGCGATAGTTGGTCTCAATAATTTGATGCGCAAAGTGACCTACCGGGTATAGGGTTCGGTAGCTCAGGTGACCATTACACGCGACACTACTCCCATAGCCGTCTTTCTATTATCAGGATTCATCGACACTATTCTCCTTGAGACCGATGGGCGCCAGAGTTATTAGTAGCTCTCGGTTTAGAATCGAAGCTCGGCAGCAGCTCGAGTCAACGTTACGTACGTATATGCGACAAACCTGCCGTGCATGTTGTTAACCTCGCCGCTGCTTCGTTGGCAGAACGAAGTGTGCAGAAAGCAAACAATGTCGTGTAATCCGTGCGCTGTGGAATCTAGAATTTCGAAGATTGAGCCGATCACTCCTCGAGTACTCTATGGACATACCGTTGATTCGCTTGTTCTTGATGGTGACACGAAGACCGACACGCAAGCCAGGCCGAATCACTATCAAGGACTCTCTTTGACCACAGTTGGCTAGGCTGTTGAGCCAAGCGATTTGACACAGAGTAGGGTGAGGGGAGTCCATTATGAAGTAAACAACGTATATTATCATGTAAGGCTAGTGTAGTATCCCCGGCACTAGTATTCCAAGATATGAGAAACTGGACCTCCATGAAGTATGAGTAAGATTTTGTCTTTCTGCAGTAGAACTGGGGACTAAAAGGCTAATTATGAGGGAATGGCATACAGCTAGCGCTTGAACACATGCTACTAAGATTCTCGGAATGCTCATGGGTTTCGGGAGCTCATTAGAGGAGGTCACTTGAAGCAGAGTGGTCGCGATTTCCAGCCGGAATAGACCTCGAGCACTCCTCTAGGTCCAATCAACGGAACCTGGCTATTATTCCTTCGAAAAATTGTTCTGTGCCATTGTGCATTAATCCAACTACAGGGATGCAGAGCCCAGGATCGTGACCCATAATCGTTGATTACTAGCGGTAATATTCGTAAGGTTTGCCCGAAGAAGATGTGAAAAGAGTGTGTATCTTCGTATTGAGAGTGTATTCGTAAGGAATACCCAATATAGAAGCGCAAGTTGGAGCTGTAAATCAGCCTGTCGACCAAAGAGAAATCCTCATTTAAGACCATGACACTTGCGATTTTTCTAAGAACTATGTCTCAAATTCATCATATCAGTGAGCCTTGAAACCACAATATCAAACCCTTGCACACCATCGGCGTGACTTTTGTTCGCTCAGCTTATGACACTGCTGGCTATCACTCAAAACTGTAAGCTGCTATCATCGATAAAGTCGTTGATACAAAGACTGACGGTGATCCAATCTACATGTCCATCGATGGTCTTCGCAATCGCCACATATGACAAGACAAGTGGCTTTGCAAATCCAAAGATCACCACACTCCCTGACTGCTAGTGGGGAACCTCAAATCAAAGTCGCCTTACCCAGTCAGGCTGCCCCTACTGGTGTGGCCCAATATGCACTGTGTGTATCCCTGAAACAATGCCATTGCCTCAAGAGCTGACAAGGTCGTGATCCTTAGAACAACCCTTGACTATATCGCGAATTGGGCCCGACAGAGCTCCCTATATCCTATGACATTCGGTCTTGCCTACTGTGCGGTGGAAATGATGCAAATGGCGGGTGCGCGGTACGATGTTGATCGCCTGGGTCTTCTGTTTCGAGCGTCACCTAGGCAGTCGGACCTGATGATCGTGGCGGGCACTTTGACCAACCAAATGGCACCTGTACTTCGGCAAGTGTACGATCAGATGCCGGATCCGAGATATGTTATTAGCATGGGTAGTTGGGCAAATGCTGGTGGGTATCATCATTATAGCTACTCTGTTGTTAGGGGCTGTGATCGGATAGTGCCCGTTGACGTCTTTGTCCCCGCATGTGGGTTTCGGATGCTGTTTGCATATTCTATGACAACCTTATCGTGTTTTTCAAGGTCCATTCTCGCAGTCTCAATAATCCACCTTACGATTGTCAATGCTCAAGATATCGAAAGCGAGCAATGGATCAAAGCTGCTGAATATCATCAAAGGGAAGCAATAAATTTCTTCACTGGCGACATGGGAGAGAAACATCAGTATCAACATATTGGCTTCGCTTTTGCCTTTCCCCTCGCCGTCTCTGGGCCAGGTCACGAAATATCCGACCCTCTCGGCGAAATGACCCAGATCATCAAACTGATAAAATCAACCATGAATTTCTCGGCTCCGTTGCTAACAGATGTCAAATCTGTCTAATTGGGTCAATTGACCCATGTAGTAGAAGCCACCCCGGGTTTATCCGATGTATCTCGCTCGGCAATATCGGTTCTTTACGGACTTAGGACCACCCACGATTTTGACGAGGAAAGTCAATAGGCTTTTCAATCAGCCATATGACTTCTAGAAGATCTTTTCGCGAATATAGATGGGGGTGCGGAGCCGGTTTCGATGGCCTTCATGTGGATGGATGAAATTCCATCGCGGTTTTTCGATTCATTGCGGGAACGTCACCCCTTTGCGTTGGTGGTATTTGCACATTACTGCGTTGTGCTTCATCGACTCAGATGGCTTTGGTGGATTTCATCTTGGGGCCAGCGGGTGCTTCTTGCGATCAATCGAGGCTTGGATCAGGAATGGCGGCCTCTGATAAAATGGAGGTTTGACGCGGCTGGGATCGAGAATTTGGAATAGTAGATGTCAAAAAATGGCATTAGGCCTTAGCACATCAACTATCATTGAGCGTTATAGCGGACATCACAATCTGCTCTTTTCCAACATTAACAATCGCACGTAGTGGAGACTAGGCTTGCATAAACTGCCTCCGCGGCTAAGTACTAGACTTTCTAAAGGAAGGAAAATGTATTGCTCCAGTAATGGGCAACGCGATAAATACTCATAATTTACACTATATACACATCATATGTACCCCATTGGCATGCAATGGTCAACCCACTCGAGTCGATCTGGTCCGACTATTGGGAACTCGAAGACGCCCTGGGGTCCTGCCAGAGCGGGTCAATGAAATATACAAGGCCGTGAGCTACTGCAGCCGCCAATGGACCGACCTGTCATTGTGTTAGAAAAGGTGACATTGAGTTGCATGCATCAGAGAATGGACGTACCCAATGGATCCAATGATATCCAGGGAAACTTGACGCCACGTAGACACCGAAGCATCGGGCGGGATTTACACCTAGCGTTGTTAGTCTCACTTCAAGTCCATTGAGGAGACAGAGACGGTGGTATGGTAGAGTACTCACTGGCACCGATATATCCGTCTCTAGTCCACGCTGTACCCCATGTTACAACGCCCAGCACGACGCCTACGAACCACGGCGCGGTCGCATGCCCAAACACCTTTGCCTGTCTCGGATCCAGCGCTACTCCAAACGCCAAGAAAATTAAGATCAAGCACGCCATGAACTCAATGATCAGCGCATCCTTCACGGGAACCAGCCCCGTATCAATATAGCATCCACCCACGGTGAACGTGCGGGTGCCGTACGCGCTATGAAGGGCAAACCCGGCCAGTGCACCGCCCAGCGTCTGGCCCACCAGGTACAAAACCATGCGCGGGAAGGAGATGATGCGCGCAAAGAAGGTGGCTAGCGTGATGGTGGGACTGATATGGCCGCCACTAGACGGGGAGAAGGTGTAGATTAACAGCGGCGTGAGGAGCAGGTTGGTGATACCGCCGAATAAGGGCGAGAAGAAGGTAAGGGTAGCGTAAATGCCGGCCTGCGATTTAGGGGCGCCGTCGCTGGACGGGGCGTGCGTGGTTACCCACGACGTGATAAATACGTTCATCATGCTGGCTGATTGGACCGCGTTAGCTTTCCTTCTTCGCTATCTGCATGCATGCTGATAAGAGCGGGCAGGCGCGGGAGATAGGGTTTGGTAGTTGCGTTTGGTTTCAGGTTTCAGGTGGTTATCTCGACGGGGCGAATCCGTAGAGATAAGCAATTGGGTATAAAAGCAAGGAGGATCCCTTACCAACACATTCTAATAGTGCAAATTTCCATAGATCAGCACTGAGAAACCCTCGGAAGTCGAACACCTCTCGCAGTGTCATACATGGTGCCGCATCAGGCACCTTTTCCAACACCTTCTCATTCCGAGGATCGTTCCTGTCAACGACAAAGTCCTGATTTCCTCCCATTCGTCCCGCGAACGGTGGAATCGTCGACGGCGTCAACTGCCCCTGCTGCTCATCGTGTTCGTACTCAGGGAGATAAGCCACCATGATGGGAAGGTCAATTCCGGCGCTCGAGATAAGCTGGCCGCGAACTTAGGTGAAGGAGGAAGGGAAAAGACTGATAGCAAGAGATGACATGGCAGATAGTTATCTGACGACATGGTCAGACACGTCGGGACCGCCCGGATGGCACTCTTTCATCGCGAGCAGCAGGGGATTCTCGCCAACAGACTAGATTCAGTTGGTATCTCCGACTTCGTGATTTGCTTTCTCGGCTCGGCAATCCGACTGTCTGCGGGTCTCTCGTCAAGTCTTGGCTAGATAAAGCTGACCTTCTAGAAACCGTTGGCAAATTCAATTATGTCGACTGAAACTGGGTGGCCAATTAGGGTGGATCACGTCCGAAGTTATCGTCATTCCCAAGGATCAAGGTTGCGCCACCCCGAGGAAAAAGGGCTTTGCCGCCCTCGGACCATACTTTAAAGCTGCGATGGCCAGCGTTACGGCTGATAAGACCGTCAGTTCTACCGAGTGGACTGATTATTACCGTGGTTGTGAGCCATATTTCCTCACACTGTGGTGGCGGCTCCTCCGCTTTACTGGAGATTTTAGCATTTTAATGGGAATTTGTTGTGACCTCTGATCTCTCGACCGAATGCGCAAAAAATGGAGCCCGCTTATTGTCTTTCCCTCCGAGCAATCAACGAACGGGCCAAAGGATCCAGACTGGAAAAATGTGGAGAAATCCATCATAGACCGGAGTCAGGGGTAATCAAACTGAGAAGCCATCATGAGGGTCTATTCGTCCAATTCAGGAACGAGTCCTAGCTATCTTGGGTCCATCGGCCAAAACGGAACATGATAAGCCTGGGGAATACAAGATATTATTTGGTAAATGACAGTTGCTGCTCATCCAACATGTCAGACTGAGATCGCGTTTCCTTAGGGCTCGGTCGGTCATGCCTGCCTCCCGCTCCAGTTTCCGGTTTTCGGAGTTAATCGTCGACTTGGCCATGACGCGGTTGAACTTCGCTTACGGGCTTGGAAGTTGGAACACCGGTGGCTTGCGTTCTGTCGGGTGAATTTTCTACTGGGGATTTGAAGATTGTCTCCGTGGCACGGCTTGAGGTGCCGCTGTTTTGGAGACACCTGACGATCGGAGAAGCTTGTTTGGGGAATATGCATGGATTAAGGACACCGGCCCTGCTAAAGATCCACCTCAGAAACATGATTCAGTGCGCCTTACGGGCTCTTATCATCCGCACGCCTGGCTCGGGTTGATTCGGAGGACTCACCACGGTTTAGTACTCCGTGTTTACGAGCTGGGACGAGGGAACCAAGGGACAAAGGGGCAATGGCCGTCAATCAGTGTCCCTACATTCTTTATGATACTCAGGATAGACCTTGGAGTATTCTAGTTAGGGAGGCGTGCACCGATATCCAACCTCCTTGATTTGACTGCGACAATGGTTACAAGGGATATGTTGGGCCTGGCCCAATCGGGCAATGAGACGCGCTTCTCGGCCGATAAGGATGCCTGAAATCTCAGGCGCTGAGGTGAGAATATCGTCGCATTTACTCAGATCAGGAATGAGGAAGAAGCCGTTGATAACTTTAAATTAATAATCCTAGTAATTATTTGCCATTTTATTAGATCTTCGCAGTGATGAATCGAGGTCCTTAAGATCAAAACCCACAGTAGGGGTCATCTGGGTGTATCTGGGCCTTGCATCGCATGTCAATCAAAGGTACCCCAGACGTAATCACAGAACTAAACGTCTTCTATTTTTACCAGGCCTTTGCGTGTGCAAGTCCTTCGCCGGAAGCCTGTCCTGGCTCGATGCCACAAACCATGCATAGTCCACCAAGGGTTGTATCGACGAAAAGTTTGCATACCTTGGGACAGGCATGGCACTTGGTTCATGTAAGCGAATACGGCCGTTGTCCAATTCCTCATGATTGACAAAACTTGATTGCTTGATGTGGTTGGCATATCTGGGAATCTGAGTTTCACTGCCTTGAAGTCGGAAACCTTTTTTTTGCCACAAGGGAAGGTTGTTTTCCAAGTCATCCCTGGCGGTCCACAGACCTAAGTATCCTCAGAACGTTTCTCCCCTCAAACTGCCAGTCACAGTATCCTCAAAATGTCGCAGTAGGGTCCTGAAATCTTCTCAGGGAAGTCATATTTGTGACATTTTCTCCAGATGTCGTACAAGATATCGAAAGATCAAATCGAAGCCTTGAAGCTTCATCTTGGCAAAGGCACGGCCGTCTTCTGCCCTGGAGATCAGGGTTATGAAGAGGGTCTAAAGAGATGGTCTGACGTCGCATCCAGACCAGCTGTATGTCTCCTCCTCGTTTGCTCTGGGTACACTGTGCTGATCTCGACTAGGGCGTTGTGCTCCTCCCCGATAATGCCGAAGATATAGGAAAGGTCGTTCGTTTCGCTAAAGACAACCATCTCGATCTCGCTGTGAAGTGCGGTGGACATTCCACCGATTCGTCCTCCTCGAGCGATGGTGGCATATCAATCAATCTTGCGCGCCTGAACAAAGTGCGAGTAGACCCGCTGGCAAAGACTGTCACTGTGCAAGGAGGCGCGCTATGGGAAGACGTGAATAACGCTGCGGCCCAGTTCGACTTAGCTGTAATTGGGGGAACCGAGAGTCAGATTGGTGTTGGTGGACTTACTCTTCGTGGAGGCAACGGGTTTTTAACCCCACAATACGGAATGGTCATTGATAGCCTGATATCTGCACAAGTAGTCGTCGCAGACGGTCGGCAATTGACGGCTTCTGAAAAGGTGAACCCAGATCTATTCTGGGCTCTCCGTGGAGCGGGTCAGTGCGTTGGTCTCGCCGTTGAATTCACATTCAGGGCTCATCCTCAAGAAAATGATGTCTGGGCAGGCATAGTCACCTTCTCCGGCGACAAACTCGCAAGCGTTGTCGAGGTGCTGGATATCATCTCAAAGCACCCTGGAGGCAAGGCAGCTGTCTTATGCGCGATCGCAATATGTCCGAACACTCATGTCCCGTTAGTGAACATAGTTATCTTCTTTAATGGAAGCGAAAGTGACGGCCGGCGGCACTTCGCACCTCTGCTTGACCTGGGTTATACTGCCTTCGATGTCAGCATGAAACCCTACCGTGACGTTCCGGCAATGTTGAACGCTGCTGCTCCTCCAGGTGGGCGAAAGTTCTCCGGTGGCATCTTGTTCAACTCACCCCTGCGGCCCACGCTGGTTTGCAAATTGGTGGATGAGCTCAAACACAAGATTGAGATTGAGCCAAGAATGGGCGAAAGCTCCATACAAATGGATTGCATCGATCTCTCTGCCGCGGTTCGGGTTCCTATAACATCGACTGCCTTTCCTAGTCGCCATTTACTGGTAAATGCAGCTCTCGTGCTACAGTGGACCGACGAGATTAGGGATACTGAGATGATAAAATGGGCGTCCGAGGTTAAAGACATGTGCGACGCTGAATTAAAACGCGAAGGCAACGAGAGATCAAGTTTGGTGTCTAACTTCGTTAGTTATACCCAAGGTAAGACAGACAATATCGTGTACGATGGTCTATATCGTGCTGATCAATTGTCCAGAAACGAAAGTAACCCCGGGAGAAATGTTTGGAGTCAATGCCGAGAAGCTACTCGAAACCAAGAAGCAGTATGATCCGGACAATGTGTTTTGCAAGCTGAATCCCCTTTATTAGTACAAATGGTCTTTCTAGCTATACTGGGTGTATTGAGAATTAAAAATCACACCTTTTCAATCTCCAGCGTGTCAGTATTGGGTCAATTCTTACCAAATCGCTTCGTAATCATCACCCTTTTGTGTCCACACATCCAGATCGAACCCGATATTTATCACGCCGGATGGCATATAGACAAACAAACTTAGAACGCTTACAAGAGTGTCCCTATTGTCAAGGCCAAAGTTGAGATTATAAACCGGGGAAGAAGAAACATGAAAATAGTAACAGAAAATAAAGATTAAGAGAATGGGGGAGGAAACCGTCGATTCAGTTGGGATTAGAACTTGATTTTTGATGACGAATACTCAGAGAAAAGGTGAAGTCGGTAAAGCAAGTCCATTGACTATGGTGACATGGCTAAACTTGATTTGACCACGGATCCTCTAGAGGCGCCTCGTCGAATCCAATCTCCTCATCAGATGTGAAACCATTGCAAGATTCAGTCGACGCTTTGCTAGTGGCATCTCTAGCCAAGAAAAGACAAAATTCCTCGCCTTCAGACACATAGGGAAACTCGATGGGTTCATCGAGGTCAGCTTTCTCGAGGGGCCGGATCAACTCAACGGCCATTGCATGCGCTACCTTCTTGCAGTGCCATCGTAAAGGTCGGGGATCCCGCAGAAGTCCACGCCCATAACGATTATAGTGTACGGCACGCCATTGCGTGTATCGGCTGCATCTTCCACAATAGGGCGCTGACGTAGCTCAACGCCGATAGCCTTAGCAACCGCGCCTAGACGGTCGAGGGGCACATTTGGGTCGAGATATAAGTTGATATCGATGAGATAGCGAACATCGTCAAACACAGATATTTGCTGGCCATTTTCGCGCTTCTCGATATTCCTTTCTTCTATCTCTTCGGGCATTAATTCTCGTTCTTCATAGAATATTTCCACGGCAGACATGACAAAGTCCGGTTATCGTCGAATACAAAGAGAATAAGGTAGACTGATCCAGAAGTGTGAATAACTTGATGACGTTCATCGGAGGGAGCACACAAGACTTGCCTAGAATAGGCTCAATCGGTCTGACTGATGGGCTTTATATATGTCTTTCAACAATCAGAAAGATTCGGGACTATCCGGTAATAAGATGTGAGGGCGTGAGGGCGAAGTCGCCAAAGCTGCTAGACGTTTGGATGTCTGCCTCCACGTAAACATATGCAAGCCATAGTATCTTCCCTTCCCCGCCCATGGCCCACACATATGAACTACCAAAGTGAGCCTTGTCTATAGTATCTAGCGGAACCTGCCATGAAGAGGGCCGGAGGTCTAAATCATTGGATCCCCAAGCAACAGCACTGTATCTGACAGGTTCTGCTTTTGACATAGCAATCATAGGGACTAGGTGACGTTTCTTATGAATGCCAGAACGCTTGATTATGACATATGTAAACAGCCACAGGGTAGCGGTTACTAACACGGAATGATCCCACTTCAGGCAATGACAGAGCATGTCTGAAATGGAAGGCACACATGGAACTCTTGCAAATTGAGATCCCGGAACCTAGACGTGCTACAGCGGCTTGCACGTACTCTATGGTTGTCCTAGATGATGGAGAGCAATTCTTTTGTAGAGCTTATGTGACGTGGAAGGCATCAGCTGGCTTTAAGCAACCTATTGCATTGTCTAAGGCATTATACTCATCGAGTAATATTCACATATCCAGTACCAGAGAAGAAAAGGCCCGTACTGAATCTCTCTTTCGCAGACATAGAATCTCGGTACCACAGTCATGATTAGACTCATCAGGAAGGCACTCCCAAGTCACGCATATTTCTTTGATACCTATGGGAGAACCGCAGGGTAAAAATCACAACCATCGTATAAATACTGCGCATACCATCCCGTGTGTACCATTAGTTCTGTAAAGTGATACGCCAACTCATAGCTTCTGTTTCTGCAAATTTCATCGCTCAATCATCCCTGAACCTGGAACTTGAAATTCATGCAGATGAAATGGCACATGTGTTGGTGATTTTGGGGACGGTGGAGAGACTACTCCATTTTCGGCCCGCCGATGAATCCGTTGCAAGGTGTCCCGGTGAGCATCACCCAGGTTAGACGTATTAGTACGGCGGTGAATGCAGAAGACTCGTGTGAAGACAAGGTGCACCTGGTTCTCCTCTCTTCCGCCACGTGCAGCGTTGTACCTGACGACGTTTGGATGCGGTTGAACCCAGGGAGACAGAGGAAATCTCTGAAGGGAAACCTGTGTTAGTGGCATTTTGGATATGGTGGCTTTGTGATCTTACACACAGACTAGAAGTTGTCTAAGGGGTGGTCTGGTATCTCGAATTTGGGAATTGAAGGGGAAATGAATGCCTCTGGAAGTATCCGGTATCGGGATAGTCTGATTGCTTAGTACCGTAGCCCGTGAAACTGAACCCTGTCAGACCAAGAAAACATTTGGGAATCTTTCAATAAAAGATAGGTTGGTTGATCAAAACATTCAAACGGAACTTTCCAATACCGAACGTCAAGGAAACGAGCAAATATTTGCTTCCCTATACTTCCTTACATTTTGCGAGAGGCACTGTAATCAGCTCTAGGGATATATACAACAAACTCTACTGTTGAGCCAATGGGGATGTCTATCGGCCTGGTATTAGGGGTAGAACTGCTTTGTATTGACAGAAGACTAAGCCAAGAATGTGTTGTCAGGCTATTGTTAGATAAGCTAGACCCTGGGTGAAGAATAGTAGTTTGCTTACATGGGGTATTGTTACTTAGGGGCTAGATGGTAAATACTAAAGCCAAATCAATGGCAAATGTCAAACCGATCAATTCAAAAGGGTATAATTCAGGCAAAGCAAAATTTCAAATTTGTTAACTGACATCATAGGGGATCAACCAAATGTCCGGATCAGGGGTAAGGAGAACGGATAGGCCGATTGGGTCGAGGACCATTATTCTGTAGACGGACCATGGCGAGCATAAGACCGTTCGTGACGAAAGGATACTGGATTCGAAGATCTGGATGACAAAGCACCAATCTGGAGTTGATGAGCTCAAGCGCCCTTCGGTTAAGGTGCCCTGGGAACTCATGAGATGTTGGCGAGTATCTACCGTCATCCTTAAGGATAACTACCATGGCTCGACAATCGTGAAGATGATACTCAGGCTCAGCACGGGGGATGCCGGTATCAATACGATCCCGGATAATGTTTCGAAGATATCGACCAACTTCATGCCGTCTGTTGACGTTAAACCTAATATTCTCAGGATAGCAAACCAAGATACTAACGAGGCTGCGCGGTGGCGAGGGATCTTGGGCCAGCAGACTTTCGTAGGCAGCCTTCATGAGGTCTTGCAGTCGTTGTTCCTGCGCGGCAGCGCGAGCCTGCTCTCGAGCCTCCTCTTCCCCCTCGTCGCGTCTAGAGCGACACGGACTGCATAGATCGAACATGCTGACTATAGCTGTCAAAAGGCGGAATATATCCAGGAGTTTGAGGGTGAGAGTGAGAGCCTTTGGAAAAGTACCAAATCCAGAGGGGCTGGTGCGGTTATGTAGGTGCTTGTACCGCTAAATCCCTGATACGTGATGGTGAATATTCCGAAAAAAACACGAGTAAATGGAGGATGTCGGCTGATATGCAGAATCGATACTGTATTCTCGAACAATGCCATTAGAAACATTAGTTTACAGAGGTTCTAACAGGAATCAACCGGGTATATGCGTTGTGATGTTGAATGCCACTTTCCGGGAGAACTGAATTCCCAAAAAGGAATAATAGCTAGTACCAAATTTCCCAGGTTATTCTGTCGGTGGGCTAGTCTGTGATGAACAAAAGTTAACTCACCAGGTAAGGCTGCATCACCTTGACAATTCCAAACTATCATTCACAATGAGCATTACCTGTGGAACTATGTCTACTTCATAATCCAAATATCCGAACCGTCTACCAGAACCTCATGAATAGGCCGTAAGGTATGGCAGTATCTTAAGATATCTCAATTGCATATGGAAAGGTCTATCAGGTAAAGCTCTATGAACTAGAACACATATGGTTGTGATTATGTGTTTTTTGTGCATCCAGCCAAATAGTTTGTCGGAGGACTCAGTATAGTAATTAGTATGTATTGTTTCCTGTCTACATCAATATGCTCAGGGATGTCATAGCATTCAAGGAATAATTAACATATCACTAGACTAATTCGGGGGCGCGTTGTTTGCATGTCTCTTCAGACAGACATGTCTAAATCAAAGAGCTGCCGCTTATTGTTAGGTTAACACCTTTGTGGCTGTGGAGTGCTGAAACGCAGTAGTAAAAGAATCGGCTGGCTGACCTCTATACATATTAGTCAAATTTATACATGTCTTCCACCAAAAGAAAAAGAAAAAGGAAAACAGTATAGCCAAATACTCAAAGGTTGGGGATCACTTTCATTGAAAATGAAACAGATGAGAATGATATTCAGCAAAGAGAGTATTGGCCTAGTTCTTTTCACGGTTTCTACGATTCAATCTTCACTCTCCTTAATAGATAGCGACATTCATGAATGATCGTACGGGTAAATAGTAGGAATTTCTATGCAGCTAGCAGAGATAAGCAGGAATGCAATTAGAATATGCCCTGTTCTTCTGGCAGCCATTACGTGTCTTGCAGTATGATTGAAACCAGGTAAAAGACGATAAGAAGCAGGGCATCCCAGAGCTTCTTTCTGTTAGAACAGTCTTACTGATGTAGTGATACAGATTGTGCAGACACGAAATGAAGAACCGAGTGGTTGTTGGGATGATCTGCCAAGACTAGCACACGTTGTTGTCACGGGGGAGTTGAGTGGTAGTATATGTCTGTCAATAATCCACAGGAGTACATTTGACAATGAAAGAGAGAGTTGAACAGTATTTACGCATGGGTCTCGGAAGATTCTGATATGGCTAGGGTTTTAAGTGTAGGGAATGTGTCTCCTCAGTAGCATGCGCGAGAGATATTCAAAATATGTTTCATACCGGGAAGAGAATTTTCCAGATAAGCCGCAAAGTCAGATGCCGGAACCAAGGAAATTGTAGTACCGAGATCATGTAGTGTAGCAGAAATTAATGACACAAAACAAAATTGTCAATTAACGTGGGAAGTCATAGTGTTACGACGGGCGTTGTTGCTAGGAGCATGGACAAGAGTCAAGTGTCAAAATGCCTCGGCACGGCCCTCAGGCACGTGAGCGGTGTGCCTAAAGTGGACTAGCGCGGGCACGGGACGGGAAGGCCGTTAACCGGCGGTGGGGCTCTGCTGATCTCTCCGCATTTCACCGACTCTTCTCTTCCGAATCCCAACGGGTCCTCACAAACACGGTACGGAGATCTCTTCAGCGGCTTGTGAAGGCGGCTGACCAGGAAGAACCCGAGGGAACCGAAGAACCTTTGTAGTGTGCGCCATCGATTTCCAACCATGCCGGCAAAATGGAGAACCAAGTCCGGTTGCTTGACATGTCCGCCCTTCCCCTGAGCCTGACACATGTCATGACCGACGCCACTAACAGATGTCAATCTAGGTCGCACGAGACGCAAAAAGTGTGACGAGGAGAGAGGCACTTGTCGAGCTTGTCGTCGGAATCTTCTGACCTGTATCTGGCCATTAACGGGGGCCGTGAATATCGACCCGAGAGCGATTGTGAAGAACACGACAGGCATCGATATTGCGGCCCATTGCTTGACCACGTTTCAAAATCGTTCCCAGGAGTCACTATTCACATACTTCGCTTCAAGCGTGCTACCCCAGCTCCTCATTCCGGGGACTCCGCGGGCATCGCGTGATGACCTACTGTCGATGGGCATTGCCAGTCCCCCGCTCCTGAATTCGCTCCTCGCCTGCGCTGCCTTGTTCCAGTCGGGGACGGAGGAAAGTAGAATGCGTGACGCTCTGAAATACTACTCGAACGCGCTCGGGATGACGCGGTCGATGATTGAGAATTCGACACTGGAAGGAACAGAGGACTGGCTGTTGGTTGCAACGTTAGCCATGTGCATTTTTGAGGTGAGTTTTCGATGATATTGAAATAGCGTTTGTCATCTATCGCTGTGATCAACGTTTCGGTACTAACGCTGTCGAAGAGAGCCCAGCCTGGGCCATCCTGCGGTGCGGGCAGCCACCTACTTGGCGCGTCACGTATTATGGCCATGAAGATGGAGAGGGCGGCTGAATTTGAACCGGATGAAGGCGCAACCAGGGGAATGACTTGTTCTGCATCCCTGATATATCATGCCTCGACCACGACACTCTTATCTCCAGCCACCTTGTCAATTGCCGACACGGTATGCTGGGACCAGGTCCAAGAATACCTCGAGACAACTCAGCAATCGCCACTAGCTATGCCGCCGGCGCTATGTCGCATAATGCTAGAGATATCCCATCTAGCAAATCGAATTCCTCTCGGCTACGATGACAGACTGCTGGTGTGCTCCCTGCGACTTGAACTCAGTGCGTGGCTGATTCCGCAGTCTGGCGCAGACGGAGAGAACGCGGCACCGGGGACGGATATTCAAAAGGCAGCGGAGCTCTATGCACTGACAGCCGACATCCTCCTTATGAAAATATCTCAGCCTGATGTCAGCGCAGGGGACAGCCGCATTCAACAGCGGGTCAAGCAGATACTGAGTAACCTGAAATCGGACGTGCAAGGAATATTCTGGAACCAACACTATTCATGGCCGTTTACGATTCTTGCCTGTACCGTGCAACGAGAGAGCGAGATTATCTTTTTGCTAGGTCGGCTACAACGAATGTGGGAATGTTCACACTGGGGAGACATCAAGCGGACAATTCATCTCCTGGCCAGCATTTATCAACGACGAAAGGCGTCTGGACAACTCAATTGCTCAACCCGTTCAAAGTCAGAAAACGCCGTTGAACCTTTTGATCTCCTGCTTCGACCCGAAGGGATCTCGAGACTTATAACGACATAAAGCGCAATTCTTGTCTACAGATCCACGACACCGCTACGTTGAAAAGGCGACAAAATCCTTTTCATTGACATGCTGGTTCAATGTGGATGAATGCTAGGCTACGATACCGTCTGAGTGGGTGATGTACAAATCGCATCGCCTCATAGCTTGGCCGCCGGGAAATTGATGAGAACAGCTTTTGCCTGCAAATAGCTCAACACCGCTGCCCGGCCACCCTCATAACTCCCATTACCACTCTGCTTCCAACCTCCCAAGGGGAGATCATAATCTGGCTGGTGATTGGCATTGATTGCAACTGCTCCGGCCTGGAGACGTTTCGCAAGCCGCAGTGCTCGAGGAATATCCTGTGTGAATACACACGAAGACAGTCCAAATGTTGTCCCATTTGCCAAGCTGATTGCCTCCTCTTCCGTCTCAAAGGAGCGAACGCAGACAACAGGACCGAATATCTCTTCCCGCCAGGCAGCCGAGTCAAGAGGAGGGTTGAGCAGAATGGTCGGGGTCACGAAATTCTTATTAGCTTTGCCCCCAGTGAGGACCACACTCGGGCTTCCGCTTTGCGTCTGCTCCACAAGGGAGACAATCCTGTCTTTTTGGCCGGCATCGACCACCGGGCCGAGGAAGGTGGAATCCTGGCTGGGGTCGCCCGATGCCCCCGCGAGCGCCTCAAATCTCCCCTTTAGCCCAGTCACAAAGTTATCCACTATAGACTTGTGCACCAACACCCGCGACGCAGCCACGCAGATTTGACCGGAATGAACGAGGAAGCTCTGCGAAGAATGCAACAAAGCATTGTCCAGGTCCGCGTCCTCGAAGATTATCGACGGGGATTTGCCGCCCAATTCCAGCGTGACTCTCTTCAAATTGCTCTGGGTTGCCGCGATCTGGATTTTCTTCCCGGTCTCGACTGAGCCGGTGAAACTCAGCCGGCCAATATCCATGTGCGACGCTAGAAGTGCGCCCGTCTTTCCGTCACCGTTGAGTATGTTGATGACGCCGGGCGGGAAACCCGCTTTGACGATCAATTCCCCGATCTGCAACGCTCCCAGTGGAGAGTTCTCCGACGATTTGAAGATGAATGTATTCCCCGCCGCGACCGCGGGCGCAATCTTCATGCTGAAAAAGAAGAGACTCGCATTCCAGGCGCCGATCCCCGCGCAGACGCCAAACGGGTCGTGTCGAACAATCTTGTACACGCGATCGTCCCCCTCGGGCACAAAGTCCCCCGGAAGTTTGTCGCAGAATCCGGCATAATAGCGCCATATCGTCCCCACAAAGCCTGCTATACCCCGCGCCATAGTGATGGGCAGTCCGATCGCTCGACTCTCCAGGGCAGCCAGCTCAGCGCCGTGGGCATCGAGCAAGTCTGCCAGCGCCAGCATTCGTTTGGCTCTTTCTTGCCCGGGCATGGACCCCCATGGACCATTGTATGCGTTTAAAGCGGCGGACACGGCGTCGTCGACGTCTTCCTGACCAGCATGGTGGACCGAGTCGGATATGAGGGAATCGTCGTAGGGATTGCGGACGGCGAAGAGGGTTCCTGATTTAGCGGACACATACTTTAAACGGCCAGCAATGCGAGTCCAATCAGTTTCTTGGGAAATTGCGACAACGGATTCGTGGGAAGGATGAATAGAAGTCGCCACTTACCTCATTGTTAATAAAGAGCCGTGTATGGAAGTCCTTGGAAGTCGACATGATGCGATCAACAGGTCACTAGGTAGATATAGCTCCCTTAAATTGAATGTCAGCAATCCCGAAGGTCCGGGTCAACAACGAGTATTTCTATTTTCGTTCTTCAATTCAAATCATTTCTCAGTTCACAGATTTCGCGAATCCTTCTGCTCTGCGCGCGCGGGGACAGCTGCCATCCAGGCCATCCTCGGCCAATGGGCGTTGCGAAGGGCGACACTAAGCATGCATGAGAGTGGAGAGCGCGCAATGCATGATGATTGGCTGTGACAGCTAATTTGATTCAATGTCATCTGATGTGTGCGCGCAGGAAGAATGCACCCTCTGCTGTCCAGTACATCTGAGCCCGGACTGATGATTGACTCGTATCCCGTCCGGCGATAGTTCTAATGGTTGAGAACCAATCGCATCCGACATCTCAAGGGCTTTACTGCTCAAAAACCCGCCTTAAAAGTTTGGAATTGCGGCCTGTCGGACCCCAATTACGGCACCGACCGAGGTGGAGCCTTAACGTCTCTAAGTGTCTCGCCGGAATATAAGTGTCTATTTTCGCCGTCGTGGGGCCATGTTTGACATGCAACGAAAATTTACTTCGTGAATCTCTCCTTTACAGCTCATACGGAGTAGTCGCTTTGGTCGGATTACTACCCCATGGCGGACCCCCAGTCGCAAACGCGAGGAGCAATCTGCTCTCTCGATGAGTTCCTGCAGGTTTCGTACGACTACCTCATCGTGGGCGGTGGCACGGCCGGTCTCACCCTCGCCGCTCGTTTGAGTGAAGACCCTTCGATCAACGTAGGTGTCATAGAAGCCGGAAAAGACCAGACGAGAAATGAGTTCGTGCGCACGCCTGCGATGTTCCCGCAGATTCTGGGAGTCCCCGAGTACGATTGGATGCTGGAGACTGTGCCTCAGGTGAGAGATACTGGGCCCCCATTCCTCATAAACACTTCCGGCTGAGATAATGCGCAGAAAGCAAATGGCAACAAGGTGCATGCTATGACACGGGGCAAGATGCTTGGGGGGTCCAGTGCAACCAATGGCGTAAGCGATTCCCGTCTTCACTTGATGGGATGAAATCTACTAACAGGCGCAGATGATGTATGTCCGTGGATCCAAGCAAGACTACGACGACTGGTCAGCGTTTGGGAAAGGATGGTCGTGGTCTTCTGTGGCCCCGTACTTCAGAAAGCACGAGTCAATCGAGGACAACAGGACCGGAGAGCCGGGTGACTTTGCTTTCCTGAATTTTGGAAAGACATCCCACGGACAATCTGGCCCCGTCTCCACGAGCTTCAACAATTGGAGAAACCCGTTAGAGCGCTACTTCATTGAAGCCGCTAAGACAGCCTGCGGAATGTCCAACAGTCCGACTGATCCGTGGGGAGGGGATCATTTGGGCTTCTTTTCTTCCTTGTTGACCGTGGACCGGAGCAAGGATAAAGGCACGCGTAGTTACGCCGCGAGTGCCTACTTGTTACCAAACATTTCCCGACCAAACCTCAAGGTCCTGACCGAGGCGCTCGCGCTAAACGTGATTCTCGAGGGCAATTCTGCGCAGGGCGTTCGTCTGTCGCACACCGGCCGAGAATATGACGTCCGAGCGACAAGGGAGGTGATTCTCTGCTGCGGCACATATAAATCTCCTCAACTTCTTGAGTTGTCTGGAATCGGCAATCCATCTATTTTGAGGTCAGCTGGGGTACAATGTGTTGTCCCCTTACCCGGCGTTGGTGAAAGCCTACAAGACCATGTTCTCTCAGCAACAGTGTACGAGCTGAACGAAGGAACGACGTCCTTTGATTCCCTTCGGAAACCAGAAATCCTCCAACAACACTTGGACCTATACTCCAAAGAAAATCGCGGGATTTTGGCAGCAGGAACCAGCTGTATGGGTTTTCTCCCCTACTCGTCGCTAGCATCACCGAACGAACTCGCCACGACCTGCGAGAAAGTTCAACGAACCCCTACGACAACTCCCTTCCAGCAACGCCAGCTGGAGCAGGTCGCAACTCATCTACAAAGCCCATCATCTGCAAACATCCAATTCATCATGTTCCAAGGCACCATGAACATCGAGGAAGTGGTTCAAGACCAGGGGAAGTTCGCCAAGCCCGGCTCTCCAACCGATCCCGATGGCTTCACAATCGTCACTTGTCTGCAGTATCCGGCCTCGCGAGGAACAGTCCACATAACCAGCTCAGACCCGACAAAGAATCCCGCGGTCGATCCGGCATATCTGACGAATGAAGCGGACGTTGATGTTCTCGCCGCGGGTATGGAGTTTTGCGATGAAATTGTCAACTCCTCGCCGCTGAAAGACAAGATCCGGCGGCGAGCGCACCCGGCTCCAAGCGTGCAGCTCGGAGATAGGGAGCAGGCCAAGGCGGCAGTGAGAGATTTCTGTATGACAGAGTACCATCCGTGCGGGACGTGCGCTATCGGTCAGGTTGTAGACGAGAGATTGAGAGTGAACGGAGTGAAAGGATTGCGGGTTGTCGATGCTAGCGTTTTCCCAGGGAATGTGAGTGGAAATATTTTGTCGAGTGTGTATGCCGTGGCAGAGAGAGCAGCAGATTTGATTAAAGAGGACGGCGTACGAGTCAAAGCGTCGCTCTAGGTAGCATTGTTTACTGTTTCACGTTACCTGTCATCCATTTGCATTTCCCCGTGTCCCCAACGGCATTCACTTCCACTTCCCTCCAGCCAGTGACTGCAACGTGATGTCACGCCACTGTTATAATTTCGGATTGTGAGACGCGCTGGCTCTTTCCTCCTTCCATCCTTTTCAATCTCACGAAGAGACACTCTTCTGGTATCCAATAACAATCCTCCCACTAAGTTAATCACATTGCACTGCCCATCAAGACGAACTGCTACCTTCTTGAACGAAAAGAATCCTCAACCTCCACTTGAACCTCACTCTGACATTCCAATCAAAATTGTTCCATCATGTGAGAGGAACCTGCTCATTATTATGAAGACTATCTAATTTACCCAGGTGTCACTGGGAAACCATCCACTACTCCTGCGGCTGCATCTCCCGCCACGCCGTCTTTGTCCAGTGCGAAGAAAAACAACCTACAACCGCGCGCTGTTGCCCACTCGAGAAAGACCACGTCGTCCAACGCAGTACCTATTGCTATAATCATTTGGTCGACGAAGGCAGTGGGGCTGTCATCATGAGACTTGGAGGCTACTGGTCCCCGCACGGGGTGAGGTAAATTGGAGGACGAAGTCGGACGGCCAAGCAGAGCGTGAAGATGATAACCATGGGCGCAACGGAAGAAGGTGTTCTGTCAAATCAATCACTATTAAACGCATAATAATGGAGTATTCGGACAAGAGATGCACAGTTTGGACCAGAGATGCCAGACTTTGATACGACAGACTTAGAGGAAGTCCAATTTATCTGGTCATGGCCACAGCTGCTCCTGGCTGGCGTTTTGACCACCACGACTTGGGGCCTCCTTACGACATACATCAGAGCCGATCGGGGCCTCTTCCCTTGTTGTGCTTCTTGCCCGACCGAGTGGGATATCGTATTGATGGGAGTTGCCTTGGTCGATTTCCAATACTCGAGGTTTGAGCATGAAGCCACACAGCCCTTTCAGGGCCGGAAGGGACAAGGCAATAATGGCAGTGGATACTTCGGCAGCGGTCCATACCAGGATTGCGGGAATATACCAGGTTATATCGTCTGCGTGGTTCTTTGCGCGAAATACAACGACAATGCGGCCGATGGAGGTTCTGAGGAATAGCTAGCGTTAGATCAACGAACGCAACTGTGCATCCTGATAAGCGGGTTGAGCCTACATGATAGCACTAGAATCCGGTCAGCTTGGTGTCTATGGCATCGCTATTCTATTGGGCGTGGCTCACAAGATTCCGAAGCACAAGATAATCCCCAGCACGATTTTGCGGCTCAAGGTCGCCTTCACCGTGAGAATAATGTTTGTTGGTAGAATCAAAATCAACAAATCTGCGCATAACGTCAACGCAGAGTTGTAGCTTATTGTTGCAACGCCAAAACATCTTTCGCCGTTGGCCTTCTTTTTCCATATGTCGGCAATTGGAACGCATCGAATAATCGTAACCACGACTTGGACGAGGAACGCTACCACCACAAATAGGAAGGTCAAACGCAAATAGAGTGCAAATCGTGGCATCGAGTTCAGGCGAGCGTAAAAGAGAATGCCCGATATTCGACACATGACGAGAGTGATGATATAGACTGTTGAGATAATACCCATCCATAGAGTCAGTTTGTCCAGCGCAGCGGGATCGTCCTTGAGCACTGCCATCAGATGCCTCCCACCTCCACTGTAGATAGCCAACACCAGAGGCGGCAAAAGTGCCCAGCTGAAAATCTGTTCGGTGATGCTCTGTCATCTCTCCGTCTTCTTCTGGCGGAGGAAGTGTAGTTTATTTCGTCTGGAGCTCACTTACCATTGCAAAGACGATAACCAGATCATCCCAGCCAAATTGGCGAATGACCACGGCCCGCGCATAGATTCGGATAAAGACGACCAGACTCGATATTGATATTCCTATGCACATTCCAATAATCGTTTTTCCCTGCCTATTTTCGCCAAGGCGCTCCGGGGGAATCTTGTGAATAAAACGCGATTCATCCATAACTGAAGAAAGGCCAGCAGGAATCAACAAGAGATAGAACTCCCATGGTAATGGCGGCTAACAATTAATATTTCCGCCTTTCCGCCTTCTCTTGTACCTCACGATTTTCCTTGTCAACGGCTATAACTCTGCTCATTTTACTACCAGGACTCGGTTGGGTCGTTCCGGAAAACAAAGAAACATCCTTTATGTTGCGGAATCACACCTCAGGCCAAGCGACATTGGACCAATCCTTCTTCAGTCAAGAGTCTCCAACGGCACACATTTATGGTGGAATGATATGCCTAATCTCGTTAGAAACATCGCGTGGGTAACACATTGCATTCAACGCCCTTTGAGGTTGTCTGGATTTGGGGGTTGGGCCGTTATTGCCATACCCAACCAATAGGTGACCTCATCTAATCTCAATAATAAAATGCTAGGAGGGATTTCCCAGACTGCTGCAAGGCAACGTTCAATTATCTTGGCCTACTAAGGACTTCCCATGCTCCACACTGGACGCTGCTTATGGTTGCGGAAGTACCGATAAGCTGGCCCAATTTCACCCTCAGCATGTCCCCTAGATGTGGATAAATTAGCCAATTCTACCATTTGAGTGACTCTGAATTGTAGGAAGATTTGGCGACTGACCGATGTGCGCGAACAAACCTGGAACCGAAAGACTTTCTGTAGTTATATGATCGTTGCTACGTAGATTCTCACCTGGACGATATTTTAGTCACTATACAAATAGTGGACTTAATGTCCTCATTGTTAAAGGTAAGCCAGAGGAAAATTAAGGTATGTTTGTCCAGATGTACAAAGCTCTCTAGGCCGCGGTTACTCTTCAACGGTAATGAAGTCTTTCTTCCTGATATCGATAATCAATTAGAAAACCCCTCGACACAAGCAATGTGCCAACGTAGGAGGACTGCTATACTAGATCTAGGGTTCCTAAAGCTCTTTACCGAGGGCAACCCAACAGTCACTGTACAAGTTGGCGCAGAATCCTCGTTCAGATAGGCGGCCACTATCAGGCGCAGCTGAAAATCAAAGTATCTTCACTCCGTCACCCGCAATGGGGAAAACCATTTCTGGGTTTCGTAATGCGTGGGTTGCAACTTCGGCGATAAGGATTTAGGGGAGAATTGCTGGAGTGCGTTGGTGCGAGGTTGCCTGTTGTGTTTCTACTTTGCCATACTCCTCCTAGAAGTGGCAAGCCCAATTTTAATGGATTTCTTCTTTCGGGCTTCATGTCAAATAGAGGGTGCCATTACCTTCCTGCGTATAGGTTGAGTCGAGGGTTGGGTTACATTATGCGTCGCAGCCGTTTGTGGGCCGACACCATCCGAAACAATGAAGTGGATTAAACGTCGCACAAACATCCCCAATCTCGCAGTTTTTACTTGAAAGGGGCTCAATGCATTTACCAGAGAAGGATTTTCGGTCAAAGTTGAAAATTCGATTTGGTCAACGGCAAGCCAACTGCGCTCGCACAAACCACATATGCATGATCTCAAAGAGTCACCGGTTGCGTTCGAAACATCACCAAAAGCTACTGCCAGTCCGAGAATGCAGGCCAAATATATTCTCTTCTCCGTTCAAAGTCGCCATTGAGCACACTTCCAAGTTTCTGAAGGGACAGGCATTGCGGATTCTGTTGGCAATGAAGGAATTGTTGGAATCGCACCATCGCTACTTGTTCCAGCTGGGGGGAGAACAACATCGGCCCCGTCCAGCACGCAATTGATGGGCCGGATCCTTAGCGTTTGCGCCGGGGCGAACCCATTAATATTCGCCATCAAGCGTAGAGGCAATCCTGCTACACGCAAGCAATAACTAGGATGGCGTTTCTCGGCCTTATTCACGCGCCGGTCTATTTAGCGGCTTGGATCCCCTCTCCTCTGCAGCAGTAGTCGGCCCACTTGATGCTTGAAAGTCATGCAGAATTAATTTGGCATTACACTGTGTACGCCGACCCCAAATAATGAAGCCTATTCTCCTCTGACTTCATCTGGCAGAAGCAGCACTGACTAGGTCGAGTTCCCACATGTCCTTACCAACCTTGTCCCAAAATAACCTGATGATTGCAATCTCCAACAACACAGAGCCGGTAACGGCCGATTATCTCGCCCACCCGATTCTGTTACCGTGACTTCTAGCCTAGAATTTGTTCTGATCCTTGAAGATGATGCCATCGGAAATCCTAGATAACGTGATGGGTGTCCTGCTATCGCCGGTGGGTCTACAGCCTCCCTTGCATGGGGTCAAGAGGTGAAAAACTCGGTCGCTCTATAAATACAACAGCAGCGAAGCAATCAATTCCTACTTAAGACAATACTTGACAGTGTGGTGTCTTTCTCAGTCCTTCTACCGCTCCAGGGTTCAGCAATGGCTGCAGCGCGCTCTTCCCAACATGCGTCTGCGAGCGACCAGGCCATAGCGACGGGAATTGAACATGACCCTAAGGGAAAGAATTTCGTCAGAACAAAAGCAGCAGATCTTGAGGCTGAGGCGCACGGAGACGGCGACAAGGGATCCGACGATTCTTTGTTTGGAGAATCCGAAGGGAAGGAAATCACACCAGTTGAGGCTTTCAAATGGAGTGTTGAGGGGGACCAGTCTCCATGTCAGTTGCCACTTGCAAGGGCAGAAGACGAGAAATAATGTACTGAACTCGGTTCGCAGTTCCCGAAGTCGCCGCGTGTGTGTCCAACAAGGATGATCCTAGTATACCCTGTAACAGTAGGTCCAAAATCTTCCTCGCATACTCTTCATTATGACTGATCCTGCCTAGCTGTGCGCGCCTGGATACTTTTGACCATATTTGTGATTCTGTTCTCCGGTGTTAACCAGTTCTTCGGCCTTCGATATGTGCGTTTATACCCTGCAATTGCCAGCGACGGTGTACTAACTCACACCAGCCAAGTCTCTCAATTGGGTATGTCGTGGCGCAGTTACTTGTCTATCCCATCGGTCGCGCGTGGGAAAGGCTTCCACGGTGGACAGTTCCACTGGGCAAGTTTTCTTTTGACGTCAACCCCGGTCCATTCAGCGTCAAGGAACATGCTCTGATTGTCATTGTCAGTTCTGATGACCTCCGAGACTTAGGTCTAAGTTGGCTAACAAGAATCTCATTGCAGTGTGTGAATATTAGCGCAAGTACAGCGTATGCTCTGGGCGCCCTTGTTGCTATTGAAAGCCCTGTTTTTTGGAATCGCGATTATGGTGCCGGATTCGGCTTCCTCTACCTGTTAACCACTCAGATGCTGGGGTAGGAGAATTGAATTCACACGCTTCAACTTCTTGCTGACATCCTCCTTAGATTTGGATTTGCCGGACTTGCCCGTCGATGGCTGGTCTATCCGGCTGCCCTCGTCTGGCCAACGTCGCTATCTTCCACGGTTCTCTTCCGTGCGCTTCATGAGCCAGAATCGCGCACACCAGCAAACGGATGGACGATCACGCGTTACCAATTCTTTGGCTATTTCACACTCTTTGCGTTCGTGTTATTTTGGTTTCCCGATTACATCTGGACAAGTCTCAGCACTTTCGCCTTCATTACATGGATTGCGCCTCACAATCAGAAGGTCAACACACTCTTTGGTGTGAGTAAGACCCGCGTATTCTATTATAAATGCAGCAAATGCTGATCCCCTTGCAAATAGATGAACTCTGGTCTTGGTCTGCTGCCAATCAGCTTCGACTGGACCCAGATCAACCAGGCCGGAAAGCCTCTTACCACACCGTTCTATGCTACGTGTAATGTGTTCGCTGTTGTGGTTCTGTTCTACTTCTTTCTCGCACCGATACTCTACTATTCCAATATCTGGAATAGTTCATAGTGAGTGTCCTACTCACGACAGATATTCATAAGTATTTTAACAGGAGCTGACCGAGTCAAACAGCCTCCCACTTCTATCATCAAGCACCTTTGACAACACCGGCGCAACCTACAATGTTACACGGGTAGTCGACGAAAGCCTCAACTTCGTGGAAAGCAAATACCAGACCTACTCGCCCATGTATATCTCCATGTCCTACGCGCTCACCTTCGGGCTGTCCTTCGCAGCCGTGACTTCCATGGTCGTTCATACTTATCTCTACCACGGCTCCGAGATCTGGGCCAAGCTCAAGAATTCGCGCGCTGGTGGCGAGGATATCCATCGCCGGTTAATGCACGCCTACAAAGAGGTCCCTGACTGGTGGTATGCTGTGCTCACGGTGGTGATGGTAGGGTTGAGCATTCTCACCATACGATTTTGGGAAACAGGGCTTCCTGTCTGGGGATTCATTGTCGTTTGCTGCGGTCTTCCCGCGATCTTAACCATTCCGGAAGGCATCCTTGAGGGTACAACTAATCAACGTGCCTTTCTCAACATCATCACAGAACTGATTGCTGGGTACGCTTGGCCCGGAAAGCCTATTGCCAACTTGATGGTGAAGTGCTACGGCCATAATTCTATCAAGCACGGGATGGACTTTGCGCAGGACTTGAAGCTAGGACAGTACATGGTAGCAGAGCCTTAATGGTATTGGAGCGCCTCAGATGCTGACTCTTCCCCAGAAAATACCCCCACGCGTCCTGTTCGTCGGTCAGATCTACTCCTCGGTGCTATCAACTATGACCCAGACTGGCGTCCTTCGGTGGATGTTCGGCCACATCACCGATCTTTGCCAATCAACCAATACTCAAAGATTCACTTGCAACGGAGCCAAAGTCATGTACAACGCCTCGTTGATCTGGGGAACCATTGGTCCCCAGAGACTGTTTCAAGCCGGTCAGACCTATAACGGACTGATGTACTTCTTTTTAATTGGAGTGAGTCTGTCTTGCAGCTTTGGAAAAGATACATAAACTAATGTGATCACAGCCTGTTGTCACCGTACTGGTGTATCTCGTATATCGGCGCTTCCCTAACAGCTGGCTGCGCTATGTCAACATCCCTGTCTTCTTCAACGGTGCTGGCAATATTCCTCCTGCAACGACAAGTGAGTCTTCCAACCCCTTGAATGCATATCCTTAACACTAACTTGACTAGCGCAATACTCCCTCTGGTTCATCTTTGGGTTTATCTTCAACTATCTCATTCGGAAACGTGCCTTCTCATGGTGGAAGCGGTACAACTGTGGGTGTTCTACTACCGGCTATCGTTACGTCATTTTCCTAACACATTATGCAGATCTCCTACAAGCCTCCATGGACACCGGCACTGCCTTGGCCACTATTATCATCTTCTTTGCCCTGGGCTATCACGGCGTGAAGCTTAACTGGTGGGGAAATACCGTTGGATCAAATACAGATGACGCAAATTCTGTCCCCTGGCGCACGGTATCTGAGGGAGGATATTTTGGCAAGGGACCCGGCCAGTTTTAGATTTGTTGCAGTGTCGGCTGTTTTCTCTTTGGTTCATGCTCTTCAACACATCCATCTTAGCGCTGGTGTCGAGAATGTCTACTTGAGATGCGATATTGTTTCGATGTTCGTAACCTTCACACTAAAAAGCAATATTTGACAATACTTGGTTATTCAAGACCAAAGCCAACGTTTTCCGAGGCCTGTTCCTTTTAGTACTCATTACTATATAATTCCCCCACAAGCACTATACACGGCAAAGCATGCTTTTAGGCGTCGGCCATTCATCCTGTCTTCAGCATCACAGAGACGCGAACGCCTTGACCGACGCTTCGGCGGTAACATGAGCGCTAGCCGGGTTTGCTCCAGTCACGATTCTACCATCGGTGATTGTGAACGCATCCCACGGTCCGGCGGGTGACACATCTGCTTGCCTTGAGTGTGTGAACGAGTCAAGCCAAAGGGATGAGACTTACATGTGGCTCCAGCTGATGCAGCCGATGCCTCGATCGTAGGTCGGTTCCAGCTCTGAATCGTGCCGAGCACACCTTCTTCCTCTTCGCCCCTGGTGGTGAATCCAGTGACCTTGCGGTTGGCGATGATGGATTTTCCCGTGCTTGAATCGATGATCCCTGGGAAGATTGCGCCTCCGTGGCAGCTGCTTGATGTTAGTTTACTCTAGGTAAAGCACGATGCTGCTCCTGTTTCACATACACTGCCGCAATGATAGCGCCGGCACTATACATTTCCGACGCAATATCTTGCAAACCTTTGGCGTCTGGGTAATCGATCAGAGAGGCGTGGCCCGCTGACGCGAAAAATAATCCATACTAGTATAATTCATTAGCAGTCTACCTCAGCAGTATCCATCAAAAAGGAAAACCCACATTGCTCGCGTTGATCTCGCTTGATCTGCGCAGATGATCGAGTTTCGACCGAAATTCACTGGAATGGTCTTCCCAAACGGCTCGGTCTTCATCGGAAAGCCATTCTTTCTGTTGAGACAACCAGTCGGGCTGGTATAGCCCTGTCTCCGACACGAGATCGACTTCGAACCCCGCCTTCCGGAAGACGTTGAAGGGATGTAGGGCTTCGGTGATGAACAGTCCGGTCTCTTTGCCCTCCGGGTAGAGCGGAGCGTGGGCCGACGTTATGGCGATAAGAGCTCGACGGGGTGGAGACATTTTGAGATTTACGATGTTCAGCTGTTAATTCAGAAGAGTAGTTGGCAAAGATGGAGATAAATTCGAACGCTGGGTCCGAGAAGCATAAGCAGTCGTACACGACTGGTGACGTCACGTAGACATAGTGAACCCCCGACCTCCACCCTCAAGCCGTTTCAAGCCTTCTCTTTTCTTCCGTTCTTTCTAATCTCATATGCTCTCTATGTCCGGTCCGACCCTACTATGACCATAGGTGAAATTGATAAAAGTGATTGGGTGGGAAGAGCGGTGATCCGTCAGGAATGGATCGACGCAAGGGAGGCAGGTTCGCCAAAACCCCCGGACTCTTCAGCTCGCAGTGGAGACGCGTATGAGGGGCTTTCGCAGGAAACGCGGTTTTGATACTTTCTAATTATGACACGTCTCTGCCTTCCAATTGCTGCAGTTGAGAATCATACCTGGTCGGCAGCTGAGCGAAGAACAGGAACCTTCTTTTACTGGGCTTCGTTGTCAACCAGGTCTGTCTGTATTCGTCGCGATGTTAGGATGCTATGCTGAGATTGTTTAATTCAGTTTCTTATTGGATCGACATCGAGCAACGCATTTACCACCAGAAGCCGACCTTCTACAGCTATAATGACGAGCAGGAAGTGCAACGTAGACTGCTTACAGACTATAACCGCGCAAGAGCGCTTTTTTTCTTTTTTTCTTTTTTTCTTTTTTTTTTTTTTTTTCAATGCTCCCCTTTTGACGATCGATAATCTTCATAAGATACTGCCAGGTTCATCGCATGCTTTTATCTGTTTCTGCTTCGTACGATTTCCTTCCTCGCGCCCACGTTTGCTGAACCTTCGCCTTCAGTAAGCTCTCAGCTTCCCACTCCATATCCAGAATCACAAAGTCCGCCCGATATCCCTTGCGCAGCCTGCCAGTCCACGAATCTGCAAAACGAGAATACGCTGCTCCGCTGGTTGCTGCAGTCACGGCCGCCCCAAGGGACAGGCCGAAATGCGAGTTCACGGTCTCGTCGCAATCCGGCTCGATAGTCGACCGGCGGGTTGTCGCATTATACAAGTTGGGCAGCGATAGATGATTTGCCGTTGGGGCGTCAGTGCCGATGGCAATGGGCGCGCCCCCATCTAGGAAATCCTTATAGGCGAACGCGCGACTGCAGCGATGCTTGCCGATGAGACCGGGCCAGGCTTGAAACAACGCCGGGTCGGAATGGACGGGCTGAACGGACGCGGTGATTCCCAGTTGGCCCAGGCGTTTGGCATCTTCGGGTGCCGTCAACTCAAGATGCTCAATGCGATGCCGGTGACCGGGTTCAGCGTGCGAAAGTCCGTCTATGGCTTGTTTTACCGCTTGGTCTCCGATGGCGTGGATCGCGCACTGGAGGCCAGCTGCGTCCGCCTTCTTGATGACGGCCTTGAGCGCGTCTGCGGGCCAGATGGTCGGTACACGGCCTGTCGAACCATTGTAAGGCTCCTTCAAAGCTGCTGTACATCCGTCGACTACTCCGTCAGACATAATCTTGATCCCAACGATGCAGAACTCGGGGCATCGCATCGGGCTGTATTCGCGGTTACGGACGATTGCCGTATCTAGATTCTGCATGACCTCATTTGAATCCTCGGAAAATGGGATCAGCCAATGTGCCGCGACATGAAACGGGAAACTATCGCCGCATTGCTGCCGGAACTCCTTGAGGACATCCCATTCCAGGTCATCCATAGCCATGTCGATCATCCCTGTGTATCCGGCGGCGCTATAAGCAGCTGCCGCGTCTCTCAACGCAGTGAGTTTGTCGTCTTTCGAGGTCGCTTTCGTAAGGAACGCAGGCACAACTGCCAGATGAGCCGTTTCACTCAGCAACCCCGTGGGCCTGCCGTTCTCGTCGCGGTGGATCTTCCCCCCAGGCGGGTCGACCATCGTCGGTGCGCCAATTTCCTCCAGCGCAGCCGTATTGCACCACCCCGAATGTAAATCATTGGCATGGATGTAAATGGGACGAGGATCCAAGTCGTCCAGCATGCTGGCTAAGGCGACTCCGCCCGTAGTTGATTGAATCCAACCCTTGCAGGCAATCCGGGGTTCGCTCGGGTGTGTCTCGGCGTATCCCTTGATCTCGCGTCGAATGTCGTCCAGCGACTTGCAATGCAGTAGATCGACCTTGCGACGTGAGAGCGCAAAGTCGACGATGTGCATATGACTGTCGATAAATCCCGGTACCACGATTCTATCGTTCAATCCGATATGTGTCGCGCCAGCCGACAAGGCATCTTGCACGGCGTCGTCAGTGCTTCTTCCGACATGTTCGATGCGGTCGCCCACGATGACCATGGCTTGCTGGAAGACATCTTGTTCGTTTAATGTATCGCCTTCGGTGAAAATCTGACCATTCGTAAAGACGGTGCAGTCCATGGTCGAGACACAGTAGTCGTTCCTCTATGACTTGATAAACGGGCTCAGTGAAGGAGACAACGAACAGTAAAACACCGGGCAGGGGTCTATCGCTTCTATTAAGCTGAAGTGCGCACGCTCTACTTATACCGCATGAATAGTGGTATTATTCGATCCGTTGGAGTCCGAGGCGCAAAGTGACACGATTTGTCGCCCCACGTAGTCCAAGTGGATCCAATCTGCAGCTTCTCCAGAGTCAAGAAATGCAGCCTTTCCTAACAAAGGAGGTCCATGAGTCTGTCGCTGACTGGTACATTGGCGGACGTCTTGCCGTAGCGCTGACATGACATGCAGAAACTACTATCTACCGCTTCTTTTTTCTGTCTAAAGGCATGGTAGACGCAGGGTTATTCTTCACTCTTCATTCCTAAAACTACCTGGAAACAAAATTGACTTCGCCGTCATCCCTGGGCCACAATGTTGAAATAGATTTCAGCCGTACGACTACGCAGTGATCGCCCCCAGATAATCATGGGAACTGTGATGGCCAGAATTCCAAAGCAAATGCAACCTGCACTGATGAACATCTTCTCAACGCCTAGGCCATTCATCCAGGGACTAATGGAAAATGCCGTGGCCGTGGCAATGCCGTTGCGAATGTACGATATGACGACAAGCCCTTCGGCAACGAGCTGGCAACAATTTCAGCTTCATGCTCTCTGTGGGTAGGTAGCTACGATAGCATTTACCTCTGGGTATGAGTCTCCAAAGTAGGGCAATATAATCGACGTAGATGAGCCCAGACCGAATCCTACTAGCCCAGAACCTATTAGAGGGACGATCCAGGGTTGTTCCTGTGACCCGTAAGTATCGATCGGGAGCTGGAAGGGGTCAGACAAACATGTGCAATGCTAATACCGTATAGAAATAGCCCCAAAGGGGTGAGAACAAACGGCGCCAATAACATATGAAGTCGCATCTCCGGGTCGTAAATCCCCGATCGTTTACGCGCCATCTTCACCACGTAGTAGTCATTCAAGGGGCCCCCGTACACAGATCCAACGAAGGCACCCAGGAATGTAGCAATGTTAATATTCCCCACGCCGACTGATGAGAAGTTATATGGGGGCGCGGCAAAAAGAAGAGGCTGCGTGGTGGCGAGAACAGCTACCCAACAAAGCATGATGGAATACTCAATAGCCACGAATGTGACCGCTGGAATGCGGAAGAATAGGACAAACGGTCGTCTCAAATGTCGCCAGTACGTGTCAATGCTGAGATCGGACGGGGGGCCTCGACACGTTACTCTCTCAGAGTAGTTACGGCGATGAATCACTGCTTGCTCACCGGCCGGTATGGTGGGCAAGGACTCCGGTCTTGATGGTTGTCTTTTCTTCTCCCAAGATACCGGGTCTTTAGCTTCGTCTTCCTCGGGTCTCTCGAAGAACTGTACGTCTTGTCCAATGAAACAATTTTCCTCTTGTCTTGAATACCTCGTCTCCTCAAAGCCGATTATTATGAGGACGAAGACGACCCCATTCAAGATGGCGCACCACCACCAGACCCAGCGCCATTCTTGAGTACGGATAATGTATCCCGCTGGAATCAAGCTGAGGTATGTCTAGATAAATGAATGAGCTTCAGAAGACTAGATCCCGACGGATATAATGAACTTACACCAGCGACAACCATCACACAATAGATACCATTCACTGTAGCACGCTGATGAACAAAGAAAAGGTCTATGATCTGTACTCAAACGCATAGGTTTAGTCAACATGTTCCTTCTCCTCGTAGTAACGAAGACACTGACCGTCATCTGTATGATAGTGTCGTTCACGGATCCGGCTAGTCCCGCCAATACCTGCAAAACGATGTACTGTGTCTTCGTCTGGAAAAGAGCCTGTCCAACGTTGACCAAGATCATTGTCAAGGACGCACACAGGTATACTGGCTTCCTTCCCAGCAGCACTGCAGCCGGGATGAACAGCACGCATCCCACCGCGAGTCCTGCGAGTCCGGCTGCGTAGCTGTAGGTGAGATACTCGGAGTCATAGCCGAGTTCAGCCGTCAACGAGGGCCATGTCACGGTACCTACATCAAGCCTGCATTCCAGGTCAGCTAATGTTGTAATGCTCATAGATCGATTGGTAGAGTACGTAGCAAAGACCATCAGGGTGAATAAACAGGCAATCGAATAGTTGATCGTTTTTTGAAGTCTGGACCAGTTCTGTAGTTCCATCTCAAATTAGCCTCTTCATTATAACCAAACATGATTGATGAAAGACAAACTAAAGGCTCGTTTGGGTCCGCAGAGGGTCGTGGTTGTAGCATCACTTGACCATCAACACCGTGCTCAACGCCGTCTAGATGGACGATGTCTCGAAATGTTAGCTCCAGCTGCAGGATATCTCCCTTCCGATGAGCTGGAGTATACCATTCCCTAGATAAACGGTTCCTGGCGGCATTTCGCTCCCTGAAGGGTCATGCCTTCGCCCGTCTCCTGCTCCACTCATAGTAGATATCAATCCGGCGGCGTGATCGGTTCAGAACCGAAGTATCAATGGAAAGACGAGGGTTGTGATGGAGAATGCTGTGGTATAAGAGTGTGTCATTCGCGATGGCATTTGCAACGAGCAGTGTATACAAGTTGAGGAAGACAAAAATCTGGGGTCTCCCTCATCACAGGTGACGCAGTAGCTTTATATATTTCTACCATTCTCATTCTGCCTCCGAATATATTCCCGAACGCAGGCAGTGTAAGACCAATGATCATGGCGACAGGATAGCCACCCTTTTCTGAGCGAGGAGATAAACAACAAGATCGTGACTGGTCCTATGCGGGTGCCAATCGTAGGTAGTAGCAACCTTGGACCGTCTATCATCTCCCCGAGTTACCTGATCCGGCCGAGATGGCGCAAAAGGACGCGATTGGCCCAGCAGAGCCGGAGTGGAGACTCGTGATGACCTAGGTTCGCTTACAGAGTCCGGGGGATTCGATCTCATTCTGATGGAGAATTTCGGGAAATCGGGGTTGCAAATCTGTGTTGTTGAAGAAGTGATGCATGGTTTTCCTATGTTTCTCCCTTGTTAAACTTTCTGAGGACAGCCACTGCTGCCTGACTGCCTGACTGCCTGGATAATTGCCGCTAGCCCAATGTGGCGAGGATCGTCAGGCCGCCACCGCTAGCTGATTGATGCCTCATTGCTGCCTGGGCTTCCCTTTGAACGTCCCTCATCTCATCGCCAGGTCTCCCCGTCAATTGCTTCAACACATTTGAAGGCTCAGGTTTAGCAACGTGTCTATTTGCCGACCGGGCAGCAACAGAACAGATCACGCCGATATGGATTCGTTCCAAAATCATGATACTGAGCCTAAACTTCCTGGGCCAGTGAAACATTATCGTCGACCTCGACGGCGACCGGCGTATTTAAGGACGAAGACCGGATGCCTGACCTGTCGGTAACACATTCCTCGCGCCTTTCGGATAGGTCGAGAACTGATAAATCTAGGCCGAACGAGGAAAAAGAAATGTGACGAAGCGAACCGTCCCTGCGGCAACTGCGCGCGAATACAGTTATCCTGCCACTGGCCAGGGGACAAACGTGCAGGCCAAGATGATGTCGAATACTCCACTGCAGTCGCGGGCGCTCACACAAGGCGACCAAAGCTACAGCACAATCCCGGTTTGGAAGTGATTCAATTCAAAGTGGCGGGCATGGATTGCTCTGGTACATCGGAACCATGTTTTAGTTGGTCTTCAAAGGTGGTGGCTACTTCGACACCGGATCGCGCGAATGCAAGGTTGGAGGACGCCCAGGCCTTCATTCCAACTGTTGCACCTCCCGTATCTTCGATATACTCTAATGCTATCACACCGGATAGTATCCCACTCTTCGATTTCTTGCGATCCGTGTTCCTGCCGCAGCTGATTCGACCCACTGCCCAGAGAGCCTTTATCGATCTCTTTAGCAATGAATCCTTGACTATGGCTTTGCGCGTTCCGTTCTTTATGCATGCCCTTCTCGCATGCTGTGGCGCCGAGATCCTGGTAGAGGGGCGTCACCTTCAAACCAGTTTCCAGCGACTGGCAGAACTGCATTACGCGAAGGCTGTGGCTGGGCTTCGAGCTAGCCTGGACACCCATTCGTTGGAGAATGACGGCACGGTGGTCATACGGACGGTAATTATGTTGTGCATTTATGAGGTGAGCTGATGACCTTCTTTGGGGGTGTTATCTGTTAACAAGTTCGACAGAGATCCAAACCATATCTCTCCCGCGGCGTGGATGCACATCTTCTAGGGATGGCACAATTGATAAACGTCCGGTTTCAACAACCTAGCCAGTACATGCCTCGATCAGCTACGAATATGGCCATTGACCGTGTGATTCTCGAAGCGTTCATCTTCCACACCTCGACCAGCATTCCCTTCCAACATCAGGCGGCCAGACCCGCGGACATCGACTTTGCCTTTTCGCTAGCCGAGAAGAGGCTGGAAGACGAGTCTTGTACAACCATTTTGGATCACTCACACTCTCCTATTCTCGGTGTGCCGCCCAGATTATTTGCATGCATTCGTGAGATTGCGCTCATCCATCAAGGATTACCACGCAACGTGGATGTCTCGAGATGTTATGAACTGATGGAAGCAGTGTCTGACTTGGAGGTAGATATGCTTGGAAGTCACCAGCTCGTGATGGACGATCTATCACGGCGCGACCTAGTTTATAAAGATGCCTCCATCGGTCCGAGACTGTACATACTGGCTTGCAAGATTCTCCTTGATCGCATTATATCATTAGTATTGGGGGATTCTGCTGTCGCCGCACCGCAGCTTCTAGATGAGGCAATCGACCTGGTAAATCAGTTACAACCAATGACTGATTATTATGCCGAGTATTACGGCTGGCCCTTCCAGGTGCTTGGGGTCTGTACATCTCTACCAGAACACCGAAACTGCCTTCTTTGGGCAGTGACTGCGTTTTGGAAAGCCACCAGAAATGGAACAATGGGGAGATTGGTGAGGACGCTGGCTTGTTGGAGCGATCCACTTGACCGACACTTTCCCCTCCAGCTCGAAGATTCGGAAAGAATGCCGAGACATCAGACACTTTCGCACTAGACAAGCATCTGACGTGTTAATGCAATGCTATTTTTATTCGTCTTGCCGAACACGAGCCCCCACCGTTCTGGAATCCGTCGGGCGAGCATAAATACGGCCTCAGCCTTGCATCGAAACAAGCACCCACAACAATCAAATTCATATCGAACGCACGATGACGGCTAACCCCTTAACATACGACCTCGCTGCCTTGCTTGCCACGGACATCCGTGAGAGTCTCCCTGAGGAGCTGGTGGCTCACACCATCAGCAACCCGCCCTTCGTCTGCATCCCAGGTACCTTCAACGTGCGCGATCTCGCTGCCCCTGGGCGGATCCTGCGACCGGGACAAATATATCGCTCTGGGGCCTTGACAAACGTAACGGACGAAGGTAAACGGGCTCTGGTACAGAAACTAGGCATAACTAAGATATCTGATTTGCGGAACCCCTCCGAGCGACTCAAATCGCCCAGCCCCGAGATCCCTGGAACAGACACAATCTGGATTCCGTACTCAGCCGAGCCTGGAGAAATTAATTTGGCAGCCTTTGCACGAGGTGATCACGATTTTACCGGGTTCAGGGACCTTTATCAAAATATTCTAGACATTTCCGGCCCGATGTATCGGAGAGTATTCGAGCATATTCGGGACTCTCCGGACGAGCCGTTCCTGTTCCATTGCACTGGTATGTTGACCTTTGTTTTTTTTTTTGTTTTTTTTTTTTTTTTTTTTTTTTTTTACCTTTCTTTGTGACTGTTTAGTGTGATATTCCGACTCTAAGAAAAGACGTTAATGTCGTGGGTGCAGCGGGAAGAGATCGTACCGGCGTCCTCGCCGCCCTCATCCTGCGTCTTGTGGGCACGTCGCTGGAGGACATTGCCCATGACTATGCGCTTACTCGCGTTGGCATTGAGCCTGTTCGCTCCAGTCTCCTCAGTATGTTGAAGGGCCACGTGTTTAAGGGCTGGTGCTATCGTGGCGTTCATTGAAGCTTTTGAAGTGAATGCCGGAAGCGTCGAACAATATCTGGCTCATGGGTTGGGTTTTAGCCACCACGAGGTTGAAAGGATCAAACAAAATCTTCTGTCTAACTAGAGTGATCAGACTTGATGGATCAATGACGGACGATAATACCGGCTCATTCCCAGAGGGCTGCATTGAAGGCTTTGTACCCAGGGTGAACACTGGGTTGCCTCGATATTGGACCAATGTACATGCATCATTCATATCGGCTAGTCCATGATGAATCTTTCACCCATACCCTTCAGGAAAAGTATAAATACGACTCGACATTGACATTGTTTCTCATTCACCCATCTTTTTACAAGGAAACAAAGGAAAGGGACAGAAACCTCAATTCCTCGCCACCCGCGAGTGAGTAATCATCACAAAACCAAAAGCAGCCCTCTGCCTCTTTCAAGATGCCGGTTAAGAATGTACCAACCGACTTGGACTTGGATTTCGATACCGAACATGGCGTGCCGCCCCATTTTCGCACGTATCCCAACATGAACCCTCCTCCTGATCATGATGCGAAGGGAGTCCTCTGGCCTGAGCCAACGAAAGTCGAGGTTAGCTTCTTCATTGACCGAAATGTGGACACGAGGAACCGGAAGGAACTGGCCTACGCAGTTCGGACGCAGGCCTGGCGTCGTCTTACCAACTTACGATTCGAAGATGACCCCAGGACGTTGCCTTATCGATACTATCACGTCCAGTTCATCTTCTGTACTCAGACCCCCTTGGATTGGTGGATACACGTGTTCATCCTTCGCATGATGAACGAGATGGCCGGATGATGCGGGATTGAAGATGCCCTTCGACACTGCGATCTATCGCTTGCAGATCTGTTGCTAGACTTACTAGATGTTCCGAGCTTGACGGGATTAATGCCAGCCGTGACTATGAAATTTCTTTTTATCTATTATCATCCACCATGTACTTGTTGTTTAGGTCGACGTGTGCGAATCAAACTGCCATTTGTTATCATCTCTCTGTCCAGTCAAATATCATGTTCCCTTTTGTTGTTCTAGAATAATCTCCTCCTACCTTATGTTTTATGATCTATAGTGTAAATACCCGGGGAACCATACCTATTGTGGGGGAAAGTTGAATTCTGGGTATGTCTTTTTTGCATCTTCCATTACTCGTATTTGAAGCCGCTGGCGCAGCCCGTGGGGCCATCGGTTTTTCAGGGATATTGAACGCTCCCGACATTCCTACTACATGGTCCTAAGCCTACATCTACTGACGGTGAAGTTACTTTACCAGAGTAAGTTTGTGCGATAGCTCAGCCAGGGCTGTATGGTAAAGAAGTGACATTCTGTGCGACCATTAATTGACCTCGCAGCTACCAATCGCGCCCCAACGAACAATACATAATCAGAAGACACCGAAGAGCAAGGCTTCTCAGATGATGCCGAACCATTCCAAGATCGAGTCCACCTGTGTTGGTACAACATGGCCCACTCCTTTGGCAGAATAGGCTACAAACTGTGTGCCGTCGCCATAAACATACTGGGTGTATCCGGACAGCGGCGTGTCGCTAACGTTCTGACTGAGAGATACCCCAAACACGCTCGACCACTGCTTCTGCTCTTCTTCCAAGTTTTGATGTGAAATGACGGTGTCCGCCGTGCCATGCCACACCTGCAATTTCGGGTATTCTCCGTTCCAGCCGGGATAGGCCTGGCCGACGAGCGCGGCCCATTCTTGACCGGTCTTGATCACCTCGCCGGCAGCACAGGCCGGGTCCGAGGAGAAGGGACTCGAGCCCGGTGAGCCCTTGAGGCATCCGTATGGCAGGCCAGAGAAGGCGGCGCCCGCAGAGAAGATGTCCGGGTAGGCAGCGACTAGTGTTTGGGTCATCATAGCCCCGGAGGACGATCCAGTCACGAAGATGCGAGATGGATCGCCACCGTACTTTTCCAGTGTGTACTTGACCATGTTGACAATGGAAAGGGAGTCACTGCCGCCGTTGTGTGTGAGCGAAGGTACGGTATTCACGTCCCAGCAATTGGAGTCGCGCGTGGAGCCGGGGTAGATTGTGATAAAACCGTGCTTGTCGGCGGCTGTGGAGATGTCGTTTGAACGGTAGTAGCTGGGAGCGCTGCCCAGACAACCATGAAGCTAATTCCATTAGGTACTGGGCTGTATACTGTCGGAGTGGAGAGGTTCTTACGGCAACCACGATGGCTGGGTTGTCAGACAGTTTATCAGGAACGTATATGTACATCCGATCGCGGCCAGGGTTGTCACCAAAGCTGGGGACAAGACGCAGGATAGCAGCGGATGCTGTGCTAAAAAGGCAGAGCATGTAACAGAGAGTATAGAAAGGGGCCATGGTGTACGGGATTTGAATGAAACAATATATCGCGGTTGTATGGAGTCATTCGTGTTCCTGACCACCTTTCATTATCCCAGGAAAGCTTGACGAATATATACTGCTCGCATACTGGGCCCCTACGGTAGATCGAGATTCTGAAACTCCCGAAAGATTCTTCAAAACACGCCGAGCATGCCAAGAAGTCGGCATCTAAATTCGACCGAGGTGGATGAGTGTTTTGAGTAGATCTTATTCGTGGATGGAAAAGGGCGATCTGCATGGGAGATAATTCTCCTCGAACCCTGGGCCTGTCGATCCTCAATTGTTTCCCTCGCCGGATCTGCATCTGATCAACACCGAGGTTGAAAGACTTCGACCCTTAACTGCCGGGTTGCTATCCTATCCTTGCTACAATCACGGGTATGAGCTGATGTGGATGGATTGATAACCAATTCCCTTCCTGACTTAAACTAACAATCCCATCACGCTATAATATGATCCGAGTCCCAGTTCCAGCGGATACTATGGTTTATCCGGAGCAAGTGCCAATCTTCTTGGGCTCGCAGCCGCCAGCACATCCATCGTAGAGCACGCACGGGTTCTTGGTATCGGTGCAGACGTTCTTGAGCGTCGCAGTGTCGCCGAAGTTCGAGTTGATGCCAACAAGTTCACCACCGTTGCGTGCGGTCACGCCCTCCACGTAGACGTTGCGCTTGCACTGGCTCTTGCAGTTGCCGCAAGATCGGTAGAGCTTGCCGTAGTCCTCAGCGTAGAAGTTGATGATCTATAGATGGGAGGGTTAGTATCTAATAACAACTAGCGTGGCGAAAGAGGGGACTGGAAGAAAGGCTTACATTGACGGTACCGCATCCATTGTGCTGCACGATCTTGTCGTCCGCATGGTAAGCTCCTCCACCGATGATCCAGGTCTCCTGGCCCGCTTTGTCGTTTTTCTAGCTCGGAATGCGGGTTAGTTCTGACTCTCATTGATAAATCAAGACATGACCGAGGGAAAGAGGGAACGTACGATGGAAATTGCGTCCTCGCAAACATCCTCAAACCAGACAAACTCCAGGGTGCAGGGTCCATTGCAGTGCACTCCCTCGGCTTGGTTCTTGCCGATGATGACGTTCTTCAGCGTTGCGCCGGATTGAAGGTAGAAGACGGCATCTTTCCAGTCACCTTCAGACTGGTCTTTGCAGGCACCGGAGCCGCGGTCGTACCTGGCCCAGCCACCGTCGAAGACCTTTCCGGCAGCAACCTCAATCACGGCGCTGTTAGAATGGGAAGCCGTCGGAGTAGGCACGCCGCCCTCGTAGCCCAGGCAGGCGAGGGCGGTGGGCAGGAAGGATGCGATGAGAGGAAGCTTGGAAAGCATCGTGCTGCAGACTATGCTGGATTGTCTTCAAGGTTGGAGATGAGGTGCTGGAAGAGAATTGATGTCGTGATCATCGAGCGCTCTTTATACCCTTCTGTCAGGTCTCATCTAGGAGAGAGCCAGAGCCATTGGTGGAGCATCTCATCTTCCTTGCTCGGTGATACCTGTCTCATTCAGGAGAAATGAATCCCAGGAGCTGCATCACACGATATCGCCGCCTGCGACGGTGATAGAAACCCATCTCCTCCAATCACAGTAGAACCTGCTCAACTAGAAAACCCCAGTCTTGCAGCTACTTCGCTTAGCCAACGGTCACTATCCACCAAGTAAGATTATCATCCAAGACATCGTGGCATGGCACTCCGGTGGACAAGCCAGGATAGCGATAGCGACAGGCGAACGAGTGTGGCGAAGTCAGAAGTGCCCAGAGTCGTGGCGCTCGAAGTAAGACTCTTCGGCAATTTCTGTTTGTCAGAACCAATGGGAGTTGAAATCCTTGTCCACCAATTATCCGGGGTGCAGCTATTCACAGCTGCAGCTAGGGTCTGCCTGGTCTCAATTAAGGAAATTGCAGTGGGCTTGGGTGGTCAAAGAGCGCGCCCAGGAGGGAAATGGTGGAGCAGAATATGTAGCAGACTGAGACATTGCCCTTTCGAGTAGTTCTTGGGACCGGAGATGCGAGTCTAAGGGGTAGACTAGGCCAGCTAGACTGGCTCCTTTTGGTTTCTAGGGCTCGGCTCTGTCGGTGAAGACACTAGAGAAGCCTTATTCTGCGAACCCTCAAGGGCACTTTGGCAGGTCCCCTCCAGATAGTGAGAGCTATTATCCGAGGACTTTGGATGCATAAAATTCTCCGAGTGGATGACTCCCGTCATGAATGCATGTCAAGGAAAAGCACAATCTACGCCGGCCTTAAGAAAGACAAGGCTCAATATACACAGTGCAGAGGAAACAAACCACCCTACTCCTCGGCCACGATTTCCTCCGGCACCACCAGGCTCATCATCTCGTCCAGTAACTGCTCGACGTCCGCGGCCCCGGCCTTTGCGGCCAAGTCTCGCGCCGTCTGTCCGTTATCATCTTTCACATCGGCGGCCGCTCCGTGTCCCAGAAGAAAATAGACGTCCTGTCGCAGTCCGGCGGAGGCCGCCATGTGCAGCACCGTCTGTCCAAACATGTCGCGCGCAAAGATATCTCCCCCTTTGTTGACGAGAAACCGCAGGACATGGCTTTTGGCCCGGACAGCCTTGTGAAGGGGCGTTTGGCCGTAATCGTCGCGCGGGTTCACATCCGCGCCCTTCCGGATCAGAAAGTCGACCATTTTGCGAAGACCATTCTGGGCGGCCTTGTGCAGCAGTGTTTCTCCTGAATGGTTGGTCAGGTTGATATCGGTCGCGCTTTCCAAGAGAAGCTCCAGCATGTTTCGGTCTCCGTTGGCGGCAGCGAAATGTAGCGGCGTGTCGCCGGACTCGTCTTGCGCTTCTACGTCGGCGTCGTTGGCCAGCAAGAGCTCGACGAAGCGTTCGTGACCCATCCGTACCGCGATGTGTAATGGCGTCGTGTCATCCTTCGTCTCTGCGTCTACTTGGGCCCCCATTTGCAGGAACACCGTCGCCAACGCCACGTCGTTCTCCTTCGCAGCGAAATGCAGCGTCGTCTGTCCGGACGCATCCTTTGCGTTGACGTCGGCCCCCTTCTGCAGTAGCAGCTGCATCATCTTCATGCGATGTTTTCCTCGCTCGTACATCACCAGGGCCAGCAGCAACGGTAGCCCTAGCTGGCCCGACGGCGCGTTGATGTCGGCCCCCTTCTTAATCAGATACTTCACCACGTCGCCGTGTCCCTTTCGAACGGCTTGATACAACGGAGTACCATCCGGTTTCTTTCCTCCGACCTCTGCATCCACCGGGGGCTGCAAATTCATGTCCGCGCCATGTCGCAGCAAGAGCCGCACAATCCCCATGTTCCCATTTCTCGCTGCCCACCATAGCGGCGTACACCCGGCATCGTCCGGCTCATCCACACTCACTCGACCTGAGCTGATCAGCAAGAGAAGGATCTCTTCGTGTCCTTTCTCTGCCGCCCAGGCCAACGGCGTCCGTCCGTCTGCCCCCTTCACGGCGGGATCCGCGCCCGCCTTTAGCAGCAGCAACACCAGCGTCGGGTCCCCCTTTTCCACGGCGTAGCACAGCGGCGTTTGTCCACTCGCATCGGCCACGTTGGTATCGACTCCTTTGGCCAAGAGCGCCACCATCACGTTCTCGTGATCATTCTTCACGGCCCATCCAAGCGGCGTCTGTCCGAATTTTGCGTCGCGAGCGTTGGCATCCACTCCGTTCCCCAGCAGCAGGCTGACCACCTTCTCGTGGCCTCCCTCGGCAGCCCAGGACAGCGCGCTGCGACCGTCCTCGTCGCGACAGTCCAGGTCCACGCCTGGTGTGCTCAGCAGCAGTTGCACGATCGAGTCGTAGCCTTTGCTGGCGGCCAGGAAAAGTGCCACCTCGAGGCGGCTTTTGGGCGCCGGTAGAGCGGATCCCTCAGTGTCGGCCATTCTCCCATCAATTCAATTCCTTGGTTCGATTTGCAATACCCAATTCCCAATATCTATTCACTATTTTCGCTCATTTACGTCCACGGGTGCTTGAGGGTGGGGGATAGTGGTACATCGAGAGACCAGTCAATTGAGCGATGGACGGGGATTAATGAGCCTCAATTGATTCTGTCCTGGGCGTCCGAAAACTGACTATCAATGACAATCCGCCACAGAGTAGTCAGACAAAAGGAATGAGGGGAGGAAAAAGAAACGCGGTAAGTGGAGTGTGAACAAGCGCGAACCGAGAACAAAAGACGAACGTGTGGAGAGAGGGTGATGTGATAGGTATTTTAAGGAAAGGGGGGAGGGACAGGAAGGGGCCATGATATAACTGCGCATGAGAGGCCACCGACTAGAAGAGAATGGCCCGACGGAGGATGCAGCGCCAATGCACAGAAGAGAAGGACAGAAAGGACCAAAAAAAACATGCGATGTTTCCCCCCCGCGAGCGACACGTGGGAAGCCCTGACTGGCCTGTCGGAGCCTGAGGCAATCCACCGACGGGGATTCCCCTTCACCCTTTCATTTCTGTCTCTATTTCTCTAGAGACCTACTGTGGTTTGGAGTCTGATATCCTCGCACTTGCCAACCGGGATCAGGGAAGTTGCGCTGGCATGTTTGCTACCCAATTGGCCTGTGAGCTGGTCTGGTTGCTTATGGTCGACTATCCTGCGAATTAGATCGGGCGCATATCAAGGGTGCATACTAAAGAGACTGGCACGCGACGCTCGTCTCCTCGACGTGTTTTCAACTTCTGGCCCTGGTTCGCCGGAACAGCTTCGACGTCGACGTCGGCTTCATGCTTGGGCAGCAGTACAAGGGCAATGTAGGGCTGGATTGGGGCCTTAGGTGTCTATCCATCTCTCGGGGAGAGCAGTATAGCATAGAGAGAAATAGAAGGAGAGAACGAGGGCAAGACGGTAATTTGTCGGCAGCATCGGAATGCTTTGATGCGTTGTACGTGAATATTCTCTTGCGTCGCAGACCTGTGAAGACCTACACATTTGCTCTGGGAGTCTCGTATGCAGACTTTGGGTACGCCTGAGCCCATGATATGTACATTCCCCTCTGCCTTGCAGATTGGCACTTTGCGGGGCTTCAAGTAGTCCCATGCATACTGGATATTTGCCCACATCAGCCCGGAGACCGTTGGATGTCCCTCTTCATACCTGCAAAATATCCAACCAAACACAACCATCCACTTGTCTATAGCAGCACCATCGCCGCGCCCGCAACCATCGCCGCCATCCAAACCCCCAGCAACCCGCCGAGTCCTCCCCGACTACTCATCTCGGGTCTCGATCCCGGCGCCCCGTTCGAAGATGACTCCGTCGGCTCTGTTTCCGCGCCGCCGGTCTTTGTATCCGTGGGCTGGTGCACTAACGTGAGCGGAGCCACCACGCTGACCCCCACATACAACGAACTGTCGCCGGTCGCGATCGTCGTTTGCGCCGTCGAGGTGATCGGCGAGGTCGCATTGATCGACCATGCCAGGCCCGTCACGGTGAAGTCACCCTGCGTGAAGGTGGCGTTGACTTCGGTCAAGACTTCCATGGGGAACAACCGTTGACAACCCGACGTGACGCTATGCGCCGGCAGAGTGGAGTGGCAGCCGCCGTCGGTGGAGAGGGTCATTGAGCTTGAGTGTACCTGCTCGTCAGCTTGTCTTTCGTGGGTCAAGATGAGTAGTCTGACGTCGACAGTTGATTTGGGGCAGACCTACCTGGGACAACACACAACGGCCGTTTCGCTGGGGTCGAGCAGCTGCACCAAGACGTCCGACGGTCGGTGAAAGATGGGCTGGTTCGCCACGGTCGGCCGGTTCGCACCACCGGTAAAGATGCCAGAAAGACTCGGCTTGCTGTCGCCGTCGCGTCCGGCCACGCCGACTGTGGCCCATCCCGAGGGACAGTAGACTCCCGGCGAGTAGTATGGCACCTGGAACCCATACAGCGGATTATCCCAGGCGACCGAAGAGCCGGTTGGCGAGCTCGCGATTGTCGACGAGGGCGTACATTGTTTAGTGTCGAGAGACGCGCAATTGGTGAGCCATTGGATGGACGCAGGATGCTGCGTGCGAGCGAGTCCCACGTATCCTGTGCACGATGCGGGCGGCGTGAAGGCAGTCGTCAACGGTCCCCAGTTGGAGAAGGTGTACTGGTGTAGAGACGTAACAGTGGGCATTTTGGCCTTACAATTGCCACTGACTGCGACAAACAACTCTCAACACGGTCATTGTGCTACCGAAGAGGCGATGGCCGGTCTGGATTATAGGCACGACGGACAGAAGCGCCGGACTCCTGAGCGTGAAATGAGCGAGGCGCCGGGGTCAGAGCAGAGCCAGTCAAAGATGGTTTCATTTCACTAGTCGCTGCACTTCGCCGCAGCATTTCTTTCCTCCGACCTGCGACGCCCAATCATAGTTCCTTCATGATCCAGGGTGTTTATATTTGGATCGGCCGGCCGGAATCTGGCAGACTCGCGCCCAGCAGCCGCTGGCCAAGAAATTGGTGTTATCTTGGCGTGTACAAGGAGATGAGTGCGGGTTTGGGTCTTTTCTCGGTATACTTGTTTACATGGTTCACAGGAGATGGTCCGCCAATTTGACCAAAGGGCCACGATCTACATCTTGGCTGGAGTCATGATCTAAGAAGAGATCTACGTCGCGACGGACCGCATCCATGTTCTCGTCGGGGTCTTCCGTGTCTCGGCGAATATATACCGTTCTCATGCCCCTAGAATCATTAGCTGAGCCCCACTCCAAGAGCCCCTGGGAAGGAAACAAACACTTGCTTTGCTGCGCGCAGGTCGTAAGCATGCGCAGCAACCATAGCGGCCTCGTGCGGGGAGACTTGTAACAGGTCCAGGGCCTTGCGATAGATGGCGGGATCCGGCTAATTGACTTGCATTTAGGGGCACAGTCACATAGAGCATCAAACGGCAAACATACCTTGGTCAACCCCAAAAGTTGCGAAGAGAACAAGGTATGGAAAGGAAGGCCAGACGATCGGATGATGTCGAGCTGCAGTCGCGTAGTCCCGTTGGCGAGGACGACCCTGGCGAGATTTAGCAATCCGTCTGACAGAAGGTCACCCAAGACGAACATCGTGTATTGCTCCTTCAGTCGAGATATGGCTTCCACTGCATCGGGCCAGGCTAAACGACCGTCAATCGAGAACCCCTTCTACCTCATAAAGGCCCAGTATATACCCACCCACTTGCGAGTGCCAACTGAGCACCAATCTCTCCCGCTCCGTCTCATCCACGAGGGCATCGTCAATCCCGTATTGTCGCAAAAGGCGATCCAGCACACGACGATGCGTCAGGTCAATATCCTCCGAGCCCGCGCCCGATTGAAATCGAGCGTGAATCTCGTCGAAGAACCCAGCGCGCCAATCCGCGGCGAATTCCGCCTGTTTCGCTTCCAGGCGTGGGCCGAGAGACGGGGACTGGGATAGGGCGGTGCAGATAGAGGTCTTCCAGTCAGTGCAAGTGCCCATCAGATCGAAAACGAGGGCCTGCGGGTGATGAGAGGTGATAGAGGACATTTTGGTAATAACTCTGGCGAGAAGAGAAATAACTACAGCGCAAAGCACAGCAAAGCACAGCAACGCGAAATAGAGTAAAGTAAAGCGAAAGGAACAGGAAAGGAGAGAAGGCAGCGACCGCGATAAGATAAGACGGGATTAGATAAGATGCGGCACGATAAGCGACAGCTGACAAATCCATCTGTTTTCCCCCTCTTTTGAGGATTGTTACGATTTGTCGTCGCATCTCTCTATGCAACATTCACGGCTGCCTTCAAATCACTCCGAATGCCTTTCCAGCAAAAGGAATTCTCCGACTTTCCTGCTCCGCCTCCCGTCGGCACCCCGACCGACTCTTCCGACGCCCAGCCTTGGTATTCGATCGGTCCGGGCATCTGGGAATTGCTGTTGAACGGAGAGAAAGACTCCCACCACAAGTCGGTCCTGCAGTGGTTCGAGCCCGGCCAGAAGTCCCCACAAACCGAGCCGATCACCCATCCCTATGTGGAGGAGGTGTGCTTCCTACAAGGCGGGCTGCGAGACCTCACGCTGAATCAAGAATGGGGGCCTGGTGCATACGCGTACCGAAGGCCGGGCATGAAGCATGGGCCGTATCAGGCATCTGAACGGGGCTGTTTGGAGTTTGTCAAGTTGAGCCCAGCATGAGTTATTCATAGAGTACTGAGTGGAAGAACAATATCATTGATTCATGTCTCCTCGCCGGATTCCGCGGACACGTTCTGTCCCGGGGTCCGCGGGGCCCGAGAGTATCGCCTCGTTTACGATCCTGTAATTGGCCGTCAAGAAGTCTTGCGAAATATGACTGTTGTTTAAAAGCTCTCAATCAATGCCCCAGCTGGCCATCCCAACGTAATGGCGACGCTTGAGAAATCCGTGGACCCCAGCCCAGAGGGCTCGCTGGCAACGATACCTGAAAAGTCCAGCGAGTCCGACACCCCCAAGAAAGATGGGGGTATGAAGAGCTATATCAGGATATTCGGCTATACTGACCGGTTCGGGTGGTTTCTCAACGTCCTGGCCTTGGTCGGGACTATCGGCGCAGGCAGCGCATTGCCCCTGATGGATCTGCTCCTCGGAAAGATGATCACGACCTTCAACAATCAAGCTACTGGCGCCGATTCTGGTTCAAAGTTTCATTCCCAGTTGAACAAATTCACGTAAGTAAGTGACGGAGTCGCGCGAGTCGGAATACCAGTGTCTGATAGTCCACCCCCAGCCTCTACTTCGTTTACTTGTTTGTTGCAAAATTCGGCTTGGTGTACATTTGGACTGTACGTGTACCCCTATTAATCCTGTCGCCTTCTCCTGTTTTGTTCATTGTTCACATATTAACTCAAACTCAACTCGCAGCTATCCTTATCGGTCTCCTCGCTCCGGACTACCAAAGCCATCCGCATCGCTTTTTTGACTCGCTTGTTGCAACAAGACATCGCCTATTTCGACTCCAACCAGGGTGGATCACCTGTTGTACAAGTCACCACAAATGCCAATCTCGTCAACCAAGGGATTTCTGAAAAGCTTGGGTTTGCAGTACAGGGAATCGCCACATTCGTGGCGGCCTTCATCGTGGCCTTCATCGTACAGTGGAAGTTGACGTTGATTACGATCTGCATCGTCCCGGTTATCATTGTGGTCACCTCTGTATGTGCAGACCTTATGGTCAAGCAGGAGAACAACATCCTGCGCGTCAACGCTGATGCCGGTTCGCTGGCAGAGGAGATCCTGGCTAGCATGAAGACTGTTCATGCGTTTTCCGCGTTTGCAAAGTTGACTGCCAAATACGACGAGCTGGGGCTGGAATCCAAGCGTCTGGGCTTATCACAGTCCTTAAATATGGCTATTCTATACTCGGCTGAGTTCTTCTGCGTCTATGCGGGCTATGGCCTTGCCTTTTGGCAGGGTGTCCGCATGTATGCGCGAGGGGAGATTGCCGAACCCGGAACAGTTGTCACGTATGAGCCCATTCCGCTAATATCGCCGGTATGCTAATTAAGGCTGTCTGCATACAGAGTTATCTTCGCCGTAATTGTAGCTGCCACAGCCATGACGCAGATCGCACCGCAGATTATCCAGATTACCAAGGCTGCCTCGGCCGCTCAGGAAATGTGGGCTGTTATCGACCGGGAGCCTTCCATCGACGGACTTTCGCCCGAGGGAGCCCGTCCAGACACCTGCATCGGAGACATTGTGCTGTCAAATGTCTCTTTCGTATATCCCACTCGGCCACAGGTACCGGTCCTTCGGAACGTCACGTTAGAAATTCCTGCCAACAAATCCACAGCCCTGGTCGGGCCCAGTGGTTCCGGCAAAAGCACCGTCACCGGCTTGTTGGAGAGGTGGTATGACCCATTGGAGGGGTCAATCACGCTTGATGGACGAGATGTCAAGGATCTTAACATTCAGTGGTTGCGGACTCACCTGCGCATCGTTCAGCAAGTGAGTACCCCTTTTATCAGGCCGACTAAGTTGACAAATACTGACAAGTCATCTAGGAACCGACACTGTTTAACGGGACAGTCTTTGAGAATGTGGCTTATGGCCTAGCCGGCACTGAATATGTTCATGCGCCTCAAGACGAACAGCTCGAGCGCGTTATTAAGGCATGCAAAGCGGCATATGCCCACGACTTCATTGAAGGACTCCCAGAGGTAGCTGTTCCGGTACTCTGCTCCAATGTTTCTCAACTGACATCCCACATAGAAATACGACACTCAAGTCGGAGAGCGAGCGACCATGCTGTCGGGCGGACAGAAGCAGCGCATCGCCATTGCGCGAAGTATCGTTTCGGACCCCAAAGTTCTGATTCTCGACGAAGCTACCAGCGCCCTCGATCCACAGGCAGAAAAGATTGTGCAGGAAGCGCTGGACAACGTTTCGGCCTCACGCACGACCATCACCATCGCCCATAAATTGTCCACCATCAAGAGAGCCGATCAAATTGTGGTCCTATCGCAGGGTGAAATCGTCGAGAAAGGTACACATGACGAGCTTGACAGAACGGGTGGTGCCTATCATCGACTCATCCAAGCCCAGGACCTTGGTCGAGTGCAGAGCGATAATCCTCCGGCGTCAAAGGAGGAGATGAGCGAAAGCGTGCGGATTGCGACAATCCCTTCCGGACGGCGGGAGAGTGTCAAGGACAGAGGCGTGGTCAATAACATCGAAGCACCTTCAACCCGCAGCAAAAGCTTGATCCAATGCTTGTTCATTCTCCTTTCCGAACGATGTGATCTTTGGTTCGAGTTTTTTGTCGTTTTCGCTGCCTGCGTTCTAGGAGGCAAGTCCCTCAGTTCTCGTCTTCACCAGCCAGCGATTAACAGCGAACAGGTGCAACTTATCCCATTCTGGCTTTTCTATTCGCCAGGATCCTGGATGTGTTTCAAATTGGATCCTCGGATCAGATGGTCAAGAAAGGTGACTTCTACGCTCTCATGTTCTTTGTGCTGGCCCTTGTTGTTCTTCTGGTGTACGCGATTCTAGGCTGGGTAACGAATGTTATCTCAACGGTACGTCCTTTCTCATACCTCGAACTGACCCATACTAAACAGGATATGCTATTAGTGTATTGTATACATCTACCGGATGGAGATGTTCAGAAGCTATATCCGTCAAGACATGACTTTCTATGATCAACCAGAACATGTCACTGGGTCTCTGGTGTCACATCTATCCACCAAGCCAACTAGTCTCCAGGAGCTTCTCGGTTTCAATGTCGGTATCATTATCATCGCACTGGTGAACATAGTGTCTAGCTCTATACTTGCTCTGGCGGTTGGCTGGAAGCTGGGACTGGTCGTGCTGGCCGGCGCCATGATCCCCATGGTCTTCTGTGGTTACCTTCGAATTCGTCTTGAGTTCATGTTGGACGAAGGCATCTCTAATCGCTTCTCGCGAAGTGCCGCTTTAGCTGGAGAGGCCGTATCTGCTATCCGCACCGTCGCCTCGCTGGCTATCGAGCGAACAATCCTGCAGCGGTATACCGATGCATTAGCCGGGATTGAGCGACGGTCGATCAAATCATTGATTTGGACAATGTTTGGGCTTTCCTTGACGCAATCGCTGTCCTTCCTCTCGATGGCACTGAGCTTTTGGTATGTGCATCCGGCTGACATTGAGATCATACGACTTACTTGAACAGGTACGGCGGACGCTTGTTGGCCAGCGGCGAGTATTCCTCGACACAGCTCTATATCGTTGTCATCGGCTCCATCCTTTCCGGGGAGGCGGCAGCATCGTTTTTCATGTTCAGCACCAGTGAGTATCTTCGAGAACTCCCACTTTGCCTAAGCTAATGAACAACAGGTTATACGAAAGGTCAGGCGGCCTGTAACTACATCTTCTGGCTTCGATCCTTGCTCCCCGATGTTCGCGATGGCGATTCCGACTATACCCCAGATCAGGCCTCTGGTGCCGCAGGAGTGAGTCTTCAAGACGTCGGATTCCGTTATCCTACACGTCCCAATCGACCGGTGCTAAAGAATGTTAATGTTGAAATCCACCCTGGCCAGATGGTCGCCTTTGTTGGACCGTCCGGCCACGGCAAGTCCAGTTTAATCTCGTTAATCGAGAGATACTACAATCCCACGTCCGGGTCTATTCAATTCGACAACTTGGACATCGTGAACATGCCTCTCTCCTCCTACCGAAGCCATCTCTCACTGGTCCAGCAAGAGCCGGTGCTTTATCAAGGAACCATCCGGGAGAACATCGCCCTGGGACTAGAATCAGAAGCAACCGATGACCAAATCGAGCAAGCCTGTCGACAGGCGAATGTCTTTGATTTTGTGTCCTCCTTGCCCAACGGGCTATCAACTGTGTGTGGTTCTAGAGGCAGTCTCTTCTCGGGCGGACAACGACAGCGACTGGCGATCGCGCGGGCACTGGTCCGCCGGCCTCGACTGCTTCTCTTGGACGAAGCGACGTCGGCATTGGATACAGAGAGCGAGAGAATTGTACAGGCTGCACTTGACAAGGCAAAGGAGGGTCGGACGACGATTGCGATCGCGCATCGTCTTTCGACTATCCGACACTCAGATCGAATCTTTGTGCTCGTGGACGGTCGCATCAAGGAACAAGGCACACATGAGCAGTTGCTACAACAACGAGGGACTTATTATGAGATGTGCTTGGGACAAGCGCTCGACAGGGCTGCCTAATATTGTTTCAGCCCTGATTTCTGTACTGGAATATTCGCTCGATCATGTTTGGGACTCAGTGGGATCCGGGGCGTTCATATCTGGTTTGGAATACAACCTTCCTGTATATTAATACCACTATCTTGACATAATATCACGACACATCTCATCTTTCAATAAGCTGACAAACTCATTGTGGGAGGGATCTCAACAGTTCGCACGCAGGGTACGCATCTCCTGTCAACATCAACTGTTGAAATTAGATTAAACCACTGGCTGGCAACGAGATGAATGAAACTCTTCTACAATCATTTTTAAGGTCAACAAATTTCAGATCACGCAGTGCCGCCGCCCGTGGGCGCCATGGCAGTAACGATTAGTGTTGATGTTAGTGTATTATAAAGTGTTGCCACCCTCCTATAGCTATGGTATTGTTAATACGACGCAATCGTCAGTTGCAAAGATGCTATGGTCGCTCTTCTACCGGGCATGGACGGCCGGGTCATACAAGGGCGCGTTATTTGGTGCTCATCGCTGTCGTCAACCTCCTGGCCACTCGATTCCGGCGACAACGCGCGAACGGCACGCAGGAGAGGTCGGATGGTCATCAGGCTTGCGGCCGTCAGACCGAGACTGGCTTCCACATGCGACCAGATTGCTATCTGTGTGGTCTGGTCTGGACGGGTTAGTTGGTGAGTTGAGGTCGAATAGACGGAGAACGCCTACAGAGGAATTCAGGGTCCTTTGACAAATGGAGAAATGGCATGCGTACGATGACGGCTGAGCTTGCCCTGTTGGTACATGAGTATCTTCCCCGGATGCCTCTGGAACGGCTCTGGGGAGGGTAACTGACACACATCCAATGCCCAATAACCCGGCTACCGCAGCCTTGGTCCGTCGATGCATCTTCAGTTGCCAAACCATGAATGCTGGTAGAAGACCGATCGTGAAATCGCATATGGTTGCGGCCACGCTGTACATGTATACCACCCCAAGGAGAAGATCCATATTCAGACATTTTCCCGTGGTATCCGTGCGGTTCCAGTAGTAGTGTACCGGTTGGCACTGGAAGACCGTAAAAAAGAAGAATATTAGACCCGCAACGATGGACAGAGCTGTGGCACTATACAGCATGCAGGAATGAACCCGTTCGACGGTCAGGCGCAGTAGAGACAGGGCGATAGAAAGTCTTGCGAGGACGCAGGTTACGACGTAGAACACTTGTCCGAAAAAGAAACACTGGGTTGTTGCTCGGTTAGTTACATCGAATGTCAAACATATAGAACACGTCAGAAGACGGAATTACTCACCAGCATTGCCCATCGATAGTGATCCGGACGATCGGTGAAATGGGCCATCTTCTGTCCCATGCCATACGCGGCTCCTAGGATGCCACAGACTCCGAATCCAAGGTTGAAAATCCACGGTCTATCAACATCAATTGGTCCAGGAGGGTCGAGGTTTGAGTACAGCTCACCATTGCAACTAGCATAATCCAATCATCGGCTCCAAAAGATCGCACAATGTGAATTCGGACGTAAAATCGCAAGAGAACCGTTACCTGCGATATACCCAGAAAGACCGCCGTAACGACTAAGATGGCCTCGCTTCTTCCGCTCACCATGATCGGCCGCTTGCGACACCCGCATTGTATGGTCTCGCAATTGAGAGTCGATTAATCGACGTTTCAACTATATTTGCCTCTTCGAGGTGGTTGAGCTTGAGCTTCATTTTGTACCTGGCCGAGCTTGTCATCCAGTCGGCCCGATGCGACGTCGCCTTGACGTCATCACTAGGGACTGTGAAGCTTCCAGACTCTTGGCCAGTCGATGGATTCCTGGAACAACTCCATGTCTGGCAAGAGCTGGAGGAGGTGCACGATTGCCAAGGCGTCCAGCTGTTTCTAAGTTAGGTGGGTGCCTCGTCCCTGCGCATCATGGCTCCTCACTGTCCAGCAATGTAAGCAGATCTGGCAACATACGCTAGGCTGACTCTTCGATGCTTTCCGGGTCTTTCATCAGTCCGGTCTTATGTGATACTGTCCCCTGCAGGACTACCCTTTACTCCTATATCTCCAAAGTATGTGAGGATGACGTACGGGCGCTCCTAGCTTTCATGCGATCGTACGGCATATCGCATCCACAGTCTAGGGCATGCAATCCATCAGCACCTCATTACGACAAGCCAATTGCGTGATTAAGTCTACAGAGCCCATTACTCTGAAATATTGTCAATCGATGAGCGATAATAATTTCCTTACTTCCTGCTAGCGGATACGAGCAAATGGTTAAGAGAAAGAAGTTGATTGACGAGTTTCATAGCTGCGAGCAAACTACCACACCACATAAACAGATGAATCATGAATTTGCCTTGAATGCCGTGATTGGTACACGGTTGTGCGAGCGACCGGATGCTTTCGTCAACCCGCTGCAGTCGGTTTACTTCCATGCCCTTGTCGCTTCTTGAACACAATCATCAAGTCTCCCAAGGTTGTGCTAAAGGCCTCGGTCATGATATCATCCACTAGCACACCCTCCGCTCCCGGTGCAAGAGCAAAATCAAATGAACTGATTATCTTTGCAATGGTAGTGCGAATGTTCAGAAGCGCAAGCGGCTTCCCTATGCAATTGAACATTCCTGTATGCAAGGAAACATTAGCGTCCATGGGGCACCAGAACGGGGTACAAATAGGTAGGACACACCAGTCGAGAATGGAGCAAACGCAGTTTTGTCTCTCACCATCTCTGGGCAAATCGTCCATCGCTCCGGTATGAATTTATTTGGTTCCTGGTAAGCCGCTTCGCCTGTTGAATAATCAATGAGGTGTCTTCGTGATTGATATTATCAACACGGAATGTCGGTCAAGACTCACTGCGGCCGATGGTATATAAGGGGGTCCATATCAAGGTGTTTCCGGGGATATGAACACCTTCAACTGCGATGCCATCCGGTGGGGTCTTGCGCTGCATCTGCGTCGGAACGGGCGGGTACAGACGCAGAACTTCCATGATGACTGCGTTTAAATGCTCAAGATGTTGAATGTCGCTGTTTAATATCTCCTCTCCAGGATCAGATACGTACGGTGCGATTTCCTGTCGCAGTTTCTCGAGTTGCCCGGGGCGTCGAGCTAGTTCGTAGATGACAAGCGAGAGGACCACCGCCGTAGTTTCACTGACTGGGGTCAGGCTCCACCACGACAATTAGAGCTTACAAAATAAGCAACGTACCTTCCGGCGACCACGATCAGCTGCCCATCTCCTCTAAGAAGATCTAGATCTGCCTGTCGAGGTTCACGGCCTTTCAGAGGTGCTGCCAAAGCTGACCCGATGGTCTGAAATTCAACTTCCGCCTGGCTCAGTTAGCATCAATCCCTATCCAGGTTCTAATCACGGGCATAGGCCTACTTTGATTTGCTCTTGCATTTGTTGCTCGGCAAAATCAAAGAGTCTTCGCCAGCCTCTCGCCAATCCCGGGACGTTCACTAACAGCCTAAACAGCCAGGTAGGGAGGTTAAATCCTAGGGCCTGAACACCCTCGTTGATCATCGTGACGGCCCAATGCTCCCGCCCTGTCTCTAGCATGTTAAATGACTTGCCAAAGGCCAGGTCGCCCAGGACGTCGAAGCTATATGAATAGAACCATTTGGTAACGCTCATGGGCTGGCCGTGGCGAGCCACGATCTGGTCGAGAAGCTGCTTGCGGTACTTGTGCAGGCGCAGCTCATACCCGCGTAATGCGCGATCGCCAAATGCAGCGCTCCAAACACGTCGTCGCTGGTCGTGTTCCACCTTGCTGCGATAGATATGTAAAGACACCATGGGCCTGTAAACGTCGTACCACGGACCCTTGGTGCATTGTGTGCCGAAGCCGTGCACGATATCCACCGCGCTGGGGTGTGCAATAGACAGATCTGTCGGTCCAACTCGAACAATCGGGCCGTACTGATCATGCATGGACTTCACCTGTCGAAAAGCATCGCGTCGGCGGGCTCTCCAGGCGAGCCACAGACCCGACAGTCTGGCCCAGGTGGGACCAGGAAACGTACGCAACGGATGGAGGAACAGGCGATAGATCGCTAAGCTGAAGAAAACCCCCACAAGGTAAGAGAACATGACGCCGAAGGCTTGGGTGAAGCCATCACGAATACTGCTCCCCCCTCCGTGACTCACAAGCGTGAGGGCCGCGAAAGCCAAGCCGAAGATTTGAACGTACAGCGCCCCGGATAGATGGTGTTCACCGCGGGCGAAGTAGGTAATGTGCGAGAAGACACCACTGGCAAACAATATCGGATACCTCGTGTCTTCCCACATGTTAGTATAGGTTACAAAAGAGTACGCCTCGTATACTCGGTGTGCTTCAGCTTGCAAATGCGAAGTTTGACCCTTGCAGGTTCTGTAGGGATGACACTCGGCACCGATGATGTAAGTGATTCTACGTTCGGCGCTTCCGGAGGGGTTTGAATCAATGATCCCTGTCTTTCCACTCCACGGGTTTTATTTAGTATTCGCCGATCTAACTGTATAGTGTGTGCACACTCGCGCTAGAACCCTGAGGCAGCGAGGCAGCGAGGCAGTAAGACAATAAGGCGGCATGGCAACAAGGCAACACGGCATCTGGTCTACCCCGTTTTGTGTAATCAAGTATTTTCCCTTCCTCTCACCACGCACAATCGTCATTTGGAAGTCGCGCGAAGAATGGGTTAGTCTTCATTTTACGATAATCTGTCCTGTTCCATGTTGCCATGTCGAAAAGAGCCTCATGTAACGCAGTGTTGAAAGCTGGAATACACTCTGAGACATGGGGACAGAATCCCCTGTAGTAGCTCCTACTGAAGTGGGAGTCGACATTGCCTCCGCCAAAATTCTCGATGAAGCTGACTCTTTAGTCTCGAGTAGGAATTTGCCTGTACCCAAGAACTTTCTCCCGCGCAGACCCCGGTAAAATGTCTTGACAGGTTACGTTGCAACCTGCGGTGGCTGCTTATAGACTGCAGACTGCGACAAGGATAACGGCAAGTCAGACCCCAAAGTTCAACCCTACAGACTAGACCTGGATGATGTCGCCATTTAGAAAATTATAGCCTCGGCTGACAGGTGCTTGTTCTGCCCCAGCGCACCTTGCTTTCTGGTTGTTGTATCCCGGTCTCCCCCAGCTAGCATTTCAATGGCCCGGAATGCGTGGTGGAAGACGCAAACTGACGGGCAATACAATCTACAGCGTGCGAAAACCGCCCTGGTCTAAGATTAAGTTGGCTCATTAGGCGACATGAACAGCAAATCTTGTGTGGTGAATAAGACGAGCCAAGAAGCCCTGCATGATTGCTAATGCGGCCATTTCGACCGAGCGAACGCGATTGGAGGCAGTCCATTACCCATCGCCAATCTTCCACCAACTCTGCTTAATTTGTCAGGTGGTGAAAGCAGGGTACAATCTGCAGGTGTCATGAGATCAGTCACAAGCCTCCTTTCTTTCTCCGGACTCGATGTTGGTTGGGTCTTCCGTTTATACAACCTTTCCACTCCCGAGTGTGTTCCAGACTGCCGATCAACCCTCCGTGGCTTTCCGCAGACAAAGAACACCCATTTGCGATGAAACGGAAGAAGAATCACAACATCTGCCCTTCATCGAACCATCTCGCCTCTCGGGGATATTGAGGCTTCGCCCCAAGAAGGATGCCGCCACTCTGTTGGGCCAAGGGTACCATTAGTGACCGCTGTAACCCCACCGAGCGACCTTCATCTTGATCGAGGTTGATCGCTGATGATTAAATGGTCGGACATTATCGAGCGTCGCAGCCTGTGTCCCTTAATGTGCTCATGAGTCGTCATGCGGGTCAGGAATCAGCGACGATCCCATGGGCGGCCGGCAAGTTAACGCTGTCGATGGTGCCTCGCAGGGCATGGCATCAAATTCCCCTCGTTCGACCCTCCAATTGTCCATCCTGGGGTCGCCAAGGTGAGGGATCAGATATATTGGCCGATGCAGGCCATGTCGAGCAATGAGACGCAGGGGTCACTCTGTTGGTGGCGTCGCCTCCTCCAGTCCCAATGGACGCTGGACTTAATTTCCACCGGCGTCGAAGGAAGGGGCGAAATTCGGGACCGGAACAAAGCCATCTAATCGGAGATTGGCGATGCTGCCGTTTCACGTTAACTGCCGTTTCTTTGGCGCTTCCTGACGCCCAACTACGGTGTAGATGAGATGCCTCCCCCAGGGAGCCCAGCCCTATCCAAGGGGAGTATATTAAGCTCCTGGTTACTAGGAATCTCCACGGTTCTTGCTCGTTCACCAGCTTCTGCGAAGCATTTCATTCCTTTGCTTGTTTCGGTTGTTTTCCGCATTCTTCGTCATTCCTTTTCTTTCTCTTCACCTCTAGTCATTCTTTTACTTTTCATAACCGCCATGTTTCTGGATAAACATGCTTGTCTCCTGGCCGGAGTCCTCGGCATGATGGCTCTGGCTCCCCAGGCCTCTGCCGCTCCTTGGGGTCATTGGCACGACCGTCATCCTCACGGCTCTGGAGACCGTGGCGATGGAGGCCTCTCCAGCACCCCCAGCTTTACTCCTACTCCCAGCTCTCAGCCCACGGGTGTCTTCAGCATACAGCCCGTCGAGCCGACCGGTGTCTTCAGCGTGAATCCAACTCTGGGTGCCAGTTCGACTGCTGCGGCCACTCCGTTGGCCTCCGTGGCCTCCGTGGCCTCGATCAGCTCGGGTTCTACAAAGGGCGAAGTCATGATCCCTTACTACCTGTACCCCGCGGAAGGTAAATGGGAGCCTCTTGAGAATCTGTCAGTTTTTCCAATACACTCCAGATTGCCACGATGCTAACAGTGATAGTGTCACATCCAACCCGGACGTGAAATTCACCGTCATCGTCAACCCCGACAACGGCCCAGGTGGCTCTACCACTCTTCAGGATAAAAACTACCTCAGCTACGTCCCAAAGCTGGCTGCCCATAGCAACGTGCGCCTGATCGGATACGTCTCAACCGCGTGGGGAGGTCGCGACATCTCGCAAGTTCAAGCCGACATCAAGCAGTATGCCGATTGGCCCTCTTCCAGCGGCGACTCGTCCTTCGCCGTGCAGGGTATCTTCCTGGACGAGGGAGCCACTGCATACAACGACGCCACCGTCTCTTACTACGAGCAGGCTGCCTCTCTGATCAAGGAGAGCTCGGGTCTCGGTCCTGATAACTATGTGAGCATCATTCATTCTGCCTTCGGAGCATAGGCCACATGAGCTAACGTCGTTATAGGTTGTCGCCAACCCCGGCACTCCCCCTGATGCTGCCTACCTCAAGATGGTCGATTCTTCCGTCATCTTCGAGTCTCCGTACACCGAGTTCGAGAACGCCCTTTCCTCCAGTACCTTTGACAGTCTTAAAGACTCTACCGGTGGTGATCGCGCCTCGATGGTTTACAATGTCCCTGAGAGCGTTGATCTGTCTTCGGTCTTGGAGAAGGTGAAGGGCATCTCCAACCAGGTCTACATCTCCAACGTTGACAACTACGCCACCTACGACCCCGCTTGGGATAAGGTTGCTCAACTGCTCGCTTCCAGCTAGACCTTAGAAGACATGCTGAGGTCTTATCGAGCATGGTGGTGGGCGGGATCAGGGTCGATCCCTTGTTAGCTATCCTTCTCTCTTCTTGTATTCTAGACCTTGCTATCTTCACTAGATATATTGTAGAGCAATATATCGTTCGTGGTTCATTGAGTTTATTCTCGGTCATAGAGTAGAAAGGACAAGGGGCTGGTTAACAAAGTATCAATTTGTAAAAGTTTCAAAATCCCTGAGCTAAGGGCCCCATGAAAGAGGATACTGGTAGGCTGACTTGATCGATCTATGCTGATTCGTTCACACGGCCTCGTGGTTCCAAAGACGTGCGCCTAGGGCGAGACTAAGCCTAAAGCCTGCTGACTCAGGGCTTTTGATCATATTTGCTTTTCCAATCCCTTCGTCTCGCAATCCTTTCGTTTGGCCCAAATCACTAAAATCACGAAGGCATGTGGCTATGATACAGGATCAGGCTTCGGCATCTAGACCGAACCGATTAGATGCTCCCCACGTAAGAATAGCCCGTCAAATGGATCTGTCCCTTCAAGTGGGATTACGCGGCTTCGCTGTTGGTGTTGGACTAGGACCTTAAGGCTCCTTAATCCAAGCCCATCGTAGATGATACCATCCACTCATCAGCAGTCTAATCATGAGCAACAACGTTGTTGCGAGTTCTGCATCGGGAATGCAAAACCATACCTTTGATCGGGGGTCAATATTGCAAGCAGCACCAGACCACCCGCGCTCGATGCTCTTATTGTCCCGAAGCAGCGCAATACAGTAGATGGTTCAACCGAACAGGTGGCCTCGCGTACTTGGACCATGGGGATGGTTCTTCTCCATCCATTCGCGATTTAAACCGGGGGACTACGTGAGATTAAGCTACGTGACATCGGGTCAATAGGCAGTATCTTGTAAGAAAGTCCAATCAAATATATATGTACGTCTCTTCTTCACACATGTCGCGTGCATATCTCTCATGAGTCCGAGCAAAAATAAACAAAAGTATAAACGCCATGCCCTAAACCAGGTACCGGAAGCCCTTGACAACCCGCAGGGACTCGTCCGCCTCGGCCGGGTCCACCCCGTTGGGGTTGGCCTCGTTGGCGGCATCGCGCGACTCCAGCTTCTTGTTCAAGTTCACCAGGATCATTCGGAAGAGCCAGAAGCCCACGACGGCCACGCCAAACATGGCGGTCACGATGCCGTAACTCTTGCGGTATCCGTTCTCCGACAAGTCCCAGACGTACATTCCGGCGACGTTGCCCAGTTGCGAGAAGGCGTTAACCAAGGCCAGCGCGACGGCTCGCTTCGCGGGAGGGCGGGGGAAGGAGGAACTGATCCAGGAGTAGACGACGATGAATCCGGCATACGATCCAGCCTGGAGGAACAGAGCGACGTATCGGGCGGCAGTGTTGAGCGTGGACATGCAAATGATGAAGCCGACGAGACCCATGAGGATGGGACCGTAAATGTGCCAGACCTGTGTACCGAGAGTTAGTGAGATGGTCTATCGAAAGTAGGAGCAAGGGAGATGAATCAAAGTGACTGACCTTTTCTTGGGTTCGATCGGCGTGCCAGGCGTTGAGCAAGGAGAACAGACAGGAGAAAACCCATGGGGGCGCGCTCATGAGGAGAGTCGGAACGTATCCGAATCCGAGGGTTCCAGTAAGCGTAGGCTGTGGGAGGTAATGGTATTAGTCAAGATTTCAGAGGTATTGTAGCTGTAGGGGACTTACGAAGAAGGCATTGAATGACAGTCCAATCACGTACGCGGTGAAGGCGAGCATCAGCACGTAGATCTTGAAGTCCTTGAAGGCCATCATCAAACCCGAGAAGGCACCTTGACCGTCGTCGCTATCAGCCTCTCCCACGTCCTCGATGATGCGGAGCTGGGCCACGAGACGTTCATCTTCGGTGAAACCGCCGGTGTTGGTGGGCAGGTCGGGCAAGACGAAGCCCGAGATAATGGCAATGGTGATGGTGGCGGCACCCTCAATCCAGAAGAGCCATCGCCAGGCGGCATGGCCCAAGGTTCCTTGCATGTTGGACAGAACACCGGCGGCCACCAGGGAGGAGAAGGCGTTAGAGATGAGGTTACCGCAGAACAGGATGGCGTTTCGGGTGGTTAGCTCGCGGCGAGTGTACCACTTGGACAGGATAAGGAGGGCTCCGGGCAGGAAAGCGGCCTCGACGAAGCCCAGCAGGAACCGAATGACGACCATATCCTTGAAGTCCTTGGCATTTCCGGAGAGCGTGGAGATGACACCCCACAGGGTCATGGAGACGGCGATGTACAACGAGGGCCGCGAGATGCGGTTGATGACCATGTTGGAGGGCACCTGCATGAGGATGTAGCCCACGTATAGGATACTGAGACAGGTGGAGAACTGCGTATTGGTGAGATTCAGGTCCTCCTGCAGACCCTTGAGACGAGCGGCCGAGATGTTGTTTCGGTCGAGATAGTTCATGATATAGATCAGCACGAAGATGCTGCATCGCAAGTCAAGCTTCCACTTCAGACTCTTCTCGGCGGCCGCTCGACGAGCCGGGTCCAACTGAGGCAGCACATTCTCCTGGACTGTGACATGCTCGAGATTCTCGGTTTTCATCTTGTCCATATCCACCTCGACACCGGTGCCGACGGCGGATGGTTGAGTGAGCACCATGATGGTCAAGTTGTGGATGGTCGAATTCTCACACGCAGAACCCGAACAAGAAGAGAAAAGAAAGGACAGCCCGCATCAGATTAGCTCCCAGAAATCAGGCCAGGCCGGGGGGGGTTTATAATTTTATCTTCGACGAGCTAATGACTGGAGGAGCGCTTCTCAATCGGGGTGCAAAATTTCCCCAACGCAACCCTTGGGTTGGACCCCCACGCCAAAATTGCGGGTCGGACGCGGGGGTTCACCTCTTGCAGTGGGGTTTTTTGGCTTTTTTTTTCCTTTTCCCCTTCTAGTTTTCTTTGCCTCTCGCGGCATTTCCCACGGGGTGATGCGGGAAAGATTTCTGGGCACTGGAAGTCGTCCGATCGCGTTTCCTGGGGTCTGGTTAGACGAGGAAAATTCACAGAACTGGTGTAGGCTCTGGATATCTGGAGCAACTACGGAGTCCTTGACTTCTCTCGCCAGGGCATCCCGCGTTCGGGGGGTTAAGAGTTCCATCGGATCTGAATCTGCCTGCCGACAATCCCCGGGCCCGGCTAAGCACTAATTAGGGCACGCCGAGCCTCGTGCTCCCCCGTGTCTTTCGACTTCTTTTTTCCCCCGAAAAACATCGGGAACGACGTCAACCGAGTGGATCGTCTGACACACTCACCGTCTTTTTTACCCGAAATTGTCGCGGACGGGCTCCGGCTGGGTCGGCTAGATGGTTTAGTCCACGCCCATCCCCGCGCATTTCCCTTTTTGCACGCGGGGTTTGTTTGTTCGTTGTCTGTGTCTGTGTGGCCGTTACATCACAGCCGGAAGGATTAACGAGTTGACGAGTTGACAAGTCGACTGCCCGACTTCTAGTTTCCCAACTCTGCCATCCTTCCCGACCGACGTCAGCCTGAAATCACAGGCCCCGACCGTGATGACTCGGTTAGTCATGTGACCTCGGCAGACCAAAGCGGCAACCCCGCGGGGGGGATTTTGCATGGTTTGCACCCGCTCGTCAGCTGATGTGAAAATTCCACGGGACGTCACGTGCCATCCCTCATAGTAACAGAAATCCTATGATATTCCCTGTAGGTACTCAGGTGCATTTTATCCTGACGGTCTATGGTACTTTGAGTATCTTTCTCCACTTGTGTATACAATAATTCTTGGCTTCGCTTAAGCAAGCGCGTTTGCCACCAGGCACAACTTTATATACGACGCATATACACTTTTGTGTACACCCCGAAATATATTCCCGGGGATGGGAACAAGCTCATCACTCTGCGTCGTAACCAATCTCTCAGGACCACATAGTCACCTGGCCCATCATTTCCTAAGTAACCTCATTTTTCTCTTTTAATTATTGACGTACTAGTCTACACCGTCATCCTTCTAGAAGAATTTATCAATCACATCGCCCTCGCCGGATCTTCCTTTCTCCTCCCAGACGAGATGACCCGACTGATCGTCACAGAATCCCTCCTTTCTGAGCCCTGGCTCCACTTCCCCGGCTTTCCGAGTACGTAATAGGTTATTCGAGAAAGCCGAGTCAGACCATCCGCGACTTGGCTGTTTTAGGCGCTTTTCTTGCAGTCAACATGGCAAAATGCAAATACCCCGAGTTCAGACAACGTGCAGAATATGCCCGAACTGTCTCCACCCGTCGTCAATGGGGACCCCAAGCCATACGGAGTACGTCTTGCCTTCCTGCATCACTAGAAGAGTTGGCCGACATCAAGGGGTGGCGGAGGACCGCTCCGACGATCTGCCGGTTTCAGAAATAGGTCTGGACCACCAACCCACGGAGACGTTACGGCCACAATCATTGTACTCGGTGTTCGGCTCGCAATCCAAGATATATATATCGACTAAAGGGCACGAGAGGGTGGGTTATCTTGTTCAAACATCTGAGCTGATCGGCTCCGTGGACGCGCTCGAAATGGCCTCTCCACTCCGCCACTAGCTTTGTAGCTTTAGGGGTACGACTGCACGTCCGCGGAAAGAACTGTCAGCTGCGACTTTGGCCCACTTTCACCCCCGGCAATCACTTGAGAGTTGAGGCTGGAGAAGCGCATTGGGGTCGTTCTTCACTGGTTCTGCGGAATTCCGATGCCATTCGAATGCCCCTTCCGGGAGCCACGAGAAAAAGTCCTGACCCAGTGCCAGAGCCGTGAAACATATAATTTCATGGGCAGTAAAGTTTCATGAACAGTACAGATTGGAGTTCCGGTGTCGATTATCCCATCAAGGCTGCTAGAAAACAACCCCAAACCAAGGTCACCACGAACAAGCCCCTTCTGTGTGTAAATGCAAAAGTCCCTTGCTTTATCGGCGTCCAGCTGACCCCTTCCTACACTCAAACAGCAGCCATCCCTCACTTAGTCTCGCTAAAGATGCAAGGGATCATTTACCATTCATCCTTGTCAGATTCTTGGGCTGGTAGTATCTTCCTGCTGGGCTTATCTGTGGCGCCAAGACACGCAACAAAAATCTCGCGCGGAATGAACAAACCGTGCGCCCACCCTCTCTAGGTTGGAGTCCGGGGAGCCTGAGAGCCGAGTTGTCAGATTTTGGATGAATTGCGAGCTGCTTCTACTTTGGACACGGAAGATGCAGGAAACCACGCTTATTATGCGCCAAGGTCGCATTTGATTCTGCCGGTGACATGGGCACCCTCAAGGCTCGCGGGGCTTTCGCTGGTTCTAGCCCAAGCCGAGCATTGGGGCCGAATTGAGTGTGCGAAGACTGGGCTCTCAGAGAGATGGAAAGGTTTCAAATCTGATTGTGAGACATGTCAGAGCTGCTCTCTTGGATGGGCGAATGCCTAGTGTTCACCGAGTAGGATTGGAGTGACTGTAAAAGCCCAATACGGGGTCCAAAGGCGTGCTACCAGAATGCTCGAGGGATATATTATCTCCTTCCTGTTGACCGACAATCATTACGTGGGATCTGATTTGATCCCTGATCTTGCGCCCGTGCGAGCCTTTGCAGCTCTGCCCGAGATCCACCACAACATGAACCCGGTGATTTGATATTTGGAAGGTTGGGGTGCTGGGATCTCCCAAATGATTCTCTGACCATTTGCTTAACCGAATATGGACGCACCGAGGGATGACTGTTCTTGCGAGCAACGAAGAACGAGCGGTATGAGACGGCAGAGGCGAGATAAACGGCGGTCTCTGCGTTGAGAAAGTGCTAGAAAATCAACCAGTTTATATCGACTACCCCGTGTTGCATGAGACCCGAGGCTTGAGTAATCACAAAGATGATGATAACGACTGTCAGGTAGAGAGAGCATGCGAGCATGACCTTTTGCATCCAGTGGACGCGAATATTCCAGATGATAGCGATGGGGATGGCAAGAACTATGATCGTGTTCAACACGACATCAAGGGACGAACAGCGTTTTTGGGTGCTCACTGAATAAATCGCCAAAGATGTCCAGAGCAATATTGACGGCTGTATGGAGGACAATAATCTTCGGGCCCAATTGTACACAACACTAATCTCCGCCCAGCAAGCCGCAATGTAAAGTGGAAATGTGTGACTTACACTCTCGGGGATCATTGGAATATGGACAGGAAATATATCTAGTCGCGAATCCGTAGCCCATTACACCTGTTGTTTATGCAACCACGGCCCACCAAGAGATCATCCAGGTTGGCAGGCGATCAATCATTCGTTTGAAGAAGAAAAGGAAACTAAACTTGATCGCATTGAAGGAGGCCCATCCCAGCATCAAGCAAAAGGTGTAGAATTTGTGATAATGATACGACATGTTCATCCAGTTTGGAATTCTAACAGCAATCCCTTCCTGCAATGCCGATAGCTTGAACATGCGACCGAGCACCTCGCTATACATGACCGCGCTGTTGGCGATCAATAAACCCAAGGCGAGGATTATGAGCACGTCGTCAACTTCAACTCGTTGCCTTTGGACGCGAAAACGAATGATAAACCGGACCACCACACCAAGCACTGCCAGTGCAAGACCGCAACCGGTTGTAACTAATGTCTGCCTCCTAGCTCTGCTCTTGCACGGTCCATTCTTGGTGCCTGAGGTGAAGGGAGACCTACGAAATAAGCATGCTTGTGGATTCGTCCCACGCCATCTTCGGAACTCATTCTGACGGGTCTGATATCCGTGAAACAGCAGTGATATCCCGTTTGATAAACATACAATCGTAAAGATAACTTTAATAAAACGTTGGGATGAGGAATGAAGATCGTTTTGAGGTTGGGAGCGCAGTCAGCGACATTTCTTATAAGGCCAAAGTCCTCTCGACATAGACTTGGATATCATACCATTACTTGCCAAATCGTAGCTGAACGCAGAGGATTGCTGGGCTTGGTCCATGTATGGTTTTAGTGCAGTCTACTGTGTAGTTCTGTAAGGAGTTGGGGGCTGAACGCAATCCTCTTGTCTAAAGCGACCAGCTGCCACCAGAGTCGTCTCCGCTGCTCGGTTTCGAATGGCGACAGACCAAGCCGGTACCCGTCTCGATGAAGACGAAGATGAATAGCCATGCGTACGGCGATGCCTATCCAACAGGACAAAGTCCGCGTATCTACTTCTCGACCCTCGCTGAGCTATCATAACAAATAGTTAGCGAGAGATGCGATGCGGAACAAACCATCCGAAAACCCGGGGGCTGATTCTTACAAGGTAGAGCACAAAAGCCTGCAACACCATGATATTGTTTGATTTTATTAGCCCGGCGTTTAATAGCCCATGTTGACAGGCTTCGTTGAAGCGAGCCACCGAGAGCGCCTTCGGTTCCCCCAGGGTGGTTGTGACCTCGTCATCTGTCATGGATTTCACAGCTACGAGGTAAATACAGAACATGAGAGCTTCCAGCGGCCTACTAGCCTGCGCAGAATCGACACTTGCATCAACAATCTTTGGTTGCAAAGTCGGAATATGAGTGATTTTTAAAAGGGGGTTGACGTTGTTGATATAGACCTGCCAAAGCTGGAAAATTCGAACTCCCGGTGGATGCAGATGTGTGATGGTCGATTCCGAGGAGCCTACCATAAAAGGGAACCCCTCACTCTGGTTAAGAATCAAATTCAGGACATGGTGGTCGCCATTATCGCGCTTTTGGCAGACACACTGGCGTAGTTCCTTCCCCTCGGACACTGTTACGCCGGCAACGTCGGGCTCTGTGTCTGAAGAGGCGGGCTCATCCTTATTGCTCATGACGGGCTCGAATTCGATTCCATGTTTATTCAGAATTATCTCATACTGTCAGACCCTTTCGAATAGCTCCCGTCTCCTTAACTTCTTCTTCCTCCTTTTGACCGGGTGGGGGGGGGGGGGCGCCTTTGCACTCCGCCTGCGCGCGAATGCAATTGGTGCAGGGCTTTTGCTGGTCACAGCGAACTTTCCGTTGTTGGCATAGAACACAAGAGTGGCCTCGTGTTAACGTCATGGTCGTGCGATGCTCATTCATCCACTGGGGACGGAGCTGAAGAGATTCAACGACGCGTCGGGGAATTGAGAAAAGTGGCTTTTCGGTCCCGAGCCCTAAGTCTAGCTAAGGAAGACGTCGCAAAGGCTCCCGAGCCGATACAAGCCTATAAATCGCCCTATACCCTCTATAAATTGCCAGGATGGAGACGACTGTGTTTGTCAGTCTGTTGGCTTCTGATCAGGTTTTGCTTCGTTAGGCATCCTTTCTCTGAATCTACTCAAATCGACCAATTTGACTCCCAACCTCTCACCACGCGTTGTCATCTGTCCATAGAATCAACGCCCCTTGCGCAAATCCAAATTGGATATAATGATTCGAAATAAACTAACAGATTCCAACTATGAGGCACAAAATAACACGGAAGGGGTGTTCAACTCCGGTGCGCTCGACATTGAAAAGGGCCTCGCATCCTCACCGTCGGCATCTCAGTCAGGGTCAGCCAGCAGTACGACAGACACAGAATACCAACCCAAATCGTTCAGTTTCTGCTTGATTATGCTCTGCAATTTTTTGTCCCTCTTTCTCGTGGCCCTCGATCGAACCATCGTCTCCACGGCAATTCCTCGCATCACGGATGAGTTTCACAGTCTGGGAGACATAGGTTGGTATGGATCGGCATATATGTTAACTGGCGCAGCATCCCTGCCTCTCTTCGGCCGTATCTACAAGAGATATAGTACTAAATGCGTTTTCTTGGTCAGCGTGGCGGTCTTCGAAATAGGCTCAGCGATATGTGGTGCCGCCCCTACCTCTAACGCCTTGATTGCCGGGCGCGCCGTTGCAGGATGTGCTTCAGCGGGTATTTTCTCCGGCTGTATGCTTGTTATCATTGGGCTGGTGCCGCTCCGCAAGCGTCCCATGTTCCAGGGCTTATTCGGGGCAGTGTTTGGGATTGCATCCGTGATGGGCCCTCTGATGGGCGGGGGATTTACCGGCAGCGTGTCGTGGAGGTTGGTTTCCTGAATGCATTAATAACCGGTCACCGAAAATGTCGCGTCGTACTGACCAAACACAATTCTAGGTGGTGCTTCTACCTTAATATCCCCATCGGAGTTTTTAGTCTTGTACTCATAGCCATAATCTGGCATCCCCCAAAGCCGAAGTACGAGCCGGCTCCCATCCTGACCCAGGTCAAGCGTCTGGACCCTTTTGGCACCCTATTCTTCCTTCCCTCTATTACATGTCTTCTCCTGGCTCTCCAGTGGGGCGGATCGACATACTCCTGGAAAGACGGCCGAGTTGTTGGGCTCCTGGCCACGTTTGGGGCTTTTATCTTAGGATTCGGCGGGACTCAGGTCCTGATGCCGGAGACGGCCGCCATTCCGGTGCGAGTCATCCGGCGCATCAGCATCCTCTGCGCATCCCTCTTCACCTTCTGCGCTTCAAGTGCGATGACTATGATCCTCTACTATCTTCCAATCTGGTGTATGACTATCCCCTCCTCTGGATTCGTTGAACCGCTACTAAATGTGCCAGTTCAAACCGTCGAGCAGGTTAGCTCGATTGAGTCGGGTATTTACACGCTGCCACTGGTGCTGAGCTTGGTCGTCGCCAGCTTTGCATCTGGCTTCGTCACTCAGAAGACCGGATACTATGTGCCGGTCATGTATATCTCGCCCTGCCTTTTGTCCATCGGACTAGGCCTGATGTCCGCGTTGAGACTTGACACCGGCTCCTCACACTGGATTGGGTATCAATTTCTTTGTGGCTTTGGATTGGGACTCGGGATGCAGAGCTCTGGTCTTGCTGTGCAGAGGATCCTTCCCTCGCCCGATATTCCCATCGGGATTGCCCTCATCTTTCTTTATCAGCAGCTTGGCGGATGTATTTTCGCCACGGTCGGCCAGAATATTCTTAGCAATCATCTTGTCTCTGAGCTTAGCGGGGTCCCCGGTGTGAACACGAGCCAAATCGCTCACGAGGGCGCAACAAACCTCGCATTGATGGTGTCGCCAGATGATAAGCCCGTCGTGATGCAAGTGTACAATTCGGCTGCCACGAGAGTCTTCCTGATTGCCTTGGGTTTGGCTCTGGCCGCATTTCTGAGCTCACTCGGCATGGAGTGGAAGAGCATTAAGAGAGAAGGGAATAAGCAGGACCAAGGAGCTAGATAGTCAGGCTTCGCAGGGATCGAAGATTTGAAGTCCGATACAAATGGGAAGGAGGAGGCCTTACTGCGATTATCATTTGCGCGTCATACGTTCCAAACCAATATCTGAGAGATGCCTGAACTTCACCTGAGCAAGTAGATCCGATGACGGAAAGAAGGGCATTACAGGCAATTCGGGCAAAGCAGGTAGCAAGAAAGGATAAGATAAATAGAGAAAATCAACATGAAAATGCAAATGGTTATAGTAACGAGATAATGCAAGGCCAGAGGGCTGACGTAAGCAGGACCACGTGGGGCCACAGAAGATTTGTGCAATTCCTTTATCAACATTCATCGGCTCCAACTTCAATTTCCACTTTAGTTTCACTGTCATTCCCTCCAATCCTCTCTGAGGCGGTCTGAATAAGACCCGGCACCAAAAGCATGGATACGGACGGTCGACCCAAATTCCAAGAATTGCCCATTCAACCCCGAGGAATCTTTTGGGAAGATGACTTCATCTCGCCTGAGCACGAGCAGCGTCTTCTCTCGATCTTTCGCAATGAACTGGAATGGGCTGATCGTCCTGGTCGTCTCTCACTTCACTATGGCTACTCTTTCGACTACAAAACGTTCGGGGTCGACCCCGATATCCCATACAAGGAGTTCCCCGACTGGTTGAAGCCGCTCATTCCCACGACCGAGTCGCGACCACCCGACCAGGTGTGTCTGCAGTACTATCCACCCGGTGCCGGCATCCCGCCGCACGTAGACGCGCATGGCGCATGGGACCAATTGTACGCGCTGTCAATGGGAGCACCGGCCATCATGCAATTCCGGAAGGCCGAGGAGCGCGTCGACGTCGACCTGACTCCTCGGAGTATGATGCAAATGGCGGGCGATGCCAGACTCCATTGGACTCACGGTATCAAGAAGCGCAAAACCGACACGCTGTCAGATGGGACGGTAAGGTCGCGCGCGGATCGCTGGAGTATCACGTATCGATGGGTTCGGGAAGGGGAGTGCGAATGTGGAAACCTGGAGCTTTGTGACGTGGCTCAACGACGGAATGGGACCGAGAAGGAAAAAAGGTCGTTAAAAGAACTGGAAGCTAAGGTAGCTGCCCAGGATCCAGGATCGTGAGAGGTGACTCAACTTGAATCGAACTGCATCTTGAGGTGACCATGTCTTGATCAGCACATGTCTATACTTCAACCCCCTTGGGCCATTTCCCGGGGGATCACGAAGCTTTGTCGAAACCCTTTCATCTCAGAGCGTCCGTACCACGGTCAATTGTGAAAGGACAACGGAAATTGCTACTCTTGATGCCATAGTGGCGTAACGGAGTATGCCGGGGATACTTGTCGACGTGCCGATTGACCCTCGTTCCCATGCGGCTTCTTCCATAACCTCCAAGTCCTTTTCTTGTAGATAGCTGCCTATCCTTTCTATACCTGTGGGCTCGGCTATTTGCAAACATGCGTCAGCGAAAGATCCCTCTAGGTCTCATACTATCGGAAAGGGTCAGTGCCAAAGTATAAATAGGGAGCCAAAGCCAACCCTTTGGGCATATTGATCACCATTGTACGCACAATCTAGCCAGAGAAAACGGCCGCCTCAGAAAACATTCTCGTTCTCGATCCGCACCTTTTGCGTAGAGATGGTCCAGATACTGAACTGGTACGATCGCTCGGCGGTTGAATTTCCCATCGTCGCAGGTGAGCATGTCGTGGAATTGGGGCCTCACACCTCGTTGACCTACCCTGTTCAGGTGATATGTGGTGGCCCAGAGAAACGCGACCAGCTTGTTTTCCGTATCTTCACACCCCTACAAGGCACGTTCGTTGGGTTTATCGCGTTGGTGGAAGCTGCGCTCATCGTCCTCCGCGAAAAGCGTCCCTCCCCTTGCGAACCCCAGGAAGTCGGGGGTGTCTGGTGGAAATTTGAGCTCCCATGGCATGGGCCAGTGAAGAATTTTGAAGATATCGTGTCAATGTGCCGGGTGACACTAGAAGTGCACCGCGACGAGCTCGTCCACGATGCCAATACCAAGTTTCCCAAGTTCTCCCCTGCCTTGCAATTTCGTTAGTGACTGTATGACTCCATGAATGTATGGCCTCCACCTTTTGAATTGATTCCTCGATGTATCGTGAATCTCCGAAATCATCCAGTAGCGTCGACTGCAACCGAGAACAGTCCGGTCTGCCTATGACTACCTCCTGCAGACTTCGTCGGTTAGTACCTCTCTCTTTACTGATGTTTTCTAGAACTGGCATTGCCCCTGTCTAAAGCGCCATTCTTTGGACTCCATTAGGCTTCATGTGGCCTTTACTGAAAGAAGCCCCCTAGGTAAATGACACAGGCTATCTTTACAAGCACCACTTTGGTAGACATCCTTTGATCCTCCATTATAGACCTTAAATTCAGTTACCGCTTCAGACTCCTATTTCCAAAATCATTCTTGACCTCCCCAAAGCTCTAGGAGTAATCCCTCCCTAATCTGTCCACAGCAATACACGCTCACGTGGTTTGTTCTAATCATATTCCGCGACACGTTCGCGCTCTAATTACTCAGTTCTAGTTGGGTCAGAGGCGCTCTCGTGGCAAGGCCGTTCCTGAACATGGAGCAGCGGCCGCGCGATACCGGAGAAGCTGCGACTGTATAGCTCAACTTTGTTTTGATGTTGGGTTCAAATAATCGGAACACAACCCTAAGCCAAGTCTAAGCTTCACCCTGGAATAGAGGCGAGCATAAAGAAGAACGTCCAAGCAGGTGTCAGGGGGAGGTATCGAGTTTGACCCCCAGATCGACGAAGTTGGAAAACAAGAGCGTAAATCAAAAGCGAACGAGTCTGGGACCCTAAGGCCTAGATAAAGAAAAGTATTGGATGGATCAAGTATGGAATATGGTAATTAGAATTAGGGAGATGAAGTTCAGAGAATGCGATCCCTGGCTCCCTTCTGTCTTCCATACGGTCTGTTTCTCTCGCAGTCAATATAAAATCAAGAAAAAATGGAATGAAAAGACCAGCACATCTAATAACAAGTGGTTTGGCAATTCATTTCGTTTTTAAAAACACCGGAAAAAAAGAAAACAAGAGCCTCACAAAAGAGTCCAGACCGGCGAGTCCATATCCCTTGTTTGAGTAGATTGACGTATCTTCATGCGAGGCAGGGTAACCGTAGATCATACGCCGCTGCCGGTTTAGATGGCCAGTTCACCAATCTCTATGCAAATCCTTCAGTGATTAGGGTTTTCTTCTTCGCATTGGAGAAATGATTCACTATGTATGAGCGGATGGCGAGGAATCTGTTGTTGTCTCAATGAACGGTCTCCATTGCTCCTCACACCATTCCCAGAACTTAGTGGCATGTCCTAGTCCTCCCTCCTCGACGGGTGTCATGGCATTGATTATGTCCCTTCGAGGGCAGTCCTTGTCTGGCCTTACCCTCCCCCAAGGAATGACATAGGCACCGTTTGTCTCCGTCGTGATTTCGGGGCTGAGACCACAGTACAGTTCCGTGTAGGCGCCGAAGCGGGCGTCATATAACAAAGGCCGTACGAGACACATAGTCAGGGCTGGAGTCCCCTCGTACGAGCCTGCCTTCAGGTTTCCTGGGTTTTGCACAACGCTGAGAATGCCGTCCGCCGCGTATCGGCGGGCCATCTCCCGACCCAGCATCCAGGTGCCGGCTTTTGACACGGCATAATTGAGAATGCGATCGTCGGTGCCTTTCTCCAGCGTAGTAAAATCGACGCCATTTACCGGGGATCCGCCCTCGGCTAGGAAGCTCGACGTCCAGACTACGCGCACGGCACCAGGGGGCTGAGATGCGGCGGCTGCGCGCAGCTGCGGACGCAGAAGATCGGTGAAGAGGAGTGTGGCGATGCAGTGCATGCCGACCATGGCTTCGAATCCTTGCTTAGTTCGCGTATTGGGAGCAATGCGATTGGCGCCCATGCCAGCGTTGTTCCATAAAATGTCGAGATTTGTCTCCCGAGCGGCAAAAGTGGCGGCGGCCTCCTTGACGGATTGAAGATCGTTGAGGTCAAGTTGCAGGAATAGAATGCGACCGGGATTTACAGGCTCCGGCGTCGATTCTATGATCGTCCGGATCGCTTCTTCGGCGCGTTCCTAGGCCCCTATGTGTCAGTCCTCGGGTTCAGTCTCCGTGAGTGCATGACCTGGACATACCTTAGATCGGGACGCCATGTAAACAGTGGCACCGGTGCTATACAAGATGCGACACAGCGCAAAGCCAACGCCATTATTGCCACCAGTCACGATGAACACTCGACCGGTCTGTGCTGGAACGTCCTTCTCCGTGAAGCTTGGGCTCGGTGGAAACAGCTGAGTCCACGCATTGCACACCTTTGCGATGACCATGATGGGAAGAGTGGATATCTAGAAGTCTGTGACCAAATACAAGCCCATGTGCCCGCATTTATACAGAATTTTCTGCCAAGGACACGACGTGATAGCGTACTCGTGGCCTATTCCCTAGATTGCTGTGTTCACCAATCATGCGACGAGATTCAGCTCTAGTGAGCTGAGCTGTTGGTTGCCAATTTAGAGCCAATTTAGCGCCCCAACGCAAAGCCATGTGGTGTAAGCACAGCATTTTGATTACTAACTCCGCCAGTGAGCATTTGTCATCTTTATATTTGCAGTGCACTAGTTAAATAGTTAGTTGGTTGGTATTGTATTCTTTTCCTGCTCAGGCAGTAAACCACGCTTCCTCTACCTTACGTGGCTTTCCATTATCGATGGTATACACACCCTCTACATCTCCCGAGTCGGTTCACAAGGATCGCACGACCGACGTGTCGCCAGCTGTTAAGATAAGAAGGTGCGATATTCCGCATAAAGATTTAACCATTGACAACAAATGAGAGGATAGTAAGGAGAACATACGGAGTAGCAACGACTGCCACACTCCACCAGCGATGCGGCAGGGCGGCCCCCATAGCCAACAGGCCTGTTCGCACCGCATGCTCCACCCTCCGCGATCGATACTGGGAGATGCTTGGCAAGGACTTGTTTTCGGCATCGATTGGATGAGTCGAGTAGTGTAGGGAGAATCGCGACGGAGAAGGGAGTCCAGTCCTAGGCCGTGTGTGAAGAGCAATTCTCTTCGGGGAGCCGCCTTCGGTAAACGGCAGCTCAATTGGGTATTCCCTTGCAAAACGAAACTGAGAGGCTTTGGTTAATTTATTACGGTCACTGGCCTGGGTGACAATGCCCTGATCAGTCGAGCTGAGACCAGGCCTCTATTTGTCTGCGAAACTTGGCCGGCGTTGGCCTGAGGAAAGGATCTACGCCAGTCTCCCAGTTTACTCTATACCTTCCACGGTGCAACTGAGTATTCTCTCAGTACGGAGTACACATGTCACATGCTCCGTACGGTGTGGTCCACTGTCCTCGATTGAATCCCAATCTAACCAAAGCCTAGCTTAGTTGCCAAAGATAGAGATCCGAGCGGATCGCACAGCCCGTGTCGATATGGACCGGCATCGATACATTCTCGAAAAAGCAATCAGACCGATTCGGCGTTGCCTAGTCGGACCCTGGTCTTCGATTGATTGCGTGAATACGTCGTCCGAGCGTCATGCAGAGAGACCAGGAAGCCCTCGGTGATCGTCCAGCAAATGGATTCGCCGAGGCAACCCCGGAAGATGGACCCTGAACGTGTAATCGGTGGCTCAGCCCTGAACCAGACACGGAGCATCGACTAAGGGGAACAGAAGAAAAAGGTAACCTGAAACCATGGGCAGTGCGGTGGCGGATCGGCTGAAGCGCAGCGAGCCCGTCACATCGTGGACTAATCAATCCCTGGGCAAGGATCGACAAGACCCCGTTAAACCTGGTCCGCGCTAAGAATAGAAAGCCGGTAAAAGTTCCCCACGTCGCGGGCCACTCTGATGTCATTTTGGCCACTCAACGCCCGGTCTTGCGGTGGCATTCCGTGGATTTGTTCTGCCTGGGAAGTCGGTTCGACCCGATCACTCGGAGGCACAAAATTCGAAGCTCGGCAGAGGACCCTGAATGGCAGGGGGAAATGATAAAGAAAGGATACTACGAGCCAAGAAAAACGGCAAGAGTAAGACATGTCTCATTTACCGGCAATGATCGACACGGCAAAGATCCACAGGACCTTGGTCTGCAGTTCCACTGTACCTTGATGCCCGGAGGTTTATAAAAACCCTCAAGGCCTCTCTCCCTTTTCTCCCTCCATCCATCCACTCTTGCTTTTGGGACTTCTACTGTTATCATTCAATTTTTTACTTTCGCCTCCACTTCCAATCTTTCACCATGAAGCTCTCCTTCGCTGCTATGACCGGCCTGGTTGGTGCCATCAGCGCCTCCGCCGTGCCCTACGCCTCGCCCTCTTCGGCCACTCCCTCCTCTTCGGCCGTTCCCTCGGGCACTCCTACTCCTGGAGCTTCGCTCCCCGAGGCTTTCACTCTTGTTGCTGAGGGTGGTCTCACCGTCCTGACTGATGGCCGTAAGCGTTGCCTAGACTGTGCTCGTGAAGAGACATGTTGCTAATGATTAACGCCAGAGTACGCCTACTTCGGCGGTAACACCACCGACAAGGAGATCCTCATTCGTATGTCTTCCACTCCCAAAAGCGTAGGCAAGATCCATAGAGCTAATACTCTCCTCCAGTCCACTCCGCTCCCAACGGTGCCGTCTCCTTCACTTCCCAGGACGGTGTTCCCACCGCTTTCCAGAGCCTCTACGTCGTCGACCAGGACACCGCTCCTCTGGGTCTGACCATCCCTCACTCTGGCGCCGTGCCCACCGGTGCCAGCACCCTGAACTTCGGCGTCAACGAGCAGGGCTACTTCACTCACGACGGCAAGCCCTGGTTCGCCGTCGAGGGCTACGGCTCCAACCCCGAGAAGACCATCTACTGGTACGGTCGTCACAGCTCCACCTACCGCGCTGCCAACCTGTGGGTGAAGGAGTGCAAGGGCTGCTAAATTAGTCCCCAACACGACGACTTCTCCCTTGTATATACATTTAAAGAAGAGCGCTTAACCCTTGTTTTGATCCTCGTTACCGACGACCGACGTGACCTGCGTAATGCAATTTGTCGGATCTGACCTAGACGTTGAATGAAGTACCGGATTGTCCGCGTTTTGACGTTTTGATATCCCGATTTGTACGTTAAGAATTAATCTCTAGAAAGTTCGTGGCAGCTAGCTAGATAAATATCCTGCGATAGATTTTCCCAGCTATCTGAACATCACGTAAGACATAAGTATGCACAACGAAGGATTCCGACGGACGCGTCCACTCGAAACATTGCTCCATAAGCTTAATTAAGCGGCCGTCCCGCTGAAACATGGCATGTGTCAGCCCTGCCATCCACTTCATCCTGGAAATGAACGACGTGGGTCGCCCTGAGTCTAGAATTTTGATGGTCCTTAGTCGAGTCACGTCTTTGAGGTTGCGGTGTAGTCTTGTCCGAATCTTACGGAGCATGTTCAAGAAGACAATCAGTCAGACTTATGGTGATTATCTCTAATCGAAGTACTGCACACTGACTCCCTTGACGATTTCCACCTGATTCACTTCATTATCCCCGTCATCTGCAGCAGTGGTGCTCAGATTCTTGATCACTCGCTGCTTGACCCATTCCCCAGCCTTAATAGGATTCCCATCACTGCCAACCACACCGTCGCCGATCAGGCCGTGGTGGCGCAGAACTGGCGATTCCTTGATAGGAACCAAGGCCGAGTCATCCTCAATGCGCACCATGTACAGCACGCCTAATCGGTCAATATGTGCTTGGTCCTTCGGGGGCGCAACGACACGGTGAATGCTGGATTTCAGATACCCGCCTGCCGTTGTTGGTCAGTCTACATATCCTGATTGGTAAGAAAAGTCGATTTCGAACACTCACCAGTCAAGAAGTGGAGTGCATCTGCGAGATTCACCGTCAGCGCGTCCATCTGTGGTCTAACATATCGCCACGTTCCGTCTTTGCTGAGAACCTGTAGAGCGGCCACGGGCTGGCGGAAGAGCAGAGTCAAACTGCCCATGTCTGAATGCCTGCTCATCTCATAGAGACCAATTAGCTAAGCTGCAATTTAGGAGTAATTAAAGGGGCATCATCCTACCCTTTCAACCAAACACCTCCTAATTTTTGGTTTTCCTCCTCACTGCGCGCATAATATTTCATGTACCGGAGATGGTCACCACTGGTCTTCTCGTACTGGTGCCTTTTTACAAACCACTCCTCATCTTCGAGGCCCAGCGAGATTGCAAAGATCACCAGCAGTTTGGTCACGATCTCGTCGTGAATATGTCTAGAAAATTTCTCGATGGTGGGCAATTGCTCCCGGATCACTTCTGGGTGCACCCGACCGGCATGCTCGGGGATGAACTTGGGAATGTTATAGATTTCGAAATTGTCCTTGACTCCGGGAATCAGGTTGCGCGTCCCCGCTGGTTTCCATCCGTTGTAGTCGCCTTGTTCGAGAGCTGCCCGGTACCAGGACTTCTCTTCGTTTGAGAGGGAGAGGGTCGAATTGGCGATTGCGAATTGATTGTCAATATCCTCTCGGCTCAGGCCGTGGTTCTTGACATAGAAGAATCCTATGCTTAGAGTGAGATACGACTCAAGTTAACGGACCTTGAAACGTACCGACGTCTTCGATGGCTTTGATGAACTCAGTAGCTAGCTCATGCTTCCCCCCTGGTTGATCAAATTTCGACAGGTCGAGAGTCACCAAGTCGGCCCAGTCCAGAGACTCCGATGTCTCGGGGACTTGGATGTATGAAAGGGTCGGAGCTTCTACGGTGGTGGTCATGTTGAGAGGTGATGGGATCGCTCCACAGTTGTGCGCCCTGTACTCTGTTCAAGCAGAAGGTCTGCGATATTTGCATGTACTTGTATCCCACTCGCATACGACATGCATCCAGTTGCCGATGCACGTCATCCTAGTTCCCATCACACCATGGCTCGCAAATTACAGTCCCAATTCTCGCAGCGAAGTCGGCCCAGGGCTTCGGCCACGCTGCCGTCCAGGATGACCAACGGGCTGACAAGAACGGAGAACAGTACCTCCGGGATTTGAATCGATCCGAACTGTGAATCCAGGCCTGTCATGGCACAGGGCAACCTCATCCGACAGCTAAGGAGCCCCTGGGTTGGTGCCATTCTTAGGGCTGGTATGTTATCCACCTTGCCGCAATAGGCAAGTAGGCCGGGGTCTGGATCCTGCGCGATATCCCGGTTGATTTACTCGTTTTGTGTCGTCCTGGGAGACACGGATGCCTGGTTGATGTTGATTATATCCATCTGGAACATCTCACTCGGAGCACTTCAATCTCATAATGTCGACCCGGTCGGTTGTGCACGAAACAATCCTTGATCGCCAAGATGCAAAGACAACAACCAGTTTTGATATCATGGGCGAGGAAGCCATGGAAATTGATCCGCGGATTTCCAGGCGCGTGCTGAGGAAAATCGACCTCTTTTTAATGCCTGCCATGGTCATCGGTAAGTCTCAATCTACCCTCCCTGAGCTTTTGCGCTGATGTATTCGTATACAACAGGATACGGTCTGGTTTACTACGATAAGGTACGTACCTGGCGCGTTATGATGAAGAAACAGTTCGTTCATAATCCAACTCCATGCCGTAGGCCATTCTAGGCAATGCAGCCCTCTTTGGCATGACCGAGGACCTGCAGCTCAAAGTCGTCGACTCGTGGGTGAATCCGCCACAAACCGACACCAGCAGACTGAGTTGGGCGACGTCCATCTTCTATTTTGGCCAGCTAACAGGCTCTTATCCCATGACATACGCCGTGCAATACTTCAACACACGCTACGTTCTAGGTCCGGTTGTGATGGTCTGGGCCGTCATTTGCGCCGCCACGGCCGGCGTTACAACGTGGCAGGGCTTACTTGTCCAGCGATTCTTCCTGGGTACGTCCAAGTTTTTCTACAGCACCTCGGTCCCAACGGTGACGACGCTAACTTGGATGAACAGGGTTCACCGAGGCGGTTATTCCCACAGGCTTCATGATGACCGTAAGCGGATTCTATACGCAATCTGAACAGGCGCTTCGGCAAAGCTGGTGGTTCTCCGGAACCGGATGGTTCACAATCATTGGCGGTGCGCTAAACTATGGCTTTGCGCAGATTGACGGCGGGTCATTAAAGCCATGGCAGTACATATACGTCCTCGCAGGGGGTTTGACGTTCTTGTTTGGCTTGTGGTGCTTCTTCATCCCCAACTCGCCTCTAAATGCATGGTTTTTGAGTCCGGAGGAGCGAGCTGTGGCGGTAGAGCGGTTGCGGGCAGGACAGGCCGGAGTCAAAAATCACCACTTGAAAGTTTCACAGATAAAGGAGGCATATCTCGACGTGAAGGTCTGGTTAGTTGCAATCATAATGGCCGCTGCGTATGTTTTATGGCATCCCAAACGCCCCGCAGAGCGTACTATACTCACCATAACTCAGGTACACCGTCAACGGGGCTGTCTCTGGTTTCGGTCCTTTGATTGTTTCGACATTCGGCTACTCATCTCTGGAAAGTATTCTGTTCCAATTCCCTCTCGGAGGGTTGTCAGCGGCAGGGATTATCCTGACTGGCTGGTTTTGCTCTCGGTTCGAGAACACTCGAGTCATCAGCTTGTTATTCTGCTGTCTACCGGTCATCGCGGGCTTCTCCATGATTTGGAAGTCAACCTGGGGCTACCAACCCGTTGTTCCAGTGGTCGGTTACTCCTTGATTGGATTTTTCGGTCCGGTCGTCAGCTTGACCATTTCTCTCGGCGCAAGTAATATCGCAGGCGAGACTAAGAAAAGTTTCATGGCTTCAGCGGTCTTCGTGGCCTACTGCGTGGGTAACATCATTGGGCCACAGTTGATCCGCAGTGAAACGATGGACGAGCACTATCCCGAGTTATGGACAGGGTTGATTACTTGGTGCGGCTCCTCAAGTGTTTTTGAGACCACGAGATCATATGCTGACGCGCGCAGTTACTGTATCACTATTTTGGCGGCATCGACGCTCTACGTGGTTCTATCGCGCGAGAACAAGCGCCGTAATACACTGGGCCTGGAAGAAAGTGAGCGAGATCGACTTTCGTTCAAGGATCTCACCGATAAAGAGAATCTGCACTTCCGATACGTTTACTGAGCATTATTCGGGGCGCAAGGCAGCAGTGTGACAATAAGTGAAGGGCACGGAAGTTCTAAGCGTTCGGACGTTTGAAACATATGATCAGTGCAAAATTAGCAAAGGAAATGGACAGATGAAATAACAAATAGGACTCTTTAGTCCAGATGCACATTGCGTATTCGTGCTTTTACCGAAGTCGTCGCTCCATTCGCGGCGTCTATCAGGTACAGGTGCGCATCAGGCACGTTGAGAGCAACTTCCATTGCATGACTCGCAGATCAGCCCGGTCACCCCGCTATTTCGTATCCGATATGCTACCTGAATCCTTCGGGGTCTGTGTCGTCGCGCAAAAGTCAAGATGCGTGGCGTCTTGAGTGGAGAAAATGATGCCATTTTAGATTGTGAATATATTGTGTAGAATCTTGGTTCCCGCCTGCTTTTGGACTTTCCCAGGTGCTTTATAATTTAATCCGTATCGTCAAACGTCGGCAGTTGACCGATATCGATCGCGCAATTGTCGAATGCTTCTCGGTTTTCATTGGCATAAGCTATTACGGTCTCGGTTCTATTCCTCGATAGAGGTCCAAATGGCGCACCCAAAATGTGTGGATGGCGAATCAGAGTCAAAATCAGTTCCGATGATCAAGTCCCGGACAACTGCTTTCAAATGCAGAAAAGCAGTACTTGGACTCCAACTGCGTCCACCCCGGTCTCGCCATGTGCATATTGAGGACGTTGCTTCTTTAACGCCTCCTTTTAGACTTTTAGAATCATGTCAGTGGGCCTAGATCTGTCGCACCAGGTGCCCTAACGAAAGAACAAGTGTTTGATACCATCAAAGTATTAGCCAGACAAGATATTGCAGCAGAAACATTGGTTGTCTTCTGCTCCAATTGGCGAGGACGACCGCCAACCAACCAATAACTGTGTTCTGTAGTTGCGGGTTCTGCTCAAGCAACGTGCTGATAAGGGTGCACCTCTCAAAACGGATGGGCATCTCACTCAGGGAGAGTACTACAATCCAGCCGAGTTTGCGACGAGGGTCAAACGGGCTGAACATGTTGATGAACTGATCCTGACCCTGTGGAAGACAGTCCTAAACACTGGTCCAGAGAGCGCCTGGTGGCAGGAGCGATCCGACGCGTGTTTCAAGGCACTGGTCGATAATATTCGCCGTATTTCCCCAATATTGGCCTGGTGGAATATGGTGTGAGAATCCCCCGAGCGGGTCCAACATAGTAAGCATCGTGAGAAGATTTGGGCGTAAAGGGCAGTAGAGCGTACTTCTAGATTCCGGTCTGTGTCGAGATACTGATCAAAAGGCGGATATAGTGTTAGAGGGAAGTCAGCCAAGCCTCACGTAGGTCTCGCCCAGTCGCCGATATCGTCCGCGGAAGCCGGTGCGGAGATGTTGCGTGCTTCTTCTTGCAGACCCATAAATACTTCCTTGCTCTCTCCTTCTCCGAGACTCTCTCACAAGGCCAAGCGATCTGCCCGTCAGGATGGCCCCCGAAATCGAGTACTACTTCTCCTTCATCTCGCTTTGGTCCTATGTTGGCAGTCGCCGCTTTCAGCGACTTGTCCACGACCATGGTGGTCAAGTGATCTTCAAACCTGTCGATCTGATGCACATTTTCTCCGTCTCGGGCGGCCTACCCGTCAAACAGCGCTCGACGCAACGTCAAGCGTACCGACTGTTGGAAATGGAACGTTGGCGGCGCATCCACGACATCCCCATCGTGACGCATCCGAAATTCTACCCAGCCGATCCCTCCCTGGCGCATCGGGTTCTCCTAGCAGCCATCGCGGAGCTGGGACATGATCATGCGTCCGTCCACGAGTACGCTCGCAAGGGCTTAGAGGCCGTCTGGGCGCGGGAACTTAATATCGCCGACGAGAGCACCATTTCTCTGCTTGCCGACGAAGCGGGACTCGATGGGAGGCGATTGCTGGACCGTGCGAAGGGGGAGACCCACTGGGCAGAACAGGAAACCGCACTGACGCAGGAGGCAGAGGACCGACAGCTCTTCGGGGCGCCACTCTACTTTTATCAGGGCGAGGCCTTCTGGGGCCAGGACCGACTTGAGATGCTAGACGAGGTTATTCGCAGTGGCAGGGGGCCGATTGTTATTTCGGATCCAGAATGACGTGATCTAGGCTGATTGCGTTGGAGGAAGTCGTGACCAAGTGCTGAAGTCTGCGACCTTGAGGGATATATATTTCGCAGTGCACAGTGAATGTATGTCAATTTCTGTCTCTCCTGTAAGTGCTGAAGATTCAGAGAAAAAAAATCACTAGGCGAACTGATTGACCCAATGCACGAATTATAAGGCCCTGGGTGACCTGTTTGGTTGGTATAGGAGCTGGTCACTGCCTTCCTGACGCACTCTCCGTGATGTTCATCGACGATCGGAGTGACTCTGGATGGCAGTCTAAAGCTAGACCCGATTAGGCAGGAACCGAGGTCGGCTGTGGCTGAACCGGAGTGTGGCAGATCAGCAGATAGAATATTAATATATGCAGACTATAGAATTATACATGAATATTGACACCCGTCAGCCTAGAATCCCCTTCAGCCGCACTCCGGAGTTCGTCGTCTCCAACCATACATTCATCTTCTTGGACGTATCCTCCATTCCGCTCAAGCTGGGACTGGCCCGAATTGACTGCGGCGCATCCACGCTGAGGTCCGAGAACAGGAGGGCCAGCGGCGAGGACTTCCAGATGTACTGGTTCTTGGTTTTGACGATCGTCACGATCAGGAAAACAAATCCCAGCACCACGAGCGCGATGGGCAGCGCCATCCACGGCCACCGCACCTGCACGAAGGATTCCATCGTCCACGTCTTGCCCGTGACGAAGGCGTGGCATACCTTGGACCGGGCGTGGGTGGTTAGTGCCGAAGAAAGAGAGTGGAAGACCGAGCTCACGTCCGTGTAATTGCCCTGGATGCCGTAGACGGCCTTGAGCGTGTCGGACGACCAACTCGGGCGGTTGCTGATGAACAGCGATCCGTTCCCATGGAGGAGCGGCCGGAGGGAGTTGGACAACGCGAGCCCGCTGAGCCAGCTGACGTGGTAGGTGCAGTCGTCGGCCGACTGATGCCTGGTGCCGTTCTTGTAGCAGTTGTCCGGGGTTAAGAAAAGATCCTCCGTAATAGCTGACGTGGTGGCATTGGACGAGGTCCGCGTGGATACGCGGGTCTCATTAAACGCACCCTGAGTCACCGAAGAATTGAACGTATTGACGCAGAAGTACAAGGCACATTCTGTGGCGCTGACAGACGGCGGAACCCCATACCCGGCCGCCGCGATGGCTGTGAAATTAAGAATGGAGGGAACGCCGCCGGTTTCCACTCGCAGAAGAGGCAGGTCAACCGTGCCATTCATCAGGTACATCATGTTCATGGCGGTTTGAAAGTGCAGCCCATTTGGAAGCTTGTAGTCGTAATTGGTGAGGCTGCCGAACGACTCCGAGGAATTTGCGAGCTTGTCCGTGATATTGGCACATCGCGTGCAGATGCCGAGAGACTGGTAGAGGTTGAAGGTGCAATTACCAGTGGGACAAGACATGGTAACGGCGTTGCTGTGGGGGCTAGCGCTTTGGAAGAGTCCCGTGTAGATGGCCCCGGCCGTGGAGAGGGGCACCACGTTCATGCCGGGACCGGCACCTTCGCCGTAGTCGGTAAATGTGCTAGAGTTACAGACTTGAATGGAGGATGGGTCGGAAGAGGGGACTGGTCGGAGGTTGATAGCGATGACTTGTTGCACAAACGGCGCAATGGCTGCCGCTACGACCAGGATAAGGCACCCAATGGATACCAGATGGCTAGAAAAGTTGAATTTTAGTGTAGGTTCGCCAAGGGACATCCACGCACGACACCTACCGAGGTAGAAAGCGAAACAGAACCATGAACGCGCCAATGGCCCCGCGGCTGGCGGCGTCCAGCGCGGACAAATCGCTCAACTTATTGCCCCGGTTGAACCATGACCATTTCAGTTGTGACAAGGCTTCGGTGATGGGGAATGCCATAGCCGCCTTCATGACGGTGCTCAGTAGTGAAATCAGAGCATTGAGAGTGATGCCATACGGCCAGTCGGGCATAGCTTTACCGTCGTAGACATACAGCACGGCGATGATGGCGACGAGAGCAGCTACGGCGACGACGCTACTGAGTACCTCCAGCGCCCAGCTGGAACCACAGAATCCGGTGCTTTGACTCTGCAACAGCACCTGTTCCGTGGCGAGCGCCGGCTCCGGCGGGTCTTGCATGCGGCGGTAGGAGAGCCGGTACTCTTCTTTGAGGTTATCCATGATGACTGAGTGACCTCAGAACAGTATAGAGCACTCGCTCGCTGCACTCACTCACTCATGGCGCTTTTGAGACAGACTGCGGAGGGCCGGCGGGTATATAAGACATTCCCAAGATTCTGGGTGGACTGCACAACAAGAATGGAAAATTCCTAAACCTAATGGAGAGGAGCAGTGGAGCCCAGATTGAAACTAGGGCGAAAGTGAGCGGAAATAGCGTTGGCTGAAGAAAGATGACTGGCACTCTTGCTCCCCACAAAGCTTCGCTCGTGAAAGATTCTCATCCGAGTCAGGGGTTGATCGGCGAGATCTTCGTTGCTACCCTATGTGGCAACAGGAAATCTGCCTGGTTCAGGGACGACACCGACTTGACGGTCAGCAGGCTCAAATCTGAATTTTGGATATTCAGTGAACGTGGCTTGTACTCGTCAGGTTTTCACGGTGACCGCTCGTTGCGCGCTTGCCGAACTACGCAGCAAATTCCAACCAGAAAGCGAGTTTTTACGGTCGCGGAAAACCCAATTGGGTTATGACGTCGAGTCTGTGGCGCCGAGCGACGGTCCAAGGAAAGTCGGCCAGGAACATGTCCGAGACGAGGCCGAACAACTGACGGATCCCCAGTTGTTTACGCCGATCTCCAAAGAACTCCAGAGGTCACACTAGATGAGTAGGGGAGTATCGAAACACCCGTACCCCTTGACCACGCTCATTTCTTCAAGGTAGTCATACTTCGTTTTGAAAGACCATCCCGCGACTGTGTTCTGGAGAATGTCGCAGGTGACACCATCCGGCGCTTTTTGCCACAGACAAGTCCCAAAGACACCCAGTTCGGAAATCACGTCCCCCATGTCTAGGCCCGACGCCGACATCAAGGTATTCTGGACGCGAGGAGACGCAATTCGTTCCATCAGAATGTATGCGCGCCACGCCGAGGGAGGAATCGAGGACAGAAACCCGGGGATGGCATCGCCGAAAATGTTGTGGCCGCCGCCTTCTAAGGATGGCTTCAGTATATACCCGTGGGCAGTTTTCGGATCGGTTGCCAGATTGCGACCGTACAAACCGGCTTCGGTTTCATCCAACGGATAGACCCGAACGAACGTAGAGCGAACCAGAGCCGCTTTTTCTGGGGGAAGAAAGCGCTCCAGCTCTCCTGCGGAGGTGAGTGCTTGTTGGACCTTCTTAAAGGTGCAAATGTGTCCGAGCAGCGACGGGCATTTAACGGCCACGGACAGCTCCAACCGCAAACGCGATTGCCGACCGACCTCGTCATATTCGCGCGCCTCGTACCCGGCCCGCATATAGACCACCGAAACTTCGAGGACTGGACCTTCTCGGCCCAGAGGATATAACAGTAGCTCGCGCGACTCGGTCAGGGAGGTACGTTCGAGAAGATCGTCGCCATAGTCGATCCGATAAACGGGGACTGAGGGATCTCGGTTCCATAGCGCATATTCCAGCGGTCGCTCGTCGGCAACATTGAAATTGTCGGGTTGAACGACAAACAGGATTGCAGTCTCGGTCGCGGTTCGACTTCGTTTCCCTCCGTAGGCCACGTGAGCGGCCGAGAGGCACGCTGCCAGGGAGTCGATATTGGCGTTTCGGGGAAGAGAGGACACGGCGACCGGATCCTGACGTTCGTTTCCTACATTGTAAGCGCCCGTCCGGGCCAGGTATCGATGCATATCCGCGACCTTGTCTGCGTGGGCCGCCCCGGCACAGGAGAAGGTGTTGAACTCGACTTGTCTAAGATTCAGGGTGGCAGGGTCGTCGGATCCGGGGCCAAGCTGAACAGTCGGACCCTGAAGCATGTAATCGGAGCGAAAGATTCCTGCCGAGAGGGCAGGCCCCGGAGGAACGACTCTCTTCACTTCTTGGTGTATATCCCATAGCGTCGCAGCGAAGGGATCGACGGGGAGTAAGTCCCGGATGGCCCGAAAGATCCACTCCTCATCTTCAGCCATCCGACAATAGAGTTCATTGTAGACGGATTGCAGGCGCAAGGCATGGTCGAACAGACGGCGCGGAAAGAGGGTGGGGAAGACGGCGACGCCAATGGGGTAGGTCAAGACGCTATGGTCGGTCAGCGAGTCGATGCGCTTGAGGAGGGAGCCATGGTTGATCTGCCAGTCCAAAATCTGTGAGACCAGCGATAGACCACGTTCTTCCGATATGGGCGGAGGATATTCCAGGTCGAAGTCGAGGGCCATGACGAAGTAGGCGACAAGACGACAAGTCCGCTCGACGGCTAGAACGGGCGGGCACGGGACCGGCACGTGTCGGCCATCAGTCAGCAGCGACAGCTGAGTCATCCCGCTCAGTCAATGACGTCATCACACCGGCTCTTGGCGACGCGCTGATTGGTGAGGACCCGGAACGAACGGCATTCCGATTCCGCCGGAGAAGAACAAGACTAAGAAGAAGAAAGTCAATTCCCGTAGCCCTTCCTGCCCGTCCACTCCTCCCCTCCACTCCCTCGGTGTGCCCACTTGGGTCTCCTACAACAATGACCTTGCTAGACACGCAAAGCAATCCCTCTGGTGCAGATCAACCTCCCCTTCCCCATTCATCGTCTTCTGCTTCGGGCCAGAATAAGCGAGCCGTCCCTCGCAGGCGACATGCGACAGGCAATTCCGGTCCGCGGCGCACTACTCGAGCCTGTGTACCATGTCGAGAGCGAAAGAGCAAATGCGACGGGGCCAGGCCAAAATGCAAGCCGTGCACGCAAAGCAACACCGTCTGTTCCTACGTTCGGTCCAAACGCGAGAACCAGCAGTGGCAGCTGCAGTCGATGCGCCAGAGGATTGACACATATGAGGACCTACTCCGCGAGATCCTCTCTCACAGCAACGCCCAAGATCGCCGGTCTATCGAAGATGTCGTTGAGGTCTGCACTGCCTCACAGTACCCCCGGGTCGTATGCGCCGTTGCCTGCCAGCGCTGATGTTTCTCTATAGAGACGGTTTCCAGAGGCCCCGAATGCCTTCGCCACGCTGCTCACGACGGGCTCCCTTCCCGACCAGCACGTCTCGCTGCCCTACCCCGGACTCTCGCTCCGTCGGATGCAAATGGCATTAGCATCCCAGCGAGACGCCACGAAAGTCCACCTGCTTCGCAAAGATCCCACGGTGCGCGTGAGTCAAATTCATACGTGGACCTCGCTGGTCGACAACGAAGTGGCGAGCCACCTCTTCTCCCTGTATTTCACCTGGGAGAATCCGACCTGGCATCTGATCGACCAGGACATGTTCGTCCATGACCTCGAACGCGGTCTTACGCGCTTTTGTTCTGCCCTGTTGGTCCATTTACTTCTCTTTTTTGGCTGTGTACTACGGGACATCCTATCCGCCGACGGAACCCTTGGCGGCTAACGGGTCGCTAGAGCTTCTCCTACAATCTAACCCGCATCACGGATCGTCGCGACGAGAAGGGCCTGGGAGAGAAGCTATATGCGGAGATTCAGCGTCTGTGGCTGCTGGAGCGCGAGACTGTTGCCCTTCCGACCGCGCAGTCGGGTATCATGATCGGCCTCCTCTGCTGCACCTTCGGCATCGATCGGTTGGGCACGAGATATATCATGCACGGAGCCAAGCTCTCTCGCCAGCTCGGCCTTCACCAGGAGTCCTCGACGTATTTTCAACCCCTACCGGGCGATAATATGATCTCGATGATGAAGGCCCATAAGATGCTTTCATGGGCCATCTTTGATGTTCAGGCGTGAGCAATGCACCGCTAAATCCTATATCATCCGTCCGCTAATCGTGCGTCCAGATTGGCCTCCCAGGTGTACCGAAAGACGCCCGCGTGGCCGCAACCGCCACTGGTGAGATTGTCGGAAGAGGAGGCCACGATACTCGACGAGGGCAGAGAGTGGAGCCCATATCCGTTCCGCACTCCGGTCCATCTCCCGTTCTTCTATACGGCAGCCAGGATCCGCAACGAGCTCGTCGCCGTCGTGAACGAGATCGCCTCGGTTGCCCTCAGTTTCCCCGACGCCGCTCGACGGGATGACGTCTGGGATTATGGTTATGTTCTCTATCATCGGCTCGTCAATTGGAGGGCCAACTTACCATGGACCGTCATGCCCCGACATAACACGACCCCTCATGTTCTGTGCCTCCAGTATGTATTGTGCTCCAATCCAGTCTGCACGCTGGCACGCTGGCTGACACCTCCAAAAGCTTTTATTTCCAAGCGACGCTCGTATCATTGTGCGGAATCTATCTGACCAATTTTGACTCCGTTCCCCCGGATGCTCGGTGGGATCCTCAGGACGCCAAGGACCAGGCTATGAACACGATTGGGTCACTCGTGCTTCTGTACCGACATAACCACGGATGGAAATCGGTCCCGATCGTGATGCTGCATTATTTCTGTCTAGCCGGGGTTGACTCGATCTCCAAGTTACATCCTCGAGACCCCAAATGGGGGCTCGTCCTGGAAAGTTGCGTCGTCGGGCTCTGGCACATGAGTTTGGGTTGGGGCCGACTCTGCACGGCATTCCTTCGCACAATCGAGCTCGTCGTGAAAGCAACTCGACCCGAGCCCACTCTCGTCCCGCCCAAGGTGCATGCCATCTTCCAGCAGCTGAACAGCAGTCGGTGGACTACCAAGGATGTTTCATCGCTGGCCGCGGACTACATGGTGCACCACGTCCCTAATGTTGCGGGAACATCAGGAAGCTCTCCTGCCGGTTCTCGCGCCCAATCTTTGGAAAGTCTCATTCTATCGCTGGAAGGCTTGTCCATGCAGTGATCAGTTATTTCCTGTATCTGATTGATATCAAACTGCTAGTTTACAGTGAGCTTGTTAACTACTGCCGCATTCTGCTATTCTGCGCGCTCTTCTCATCTGATTTCTCGGGTAAACACAAAGAGTCCAGTTTCCGCCATAGGTGGATGCGGCTTCATAGGTACCCTTGCGACAGACTGGAGGACCAAGAACCTCCATCCAGCCCCTAATTTGGAATCGGCATCGCCTGTTCAGTAGCGGGCAAATCCTCGTCCTTGTTGCTGACGTGGTATCGCACGCAGTGATCCTTGCAGCTGTAACCCTAGTTGCGGGAGGGAAATCTCCCTGCCAGCCTTTCCATCTACGGCCATTCTCAGCCTAGTGTCAACCCTTGTTAACATTCGAATATAGATGTTCCAGGATACGTGTATTCACAACCACCTCGCTGTGACTTCCCACTGCCCCGTTTCTGCAAGGCAGTCGCACGCATCCACACTGCGAAAATGTTCATGCGTCACCACCTTGTGGTATCTGTTATGAGGCCTGACCATTCCATTGGAGTCATCAGTAATTTGCCCAGCATGAAGGGGTTTGCACTCACCGGCTGCAACCACAGGCCCCCGAGTTGGTCACGCATTTCTGCACCGAGTTCTGATGGCTGATCGAGTCGGGACTAGCTATGCCGCGTCTTCGGTCCCTCAAGATGGTTCCAAGGGCAGACTGCGACTACCCTTGCGCCTAGATCACGTAGATGCCAACCGGCGTGATGGCCGTTGTTTTCTCTCGGCCTCGAGTTGATTGTGGATGTGCTCTTCACCTGAGATGCTCAAACGATTGGTCATTGGGGTCGCCCGAACTAGGAGCGGGCTCAGGATGATAAGTAGAAGAGAAGCTTCTCTATAATACGATGTACTAAATCATAGTATTAGTTACAAGTCATGTTCGAAACGGGAACAACTAGGATATTCATACACAGGTTTTATCGCATTTTCTAAGAGTAAAATCTGCCGTAACCCCACCTGCCTTGTAGATGCAATTAGGAAAGGGCTGCGAATCCGAAGTGACATTCGCGTCTCTCCATCGGACTCGTTGAAATGGGCCAGCCTGACGACCCAGGCATCAGCTATTGATGCCTGATTGTGAAGGCCTTTGTGCCTGATAAGTATGGCACCAATTCACCAAAAACCTTGGCCGACTTGTCGTGCCACTTCTATTTACGGACAGGAAAGAACAGGAAACGAAAAGCCTACTGAAGAGACCTGACAGACGGACCGTGCTAGAGCATCGACCTATACCCACACGCCGACGCCGGAAAATCCAGCAACTCCGCCACGCGTCCGTCACCCGATGCTTCCAGATACATGCAGATGGCCTGGCACTCGGACCGAACTCGCGCGTCGATCCACCAGTCATGCACGGAACACATCACGGCCAGCCAGTAGCCCAGCAGCAGCAGCGCCCTCGGGTCCTTCGTTTGTACCAGACACAGATAGTGCGGCGGAAGTCGGCCCATAAAGCTCGAGATACGATTCGGGTCGAGCTTGGTGAGAGGCAGGCGCAGCAAGGGGCTCAGCATCCGCAACGGCCAGTGATACGGGTTGGTCTCCTCGGTCGTCGTGTCGGAGATGTCGCAGAGGTCGGCCAACTCCGCGTCGAGACCTTCTCGCCCCGTGCGATGGTCGTCGTACAGCTCGTAGGCGCTGGAGATCAGGAACGCATCACGCCAGATGCTCTCGTCAACCCACGGCTTGATGCAATCGATGAGGCAGGCCAGCCCGCCCTGGATGAGCAGCCAATTCAAGGCACCGGGGTCGTCCGAAAAGATCCAGGAGTGGCGAGGGCTGACACTCGGCGCGGAGAAGGAGAACATGGCGACGAGCATGCAGGTGGTCAGAAGCATGTCCATATTGGCGCGAGTGATTGGCTCCTGCAGCTTGAGTCGGTATACGTGAACGGACGTCTGGCGGAATCGCATCGCCACCAGGCTTCGATGCGAGTCGCCGGGCGTGAGATGGGCTTGATGCGTGCTGGCGACCGCTAGCATGGCGTGCAGCAAGCAAGGTTCCTAAAGCCGGGTCAGTGCTGTGCGTGCGTGAGGGAGCGCGCGTTCGCTAGCTCCCACTTACTGTCAACGCCAGGGGAATGGTGCGATCCCGCAGGACCTGTTTGATCGGGGCGTACGCCGTCTGGCGCGCCCCCACCATCTCTACAAAATGAGCCAGTGTGGCCAATCCCAGCGATCGGGTCGACGTCGCAAAGGCGGGTGAGCGCCGGTCGTTGTGGAGGACGGTATTGACGTTGGCAGTCATCGCATCCAAGGCCAGTGCGCCGTTTCGTTCTGGGGCCGTCTGCGGCGGCGCAAAGTCGCAGGTGATGCCGTAGATCTGGCATCGGCGACACTGTGGCTTTGTTTCGTCACATTTGACCCGCCGTTCTTTACAGATACGACAGCCAGTTCGAGATTTCCGGTGAGACCGTCGACGGTGGAGTGCCGACCGGCCGGTGCTCGACTGTCGATCCGTTTCTTCGCCGGCCGGCAAGGCCCGGGGTGGCGGTCGTGCAGGGAAAGTCAGTAAACATCCCCCCGGAGGCTGCTTCTGGCGGCAAGAGCTCTTGGATATCATGATTGCAGCTGTATCAATGGCGTGGCGCGAAAAGAACAAGAAAAGAAGAACAGAGGAATGCCAGATGTGGAAAAAGGGAGGAACACGAGAGCGACGAGGCAGGCTCGTATTGCTCTGATATAGCATTGCCCGGTTGACGAGCGCCAGCTAAACCTAATCGCGTAACTTCGTATTCGTCTTGGCACAGCCCTGCGCGATATAAAGAGTCTGTGATGCGGCAGGGCAAAGTCTATGGTCGGACTGCATCGAGAAAATTTCCCAATTCTCACATCATGATGGACTATAAACAAGAACCGGGCAGCGCAGTCAGCGTTGCTTCCTCGACCGGCACGCTGTGCGCGCCATCTCTCCCGATGAGTGGCAAACGCCTACATATCCAGAGCAACGGCATCAGGCTGATCTGGCCGCCGCTGCCCATGTCGCAGAAGGAGGTCCCCATCTACAGCGAGGACGGCGCGCTCGTCTACGTTGCCGCCAAAGACCAGGCCTGGACCTGTCGATGGGTTCTCTCGTCACCCAAGCAGGGGCCTCTCGTCTCCATCGAGTGTCTCCCGGGCGGCCGGCCCTGGCTGCGTCGGCTGGATTCGGGGACGGGCCACGCGGTGCCATCAATCGGGTTGCGAGCCAAATGGACGTCTCGCGCGGTCACGTTCGCACCGTCCGAGGGCGCCCGTACGTTGGAGTGGAAATACGTCAAGATGAGGATGGCGAACAGCGAGAGACTTGCGACGCTGCGACTGGAGCAGACGGAAGAACGCGAGGGATTGCTTCACACGCAGCCTGTCGCGCACCTCGTCCGGGGGGCACCATCCTGCCACGCGGCGGGACAGGGCGGAGAGCTGATTCTGGAGTCAGAGGGAGCGACGGGGGAGGTGGACGAGGCGCTGGTGGTGGCCAGCTGTCTAGTCATGCTGCGACGCGAACGCGATCGGCGTCGATTTGTGCAGGCGATGGTGCTCGGGGCGGCGGTCAGCTGAGTTGGGGAGGGAGACTGGGGTTCTCGCGTTTTCCTTATTCATCGAGGCAAACTGTTAGTCGGAATGGCGGACAGAGAGGGAACTTTGTTACCGTGGTAGGAAGAAAGAGAAGAAGAAGCAGATAAAGAAGAGGGAGATCAGATACTCCTCGACGCGGTGGACTCGCTGGAGGAATACTTATGTTCATTTATATCTTCGACATCAATCCATGAGGTGAGATGATCCAAGATATATCCATACCTATAAGCGCACATTTTAATGCATTAATTACCTGCGATGCTCGTGCTCTGTCGCAGCCCAAGTCTTTGTATGACTATCTGGTCAGGTCTCCTTGGACCCGACGTGAGGCCAGGAGACGGGGAGGGCTTGGCAGTGCAACCCCTTTCCCCCCGCCGATGCAACACCCCGGAAGTCTGTCACGGTGACCCGGTGTAGGTGTACGGCAGCCCCAGATTCTCCCTCTTCCCCGGGGCTCCACGTGTTGATCTGGTTGAGCAGCCCCACCACTCCGCTACCTTCGAGGTGGTAGACCCGAGGACCGGAGTTTGAGGATGGCCAGGTTGCACCCGACTGGGGACTGGGGAGACCCGCCCCGAATCCGGGGATGCTGACATCAGCAGGGCCAGACCCCGCACGTGGTCTGGGGAGACATTCTAACCTATTGATATATGAATACATACATACATACATTTATATATATATATATAATTACATATATAAATATATATATAGAAACATATATATATGGACATACCCTCTCCCTGGAAGTCTGGAGCTGGACTGGCGCGTGGTTGACAGGACCCACCGGTCGGCATGACAGGCAAATGGGCATGATCTCGATTCCGGGGACGATCCCCCGGATATCTGCGGTAGCATACTGGAGAGGGCATCGATGTCGCGTGCTTGACAGGAGATAAAGAATCCCTGTCACCGTCGCCGTCGGGTTTCATCGCACCGTCACGCCGTCTGCACCCCAATGGCAGGGTGATATCCTCCGTCCACCTATCAGGGCGCCTGCCGGAGACCGGGGGGCGTCCAAGCGGCTTAGCGGCCTGATAAGACCAGAAAAGACCAAAAAGGTCTCGAGGTTGCTACAAGCTTGGCTCGTTCGCGCGGATTTCTCCGCCCGTCGTTAAAACCGCGGTCGCTCCCTTTCCCTTCTCATCTCTCATCTCTCATCACCATCTCCTCTTCCCACCTTATTCTCCTTTCACCTCTCTCCCCCCCTCTCTCTCATTGTCCTCTCCCCGTCTTCTATTTCCTCTTCTCCAACTCGTTTTCTCTCTCATCTTCTCCTCGCGGTCAAGATTGATTGATAATCTGACAGCTGACTTCAATCCTCTGACTCTCTCCCTCGAACTGCGACTCCGAACTCTGACCCCGCAATTGATCATCCCTTTCCTGCATCGGCCGCCGATCTGCGAGATCTCTCGCCTGCATGGAATCCGTCGATCAGAAATCCCCCGGCATGGCCACTGCGGAGAACCCCGTCACCGACCCCGTCGCCGATGCGGGTGAGGTGCCGCGCCCGCGCGGTTGGATGTACAAGTCCCTCAAGATCGGTCCCTGGAATACCGGCTGGTACGCCTCGCCGCGCATCCAGCTGGGGATGGTCGCCTTCGTCTGCTTCATGTGTCCCGGCATGTTCAACGCCCTGAGCGGCCTGGGCGGCGGAGGTAAAACGGACCCCACCTTGGCCGACAACATGGTGCGTGTTCCTCTTGTCCTTCGATTCGGGGCCCTTAAGGCATGGCTAACCTCCTTGGTCTTGTCTAGAACATCGCCCTCAACAGCACTTTCGCCGTCGTGGGCTTCTTCGCCGGAACCTTCGTCAATCGCATGGGCATCCGCGCCGCCCTCTCCTTCGGTGGCACCGGCTACTGCCTCTATTCCATCAGTCTGCTGGTCTCCGAGCATAAGCACGTCCCCGGCTTCAACATCTTCGCCGGCGCCTACCTCGGTGTCTGCGCCGGTCTGCTGTGGACTGCCCAGGGTACCATCATGATGTCGTACCCCCTCGAGGAGAAAAAGGGCAGCTACTTCGCCTGGTTCTGGGCCATCTTCAACATCGGCGCCTGCATTGGCAGTTTGGTCCGTCGACCGTCTTCCCCCTTCCGCGTCCGCTTCGCCGTTCCTAACAAACGTGTCAGATCCCTCTCGGCGAAAACATCCACGTCACTGCCAATGTTACCGTTAGCGACGGCACCTACATCGGTTTCATCGTGCTCATGTTCTTCGGTGCTGTGCTGGCGCTCTTCCTCTGCGACGCCGACAAAATCGTGCGTCCCGACGGCTCGCGCGTCATCCTGAAGCAATCCCCCAGCTGGCGCACCGAGTTCGTCGGCCTGTGGACCACCGTGCGCGACAACCCCCACATCGTCCTGCTCTTCCCCATGTTCTGGTCGTCCAACTGGTTCTACACCTACCAGCAGAACGCCATCAACGCCGCCCACTTCTCCACCCGCACCAAGGCCCTGAACGGCTTCCTCTACTGGTTCGCCCAAATCGTCGCCGCCGTCATCATGGGCCCGCTGCTCGATCTGGAGCGCTTCCGTCGCAGCGTGCGCGCCAAGGCTGCCCTCATCAGCCTGTTCGTGCTGACCATGGTCATCTGGGGCGGTGGATACGCCTGGCAGAAGACGTACACGCGCGAGACGGTCAGCGCCCCCGACTTCGTGCCCACCGACTGGACCTCCTCCGGCTTCGTCGGTCCCATGTTCTTGTACTTCTTCTACGGCATGTACGACGCCTTCTGGCAGGGCATTGTCTACTGGTACGTGCTTCCTTTCCGGCCTTAAAAAAGTTGACTATACTGATGCTTCGCTCGCACAGGTTCATGGGTGCCTTGGGTAACTCCGGCCGTAAGCTGGCCAACCTGGCCGGTTTCTACAAGGGACTGCAGTCGGCCGGCGCCGCCGTCATGTGGAGTCTGGATCGGGACAAGCTGCCCTACATGTCCGAGTTTGCCTCCAACTGGGGCTTGCTCTGCGGAGCAATCATCGTCGCGGCTCCCGTCGTCTTCTTCAAGATCAAGGACCACGTCCCGGTGGAGGAGGACCTCAAGGATACCGGCGAAACGGTGGATGACGTGCTGCCGGCGGGCCACCCCGAGAAGCGCGAGGGCGCCCACGTTTAACGAGTTACCGGACGCCGTCAAACTGATTAGATGGACGATGGCAGCTCGAGCTTGTTCTTTTCCTTTGCTACATTTCTCTGGTTTCACTGGCGGGACTCGGGGCACGGATATGATCCATCCCCCACCAGCTGGCGTGATGTGTCATGTCCATGATACCCGGTTAATACTAATAATGACAATTTCGCACCATTTTGGTCCTCGTATTCTGTAATGATCCGAGGGGGTGACACGATCTATCCCCGAGTCTTCGCTTCACCGCGGACAGTCGCGTGCTTGGCAGGGGCCATCGTTCTCCCCTTGACGGTCACCATCAAGTAGGTTTCGTATTCATGGGACCAAACCGTCGGAGTCTGCCTTGCAGGTTACGTCTGCACAACGGGACCTGAAGCCATTCACCTTCGCCCGCCATGTCGATCAGTCATTGGACAGCCGATCGGGTGATTTTCGCGGGTTATTTTTAGATGCCCTTTGTCTGCGATGCGCGGGTTTCTAGAAGGCCATCGTGCAATCGCACGTCCATCCAGTGTTGATGAAGTCTCATCTCTGCTGCCGTGGCTGGCAGCGGTGACTCCCTTTGCTCGAGCAAACCCGCTACAAGAGCGAGACATCCAGCTATTTGAGGAACGGTTCATCAACTCCTTGAACAATTCTCTGGGCAACGACACCGTCAAGTTGGTTGGGTTCAAAACCGTGCAAATCCCATCCCATGAGCCTGACGACCTGAACGCACACTACGACAATAACCCGCACGAGTGGGGCCAAATGTCCAACTACTTCTATGACCGCGGCTCCGGCACCCTGCGAGTCTATTTCCCGGTAGAAGGAGCGCTGGTGGCCCACGACGGGGCACGCCACGAGGCCAACGCTCTGGGCGAGCTGAAGCTGCAGCAGGTGAACGGGGACTACGCCGCGCTGTGTCGCAAGCAGACCGACCGGGCGACCGGCGTGGAAGGCAATAGGCATCATCTGGGATGGTATCATTTACCTCGACCGGGCCCCGCGGCCCCTGACGCAGTTCGTCTACGATTTCGGGGAGAAGGTGATTTTGGACCATGATCACGTTCACCAGAAACGTGGCGACCACGGCGGCCCCAACTGCAGCAACAAGTCCAAGATCCACAGCAAGAAATGCGAGAAGCGAAACCACATCTGCATGGACTACAACGGACGCTTCTCCACCTGGAAGAAGAACGGACCGACCTGGCGCAACTTCCCGGGTAACGACTGCGCCAAGGCACTCTGCTGGAGCGAGGTGATATCAGGAGAATACCGGAAGAGACTGGCGATGGTCTTGTTCTGAGGGTTGGGTCCTTGGTGGACCATTGAATCGGCTTGGGGAGAGCGATGTTTAGCCGGAGCTATAGCGAACAAGTTTTTATAAAATCACAGACTAAAAATATATCCCCCTCCAGTTCTCTGACTAGACTCGTCTATACTATCAAATCACAAATGGCGATAGTAAAACAAAACAGAACCACGTGGGCGGTGGAGTCCCTCGTGGCTTTTTGTTCCTTCTTTTTCCTCCTCCACAATTCTCCCGATCCACTTTCTTCCTCATCGCTTCTCGACGCCTTCCTCGTCCTTCTCAGCAGCCAACCACGGCGACGGTCCCGGATGGAAGTCTTTCGCGTACGGCGAGAACGTTCAATAGTCCCCTTTTCCAGCGTGGTAGCGGCCAAGTTCCGAAGCGACGGACTCGGGCGCCACGTGGGAACCGGTGGGCCTCGACCGACTTTTGCCCTCGACAGTCGAGATGAAAGCGGACGGAGAAGGAGCAGGAGTGGGAGAAAATGGAAACTAATCTGTTTTGGAAAGAAAAAATAGAAGAAAAATTGCCGGTGACATGGCGCCTCCGCCAAATCTCCCCTATCGAGGATTTCCGTTAAATATCGTCATCCCTGCGGACTCGCCTGGCAACCTGTTGATCGGCACGCTCTTTTCCTGTTCTCTTCGTCTCCCCTGCCCTTGCCATCCGCCATGGGCCTCCTCTCGCTCATTGATCGGGCTTTGTGCCTGACCGTGACCGCGCTGGCTCTGCTGCAAACACAGGCCGGAGCCACCTGTAGTGCCGCCCCGACCGTCTTGACCCAGCAAGGGCTGGTCTCCGGCTTCACCCAGGGCAACGCCAACGTCTTCTTGGGCATCCCCTTCGCCCAGACCACCGGCGGCGAGAATCGGTGGAAGGCGCCGCAGTCCCTCTCCGAGTCGACCACCGCGAAATTCGATGCCACCTCCTATGGTCCCTCGTGCGCCCAGGCCATGTCTGGCGACGCCATCGTGGCCCAGAGCGAGGATTGTCTGAACTTGAACGTGAGAACCGACCCCCCCTTGAATCGCCCCTTGGACGACGCACGGCTAATGACAAAATCATAGATCTGGACCCCTTCCAGCGGAAGCAATCTGCCCGTCTTCGTGTACATCTACGGCGGTGCTATGGTCACCGGCGGAAACAGCAACGCGCAATGGCAGGGTCACAACTTTGCTCGCAAGGATGTGATCTACGTCAACGTCAACTATCGCGAGTCGGTCTATGCCTCTCCCAACGCCCCCGAGCTCGAGGGCCAGTCGCAGAACTTTGGCATCCTCGACATCGAAATGGCGCTGGAATGGGTCTACAACAACATCCAAGGTTAGCTCCCCAGGCGAAGGAACATTCGTTCTTGGAGATTCCGCTAACTAGATGCAGGATTCGGTGGTGATAAGACGCGCATCGTGCTCGGTGGCCATTCCTCTGGCGCCGTCCACGTAGACCACTACCTTTGGAATCACCCCGACACCTTCCTGGCCGGCGCGATCGAGATGTCCGCCAACGCCAAGTCCGGCCCGGCCGTCACCCCCAGTGGTGTCGGTTTGGCCCGCGTGGCCCAAGATATGCAGGATGCCGGCGTGTCGCTCAACTGCGATGTCGCCAACCCGACCCTGGCCTGTCTGCGCGAGGCGGATACCTATGCCTTGCAGACCACCTACTTCAACTCGACCTCGAACACTTGGTTCTCCCCCGTGGTGGACGAGATCACTCGCTTCTCGGACTACTCGGCTCGCTTTGCGGCCGGCAACTACCCCAAGTCGCTGCCGCTCATTGTCGGCAACTCGGACCAGGAGGGCAAGATTTTCAGCGTCGTCTACGGCGCCGAGAACGGCGACTTCGCCTCGTGGATCAACACCTTCGACGCCGACCTGGCCTGGATCCCCGACGACGAGCTGCTGGAGGCGTATAACGCCTCCGACTACGCCTCGGTCGCTCTGATGAGCGGAGCTTCCTACGGCGACGCTCGCTTCCTCTGCGCCACCGACTACCTGCTAGATGTGCGTGCGGCTGAGCAGCCCACCTGGATCTATCGCTGGTTCGGCGACTACGACAACGTGTTGGGCATGAGTGGCATGGGGGCCTCCCACGGCAGCGAGGTGCCTTTCTTCCACGGCGGAAACGAGTGCTTCTCGAAGCTCTCGGGCGTCACCGACGCGCAGCAGGCGCTGGCGGACTACATGAACGACTGGTTCGTCGCCTGGATCAAAAACCCCAGTGCCGGCCCCGGTTGGGACCAGGCCAAACCCGTCAACGGGCCCCTGGCCAAGGTCGGCGTGCCGGGCAACGAGCTGGCCATCGAAACGAGCACCACCGGCGAGTTCAACGCTCGTTGCCAGTCGGTGTACAAGCCTCACTATCCCCAGTACCCCGTGGTGCAGAACCCGGTGACCATGTCTTCATGATATTGCTCTATCATGTACCGTGTTCGTTGTTTACATTTCATTCGTCATAGATAGCTTTCCTATACTTCTTTTATTCTTTCACCTTAATTAACGAAATAATATGTCTCGAATGCTGTGGGGGGTCTGATTTCCTTCCTTTGCTCGCCTGTGATTTTTTTCAGTCTCAGTTTATTCGTTCTGGTCCCCCTAGCTCGGAGGCAATGTCGCCTCTGGGACTAGCGGGGCTTCTTGAAGCACTATCGAAATTCAAAATCTCCAACACGAGATCCACAATCTCAGCTATGCCTCCAATATGTGGCAAGTTTCACCACCGGCCTGCACGAATGGGGACCGTGAACGGACATTGACCGACGATCGGTGTTAGGCCTGGCCCGATCTGGTCTAGTGAGCAGACTTGATATCGCGCTCGTTGAGCCTCGTCCAGTCCATTTTGTCTCACAGAAGTGGGAACCGTTTAACTTTAACCGCCAAGAAATTGCCTAGGAATGCCGATTCCAGGTCGGCTACCAGGATTATGGCATGCAGGGTGCTGGCCCCTAGATTCTTCTAGCGGAAGGGACAAAGTGCAGGCCACTCCATTCAGTCACGTCTACAGTTTGACACGAGGATCAACTCCCGTCTTCTTTTCATACCCAGATGGGCATCACGGAAAATCACATAAAAATATGAACTGAGGGACCGGTGTCTCGGAGCCCAGTCGCTCTGTTCCCAAGACGGACTTGTGGACCCATTCCGTTCCACGGTTCGGCTTCCAAGGTGCTGGACACTATTGCCCGGCATCGAACGACACTGGTCACCCTCGTCCGATCCGGGGGAACATCGGGAGCCCTTCCAGACGCAGAGTGGAAGTTCCCAGCGATGCGATCACAACTACGCTTCGGGTGAAAAACTCAAATCATGCCAGCCCAGGAACAGGAAAATGGACCGTTCTTTAGTCCTTTGAACCTCGGGGCAGGACGGCGATATGCTCAACGGTCCTCGCTCCTTTCTGCTCCTTGATCACATCTGCAGGTACACAGAGAGTCATCATGGCTCGCCCTGATGTTGGCCAGGTGGTATGGTTTATGCCTTTCTGATCTCATGTGCGCAGCCTCCATGCTAACTTTTCTGCCCGGAATAGGTCGCATGGTATATTTGCACCGTCGTAGCCTGCATATTCCTCGTTGCTCGATTGCTCATCCGATGGGGACTGTTCAAACGGTTCTATGTCGATGATTTCCTGCTGACGCTGTCCGCCCTCTGTCTCATCGCCGATCTGGTGATCCAGCACTACATGTTTAATCTCGGTGGGTGCAATGACGACCTTGCTTGAGCACACGATTCGTCGACTGACCCAAACACCTTCATAGGCATGTCTGACATGGGCAATGCGACAAAGGACGACACGGTTGCGATGATGAAGGTGAGCGATCGTGCTCAGCCAACAATTGACCCGTGGGGGATCGCTAATACGATCGATCGCAGATGATCATCCCGGGCTCCACTCTGTATGTGACTTCGCTTTGGTTGATCAAAGCGGGTATGGTCCTCTTCTACAAACGTCTCGCCGATCGCACCAGATACCAAATGGTCTACAACATTACCCTGGGCTTTCTCGGCGCTACCTGGCTGGCTATCTTCCTCAACATCATCTTCAAGTGCTTCCCGCCGGACCGCCTGTGGGATCTCGACCATCCCGAGAGTGGGTGTTCCATGGTGTCTGAGTGAATCGTGATGCTGACCTGGTACAGGAGCCTGCTCGGATAAACAGACGCGAATTAACTACTGGATTACGATTTTGTGTACGCGAAACGCAACCTTGGTTTTTCCTTATGCGCCTTAGGCTAACCATTCTCTACTGCAGTCAACATCTTTAGTGATGTATTCAGTGAGTCTTCGCGTCGACAGAGTCCATCTGCCCCTAGACTAACCCGTCAACCAGTCATTTGTCTTCCCATTTCCCAGGTCCTCAAGTTGAAGCTTCCCAAGAAGCAAAAGATTGGCGTCCTCAGCATTTTCATGCTGGGCTTTTTGGTGGTTATCACGAGTAGTACGTTGAACGCCGCATTCTCTCGCTTGTCTCGGCCATTCACTAACCGTGTCCATGAACAGTCATCCGTGCCATTTACTCCTACCGGAACGAGCAAATGATTACCTGCACCGTCTCAATGATCGAAACCGCTATTGCTATCATTGCTTCCTGCCTTCCCGTTATGCGCACACTTTTTTTCGGATCGAGGTCCCGCACGGGGACCTACAGCGGACGACGGGGTTATGAGCTCTCCAGCTCCGGGCACGTCGGTGCGGGAACCAAGCAGAAGGCAACCGTCTCGGCCTCGCATTTGGGCAGTCGGAGCAAGACGCAGCTTTCGCGACACGATTCGGAGGACGAATTGGTGCGTGAGGGTGCGTCGCCAGCGGTGGACGGGCCGCACTCTGGCATCTCGGTCACGCGGGAATATTTCATCCACGAAGGCACACGGGATAGTCGAAGCTTGCGATGAATGAGATCTGTGCTCCTACCAGTCTCATCAGGTAATGTACTAAAGGATTGTCACGGTTGCAGCACAAGTCAATTGGATACTAGCGTGACCATGGAGACCTCGTTTGCGAGTCGAGAAAGGGATGCGGATGAGAAGCTCTAAGCGAGGGGCTTCGGCGTGACGCTCAACCTCCACCGGAAATGCGTTCCCTTCTCCAAGGAACGATCCAGGAATGCAGACCCAGCACTGCAGCTCTCGTGAACCGGACCCACCTACGCCGCTAATCTATCAAACCGCCGTGGGCACCCTGGCACGGTAAAAGGCAAGAAGGGCAGGATAAAATCTGGAAGGCGAGGGATGTGTTAGGTGCTTTTGAAAATTGATCTGGAGATCGATTATAAATGTTCAATCAATATACGGTGTTCGTTTCTGGCACTGTTTGACTGCTTGACCCATCCAAATGGAAGGCATCAGCTATAAGCTCACGGGCTATCAAATCCACTAGTCCACCGCATTGTGTCGTAGAGGCCATCGAGAGCTATTTCCAGTGGCCCAAGCCTGTTACTGTGCGACGAGGGGGGAAACACTAACAAATAATTAGGAGTACAATGATTAGTAAACGGAAAGTAGCAAGAAGTATGTGTACGGTTGATTTCCATGGGATTTGTGCCAGGTCAGAGCACCTAGCGTACCTTAATGTATGATGGAACTATGATACAGGGTGTGACTTGGGCATGCAGCGCGGGTCAATACGCGCACGACCAGCAATATAAAGCCTTGCGTTCTATCTATCAATCTATCCCGAGCGGGCAAAATGCGGCTTCAAATTCTCTTTCAAATTTCCAAACCCAATGCGGGGGCTATAGTTGGCGACCTCGTTGGCGCCAAAGTCGAAGACGGTGTAGAACTGATGGAGCAAGGGCGTTCCGATAAGGGCCAGGTCCACGACCTCGCTGTCGTCGAAGGGAGGGGAGCAGGCATCATCACGATGGGCGAACCCAGGACGAGCCAGCTGCTCGCCGGTCATGGTCAACTTGGGATCCGTCTCAGATTCACCGAAGTTCAAGGTTACCGACCAGTCCGAGGTGAACTCGGTGCACAGCGGGATGTGTTTGCCCTCCTTGATGGCGGTCCAGTTCATGCCGATCGATTCGTACAGATCGTCAATGATGTTGGTAGGGACCTGGAAGTAGCCGGAACCGGTGTCGAACACGGCGCGACCATAATCCCCCAGTTGGCCGGTGGTCGACTGGCTCTTCTGGCCGGCGGTCTTGCCGGTGCCGGTGATGGAGGAGAGCTTCGTGCGCCAGACCTGGAATTCGACTTCCTGTTGCAAGGGGACGTAGGTGAGTTCGCCGTCGACGTAGCGGTCCTCGTGCGAGCCGCCGATGGTGAGCACGCCGGCCGGGTCAGAGCCGGTGGTATCAAACTCGGTGCCGTAGTAGACGGCAAACCGAGGCTCATCCAGCAGACCTTTCTGCATCATGGTCTCCACCAGGGTGGTGGCACCGGCCTCGGCGATGCTGCTGAAGGCCAGCCCCAGGAATCCGTCGGCCGGGATGAATCTCCACGAGCTCTGGTCGGCCGCCATGAAGGTCTGGTTCCAACGAAGGCCATCTTCCCCCGTGGCCTCGGCGGGCAGACCAAACATATCGGCCATTCCGGGCCCCGAAGTGGCTCCGCCCGAGTAGTCGATATATCCGTAGATGCCGACGTTCACTCCGGTCGAGGAATCGTCGGTGCTGTAGCCGACGCGTTCATACCCACTGCCGTTGGGACAGTTGAGACAGCCCTTGCCTACCACCCACGTCGTCGCGGAGCCCGTATCGAAATGGAGCAGGTAGGTTTTGGCAGGCGTGCCGATGGAAGCCTCGACTTGAGCCTATGCGCGCGATGGGTAAGTCGGGGGAATGTATAAGCGCATGTCCTACGGCGGACAGGTACTTACATAGCTATTGTCAAAATGGACGGGCAGATCCAGCACGGCGCCCCAGACAGACGGCAGCAGCGCCACGGCCGTAGCCAAAGACCGCAGTTGACGAGACATCTTGGATCGAGAAAGGTATAAGTAAACGGGTCGAGTTTAGGAACGAAAGTTGAATTGTGTTGCAGGGAGCAGCAAGTGACCCGAATCGAATCACCGGGGTTTGGGAGCTTTTTATATATCTTGCATTCCCGAAACTTGCCTCGGCGGAGGGCTTTCGCAGATTGCGCAGAGTTTGTCAACAGCCCAAGACATTCACTATTTGGATCCGCAGAACCTGAGCTAAATTTATCGAGGTCGACGGAATCATGAAACATTTTAGATGATAGTAATTACTTCACTAGCCCGGTCAAGAAACCGGCGGGCATCGAATCGACCGAATACTGAATAGTCCACAGCCTAAACCTCGGGGCATGGAATCCAGACCGCTCCTCCGCCGGCGACCGGGCGGAATTAGTAACTCCCCCGTCGTCGGGTTGATTAATGTCTTGTAAGATGAGACACTTCCATGTAGACCGGAGTATACACCACGTAGGTGGCGGAAGGGGAAAAATCAAAACAAACCAAACCCAAAACGGAACGATGGGGAAGCCCGAATTCTCAGGCTGCGGTCTTGGCACGGGCCTGGCCTGAGGCAGTCGCCCGTGAAATCGGCCTGCAGGATCAGGCATCATCACTTCCCATGTCGTGTAATTACTAATTATCGCGATTAAGACTTGTACTCGTACTCAGTCACCCACTCTGACAGAGACCATCAATCGAACCTGGGGACTTCCCCCTGGTCATGACACTGGCTAGATCGTATGATCCCCGACATTCCTCAGCACTAAACAGAAGAAGAAAAAAAAAAAAAGGAGGTCTCACGGTGGATCCTCCGACTCGCCGAAACTCCCTGACGGCCCGGAAAAAGGGATTTTAAGGCCGACTTCAACGCTTCACCCTCGACGTCAAGAAAGGCTTATGTTCAATCCACCAATCAAGCCCTCCTGAGTCTTGATCATGGATCCAGCCTCCTTTATCGATCCGAACCTGACCCGGTCCGATCTGCTGGTTCTCCAGGATCTGCTGGACGACGCCGACCGACAACCGGGGAAATGTGGGTCGACAGAGTCCCAACGGGGCTCTGGCGAAGATGCAAGCAGTGGTATTTGGATCCTCCCCTGCCCCGATATTCCTCGCGAGCCCTCGGCATGAACTAACTCGTTCGATTCCGCCTGTCAGTGCGACGTAGGACCGCGCTCCCCGGGGATTCCCAAGTTCCCCAGGACGCCTCGAACACCAGTGCGCCGACGCTGGACCAGCTGCGGGCGCTTAATGACCCCCATCACCAGGACTTCGTGCCCACCGTGTTCGTGACCTGGGATCTGCCCGATCTCAAGCGATCTCTGCCCGCCTGGCTGCAGCGATGGGTGCTCCAGCCCTACATCCGGGCCGCGCGGCAACTCGTGCGCGTGGAAACGGACGTGGTGATGCTGACCCATCTGTTGCTCTACTTCTCTACCTCCGTGCCCAGCGCCCTCTGGCTGTTTCGCCACTTTAGCTGGATTCATGGCGTCTTGCACTGGATCATGCAGTCCTACTATGTCGGCACCTACACGCTCATGATGCACCAGCACATCCACATGGGCGGCATCCTGAGGCGATCCCCCGGCCTGGCCTGGTTCGACAAGCTGTTTCCCTACGTCACCGACCCCTTGATGGGCCATACGTGGAACACCTACTACTACCACCACGTCAAGCATCATCATGTCGAGGGCAACGGGCCTGACGATCTGTCGTCGACCATCCGATACCAGCGCGACGAGCTGGTCGACTTTCTCTGCTACGTCGGTCGCTTCTACTTCTTTATTTGGCTGGAGCTGCCGCTGTACTTTTTCCGCAAGGGCAAGATCAATATGGCCGTCAAGGCTGCCCTGTGCGAGTGCCTCAACTATGCCGCCATCTACCTGCTCTGGACCTACGTCGCCTGGAGGCCCACCCTGTTCGTCTTTCTCCTGCCTCTGCTGCAGCTGCGCATTGGCCTCATGGTGGGCAACTGGGGGCAGCATGCCTTTGTCGACGAGGTCGACCCCAACTCCGACTTTCGGTCTAGCATCACCTTGATCGACGTGGCCGTGAGTGACCCCGCATGACCCCTCTCTGATATGTCAAGCTTATCCCCCCCGCAGAGTAACCGGTTCTGCTACAACGACGGATATCATACCTCTCATCATCTCAACCCGCGCCGACACTGGCGTGAACACCCCAACGCTTTCCTGCAACAGAAGGACCGCTATTCGGCCGAGCATGCCTTGGTCTTTCGCAATATCGATTACATCATGATCACCATCCGGCTGCTGCGCAAGGACTATCGGCACCTGGCCAAATGCCTAGTTCCCATGGGGGATCAGGTGGGTATGAGTCTTGATGAACTCGCCGCAATGCTTCGGACCAAGACCCGACGGTTCAGCGAATCTGAGATCAGAAAGAAGTTTCCGCCCAGTCAATAGAGCGCGCGTTTTTTAAATTCCCGTGGAATTGCTATGCCAACGATGCGTCGCTCATTATCCCGGTGTTTCTTCTATTCCAGCGTGAGACCCTTCTCAATCGACACGTGGGGCAAGTATACACGCATGTATATATATACATATGTATAGATAGATACATACATACAGAGATACATACATACAGATGGAACTTGATTCGCTAAGATAATCCCGGCAACAGGAAGAGCTGTGGGTACTCGTTCGCCGGGGTTTCGTTCAATAGGCTCAAGAGTAGGTATAAATAAACGTAGAAATAGAACACGATGAGATCCCATAGTGAGCGTCAACTCTTGTACTAAATTAGTAGCCCCCTTCCCACCCTTTTCCCCTCTAACCTTCGATTACGAATGAGTTCTATGTCATATCCATGCGATTCTACAAATGCGTAACTTGATTTTAATAATTTTGATTCATGCAACACACCACGCGCTGTATAATATAACTCTCAGCGCGCCGCGACGTACAATCTGTTGGAGAGCCGAAGGTTTAGGTTGAAACAATAGTGCGTCGAGGTCTAAGAGCTTGGTATTGGGACACGCCACGTTCACTGTAAACTATGATAGGAATAGCCTGGGCACCAATATGAGTAACACAAAAACGATTATCCGTGGTATCGCTTCCATTATCGTACATGCTAAGAATAATGTTTTCCACGATGACCATGAAGGCCACAACATCAACAATTGCGGAGTAAAACTCCACAACCAAGGCATAAAGATGGTGTGGAATCATGTCCCGATCCGGATAGAAGCGAGGATGCGGGTGATGGTACAAATTTCGAAGGGTCTCCCTGAGTTCTCTCTCATAGGTTTAACCGTAGGACACAGGGCCCAGCGCGTAGTGCTTCTGCATGACGACGGCGGACTACTATGCACTGTCCACGTGGCACATGACATATATATGCAAAGGCAAGCGACGCCCGCTAAATTTTTATACCAGGCCTGAAATGAATAGTAGTCAAGGACCGTTCCGCATGTTACAGCTTAGAATGGAGAGTCCCTGCAAGTAGAATACATGACCCCGTTGCAAAATAAAGAGCAACATGGAGTGCCTGCAGTCGCAATGCCGGAAGAAGTCTTCAGAACAGGTCTTTATTGCGTTAGGGAATACAAAGGGCTATACAACTCTCTTAGCTGGATCCCGCTGTCCCCCGAGGAGCACGAGCTGTTTTATAACCAAAGGGCGATTGGCCATCTGCCCCTCCTCTGATGCCCCGCCGGTCCTCATCAGACACCGGGGAGCCGTCCTTATTAGGGGACAATGCTATGAAGGTGAGATAGGCTCCCCCGACGACGCTGACGACGCTGAAGAGTGCCTGGCCTAGTGTATTGCCTCTGATTGTTGATGTCAGTCAACATTCGTCCCAAGTGTAATCGCAAAGTGATGTATAGTCAGTATACGGTGTAGGGGATTAATCGCACCGAACAGTCATGATTGTACTTGAAAGGGTAAAGTAATCGATGGGGGGATGAATAAATAGCATTTGATTATTCAACCCTGCTACATTCACACATCGGCCTGTATTTAAGAGGTAGAAAAGAAGGGTTACATCATGGCTACGTTTCGCCACCCTCAACATCCACGGGTGTGGCAACGGGTATTCATGGAATCCAGAAGGGGGTTGTGATGATTCTGGCTGACATATTGTTCATACACCGTAGTTCATCTCTTTAACAAGTATGTAATGTGGCGTTCCACCATGGCCGGGACTCGAGCTCAATTGTCAGCTATCCTCTCCAAGATATCTGGAGTGTTCCACATGGGTTTCTACCAGATGCATATCTTTTCTCGGACTTGCAACTCAACCCACGTAGAAGTGTTGTACTTCTTTCAGGTCTTCAGGTCTTGACCTCAACGGGAAGAGGAGAATGCAAGTGTGGGTTTTCTATCTTAGACCCCTCTAATAGAAGGCTTCTGCAGAGTCATCACCGGTGGGTCTGGCCCCCACGGCTGGTACTCCCAAGGTTGGCGGCCGGATGGAAATCAGACAACAACCACCTTCCACCCCCGACAAGGCTCGAACATCATATCAACTCGGGGAAGATGCCGGTTCTCCCTAATGAATTGGTCATCCATGTCATTTGGTGTCTAATTCCGCCCAACCCACCGGTTGCGTTCCCGTCGGGCCACATCGTGACGCGCACGCTGATCAGCCTCACCCTCGCGTCCAGGCTTACACGCGCGGTTGCAATCCGTCTTCTCTTTAAACACTGCTTATATTTGGATTCGGAAAAGCGACTGCATGGTTTGATCGAGGCTGAGAAGAGCTGGCTGCGAGATGACAGTATCGATGGACATGGAGCGCTGCACCAATCCGAATCGCTATTTCTGCGTCCGTTCCCCGTGGACAGCCTTGAGGAGCCGCAAACAGTAAGGGAGGTGGATCAAGTGTCGCTGGCTCTCTCCAACACCCTGCGACGGCTAGTCATTGACATGCCGCTACGATATCTGTATCCGGAAGAGGACATGTTGGGACTACGGAAAATCTTGCGACAAGCCTTCAGCCGCCTTACTGCGCTGGAGGAATTTTGCTCGGTTCGGGACGAGCTTTTCTGCGATACCCTAGTGACATGGTCGGAACCAGATGCGGTGTCAGAGCCTGAGGTGTGGTCAGGTTGGCCGCGACTCCGATGCCTCGCTCTCTACAATGCCTGCGTCAACGACGCGTTTCTGCGGGCGTTGCAGCATTGCCCAAGTCTCACCCACCTTGCGCTTACTCGATCGGACGGCTTAACGGAGCCACTTTCCCTACCATCCTCCGGAGGGCTATCCTTGCCGTCCCTAGAGCGTGTACTCGTCATCAATACTGGCCAAGGACATCGAGTGGAGTGGGGACGCCGCGAACCGGGCTGGGAAACAAGCATCTGGGCGCGCTTGCTGCCTTGCCATACATCTCCTTCAGCCCCGAATCCTCACAGCCGGCCCCGGTTAGTGTACGCCTTCGTGTCTGTACCGCCGAATAGAGAGGGAGAAGATATCGAACTATGCCAGGAATGGGTTTCTGACCATGCTGTTGATGGCACGCTGTGGGATTTTCCAGGAACGCCGTGGCAAGTGGAGGACCCATAACCCTTTCGTTCCCCGGAGGAAACAACAACAGAACAGAGGTTTTACCGGAGGTGAAGCCCACTAAAAGTCCTTCGTACAAAAGTCGCCGACCGGTTGAGGCGGACAGACGTGCGGCCATGAAGGTGAGACAGAATAAGAGCAACACCGAGAAACGAAGAGAGGAAGGGCATGGAGTGGTGACCGACGAGCAGAAAGAAACCATTCTCTGTCTTGGCCAGATAACATGATGGTCTATAGTAGCCAGGACGTAGACAGTACATGTCGCAAACTCGGGACCAAGGTATAGAGCAGCTAGCTACAAAAGCACCGTGCAAGCCGAAGAAGGCAGCGGCCTATGGTATGCTAGGGCAGTGAGGATTGCAGATCTGTAATATTCCTAAAGGCTATGAGAGCCGGGGATACGGACCAAACAATTGATAAGTTGGAACCTTGACAGACCCGGAGAATCTACGCGCCCGTTCCAACAACTGACGCGCTTCTTTCGTTCAAAGGAAGACTAGGCGATGATATGTTGAGGTAATTGCCGCCTCACTGCAAGACCTAATCTTCCACCATCTTAATACGTTGGTTCACACAAGCACACCGCGGACCTCCTGGAAGGCGTCTGCTCTATCCTGAGAAGCCGCGTGCCTTGCATGATAGTCGGCATCCGTATTCCACTCTCTTGGGATACGCCAGAATGCAATATCCAAACCGTGCTCAGGCCATCGTTCAATTTCACCAAGCAGACGCTCCCAGAGGTCCCGATTCTTCACCGCTGCCCCCATTCTTGTCATCCAGCCCCTGCGTACCCATCCACGAACCCAGGAGGTCACCCCCTCTACGACATATTCGGAGTCCGTCGCAATCACCAGACTATTGCACCCTTCACCGGGCCAAGCCCAAAATCCCAAAGCGGCAATAACAGCGCGCAGTTCTGCCCGGTTGCTTGTTTGGCCGTGCGCCTCGCCACTAGGCCCTTTATTTTCCAGGGGCTGGCGCACGTATCCCGGGCGGTTTTCCGTACAGGGCTTGAAAACGAAACTCCAGCCAGCTCGGGAATTCGGCCCGCCGTTGTCTAAGCACGCGCCGTCCGTGTATATAAGGAATTGTGTCGGGTTGGCGGTGTTGATAAACCGGCAGACCGCTGGCGAGGCGCGATGGCCGATGGCCGGGCGGAATCTGGCGGGAAGGACGCGCCCGGTGCCGACTCGGGGAGGACTGGAAATGCGGACACGGGGTGACAACTCCTCAATCGTAGAGTCATCGTCGTCGTCATCGTCGGGGAAGAAGCCGTACTCATCCTCATCCTCGTGCTCGTGCTCGTGCTCGTCCGCGAAATCCTCCGTGAAGCTATAATCCATGGTGCACTCCGGGCAGACCACGAGCCTGTGCGGTCCACACTATACGACCATTGGGGAGTTCGAAGGCTGACGGGGGGAAAAGGAAAACCATCTTTGAAGCAGGCGAAAATCACGATTCGCAGGAGGTGCGTGGAGGGATGTTAGGAAGAAGGAGGAATAGCAGACGGTCCATATTTGTATTCGAGGTTGTTGCGATGTTTACAAGGGAGAAGATGGACGATCCCGACGGCGGGAGTGTTTGGAAGGCGGTGGCAGTATATGCTTGGGCCCCCTTTCCCCAGTATTCATCAACTTTCAGATTGAATCAATTTCCAGCCCTTCACACACAAGGCCAAATGACACTGATGCTCCGCAGCAATCTTGAAACAGAAGTTCTGGTTCTGGGCATAGCATCAACCCGTAGACTGCCTGGTCTGAGGAAGACTGTTTGCTCAAGGGCCCAACGCGATTATGTCCCGAAGACGACAGCTACTTCATGAGGAGATAACGTACTCCGTTGCAAGGAAGAGGGAGGTTAATATTCTACACCGGCTCAATTACTTCGGTCAGGAAACCCAATTCTTTAGTCTACTTGAGAGCAAGCGCAGCTGGATACAGGGGATTGTTGCCCATCATTTGAACCTTCATTCGACCAACGCGTGCCGGGTGGCAGATGTCCAGGAGTGGATCCATGGAAGTTTCAATGTCTGCGTTCCAGTCACAGTTTTAGACTGGAAACTCAAGAAGCAAGTCGGGAACCGTGTCATTGTTCGTTTTTCTTTGTCGTATCGCATTGGAGAGGACTTTCGACCCGGAAATGCAGACGAAAAGGTTAGGTGTGGAGCAGGAACCTATGCCTGGTTGGAAGAAACCTGTCCAGACATCCCAATCCCGCGGCTTTATGGCTTCGCGATGTCTACTGGGGAGACTGTATGAGATTTTAGCAGCCTCTGAGACTCCACTTTAGCAACTGATGGCTTGTTTAGTTCATCCGAGTTGATTGTCTTCCTTTTTTCACCTTTTGGTTGCGCCGCTTAAGCACTCGCATACTACATTTTCTCGGTCGTCCAGTCCCTTCCAAATATGTCCGTCATCAGAACACAAACGACGTGCTTCAATGTGATCGACTGAATATTGGCTATCTGTTGATTGAATATATCGAGGAAACAAAAGGAAAGATGCTGTCATCCACTTGGGCCTTGAACAAAGATAACGTTAGGTTATGGGCCAATTTCTTTCGCGATCTCAGCAAAATCTACCTAAGTTTATTCAAGACATCTCTCCCGAGAGTCGGGTCGTTCATAATCAACCACGACGGGTTTTTTTTTAATTGAGAATTGCCCTCTTTCTCTGGAGATTCAGGACCTGGAGAATGAGCGCATTCCAACAGATATATTTTGGGATTATACATATTTTATAGTTGATTCGTATGTGATAGATACGTTGTCTTATCATAGCAATTGATTGCGATATCAATCAAACGCTATCAACGATCTTGTTGACTACATTTATCAATCAGCACGCTTAACGACGATGCGAGCAATGTTTTCTGTGTTTTTCACTCGTGATCTTTGTCGGGGACCATTTATCTACTTTTTGACAGATCTTTATCAGAGCAATATCTTTGTTGATGATGATTGGCATATAATGTCGCTTGTGGATCTCGAGTGGGCATGTTTTTTGTTTATCGAGATGGTCCAACCTTCGCATTGGGTTTCTGGCACGGCTGTTGATCGCATTGTGTTTAACGATTATCATGAAATTCGATTGGCATTCATGTTCGTTCTTACTACCGAGGAAGTTTCTTATTATTCTCGTCTTAGTAACAGAGGTTCTTCTGCGCCGTTCACATTATTACGATTAATGGGCGCAGCTTGGGACAGGGGAACCTTCTAATATAGCCTGGCATTGTCAAGCCCCACGGGGCTTTTTGCAATCTTTGACAAGGAGCTTTAACCAAGGTTCATCAATAAATGTCTAGATCACGATGCCTTCGATCAAATAATGCCATGGTATTGGGATCAGGACTTCGTGCCTATTTTAACGCGCAAACTTGCAGACAGGGAAGTTTACGACATTCAATTCCGGCACGAATTCGAGAACGTGGGCTAGGTATAAGTCATTGGCTTGAACCTCTGCTTGAGCTTTATTGGCTCTCATCCATCACACCCTGTTGCATTACTGCCAGCAACAGTCGTTTGGCTTTTGCGTCCTTGATCCTAAGTCTATTATCTTGGGCGGTCTTTTCCGAGGAGCTCAGGAGTTGAAGTTCCTTCACGCCTTTTCTTTTTCGCTTCATTGTAGTTAGGTTTATCAGCCATGCCGAACGATCTGAGCAAGACAATTACGAATGAGCGTTTGGGCCTCGAGCTTGAGATTGGCTTCACATCTTGGCTGTTTGCAGAGGTTTGTTAGAGATGTCAAAGTTTCGAAAGGACGGGTAGCAGGTCAAATGATACTTGTAGGATAAACAGAACATATCAGTACTGGCTGCCAAAAGATTAAATATTTATGTCGCCTTTGGATTTGCAGGCGGCATTTAAAAGGGATGTTCATTATTTTTGGCAGGACCTGTTCTTTATAAAATTGCTTGCTTATCTCGCTATTCAATCGTCAAGTGAGTGCTAAAATAGTGTTTATTGGTTACAAGGTGCAAGGTGCACCGTGCATCAGCGTGTTTATTTCTTCTGTGTTTATCCGCAATCAGAAATATGTGTAAAAAAAGCATTCGTCAGCGGAAAGAATCCTAATAAGACTGAAAAGAATTGTTTTCTGTTAGCTATATATCACTAGACTGCTATAGCTACTACACCCTTAGCTTTTATTTTCTAGATATGATCTACAAAGACGGGTTATGCTAATCAACGCCGGTAAGTGGTAAACTCCAGGCACAGGAACACGAGGTAGGCAACCAAGAGCAGTACACCTGCATCCCTCCGAGCCCGAAGAAGACGACAGCACAAAATAGCAGAGAGGAGACCCAAACTGCTATCAGCTCGAAAAGCACAAAATCATCCGCCCCTTGTATTTGGTAACCCTTCGCCGCGATGACACCAACACAAAGTGTTAGCAGAAAAATATTGCTTTCTGCCGTCGTTGCGACCATAATCCCGCCGTGGCTGCGGGAGCCGCTGATTATTGCAACTAGTTTTTTTGGGAGAGTGGTGGCAAAGGAAACAACTGTTAGGCCGAAAACGGTTCCTGAGAGATGCAGGGAGTCGGCGACGGTGACGGCGCTGTGGGAGAGGATGTATCCTGACAGAGAAAGCGATATTAATCTGAGGATGAGGTGGAATATGTGAAAAGAAAGGCTTTTGCTTCGTCTGCTCTCTTCGTCTGCTGATGACGGCGCATGTTCATTTTCAATGAGAGGAGAGGTTTTAGAGACAGGGGCGTGATCGACGGATTCACTATCATCGGATTTGAGATTGCTATCGTTGTTCGATAGTTTTGGGGGTGAGGCTACGTCCTTGTAGATGGCGTAGATGATAGAGAAGATGTAGACGGCGAATGTGGCAATCAACACTCTGCCGACGATTTGATTTAGTTGGTTGAAGAATGCCAGCGTCACAAAGAGCGTTGTAACCACGAATAGCAGGACCGAGTATATTTTAGCGCTGCGGTCAAGCTCCAGACCCTGGGAGTAAAAGAGTAGCCCCAAAGAAAAGGCACCAAGGGTATTAGAGATAGTCGAGCCCATGACGTCCCCAAGGGCTAGGGGGCTGCGATGCTGTAAGGTGGCGGCAACAATTACAGCGAGCTAACGAGGGAGTTAGACAAGATAGACATTGGAACGGATATCGCTGAATTGCAGACCTCTTCTCATTCGGCGCCAGCTGTCAAGAGGGCAATAACAGTCTGTGAAATGTCCAGGCGTTGTTTGACAACGATGGTGTGATCGATAAACTTGTTTGCGTCATAGTCGAGAATAAAGACGCCTGTACTCAAAGTGGCAACGTTAAAACACAAAGTATCCCAATCCATCATTCTTTCTATATTATATGTAGGTGGGCATTTAGAACACAGAATGCTGCGACAAGACGGGAGAATTGATAGGTCTCAAGATTTTGCCTATCCTCGACTTGTAGGGACTTAGCAAGAAATGATGACTAATGTAGGCGGAAAACAAAGGGATGCAGTTGGCACAACATCACGATTCAGTATAGTAGCATCCAACATAGGTGATAGGTGATCTTTTGGCCTTGGATGATATGAGCATACTGAAAAAAAGTATCCATGTTATGTGACAATGCTCATATAATTTAAAATAACAAATGTTTTAACCGCTGTAGATGATCAAAGAGACTACTAGATGCCGAAGTATGAAGTTCCTCTGGCGACTCTGCACCCGTATTTTGCGATTCCCTCTACCAGGTACCTTCCATCTCGTGTCTAGCCAGTTACCGTTTATCAGACTGCCGTAAGATCGCTAATGTTGATTAGGCTTGAGTAGTAGCGATCTACAATTATCTATATAGTCGTGGTGTATAGCATGCCTAAGCCCTTGGCCCGATGGATAGAGAAAGTATGCATCAAGAAAAAGACCTTCTAATGTGAAGTGAACACAATGAAAAATCTCCCGTATTATACCGAAAAATACAATAGACTAGACGGCACCATAGCAGAGTCTAACTTTGAGAAACTACTAAACTGCAACGGCAACCTGATCTCTTTACAAGCATAAACAGAGTGTCCCGCAGTAGGAATATTTCGCAGACTTGCATTAGCCGAAATAACCCAACCCATACTTCAAGAGACCATCACATACTTTATTCTTGAGTGATAGAAAAAATTGTTCTCACAGCTTCACAGGTCTGTTCAAGCGGCGCCATTGCTTTTCCCCCTCTGACCCTGCCGGCGGCGGCACCAGCCCATTTATCTTCCACAGATTACTCGGGGCCTCCGTCACAAAATACTCCCAATCGATCCCCTTCGGCTCAAACAAGGGCGTCAAAACAGTATCGACATCGCTCAGGAACCGTTGCACCTGTGAATCGGACGTCATTTGGCGCGCAAGGTGGTAGACGGTCAAACCCACGAATTTAGGGTTATGTTCGCCGCCAGTGAACGAAGTCGTTGGGGACATTTCCTGGTATTCCACTCGGACATAAAACGCGGGCAGCCCATAATTCACGTAGACTTCGGTGATTTGTTTCGCGAGGGCTTTCTTATCCTCATCGGAGAGGGTTTGGGAACCGTGATGAATTTGCCAGAGGGGCATTGTGGGCCGAGGTTTAGCTTGGATTTGATTGGGAATGAAAACCAATACAAGGGAGGGTGGTGTTAAGGTCTTAGGTGGCTCGAAGGACCGGGGAAGACGGATGAATAGAGATGAGAAGCTGCATTGGCTTGACGAAATGAAAGCTACTTGTATTCCTTGATCCGCTGTTTGATGAAAGGACTAATCATCCCGGTGAAATCGGATCAATAATCATAACTCTTTCGTAATGGGTCAAAATGATCATGATAATTTGAGCAGATTGGTGTTAGATTAATAATCATAGTTGTCAAAGTATCAAATACTGGACAAGGGAAGAAGGGCACTGATCGTGTTATGCTTAATGAATTGATTGATCTTTTCCTCGTATGGTGCATTTCCTACTATTGTACAATCGACACCGAGCTATAAGCCCTTCTCGTACACTATATCCATGGCAGCCCGACGACCGGGAGAAAGGACGACTACAGAGTATGTACGTCATGGTGGATCACTAATCAATATTTCGCATCGGATATACCATCATAATCGGAATACTAATCTATAAACATGTCTGTTCACTAATCAACATCGATCTTTATCAAACGGCACAGTATCACACATTAGGCACAAGGCTCATATGTTGCCACAGCGAGTAATGAATGGATCTAAAGGGCCGCCTAAATCCGCGTAGCAACTCACATCAATATTCTCCATACCAGCCAGGTCCCTCACCCAAATGACCAACCCAATGCCGTCCGGTCTCATCTTCATCACCGGCGCCACCGGCTTCATCGGCAGCGCCGTAGCCCTCCAGGCCCTGAAGCAAGGCTACCGGCTACGCATCAGTGTGCGGCGTGAACAACAGATTCAAAAACTCAAAAATCTCTTTTCGAAAGACGGATATAGCGATAAAGTGGAATTCGTCGTGGTCGTGGACATCACCAAGAACTCCGCATTTGCGGGGAAACTAGATGGTGTTGAACATGTGTTGCATATCGCGTCCCCTCTTCTGCATGGAACGGACAAAGAGTCCTATTTTGACCCAGCAGTCAAGGGTACCACGGCTATATTGACTGAAGCGGCAAAGGTAGAAAGTATCAAGAAGGTCGTGGTTACATCGTCTATTGCGGCGTTTATTCCTGTTACCGGGGTCCCAGCGGGGGGTGTTATTAAAGGTAATCTTTATTCGCTCATCATACCCCGTTGAAGCTATATCAGATGAACAACAGCTAACATGTGGTAATCCAGAGAACAACCCTTGGGACTTCACCGTCGATCCCACCGCGGACTTCACATCCCCGGATGGCAACGACTCTGTCACCGCGATGCGCCTCTACCACGCCTCCAAACTCCTCGCCTACAACGCAACCTGGGACTTCCAAAAACATCAGTCTCCCCATTTCTCATTAGTCACGCTCAATCCCGCCTTCGTCTACGGTCACAACCACCTCCAAACCACAGCCGACGAGATAAAAGGCAGCACGAATCAGATGCTCTTCGGGACGATCATGAGTGGTACTCCATTGGGGAATATCACAGGGGTACACATCCAGGATGTAGCTGAGGCACATGTCAAGGCGCTTAGTGACTCGGTCCCGGATGGATCGAAGTTTTTGCTAGCGGGTGAGAAGGCGGCGTGGAAGGACGTAGCGAAGGTTGTGGAGAGAGAGTATCCAGGTTGTGGGGCGAAGATCAGGGAGAGTATTCCAGGGGAGTCTTGGAGTGTGGATGCTACGAAGGCGGAGAGAGAGTTAGGGATGAAGTGGAGACCGTTGGATTTGGTTGTTAGGGAGGTGATGGATCAGCAGTTGGGGTTTAGGAGGGATGGAGTATCAAGTCAGATTTAGTGGCGAATGTGGCCTTTTCTTGGTTTTCATACATCCAAAAATAATATTATGTATCTTTTTACCGCTGATTGTATCTAACATTTGCACCACGATATGTAGTACTGAATAATGATCACGACTTTCCACCGTAAAAGACACCCAGAACATCATATCTGCATATCCAGTCTCTCACATGTACAGGGATTACCGCCTAGATACACCATTCGTCGCCCCCCCGCGGCGCCCGGCCCGCCGACTACGGTTGCCCATACGGATCCCGTTGCGCACTTTCTGACATAAGCATGACCCTGCGCGGCATTTGTATGTGTCTCTGCATCCCCCGCACCGTCCCGATTCTGCCCCGGCTTCCTCCAACTGACCCTGCGCGGCATTACTATGCGATCCGACTGACCCTGCGCGGTATTACTATGCGATCGAACTGATCCTGCCCGGCATTACTATGGTTCCCGCCCGGGATCACTCTTGGACTACCCAACCCTGCCCGGGAATATTACGAGCCTACCTAGATCCCTCTTCCCGCCCGCTGTACCACATAAGCCGTCCCGCACCCGACCTGCACTTCTCTTTCCCCCCTTCTGATTCGTCCTTTGTGCGTCGTCCCGTTTCCCAAGATGCGTGCCCCCATCATTCCCTCGCCCGCCCAAATTAAAAGAGACAGATCATATCTTGAAACTTGAAACTTCCCTACACGCATGTATTTAACGCGTAGAGATGCGATAAAACAAATCTATCAATAGCGATTACCTTCTTCCCTTCTGTACGTCTTCCTTTTTTCTTTTATTTCTATCCATCAACTGGCCAGCTTCCTTACAAATCAATCTATTCACCGATCTATCTTTCATGGATCTCTTCATCTACTGTGATGCCTATCGACTGTGGATCAGCACCTCCTGTGAATTTGCCGTGCTGTTAACTCATGTCTCAATCCATCTGATTTCTTATCATTCCAAACATCTTTCCGCTGTCACCAGAACTTTTTATCAAGATACCAATACTTAAATGTTCAAGCGATTATCTTGAGATCCTGTCTCCGGCGAGCCTTGTCTTATTCCATTTTTCAACAACGCGCCGATTCCAGGGCTCCTTGTTCATCAAGACTATCGCTGCTTTCATTGCTTCTACATGATCCGATCACGAAAGACATTCTTTAAACATCAAAATAAGATGCATAATTTTCAACGACAACTCCCGAAAAGAAAGCGTTATACAACTCAAAATCTCTTTATTTCCCTTCTGCCGGTCAGTTATCAACATTTCTTTTCTTTTCAAACAGGCAGCAATTTCTTTATTATTACTTTATCTGCAAGGCTTCATCAGGTTCCTTTACTCCGCGAGACGAAATTCATTCACATTTAGATGATATCTGACATCCAGACCCGTCGAACAATAATACAGAATACATGTAACACTATTTCTATTTGTCAAAGCATCACTAAGATTTGTTTTTGATTAGATCTGACTCAATGAACACATTATGTTCAGAGACAGAGCTTTTCTGCAGTTGTTCAATTGAATGTTTTTCCAGATTCTATTATTGAACTGTTGTTAGATTATCTTGCAAATAATATATCCTGTTTGATCCGTCAGGCCTGTCAGTGCATCCGGGAAAGGAAGGTCAATGAATTTGATTTGATGCGAATTAATAACATTCTTACCCGCATCCGCGCCTGAGATCGCCCGCTATTAGTGGATTTTCAGAACATCATCTATCAGCGTTATACCTGGATTTGACAGCGATTAATTTATTTTGTGTATCGATCCACCACATCCGGCCAATCTACTCGCCTGATTCATTGCCTAACCCGGCTCCAATCCGCATGACTTAATTGTATAATGAGCCGCGCCCAGGCTCTGCAGAGATTAGAGGAGAAAAAAAAGAAGGAAAGGAAAAAAAAAAAAGAGAATAGGAAGGGAGAAGATAAGAAGAACGAGATACAAGCTGGACTAGATTAGGCATATCTTTAGTTCTCTATCGCCCTTTTAAATCATCAGTTTATTGGAGATCTCTTTGACAGCATCTTAGTGGGATTCTTAGCTGTTTTAGAAATGGATGCAGAAAAACAGGTCTTCCAGGATGTTTGCTTTTACACCAGCTTCCTCTCTGCCTTGGTTAAGATTGCTTAGTTATTAATGATTCAACAGGCAGTGCAGGCAGTCATTCAGGGAGAGGTTTTTCACGCATCTAAGATTCTGGATGAGATGCGCGAGCGATTTATATTTTATAGTATCCGCTTCTCCTTCGCCTGGATCACACGACTGCGCGCCTTTGGCAAGAAGATGCGGAACATGATCATCAGCCTAAACCAGGTTTACTGGAGTGATAACTAGCAGATCTTCTACTATTAAGGGCTAAAACTGGGCATGGGCGTCTTCCGCAATTTTGTCCAGTTTCAGATCCGACTGATCGGGCAGGCTCTGAACACCCTCCTCCTGCTGAAAAAAGAGAGAAAGAGAGAGAGCCAGTCCTGAGAGACCGCAGTTTCCCCCCTTCACCTAGACCAGCTTTGCGATAATATGATTGAGAGTCAGACAGGATTTAATTTCCTCCAAGACCCATATAATCAAACATTGCTTGCCCCTGGAAAGCAATGGCTTCTCCGACAGATTATTTGTATTAATCAACTTCGGTCCTGGTTCCTTCACGTGCACCAGGTCCGGGGCCAGATGGAGTGGAAGCATCTTCCCGTGCATGAATATTTTCAACAGGTAGAATTTTTCCTTTAATGCCTGCTTCTACTCTGCCATCTTATCTCCGGCCAGTCTAGCTGAAAAAGCGAACTCTTCAGTCTTCGACATAGTAATAATATCCATAGACGCCACCGCAGTATCTTTCTGGAGCAGGGTCTGATCAGTCTCGTGACTATCTACCACAAGGGATATCATATCCTGGGCTCGACCAAGATCATCCACCGTTATCTATCAATAGCAGTTAGTCGGCTGATAGTCTATTATCTCTGGCTTGTCCTCCTCTTTTGGCAAGATCTAGAGCTGATAGTTCTAGGGCGGATTGCTAGCGCCTTCTTTTTTTTTTGATCTAAAGACCAGGAGAGCTGGAGTGCTAATCGTCTACGAGCAATGCTGGAGCAGAAGGCACGTGCTCATCTAAATATGCAAATGAATATTAAACTTTATCGGCATGCGACTATTGCAATTTCCTGGATCCATCTATCCTGCGGTGGATTCAAGCGAAACTATTGGATGGATAATCATCGCAGTGTAAATGAGCAGACCGGTCATATCCTCTGGCTGATTGGAACAGTCTACGCACGGGGCTGCAGGAGGCCTCTGGGCATGTGGAAGTGCGGCAGGTACAGTACCGGAGAGTCAGCCGCCAATGGCATGAGTTTTTAGGGTTTGAGATCCCCGCAAGGTCATGTAAGAGACGACATGAGACTGGTAATCAGAAAACGGAGGCAGAGAACGATAGAATTAAAGAACAAAAACAGCCGCGAATATAAACTGCAACGATAAGGGAAAACTGGGAATCTTTCTTATTTTTATACAATAGTTCTAGGCCACGTCGAAACTCGGCAACGACAATATCGGGCCGTTAGCCGAGAATGGCACAAATTTTTTGGATTCGAGATCTATTTCGACCCGCGGAAACGACGCGCGGAAAACAATTTAGAGGATGCACGGTTGAAACAGGCATGTATTTCGATAGATATGAAAAGAAATGAAGAGAGACTATAGAGTCTGTAACAGGAGACAAGAATATATATATAAAAGAGAGGTTTTGGCCTGTGGGCAAAAATCTAGTAAACGATTAATATATATTATATTAAAGAGGCAATACGCACGCAGGCGGGCGAGCTACTGTATCAATTGTTGCAAATGTATATGAACGAGGCGAGCGTGCAAAAATACGTGCAGTCGTGATAACAAATCCTAGGCTTTTTCGCGCGGATTCAGCATCCACACGACTGGGCCAGCCCTCTTTACCAATTCATCGCGCGGCAGCGGGCCCAGTGGACGCGGCTATGACAGCTGATCGAACATTTTGAATCGCAGCCGGAACTACAGGCGGTTAACGAAACGCTGTAGCTGTAGCTGCTAAAACAGCGAAAACGGACGTGTTTGAAATTTTGTGTCGAGCTGCTCAACCAGCGGTATCGCAGCCACAAATACAAGAGCGCGCTGATCTGCGCGATGGCAATGTTTGACCGCGAAGCAAAAAACTGGCGGGATCCTGAAAATTACCTCTCAATCTTTTTTTGGATGATCAAGCTCGCGCGGTTCTTCGTGATGGAGAAGGCGCTGTGATTCGATTTTACGGTGCTGCAGATCGTGCAGATGTGACAAGATAAGCAAATCGCGGTTCCATGGGTATTATAGAACGCGGATAACGAGTTGGAGGCCCTAGAAGACGAAAGATACGTCAGCGAGTCAGCGATGGACAGTCTGGTTTCCAGCAGCCCAATAGCCAGCAGTTCTAATCTGGAGGATCATTCTTAGACACCAGTTGGCCGGCGGCCGGCCGTGATCCCGAACATTTACTGCGCGAGCGAGCCCCCTTTCAGCGCAGGTCTTGGCACCTTCGTCTATCCGATACGACGCGGCCTCGGCAGCCCCGGCAGCCCCGGCAGCCCCAACGGATCCAACGGGCCCAGCGGGCCCAGTAGTAGCCAGGACAGCTAGAACAGCCAAGACCTACGCGCAGGCCGCACGTTCCAGGACCAGCTGGAGCGGATGATACGACAGTTTATGATACGCGGTAGTCACGGCCCCGTGCAGATCTTATTGGATTGGCGCATCTACGGACTGCGGGTCCATTACAACATTATTATTCCAGACCATATCACGTGGCAGAGGACCGACGAGCTACTCTACAAGGAATTGTAATTTATTATGGGCAACTTCCGGGGCTTTGTTCACAGACTCACTGAAATGGCCCAGGATCTATTAGATTAGCTCTTTCTTAGTTTTTTGAAACGATCAATGCCCGCGATCTCGTGAGATTAGCTTTACGATGATCTTATGTAATTAAAGATCGACTGAAA